GACCATTGGTGATCTTCTCACTACACCAGTGACTGGCTCTGACTATCAATGGCCAACTGAAGTAACGCAAAGTGCCAGTTGCATACACTAATGTAGACTCTATATCAGCTCGGTCAAGTCATTCAACAGCAAGGCAAAGACTCCTGCGGCGTCCAAGACTGCAGCTGGATCATCGAAGGATGCAGCGAACGCAGAGAGTGGACCGTCACGTCCGTCGCGATCGAAGTCCGGCGCGAAGAAGGCCCAGGAGCAAACTTCCAGCAGCGAGCGTGAGGTCGATGAACTCGGCAATGAGTGGTAAGTCAGTCAGTGTCCAGTGGTTTCTTTGTATCTCACTGCGAGAGGTACATCACCAAGATGTCGTAGTTGTCCTGTCGCATCAAGGCCGTGAACATCATCAACTTTGTCTGTTTCGCGTGGCAGGAGCAGTAGAATCGGCCCATTTCCAAGGCAAGTGTTTCTATGCCCATACCACCTCTATCTACACTTACTCATACGACAATCCTGCAGCTACTATATCTATCATCCTCTGTACTACTACACATCAGACGTGCGTGCCTGCTACGTATCCCACTCCCCCTCTACTACTATTTGCCTGTCTCAGCCGTGGTCGTCATCCCGGCGCCGTCTGACCTCGAGTCTATGCCTATCTGTATCTCTCGTGGACAACATACTTAATCTAACGTGTAGTAGTAGGTACATTCTGAAGAACAAATGTGTCATGCGTCATATGAAGTATGTGTAGGACAGACATATGCTACCATAGGGTTTGATACGCGTACTTGGAGGCAGAGTTGTTCAGTAGGAATCTCTGCGCAAGATCTAATACGGTATTGGTGTTCCAGTCCTCCGGTATACTATCAGGTTTAGTACCATCATTAGACCTAGGAAAGCAAGGCACTAGCTGACAAGATTGGCGTATAATGGAAATGGGTATGATATCGCTGGGGGGCAGACCATTTGCGCGCAACGGGGGCTTGCTTACAGCGTACATCATATGGTAAGGATCCGCCTGAGCCGGTAATTTTGCATACCATTCAACGTACGCAAGGGCCCCTTGCTTCGTCCACTCCAATGGGGTCTGCAAGGTACGCTGCGTACGAGGGTCCTTCATCTCCGGTGGCAACTTGAACACCACCTTCACTCGGCCAATGCGAGTGCCTGGAAGGTGAACAACGGTGAGCGCACTCTGTATGTCAGGCCACAGGTTTACACACCTTGTAGCCCAGTTGCTTCAGCGTCTTCCCCTCGAAGTACGACAACAGTGTCGAACCGCGCTGGCTGAGTTTCTGTGAGCGGCCTAGCTTTCACTCCATCCGTCTCCTGCTTGTCGTCTGTCAAGGACTCAGGCGCGAACTTGAAGCCATGGAATATGTCCACATGCGTGAGTGGCATGTTGTTGACAGCGGTCTGGAGCTGAGAGGAGGTGAGAGCGCGTCCTTCCTTGAGCTCCCAAATGTACTGAGCGAGGGAATGTATGAATCCGGGAGCATCATGTTTGTTGACAACGGCGTGAAGAGACTGGCTAGGAGAGGTAGGGTGCTTGGGTAATTTGATACGAGCATTGTGTCTTGGGGCAGGTATGTTGACGTCTTCTTCGACCACTTCATCCTCAGATACATCACCGTTCCGTACGAGCTGACGGCGAATGGATGCGCCGAGGACTACCATCTTCTCGCGACGCTCCAGCCAGCGCACCATTTGGGGGCGAGCCTCGCGATGGTTGGACGCTCTCCACGCGCTCTTCGCAAAGTCGATGTGCAGGCGTTCAAACGCCTCGGTGTTGTAGTTGTCCGTGGTCCCGAGAAGGCGGATTGAGTCGACGTAGTGTAGTAGAGAATGGAATTTGGGTATATTGAGATGTTCGCGTACTCCGAGGTCGACCAGAACGCTTTTGTTCTTGTGAAAGGTCTTGAGAGCGTCGTCCATGTAACTGAGTGTCGTGTCGTCGTGCGTAGTGTACTGTGCAAGGTAAATGAAGTCCAGGATTGAGCGAAAGGCAAGGATCGCCTTCTTGGGGACCTTGCCTACCAAACACGCGAGGAGAATTCTTGCAATGTGCTTGCGCTCGGTGCCGGAGACCTGCGACAACGATGATATTCCGTTCTTGAAATGGCGGGTACCGAAAGCTGGAGGGAGAGAGCGAATGCGTGCGTCAAGTTCGCGTTCGTCAACGAGTTCCGAGGTCCATTCGATGATATGTTTGAAGACGCCCTGGTAGAGCTGGTGGAGAACATCCGGCGTGATGCATGAGTGAATGTCGGTGTAGGGAAGATCGCGCCAGAAGGGGCGTACGACATAACCAGAGACGTTCAGCTCCTGACATGCCTTCTCAAAAGCATTGGAGCCGACCTTTCCCCCGCTATTCTTGGCTGCGCGACGTAGGACATCTAGCGTCCACAGCGAGTTGCGAGGCATCCCTGCCTGAGGATCTTCAAGGCCGGCTTCTGGCACCTGGCACTTGGGACAAGTGCCGTACTTGGAGCAGGTCACCAGACACTGCTCCGGGTAGTCCGCGACGTAGGCGGCAAGGACGGGATGAACGCGGCGGACTGAACCGTCAGCTGCGGTCACTTCGATTCCATGCTTGCCCGCTTCTATCAAGGGCTCCAGTATGGTGCTGACGGAAGCGTGGAATAACTGTTGGACGAGGGCGCGTTGTTTGCGCTGGGTGATGCCCTCTCCGCTCACCTTGTCGGTGGAGAGATAGCCTATAAGGATACAGGCGTGTTCCGAGGGTTTGCGACGAAGATCCCTAGGTATGTTGCCAAGCGTCATATAGACCGGGTAGGCGGACTTGCCACCAGAAAACTGGGTCAGCTGCGTTTTGTCCGTCGCTATGATAACTGGCGCGACCGCAGAGCCGATAGGTAAAAGACTCTGTGAAGGTCAACGCACAGTGAGAAACCCGCGTAGTACATCGCACTGAATCTGTACTTACCTGGACGGCATGCCACCACTTCCCTGTCCACATCTCGTTGTAAATTCTTCGAGTACGTGAGCCATCTGAGAAAATACGTCGAGGTCGGTATACAATTCGTTCCGCGTGTTCCGGATTCCCCAACAATGTGAGTATCGCCTGTATGATGTCACGATATTGAAGCAGATGCTTCTCGTTTGGGCGGTCCTTGAACGAGAGCCAACGCTCCTTCCATTCGGCTCGCTCAGGTAGGGAGTCAACGCGCTGTAGCAGCGCACGCGTGTTGTGGTATGTCAGTCCCAGACGCTCCTTGAACTAACAAACGTTAATACAGAGAGTTAGTGTCAATAAATACTGCGCTGCGCTCTCACGTTTGGTATGTCCAACGCTCGGTCAAGCGAGCTCAACTTAATTCCTTCTTCGATGGCCCAGTTTGCAAACCGCCAGTCCATCTCTGTATCAAACGGGTCCCAAGGGTTCTTAGTATCGTCTTCAGCTTCGCCTTGGAAGGCTTGTCAGACTATCTGAAGAGGAGACGAGCAACTGTGCTACTCACCGACATGCGTCCGACTTTCTCTGGCCTGTCGCCACCTCCTGCGCACCGCTTTATCCACTCGTAGAATCTTGGCAGCCTCTTCATTCTCTTCCTCCACCCGTTCGTCGTCGTTGTCATCGTCAAGTGCCAATGCCGTACGTCTTGTACCTGTGGATGCTGATGGCCTAGACGGACCTGCCTCGCCTCCTCCCCCGCTGTTGGATCCCAGAGGTGGGCACACTTCAATGAAATCGTAGAGTGACGATAGATCGTCCTCGTCATCAGACTGCTCCGAGTCCCCATCTTGGTCGGTGTTTCCATCTCCTCCACGCTGGTGATATTCAGCTTCTAATTCTGCATCTTCTACGTCCACATCTGAGCCGCTCGCCTCGGCCTGTTCAGAGTTGCGTATTGGGCTATCAAATTGGACCAGTGAGTCCTGAATCCCAGTAATATTGGGACAGATCACCGACGGTTTGTTCTCAATCTGAACGTTATCCTCCATGTCTTCTAGGTCTGGGACCTCATGCCCTTGCCTTCGGAACGCAAACACTTCCTTCAGTTTGCCTTTCTTGTACCAGGCACATTTACGGCTTGTGCTCTGGTGTGCTGCTAGGCCTTGCACCGTCTTGAAGGTTTTATGACATGCCCCACATGTCACATCCATAATTTGCTGCAGGGTGCGCTTCTTCCCGAGTCCGGCCAACTTGGGTCTGGTCATCTTCTGCTGCCAGAATATGTGAGTAGCTGCCTTTGCAGACGGAAGAGCGATAAAGCTTACTATCCAGTACACAAAAGTCGTAGGAAACCTGCAACATTCATAGTTGTCAGCGCACTGTCACTTCAGCGGTGCTTACGTCTCTTCAGCGCTACCCGGCGCTACTTATGGGCGCGTAGGCCTACGTCCCGGCTTGCCTCCTACCTTCACACTCCATCAACATAGTTCAGTTGGTAGTTGGTAGTTGGTAGTTGGTACGTACCTTTGTGCCCGGGTTCCTTGTTATTTGCTCTCACCATCTTACAGGTTTCAGCCCTCTATCTGTTGTAGAGCGCCACGGTACTCTAGAGTCTAAGGTGAGTACTTTGTCTCCTGCTCTTTTTCCTAGAAGGTTCGGCGGCGCATCCGGTGGCGTGGGAGCGAGCCGCCTCCGCGAGGCGGCTCGCTCCCACGCCACACGCTCTCGCCGGACGAGCGACTCAGTGTCGGCAGGGACAGCGTTGTGGGCCCCCGAGTCTGAGGGGCGTTGAAGGAGCGCAACCCATTCGGGCGTCGACAAGCTAAGGCGAAATTAGCGCAACGGGACCGAGAACTCTTGCGTACGACCGCACGATGAGAGATAGAGCGGGATAGAACGGCTGGCGAAGGGGCGTGAAGCGCGTGGAGGGCTTAATTGAAGCCGTCGGCAGTGCAGGTGGCTGGTGGCAACCTGGGCCCGTCACACCCGTCCCTTTATGTGGTGCTCCGATTGCTCGTCTTGCGCCCGTCTATCCTTGTTCATCCCTCCGGTCTTCTCCTAACTTACGAGAGGACTTCTCACATCCACCATGCCTACCACCACTTCCCGCCTTGCCGTTCGATCCCCCCCCTCTCGATCCCCCGGCCCTCGGGCTAGCCCCCTCTTGGACTCCAAGCCGTTCAGAGACAACGAGGTCGACTCGAGGGACGGGGGAGCTCAGAGATTCTCTCAGCTCCAACTCAACTCGCGCGGTGACCGCAACCGCAAGGCCGCTGAGAACGGTGAGCTCATTAGACGATGGGATTTGAGGTCATAACCAACTCACATATGCAAGTATTAGGTCCCAAATCAAATTTTCGTCCCCGGTCCAAGACTGTCCAACCTACCAACACTCAGCCAGGTGCGTACGCAACAGTCTGTGTCAAGCACCCTCAGCCAACATCCAGGACGATAGCCCAAACTGCCCCCAAGAAGGCAGAACCACCAACGTACCAACCCACACCAATCTACCCGAAAGCTCTGTTCCCCGACGTCGTGCATAAGATCTTTGGCGAAGATCTAGACGCAGTGCTCCTACGCCTTGACCCGTATTACTCAAAGGCGAGCCACCTGTCGTGCTGCGAAGCGTCTTGTTTCTGACAGAGTGTGCACAGACCGTCAAGGACTTCAGCCCACGTGAGTGGCAGGAGCTCTGCGAGTTCTTCGACAAATTCCCATTCAGTTATCTTCAGTAAGTTATCTTTCTAATCAGCTCGAATCTCCGTTTCTAATCAGATTGGCGCAGGTGGGAGTACAGCAGCGACACTCAAGTCCTCATGGTTTTCAGACCCAGTCCCAATCATCAGGAGATGGTTCAACTTCGCAAGGCGCACCTCAAGCAGGTGCTCAAGATTGTCAACACTTCCCCGAAAAGTGTGCAGGTGGTCATGAAACCACTGCTGGATTTTGCCGTAGATACCACACCCATCTACGCCGAAGAGAAGGGGAGGAAAGGACATCTTGCGGAGAAGTTTCCCGACGTTGTGGTGGAACTGACCACGACCTCCACCCGCGACATCACAAGCCTCGACGAGATCATGGTCTCGCAGCTTGATTACTCGCCTGAGACTCAACCACAGGGCGATCGCCCCATCCATGAGGGAGGGTTCACCAAGGTACGCCTTACAGTTGACCAAACGTTCATCCACCGCTGATGCTAAGGTAGGCCCTGAATTTTATCGACGACCGAGCCACCGCGCTGCGAAGCGGCAAAAAAACACCTCTGAAGAACCTGCGCGTCATCAATGTCATCGCGGTGCGCGAGACGTTCGACACCCTCGCCAAATCCTACACATTCCCTGGCGGTAGTAAGAAGCACAAGTCCGACACGCAAAAATACAAGGACGCCTTGGAGTGCAAAATGGGAGATGTGCGGTCAGACGACGCCATGTTTGCCAGGTTGCAGGAAGATGTCGAGTCAAAGCTCACCGTAGGCGGTTGCGCCTACTCGGAGCACCTCATACCGGGGGCTGGACCGTGGGTCTGCGAGGTCAACGGACAATCGTATGTCTGGCATGCTGCTACGCGGGCCTATTGGATCCATGTCAATGTACTCGACGACGACGAGGTTGCGAAGTTCACTGCGCTGGTGAAAAGCAGGGCCCAGATTCACAAGTACCTGGAGGCAGGTCTTGGAACGGTACGTTCAGGCATCATCGGCATCACTGCCTAGCTGACAGAACGATTAGGCTATCCTTGACAAGTATGAAGGCGTCCACAAGGACCGTCGTGACGATTTCCTCAAGAAAGTTGCACTCGGGTACCAGAGCCAGCTCGATGTCTATGTTCAGATCTTCACGAACAAGTTCTGGGAGAAGGTGGTCGAACGCTTTGACCATCTTCCGACTCAGGAGGACCTTCTTGAACGCCACAGTGCAATCTCTGACATCGCCAATACGTTCACTTATGACGCCGCATGTGACGAGATTCGCAAATACTGGGAGAATGTATCCAGGTCTGCTCAAGGCATCGACCTCACGACAGACTTGGAGGACATGCTCCACGCGGTAAAGGCCAGCTCCAAGCTCACCGCCCAGTGGCGCATCAAGCAGAGCACCCATGAGCCGGACGTGGACGACAAGGACGAAAGGACGAACCTACCGCTTGAGAACATCTGGGAGCTAAGCTTCCAAAGGAGGAAGCGCAAGCGGGGTACCTCGGACGCCGCCTCTGACGGCGAACGTCGCGCTGGCCCGAGTGCTGGCCCGCATGCCGTCGATTGAGATGTGAGTCTCTACCGACTTCATACTCATCGTCCGTTCATCGTCTCGTCGCCGTGTCAGTGGGTCACCCGGGTCGTCTGATCATACTCTTCCCCTATCAGGTTGACGCCTTTATCTATCATGAGCCATTGCTCGTTGTACAATAGCGTATCCTCTTCTTGTCCTGCCCTCGTGTTGTCAGTCCTGATTCGTGTTGTTGCTGTGTTTGTTCGCTCACGATACTTGTCCGCGCTGTCTACGCTCACGATACTTGTCCGCGCTGTCTACGCTCTCAATTCTCGCTCGCGCTGTATACGCTCTGGACTTTTGCTCGCGCCTACCTTGTCTTAGTAGTTGGACATCGTAATATGACATCGTTGTATTGTTGTAGCATGTTGAGTGGTTATAGAACATACGTTCAGTGGCAGTCACGTGACTGACTCGTAACGTGAAGCTTTCAGCTCAGCAATTTTCTCAACTCTCTGCAGCAACGTGCTCATCTTTCTAGGTTCGGCCTGCTATCCAGTACATAGCTATCCCTACCAGCCTCTCATCATGATCGCTCAGGGCATCTTCGACCGTGGTGGCAAAGGGAGCGAGCGCGAGCACGCCGGTCTTCAAGAGGCGCCCGCCCAGCGACCGATGGGAAGACTTCGCCCCCGTCCTTCAACAAGGCCGAAACTTTCTAGTTTCGGCCTGCTATCCGGTACGTAGCTATCCCTACCAGCCTCTCATCATGATCGCTCAGGGCATCTTCGACCGTGGTGGCAAAGGGAGCGAGCGCGAGCACGCCGGTCTTCAAGAGGCGCCCGCCCAGCGACCGATGGGAAGACTTCGCCCCCGTCCTTCAACAAGGCCGAAACTTTCTAGTTTCGGCCTGCTATCCGGTACGTAGCTATCCCTACCAGCCTCTCATCATGATCGCTCAGGGCATCTTCGACCGTGGTGGCAAAGGGAGCGAGCGCGAGCACGCCGGTCTTCAAGAGGCGCCCGCCCAGCGACCGATGGGAAGACTTCGCCCCCGTCCTTCAACAAGGCCGAAACTTTCTGGTTTCGGCCTGCTATCCGGTACGTAGCTATCCCTACCAGCCTCTCATCATGATCGCTCAGGGCATCTTCGACCGTGGTGGCAAAGGGAGCGAGCGCGAGCACACCCCGCCAGCCCAGTGACTGACGGTGAAGACCCGGCTTTCCGCATGTCAAGCAGGCCAAACCTTTCTGGTTTTGGCCTTTCATCCGGTGCGTAGCAACCTCATGAAGCTCCTCATGACGTCCACTTGGGCCTTCATCGAACGCACATAGTCATATTAGTATTATTGTATCACGTATAATCAGAAATGCATTATATTCCCTTGGGGGTGCTGTACATCGCAACAGCCAACAGTTTGAGGAGATTGTTCCACGACCGGTACCGTATGAGAAATCTATAGGTCAGTAAATTAATGATGTCTAGTTTTAACGCTCTGGAACATTGGACGACCGTGACAGGAGAACTGTCACTACTCATCCTCAAACATGGTGTACTTGAGCAATGCTGAGGTTTTGGAACTGGAAACATACCTCTCACAAGCTGATACACTCAGCCCAACGTTGACAGCTTTACTGGGGAGACTGAAGCACAACAATGAAGACGCTTCAGACCAGTCTACGGGGCGGTGCGCCGAGGACTATGTGTCCATGCAACCGTCGGACTCTACACAACCTAGTACAGGTGAAAGTATTACATACCTACCTCTTGTACAAAAGCTGACCATTCAACCACTTGATTAGCAGGATCGACACCCTCGTTGCCTCACAATGGCAGTAATTCCAATGACAGGGAGCGTCCCAACAGCCTGAGTGCGACTGGGCCAGTTCGTGCACAAAAAGCATCACGACAGCGGCGGAAGCTGGCCAACGCACCGTACCCTGGCGGTGGTAAAGAGCAACAAGGCGGGCATGATCCTCAACCTCCGCGGCCTTGTCCCAGAAGCGGGACTCAATACATTGCAAGTCGCAGTCAGCCGCATGCCGCCTGGGAGATGATGGCGCAACCACACCAAGGGACGAGCACAACAATGGAGAACTTTCTGTATACACTGGCAGCCTATGACGTGAGGGACGATGCTCTACGTTACTATTCAGCCCTCTGGTCATCTCCTGGCGCCATGTCGCTTGCTGGACGCAGTGATACGCTGGTCGATCTGGTGAACAGATGTAACCAGATAGACGACAGAAGAAACGTTATCGAGTTCCACACTATGGTATTGTACCTACGCTTGGCCTTCAAATGCGCAAGGTAAGCAAGATTCGCTCATCTTTAAAACGTAAGAACCATTGATTATTGGAAGTTCAGTATGTCAGGCTGGTCGGACGTGAACATCGCTGCCCTGTGGCGAGAGCATCTCTCGAAGCTACCAAAGGGACCCAGCGAACGCACGCTGCAGAAGTGGTATAAAATAGGAAGTAAGCTTGCGAAGCTAGCAGAGGGCGGTGCGTCTATGCGCGTCATATGTTGTCGGCGTTGAGACGGACAATTGCACAGGATCAATCTACATGCTTCTCTGGATGGGGTTCACGACCCTCAGAGTGCCATTTGTCGAGGCTGACGGTACATTGGCTTCCGATGTTGCACACATACTGAGGCGCTCCAATGCCGGTCAGTTGTTCACTGACTAACCTGTGGCATATTAACGTTCAAGCGCAGAAACGCCCCTTGGACGGCTGGTCCGACAGACCATAGTGCCAATCGTAGTTTACCTGAAAGATCACTGTCCCATGAAGTTCGGCGACCTCTTTGCTGAAGATATTCTGCTCGCACTGGGCATCCATCCTCATTGCCCCTGCAACGATTTGGCAGCCACGGATTCTTTGTTCACCCGTCTCCCACAAAAGTGAGTGTAGATTCTTAGTATCTGTGTGTTTTTTACAATTGAGAGCAAATACCGGACAGTTCCTTTGCTGGCATACCTCGAGACAAAGATGCATGGGTTGCATTCGACTCTTCAGTCGCAGCTACAAACCTAGGCAATGACTCACTTATGGCGTTGTCCCCGTTGACACCATTGTCTCGGTTGGCGAGTCTCAGCCCTACAGGTCGATCAGCCTCTCCCCGCTGTTCAATGCCTACGCAGCCTCTCAACCTTACAAGCGCGGTTCCAGGCCCTTCCACGATCACCCCGCCAGTCAACCTATATTCAGTGAACATGACATGCGGTGCGAGCATGGTTCCAAGCTCCTCAATATCTACCATAATATCCAGCTTCGATCCCGACCATGAGCACAACAAACGATTCTCGCCACCCAGAAACAGAGATAAAAACGCACGTTGGACGCAGAACCAACGCGAACTAGCTAGCAAGGCCACCGAACCAGCAACTCTCGAGGAACTGGAATCATTGGTGAGTGACGTACTCCTGTGCCCATCGTTTCTGACTCATGTATGCTAGTTGAAATCGATTTATGTGGACGGTGTTCGTCCCACTCAGAACGGCTATGTGAAGATCAAACGCGACCTCGTCAAGTGAGATACACCGCTACTTCACTCTGTGAATGGCTTCTCACAAGCACTTAGGGATGTTCTAACAGTACAATCTCAAAGCTCCACCATTCTTGCGACCATATGCACGTCGATGCCAGAGAGCCTACGAACCGACCTTCTTGGACGCCTGGCCGCCTGCCTCGAACCGGATGTCATACAGACATTGGACACAGCGCAGAGTGGCGGCAGCCACGTCTTCAAAGTGCTGCACTTCACATGGTATAATCGCCATTGTACGACGGTCAGTGCATTGCCTTTGGACTGGGAAAGCAGCTAACTCACTCATATACAGGGAGAGGGCTCACCAGATGACGTACCACCTAGCAACCTCAAGAGAACCGGCGGTCTCAAGACTAACTACCACCAGTTCATACCGTACCCATCCAAGGATATGACGAACTCGACCAACCAATCGATCTACCAGTCCATGAAACAAATTCTGGCCCCTCTGTTCGACTGGTTGGATTTAAAGGTGAGTTGCTTAACCATTAAGGAGTTAGTAATGCTGAGATGTACCCGGCACTTTCAGATTCAAGAGATTGCACCAGATGTATACGACCACCTTGAAGCCTACGTCAGGGTGTTGCCTGGAAACAACCGACCGCTCGCCTCTCCTTTCCTAGGATTGGTCGTCAATATGAATGTCACCACGGCAGCACACAGAGACGGCAAGGACGACGGTATTTGCCTTGTCCTTGCCATCGGTGACTTTGAAGGCGGTGAACTCGTTCTCTACGAGCCCGGACTCATTGTACCTCTATGGAACGGCGACTTCATTTTATTCCCTTCCTGTGATCTGACGCACTTCAACCTACACTACAAGGGAAAGAGAAGTTCTATTGTACTCAACACGGACCGAGAGATGGCTAAGTGGTTGAAGGAACGGAATGGATGGTCTCACAACGTACATTTTGTTTGACGTGGCACATGTCTTGTACGCTCTTAGAATGACATATTATATATTCATCGGATTTGGCGCTTACCTCGGCGGTACATATTGAACCGTGTGTAATCGAACCCTCGATTATCTCGAGTGGTCTCCGTTTCATTTCGCGGTGAGTATCATCTCGCCTTAACTCTATCGCCCTGGTCAAATCGTACAACCCAAATGGACAGACGTATGACCCGATCAGCTGCCTCGAAACAAGCAGAGAATCCTGCAGGCCAGCGAAGCACAGCCTCGAAGGGTACTAAGGACAAGCAGAAAGTGGTAAAGGCGGCTGCAACATCGTCCGCCGCAGCTAAGAAGAAAAGTCAGAAAGCTCAGGAGAAGCAGAGGGAGAAGGAGGAACGAACGGATAGTACGTGCCCTTGTCTACTCCAACACACACTAATCAACTTCACTTTGCTGTGCGTGTCAGAGATACGCAAGAGAAAATCAAAGATGATGGAGGAAGATGAAGCATCGCACGATGAAGAGGACGTAAGGCCCCAGAAGAAGAAGTCGCGCTCGCGCAACGACAACGCACAGGAGGAGGACGAGCCTGCCAATGACACGGCGCAAGGCAACAAGGTAGCTGACGTGGTGATGCAAGACCAGACGGCTGACAGCGAGGGCGAGCAGCCCAAGAAGCCACGGCGTATGTGATTCATATACATTGGCACATGAAACTCACAACACCACGCTGCTCTAGCTATGCCAAAGCGGAAGTACGGCCAACATGCAGAACCTGCGCCTACGCTAGACGCGGACGAGGAGGACCTGGCACGAACATTGGGTAAGTCCTTTGGCCATCGTGCATACATCAAACTATGACCACCTGCTAGGCGGCGGACGAAAAGAACAGGACGCTCGGGCTCCTCCGAGCAAGTCGGTCAACACCCCCTCACGAGCGACAGATGCGGCTGCAAGGGTTCGCACCCTGTTCCGTAATTTGCTCTTGGTGACATGACTCATAGTGACGTTCACGAAGAAGCAGGACAAGGGTAAGAATCGCGCCAACAACAACTCGGATGACGAGCGTAGCAAATCCCCGGCCGCCAGCGACGATAGTCGCAAGAATTCTGACAAGGCCAAGCGCACGGCTGCACGCCCACATGACAAACCATCCGATGACTCAGATCAGGCCGACAGCAGCACGGATGATGATCAAGAGGAAGGAGAGGCGTATGAAGACGACAGAGATGAGGAGGATGAAGAGGAGACAGACCACGCAGAAGAGGGACAGAGCGACGACGATGGGATGATCGTCAGTGTCAATCATCTCTGCAATCATATTGAATGATGCAGACATCTCTCACACTTTACAGGTCTTGTCTGACTCCAGGCGCAAGGGCAAGGGTGCTCGTCCCAAGGCGTATCGCACCGGTGGGGCCAAGGGCGCGCGCCTCAGGGTGTCAGACTTGCCAACATGGCTTGTTCCACTTTTCCATGCAGCACAAGATGCGCTGCGCCTCCGCACCGCTCTGAAGTCCGCCTGGACGAAGGAGCCGTCAGTCGTCTCCAAGCGGCTGCCCAGCGTGGATGATCTCATCAAGGCGAGCGTTCAAGATGCATATGAGAAAGGCGACAAGAAGGTGCGGGATTCCTGGAGGATGTTGCAGGATCGGAAGGGCAAGGACAACAGCCAGAGAGAGCGTCATAGGCAGGACATGCACAAACTGGTAAGCAAACAGATCTTCTGATGCGTTGGCATGAGCTGATATAGCGGAGATCGTGCGCGCGTTATCTCAAACTCGAAACGAGCTCAAGGGGAAGGCGTCCCAGGTGATCCAGAAGGCTTACGACCTGAGCCCTCACCTATACTCTCTTGATGACAGGAGGCCAATTGCGTTGTGGCTGATCGGCAAGGTCAGCGTGAAGATGGGCGATCGAACGGCTTTGCTTCCTCGTTTCATCTTCGGGGAGATAGAACACAACCTTGGGAAGGAACAGGGCTCGTCCGTGGAGAAGAGTGTGAGTACAATGCCTTAGCTATACTACGGAAGGAAGCACTGATCATGAATTACATCATGAGCAAGTACAACCGCTTGCTACCTTTCAGGCACCCGGCAATCCAAGAGCTGATCTACCTGTACTGGGGGCCCGCCAAACGTGAGGGTGCGTGCATCAAGGCGGCGATGGTAGACTTCAAGAAGGTGCCTCTGAACCTCATCGCACTAGTGTGCACCGCCGTAAGCCCTATTCCAATCCACGCACAAAACCAACTGACGTCATTGCACTTGTGTAGATAGAGGGAGCATTGGCTGACGTCGCCGCGCAGGTGGAAGAAGACAACGAAGTGAACCTGAAATTTGCGAACTCGGTCTACGCCAAGAAGTAAGTCAGCTTACCTTGTGGTATCTATACTAAATGTTGGGCGCAATTCAAGATGGGACAGCCTGATGAGTGCACTGGAGTACATGAATAACAAGCCGTACCTTCAGGAGACGCAGTCACTAATCTGGTCGTATATAAGGTAACTTCTCGCAATCAATATGGCTTGGTTTGCTCACTAGGGACGTAGGTCGAAGATGCAAGGGGATGAGGATGGTGATATGGACGCTGTGGAGGAGAACCAGGAGGAGGAAGAAGATGGGGAACGTGTGGGCGGTGCGGCTATCGACCTCGACCAGCTGAACGTCACCTTGCCAGCCGTGGCATCAGGCAGCAAGGCAAAGACTCCTGCGGCGTCCAAGACTGCAGCTGGATCATCGAAGGATGCAGCGAACGCAGAGAGTGGACCGTCACGTCCGTCGCGATCGAAGTCCGGCGCGAAGAAGGCCCAGGAGCAAACTTCCAGCAGCGAGCGTGAGGTCGATGAACTCGGCAATGAGTGGTAAGTCAGTCAGTGTCCAGTGGTTTCTTTGTATCTCACTGCGAGAGGTACATCACCAAGATGTCGTAGTTGTCCTGTCGCATCAAGGCCGTGAACGTCATCAACTTTGTCTGTTTCGCGTGGCAGGAGCAGTAGAATCGGCCCATTTCCAAGGCAAGTGTTTCTATGCCCATACCACCTCTATCTACACTTACTCATACGACAATCCTGCAGCTACTATATCTATCATCCTCTGTACTACTACACATCAGACGTGCGTGCCTGCTACGTATCCCACTCCCCCTCTACTACTATTTGCCTGTCTCAGCCGTGGTCGTCATCCCGGCGCCGTCTGACCTCGAGTCTATGCCTATCTGTTGATCGTGCTATACCAGTAGTTATGTGTCTGTATATGTTGTACAACAACCCGCACTGCTAATATTTATGATGTGATCTGGTACATGTGCATAAGTGGACATCAGCAGACTTAATTCTGTACATAACTGTACTTCAGCACGCCCACTGAAGTACATATTGTAGGTGAAATAAGGGCAACTAAAGACCAAAATGACAACACAATTAAGACTGAATAAGACACAAGATGTCTTTATTGCGTACATTAGTGCTCTTATGCATAATATCAAAGACACAATAAGACGGGGACTTGTCTTAAGTGCCATGTTTTGGTCTTATGTAGCATTTTATGTCTTTTGTGTCCTATACGTTCCTAAGATGTCTTGTAAATGACCTCTGATGAGACCTTATGTAGGCACGGTTTTTCCTGATGCACAAAGATGGGGATTTGTATCGCGCCAGAAGTCGAAGTGGAGGGTTACAGGGGATGAGTTAAGCCAACCAATATTAACAAGAGCCATGATCTTTGATAGAGGAATTCCTCGCGCGAGGTACCAGAACGGCTCCGTATTCATCCCATGAAAGCCGGCGATCGAGTAAGCTGGGAGGATGAACGTTCCGGGGATCAGCAACGTGCGTCGGAAGACGTCTAGCATAATTTCTATTCGTGTACTGACCCCGGGTTCTTCAGTGCCGTGGAGGGGGATCTGGACGGCTAGGACGGCCTCCGCGGCGTCGAGGGCGTTCCAGGATTCGCGTTGTCCAGCGGCCATGCCGCGTCCCCTCCAGACAGTGCTGTCGCCTTGCACCTGGCGCCAGGAGCCGGAGGGAGGGACAATGAAGTCGGGGTCGAGGGCATCGACGTCGAAGGGGGCCTGAGCGTCGTCAGGGTCGTCACTGCTCAAGCTTGGGGAAGGGCTAGGGGCGGGGGCAGAGCGATGTTCTCGACGCTCTCGGCGAAGGAGGAGACGACGGATACGGCGACGAGTGTGAGAGGAGGATGTAGGGACAGGAGTATCAGGGAGTCTGGTGGCGTCGTCCATCTCAACTTCAGGAATCGAGGGCGTTTGCAGCGACAGCCGCGTGGGGCCATCACCGTTGATGCTGTTGTTGCCGACCTCTGACCAGTGGTGACCGCGAGGAGGCGCAAATGGGGTCGCAGGACGTTGAGTCCGACGGGAGACGGGCGTGCGCGGCGTGCTGGACGGGAGCGAGGAGGGAGGAAGCGGGAAAAGCAGGAGGATGTCGCCTAGGTAGGAGAGGTCGTCATCGTCGTCAGAGGTGTCGATGGATGCCCGCATCCTGAGTCCGCTGTGACGGCGCCCTGACGTAGAGTCGCGGCGCGGGGTCTGAGGAGACTCGTTGCTTGGGGGGGCCAGGAGCGCCTCGACAACGTCCGAATCAGGGATGACTGTAAAGTTGAGGTCGGACGTGCTGTCGGCATTCGAATCGCGGCTCTGGGAGGTAGATGGTTCGTTCGTGTGCGCATGGTTGTTTGTACGTAGCGAGGGTTCAGAGGGGCCCGAGTTGGACGCGGGGAGAGGGGAGGCAGCGGGGGTGGACGTCTGCGCGCGTACGTTCTGCTTACGCGTTTGGATAGAAGGGGAGTCCTCGTTACCGAGGTCTTCCTCTACGCGGCGGCGCTTGCGGGATGCGCTGCCCGATTCATCGGTCTCCATGGGCTGGTCCTCGAGCACGGTGCGGTGTATTACGCTGGGACGTTGTGTGTTGGTCCCAAGACGGCCGGCGGTGGCCTTGGCCTTCCCTTTTTTATGCGACACGACAGTCCATCCTGTCTGCTGGTCGACTGACTCAGTGGCAGGGCGGACGTCTATTCGTTAAGTTAGTGGGATGAGCTGGCATATGGGAGCATAGTGCCTACCCCGGCCGCGGACATTGGTTTCAGTAGCTACGGGGGCGGGAGGCGATGGCGACGCAGGGCCAGTTGGGACTGTGTGGTTGCCATTGGCTTTTGCCTGGGTGGGAGACCCAGCGACCGCGGATGCATAGGATAGGCCAGGGGAGAGCCTCGGCGACTGCGACGACGAGGTCATCGCTCTAACGGTTGTCGGGCTTTCGTTCGAGGTCAGTGTGCGGCCGTCGCGGCCGAGGGGCGGGGTCGATGCGGGAGCTTGGGTCATACTGGTTTTCAGAGAGACGAGCAGGTCGAGTTGGAAGATGAGCAGATAGTAGCGGGAAGCGAGTAAGCGAGTAACGAGCAGAGACTGAGGAAAGGTCACAAGAGTGATGCCGTTTCTTCGAAGTAACTTTGTTATTTAAGGCGCACTGGCGATGCGTTTTGATTGGTCGAGAGACTTATTCAAATTGAGTTGTCGTGTTATTTGCTTCGCGTAGGCTCCGGCTAGTCAGCTGCGTAGAGAGTGGTGGGCAGTGTCATGTAGCGCGTGTATGCCGACGAGAGGAGTCTCGAATTTTAAAATTTTCCAGACGTGTGGGCTGACGCAGCGGGAGAATGAGACAAGGTAGAGGTAACGGGCGTACTGTTTTCGGAATCTTATCGCCAGGCTGCCCATCATTGCAGCGCGCGATCGCTCCTTCCAATCCTGAGTTTGGCGAGGCCGTGCGATGAGACGTACTGTCGGTGCATAAAGGGGCTAATTTGGTGGCTCTCTATGTCATTATGTCTTCAGCTCCATCAGGGTTGGAGGAGCTGCTGTTTGCGCCGTAGCATATGTCATTTTTGCGTGTAGCAAATACCGCGATGACATCCCGGTATTCTGGTCGTGGCGTTAATTTGAAGACGAGTTCGCCGTGCGTTTTTCTTTATTGCGCTCGACGTGGTCCGGGTTATGCGTTTGTTCGAGGTATAGGAGTAGTCAGGTTTACAAGTAGCTGAGCTGTTGGTGTGGGCCGATACAAGTTGAGGAGGTTGGGGGTGAGGCAGCGGTGGCGTGTCGTAGGCGCGAAAGCTCTTCGCTTGAGAAGGATAAGGGCGCTTCTCTGGGGCACCTTACTGCCGTAGAAGGTATTGGGCGCTAGATTTGGTATGATCGGCTTGGTGGCGTGTATTTGTAATGAGAAGGTCGTTTGGGCCGGTGGTGGATGGCTAGCTATTGGTTCGGCAATGTGCGTCGTCTCAGCCTTCAATTTAGAGTTCTATGATCTTCTTGGGATCGGTCCAGCGTGTCGGATATAACACGCTGCTAGCCTATCTACTGTGGATCGCATTACAAGGTGTCCGCTTCGTGCGTCGTCACTTCTCCACCTTCTTCGCTTTCTCCAGGCCTAGACTCTATGAGCTCCTTTGTTCTAGGGTTCTTCGCCATGCGTGCGCGCAGGCGCCTGATAGCGCTAGGGGTGATATCGAACTCGTATGGGTTAGAGCCGGGATTTTGGAAGTCTGGTTTGTTACGGAATGCGAGGTGTGGTTCTGGGAGGAGTGGGAGCGTATGGTAGACGAGTGTGTGTGTATATCCGTCTAGGTCGCAGAGGCGGGCCCATGGGATCGGTACTTTGATTTGTAAGCCGTCCTTGCTCCCGGTGAGCCGGAACGTGACCCAGTGACGCATGAGGGTCACGGCTTTGGAGACTCGTCCGGTCTCTATCACGTGACTGCCGGTGTGGAGGGTTATCACGTGGCCTCTGGCCAGCTGCCTGCTAGGCTGGCTCTTAACTATCCACGTCTCTCGCCGTCCATCTTCATCGCGCTCTGGCTGGGGTTCGACGAGGATGTCGACCTCGATGGAATAAGCGGGCTGGTACGAGGTGCGTATTCGGGATTTCTGCGGTTCAGCAGCGAAGACGGTTGACGACGACGTTCCAGGCCGAGTTATATGCTGCCCATCGTGGTATGCTTGTACTATGGGTGATTGGGCAGGGATGCGAAGTGATTTTCCAGATGAGAATGCGAAGAACATCAGGTAAGGTACGAGCGTTTATTTCATGGGGGCCTACCCAGATTATATAGGCCATAACTTGTAGGAACGTGACATGTCATACGGGCGTTTGTAGGATGTCCTAGGGCATAGAGTCATAGAGCATGAGGGGACATATTGGTATGCTTGGGCTGAGCGTAGTGTGGCATAGATGGAACATATTGGTATGCTTGGGCTTTTGTGGACGGGGCAGCCGTCAGCGTGGTTTTACAGTTATCATTTGGCTTTATGGGACGCGTTTGATGTGCGCGTGATCGTTGCAGTACACGTGTTTTGGTCGGTTACTTGGCGGTTATGCGTGCCGGACTTCTAGGCGCTCGCAGCCGGGCCGGGTCGGGTGGGCTTGAAGACGTCTGCATAGCCTTAGTAGCTGTGTGAGCTCATCGTGTCCGGTCTTCAGCTCACACTTTTGTGTGTATAGTTATGTCTTTCACGGTGGTTTTTGGGAGTGGGTGCGGGATTCTGGGTCGAGAGTGGAGGAGAAGAACTCAGGTGCGTTTCTAAGGGGGGTCCGTCATCATTGTCAGGCTCGGTGTTTGACGGCGGTGAGCGGGGGTTTTTAGCTAGCACACTCTAGGGGGATGTAGCGGTCATGGTAGTCCTCTTTGGTCAGCTGGTAGCTTGAGTCGCGGGGTACGGGTTTCGTGGGAGGGGAGGCAGCGTGTGAGGTGCGTTTGTAGTGTGTTTTTTTTTTTTTTTTTTTTTTTTTATGTAGTTGCCATCGGCGTCGTCAGGCTCGGTGTCGACGACGGCTAGAAGATACCCAGCGAGGGGCACACATGATGACTGCTTCGGCTGGTTAGAGCAGTATACGGGGTTTCTGTTGGGTTTTAAGAGGGGCAGAGGGCCTACATATGGTCGCCGAAGGGCTAGTGTTATGTGACCTCGGCATTCTACAGGATAATACAATTCTTAAGGACCTCTAGCTTGTCTTTAGCTACCACTCCTCGACGGGAGGTGGAGGTCATATATACGGGGTTGGGGCATCAGGCTATTGTCATAGCCGATGGTCGGGCCAGTACAACGACTGTTGCGGAAAAAACTTTCCAGCCCGCGACCTCTAGTCTGGTGTCCACCAGATGTCGTTATAGTGCAGTTGGTTTCGCCTCCTAGGAGGTTACTTATCCCCTGGACCACGTAAAGGTCTGCACTGGACTCGTCGACGACGAGCCCACCCAGGGGTACTTAATTCTCATGGCCTGGTGCAGGCCCTCCATTACCTTCGAACTCCCCATTCCAGGACACGACGCCTTTGACTATGCATACGCAAGAGGCGGCGCCGCCAATCGAGCATGCCGAGAGAACATACCAGGCTTTCCCTGGAGCCAACTACCTTCTTCCCTCTGATGCTCATGAAAGGGAAAGGTACGTGCGACCATCGGTGTTGAGGGCGGATTCTGACGTAGAATATTGCCTTTGCACGCAGGCTGAACCTACAGCACAGCTTGCTGAAGCAGGCGTTCAATAATCGCATTATCCTCCCTCCTATCACAATTGCTGCCTCAGACCGCATTCTAGATAGCGGAACTGGATCTGGTGAGTGCAGACACCATTGTCCATATTGAACGCGAATGTAGAGGAATATTGAGTCGTTGTATGTTTCAGGGTCGTGGCTGATAGACGTACTCGGCGCCGTACCTCCGACCGCTAAATTATATGGCCTCGACATCGAATGTCGTCTTTTTCCGTCTGATGACAGCCGCGTCACCGGACGAGGGCACGTCGAATTTTGCGAGGGAACGGTCACAAACCTTCCGGAGGACTGGGATAACATGTTCGCCCTCGTGCACCAGAGACTGTTAATGGCAGCTCTGAAACCCTCCGAATGGAAACAAGCCATCGCAGAAATATTCCGTGTGCTTGTACCGGGTGGCTGGGTGCAGCTGGGGGAGGCAGACGGTGTTCGTGGCGGAGCGGTAACGGCGAAACACGTCTCACTGGTGCAAACACTTTTCCAAGCCAAGGGTCTGCTGCTTCACTGCGCCGCTCACATCCCTGATATGTTGCGGGAAGCTGGATTCGTGAATGTCACGGTGGAGACCGCAAACATCCCGCTCGGAAAATGGGCAGGCCCTGTGGGCGTCGATGCGCGCAACAACTTCATGGGCGTTTTCAGAGGGATGAAGACACCGGTACTCAAAGCAGGCGGGCTCGGATTCGTGACCACAGAGGGTGAATGGGATACATCGCTTGATTCTTTGGAGGAGGAATGGGATGCCACCCCTGGCGCAGTGTTGCAGTTTGACATCTTCTACGCAATGAAACCAATTCCTTCAGTGTTCTAACCATGATCGGAGGACCGTATTGTACTGTACCAGGTACCTCCGCCTTGTCTTGTACCCCACGTGACGAATTCCATGAAGCCTTACACTTACAAGTTGGATGCCCGTTGAGGTCTGAGCCTGGTTCTGTTTCAAGCCTACTAGCACAAGCTGAACTATCAACGATGGCCTGGATGCAGTTTCACATCAACTACGGGACCATCATGCGGCGAGTAGTCAAGTTGTCTGTCAGCGTCACGGAGCGCTCTTGCTCTATCAAACAAGACTTGTTCGATGACGATAACGACAACGACGACGACGACGACGAGGAGGAGGAGATGTTTGTGTAACCATCGCCGGCCGCTGATGTCGTCGGCGCAGCGAGTACTAGGGTCAATCCAGGTTGGAGTGGTACGTATCCCGTAAGTAGGACCACCGTCGGTCTTGCACGTAGCTATCCACCAGATCAATAGTCATTCAGTGACTCGTATGTTGCTCGCATGTCAACGCAAGGACGAAAGCGTTCCGGGAAATTTGAGACCAATAATGACAGTAACATTTCGTCGAGATTTGCATGTTATTCAGTACGAAGGACAGTGTCTCAGATACATGAATGACCAACGAATGGCACGATCAAATACCCACAAACTCCAACTCATATCGGTCCTTCTTCGTAAACCAGTCCCTATACCACCTTGGTGGCGAACCCATCAGGGTAACAAGCTTGTTGTACTGCTCACGGGTCAGCCTGTGATCGTAAAAATAGTCGGACAAAGCACGGGGGTGGCACGTGGTCGCAATGGTGATGACTTCGAAGCAAGGTATAGTGCCTGGGTCCACAGTGTTATCCAGGGATCCATGATAGTCGTCCCGGATACACGATGAGATCGCGATGCACGTCATGTCGTAGCCACACCTCTTCAGTACGCGTATCAAGCGGATAGTAAATGGAGTTGTGTTGAGCCAGTCTGGATGGGACAGTTCGTCAACCCGCGGCGTTAATTGTTGTATGAAGTCTCGTGAAGTCATATCCCAGCCAAGAACAAGGTGCCGATACTTGTAGCTGGAAGTATCCGATGGATATAGCGGATAAACAGCCAGCTCGGGGGTGGGTCGTGTGCCGCATGCACCAGCAATTACAGGTGAGGGTCGTGTTATGCCGTGTTGCGGAGACTCGGTTTGCCCGCCATTGTTCGGGCCTCCTGACTAGGGACGTGGACAGACAGTCAGTACACTATGACATAAGATACTTGACATGCTCGATTCGCACCGTAGGCATCATGCTTGCCTCGTGGGTTGGCATTAGTAAATACTGCCTCCTGGGATTTCTGTATTCGTTCGTGCTAGAGTGCGGAAATAGCTTAGTCGTCAGCCAGCGGTACACAATGCGTAACGGCAGAATACCTACGATAAAACACCACGAAACTTGCGATTGACTATGGCACGACGTTAAGGAGCGTCAGTCTGGGTTATCACCTTTTATATATAAGTATGACCGGCGTCTGAACATTTTGTAAGCGCGCGCTCTCTCGGATCTCAGATCTCAAGAACTCAATTAAACGTCGACACGTCGACAGCCTGAGTCGCGGTACTTACTTACAGGAACAGCGCCGAGCATGAGTTGCCTTGAAACTATCGTTATTGTACCACAATAAATCCGTAGCGGGATGCCGTTGCCGGTCGACAGAACGTAACACGTCTCACAGTCAGTACAATCAGGTCAGCTCTTGCGAGAAAACCCTTGGCCGCCCGGTCACCGGTGTTCACAAGTCGCGTAGGCGACGGGACAACGCTATAGCTTGTCGCGAGCATGTTGAGTTGCGAACATCCCATCTGACATAAGTATACGACTAGAGAGCTCCGAGCACAACGCGGATTGCACTGCGCAGCAGACTGACCATTAACCTGCCGTCGTGAAGTGAGTGCCATAAGTGATCGGTGTATCACTCACGCATATCGTATCTCCAAACATGCAGAGGCACAATGTTTTCGGACTCATATTCAGTCTCTTCGGCGGGACGTTGTGCCGCTAGAGCACTGAGCCTGGTAACTGACAGGCCATCTCCTGATGGATGTTGAATCAATGCTGAAGCACCCCCGCCTGCCGATAAGCAAGCAATTCTGACAAGTATAGTCAACTTAGTCGGCGGGTTCACCCTAGCGATCACCTAGGGCTAAATTACAACGCGTGCCACGTCTCCACTACGACATTAATCCCAAACGCACCAAAGTCGTTCATCTCGTTCGTCGTCTCCACGATGATCTTCACCCTCCCGCGGCACACGTTTTCCTTCGCGCTGGACTTGTGATAGCTCGGGCCCTCCGTGTCCTGCGAGTCCCGGCACGTACAGTGGTACACCGTCGACAAGCTGTTGTAGACGTGGTACGAGCCGTCCGCCGGCGCGGGCCCGCCGGATGTCGGACGTGTGAAGCACGAGTGCCTCGACATCCTGTACAGGAACAACCGTCAGCGACCATACGCGCGCGATGCGACGAACCGCCCAAGTGTACTCGAAAACGACACTCACGGGACACCTCTCAAGACGAGCTTCCCATAAACCTTCCGGGTAGCAGCCGCCTCCGCCTCCTTCCCGCCCGCCACGACCGCGTACCCGCCCCCGAACTCGAAGCGCACCCCGGAGCCATCCATGGACTCGCGCCACGCGCTCACGCTCCTCTCTATCGCCTCGAAGAAGTCGTCCTCCGTCTGGAACTCGGGCACCTCGTCCCATACGCGGCGGGTGAGCGCGGCCGGCGGGAGTCTGCGAGGCCTGGGCTTGGGCTTAGGCTGAGGTATGGGCACGGGCATGGGTAAGTCCACTTCCATCGCGTCGTGCTCCGGCGATGACGCGCGTGCTTTCTGGCGTGAGGCGCTTGCGCCCGCTGACGTCGATGTGCCCGGGGCAGTGTCAAGGAGGGACAAGCGTGACTCCTTGCGCTCCTTGCGCCCCTGTAGGTACCTGCGCTGGTACTCGCGCGACTTCTCCCTACATTGTAGGCAGTTCTTGTACCAGCCGTCCTGCGGCTCGAGGGCCCGTTGGCACGTTTTGCATTGCGTGGGACGCCTCGGTGCGAATGCGGCGAGTAGCTCGGCTGTCGCGACGGAGTCGGAGTCGGAACCAGGGAGAGCGTCGGGTACGGGAGTGCGAGAGGAGGAGGCGGCGTCGGACGCATGAGAGACCTTTCTGGCCTTGGGCGCCGAGGCGATGCCTAAGGGCGAAGGAGAACCGGATCGTTTGCTTCCTGTCGATGCCATGTCTGAGTGCGTCGTGCGAGGGGCCACAGTGGGCTTCGTAGTCGCAGATTTTCTGTAGATAGGGACAGATTTAGTGTGGGACTGATGGCTTCGGGACTGCTTGTCTAGCCGAGTTGCATCTGTGAGTAGCTTCGGCGCCGAGACGGACAGCTGGTGCATGGCAGTCGTCCGCGATGCTACGGGCTTGAGCAGTCGCTGCTCCGCCATACCCAGAGACGTCCGCTGTGGGTTTCCGCTAGCAAGAATCTGTTCCCGGCGGGGGACAGACTTGTGTCCCTTGGTCTTTCCGCTGGAGGTATACATCGACGGCGGGGAGTCCGAATTCTGTATGGGAGAAACGGATCGGGCTGGCGAGGATGTCTCAATGGATGAAGGAGAGGCCGAGCGGGTGCGCGATGACGAGGCGCTGGGCCCTTTCGCTAGTACGGCCATCTTGAACTCGCTGTTTTTGTGCACATTCGCTGCATGCTTCCGCACAACTACCGAGTTAACGTTGGAGTATCCGCAAGGACAACGCATCTCGTTGGTCTTGACGTCACGTTCGATTGTTATTTGCTTTGCTGGTGGTAGAAGGTAGTAGTGTCAGAGATATGAGCGAGCAACTGCACGGCGAAAGAGGTAACGGGGCGCGCGCGTCGGCCAAATTTGGTGCCAGCCTCAACGTGAGGCCTTAGCAATGACATAGGATGACAACGACGTGGTCTGCCTCCGATGGCACCCCGAGGGACTCATCATGTTGCGTTTGTCGTCCAGCACAACGTGTTCAACGAAGATGGGAGTCAAGACAGCAGCCTCCCTGTACGTTCCGTATCTCTGACCCCCTAGCTGTATCATAACCGGAACTCATGCCGCAGGAGACCATCCCATCGTACGACCATCTCCTCGCATGACGCGTAGCATAGCGCATCGCCCGCCCTCGGACCGAGATACTCACCTCCGTACCATATCGTCGTCAGCGATGCATGACATTGATAGACATGCGATCCCATGGCCTTGGTGAGGGCCTTCTGGTCGGACCCAGTCGCGACATACTTGCAGCCATCGTAGACGCATCGTTTGCGCACCACTGGCGTGCTGGGAGCAGTAGAGAGCGCTATCGTGGGCAGAGAGCGAGGCTCTTCAAGAGTGTGTCGACTCATGACGCGTGTGCGGGCACAGAGGGAAGCAGAGAGTTGCCGTGCGCGCGAGGCTCGGACTGGTCGGCGAGAAAGAGTCTCAAAGAGAGAGTCGGCGCCACACACACCGCGTCGAAGCACACGCTTCACGTGACCGCCGCGTACCGCTTGCCCCGACCGTCGACGCGTCCACGTCGCTCGACACGCCCATCCTTGATCGCGTACTACGACTTGTACGCCCCTTCCGCCCTCCTCGACTGTCCGCGACAAGATAGCAGCCAGCCTTGCTTTGGATTGCTTGCAGGTGATCCGGGCGACGCCTGAATAGCTCACAGGCTGGGCGACGTCTTGCGGCAATGGCTCAAGCACTGCGCCCACGACCAGTACCCCGCGTCCTTCTGCTCTCGCTTCTTGCCGTGGCGTGCTGGTTTCTACTGCGGCCTCTCCTCGACCCAGCTCCGCCTCTCCCTGCATTGCATGCGTCCTTAGGTTTATCAATACTTGCCCTCCTGGGAGCACTCTATCTCGTCCCTTCGCTCGGGCCTGCCTTCGTCCATGCCAATCTCAAGGGCCGCGACCTCCTCAAGACATACGACGATCCTATGTACGCTTTCTTTTTGCCCCCCTATGGGCGTCGGCTGAGATCGCGTGTATAGACCGGAATCCCTTGGGCTTGTCTGCGCAGCGTTATATATCCTCCTCTTAATCCTATTTATTCCATTTGCATTCTCCGACTTCTTGAACGGCCAACGTAATGCCGCCAAGAAGCCTCGCGAGGGGTTGGTCATTAATGAGTTCCCGCATCATCAGGTGAGCACACATTGTGCGGTCCTTTCTCGTTTGGCATCGAGTCCTACGGGTGTCATTGTCTCACACGAGACCAAGTCTTGGTGACGACCTGGTCAATATTTGCGTATACAGTATGTGTGGGTAGCCTTGGACTGCCGCCTCCTCCGAGGAACCCTAAGTGTATTGTGTATGAAGAGCATCGCGCTGACTGTACGATATCTTCAGCTGTCTCTGTATCTCTCATCATTACTATCTCTCCTCATGGCGACAATGCTGGGCTTCCTCGACGACGTCTTTGACATTCGATGGCGACACAAACTACCAATCCCAATCATAGCATCTATACCACTCCTCATGGTATACTACTCCGAGCGCGGTGCGACCGATGTAGTGGTGCCTATTCCATTACGATGGCTCCTGGGGTCATTGCTAAACCTCGGTACGCCGTGTTGTGCATGATTTGTATGCGCACGCTCACGATACGTGCCTAGGCCCGCTGTACTACGTCTACATGTCTTTGTTGTCCACCTTCTGCACGAACAGCATCAACATCCTCGCAGGGATCAACGGCTCGGAAGTGGGCCAAGCGCTGGTAATTGCGTTGTCGGTCATCCTGAACGACTTGCTCTACCTACCCTGGCCAATAGGCTTCCGTATACCGCTCCATTTGCTGGGACGTGGAAGAGAAGTGGACTTCGGTGGTGTCTGGAGCGCAGGGATGGCGTACGGGAGCGCAGTGCTTGTTGAGCGCCACCTGTTCAGCCTGTACTTCATGTTACCGCTCGTGGGCGTCTGTGCAGGATTCATGTATCACAACTGGTGCGCCCACAACAACTGGATGATTAGGCGTGCAACTTATATCGCGGCCACAGGTATCCAGCCCGTGTCTTTCCCGGGGACACACTCTGCTACGTGACGGGGATGGCATTCGCAGTCGTAGGCATCCAGGCGCACTTTTCGAAGACTCTTCTTCTCTTCTTCCTCCCCCAAATCTTCAACTTCGTCCTCTCCTGTCCGCAGCTCTTCGGACTTGTCCCCTGCCCACGGCACCGCGTGCCCAGGTGCGTCCAGCCCCCCATATCTTCTCCGCCGTCGACTGACAGACCTACCTGCCGTTGCCTTGTGTTTCGAATTCCGCCGTCGGCCCTGTAGATTCGACGCGGAGACGGGCCTCCTCTACCCATCCACGGCATCCTTCAAGGAGCACGCGCCGTCGCGCCTCGCTACCGTCGTCCTGCGCGTCCTCGCCGCGCCCCGTTTCGTGCGACTTACCGCAGACCCTAAAACGAGCGAGATCGCGGAGACGACAAACCTGACGATCTTGAACGCGTTCCTCCTCCGGTTCGGCCCGATGCGCGAGGATAGCCTCGTGAAGGTGCTTATCGCCACTCAGGTGCGTCCTCCCGTGAAATATGATGAATGGTGCTCATGTGATTTCTGTGTGGCGTATGGGATTGCAGGTTGCGGGGAGTGTATTCGCGTTCGTCGTGCGGTATGGACTGGCAGGTCTGGTCTACGATGGCAACAGGCGATGATAGCTATGACGATGCGCATATGCTCCTGGGATTCACGAGCCCGACGGCGAGTTTGAGTCCCTTTCCCGGGGCTCCGCGCGGCGCGGCATGGGGTATGTACACGAACATTCGGTGTTCTGTAGGCGGCCATACCCCCTGTCCTCGGCCAGGTACTTTTGGCCGGGTTGCTGAGAGCTCGTCATGGCTACGTGTTTGAGTAAAAATATACGGAACTACTCGGGACCGGTAGTAGTACATCTGAGGTACTTATAGTAACACTGGTTATGCAGAGTGATGACTTGGATGTGCCCTGCGCGTACTCCGTCACGTGCAGACTCCTTAGACTCCGAAGTGGCCGAGTCGGAGAGGAGGAGGAGGGTTTGGCCGAAGTTCAACTTGTAGAACGTTGCAACGTTGAACGTCGAAACGGCCATCCGTCTGTGATTCCGCAGTGATCGATCGTTGCATGAAATAACGGGCCGTTGGATTGTAGGGCTGTTCGGACGAACCTCCCATTCTGCCACGGAAACCCGTCGTGCCCGTACGTATCTCACTCTCACTGAGTACTGTGTGGCTTTCTGATCATTGATGAGACACTGGTCTATTCTTTCCTTAATCTAGATTGGCGTCGTTCTTCGTCTCTACCGGCGAGATGCGCTCATCTTAATCATTGAGGTCTTTCACAAGCAACCTCCGGAAGTTCAACGCCTGTGTTCACTGTGTCCAACGAAGGTGATACAACTGTCGTCGCCGAGCAAACTAGGCGCGGTGATGGATGGGAATGCGCCGCCCGCAGAAATGAAACGGATGTGCTACAGACTTCGCACTTCTGACAGTGACTCTTTTTTTGTCTGCGAATGCTGTGAGTCTGGAACGAATAACTTTGCAACCATGCTGACATCAACTGCCGCTAGTCGTGTCATCCTCACGCATACTCAGCAGAGAATGGTCCGTGTAGTAGGTACGTCCTTGTCACAGAAAACGTACTCCTCCACATCGGCATGCGCTAGCGCAACGTTCTAGTTGTTCGCCTTGATGGTGTACAGCCGGCACGACATGCAATTGGGGCGAGATGTTACGAACCTATCATGGATCCATCTGCACTTGACAAAATCATAGCCCCTATACAGTAACGCATGAACGTGGTTTGACTGGTAATTTGACCATAGGAGGGATCGTGGGGGTTTATTTCCGGGCGCCCGGGGATAACTTCGTTGCATCACATATAAACGGGGCTTGAAGTTAGTCCACTGGCAGTCCGCATTCCCATCCATTCACGAACGCCTTGATCATCGAAGACGCTTCCTCAGTCAAGGCTATGCCTGGAGCTTGTTGGAGGAGTGAACTCTTCACTGTTGTGCCTCCATCTGTGCCTCGTCCGAGGTCTTTGTTTCATGCAACTGCCTCGGTAAGTCACTTGTGCATCTTTCCGAGTGCTGTGTCACTCACCGAGTTCCGTACCTCGATTACAGCGCTCTCAATTCTGGTGGGAGACAACCGGCGAGGTTCTGTATAGATTACTACAGGAAGGCTCTTACCCGGCGCATCTCCGACATTCGTATGTCGCATTCTACTGGCTCATGGTCATGCCGGAGTACGGGGTGGATCCATTCTCCGGCTCGAGGTCCTCCCTCTTTTCAAGCTCCCAGTACCTCTCGAACACTGCTCTGAAAGACAATCGGCACGTTCGGAAGGCTGGGGGTATCTGCTTTACTTCTACCCCCCTTAGCGATACGGGCACGGCTGCAGATCTTGCCGTCCTCAATGCAAGCAGAGACTACATTTCCTACATCACCGACGACCACTCGCCTGTCGAATTCTCCTGCATGTTCGACGCTCGCGGGAAACCGGTGATACGATTTTCAATCGATCCCATTGCACGGCAGCGGGACCGGTGCGAGCCTGCGATCAAGTTGTTCGAAGACTACGGCGCAAGCCTCGAGCTGTCTGACGCAGATCTTGCTTGGTGCAAGATCTGTGCCAGCGAACTCACAATGACCACCCGAGACGGCCATCCTGGCACTGGATCTACACGACCTCGATATTCCTCGCAATACTTCGTAGGTCTGTTGACGTTGGCTTTAGAAGTAGCAGGACGACTGACCTCGACCGGCGCTGTAGCATTTGAACTTTTAGGAAGTGTCCCTTCCATGAAGGCATACTTCTTGCCAGAGACTGTTGCATCTGTGACTGGCAAGTCGAAGCTCGAGCTCATTACGAAGACCGTCGATCAACTCGCCCTTGACGCCCCCGGTTTGACGACCGCATGGACCAATACGTGTAGCTTCTTCAAGTCCCTTCCTCCCGACCTCACGCCATCTCTCGAGATTGCTGCAGTTGATTGTGTCCCTTCGCACAAAAACAGGTTCAAAATTTACGTACGCACTCCGAAGGTCACTCTCACGAATATCAAGCGTTTCATGACGCTTGGGGGCATACACCAGACGGCCACGGTCGGTCACGCCCTTGAACAGATCACTATGTTCTGGCGAATACTGTTCGGCGACCTACCAGAGGACTCCGAGCCAAATGTGAATGAGGCACGCCTCCGTCATCTGACCGGAGGCTTGCTCTTCTACTTTGAATTGCGAGGAGACTATCCATACCCGCATCCGAAGGTTTATATCCCTGTGCGACATTTGTGCAGAGACGACGCACAAGTGATAGAGGCGATGGTGAGCCTGTATCAAGCGATTGGTAATTCCGAAGCTGCAAGACAATATGGGCGTATTGTACGCGAAAGCTTGTAAGTGCTATAGTCTGCGACATCGCAATGTTCTGACAACGTATTTACGTTTAGCACGCACCGTGCCCTCTCGTCTCGCACTGGATTACACACCTACATTACCATCGCTTCGAAGGCTCGAGACGTAGAGATTACCGCGTACTTCAATCCAGAATGCTTCCGCCGGGGTAGTACAGACATCTGACTCGTGATATTACTTCTAGGCTAGGACCTCCAATCGCCCAGACTCCTTATGCTCTAGTATAGTCGACATACCAGTACTCGTGCATGCATAGCCAAGGCGAGAAGGGCGTTAAGATCGTGTCTCAGCCGATGCACTCGTTACTACAAGTTATACTTAAGTTACGCTATTCTCAGATCTCTGATCGAGATGAGGATCTCACGATGGTGGCACAACACAACGCAAGTCTCGGATCCGTCAGGGTCACTTGCACCGTACGGTCATCACGAACGCTCGTCTCTACCCTCAATACCATCTTCCCACAGCTTAAAACTCGAAAGAAACCCAGAGTATGTCTTGTGTTTTTCAGAAATGAACAACCAGCCAGACTTCATGTCTCTATTTACAGTCATGGCAGCTGCACGCGAGACACCGGGGAACGGCAGCATATCTCTGTCCACTCCCGGCTCACACTGGCATACGGCTCGTAAGCCAATCGAGGACCAACTCCTCTACTACTACGAGCGCATACACGAACTCAACGGTCAGCTGAACGCATTATGCCCCATCCATGCCTTCCCTCCCGAAGTCCTGTCCAAGGTATTGCTGTATTTGGCCGGCCACTACGCAGAATCCCCCCCTCGCTTGCAAGATTGGATCCAAGTTACGCATGTCTGCAGGTACTGGCGCGCCGTCGCGCTCGGCTGCTCCACACTCTGGGCGCGGTTCACGATCACAACGCCGCGCGACCCGGAGTGGATGGCTGTCTTCCTGGAACGGTCGAAACAATTGCCACTTTCCGTGTCAGTATCACCGAGACACAAACCGTACAAGTGGATATCTGGGAAATCTCTTGAGGAACCGCTGTCGCTCGTGTTGTCATATCTGTCGCGCATTCGGACGCTGTACCTCACGTTGGAAACGATGTGCTCCCCGGAGGTCCTGGAGCTTCTCGACGGTCCGGCACCCTTACTCGAGTACCTCGCGATTACGGAGCATCAGAGTATCCCTCGCCGCCGCGCGACAGCTGTTTCCGACCCTCTTAGCCGGCTCTTGCGTCGCCCCGAGACCGCTCGCCTTCGTCACCTAGAGTTACAATGTCCAGTCGATTGGACAGGCCTCTCGCTACAAGGCTTGACACGCCTGCACGTCAAAACCCCGGTCATAGCCACCAGCCTCTCTGCATTCCTCGGCGCCCTCGCGCAGATGCCCGTTCTCGAGGAACTGGTCACCGGCCGCGCTTTCGCACGCGGGCCTCAGGCTGGCGAGGAGGCAGACACTTCCCCTCTTCCTACTCAGGCTGCACTTCGCACTCTACGAACGGTACGAATCGAGGAGTCCGCAGCTATCACTATCTGCATTCTTTGCAGTCTGGACACCCCGTCCCTCTCTCACGTCAGTGTGGATTCAAGTTCCTTCAATTCCGACCCGACGGGAAGTTATGTCGAGCTCGTCGGAGCCACGGCAAAAAAAGTGGGAACCTTGGGCCAATTAACGACCCTCGTGATCGGCACCAACCTGTCAGGGCAGGATGCCACGGGGACGTATGTCAGCGCGTATTGCGATGTCCTCGAGAGCCAATCAATGGACCCGGCCGAGGACAGTACCCAAACGTGGGTCAGCGAGCACTCTCCGGCCCTGGAGTTGTATTGTGGACCTTCCACGATCACTACCCCATTCGCAGTGTTATGCGACCTACTCCCCATGGGCGACGTGCGTTGCATTATACTCCGCGGGACTCTGCCGTCGCACGAATTGTGGACCAACCTTGTCCGGTATGCTCCATTCGCCACGGGAGTTACGCGTATTGGACGTCCGGACCACCTATACACTTCCCCAACTGCTCACCCTTCGCAGCGAGATCGGAGAAGACTCGCGCACCGATCCCGAAGAGCACGGCAACCACTACTACGTACTTCCCAATCTCCGTCGCCTGACCCTGGATGGAGTATACTTTGTGGATCACTCATTCGACAACCCTCTGAGACTTATGAGGGCCATGACTGAGGAAAATATCCCTGATCTCGTCGAGGCTCTGATCGACTGCTTCATGGCTCGACACGACAACGGCGACGATATCGAGACGCTGCGTATCATGGACGCATATAACCTCGAGGTGGAACGGGACATCCGAAAGCTGGAGGGCGTTGTCCGTCGCCTTGAGTGGGACCGTCGTACTACCGAAGATATCGATGCAGGCGATTACTATGACTGGGACCTAGATGCCTTTTGACGAACGGCAGCCTGGAAAGGCTCGGAATGGCCACGATGCAATTTTGGACGTTGTACGAATATTCAAGACATGTATATATTCGCGATGTTGCCATGTACGTGTCGTAACAGTGTGCGCGCTGCTAGGCGCTCAGCGTTGAAGGCACGTGATCTAGAAACCCAGATCGGGGTCAACCATCGGGCAGTGGCCACAGTGGCTGCCAAGAGCGAGTTCAACGTTCAATGGTCGCATCCCGCCGGTCCCTCCTCTGCTACGTCTACAAGGTTGTGCTAATCGCATAGCAGGACTGCATAGTAGTACACTTGCACAAGGTGCGTCTAACCATGACTCAACAGAAGGTTGAACCGCCCTCATGCATACTTACTAATTCTAAGTTTCCAGATACTTGAACGTTGGGCCACGGTGTGCAAGCACTGGCACTGACAGCAGCGACTGACCTGGACGCATGTCAAACGTGGCCATGGCCGGATCGCACACTTGGGCTCGTGAAGACACCGAGCCCGACACCGCGCAACACTTTCAATGCAACTACGACCTCAGGTCCCACCTGAATGCTCTATCTCCCGTCTCTGCGTTTCCTGCAGAGGTCCTCTCTGAGGTTTTTCTGCACGCCGCCGAGTTCTACACGACCGACATAACGAGCTGGCCTTGGATGGACGAATGGATACAAGTGACCCATGTGTGTAGGCGCTGGCGCGCCGTTGCGCTTGGTTGCTCCGCGCTTTGGAGCCGTCTGACCTTAACCGGGCCATGCGATTGGATGTCCGAGTTTATCGCACGGTCGAAGACATATCCGTTGTCCGTTTCTGTGCTACTGCCGCCCCCTCGCACATCATCCTTTGACGACCCGCCGCCGCCGCTGGAGGATTCGCTGGACCTTGCGTTTCCGTGCTTGACGCGTATACGCACGCTGGCGTTGGAGGTCGAACCGGAATCGGAATGCTCCTCAGAGATTATGGAGCTGCTCGATGGGCCAGCTCCTCTGCTCGAGTTCCTCTCGATCTCTGAAGAGCCACGCTTTGACTCGGGGTCTGCCGTCATTGGGCCTCTCAGCGAGCTATTGCGTCGCCCCGAGTCATCTGGCCTTCGCCACCTGGAACTAAACTGTCCGGTCGATTGGACCGGAGTTTCGCTGCCACGGTTGACACTTCTATCCGTCGGCAATTGTAGGGACAAGACAGGCATGGAAGCATTCCTCAACGCGCTCGCTCAGATGCCCCTTCTCGAGGAGTTGATCACACAGTACGCGTTCATTGATTACCGCGGAGAGCCAGCCGCGTCACCCCTGGTCCCTCGGGCCGTGTTGTCCCGTCTGCGAGTGCTACGACTCCGCGAAACTGCAGCAAATTGTACGTGCATTTTGGAGAGTCTGGACACTCCGTCGCTTTCTCGCCTCTGCGTGAATTCGGTGGAACGAGGATCGGCACTGTGGCAGGCGCACCTCTGTGCTGCTGCCGCCTCGAAAATGGATATCCTGGGTCAAATCGGCACCCTCGCGGTCTCTGGCAATCGCGCTAACTTCCCCTACGACATCTTCCTGCGTTGCTACCACGACGTCCCCAACACTCCCGCGACGGACGCGGAAGAGGACAGCACCCATGACTGGCTCAATGACCGCACGCCTTTCCTAGAGTTGAACACCAACCACTGTATTGACCAAGAAGATCTCGCAGCCGCCGCTTTCTGCCAACTATTGTCCATCCAGAGCCTGCGTTGCCTCGTTTTCCATAAGAAGCTACCTTCGCAAACTCTATGGCGTCACCTCATCAAGCACACTCAGTTCGTCGCCGAGCTCCGCGTTTTCGATATCGAGGACGCTCGCGACCTCCCAGCAATGCTCGTAAGACGACGCTGCGGCGATCTTCAAGGCTATGAAGACCACCAATACGCACTGCCTCGTCTTCTCTGCCTAACGCTGGACGAAGTGAGCTTCAGGGGGCCTGTCGAGAACAATCCTTTCTTGACGCTCGTCCGACGACACTACGGCATGGGCACGAAGCACCCTCCGTTCATCAGCACTCTGCTCGACTGTCTCATAGAGAGATACGAGAACGGCGCCGAAATCGAGACACTTCGCCTTCTGGAGCCGCACGATATCAAGGAGAACAGGGATGTAGAAGACCTGAAGCACGTTGTGCGCTACGTTGAGTGGAGTAATAGCTGGACACCATTGACATGGGAACACGATGGATTTGACGGCGAGCTGCCTTCCTCGTGTATATTTAGTACAGCAATCATCCCTTGGTAAGTACAGCCACTCGGCGCGCGTAGATTCGGCAGCAGAGACAGCTGGGGTGCAGCAGTAACAACCTACAAAATGATCCGACTGTCCTTGACTTGCTCGCATGGTGGACGGGCTCATAAGCGAGTGCGCAATTGGATTAAGAGGTAGTACCAGCACTGGTTCTGAACTACGATTATCAAGCAATCTGCTAGAAACGATACACTACGACGCAAGTAGACCGATGATACCTATCGTACATGCAAGAGAAATGAAACACATTAGCAGCTCTAGCACGAATTATCTGACAAATACGTCCTGAACATACACAGACAGGACTCAAGAGAATGCCAGCACGCCTTGTCCACGCTCGGGATCCGTCATACGGTGCACGCGAACAGTGTTCCCAATGACGATGTTGGTCATGTCCTGCGGCGTGATCAACACGTACTGCTTGCTGTCGGACGCGTTCGCAGTGTCAATCTATACGCGACAGTACCATGAGCGCGTCGCACGTTCATGTCAATAGCCATACGCACCATCATCTTCATACTGATTCGGCGATTGACAGCGTCCATGAAGACATCGAATTCATCTACGATCATTGTCAGTGAAATGTACTAATGTACATCGTAAGCGGACATACCAAGGCATCGGATCGGGCAACCGATAGACTCCCAGAGAGACAGAAGGAGACAGATAGTCGAGAAAGACTTCTCTCCCCCGCTCAGAGATCGAGGGTCCTTCTCGCGACTGTTCTGAGTCTGGGTCTGGTCGTCCGTTTGCACCTACACGTCCATTAGCAGTGTAGCAAGCACGCTGACCAATCCACATCACACCAACCTTGAGTTGCAGCGTTCCCAGGACGTGATCGAAGAGAACTTTGCCATAGTACCCACGGTTCGAGAGGTGGTACTGGAAGTAGACCTTGCAGCGCAGAGCAATGTGGCGACGGAAGTGATGCCACTTGTTCAGTCGAAGTGTCATGGACTTCTTGAGCACCTAAGCAAGCACCGTCAGGTCGAAGGCCAGGTCATCATTGTGCACAGGATATATACCTTAATGAGATGATACATCTGCCTGACATCCCGCTTGGCGCTGTCAACCGCGGCCTTCCTCTTGTTCACCTCGATGGTCATCTCTTCGACGGATGCACCTTGCCTGCGAACACTGAGCCCATGTTCATGCGTTACATAGTGCTGACCTCACCTCTTCTCTCGCTCGCGGAGAGCAGCGTGCACAGCGTCTAAGCTCCGCTGCACCTCATCTGCGTTGCGAGGGTTCGGCCACCGCTTGCAGTATTGAAGAGCTTTCTCTGTCCATTGCTGCACGTCATCAGCATGCCTCCTTACTGCATACTCAAAGATTACGCACCTCAAACTCCTTCTGGACGTTCGCCTCGATCTCTTGTGCATTCTTGACATTCTCCTCCTCTTCCTTGAGCTTCTTCTCGTAGTACTGCACCTGATGCTGAGCCGTCAATCGGGAAATAGACAACTCTTCGATTTGTTTCTGCGAATTTACTTGTCAGAAGACTCTCATGACACAGGTGCCAAGCCGCTGACCTGCAGCTTGCTCTTGTCGCCTTCGAACGCGTCAATCTGCGCCTGCAAGGCGTTCATCTTCTCAGTGAGCACGCGCTGCACAGCGTCGATTTCGTTCTTCTGCTGCTGCGCGACCTTGAACTGTTCAATAGTCATCTGCTTCTCCGCCTCCATACCCTGAATAAGAAGGTCAGAGAAGTCCTGAGCGTATACCGCTGAGCGACTCACAGCCTTTGCATCCTCGATCGTAGAAATGGTGATAGACTGCTCTTCGTTACGCTCCATGAGCAGAGTGTCTCGGATGAACTTGAGATTCTTGCTCTTGTCTTGCAACTGGTTCTCGCGATTCTGCACAGAGATCGCTCAGTGACGGGTCACATCACACTGAGATACGAAGCACGCTTACATGTAGGCCCCCAATTTCCTTCTTGAGCCGAGTGTATTCCATCTGAGCTACCTGTAACCTCTCGTTGATACGACGATAATTCTCGTTTGCCTGCTGCAGCGCCTCATCCAGTCGTCTGCAGCACTTGGTCAGTGCACGTCAACGACGGTCCCGAAGACATACTCACCGTTTCTCACCAACAGCGTCCTGGCTTGCGAACAGTTGCTGCCTCGGGTCGCGTCCGTTCATCATCGTGATCGGGTTGGACGAACCACCACCCTCCCTGTTGAGATAGAACAACCCTCAGCACGACACGCAACAGCAAGATGAACCTGCTACGGGACCACTTACGGGAAACGCCGCACATTATAGAGGTCCGCCGACCAGCCGTGTCCACCGCGCCCGGTGCGGAGGAGAATGTCATCAAGCTCGGCACGGCTGCGTGCGACATAGGTACTCTCGATGCCCGCGGAGTTGATAATGACCCGGAGAACATACGGGTCGCTGACCTGAAGTTCCCAAACGTGAGACAGTGTAGTGAGTACGCTATCCACGCGGTACTCACATCGAGCACCCTCAGCACGGTCAAAATGCCCGGAGGAGGCTCGCCGTGGCTGTAGTCAAAGAGATCGACCTCGCTGATGATGATCGAGTTGCGGTTCCTGCGAGGACACCAAGGATCAGCACATGTATACAAACGTTTCAAACGAGCACATACTCGTGCTGCTTCAGCAACTGCCCTAGCTGAGCGCGATCCCGTGAATCCGTGATGGCAAAGGCCGTCATCAGGCCCCCCAGCTGCACACGCATCAACGGCGCCCAGATCGGCTCCTTGACCTTGACATATAAGCCCAGCGGGCCCACCGGCCGGTTTCCGTACCAGTTCGTGCGCTCAATGGCCGCGAGCACCTGGTCCATACGGTTCCCATAAGGCGCGAGCTTGTTCTTCTCCGCATCCTGGTGCTGCTGTAGCGCGCCATTCGCGTTCATTATCTCCCGCTGCGCCTCATCCTTCTGCGCCTTCAGAGTCTTGCCCTCGTTTTCCACGGTCTGCGCCTCCTGCTCGAGTTCCGCCTTTCGTGTGCGGAAGTCGGCCAGCTGCGCCTCCGCCTCGTCATACGCGTTCTGCGCTTCGTCGATCTTGCGGTCCGTCTCCTCGCGTTTCACCTGCGAGCGCGCCTCGATCTTCTCGCGCTCCGCCGCGATTTGCGCATCGTATTCCGCGATGAGTCCCGTGCAACGCGTGACAGTCGCACTCATCTGTTTCTCCTCGTTCTGCAATGACGCGTGAGATGGCGTGAGAACGTGGCACGGCTTCGACGTACTTTCAACTTCAACAGCTTCTGTCTGTTCTCGCGACTCTCCTCCTGCAGGACCTTCTTCTTCTGCTGGATCTCCTCGACGTCACCCATGTTCTCCAGGTCAGCCTCCAACGCTGCAACCTTGTCAGACTCTTCTTCGACCTTGGCCTGCACGAACGCCGTCAGTCACGACGACCCTCTACTCCAGCAATAGGCAGCATACCTGCGCGGCCCTGAGGTCCTCCTGGATCCTGGGAAGTCGCCTCGCCAAGCGTGCGGCCTCCTCCATGCGCTTGCCGAGTTCCTCTTCCTTCGACGCGACGTGCGCCCATGCCAACTCTTGCTTGAGGTCGTCCGCCTTGTGGCGCTGCTCGCGCGCCTTCTGGGCTTCCTCGAAGCGAGACGTCGCCTCCTCGAGTGCCTCCTCGAGGTCGGGCAAGCCCTCCGACTTGCGCTTGACAGTCTTCTGCATGGACTGGATGGCCTCGAGGCAGGTCTGGTACTCCTCGGAAAGCTGGGAGAGCTGCGTGCCCCGCAAAAAGAACTTATACTTGTCCGCGGGCTGCGATGCGCTCAGGAATTGCCGCGCGGCATCTGAGGGTCGTCAGTTCCTACAACGGGCTAAGCTACGGATAGGTGGACACCTACCTTGAGTAAGAATATTCATCGGGTTGTCGACTTGGATGTTCATATGGTCGCAGATGGTGGACAGTTCCTCGCGTTTCGTCGAGACGACTCGGCCATCCTTGCTCTTGATCTTGTACGACGAGGAGCCCTCTTTCGTGAAGCGGCGGGTGATCACGATGCTCTTGCCGTACTCGTTGGGCCGGTAAGCTTCCTCGCCCTGGTTCTTCAGGACGACGGAGACTTCCGAGACTCTGCAAACAATAAGCAAAAGGAGCGCCCGCTGAAAGGAGCTGACTTACTGTTGTCCCTCGCGGATGAACGACTTCAAACCGTTCCCACGGCCAGTCGACGTGGCCTTGCCTCCCAAGGCTACAGTGAGCGCGGACAGAACAGCACTCTTGCCACTCCCGTTGTGGCCTGCGTACAGTGCGTGAATATGAGGGGCATGTGTGGCTGCGAGCTACTCACCGATAATGAAGTTGATTTGCGGGCCAAACGTGAACGTGAGGTACTTGTGACACATGAAGTTGTGCATCTCGAGCGACTCGATGATACCCATCTCCGCGACGCCCTATAATGCGGTATTGAGACACCGCGCATACATGCAAACAGCGCAGTGGCGACTCACGCCCTGGGTCTTGCCCTTGTTCATGATCCTCTCTCGGATGATCTCCTCATTCTCCTCCTCAAACTTCTTCTCCTCATCCTGATCAGGTGCCTCCTGCTCGGGGGTCTCTTCTTCATCAAGGTCGTCTTCGCCTTCTTCCTGGCGCGCCTTCCCCTTGTTCTTCCCGCGTTGGCGTTCTGCTTCGTCCTCTTCGGTACGTGCGCGCTTGGGACTCGGTGGTGAGCCGCGCCCGTCAATTGCAGGCGACGCTGCGCGCCGCTTGATAGCAGGCATGGTGGTGCGAGGTGGTCGTAGTGAGTAAAGGGACGCGCTTTACGCGACGCGACGCGTCGAGCGCCGGTACAAACAGCGGCACACATGGCAGCGAGATGGGCTTGGCACTGTGTCCAAATTAAGCATCTTCGTGAGACGGAAGAGCGGCGTGATTGGTTGCTCGGCGGGCGCGGTGATTGGCTGGTCGGGTGCCGGCATGGCTGCGCTGGCACTGGCGACAATGATATCTGCCTCGTACATACGGATTCATACTCAATTTAAATGCCTCGAGTGCGTCGCGAGCATACGGGGAGTTGCGAGGGTGGTTGGAGGCGCAGGTGGGCTCAAGGGAACGGGTTGCGAGGTGAGACGGCCGGCTTCTGATGTGCGAATCGGAATAGCCGAGCGTTGTGAGAATACAAAGACGTCGGAGGCCGCGCGCGTCCTCTCATCTTGCTCGCCATCCAGCACTGTCGCCCGCCCGCCCGCCTTGGTGTCCCGAGGCATCCGTTCTCTATCCACTCCTTTCGTTTCTTGGCTCCTTCCTTCTGCTCGCGCTCGGGCGGTAGTGTATGGCCCAGCCCGTCATTTACAGCACCCCGCCTCTCGCCGGACGACCGCCCTACGCAACCGACGAGCCCGACTCCGTGTACCAGCAGCAGCCCCAGCAAACCCGCAGAATTAGACAGCCCCCTCCGGAGAACCCGAACGACAGGTCTTCGGCGTACAACATGTAGGTATTTCTAGCCATCGTCCAGCGTCACAGCGCCCCAAAAACCACCCCGTCGCGCCCCAACTCGCCCGCTCCTTGGTGGACTTCGGAGCAGCGAGTATGATACGGAGGCCGTCTCGCTCCGAGTGCACGGTGTCAAATGTCTTGCCAGAGAGCATGGACGTGCGTGCTTTGGTCCGTCTCCCCCTTGACTCCTGGCCGTTGCCGCTGCCGAGCATCGCGACAATGTCGCGGTGCACTCCGTGTCGTGTCTCTTCAGGCGACAGCGGCGCCTCTCGTTGGCGGTCTTCAGCCCGGAACCTTCCAGCTGCACGTTGTGTCTGTCCTTGCATCCTCACCCCAGATCATCTTTGTCTACTGGATATTGTTGGAGGGTCCCGCTCTCTCCCCGGCGCATCAAAAGGCCATGTACGCCTGCGCACCAGTCCTGTTACGCTGCAGCATGGCAATGTTTGCTCTAGACGTTGCGCTCTCTCGACTGGTGGCTGGATTGTCAAACTGTCTGATGTTGGCTGCGCATGCCGTCATCTCTGGGATGCTGTCTTGGACAGATCCGGCGCGTTGCCGGCAGTCTGCCATCCACCACGGCTCTCGGTGGCTGTCGCGACAGCTTGTCCGTAGCCGGGCATTATATACGATGTCGCTCGTTCATTCAGGTTCGGAGACATCCCAGAGCCGGGCTTCATCTCGCTATCTCCGGCTCTCATCATTGACATTGACATTGCACACCCCAACGACGCACGCTGACCGGCTCACAGGTATGATCAGTACTTGAACGGCACCAACGCGCCCAAGGGGACCAACCCCTTCGACGACCCGAAGAGGGTCCTCTCTCCGCCCCGGCAGCCCATCCCCCTCGCTGCGCCCCGACCCGGCTACGCCGCCCCCGTCGCCGCGCTCAACCTCTCGCGTCCTGACGCAGTCGCCTCGCCCGACAGCCGCGTGCGCTCGCCGACCACGCCCGAGATGTCTCAGGCCTTCCCGAAGCCGCTCACACTCGTGGAGCGTCAGTCCTCGCCCGCCTCCCCGCACTTTCCGCACACGCCGCACGAGCTCCAGCCGCCCATGACGCCCATCGCCCCCGCGTTCATCCGCCCGGCGAGCGCGGCGAGCACGCAGCGCGATGTCAAGTTCAACTCGACCACGCCGATTCTTCGCAGCGAGAAGGAGGAGACGTTCCTGCCCCGGCGAGGCCAGGGTGAGGACTTCTGGAGGCGGTTCAGTATTGTCGCGAAGGATGAGACCAAGACGAGGGGCAAGCAGAGGTGCGTACGCATGTTGAGCGGATCAGGACAAGAACTTGACCGCCCCTTTGCAGTGCATGGTTGAGGAAGACAACCTCTGGGATTTCCCGCCACGTCCGTTGGGTATGGGTCGTCGGCATCTCGCTCTTGATCGTAAGCTAGCCAGCCTTCTCGCATCAGACGTCTCGAGCTCACACATCCTCCTAGATCATCGGCTGTGCCGTTGCCTTTGGCGTGTACAAAACGCACCACTCCTCCAGCTCGTCCAACTCCTCCGTCGTCACCGCGATCGGCGGGAGCGCGAACCAGGTCGGGTCGGGCAATACCGTCACCGCCGACGAGAAGTCCGGTGGCTCTGCCTCCGCCCTCCTGGTGACGCCGACAAGGACCGTCGCCCGCCGTTCGGTCGATATTCAGCCCACCAGTGCCCCCGCGATACCAATCACCCCGCCTTCCTTCCCTATCCTCCCTAACGCCGACGCCGACGAGGGTTCGGACATGCCTTCGTACGACAACACGAACGCGAGCGTTGCCGCCCGCCGTGCGCTCTCGCAGCTACATCATCGGCATAAACGAAGCTTCGTCAATCGTAGCTCGTTAGACTGAGGCCGCCATCCGAGGCGCGCCTCCGCTTGGGAGTGGTGCCGTGCCCGATAGGGGCGGCCCGTCTCCCGTCCGCTCGTTAACGCCCCCTTCATGTTCACGTTGGCTGTACATTATGACCGTCGCAGCGTGCCCGGTTGCTCGTGGTCGCTCACCCCGGTTTCCGTCGTCCCCCGCTCTCCCTCGTCCAGCTGCCGCCCTTCACTCATCCTGTGGATACCCTATCAGGTTCGGCTTGCAGGTTGGATGCAGGGCCGCGGACGTCTTTCACTGATCACCTAGTGCTCCCGCCGTTCTCTGGCCCCAGCCGCTGCGACCTTCTGCTTATTCCTATCTTCCTTCCGTATTGTGTGTAACGACCACTTCGTCTTCTCCGCCGTCCACGCTCGCAGACTATCGCCCAGACTCTGACTTGCTCGACACGCCCTGCTCGTTTTCGCCGCTTTACCCATCTACATACATACCTTCCCCGTCTTCCGTTTGTGCTCCGGCTTCGATTGGTCTTGTTTGGCTTGCAAGTTGGCTGAGGATTAACGGTTAAAATACCCGCGACGCACTGATGCCCCCTTTGTGTACCTACTACGTTACAGACAATCCATACGTAGTCCTGAAGCGTTAATTCAGCGTCCGTGTCGCGTCTATGTGTGATGGATTGAGGTATCGCTGCGGAGTGGTGCATGGAAATGAGACAAATATGATAGTATGCAACTTGGTGCGCCCTTCATACAACCCGACAATGATGCACTGCTAACTTTATGCGATCGCTGAACAGAAAGTCCTTCGAACAACTGGGGAAGGTCAGCTCGAAGCTTCAGCGTCAGTCGCGCACGTCCAATATTCTCATCCTCGTCGTCCCACACCACATACTCACCCAACGACGCGGTTTTTCAGTTTCACGTCTCGCGGCGTCCGGTTGTCTTTGAAAAGATACACTATAAATAGCTCCGCGACGCCCTGTGGGGTGAGTACAATGTAATCCTAGAAGCCCGGGTCCGAGTCATAGTCTGAATCCAGTCCTATTTCGTACTTTTCGTTGTATTCCGAAGCCCCATCCCACTCTACAACGCGCACGACTTCCTTCAACAAGTCGATCTCATCCCTTTCTAAGTTAATCGCGCGCAGAATGCGCAGCCGCTCGATCTCCGCGCCATACTCGTACCGTTCTATGAAGCAACTGATGAGTTGTTGAGCGAGCGGTTCCATCCCTCCGAGCTCCCAGTCCGTTTCGCGTTCCATGAAGAAGAAGTCGGACAACGTCAGAAGTCGAAGTCGCGGAAGTGTGTAATGATAGACATGGCCCGAGTTCTTCCCCGCCCTGCGGGGGCCACGGCGTCGATCCCGGAGTGCGTCCGACAGTCCGTCGGAAGCAATGCCACCAATAGCAGTGAGGTGGGTGACATTGATTGTTCGCTGTAGGACTGTTGTCCATAGTTTTGTCGAGAGCGAGGAACCGCTAACGAAGAGCGAGCAGACATCGCTGACGGGAAGCAGCTGGCAGAACTCGGAAAGCGCATCGGCCACCGGGCAACTGAAGCGTACCTCCAACGTCGGATTCTGCAACAGCCTGAGAGAACTCTTGTCAAGGTCTCCTATGTTGACATTACCGTGATCGTTATGGCAAGCCTGAAGGCATGCCCGGCTTGGACGGGTGTCTGCAAATATCTCGGCAGGGCCAGTGGTGATAACGAGGGTGTGGAAAGCCTTCATGGAGAGCGTCTTGATGGCCACTGCAGCGAAGAAGTTGGAAGACGACCCTGGCACGGCACAGTAATCTGTGATCACATGTAGAGTCGAGAGTGAGGGGGTATGCAAAAGGTTCAGGATGTGTATGACATGGACACCAGATCCTTGTATCTCGAGGACGTGCAAGTGGGGGAGGGTAATTGAAGTCCGAAAGAATCTGGGCTCCAAAGCCTCCATCCTGCCCAAGGTCCCAGTCAGCGCTCCGTCGATGATCAGGCTCTCGAGGAGGGTCATGTGGGCAATAGAGCCCATGAGGTCCTCGATGTCCGTATGTGAGCCCGAATTCCACAGAGAACTGGTGAGAGCTAGATGTGTCAAGCTCGGCACCACCATAGTTCGCCACCTAAGAGTAAAGCCGTCCAAGTACAGATGACGAAGGCGACGCGTGTCGGGATGATGTAGGAGTTGGCTGACATGGTTGGACCCTTCATTGGCAGGAGTGTCCGGGCCTTATCCATACCAGCCGTCGATCCTGCTCCGTATGATGATGACGGAGAGCGACTCGAGTTGCGGCGCAGGCCCGTCCAGCAGCTGCAAGACGTACGCCGTATCCGCTGGAACAGCCTTGACCAACAGTGAGCGTATGCGTGCAATCTGGGAGAGGAAGAGGGCGCAGGACGCCTGCAGCCCTTGCAGTGAAGACTTGCCGGACAGCAAGGGTTGGTAGGAGCTTGGGTCTGGACCCCCGGGGGAGATGATCACGTTCAACGGCACCGTTTTGGACCGTGCCAAGAGCTCGACCATCCACTCGTATTGTTTCGTCACCAACAAATCGACCCAGAGGGTCGTGCAACTCAAAGCGACGATGCGCCAGTGCTTGCAAACATGGGTCATGCAAACCCAGCCATACGGGCGCGGCCAGGAAGTTGAAAACCCGGAAACATGGCCAGGAGCACAGTACATGAAAATCCTGCAAAGAATCTCCGTAGAAAGCACAGAGACGTCCGCGAGGGCATTGAGGCGGTTTTGCAGGGCAATGAGGTGGTCGGTGTGAAGAACGATATCAGCCGCTATCGCCTCACGGGTCTGGGGCACGGATAGAATCTGGGATGCGGGGCGACCAATTGCGCTGTCCATGACTCCCGTGGCAGCCCCGATTCGTACCTGATAGTATACCAAAGGCGTAAGGAGCCTGTAAGCTGTAATACCAGATTTCATGCACATGGCACGTACGTAGTAGAATGACGTTGATCAGTGCGCGTGTGGCAGTTCTGGCACGACACGATATCGACTCAACCTGCAGGCTGCAACGGAGTGCGAAGTACTACGCGTTGAAGGCACGGCGCCTGAAGCTTGAAAGCTTGCAGCTTTGAACTAGTCTCCCGCGTAGGCAGCCCACTAATAGGACGACCTTTCTGAGGGGAGGAGGGCGGTCGTCTAGGGTTTTGAACTAACGTTGAACGTTGAACTTCAACCAGCAAGCCTACGGTCCAGTCACCTGACGCCATTCAACCACGATCTCGATCTATCATCTTACGGACTCGATCTTACGGACAGGCCCGGGGCTAAGGTCGGCCGGAAGGCCACAGTTCAAAATCAGTGATACGGCCATGGTACGGCCGCTACCGAGGCTCGATCTGCTTACGTAAGCCACTCTGGCCGAGTGTTGCATGGCCTCGTCTGTGCTCTCCCTTAGATTAGCTCATCCACCATGTACTATGAGACACACAAGAGACATTATTGAGTGCATTATCGGCTTTCCAATGGATTTTGGGTGTTCTGTGGTATGGATTGTCTGTCTCGGCGTGCCGGAACTCCGTAAGCGCCCCAGACTCACGGTCACACCTGCCTAAATTGGACAGGCGGCGGACATCGGTTGCACTTACTTGTGGTATTCGCCGCTGCTGCGCCCGGCAGGGTCCGATATGCCGGTAGCATTAGACGGCTTACCAGTTGCGTGCGATGTGTGACAGAATCCGCCCAGCCCAAGATATGGTCACAAAACACGAGGTATGCGTTCACTCCAGTGGTCAGGCCCAGTCAGGCGATCTCAGGCGATATGGGCCTGTAACTGTCAACGAGCTGGACAAAATTCTGTCTGCATCGGACTCTGTCGATTACTTACCTAGACGGCCGTTAGAATAAAACCGATTGCTGTACTTCATTTGCCATAAGCCGTTCGAGAGATGTTAAGTTAGCGTCGTTATCGCGTTAAGCCATTCGAGATCGGACCCTCCTCTAGCGTCGTTGACTCGTTACATATCATTTATTGTACATAAGTTGCAGTGGCGAGACGCGAGACCGAGAACAAGTCCGCGATCCCGTGACTTATCCACTGTAAGCGGCCATACCCAACGTACGTCCTCCTCCTCCCTGCGTTGACACCAGTTCCCTCGATGACGCCGGACGGCACCACGTCGACCGCCGCGCCAAGCTTTGTCATCGACGTGGCCGCAGCTGTATGCCAGTCGACACCACCCTAGCGCGCCGACAAGCCCTGACACGTCCGACATGCAGAGTCATCTCAGTCATCGTACTCGACCTCGACAAGTCCCGCAAGCCATCAACACCACCAAAGTTCATCAACGCGAACATCCGCATCGGCTTGTACAGCACCCACGGGACGCCACTCACAATTGAACAAGACATCATCGCCATTGTCGACGAGAAACCGCGCCCTCGCAGGCCGGTGTACTTCTCCCCGCAAAGTGCTGCTGACCCTGCTGACTCTGTTTCCCAGTGTCCCTGGCCAATGCCTTCCCGCTGTGAATGCGTGCGCGGGAAGTCTACGGGCGCAAATCCCGTGAGGCCCTGGGCCACCAAACATGCCATGGCACACCAAGCGGAGTATTCGACGGAGCGCAGCCTTGCTGCTGGTGCGAGCCGCTACAGGGGTAAGGGCGGAAACTCGACAACTCGAGGTTGTTGAGGAGGGCTAGGAAGGCAGAGGAAGCCTGAGAGTGAGGCTCGTCAACTTCGGTGAGTACCCCAGTGCCTCTGACCTCAGCCCTCACTACCTCCTCCATCGTCCGCTCTCTCTCGCGTACTACATCGCGTGTACGTCCCTCCCACTGACACGCTTCCGCCGACGCGCTGTCCCCACGCCGATTGGCCCTCGTCTCGCGGTCTCGCGTCCGCATCCCGCGGCTATACACCACCCAGTACATCTCCTCACTTTACCGACGCGTCTGTGTCCCGCCGCTCCGCTCTTCTCCGCGTCCCCCTGGTGTGCATTCCTCTTCATTCAACACCACTGTTCCTTCCGAATGTGTCCGCTCTCTGCCTCCATCTGCGTGATCTTTCCCACTCTCGAACGTGCCGCGTGCTACAGCACACTCGCGCGACCCATGTCTTGACACACCTGCACCCTTCGAATGCAACAGTGCCTCCTCGGAGGGAAGAAAGGACAAGTTAGTATAGCTCCAACTGCACCATCCCCAGCACTGCAAGAAGACCCGCTTGGTGATACTGTTGAGGAGCCGAACGTGCAGCGAGCAGATGGGACGGGGCATGCCATTCACTGTAGTAGTGTTAGTATCGTTCTGGGTGCAGCAACATGTATAATAGGCAGAAAAATCAAATAATATTTGCTAGAGGGCGTACTATGATACAGCAACGGCCAACGGATAACGAGACCGACAGAAATCGCTCCAAACAGATCGGTCCACCACCGATACCGCTGGAGTCCGATTGGTACAGATAAAAAATCTGTAAATTCGGCCATTTTGCGATCTCCAGCGGTACCAGTCTGACTTACAGATCGGTACCGCTGGAGATCGCCTGAGATCGGTCCACTTTGGACTGGGGGTCAGGTACGTACCATACAAGCTTCGCGTGCATACTTATCAGTGGCGATAATTACTGGCCCGGACCTTACTGGCCCTGCTCATAACTGTTGCCTTTGGGGGCCTGCTGGGTGATCCGACGCCGTCGACATGCGCGGGTTCCCGGCAGCGGGCGGGGCAGGACATGATGATGGAGTCACCACGGGTGCGTACTTATACGTCTGTTGTATCGAGTCCGGACCTGTTATCTTACCTCGAGACCCCCCTCGTCCCCCGCTTGAAAGTGCGCCAAGCTCGAAAGAGCAGTCTGAGGAGGGTGCAAAACGACTAAACAGTTACATAAGCCAAACGATGAAGATGAAGAACATTTACCCGGTTGGTGTCTGAGACCTGCCAAATTGGGTGCTGACTAAGAAAGACCCTCTGTACGCTCGTATAGACCCGATATAGGCATATCGGAAAGTTCTTTTCATCCGCAGCGATGTGAGTTATCCAACCATTTTTTGTGAGTCAAGCCAGATAAGTTTCAAAGCATTGCGCCCAATCGCCCCCGTGCGCAATGAAGACGTCGTCCACCGCCAAGTGTGACCGTTACTTACCCGACGGCGCTTACCGAGGTTCCGGCTCTTCCGGCTCAAATTTGAGATATGGACTCCCCACAATGTATTCAAAAGCTACAATTCAACCCGATACAGATCAAGAATAGTCTGTAGCACTCAGTAGAGCATGAATCTAGTGAGGGGAGGCACGAATCGGAACAAGACTTTCGCCAGATTAGCTTACATAAGCAGATCGGGCCTCGGCAACAGCCACCTCAAACGGAAATCGAACTGTGGCCTTCCGGCGTACCATACGGGGCAGCTCGGAGGTGCTCACTTGACTCTCGTCTTGAACTCTCTGATACCGCGGACCTTTCAATGGTAATCGTATTCATGAATGCGAGTACTCAGTGTCTCTCGTGGGTCACCAAACCGGCGGTGCGGTAGTGACGTCTCTCTTCAAAAATCCTGGACTAAAGCCTCGCGCGCGCCGACGTGCTCCGGAAAGTGTGCAGGCAGGTCGCGTATCGAAATCACAATTCGAAGCATCAGCTTCAGTGGGCGAGGCACGTCAGCAAGCTCAGCCATGTTCACCTACTGGCGCAATATGGTCTTGAGGAGCTACGAGGATGATGAGTAAAAGCAGAACAACAGTTGAAGAACGCGGTCCCAGATAAACGACGAGTTGTTCGGTGTGAGTGGTATCGATACTTTGCCGCATACACTAAGACTTTCTTTATGGCCCCGCCTGTCGCACCCGTGCGGCCTGCTGGCTGCCACCCCGTTGATATCAGACACCATGGTAGGAGGCTTCCTGGATTCTCCCCAACCTATTTTGCGACCTGAAAGAACGTCACAGCAACAACAGCACTAGGTCAGTCATGGCAGCCATCATCCGACATGCAGTACCAGTTAGGCGGTCGCTATATGCAACAACATACCGTGACAGCAATACCGACCGGATTGCCGACGCGACATCCCCTCATCGTCTGTTTTACATCGCTTGCGTCGTCATCCTTACCTAAAGATTGTAGCCACGCAGCACACATCAGTAGAAGTCCGATTTTGCTAACGGTTGCTAACGGTTGCTGACGCGCTGACGGATGCTAACGCAAAAGCGTTACAAACCGTCAGCGTGTCACTCAATGCTCACATCTGTCAGTCGTTAGCAAAAGGCGCATTTTGCTAACGGCTTGTGATACGTAGCTACTGACACGCTTACTGCCAGTGAAGTCTCACGGAATTTTCGTGTACCGGGGCTTGCAGGCCCACGAACCATAGCAATGCCATAATCTACATATTTAGCTGTCTACTGAATGCTGGCACTTCAGGCTCGCATTGGAGAGCTTCACCGCCGGTGTTGGCGGTGAACCGCGAGTTTACCTATCGCGGGGTTACATGTGGGGGTTGGCACATCTGCACCCGCCCCCGCCGTTCTCTCGCCCTCCTCCCCATTTGTCCGCTCACGCCCACCCATTCCGACCCTCCCCGCTCACTCCCCCTTGCACCCGCCCGTTCTTGCCGCGTCCCGGCCCTGCCCACCGCTGATGCCATACCCGTCCGTGCCCAGTCCTCCGCGTGCCCTCACCCGTTCTTCCGTCACGCACGCGCGGTCCATTTTAGCGGTTGCGATTGCGTGCTGGGCATTCGCCCGGCGTGCTCGTCGTCGCCATGCATGTCGTCGTCGCCTGCGTGTGCCCGCCCACCTGCGTGTGTTCGTCGGCCACGTTTGCGTGCTGGGCATTCGCCTAGCGTGCTCGCGGTTGGCGTGTACGCTGTCTGCTGGTTGTCCGCCCAGTGTGTGCGCTGACAACTTGTCGGCCATGTTTGCGTAGTAGGCATTCGCCCTCCACGCTCGCAGTCGGCGTGTGTTGCGCGTGCCCCGGACCTGCCCAATGTCGCCGTCGCCGGTCTTTTGCTCACACGCGTGGGGTCCGTTCGTCGGCCGTGCTTGCGTGCTGGGCATTCGCCGAGTGCGCTCGCAGTCAGCGTGTGTGCCGTCGCCCATTGCTTGCCCGTGTTCCGCGCGGGGTATCCGCTTGTTGGTTGCGCTCCGACCATGCTGGGTCTTTGCCCAGTGTACCCGTGGTCGCCGGTGCTCGTGTTGTATCTGTCGGCTACGTTTGCACGTGTGGCATTTGCCCGCGTGCTCGTCATCGCTGTGTACTCGCGTGTTATCGCGCTCGAGACTAGAGGGCAGGGCTTGTACTCACCTGTCCTCGCCCTCAAGCTGTCCCCGTCGCCTTGTGGCGCTTTTGAACACCCTTCTTGCAGGCCGCGGTGGTATTTGCACCAGCGTCGAGGATGGTATGCCTTGCACGACGGGTCTGCACGTGCACATGCTGAGTCTGGAGACCAACAGACACACTAAATAGCACTCACCTCCTATCCTCCTGGCCCACTCATGCTTCTATCACCCCCTTCTCCTCGCCGTGCTTCGTCTGATGTAGTAGCCAAGCAGCTCGGCCGAAGGTTGTACGGGTGAGTTGGCATCGCCTCCCAGGCGACCGCGCGAGGCGGAGGCGGCGCGTGCAGGAAGGGCAGTGTCGCGCGCGGGGTACACTGGGGTGGCGTCGCAGCGTGTCGGTCGAGCTCGAGCTTGGGAGCGTGTGTGTGCTCCACGCGGGCGGCGATCTGGTCGAGGGAGAGCATGCGCGACACGGTGCGCGTGTCGAGGGACAGACTCGGAGAGCTAACGAGAGCGAGGACGTGGCCGCCGGCGCTTCACAAGTTTAGGGCAAGCCACAGTGGCACTTGGGCGTCCTGGTGCAGGTGCTCCTCGATGTCGTGGCATGACACCGCGCATCTAGCAAGCCTCTCCAATTAGCATCACCACCACGTTCTTGCAGCGCGACGTCTGCCCCAGGCGACTGCTGCAAGAAGCTGCTCAACGCAGGCTCCCCACCACCGCCATGCCTCTCCTCGACTCCCGCTCTCCCAGCCTCCAGCACGCGCCCACCCACCTTCTTCGCACCACCCACGGCCTCGCGGAACGCACCCGAGCCTGAGCTACATACGCCCATCTGCACTCTCCGCCGCATCGGCAACCACGGGATGGGCATCTCGTGCCTGTACCCGAACCGGCCGAGCCACACGCAAGACCACTTACGCTCGGTCCTACGGCACTGCACGCTCTTCCCCGTACTCGAGACCGTGCACACGGTTGGCTTCCTCGTCGACACGTGCACGGATCAGCTCACACGCGACGTCTTCATCTGGTGGATGGAGAAGTTCAAGGAGCAGGGGCTTGACATGCAAGACGGCGAGGGCATCGTGTGGCTACACACCGACCCTGCAGACGGCAAGCAGGAGATCGTCGCGCAGGACGAGATCGTTGCGGAGAATCACGCCAGCCTGGTACACAACAGCGATGCAGAGGAGGTAAAGTCCGCGAAGGGCGTGAGCATCGGGCACGCTTGGGAATGAGAAGGGAATTCTAGGTAAGTCAATACCCTGTTTCATTCCACCGCACATCCACGGACGATACCACACATAGCTGCGCAACTCTCCTTCAACTCGACACATGCTATGTACTGAAAACACACGCCTGAAGAACGGCGAGCCCAATCGGGTGTGAAGCGCACGCGCAAGCCGCACCGAGGCTAGAATTGCACCTGCACACGCCACGGTCCTACGAGCCCGGGTAGGACCCGTTGAGAAGGAGGAAGGAGGGGCAGCTCCACTGGTGAGTATCCCACTCGCTCCTTCAAATTTCCCGCCTAAAGTCTTCGGTGAGTCGCTTGATATCCTTTGCTCACCCACTTGCCCACACGGACGCCCGCCCGCAATTGTACATCTGCCCGCTTGGCCCCGTCTTCGTACGCTCGCCCGCATGGTCACTCGCCCACCGGCGGTCAACTCACCCGCAAACCCATCCGTGGACCCACGAACCCGCATGACCCGCACGCAACCCGTGCGGGCCACTGTGGTGGGTCTTTACCCGGGCGGGTGCGTTTATTAGATTTATTAGTAGTACAAGTACACAATGTGTAGCATACGTCGAAAATGAGATCTATTGCCAGAAATATTGAGCACGGAACTGGAGAATGGGAACTGCAGCAGTGATGCTTGCTGATGATTGTGTGAACTGTTATGGCTACGTAACGACTATCTAGCGACGCGATCGCCGCATTTTCCCAACCTTCTAAAATGCGACGGGTCTTGCTAACGAGTGACACGCTGACACTATGTAAAATTGGAATTTTAGCAACCGTTACGGCCCGTCACAGCCCGTAACCGAAATCAGAGAAGTTCTGATGCATCCAAGTTCGCCCGACAAAAATACAAGCTACAGTGCGTGACTCCCATTTTCTTGCTTCGCCGATCAACTAATGTGCATGACTTAGACAAGTCTAGGGGCGCAGGCTCACATAAGCCTTCGAGGGTGACTGTACTGGTTGCTCCGCTATCAAACAGAGCGTGTTGGCCCGGCGAAGTCGCCCTTTCATCCTGCGGAGACCTCGGCCTCATTTGCGCCATGAGGGGTGGAGATTGAATATATCCAGCTCTTGTACGCGGTGAGAGGCTAGATGCCTCATCTAGAGTACGAGCGGGAGCATGAAGCACCTATCCAGCGATACCGGACTCCGTTTCAAACAGTCAAAAAATGCGTTGAGTACTCGCGCTGTAGCTCTCGCTCTCTGAGTGGGTGTGAGTCATACTCAGAAGTGTATGTCATTGAACTGACATGAATACATTCAGAACACGATACTAAATACACGGGCTATTGACCTGCCAATGTCATACATGAGAATGACACCGACGTCACCGTACAGTAGATTGACCTCGGCCCCGACGCCCGCCCCGTCCACGCCCCCGGCCCCGCCCTCGTTTTCTGGCTCCAGGATCCACGGGCTCTAATATTGGCAGGTCCTCGTTACACTCCACCTCGCGCACGACCTCCTTCAACCGATCGAGGTCCTTCATCACCATGTCTCTAGGTTGCAAGATGCGCACCCTTTCGATCTCCGCACCGGCTTCGTAGCGCTCGACGAAACTGTCAACTAGCCTGTCAACGCAACTGGGTCCCTCGCCTGAAGTACCTTCAGAATCCCTGAAACGAAGATTGTCTATTGTGAGGAGCCGCAGGCAAGGGTAGGCGTAATTAAGGATCGGCGCTCTATCCGTGTGGCCCGCGACGTCCTGCTGCAGTAGCATCCACGGAAGGACGCCGTCGTAGACGGAACTGCTCCAGATTCGTATGTATAGCTCCGTGATGTCTGTCGTGTGCTGGCTGATCGCCCGCCACGTTTGCTCCAATTGAAGCGGCAATGGAATACCAATGAGGAACAGGGAGTGTATGTCAAGCCAGATTGGTGTGAGCTGAGGAATCTCCATGAATGCGCCAATGCACTCCAGGCTGAGACGGACATCGAGGATAGGTGTGTGGTGCTTCATCAAGTACGTTTCAGGCTGGTCGACTATGGCACTGTCGATGCTCTCGATGTAGCCGCGGATATGGGCACTGGAGGGCACCGAAGTTGCGGATGACTCGGACTCGATAGCGAGCGAGCGAAGCACGCCTAGGCTGTGCATCTTTGCAGCTACGGCTACAAGAAATCGCAATTGCAGACCTTGGGCTGGTTGTAGACTGATCATGAATGGAATGACTGTCAGTGTCTCGAGGGAGGGGGTGTCCAGAGGCTCCAAGAGAGCCACACAATAAGACATGTGCTCCGTCATCCGCAAGTGCCGGAGATGCGGTAATTTGACGGACTGGGTAGGTGCGCTTGAAACCCAACAGCACGACAGCGCACTTTCAGTCACAAGCTCTTGTAAGTTGGGCATGCGGGCAAGTGCCACAAGTAGGTCTCCCGTGTTGCCAGGTTCTAAGAAGGCAGACATGGCATTATCACTGGCACCGAGAGTCAGGTGCGTCAGCGATGGCAGCGAGACTCCGCGCCAGTCCAACTGGAACTTGTGAAGCTCGAGATGTCGCAGATTTCCGGTTTCTGGATGGTGTATGAGGCGTTCGATGCACTCACGATAGATGGAAGGTAGGAAATTGATTTTAAACCGCATAGTCTGTGATTGAAGTCGAGGAGCGGGTCCATCCAGCCATTTGAGAGAGTCCATGGGCAGGTATTCACGCGTATTGAGCCATAACCTGCGTATCCGTGGCATCTGCGCGAGAACATGACAGAGTGCTGCATTCTGCTTCTCCTGCTTCTCCGCAAAAGCAGTAGTAATGCTGGTGCACAACCCGAGGCCCGGCACCGTAATCATGTAGTCTAGTACTGTCACATCGAGCGACGCCGTCTGAGATCGTTCCAGGAACAAGTCCACTGGCTTTATGGAGCCGTACCACCGCGACGTGATTATGAGGTGGCTCCAGAGAGCGGGGCAGCCGAGCGCAACGGCGCGCCAATGGCTACAGACGTGTGTCACTGTGACCCATTCGTATGGATTACATCTGGGATCCGAGAGAATGGTCCCGGGGGGGCCGTCGCCGTCATACGATCTAGCAACGAGCAAGAAGACCGTACTGAGGACCTCCGGAGGAAGCCTGAAGATGGGTACGAATGTGTTGAGGCTAGCCCTGAGGTCGCTGAGGACCTCGGGAGGAAGCGTGGAAACGGGTACAAAGGTATTGAGGTGAGCCCGGAGGTCGCTGAGGCGGCGAATGTGGTAGGCTATCTCGTCGCAGATCGCCTGGCGGCTTGGGGATTGGTCGCTTGTAGGATCGTCCGGGATCACTTCCCGAACATCCTCTGAAGCATCCATGACGGGCAGTCTGGCAAACGGAGGCCTCAACGTCTACATGAAGTCGACATCAGGGTATTTGCCACCAGTGTAGTCAAAGAGAACGCACATCAATTTGGTGGGTATCGCCTGGGTATCGCTGTAAGGCGTTGTTGCGGTGATTGTGAGCAGGCACGGTGTACGGAGGCGACAATCCTCAGAACAGCGCACCGCTGCAAACGAAGGACGAAGGGCCAAGTGGTGTGATAGACTCGGATGCGAATTCGATGCGTCCACGGTTGGTCCACGGTAGTACACGGTGACAATCCGTCGGCGATACGGTAACGTCATCGTCATCTACTATGCGGCATTTGCCGAGCGAGCGATGCTTTCGTCCGACGTCCCTGAGACAAACGAGTCGACAGCACCGGTACCCTAATGAAGTTCCCTCACTGACCTAGTTACTTCTGGCGCGGCGACTGAACGCAACCACCTGCATCATCGTGGCTGAGTTGACTACAGTATACGCAAGCGACATCGTCAAACCGAAGGTGGCCAGGTCGGACTCGGACGTGACCATAGTTGCGCCGCTGTCCATGAGTACATAATTGCGCCGATTCGTACCTGACATAAGAAGCTTATAAGCTCGCCGAATACCAGAAGTCATGGCACGTACGACTCGGATAACATTGTTTGCGCGTGCAGTTCTGGCAGAGCGCGATTGCACTGGCACCTTGCGGCGGCTGTGACGATAAGTAACGATGAGTCAACAGCTACGGCAAATAGTAAACATCGAGTTCGGATGATGCATATACCGTATCTAGTGCAGGTTGTAGGTCAGACGCGTCTCGTGCGGGCAACAAAATGGGAAGGCTAAGATGAATATCCAGACGTATGCATTAAGGGGGAATCGAACCCCCGGCGGGTCGATGTGCTGCACGTGGCAACGACCCAGGTTACCACTACCCCATTAATGCGTTAGGAATGTGAGCTTGCCCAACGTCAAGAGCCATTTCCACACCGTTTACGTGTAGTCCCATGCCAGTTCACATATCCTCCTCGAAGTCATCGAGCTTGAGAATAACGTATAGCGTGAAGTCTTGCTAAATCACGCGAGACCATTGGAGGTGTGAGATTAACAGGCGCGTGCGACACTCGACGACGCCGGCTGGCAACTCTTGGAACTTGAAGCCTGGTCCTCACTGATCAGTGCGAGAAGCGACAGCGACCATACGTCGATGTGACTGACTGGAAGCCAATGTTGCAATGGGCTTTGACGGGAATGGAAGTTGGAACACATGACGTGCAGCAAGGAATAGAAGTCGAAGAACCTGCTCAATTGTCGGGTCCGTCAAGTTCTGTCAGTCCCCGAAATGAATGCAACCGACGAGAATGCCACGGCGCAGGGACTCACTGGTGGTCGCATTTGGTCGCACTATCGACCCTTGCAGCAACAGGATGGTTATGCGCGTATCAATACAAGATAAAAAGCCCAGACTCAATCTTATGCAAGCCGTGGGGCGGCCGAGGTCGTCGCCTGCGCCGATCTGAAGGTCGGAAGAGCTGCACGATTTACGTGCGGCGGTGCCCGGGTTAGGACTCGTCCTTGTTTGCATCCATCGAGCACGGGTCCGATGTGACGGAGCATTTCACCCATCATCGGTACGTTGAATTGACATTGCATCCGAGTTCGCCATCGGGAGATGCGCGATCGCATGGGTACTGCCCACTACCCAAGCTGCAGCGAGACGGTGATCAGTCCCAGCTCGTTGCAGTGAGACGGGGAAATTGCACATACGAATAACGATGTATACCGGACGGCTCAGGGTCGGTCAATCCTGAAGAAGAACGACTAGCCCGGAGTTCTCTGGCTCGCTACCGAGACGGGACCATCCGGTGTACTACGGCAATCTGGGCCTAGGCAGACTTCGCGAAGGAGGCTCACAATTAATCACCTTGTTCCTCGCGCGCAAATGGCCAAGTTCCGCGCCGCACCCGCCGTCGACTCCTATGCGAGACCAGAGGCTCGACGGTTCCTGTGTTCCTGGCGATATTGGCCGAGCGTGGTGCGGTACGAGTTGGTGCAGCCCGCGGTAGCAGCAGCCCGATGGCAGGGCTTGGCTGGGCTTGGGCAGGGCATGCACTGGCAGAAGACGGGTACAGTTGTACGAAAATAACATGAAGCGAGGCGGTGCTGGCGGAACGGAGAGACAAAATGAAGTGCGGGGAGGCGGAAATGAAGGCACGTGGAGGATCTAGCACAGATCGGAGCGCGGCGAGCACGCGGGAAGCCTGGCTGCACGCTTACTCGTCGTCGTCGCTGTCCGAGTCGTCGTCGTCGCTGGCTGCGACGCTCTCGAGCCCGTTTTCCCGCCGCCCACCCCGCCGTCGACGGCGCTGGTCTCCTTGTCTTCATTGCAGATGTTCTGACCGCCGGCGACACGCCGTGATCATCATCACCCTTGCCTTCTGGCGCCGCGTTCCTCGCTGCCATCCTTGTTTTCCTCCATGTCCCGCCCTACGTCCCCCGCTGTCCCCCGACCGCTCGTTCTCTCCACCCTCGATGAACTGCCAAGTCCCCCTCGCTCCCGGACCTCCTCGCTACCCGCCACAGCCGACCCCTTTACTGCCCACCCGACCGGCTCTGGCTCCTTCGTCACCTACGAGCCAAACCATCCAGGCATGGTAGGCTCCTCGTCGCCACCTCCTGCGTCTATGCCGCTCGCACTGCTACCAAAGCGTGCTCGCGGGAGCCTGCTCATGGCCGCATCTGGCCTCGCATTTGGCCGCACGAGGGGCAAGGGCAAGAAACCGTCGACGCCTGTCCAGCCGTCCTCATTCGTCTTCTCCGAGGTCATTGAGATCTCTGCCCCCCGCAAGGACGAAGACGACGAAGAGCGCGACCGTCTGCGCGACGCGGCCGCACAGTCCATCGGACTCGACCCTGTCCTGCTCTCAGATGAGCGCTCCCTCTCCGAATCGGAGGTTCTAGAGGACACGCGTGCAGGCTCCTCAACGCCCACACCCGCACCGTCTGCTGAGCTCCCTAGCTTTCCGTCGACAAGATCGGCGCTTGCCCCATTTGTGCAGCTTCATGCGCGAATCGCAAAGCACTACCCCTCGCCATCACTTCTTAAGCTCGCACTCGCACGTCAATGGAAGTATCGCATGCTCGTTCTCACCACAGCGGCACAGGGCTCTGCATGTCTGCATGTCTTCAAGACAGGGGTAACAGAAGACCGCGAGTTGGAGCGCCTCCCTGTGGGCGTAGATACGGTCGTGTTCGTCGCGGACGAGGACGTCGGTGGGCGACGTGGCGTAGTACGCGTCGGCCGCCCCGACGGCGCCGGAATCGAGATGGCGCTGCATATAACGGATCCAGCGCAGGCTCACGAGTGGATCACCGCTATCAAGCAGGCTGTCCTCAGCCAAAGGTACGTGCCATTAGCCCTCGCTCAGCCGCCACCATGCTCACTGACGCGCTCTGCAGGTCTGTGCGAGCGGGCCTTGGTCTAATGTCACACAGCCCCGGAGGGGTCGAGCCACGCGGAGATATGGACGTGATGTTAAGCATGCGCGCGCAAGGCATGCTCTCATCCCCTACGTCGTCCACATTCAGCCCCGAGATCTCAAGCGCGCCCGTTACCCAGCGCTCCCCGAGCGCGGCAGGCACGCGCTCGCCCTCGGGCGCTGTGTCCGCACTGCGCGGACTATTTTCGAGCCCCGGCAGCCGTCCGCGGTCACCGTCGACGGCGAGCACGGGGGTGGACAGCGAGGACTCCGAGAGCCAGCACGAGGACTCGTTCGGCCGCGCGGGAACGAGCCTGCTTGGTATGTTCAGGTCGCAGAGCGTAGCGAGCGAGCGCCCGATATCGCCTGTGAACTCGATGGGTGCGGGCGGGGTGTCTGCGTCAGTGCCCTCGACTCCGCGCCAGGTGGATGCACAACTCGCACAGCCGCACGCACATTTGGACCGCAAGATCCTGCAAGACAAGGATCTGGATCTGATCGAGTCTAAGCCGCACAGCGGTGGTTCGGACGTGAGCGCGCTGCTGCGCGGACGATCCCCGCTTTCGATGGCAACCCTCCGTGCTATACCCGCCCCCGCAACGACGCCTCCGCCGCTTCAGCCGCCACCACGACGACGCGGGTACACTATCGGTAGCACCCCTATGGGCGCGCGACCTAGGCCCGAGACCGTAGCGGGGAACGCATATACGCATGCGAACAGAAGCACGGCGGAGAGCTTCGGGCTGCGTGCGGCAGGCATGGGCATGCTATTCGCTCCGCACCCGCCGCCTGCACCGAGCTTGCGTCCGGGCAGCTCCGGAGAGGGCAAACCACGGACGTCGCTTTCGTCGGTCTCCTCATACGCGTCATATGCGTCCAACGAACGACGCGCATCGTCGGAAGCGGGCCACTCGAATGGGCATGCAAACGGGAACGCCAACGGCTCGGTCAATACGAAACGGTGGTCCCGGCAGAGCATACTACCGCACCGACTCACGCCTCCAGAGGGTGCGCTACCTGCGCCGCCGGTGCCTGCCTCTACGCACGGTTCACCCAGGTCAATATCGTCTCTCCCTCGACATCCGTACGCCGCTGAGGCTTCTCCACAAAGCGTCAGCAGCGATAGCCCTCAGAGTTTCGTCTTCAACCTTCGCGAGACCTCACGGCGAGATACGTCCCCGCTGAGCAGCGGTAGCCCGCAGAGCTTCGTGCTGAACTTGCGCGAATTCTCGCGGCGCGCGTCGGGCTCGTCTGCGCGGAGTACCAGCAGTGTGAGCACGTCGCATTCGCGTGGAACAACTAGTAACGGGAGCTTCCTTGGTCATGGCCAGGGTCACCGCCCACACTCGTCGCACCGCGCATCGATGCCCCCGCCCCAGCGTCCCGCGCCGCTCACAGCACTACCGCCTACCCCCGCAACCGTCGATCCGGATTCGCCGCCGAAGTCGCCGAACTCCGCGTCATCGTACAAGACGACGTTCCGCGAGTCGCTTGCCCTACGCCGCCTGTCTCTGTCGCCTCCCAGCGTGCCGCCCTCGTCGAGCTTGCCGCCGCGCCCTGACGATCCACCACCCTACCGCAGTAACGGCCACCGTCGGACTTTGAGCAGTGGCGGTCCGCTCACACCCATTCCTGCGTCTCCCGGAACAGGCGCGTCAGATTCAGGGGTGGCTTCTCCGTTTCCTCCGCCGAGTTCTCCCCTTCCTCCAACGCCGGAGGCGCATTCAACCTCTTTTGCCCCAGCACAGTCTACTACACCCACGCAGTCGCAGCCGAATCCCCAACCACCGTCCCGTGCAGCCGCCTTCAAGCAGCGCATACGCATGCTCAGCACCCCCTCGCAGACCCTCTCGCTCCCCCTCAACATCCCGCCGCTGTCGCCTACCCCGTCCACCGTCAGCCCGTACTCCGTACCCAACACACCCATCGGCGAGCCGATTGCGTCACCTCTTCTTCAAAATGACCCCGACTTTGTCAACTCCGCAGCGATGCCACCGACTCCCCAACCGCCTCCCCGGAGCGCCTTCTTGCCTCATGTCTTCGCCAACGCGGTGGACGAGCACGAGCACGGCGTCACATCGCTGTCGCCCCCTCCGCGGCGAGGCTCGCGTAGGATATCGCGGTATCCGGATGACGAGAGCGACGATTCCTCGGAAAAGGGTAAACAGAGGCCCTCGACGGCCGACGCCGCGGGCGACGTTGGCCATAGACAGGGTTCCCTTTCACTCTCATCCCGAACGTCAGCCATTTCTTTAATCAACTTGCACTCTACGTAGATATCTATCACGATTACCCCCTTTTGTATGATCTTGGTCGGTTCAGTTCGTGCTCTTTGCAGTCATTTGCTTGCTGTTTTTTCTTCTCTGGGATCGCGGCACACATGTATAGTAGTATCATTGAGATTACAGCTGTCATTATTCCTTCGTACCAATACAATCATAATCAGAGCAATGCGACAGTAGGAATACAGCGACGAGTCAACAAGAAGGGTCCACTAGATCACGCAAGCGCATTCTCTATGTCAGCACTATCATCTCCCGTCTCCATGTTGGCGAACGACAAGAATGCGGCCGGGCGGTGCTCCTCGGCCCAGAACAGCAGTGGCGTGTCGAGCGTCGTTGAGTAGTGCATCGACGGCGACCAGAGCTGCGTCAATCCGATACCGTAGTTCCACACGCGACCTTCAGGCACGAGCGTCATTCCCAATATACGGTCTGAGAGCAAAAGCTGCACTCGTTCAGACATGTTCGGGTTGAAGCCCTGTTATACAATGCGTCAGTACAAATCGATTACAGGGTTCGTAGACGACAATTTACCTGTGGATTGGGTGACGTATCGGTGTTCTTCCGACCCCACTCGAAGCCAGCAATGGAGAGTGAATGCGCAGACAGCGATACCGAACCCGGCGTGAACGCGCACGTCAAGCATATTGACGACGAGCCCCATTCTGGATGCTCAGCTACTAGCTTAGCCTGGGTGGTGACGTCCGTGGGAGAGAGGTGCGGCAGCTCGAGAGCCTGTGTCTTGATCCAACCAAGCGGCTCGAGGTCCTTGAGCAAGAAGTCGTCCTTCGGTAACTGCGACGGCAACTCAACACTGTTGTTGTTTCCGCGCTGCGGGACCCATGCCACGGCTTTGACCTCCTTGACTTGCTTGTTGTCTGGCGGGGAGACGCCGTACAAGAAGGCGGCAACCTGAGTGCGCAGGTCGGAAGCAGTGATAAAGGCGCGAAGGATGTTCTTCGGCAGAACGTACGTGTACGAGCTGGCGTCGTCACGGACATCGTCGTTGGAGACGTAGATGTGCTGAAGGCGGAGCGGTAGGTGCGTAGCAGAGATTGCGCGTACACGCCAGTCGGATTTGCTACTGAACACCTGTTGCTCGTAGTTCGTCGTGGTCACGGTCTGGATGGCATCACCGTGGATGTTGGTCGTCTGCGTTTGTACAGCCGTGACTTGGCTCTGTGCCTCGGAGCTCTTCTCGAGTTCCGCCATTTGCTGCCGCTGTACTGACGGTGCAGCGATCTCCTGACCCAGAATAATGTCACGGATCTCGCTGGCCGTGAGGGAAGCGATGTTCACGCTGTTCCGCTTGCCGAAGTCGGCCAGGATGAGATCCTTGAGGGCGACCTCAACCTTGATCCACTCTTCATCGCCGAGAGATGGCCACACGAAGTGCGGTTCCGTGATGGTGTTTTTGTCGGGTCGAAGAATGATCTTCGCCTTCTCGTTGTTGACATGCAGGCCACGAAGTAGAAGGATGAGGCGGGAGAAAGCCGTATAGCTCGAGATCGACTTCAGCCAGTCATCGTATAGGTTGAAAAGCACCATCTGAGGCTGCGTCGCCCGCAGAATGAGATCACCAAACTTCTCCATCTTCATGCAGGCCTGGAACGGCAGCTGCAGCTCTGAACCCTTGATGACGATGTTCGGGAAGTCGAGCAAATGAACCTCAAGAGGATCCAACATGCCCTTACGGGTCACGATGACCTGCTTAGGCTGCTCCTCTACGGGCAACGAACGGACAAGGGCTGCAACTTCTTCGGCCGTCTTCCACTTCGCCAGCTGGCCGAGACGCTTCTGACCTGCCCAGACACTCGTGTGAATGATTTTGAGGAAGAGCTGGCCAGAACGAGGGTTGAAGATGAAGATGGCGCCGTCTAAAAATATGGGTTAGTAAGTAATCTCCCAACGTCACGGACGACTTACTGATTGGCTTGGTCGTCAAGTTACCCTCGAACGTCTTGTGGATTGTCACACGGTACACGTTCGTATCGTCAACGAACCCTGGACGAAGTGTCAGATGCCGTCATCATATGCGTTACAAAGATGATACTTACAGATGATCTGGTTTGAGAAGAGCTCGGAGTAGTTCTGGCTGTTGAGGTACGGCTCGGTGGGCTCTGACGAGTAAAGCTGCAGACCCTTGCGGATACGCTCGCGCAAGACGTGGCAAGCAGGGTTGGCCTTCATGATCTTCGCCATTGCCTGCTGGATAAGCGGCTTCATACCCGGGAACCAGTTACCGTACGCAGACCAGAGGTTGTAGGCGAGGTCCATGCCGATCATGACACCGGTTGGCGAAGGATAGATGCTCATGGAGTCCGAGATGTAGTCCAGGAACTTCGCACGTGTGTACCGTTCGATGTCGTGCGTATCGAAGTCTCCCCAACGGAGCTGGACATCGATCCAGTACTTGTTGCTGGTCGTGCCATCGAGAACGTCTTTGCTGTCGGTTACAAGCGAGGGTCGGGAGATGTTCCACTTGTACGCGGAGAAGAGGAGGATGTCGGCGCAAGACGAGTTCATCTTGTAACTCTTACGTGGGTGGATGGTCTCCTTCTGGACGGTCTCGATCTGCAACGGCTCGAGCTCCTGGTCGAACACCTGGCACAAGTCCATGACGACACTTTCGTGGATCTTCTGCCAAAGATGGGCACGGAAGATTTGGATCAAGCTGATCTTGAGCGTGGGGATCTTGCCGTGCATGAAGATGCCAGTCAGGTCGAGCTGAACCTGGAAGCCGACGTAGACGTTGGCACGGTTGATGGTAGGACTCCACCAGAGAGTGAACCGACGGTTGGGAATCTGGTTAAGACCTGATCGCTGCGCGTTCGTGAGCTTCTTGTAACGCATCGACTCTTCAAATCCGGACGCTTTCTCCCAGAACAGACCCTCCCACGTCGGGAAGTAGGTACCCTTGAAGAGCGTGTGCTCGAGAATACCTTCAACACCTCCCAAGGCGGCGATGACGTCCACACGGTAGTTGTTGAGCTGCCACAGCTTGCCATCGTGGCGCTGAGACGTCCACCAGAAAGGGTTGTGCTTGAGCAGCTGATACTGCTTCCAGTCGGTGCGTACACGCCAACCGCGGTCGTAGGCGAGCGTATGCCTGTCCTTCTGGAACAGTGTGTTGATACGCGGGATACCGCGATCCCAGCTGTCCTCAAGATCCTCGAGGGTGAGACGGCGGTTCTGAGCGTTCGCCTCTTTCCGCTTCATCGAGTACTCCGACCATACGCGAGCCGAATCCAGGAACTCCGCCTCCCAAGGCTGGAGGTACCGGTAGAGGTTCGGAATCAGCTGGTCCTCCTCGTGGGACATACCGGCACGGAAGTGAGTGACCCCAACGTCTGTTTGCTTCGACCACCGGAGATCGCTCTGGGGAATGAGAACGTGGCCCATCGACAGCATGCCGAGACCACCCAATTCCTTCGGTGTGTAGAAGACGACCGGCGGGAAACGCGACGGCATCTTGGAGTTCAAGCCAATCTTGACACGCGTTTGAATCTTGTTCTCGGCCTTGACGAGAGCGTCTAGCAACTCGTTTGTATGGATGACAGCTTCACGGTAGTATGTCATCAAACCGATGAGCGCGGTGTTCCACTTGTTGACGATCTTGGAGAATGTCGTCGATCCCGAGCTCATCAGGACCTGACGAATTCGGTTGTTGAATTGCTGGACACCTGTCATACACCGACATCAATGAGAAACCAAAGACAAAGCGACGATGATAACGAACCGTCATCAGACACGCGCAAGAAGGCCTGAGCAGTGCGCTCCTTCGTCTGCTCGTTGGTGAGGTTCCAAACGGCATCCTTCAGCGAGAACTGTTCACCACCCATCGTCCGTATCTTGGGCAGGATGCGAACTTCGAACCCACACATGGAGAAGAGGAGCTGCGGGTTGTTCTTCGAGTACACGCTGACGAATGTGTCTTCCCACTCGATCGTAGTGAGGGACCGAGGCAAACTCTGCTTGACGTTCCAGAACACGGCTCTGCCAAGGTTGACGTCGTGCTTGATGAGACGCATACGACAGTCCCGAGGCCAACACCTCTTGTTGTTGTACCCGATGACGTTGTTGTTCGTTGGGTCAGGGTTAGCACTGAGGTATCGCTGGATCAGGTCTCGGGACTCCTCCGCAGTGAAGCGGAAGAGGATGTGGATGCGGTCGACGTAACGCGAGTACAGACGGATAGGGTGGCGCGTCTCGGTTGCAGAATCACGGTATTGCAAGAAGTTGTTAGGCATCTGCGGCGGCCCAGCCATCTCACTCGCGCGCTGGAGACCGAGGATGAGCAGGTCGAGAACCAGACCGTAGTACTGGAAGACGAAGGCAGAGAACTGGAGGCCACGGATCAGACCATAGGCGTTCGTATGCGCCATATCTGCGATACAAAATCAGCAACCATGAGACCGTGACATATGCTCGAATGTCTCACCTTTGTACGTCAAGACGGTGTTGTTCTTCGCCGTGATGTAGTCCGCCAAGTTGTGATCCAAGATAAGACGTAGCAACCGATTGAGCAGCGTCAAGTCGATCTTCTCGTACACCTTCGACAGGACCGTCTCCATGAGTACGTTGCACTCGCCCTCGCTCGTCTCCCAGACGTCGGTCAAGTTGTTGATGCCCTGACACCACTTGTAGACAAGAAGCGGAGGTGGCTCAGTGTCGGCGGGCTTGATCCAGGCAGGGAACAGACCGCGCTTGTCAGCCTCGAAGAACAAGAACTGGTCAAGGTAGGCATCCGTGATCTTCTCGACCGGCTCAATGTCGTAGCAGGGGATGAGCTTGTCATACGTGTCGAAGAACTCGATACCTGACTCCTTGAACGCGCGCTGGGTGAGCAGCAAACGCTTGATGCGCGACAAACATTCATGCGGGTTGTCGTACGCCTGCTCAATGAGCGCCAGCTCCTCGCGCTGCGACTGGTTGAGACGACCCTTGACGGAGTACGCCTCCTTGAGCTTTTCCAGCGCAAGCACCAACAGCTTGGTGTCGTGCTTGTAGTTCAGCGGTGGGAAGGGGATGGGCGAGAACTTCCTGCTTTCGAGCCAGTGCACAGTGGCCGTGTAGATCCCGACGGCTTCCTCGGCGCTGATGTACGGACCATCCTTGAGGTACCCGTGCTGCCTCTCCTGCTCAGCCTTGAGGTACAGCCGAGTGAGACGTCCAAGGTTCTTCTTCACAACTGCCTTGTCAACGGTCGCACCACGCCGGATACGCTCGCGGTTGTAGTGCGCGACAGACGTCCACCAATCAGCCTTGCTCTTGATGTAACGGAGAATGATGTTCTCGATGGCAGTCGGCATTCCGGGAACCTTCCAAGGAACTGCAATCATGGTCAGTCGCTCGTCACGTAACACGTAGCAAGACACTTACTGTTCGCCTTCCAGCAACGCCACGCCTCAGACAGGTGCTGCAGAATCGTCTTTGCCTTGTTCTGCTTGATCGACTCGGGCATCATGTCCAGGATGTCGTGCATGACCGCGGCGCGCAGCTCGAGGTCGTAATGCGACTCGACACGCTGCTTCGTGACCGTCTTCGCAATACCCTTGCTGTTACGACCCTCGAACTGACGTGCGAGCAGGTTACCGAGCCAACGCTCAAGCAGGGGAACGATCCCGCGCATAAAGAACAGCCAGACACGCCAACCTGGGGCCCAGAAGCCGACACCAGGTCCTTTGCCTACGGGACCGGTGTTGAAGCGGTAGTAGATCAAATGCTTGAGGTCCTTCGTCATCCGCACCTGTCGCATTAACTACGAGGAGGAAGGGATTAGCGTGAAATCGACTGGATGCGACAAAGCGACCAACCTTGTACTTGTACCGGTACATACCAGTGAGGGCACCGATATGCGCGAAGATGTACTGCAGTGCGTCGGCTAGCTGGAACGCATCGACGTTGCCGAGACGGAACTGAACATGCGCGTCGACAACCAACTTCGTGAGACGGAGAATCTCGCGGCACAGGTGGAAGGCATTTCCGAATCGCGACTTCTTACGCTCCTTCGTCGTCAGCGTCTTCACTGGCTTCAAGTTCATGTTGTAGTCGAGGTGCAGGTAGTTCAAGTTCTGTGAACGCGAACGTCAATTACCACGTTGAGCATCGACTGATCTTCCGAGGACAACATACCTTCCGGTGGATGAGTAGATTCAGCATATTGTAGCCTTGCCTGCAGACCTGCAGACCGGCCTCAACCCAATCCAACCGCGTGGTCTGGAAGAACTTCGTGGCCTTCAGCTGCCTGAACAAGTTCTTCTTCGACATGGGTTTCTCCGGGCGCGTCTTCAGCTCGTTGAGAACGAAGCACTTGAGGAGCTTCTGGTACGATACGCGAACTTTCACTGGCTGGTTCGGCGGGCAGTGCTCGAGGTACCAATTCTTCACGAGCGGGATATCCTGCGCACGGCGCATACGCCCTGAGCGGCGGTTGTACGGGTCAGGCGCCCACCACAACGCGATAGCGTCCGCAGTCAGATCACTCTCCAGGGGCTTGTCCTCGAGGAAGGGCTCAACCTCATCGGGGAGCTCAAAGTCGTCGTCATCAGCGTCGTTAGGTCCAAAGACCATGTCCTCATGAGATACGAGTGGCACATTCTTCGGAGTGAAGCCGCGCAGCGAAATAGGGTTGATGAGAGGATCGAAGTAGAAAGCGGGTAGGTCGGGGTCATCTGTGCGAATGTAGACGTTCTTCGGGGTGTGGTAAGGGGATATACGGACGGACCGGGGAAGTGAGTTGTACAGGTGTGGGAACGCGACCTTGTACTCCGTCCGGATCTGCTGCCGGATGATGACCTTGTTGATGTCGTTGAACTCGTTCCAGTCCTCGTCGAACGTATCCATATCTCTGTACAACGGCTCGAACTTGGGGCCTCCGGGAATCGCCATATTGAGCGCCTTCGCAGTGAAGAACGACTTCTTGTCGAAGAGGTAGGAGGAGTTGCTATCTGTGTGGTCCGACAGCAGCGTCCGACCCAGCCGATACAGATTGGCCATGACAGGTAGCGTTAGGTTCCAATACCTGTACGACGACCCGTTGACGTGCGGGGTATCGACCAGCGGCTTCGGGTCGTAGAACCAGTCGTAGATCGCGGAGTCCTCCCCCTCGTCGAGTTCCAACTGAATGGCCTCGAGAGGCTCCACGTCCAGGACGTTGTCGCCATAGTCAAGAGGCGGCTCTTCGTCGTCGAACGGCGGGAACCGCATGCGCTTGAAGTGCCGACGATCACGCTTCTCCCTCCGCATAGCCAGCCACATGCTACTCCATTGCGCATGGTACACGGGCTCGATGACCCTAGGGATCTCGTTGACGAACGTGATAGCACCAGTGATGTGGTAGAGCACCGGAACCTCGCGCACTTGCTCCCAGGGGTAAGGGATGTTTTCGAGCAGCTTCATCACGGCATGCGGAACGTACTTCAGTGCGCCGAGGTGGACGCGCTTGTCGTTCCTGAACTTGCGGTTGCTCATGTCGCCGTGGTCCTTGATGATTTTACGGACATGCTCAGGCGGCAAATCCTTGTGGTTCAAGTCAGCACAAGCTCATCAGGGCCAGAAAGGCGCGTAGACGTACCTGCTTTCCCATGTCAACATAACCCCCTTTCCGCTTTTCCCCATATCTCTTCTTCTGCATCTGAATCCACTTCTGGGACTTTTGCGCGAGCATTTCAGGAGGCATCCTCGAGCTCGACGGTTGGTTGAAGCCCGATGGGGTCGGCATTCCGGGAGGTGGAGGAGGCATCCCAGGCATCCCAGGTGGGGGCGGCATACCGCCCATGCCAGGAGGGTAGGACATCCCTGGAGGGTAGCTCATCGTGGTCGTTGGTAGAGAAGCGCTTGCAAACAGCCCTTCCTCAAGGCGCGTGCGGCGTGAGCGCCCGAACGATTGGATCTCCCAACATTTGAATCTCCGAAGTGGGGCGGAGTTACACTTCCCCGATCACTGTGGCGGGAACTCCTGCAGTAAGTTAAGTTCTACAGTGGAAGTTGCGCACTGACTCGGAGCGCCTCCTGGTCGTCATTATTGTGTAGGCCCAGCTTCCACTGAGTGGTCATGCAGCTATTACAATTCATTGCGTCAAATGCCTCAGTCGCAGTGAACTTTCGGCAGTGAGAATACATGCTGTTCTCCTTTTGTTTCACCGTAATGCAATAGATGTGAACTGGTGATACAAATCCGACCACGACAATCATGCAAGTGATGTGTCCAGACTTGAACAGCGGACTCGGACGCAAGATCGGCACAGGCGAGGCCTATACTACCGGTGTAATGCGCTCATCACCATTTCGGTTTCCGTAGGGCTTTCTTTTTGGCCAAAGTACCCCGACCTTTGGCTGAGCGTACGCTCTGCAGTTCCTTAAACTTCTTTTTCGCGTAGCTCTTGGCCTCTGCATCGTCCACCAGCTCGTCCACCAGGGTTCGCTTCCTCTCGGCCCTGCTGAGGTTCTCTGCATTTGGGCCTCCAAACGGCGATGGCGATGCAACAATAGTGCCCATCTACGCGTGTGTTAGCTGGCATGTGAAATGCCAAGGGGTACAGAAACATACCGCGAAATGCTTCGGCAAGCCCTTGATACCCTTCCCTTCTCCCTCGTCTTTCTTGTAGAACCGTTTCGGGTCCAGCTGATTGCGCAAGCGCAGCGCCTCGTATTCTCGGTACAGTCTCGGGAGATCTGCCTCTGCAGGTGCGGGGAGGTCGAACCAGTCCGGCCCTGCAGTTTTGTTTTTCAGCTGTGCTGTGTCAGTGACATCGTCTTGGGGCGGATGGACGGCAGCACATACCGCCTTTGTTTCCTTCTTCGTCAACGGCCTGCCAGACTTCGTAGGTTCTGGTAGATATGGTGGTGATGCAGGCACGACACGAGAAGAGCTTGCCTGCTCTGCTTGTTCGATGTCCAGGTCGCGGACCCGTGAGGGACCTGCTTGCTTCGAGTCGGCGAGGTCAAAGTAGGGTTTGGGGAGTTTGCCTGGATCGAGTGGAGGGAGTGGTCTGGCGATCGGATGTCAGACAGGGATACGAGCAGCCAGAGCGAACTCACTTTTGGGTGTCCTCATCACCAGTGTCAAGCCGTATCTCCTCTTCGTCTGCTACGGCGGACTGACTGCCCCTTTCCCGGTCTTGTGCTTTCAGCGCCGCATTTCTCCTGGCTTTCTCGAGGAGAGAGTCGAGAAACTCTTGGCCAACCTCCTCTTCTGAATCCGAGTCGCTGTCTGAGGTATCCGAGCTACTCGCTGAGCTTTCCGAGTGCGAGTCCGAGCTCAGATCCGAGGTACTCCCAGTCTGTGATTGAGATTCTGCGACGTTGGCAACCCCTCGCTGGACGGATTTGCCTTTGGACTTTGGAGAAAGGGGAGCTGTAACAGCGGTCATGTTGAGTGAGAGGAGGTGAGAGGTCAGGACAACCAGCTCGCGGAGCACCAGGTATTCGATCGGGAAGAAAGTCGACTCCGTGAGTATCGGGGGTCTCGTGCTCGACGCGTCTTCGCGTCCAGGACTCGGAGTGCCCCCGAAGTGCCCCAGCCACTGCATCCTTGACCATGTTCGCCAGCAACATCGCTCGGCGGGCATGTCGCACCAATCGTCCTTTCCGACACTGTCGATTCAACCATAATCAACCGACTCCAAATCAGAACCAGGAGTCAAGCCGGGCAACTCATTTTGGGTTCCAAACCGTACCGGAGGAGCAAAAGGAGTCCCTCGTCAAGAATGTGTTCGACTCCGTTGCATCCTCGTACGACCTCATGAACGACGCCATGTCGCTCGGGATACACAGGCTCTGGAAAGACGAGCTTGTGAGCTTGCTGAAGCCAGGAGCAAGGGGACCGCAGAAATGCATTGACGTCGCCGGTGGCACGGGTGACATCGCGTTGCGCATACTGGACCATGCCAGGGAACGTTATGCGGACAGAGAAACGGCCGTGGACGTCGTGGACATCAACGGAGAGATGCTCAGGGAAGGTTTCAAGAGGTTCAAAAAGACCATGTATCACAACAGTATGTGTTCGATGATTAGCTGCTGAACATGTCCTGACGACCATTATAGCCCCTCAAATCGCTTTCCAGGAGGCTAATGCGCAAGCACTCCCTACGGAACGGTTTCCTGACAACACGTACGACCTCTACACCATTGCATTTGGTATCCGGAACTGCACTTCGATTCCCGATGTACTGAAGGAGGCGCACCGAGTCCTGAAGCCGGGCGGTACCTTCGCATGCCTAGAATTCAGCAGAGTGAACAACCCGCTGCTCAGCACGTAAGTCTCTCCGTTATGTGCTTGTCCGTGGCCATGATGTTGACATGCGTGTTCCGCAAGCGTATACGACCAATACTCGTTTTCCATCATCCCTCTGCTGGGTACCATCCTGGCGGGCGACCGTGCATCCTACCAATATCTAGTCGAGTCCATTCGGAATTTCCCTCCGCAGCCAGAATTTGCGCAGATGATCGTCGACGCTGGATTTACCACTGGAGGCATGTTCGAGGGCAAAGGCGGCGCGTGGCGTGACCTGACCTTTGGCGTTGCTGCGATACATACAGGTGTCAAGGTCTGAGTGTAGACAGCCTATATATGATATTACCACCTCTTGTTGCTTCGTGCACACGACCACCCACTGCACTGTACTTGGCGGTGCAACTTGAAGGACAAAGCGGGTGAGGCGAAGTGACTGTGACGTGCGTGACCTATTACAAGGCAGAAGCACGCCCCGCCTCGCGCTGAGTACGCGCTCACCTCGTTTGTCGTGAACCGCATCCTCCTCCAGGTCCTCCTCTGCCTATCTCCCACATACATTGTTCCTCCGTCTATCTGGTACAGCATACTAGCCGTCTGCGATGGCCAACAACGCCAATGCGTACCCGATGCCACCGCAGAACGCGGATCTGGCGACGACATGGGCGTACCTAGAGGAGGGCGTCGACCACATCATGACCAAGCTGCAGACGGGGGTGTCGTACTCCAAGTACATGAGCCTATACACCGTCTCGTACAACTACTGTACTTCCTCCAAGATGCATGGAACGGGCGAGCAGGGTCTCGGGCACCGAAGTGAGTCCCGCCGGTCTCAATATCCGAGTACATGTTGATGACCCCCAGCCGGAGCCAATCTGATGGGTTCCGATCTATACAACAACCTCATTCGCTACTTCACCACACATCTAGGAGACCTCAAGAACGTACGTGCCGCATTGCCTCCTTTAAGACCGCGTATTCACGCCTCGTCGACTTAGCACTCTGACTCGCTTCAAGACGAAGCACTCTTGCGGTACTACGCCCAAGAGTGGGACCGATATACGACAGGTGCCAACTACATCAACCGTCTCTTCACGTATCTCAACCGTCATTGGGTCAAACGTGAACGGGACGAGGGGAGGAAGGGTGTATACCCCGTCTACACAGTGCGTCTTGTGCCACCCACCGAGTCTGACCCATCTTCACACTTACACCACACCCTTTCCAGCTAGCTCTCGTTCAATGGAAGCAGAACTTCTTCCTCCACATCCAGAGCAAGGGTCAGAAACTGGCAGGCGCCTTGCTTCGTCTGATCGAGCGCCAACGAAACGGCGAGACGATTGACCAGACCCTGGTCAAGAAGGTCGTCGACTCATTCGTGTCGCTCGGTCTAGACGAGGGCGATATCAACAAGGTGTCGTACGAGGTGTACAAGGAGCACTTCGAGGCACCATTCCTGGAAGCGACAGAGAAGTACTACAAGCAGGAGTCAGAAGCATTCCTCGCTGAGAACACTGTCGCCGAATACCTCAAGAAGGCCGAGGAGCGGTTGCGTGAGGAGGAGGACCGTGTCGAGAGGTATCTCAACAACAACACGCGGAAGGGCCTCATCAGCAAATGCGAGCATGTCCTTATCCGTGAGCATGCCGAGCTCATGTGGGAGAACTTCCAAGAACTTCTCGACTATGATAAGGACGAGGACCTCCAGCGCATGTACGCCCTCCTCGCGCGCATTCCCGAGGGCCTCGAGCCTCTACGCAAGCGGTTTGAGGAGCACGTCAAACGGTCCGGTCTTGCTGCCGTCTCGAAGCTTGTCGGTCAGGGCGGTGCAGATGCCATCGACCCCAAGGCCTATGTCGATGCCCTCCTCGAGGTTCACTCAAAGAACTCCGAGACTGTTACGAGGAGCTTCCGCGGGGAGGCAGGTTTCGTGGCGAGTCTCGATAAGGCATGCCGAGAGTTCGTCAACAGGAATGACGCCACTGGCACCTCGACGACGAAATCGCCAGAGCTGTTGGCGAAGCATGCAGACGCGCTGCTTCGGAAGAACAACAAGATGGCCGAGGAGGAGGACCTGGAGGGTGCGCTCAACAAAGTGGTGAGTGGCGATGTGGCATTGTATGCGCATAACCGAGTCTGACTCGCATAATCCTTGGCAGATGGTGTTGTTCAAGTACATCGACGACAAGGACGTCTTCCAGACGTACTACACGACCAAACTGTCTAAGCGGCTGATTCACGGCGTGTCGGCATCGGATGAAGCTGAGGCGAGCATGATCTCGAAGCTCAAGGAGGCCTGCGGTTTCGAGTACACCAACAAGCTGCAGCGCATGTTCACAGGTGGGCAAAGGCATTTCGCACTATCTCAGTCATCGCTAATGTTATCGCAGACATGAGTCTCAGCAAGGATCTCACGGACCAGTTCAAGGAACGTGTCCAACAAAACCACGACGACATGGACCTTACCTTCTCGATCATGGTCCTGGGCACCAACTTCTGGCCACTCAACCCGACAAACAGCGAGTTCATCATCCCGACGGACATCCTGCCGACGTACGAGCGGTTCACGAAGTACTACCAACAGAAGCACTCGGGCCGTAAGCTCACGTGGCTCTGGAACTACTCGAAGAACGAGCTACGGGCGAACAAGTTCAACCCGAAGTACATCCTCATGACGAGCTCGTGGCAGATGGCGGTCCTGCTGCAGTACAATAACAACGACACGATGTCTCTCGATGAGCTCGTGACGGCGACCGGTGTGTCGAAGGAATACCTGAAGCAGGTTCTGGGTGTGCTCGTCAAGGCCAAGATCCTGATCAGCGACGACAGCGACCAGTACGACTACAACCCGAGTGAGTACCACTTGGTGGGCTACTGTATCATGGCTTACATTTGGTTGCAGACTTCAAGTCGAAGAAGATTCGGATCAATCTGAATATGCCGATCAAGGCTGAGCAGAAGGCTGAATCGTCTGAGGTGCAGAAGATCGTCGACGAGGATCGCAAATACGTCATCCAGGCGACCATCGTCCGGTGAGTATCAATTGAGTTGCAGCTTTCTACACGCATTCCTTTCTCACACGCTCTCCAGTATCATGAAGGCACGGAAGCAGATGAAGAACCAGGCCCTCATCCAGGAGGTGATCAGCCAGATCTCGCAGCGGTTCACGCCCAAGATTCCTGACATCAAGAAGGTACGCTTCCTCCCTTATACGGAATTAGCGCAGTGCTTGACGTCCGTTCCGTACTAGGCTATCGAACATCTTCTCGAGAAGGAGTACATTGAGCGAGTGGATGGCACCCGAGACACCTTCGCCTATGTCGCGTGATATCCCCTGCATGCATATTGTCGTCCTCGCTTTGTAGTGCTTACCGGTTTACGTCTAGAACTGTACATTGTAGCATATCTTACACCACGTCATGTCTTGTTCACTGAATGTCTTGCTGTCCGTCAGGCATGTCCAGCATGCGCTGCGGTATCGCGCTATGTCTGGATCAGATGAGATAGCGTCGTCGATACATATTTGTGTTCTACTGGACTATCATGTACCTAGGCTCATCGCGCGAAGGTAGAGCTTTGCTTTGAGGTCTGTCCTCCGAGTTGCTGCTACGTTGTCACTAGTACGCCAGAGTTGCGTTGAGACAGGTTGAGACGCGCCAACCACCATATGCCGAGTTTAACACTACACCTGCCTAATAAGGCTGGGGCGCTTGCGTTATGATCGTGACGTGGCTGCGCCCGAGTCCGCGATGGTTCGGCAATTCATCCCTCCGCCACCTTCAAGCGTGCGCCACCCGCATGGTTAGTTGCAACTTGCTCCTCATCATGGTCTCCGCTCAGATTCGTAGGGCTCTCGCTGAACTTATTTTGACCGAAGGCGCAGATTTGAAGGTGCGACAAATACTGCTGGCATCTCGTGAGTAGGGTCTTGTGGTGCATCCAATATCTGTTCATGGTGCTGCTTACAGGTCCAACAGGTCCGAGATATAAAGGAATCTCGTGTATATAATCATTGCTAGAGACATACGGGTACGTGCCATCGTCTGCCTCTACACTTGATCAGCTAATCTGTCCGATTCTTCAGACTATGAGCTTGAGAGATGCCTTGCTCGCATCGCTCGCCACGCTTCCCGGCAGGCGTGAATTCCACATTCACGTCCTCGTTTCTGCCCCCAGGAAGCGCACGGACCTGTATCCGTACGCAAAACCGCGTCCCCGGGCATACCTCCAGGACATCGTCATCCTCCTGTCCGAACAGACTACATTCGACGGACCTCGCGTCGTGGTCTCAGCTATAGAGGCGGCACTCTACAACATCCCCGCCACCTCCTGCGGCATCCTCTACATCTCCAAGGTGGACTCCACTGGCCAGGCTAGCAGGCCGTCGCCCACTGCCACCCTCGTCCGCGCCTTCCTAAGATACTACGCTGACCCGTCCACGCGGCCCATCGCCGCAGACCACCTCTGGATCCAGCTCTTCGCGCGCGCGCAGGGGCAGTATCTCTTCCCGAACTCTGCCGAGTTCTCCGGCAAGAAGCCGCTCGCCGACGTGCAGCTCTGTGCGTGGTGGAAGCGCATTTTGACTGACGTCACCCGCGAGCTTCGAGAGAGCCGCGGCGATGTGATGATAAGGCCGTACTACCTCTTGCCGGGGTACAATGAGCTCGAGGCGACGCAGTCACTTAGAATGCTGGTGGTGCACCCGCCGGCTGACGCCCCTGCGGAATTTGCCTGGATATACGGGCATCCGTATTCGCAGGCTGAAACACCGCTGCCGTGTCCCCCTGCCACGAAGGAAGGGAACCAAACGAATCTAGGGCATTTCATTCCATCCTTCGACGATGATCCAAAATCACGTTTCATGGACGAGATTGCGCATACGACGAATGCTGACGGCGTGAGCTCCCCGAAACGGAAGCGGCGGAAGACGGGTGGCAGTCGACCTGAGCCGCCTTCTGACGACGAAGACGAAGATCGCGGACGGGGCGAACTGAATAAGGTCAGCCCGGAGGAATTCTGGGAGCGCATGTCCTTCCGTCAAGAATGCATCTCAGGGGTGGTCACCGCGTTCTTCGTCGTCGCGCTCTCATCACCACGGAACCATGAACAGCTCACAATATCGGCACCGTCGCCGTTGGCCCCTCAGCCAGGCCAGGTGTCCTCCAAAATGGTGAGGCGCGTCATCAGTACGCTTCTGAACCACCACGACTTCTCTACACGGGAACGTGCCTTGCGAGCCACGGAAACACTAGAGTCTGCAATCAAGGGCCTCTGCGAAGACCTCGCAGCAGTGCCCTCCTCCCCAAAGGCCGCCGTCAAGCACGTCGAACGCCCGACCACCCCAGAGCCAGTACCCTCGCTTCTCCTAGAGCCGCCGAGGACCCCTCCCCGGCGGGCAGGAGACTCGCACCTGCCCGATATCTCGCCCAACCCATTCCCAGACCCCGTGGCATCGCTCGAGACCTACCATTCGTACATCTACGGGTCGGTCGCAGTGGACAACGCGCCGCTGCCCCCGCGCGCGGTGCCGGCGGGTGGGCAGGCTGATTCAGCGGGAGGGGCTGACCAGCCCGGCCAGCCGCGGGTGACCGTGCTGGCGGTGCGGAAGAAGCGAAAGGCTCCGTCGTGAGCTCGCCGCCGGGCGGTCGGGTGCATTCTTGGTGCGGGTGAGTGCGCCCCTTGTATTTTCAGCGCCGCTGCTCACGCCGTCGTGTCAGGCGCCGTGGTCTTGTACTTACCTTGGTCCGTGCTTCTGGGACTGCTTTTGGATAGGGTTTTGTGCCCGCTTTGTGGCGCGTTGTTCGTTCAAACTCAAGCGTCGGTGATGAACGCGTATGATCCCCGTCCGGGCGATCCGACAACCCCGGTATTCTTTATGAACTTCTCGACAGCCGGGGCACGGAGTTGCGCTGTCAATGTTGTGGCTGTCATGCAGCACTGGGCTTCTATTGACTGTCAGGTATGCTCTACAGGCAGTTCCCGTCCTGCTCTGCCTCGCGAGCCGGTGCGAGTGCGAACCACTTCAGGCGGGTTGCCTTGCCTTTCGGAAACCCTCCACACTGATCGTATCATGACGATAGTGAGGGTGCTGTTTCTCCGAGGTTCTGCGTCTATTGGGAGCGCAGGAAGCGTTGGGTGCTGGTCGTTACGTCCCGCCTCGTGTTGGCCTTCTCAGTCGAAGCTACCAACGGTCGAGAAGTGCGCACTATGAACGGTGTCGCCGCCCAGATTGGCAGCCCATTGGTCCGCTGCTGTTTTGGTTTGCGCTGCCCCGGGGCCAGTATCGCGCCTGGGATGCCGCTCTTCGCTCGGGGCTGTGGGTGCGTCGCATTGGCTGGGTGAGGGGGCGACGCCTGAGGCCCGAGGGACGGTGGGCAAAGTGGGCATCGATGCCGCCGAATTCTGCTTCGGGTAAGTTCCGCGGAGCAGTTTCTGGTCTGCTGCTGCTCACGCCTGTCTTGGCCGAGGAGGTTCGCGGCTAGAAAGATGTCTGTACGGGATTGGTATGGGAACGGTACTGGACGTTCCATTGACAGCTTCACTCTGCGCCGTGGCCATCTACTGGTGAGACGGTCCCGCTCGGGAGTTCGTCATGAGATGGAAGACATTTGCTATTGCAGGACAATGAAGGAAGGAGAACAAAGAGCATGGGGGAGCGGCATCGGGATCTCCGAGCTCCTTATGGTGATATGGCGTCGAAGAAACGGGGTTTGGATGAGGAGGACCGAGTCTGGGCTGTGGATAGCCGAGTCAATCTCTATCTCACACCCCACGCTGAACTTTAATGAATTTTCTCGCACCCGGCCCACCTCCGGACCCGGCGAGCAGACAGCCATGCGCACCGAGTCTGACATCGCCAGGCGCATCCGCGCGCGGCCTTCGTGCAGCGTCGAGACTGGGACGGCGTGCATGTGGACGCTGTGCGAGCTGAGATGATACGGCTTGGGAGCACGACGTGGTGGCTACGGGCGATCGCGACAGACGTTGATATGGTGATTGGGAGCATCGAGGCACATGTTTCAGCGCGTTACGCATCGTCTGTGCACACGCGCGCGCCTCCGGGAGCCATGTGCGTGCGCTGCGGCAGCTGCTGTGTGCTCGACGTGGAGGCGTGGACGGGCGGTGTGGCACTGGGAGCGGGAGGGTGTGGCGGCGAAGAGGGAGCAGCCGAATAATGGACGGAATGGGAAGCGCGAACCTTGTCTAAATTGACGGCATGCTATCTGTTCGATTCCATTTTTGCTGATCAAATCCATCCGACGCGTTGTCTGACTGACCGGTGTATCACGCCTGCTGCGCCCCTTGCCTTTGTGCCGCCAGCTCATGTCCCTCCCTCCTCCCTGCCCGCCCTGACGCCGCCCCTCTCCCGCCTCCCGTGCATGTCGCCCCGCCCCGACGATATGGCCACACAACCCGCCCAGACGCTCCCGTCCTTCACCCAGGCGTTCAGCTCCCCCTCGCTCAGCAGATTGACGTCAAGCAACAACGTGCTGCCGCCTATCCACAGACTAGCGTCTCCCAATGACCGCGCTCGCCAGTCCCCGTCAGGCGGCGGATCGCCCCAGCAACTCGCCGACCGCAAGCACAATCACAGAAAGCGTCTCCATGCAGAGTCCTCGTCCGGCGAGGCGCGTGATGACGAGTCGGGTTCCGAGTGAGTGCTGCTCTCTCTGCCCTGCGCCTTCCCTTAACAGGCCCTGTGCTCAGTGGGCACCGATCTCCCCGGGCGGTCCGAATAAAGGAGGAGGCTGATCACGACGCCCCGGTGCAAACGCCCGCTGCTCTACGCGCCGAATCCTCATCGAAGGCTGCTCGGGAGCCCGCCGCCGTCGCGTCGCCGCCAGAGGCGCGAGCCCCGCCCCAGAAGCGGCGGCGAGTCACCATCAGCGGTGGGTCGAATTCGATCAACACCAATGTCTCGTCTCCTGCATCGGACAACATCAAGAGCATGTCTCCCGTCTTCATGGGCTTCACCGTCGGCCGCGACGACCCGCAGGCCCTCGAGCAGATGCGCTCGATGCTCACGGTGAAGCAGAAACAAAAGGAGCTCATCGAACAAAGAAGAGGTAGCACCGCCTCTATTATGTCCACTGCCCCACCCAGCGTCAACATCGTCAACCCGCTCGAGCATGAGGACGAGCGTGACGCACGGGTGCCACCCAAGGCTCAGGCGCAGGCGGGCCAAAGCACTAGCATCAGTGCCAGTACCAGTGGTAAACCGGGCGGCCGCAGTCCAAATATACCGCAATCCCAGCTCGCCGCGGATCGTCGTCGTTCCGTCGCTGCGACGACTGCCCCCGCGTCGTCCCAGAATCACCTGGCCCATCCACATCCACCTCATCCACCCCATTCGTCGCATCCGAGCACGTCGAGCATGCGTCATGACAGCCCGGGCACGCTTATCGCCGCTCACTCACAGTCTCAACAGCAGCAGCAGCTCCCACCACCGCCGCCCCGCCCGGAGAACCCGACCTTCGTGCATACCACGACCTCCACTGTGGCCCCGCACCACACGCTCCCCGCGCCCCCGATCAGCTTCGCGAACCGACGCGCCGGCCGGGGGCTCGGAGGGGCGAAGGGCAAGCCCGCCGATATCATGATCAACCCCCGAGCCAGCCACCCAGAAAACCAGCCCGCGATCCAGAGTGCGCCGCCGATGCCGCGGACGGACCCGACTGGTAGGTTTGGCACGATGGCGGTCCCGAGCTTACCGCAGATGAGCGCGACTGTGCATCGACATGCTGCGAGCCGAGTACCGCCCACCCCTACACGGTTGACTGTCTCGCGCAATCCTGGCCCGAGTAACTTGGGACCGGGGGCGGCTGCAGCTGCAGGTCGCTCACCACAGAACGCGTCGGTCCCCATCGCGAGCTCGCTTGTCCCCCCTACACCGGCGACGCTGCACCACCCGAACTACTCGAGCGAGAAGTCCGCGTTCCTCTCTCCTTTCGAGCTGTTCTACGACGCGCTCGCAGACTCGAAGCAGCTCAAGAACTGGCTCGCGGAACAGATGCAGAAGAGCCAGGCACTCTCCGCGAGTCTGCAGCGTCAGCAGGAGCAGTTCGATGAGCTCGTCGAGGCTGCGGTGGAGAAGCGTATGGGCGGGATGCGCGAGGAGATGTACGCGCTGCACCAGCGAGTCGAGGAGCTCGAGCAGGCGCTCCGCGGGCGCGTGGTGGTCCCGAGCCAGAGCTACAGCCCGCTGACAGGCTCGGTCACGCTGAAGGGGAAGGGGAAGGCGAACGGGATGGCGGCAGCCGCGCAGGAGAGCTATACGTTCCCGCCCGTGGACCCGCACATGCGCCGCCCGGAGCCGGTCAGGCGGGTGGCTTCCCCGGAGTACGATAGCAGGAGCTATCCCGGGTCGGAGGCTGCGTCGCCTGCGCCGTTTGACGTCGGCAGGCGGCTCTCGGTGAGCGCTGTGCGCATGGCGCCGCGCTCGCCCCCGGAGCCTCCGCACGCGCGCAAGACACTGGCTGTGCACCCGACGGCGAGGGAGCGCGAGCTGTCGGGTCCGGGTTATCCCCCGCCCCCGCACGCGCATCCTGGGGGGTATCATAAGGACCGAGATAGGGATATACGCGCGCCGAAGGCTACGACGAGCCTGTCGCAATCTACGTCGCGCGGCTCTGTCACGCATCTGCACCCCTCGAACGAGGATGCCAGTCCGGAAAGGCGGTCGGCTGCGTATCGGCATCGTGCGGAACGGCGGGGGTCGCCTGGTTCGAGCGACGAGCGGGCTGAGGGCGCGCATCCCCCGGGGAAACGCGATCAGGTGTACCAGAGCCCGCCGCGGAGCCGCGTGCGGTCGCCGATGGACGACAGCTGATGGACGAGGGTGCCGTCCCGACACACGACCCGACCAACACGAAGGTGACGTTTTGTTCTCGAAGAGCCTGCGCGCGCGCGACGGACTCAGTCTGGGGCTTGTGGTGTTCAGGCTGCTGTTGCGTCTCATCAAAGGGCAAGTGTAGTATAGTCATGTATCTTCCTTCCTTCCTCACTCCTCGCTGCTGCTTCTTGCGCCGTCACCCCGATTCAGAGGCCCGAAACAAACTGATTCCCGTCCTTACTCATGAACTGCTCCCCCGCTGTCAGCGACACACCCTACCACTAGGCCTTCCCTTGCTCACCATCCCCGCCCGCACCGTGTTTCCCTTCTCCTGGCCAGCACATATGGCCGCCGCCTACACCCAACATTCCCGCTCCGTTCCGACAGCTGCACTCATACAACCCGTTCGTTGCCGCCCATGTCATGACCCCCCGATGCTCCCGGTCGTTCTTGCTTCATTGCGTCTCCACTGTCGTCTAGCCTCGTCTCGCCTCGTCTCGTCGCTGTCTTTGCATGCCATTGTACCGTGTACGGATTAGTCATTCAGAAAGCATTTCCCGCTCTCGTTCCACTAAGATCAGAGGGAGCCCTGTTCACCGGCGCCAAGACTCGCGGTGGGGAGGCCATGATCATGGTTGTTGCGAATGGCAATTTGTAGTAAGCATGTTCAGTCAGTTGTGTACGCAGTCCGATCTATGTGCATCAACGGGGTTTGTTGGGTAACCTTCGCGGGAGGAGTACAGCAACCACAGACAGGTCAACAAATGCCCACAGACGGTAACCTTCGACGACACGACGACTTGATGGTATGGCAACGCCCGTTATAATCCCCGGGGGATTCACAAGGATTCACAGTCGTAGCACACTTGTAGCACACGCGTCATCTGTGATGGAGAACGTCAGTTTAAAGTGAGCAACACCCAAGCAACACCGGTACCTGATCGTATCGGAGGGCTCGAGGGACGCGACGCGTCGGGCATTTAGAAGTCGGCGCCACGCCAGGCACGTGACGGCGTTTCGAGTTGTTGAGTTGACTTCGGTATTTTGGCTGTTTATGGTCCAGTGTACGAGCGAGCGAACGTACGGGGCTTCAGCACAGCGCGCGCTGAGAGTGCAGCATACATAATATAGCATGGGCGATCCCCTCTGCAATCGTTCACGGTGTGTCAGCTCTGTGGGCGGGCTGTCGAGCGGACCGACCGATCCGGATCTCCGAGCCGGGGACGATGACGAAATGCCAAATGCCAATGGACGATCGGGCGTCCACCGTCCGCGCCAGTCGCGCGTTGGCGACCCCGCCTTACCAATCCCTAGCCTGAATTACGAACACCGCATTCTTCCTCAGCAGAGCGTCGCGTCGACACGCTATCCCCCGGCCAGAACAACTCGTACACGGCAGCGACAAAGAATTTCTCAGCAGCAGTAGTAGACGGCATATATAGCTGGTAGTGCTTCTGCGCTCCGCTATGATCCCCCGTCTCGCCGGGATAACACGCTCCCTCTCACAGGCCGCCAGGATGTCCACTGCAACCGCACAGACCAGCAAGCCCTTTCTGCTCTACACCGCAGGCACGCCCAACGGCAGGAAGGTCTCCATCCTCCTGGAGGAGCTCAAGACGCAGTACGGGATCGACTACGAGTGAGCGTCATGTGCATATATTACGCCATGTCGCGCGCTGACACGCGCGCAGCGTCGAGAAGATAGACATCTCGAAGAACGTCCAGAAGGAGCCATGGTTCATCACGCTCAACCCGAACGGCCGCATCCCCGTCCTCGTCGACCGCCAGCGCGGGGACTTCCCCGTCTTCGAGACCGCCGCGATCCTCCTCTACCTCGAGCAGCACTACGACACGCAGCTGAAGTTCTCCTTTGACCCCGCGACGAGCCCGAACGACTACAGCGAGATGCTGCAGTGGATCTTCTTCACGGTGAGTGCTCGGTTACGTGTGTGGTCTGCGGACTGAGGGCTGACTATATGCGCGTGGGTAGCATGGAGGTATTGGGCCGATGCAAGGACAAGGTGTGTCCGAGTGACCATTTCCTGGTTACTATTGTTGACTGACCGGGCCCGTCCAGCAAACCACTTCGTCCGCTTCGCCCCGGAAGACATCCCCTACGCAAAGAAACGTAGGCACCACCGCTTTCGTTGGCACGCCATCCGAGACGCAGCCTAACCATACGCGCACGTGTAGGCTACCTCGACGAGACGAAGCGGCTCTACGGTGTGTTGAACATCCGCCTCAACGGGCGCGAGTGGCTCGCGGGGCCCGACCGCGGCAAGTACTCCATTGCCGACATCAATGCGTTTCCATGGTACGTCCGTCTGCTCTGCGTACAGTATACCCAGCCCTTGCATCCATCCGTGGCTCACTGCTGCGTTATGTAGGGTGAACGGACATACATTCTGCGGGATCGAGAGCATGGACGAGTGGCCCCACGTCAAGGTAAGCAAACCCGGGGCCCTCAGGGTCTACATGACCGCTTGCTAATGCACTCGGATTTCGCTGACAGGCATGGCTGGAGAGGCAGAGCGAGCGACCGGCGGTCAAGGCGGGGACGGCCATTCCTTGAGCACTGGTACGGTACTGCAGACCGCAGTTCAGGTCGCAGCGCGGGCTCCGGAGTATTCTCAGATAGACGGACATTCTGGGGGGATTTCTCAGTAGGACACCGCCTGATGATGATGTGCATGACTGTCTGTCGGACGAAAACAGGGGTCCCGGCATCTAATATCGACGGCCAACAGAATGCTCTCACATAGTGTTCGAGGCGTCGCGTTGCTCGAGGGGCCAGAGAAACGTTCCTGTGCGCCGGGCCTCCGTGCGTGGCAGATGCACGATTGATCCGCGAGGCTGCGGTCACCGGGGAGTGCCTGCCTGGGCTAGAAGGCCGACGCGTTTGGACTAGAAGACGGGGCGTGCCATGTGTTCCAGCGACGATGCTGACAGAAACCAATCGAACGATGCGCTTTTCAGGCAGGATGCGCGGTATCCTAGTCCGTATCTTGGGCAGGGACGCGCCAGTGCGAGATAGGGACGCGTGAGGGCTGGGCTGGCCGCTGACGAGAAGTGCGAATGGGCGATGCTAGCTAGATGTTCTAGTGAGTGCTCTAGCTAGAGCTAGAAGACGGCTTACTCCCTGTTGCTTGTGGATCAGTTGAGTCGAGACTGACGGACGGACGGACGGCTCGCGAAGGATGCGCTGCTCTGCCAGGATGCCGCCAGCGACTTGAGAAGCGACGCGCTCGTGGACGGTGGACCTGTGGGCTGCGCCAGTCAACGTACGTGCTCGTTTCGACTGGTCGCTGAGTAGCAGACGGCCTGTCGCCCGTCCGAGTCGCATGCGCGCATGATGCAAGGTCAAGGAAGCCTCCCGAAACCCACTGTACTGTGTACATCAACCATTAATGTACCTGCCGCGCCGTCGGTGTCGATCATATGGCTGACCTCCTTCGTCTTCCGCACAGACCGCATTGGAATGTCGTGGACTTCAAGGCCGACGTCGGCGCGTCAGCAGTATGGTGCGTGCGTAACCTTGACGATGCCTGGCGTACATTTGTCATTCTTGTCTGCCCAGTGTTCCTCGCCAGTGCGTACCTGGCACGGGATATCTCAGGTTCCTTGCACTTTCGCTCACATGGACGAGATGCAGCGTGCGGAGCCCTTCATGGGCGAAGACTACCTGCACACGAATATCCACATAATCACCGTCGACGTGCGACACCCGCTGTGTTCGCCGTACGCCCTTTGGACCCGCCTTCGTCGGACGGACTGCTACGGGATCAGTTGTGCATTGCGACCGGAAGGGCGATTGGTGCCGGGTCCGGTGGGCTGGGACGGTTCATTGAGCTGCGCACCCTGTTGTTCGCCCGGTGATTGTTCCGCGCGGAGCGATACTCAGTACAATTGACGGGGGATCGAATTCGCAGCGGGCGCTGCAGGTTCGTCTGGGTCGTACATGCACAACGCATGGATAAGACCTCCCGACGGCGCAGAGCTGCATGGAGACAAACGTCGATCGACTACATAGGTTTAGTTACTCAGACTAATGTACAACAGTCATCATCCAGAGTACTAGAATGTACCTCGTCCTGTCCTGGGCCCTGAGCTGAACAGACCCCGCGCGGACCTGATCGACGATCGTCCGAGGTCGCCGCCCTGCGTACAGCGTCCCTGAGCCCCCGGGCTCTCGCCGATCGACGTGGGCGGCTCGGGGACGGAGGTACGTCATGGGTGCATGGGAGCGATGGGCGCAGCGGCGAGACGGATCAACTTCCCTCCGGCGCCAAGCTCGGCCTGCGCGGTCGGGCGTTCGATAGCAGCGTGGTGGACGGCGGGGCATGTGATGCCGCGCGCGGCGAGGAGTGTCGATGACGTTCGGAGGGCGGAGGGTGATGAGCTCATGGTGTGCGCAGGGGCTGACGTCGCGCGCGTCATGCGGTACCGCCGGCGACGGAGAGGTCGGCCGAGGACAGGGAGGTTCGAAGGTGTTGGGATCTGACAGAAGTGGGACGCCGTCGGTTGGCCGCTGGGTTCTAGTCCGCGTAGGTGGGGCGACGCATAGAGGGCCGGGAAAACGTAGGAGGTAGGGCGGTGACATGGTGATCAACGCGCGGGGGCGTTGAGAAGGGCTTGCATTGCGTAGGTGACGAAGATAGCGTCCTGAGAAGAGGAGGGCACATGGCTGTTCGTCGGGGTGGTTAGGCGGTCGGGGCGCGGAGGATGAATTCGGAGGCGTACCGGCATGACAGCATGTGACGCGTGCAGGCAGTGGGGAGCTGTCCTACGCGGAGGCGGAGATGGAGGGCACGGTAGGAACGGGCGGCGTGTTCAGCGTGCTCTCGCTCTCGTCCGAGTCGTCGTCCGACGACGCATGTCCGTCAGCGTGCTGCGGCGTCCGCTTTTTCGCTGCGAGCCAGAGGTCGAGGGTATACTTGTACATCTCCTGCGCGTAGCCCACCAACGCGTACTTGACGTCCTGGTTGGGGAGCTCGAGTTCCGGCATGGCGTGCGAGGAAGGCATGTTACGTTACGGGGCGAGGGCAGACAGATGCGAGGGCGTAGAACGGGAAGTACTCGTCTGCCGAGTCAGCAAGCGTTAGAGGTTTATATACAGAGAAGACCGGCTCCGCCCGAGCTAGAACACGGAGGCGTGAAGCTCAGATCTGGCGGGCGTGCGCACGGACTCGTCTCCATTTGCTCGGCTCGCAGTCGAGGGCTGCCTTGGCTGTCGAGCCGATTCCGAGCGCCGGGCGTCCCGCACGGCGCAACCAGCAGCCGATCATTATGACACGTCATATTTAGGAAAATACAGCCTCTCCTGAGTCTCCTCGGTTGCCTGGTCGCTGCGAGCGCGACGACTGGGGCACAGAGCGGCGGGGGCAGGCGAGTGTCGCGCGGGTCGCGCTGCGTCAAGGGTGTGTCGCGCATCTGCTCGCCCCATGGCGGCCCCCCGAAGCGGCACAGGGGGCTGATAGTGTAGGGCGGCGTGACTCTCGCGGCATTGTCCCACTCCACAGCGTGGGTCTGCGACGGGCACCCGGATTGGAGGATATCCAGTCTATTGATCCTCCATCGTGCGTCTGGCGGCGCGCTGCTCACTGCCAGCATTGGGAGGCTCTGATCCGGAGCTAGTTATAGGACGAAGCACGCCCGTTTCGCCGAGACTCGAGAGCAGACGAGGCTTAGCGCGGCTTGCCTGATGTACACATACACAGCGCCATGTTTGGCGCGGTACGTGGCCAATGACAATCGAACGTTGCACGGCAGAGGCCCAGTCCCGTCGAGTGGGCAGCCTGGATGGGTGGTGTGGCGGTAATCAAAAGCCTCGTCGAGGTCATCTATATGATACACGGCGAGCCTATCAAGGCAGACTGAATTGCATTCGCGTGGTCAGTCGCCCAATGAGAACCGCTGCCCGAGATCCGTCCAGACTTCCGCCTCCGTGTACTCGTTCGTCCAGTCAGATAGGCCGCAGGTTAGCTTGAGCGTGGGGTGAAGGCGAGGCTGCACTCGGCGGGTCTTCGATGGGAACACAGAATCTACCGACCTTTTGCCAGCTCCAGTGAGAGTTTTGCAGCACGACGCACAGAATTCGCAGAAGCTCTCTCGCAACGAGGCATGTAACAGAGTTGAAGAGAAGGCCTAGGCAAGCTGGTGAATTGCGGCCGACGAAGGTGAGTATGTACTTACTTACTGGCAGGTGGCAGGACGGGAACTGAGTGTCTGGTAAGAGTCCCGCGAGGGACCGGCATATGCCGGCGGACACCCCCGGAGACCTTTCCAGCGTCGGTCGCTCCGCCACCTAAGTTACGACAGCGACAACTTCTGCAGCCAGCAATGTCTGTCTTCGCCCGGAGGCTGCGCCTGCCCCGCCCATGCAGCTCCGTGCGCACATACGCGACACGCATCCCTGAGCGGCCGCCATACCGCGCGCCGGACCCGCTCGTCAACAATCCGAATGCGGCGTACACAAAACTCGAGGACGACCTGACCTTCATCCACCGCCCGCCGCCGTCCGCCCCGTCGCCCCTGTCCTACACGACGAGCCCCGCCTCGCCTCTCCTGCGCGCCCCGGCACCAGCAGGCGCGGCGCTGCCCCCGCTGGTCCAGGCGGAGGCGGAGGCGCCGCCGCGGATGAGCGAGGCGGACATCGCGAAAATGCGTGCGCTGCGCGCGGAGAACCCGGAGCACTACTCGCGCTCGCGGCTCGCGGCGATGTTCAAGTGCGCCCCGAACTTCGTCGCGATCATGGCGCCGACGAAGATGCGCGACCGGAAGAAGCTCCTGGAGCGGCGGGATATGGTGCATGACGAGGCGCGGAGCAAGTGGGGGGTCAAGCGCGCGTACATTGAGGAGGCGAGGAAAAAGAGGAGGGAGTTCTGGTAGGCGGGTGTTGACCTGCGTGGTTGAGTGGATGGGCTCCTTGGCTGTCCTGAGAGGTACGTGGTCGTGTGCATTCCTGTTCAGACAGGTTGTAACTGACGTCGGCTGGGGAAGATTTTACAGGTCGGCCGTGCGGTTTACTTCCAGCCTATGACTTGCGCTTGCTAGTACGGTTGTATGCTGGGCTTGGGCTGCCCTCTGGCGATTTTATTAGGCACACGTATAATGCACGTCTTCGTTTTCTTCAGGGAACTCCTCGTGTGCGAGTCTAGCCTGCGCAACTCCCGCAGAGTGCATATGCCTCAACAGGTCTTGCTCCGCTGTTCCGGGTTCGAGTACATACCCCGGTTATGCCTAATTGGCACCACATGGCCAGGAAGACATAAGTGCGGACACACTGATGGCTGTTATTTCCAGTCATCTCTCCGTCGGACCTGTATCCCAAAGGCCAGGGTGAGCCTCCTCTTCCGATCCAAACGCTTTTCTCCGTCGTACCTTCCTGTCGAAAAAGATTAGTGTTGGTGCTCTTCCGTGGACTTTGAGCGCTGAATGTCAAACGCTGAGCTTTGGGGTCTCGCGGCATGCTTTGTGTGGTAGTTCCGCACGGCGTGGCTTCCGGGTTTCGAGGGTAGCACCCCCGAACCTACTGACGATATTTGTTTCGATGTGTGTACGAGGTGTGGAGTCGAGATATCAGAGAAGGCACTGCGGGTGCGTCTGCGTCTAGTCCTCCAACCAGACAGACTACTTACTGAATTACATCAAGTAGGGATCCACTTCATGACGCACCAGTAGGCCCGTCGGTCCGGATACATATCATACAAGGATGTGACCTGGGCGCGGCTGAGTAACGCGAGTTGCAACCGTATGGATTTCATGTGCGAGGTATCAAGCTTCCAGTCAAGGTTCATTGATATTTTTGCGATCGCACCCGTTGCTGAGACTACGACGCGCCGCCTGCGATAGGGTGTATGCGACTACTTGGCGGTCAGGAACCTTCACAAGGATGTGGTGCCTCACGGTGTACTCCCAGCAAACAGCGAGAGGCGTCTCCTGACATCCCCTCAACGTCATGTTGACCGCCCCGCCCCACACATTTAGAGCGCGATCAACGCTCCCGTCACTGCCGTCTAGCATACTGCCAGTAGTATGTTAGGCTCAGCGTGATGCGTTCAGTGTGGAGCGCGAGTGTATCCACGTCGTTCGCAGGGTTTCACCCGCGATAGGTGTGTGCGTCGATGTACTTAATCTGGGCGACATTGTGGCCACTGACGTGCATACATAGGCTGTTCCATCGGGGTTCGTGACGTCTTTGTGCGTCTAGTTGTGCGCACTTACAGCGGTGGGCAGCGTCGACCGATACGGCCCGCTCGGAGATCATCATCAATGGCGCTATATGTGTGCCTGCTGCACCAGTCCAGGTGTGTCTTTACCGATGCGTACCATATAGTCGACACGCCTGCCAACTCGGAAGGGTCTCGCTCTGACCTCCATGCTTTCGTTCGTGGGCGTCCTCAACGGGATCCCTTTGCATCGCTGTCGAACTCGGGTTCACAGCATAACCTACTTGCGGCCAACCTGGGCTACATTCACAATAAACACTTCCGCAAATAATTCGGTCGGCGCACTCGCAGACTCGAATTTCCGGACGGTGAACACCCAGTTTTCACGGCTGCGCTGCTGTTGGTCATGACCGTCGGACACACACAACGCGACCCTAATTTTTCGCGTTCGATCTAGGAACATACAGATGACAGGATGGGCTCACGGCATCGATTCGAACCTCTTCGGCGCGTACTCGCTCTACTCCACCATACCGCACCAATGCTCTTGCGACGTCATGGCTCAGCGCTCAGCTATGCAATCACTCAATTGATCCGCTGCCTTTCCTGTAATGGTATCCCGGTTACTGCTATAGGTGTATCTGAACACCGCTTTTGATCCAGGCAGGATGCCAGTGTTGTATCGAAAGCGGCCTTGGCATCGACTTGCACTGCTGCCTGAGCTCGCCAGTCAGTGCAGTGTGATCGTGAACAGCGACTACCACGGTCAGAGCGACCTGGCGTCATCCCTTCAGTCCTTCTCGGACAACTGGCAGTCGCAGGAATGACTTAAGTAAGAAGTAAGTACTGGTCCATTGAGATCCTGAGCGCACTGGCACATTGGCCGGTACCTGGCGATAAGAAATGGGTCTCACAAGTGTCTTTGAGACTACGCGTGGAAAAACGGCAGCAGTCAAGCTGACCGAGTGCACATCACCAACACACTGCCGTAGATATTCTGAACAGCGAAGGATCGCGTTTGACATGTGACAGACAGATCGAGTCGCGTGAGTGGCTGAGATCTCTTCCCGATTCAGCCTTTACAGTAACGCGTCCCTTGCCATTGTCTCCGCCACCTCCTTATTATTTTTTCCTCCGTCTCCTGCGAGGACGCCTCTGCACAGACACTGTTACGCCTGTATGTCGCAGAAGACATATGTGCGGTTATAGTCTGCTGATGCCTTTCTGTAGCGACCCTACCATGGACGCCGCAAGTGGTCGCCATGCGAGTCCAGCCTTACCGGCGCCCCAAACCCGCCAGGCGATTGAAGCAGAAATCGCCCGGTATTCGAACTACCTCATCGACCTCAGAACACGGCTCAACACCTTCGCATCCATCTCCGTGCTCCCTCCAGAGGTTCTCTCCGAGGTCTTCATGCATACCGCGGGTGCCGGCGGCCGCAGCACTGCCCAGTCGGACCGTTGGGGCATCTACATGGAAAGTTTGACTCGCCCATATAGCTGGATTCGTGTCTCCCATGTCTGCAGGCACTGGCGCGCTGTGGCGTTGAACTGCCCCGCTCTCTGGGGCAACTTGACGGTGACCAAGCAGCGCGAGTGGATGGAGGAGGTGCTGGGACGGTCGAAGAAGGCGCCCCTATATGTGTCCGTAGACATCTCGATGTCCTTGCCCATGGGTCTCTCTGCGACGTTCTATCCGCGGGTAAACTCGCCTCAGGAGGATTCTCTGGCGTTGATTCTCTCGCACACGGCACGCATACGCTCGCTCTCCCTCGGATCCAAGGGGCCGCTCTCGGAGAGGATCCTGCGTCTGCTAGACGGACCTGCCCCGCTACTCGAGACGCTCACTATGAGGTTCGAGACGGGCTCACATATATGCAACAACGAACAAGACCACATTCACAAGCTACTCCACCCCGAGACCAGTCGTCTCCGGCAGCTGCACCTACACTCCGTGCTTCTGCAGTGGAATAACACTTCGCTGCCACAGCTGACACACTTGACTGTCACTTGCAAACCGCACCAGGTTACAGTGCAAGTCCATGTCGAAGCCTTCCTCCGCGCCATCGAGCAGATGAGTGTCCTGGAAGAGCTCGTAGTTCAATCGGCGCTTACTGCGCCTATTGACCAGGGAGAGGTCCCGACGAACTTGGTCCAAGCCTCCTTGCCCCGCCTGCGCTATCTGCGAGTTTTGGAGAATACGCGCAACACCATCAGCCTGTTGAGCCATATGACAACCCCGTCACTCGCGCGCCTCTTCGTGGAAATAGATGGAGACACGAAAACACTCAGTGGTGAGCTCTTTGCTGCTCTTGCAACAAAGACGCCCAGCCTGGGCACTTTCGCTACCCTTGTTGTCACCATCGCCCGCTTCACGCTGCACGGTATCCACATACAGGCGTTCCGCAAAGGTTGCGTAAACCGCGAAACGAGGCCCGACTCACAGCCCGAGCTCGAAGTATGCTTCGGACGGCTGGAGCCAGACACCGTGATTACCAACGCTTGCGAATCCCTTCCCATCTGCGACGTCCACTTCCTCACCGTCTCTGGCCGCTCGTTGCTCCGCTCGACACTGCTCGCCCTCTTCAAGCGCACCAAGAAGGTCGTGGAACTGAACGTGACACAGTGCGCGGACTACGATGTTCTCCCCGGCGTGCTTGTCGACCGCCGGCGAGGACACAAACACAGACACAGCGAGGGCAACGCGTACCATTACATCCTTCCGCACCTCCGCTCTCTGTCCCTGTCGCTCTGCTACTTCGGCGCCCGCGGTGACCCCTACGAGTACGAGCTCGAACCATCCGAGCGGCTCGCCGATGGTTTGATCGATTCCTATATACAGCGGTACGAGTACGGGGCGGAGATCGAGCAGCTGCACATCGTCCACCCTGTCAATCTATCCCGGCGGGAGGTCGACCGGCTCAAGGAAGTCGTCCGTGTCGTGGAATGGGATGGCACGATAGACTTCGACGAACAGGAATCTGATTCCCTCTATCACTCAGAGGACGGGTACGATGACGGCATATATGACGATGATGTCTGGGGCTACGAGTATGGAGGTATGGATATGTTCGACGATATGGATTACGATCTGCACCACTTCTTTTAGTTTACTTTCCTGAATCTTGTCGTGTCTGTTGTCCCGATTTCGCGTTTCTAATTTGCTATGGTGCATTTTCTAATTTGCTATGGTGCATAATTTCGTCACTTTGCAATCAGTTTGCCCCGGTGAGAACAAGATGTGTACGTATGTATCCACACAATCACGATTACATACAGTCTACAAACTCTGACGAGAAATTATCATGCCGCCCCAATCGACCTCATTGACGACATTCATGGACCTCTGTAACGTCAGCATACTTGCAGTCTTTGCAACCGCGCGCCGCACTTGCCTCGTGCGGCTAGATGAGTCTCCAGGTCCTTCAGCCATCCCGGTGCGGTGACAGGTTCGTCCCAGCACTGGAATCCGTGTGTCAAGATGTACAGTGTGCAATCCAGGGAGAAACACCCCTGAGTCAGGCGAGTTCTGCGTCCCGCGAAGCGTAACATTGAGGAGATAGCGCAGTGCATCGAGCACGGACAGGATCGTATCGTACGCATGCAGGACGGTCACCCCAGACAAGGTCTTCAGCATGATTTCCCACAGGGGTCTAGGGTAGCACCCGTTGATAGACAGCGTTTATACCCGGGGACCGAAGGGTAGGCGCGTGCAGACATCGTAGAGGACGAACGACAGCCATGGGCTGACGTCCAGGGCGATCTCCACTACGGGTGGACGGCCGTGGTGCTTGTCGGGCGGGCCAGAGATGAGGCTGTCCGCGGGGCGTTCGTACCCCTGTATCCATACTTTTTGTGAGAAGCGACGTGGGCAGTGTGTACGAGACGGAGTCCGCGAACGTTGCGAACGGGGGGAAACCTGGCCATGAGTTGGTCGACGCAGGTAACCACGTCGTGTCTCGTATGAATATTGTGGCAGTTGCGGAACTGTACGGATAGTTGCGATAGCGCGGATAGCTCCATGCGCTTGAGTACGGCAGCGCAAACCCGGCCGTCCTCCTCTAGGACGAGCGACCGTAGATGCCGGAGAAAGAGAGTACGCTGTGCGTGTGGTGGAGCAGGTGGCGGTGTCTGGACAGGTGAGATGGCTTGACGGACGACCAGGCTTTCGAGTAACGGCATGTGAGCCACCGTCTCCAGGAACTCACACACTCCAGATCGGGGAAAATCCATGGCTTGGCTCAGCGTAAGGTGTCGGAGCGTGGTGAGCTTCAGGCTCGACAACCGGAAGCCGAACCTCTGGGTCTCGAGTCGTGTGAGAGCCGGCGCCAGTTCCCCCGTTACATTTGCCGCAAGAAATGGTTCAAGTTGACGCCGACTTGGGTAGCCTGACAACATGGGGCCAGACGAGTGCTTGACAATTAGCGTCTGGAGATGCGGCGTGGGCTTAGCCTCTCGCGTCTCGAGCCACGTACGCCGTAGGTCATCTTCGGTACAGAAATCCAAACTGCGGATGCGGTGGATCTCGCCGAAGATGGAGTCCACAGATACCTCGTAGGCATTGAACTTGCAATCAGAGATGTCCTTGAGGATATCGGCTTTGACATCCAGCAGCACGGGGTAGGACCTTTGCAACTCACTGTGTAACGAATATGCGACTCCATAGAGTGCGGCAGCCGAGCGCGACGGACCGCCAGTACATGCACACCCACGCGAGGGTGTATCGGGAGTAAGGTCCATATCCGGGGGTCAGGCGACGCGTCTCTGTAGGGTCCTCGGCCATGAAGATTTCGCTAAGCACCTCGACCGGAATGCGGGATGCAAAGGGCGAACCTGTGCGCTGGCGAGGCAACGCCCATTGAGCGACAGAGACGCGGTTGGGCGCCGGCGTCGTGCTTATGGGCTTCACGCACATTTGGCAGAGACGCTATGGGACCACCGGCAGACTTCGCATTGAAACGGGAATTATGAGCTCAACTAGACACATGGATATGTGAATCACCGCACCTTGATGGATTCAGAATTCGCGAGGTGGGTGGTCTTGGGAATGAGCGCGCCACTAGTGGAGCTCCCGGCCACAGACTGGCAAGTCCGACGAAGCTGGGCTGGTTACTCCGTCGGAAAACAGCTCAGTAGAGACATATATACGTCTTGTCGCGGGGTGAGATTCTGATAGCAGACGATAACACTACTAGCACGAGTAGATGAGGTACCTACACTCCGACGGCCTCCGCCGAGTCACTGCGTCCGACTCTCCAGTGGCTCCCTTTGGTCGACGATGTCGCCTGCGCGCGTATATTCCAGTCGGCTCGACCGCTTCTGCAAAGAGGCAGGTCGTTGCGTTCTGTCGCTGCGCCAGAAATCTCTGCCTGTTAAGGTTACAATGTCTCAGTCGCGTCCTTGTGGTACTCGACTGCTATTGATACACTACCTGTTAAGGTTACAATGTCTGTGATGTACAGAATGAGCGTCCGAGACTTGAGAAATAAGGATACACCTGGCTTACCTCAGTCGCGTCCTTGTGGTACTCGACTGAGGCAGCCCTATCCGAAACGCGTCCGTATGAGTCCGTGTCCGAGTCACGTGTCCGTGTCAACATTAGCGCGCACGTCCCGATCCCTCCTCAACACTCCCCCGGGATCGCGACGCGCATGTAAAGTAGGTGCTTTTGTAAAGTAGGTAAAGACAGAGCCTTCGTGAAAATGTCCGCTGGGTTCTCCGCACCCGGAATATGAATTATCTTCAGTTGCTTACCCCTTATCGCGTCTCGCAGCCAGTGGTACCGGATGTGCAAGTGACGCACTCGCGAGAAGTTCGCCGAGCGAGTCGCGAGGCTTTCTCCCCCAGCGCTATCCATTCGGATGACCACAGGGCGTTCCACGGGCACGTATATTTCGTCCATGAAGTTCGCGATCCAGACTCCGGTTTGCCCGGCGTGCACGGCAGCGATGTACTCGGCCTCGGTTGTCGACAAGGTGACGACTGCCTGTCGGCGCGAACTCCATGAGACTGGCCCACCTGCCATCATGACTACATGTCCATGGGTCGATCGACCGGTGTCCGGGCAGTCGCCTTGCGATGCATCCGAGTAGATTACCGGCTGGAGCCCTGCAGGGTGATTCCCATCGAACGTGATGCCGTAGTCGAGAGATCCTTTGAGGTAACGGAGGACGCGTTTGAGCGCGCGCCAGTGACTGTAGCCTGGGTTCGCCATGAAGCGACTAAGCAGTTGGACTGGGTAGGAAAGGTCCGGTCGCGTTGCCACTGCCAGATACATGACGGCGCCCAACGCTTCGCGGTACGGGATCTTCTCCATTTCGGCTCGCTGTTCTGCGGTCACCGGCTCAGCCTCTTTCGACAGCTTGCAACCCGGCTCGAGCGGCGTGCCCACGGGGTTCGCGTCCTTCATACCGAAGCGATCGAGCACGCGTTCGGCGTACGCGCGCTGGGATAGGCGCATCGTCTTCTGCTCGCGGTCCCGCTCGATCAGGACTCCGAGCATATACTTAAACTCTCCTCCCCCGCTGAGCCGGTACCGCACAGCGAGTTCCGATCGCACGTTCGCCAATCCCGTCTTCGAGTCAGCCGCCTCGCTAATGTCATCAGTGTAGGTGGCTGTGATGGCCAGTCCCTCGTCGTCGAACCTCGCGCGCACACACTCGTCGGACCGCGACCGCGAGAATCCAAGGTCCTGGTAGGTGCCGTCCAAGTCTTTCCACCAGTCGTTCCCGGCCTGCATCAGTCCGTACAAGCCCCGGTTCATCTTGCAGACGTGAGTGGGGAATTCCTTGGACGCATACCCGGCCGGCTGTTCCATATAGATGGTCTCCTCTGGAGACGCATTCAGGTAGGCTTTCTCAACGTCGTCCTGGCCCATCTCCATGTCCCGCACGACTGCTGTAGCGCATACCAGCCTCAGGGATTTGAAGCGGACGACCGAGGCGTGGGTTTCGAAATAGTCGATACCGGGGATCTGCTGGAAGCCCTTGGCGACAAGACGAGCCTTCGGCTTCCACTTGCCGTCGGCTTCACCATCACCTGCGAACTTGCGTGCATAGACCCATTTGTTGCCGATCACGTTCATGCTCGGAGTCCGCGGCACCAGTTCCCAGGCGTCGATCCTCGCCAGTCCGTCGATCTCGCCGTTCATGGAGGGGTTCCAGATTGCCGGCTCACGCTGAGCCTCCTTATACGACTCCGGCGTCTTGCCACCACGGTACCATCGGGTTCCACCATCTTGTCCAGCAGATGTTGCCGCCGTGAACATCGCCAGGTACGCGCCTTCCGGGCTACGGTCACGTCCGAACTCCACCCTCTCGCTCGCCCAGGAGTCCCCTCGGATTCGTGCGGCTTCCTCTCGTTCGTTCGATTCGCGCGACTCGAGTAGCTTCTGACTGGGGGTCGCAACCCGCGCTGACCGTCGTGGCGCCTCGACCTCTGGTATCGGTAACGCCTGTGGTGCTGCTGCTGGCTCCGCTTGCCCTATCTCCCCCACGCCCTGTGCGTCTACTTCCTGCCAGTCGCCTTCCTGAGCTGCGTCATCGACCAGCTCGGCACCGCCCTGCTTCACAACCCCGTCGTCCGTGTCCACCTCGATGGGGGCGTCCTGAGTCAAGGTTCGGTGACCTGGGCCTTCCTCGAATATGACGTTGCGGCTGCGAATAACCCGCCCGGCTGCGGGGTCCCACAGGCGATAGTTGGCGTTCTCAGTGTATCCGACTAGGATACACCGAGTCGACTTCGGGTCGAGCTTCGTCCGCGTCTCGTCAGGAACCTTCGCCCAAGCCACCGAACCGAACGCGCGCAGGTGAGCGACATTCGGTATGCGTCCGTGCCACCGCTCGTACGGGGTGTGTCCCTTCTGGCGTGCTGACGCAGTGAGGTTCTTTACATACGTCGCTGTCCTGTACGCTTCTCCCCATAGACCGACGGGTAGTCCAGCGTCGAAGAGCATGGCTCGCGCGTGATCGCCCAGAGTCCGGTGTCCTCGTTCGGCCACTCCGTCCTGCTGCGGCGTGTAAGGCGTTGTTAGCTCGTGGACGATGCCGTGTTCGCGAGTGTACGACTCCCAAAGCGCGTTCTCGAACTCCGGTCCATTGTCGGTGCGTATGCGACGTAACTTCTTCCCTGTTTGCAGTTCGGCTCTGGCGTGGTAAGCCTTGAATGCCTCGAGAGTCTCTGAAGCTTCCTTGGTCCGAAGGAGTTCGCATTCTTCGTATGAAGACGCGCCGTCGTGTATGGTCATGCCGTGGTAAGCCCCACCCATTGATGGCTCACGCGCTCGTCCCGTCAGGTCGATGTATACTCGTTCTAGGACTTCCTCCTCGACGTTTGAGGAGGTGAACGGTGCTCGAGGGTGCTTGCCTTTGATGCAATCCTCGCACTTTCCTCGCGGCATGCCTCCGACTAGCTGCATGCCAGTGACCACGCCGGACTTGGCCATCTCGATCACGGTGCGCTCGCTCGCGTGCCCGAAGCGTCGGTGCCAAGTGTGAACGTCGGTTGCCTTCGCATTGGTGAGGGACGCGAATGCGCTCGCTCCGCCAGAGGTAATACTGCCTGCTGGCACAGCGTCACGCTCGAGCCGCGTCAGCACAACCTCATACAGGTTGTTGGCAGTCAGCTTTCCGACTAGCATTGGCTCCCCTCCCCCGCTTCCAACGATCCTCATCTCTCCGCTCCTGATCTGAATCTCGCCTCCATTGCCGTCAATCCGAGATAGGGAGATGAGGTTGGCTGCGAGGTCGGGGACATGGAGGGCGTTTCGGAACGTCACAATCGAGCGACGACCCTCGATCAGCATCTCTGCGTGGACGCACCCGACACCGATGATCGTGAAATCCGCTCCCCGCTTCGCGCTGCTTCCGGTGTGGGGTTTGAGTGGGAGGTATTCGGAGAAGTAAGCCCGGTCGGTGAAGTAGTGATGACTCGCACCCGAATCCAGATAAGCCCGGATTGTCCCATTGGGCGTAGCCTGGTCGGCGGGAGCAGCGCTCGCTAGTAGGACGTTATGGAAGACGTCGTAGTTGTATGTCGAGGAGCCTGCGGAGGCTGCGGCAGCAGATGGGAGTGAAACTTGGGGAGGTGATGCGGCAGACGCAGCCGTGTTCGCGGCTGGGGTGGTATTTCCTCCAGGATGCGCCAAGTCGGCAGGCGATCCCTTCTTCGGCCGCGGTTGCGACTTCCAGTGTGCGGGCTGTTGTCCCGCCATACCCCCACCCTCGCAGTAGCATCGCTCCTTGGTATGTCCTTTCCACATGCACCAATCGCATATCATGGCTGCCTTCGCTGCGGTCATGAAGGCGGACGTTTTCTGCCCAGCTATCGTGGTCGTTAGCGTATCGCCGAGTGGGTTCTGAGGTCGACCGGATTGTAACATCGCGTTGTCGTGGACCGCGAGGATTGTGAGTATGACTTCCTCGGGGTCGGTTCGGGTAAGGAGTGGTGCCGTGATGTGCTCGTACGTGTTGCCCATCGACTGACAGATGACGATGGCGAAACGCGCGTTAGTGAGCGGGGAACCGATCTCACGACACGCTTTGCGGCGGCGACGCAGTTCCTCGATGTGAGCATGAATGTCGTCTCCAGGGACGTACTTGCAAGCTCTGAGGTATTCGTCCGCGTTCTGTATCGCCAACTCGCTCCTCCTCTCCTTCACAGCCAAAAGCGCGCTCCAAAACTCGTGCGCGGTCTTCCCATGAGGTTCGATCCCACAACTCTCGATGTCCATGTTAAGGGTACAGGTCGCCTTTGCCAATAGGTCATCCTTTCGCCATTTTGCGATCGCCTTCGCTTCAGTCGGCGTTGGAGTATCGGCGACTGGTATCGGGGCGGACGTGGTGCCGTCGAGGTGCTCGAGAACCCCCTTTAATTCGGCGATAGTGAGGATCTTGCTCTTCCACTGGATCCAGTTGGATCGCGTGAGGTGAAAGTTCTCGGGTAAGATGAGTACTTTCTCTTTGTCGTCGGCCATGGTGGGTATATGCGCGTTTTCGAAGGATATATGCGTGCGGGAACGTGCAATTGCGTCGGTCTAGTCGTCAGATGGGTGGTTTTGCCCGAGTTGCGTCGTCGAATGGTACAATGGATTCGGTTAAGCGAACGAGACAGGGCTCATAACCTGTTAAGGTTACAATGTCTCAGTCGCGTCCTTGTGGTACTCGACTGCTATTGATACACTACCTGTTAAGGTTACAATGTCTGTGATGTACAGAATGAGCGTCCGAGACTTGAGAAATAAGGATACACCTGGCTTACCTCAGTCGCGTCCTTGTGGTACTCGACTGAGGCAGCCCTATCCGAAACGCGTCCGTATGAGTCCGTGTCCGAGTCACGTGTCCGTGTCAACATTAGCGCGCACGTCCCGATCCCTCCTCAACACTGCCAGTGAGGGAATAGGGATAATTATCAGTAGAGGGTGCTCAGTGCTGTCCGAATGCCATCGTCTCGATCGCCGGGGACGAAAGCACAGCGGCTCGGCGAATGCCGCGCGGCCTAGGCTGCGTTTCGAATCTGTAAATCACACGCAGGCTCAAGCTGCCAGTGTACTCAATTACGCATGAGCGACAAGGCGATTCTACGAGTCGAGTCTATTGATTTCTGAGTCAGTGACATAAAGAGATGGTGACAGAAAATCAGTGTGGACAAACGTTCTTTGTGAGGGCAGCCTGCACAGACTTGGCACAAACTGAGCGCGAGCCCATGACCAGGAGGAGGGGAGGGCACAAACAGTAACAAGAAAGACTGCCGGTGGTGACATCGGGTAACTACAACACAGCCCCAGACTCATGTATAGAGCATCAATGTCAGTGGACCTCTGGCAGTCGGATAGCATTCCGTGTGATCAACGTTAACGTAGACATACTACAATTGGCAGTATAGAACATACATTGCATACTAAAACTCTACATACAGGGTAGGCATAACAGTACCTCGTAGTCCGGATACCCACTCATGAGACATAAAGCATCCGAGCTAGTGTCTTCCTTCCGGTCTGTGCAAGGGGAGCAAAGGAGGCGCGGGTACATAGTGCCACGCCGTGTATGGGACTCCGATGTAGGGTGCATTAGGGGGGATCATAGGCATGAACTGGCTCACGGGGCCATGATTGTCACCCATCCGAGGACGGACCACTTGACGGTGTAGGTCTACGCAAACAGTATCAGCAGAGACACGCATACACCGGTAACATAACGTACCAGGAGTGGCTTCTCTACTATCCGCAACTACTACCCCATCCCACTTGACTTCTACAGCAACACGCCGGAGGTAATTCACGCTTGCAGAAGTGATATGGCGGCACTCGGTCAGATGGATCTCCTTTATCTGTGCCCCGTCCTCGTAGCGCTGTACCAGAGTGTTCTCCAGGCCATCCGCCAGTTCGCCAAAGGAGATGCATTGGAACATCAGTACCTCAAGATGAGGGAGGAGATATGGGGCAGGCCGGTGCTGATGTTGATAATCGCTCTGCTGCCGTGGACGGGTCCACCGAGCATAGCCACCCAACACGCGGACTACCTCAACGGCGGGGCGATTGGTGACACGAAGCGATGTGACGCCTTCGCACTGACGGAAGACAGTGCCTGTGAGTGCCTCGCTGAGGGCTAGATCCTCGATATGTAAGTTCTTGATGCTTGGCGCAAAAGAGAGTCGCGAGAAAACGTCGGGGAGTCGGGCCTCCATACGATAGAGCAGTTCGACGAAGACTAGGCGAATACAAAATGGTCCGTCATCGTTGGATGATCGCATTCCAGTAAGTATCGCGTTTTGGGCTTGTTTGTAGCAGCAGAGATGCACGTCCGGGCCGACGTGGCGCAGTGCAAGAGCATAGATATTTTGTGTCGCATGTCCCAGGGTCGAAGTGAGCTTTGCAACATATTGGCCGAGTTCTCCAACTTCATCGCGCCATTCGATCTCTGCGCTGAATGAATTAAGAGACGGGATTGAGAGTGTCTCGACCAGTGTAGTGCACGTCCGGAGATTTGAGGTAATGTGGAGCGATTTCAGGCGCGGAAGGTTGATACTGCTCGGAGGGGGAAGCACCGTGTTCCGAGGGAACTTGAAGCAAGGGGTGAGGGCATGATCCAAGCGTAAGGTTTCCAGCAACGGCAGACCGCGAAGTCTCGTCAGCAGTTGTACAACGTCGAGCTGCGAGTGTTTGTCCACCTGGCTGAGCGTCAGATGTCGCAAGGTCGACGAGACGAGAAGGGGCCAATCGAAGGTAGCCCGGCCAGCCAAGTCGAGGCATTCCAGACGAGGAGCACGACCGCGGAAAAGGCGCGTGAACTCCGGCGGCGCGCTTGGGTAGTTCGTACATGTGTTGCGTATCTTCAGCGTGCGTAGCTCAGGAGCGGGGTTGTTCTCCAGCTCCGGCGGTACGTATGCATCCGGCATCGTGATCCGGAGACTGCGGCAACGAGATAGTTCTCCGAGAACCAGACGCAGGGTCCTGGCCTTGTCGTTGGCCACGAAGGAGTCGACCCAGACGACGACGTCCAGCGGCATCCGCTGCGAGCGGCGGAGTACCTCGGCGATGAAGTCTTCGCCAGCAGCGAGAAAGACACTGCTCCAGAGCGCAGGGAAATCGAGCGCAACTCTGCGCCACTGTCGGCAGACCTGCGAGAGAACTATCCAGGAGTATGGCCGTTGTCGTTGTCCGGGGAAGTACGCGGAGTTCTCAGTCCAGACAGTGTCCAGGTCACCTTGGAGGGCGACACAATACATGAAGATCGCCACGAGGAGCTCGTCGGGGAGTCTGCATATCGGAGAGAGGGCGTTGATCTCAGCCTTGACCTCGACATTCCTTGCATGAAGTCTGACGAGCTCTTCCAAGAGTTGCCCGCGCCTGGCCGCGATGTTCCCAGGTCGACTGCCCTGAGATGTACTAGGCTCTCTTGTGGCGCGAATCAGTCAATCATGGCATAGAAGAAAGTGGACTAAGGCTACGCACAGTTCTGTGCTCTGCATCTCGACAGCTGTGGGGAAGCTTCCAAGTGGCTAGGTGGTGGTAGGAGTTCAAGTCCGTGTTGAGGGTGTGGCAGTACTTTGGCCTGGAGCCACACAGATTGGCCTCGGCAATTGCCACCCGTCCCAGTTATGGAAGGACTTGTCTTTTGTGAACTCTGGGCGGGCTATTGTTCTGTTGTCGCGGAACAATCTGATCACGCGAGACGGCAGGCTTCTGATGTACCTGTACACGAGGTATTTCGCCGAGCAAAAGCGTTCTTGTTGCGCCAAGTATTGTGCTATGGGGCAATGAGATTCCTCACGAATTGCCTAGCGAGCGGTCAATCAGTGGAGAAGTCGAAGGTAGATGATCAAGAACCTACCTAATATAGCCTTCTCAGGATTGCATGTACCGATGTTGACTGTCGCAGAGATCAATACAGTCAATATGATTGCAGATGTGATAGAATGCTACAATTGAGCTGACTTCCTGTGGTACGACGATACACAGCAACACAACGACGACGCAACGACGAAATCATACCAAACGATACAGTGGACAACTGGACACCTCACTCAGTCGCCTTGCCCTTCCCCTTGCCCTCATCCTTTCCCGTCTCGTCCCGGATCCCACCATCCGAGAAGTTCAAGATGCCCGCGATATCAAGCATCTTCACGACCTGCTCCGCGTCGTCGACCTTCATATTCCCAAGGACATTGTTTACCTTGTCGAGCTCCTGCGTCTTGAGCGCCTCCTGGAGCGCGGGCGGGAAGCCCTCGAAAACGTCCCAGCGGAGCTGCAGCATCTTGCGCACGTCCTCGATGTTGACGTCCTCGAGGCCCTCGCCCTCGAGCTGCAGGTTCTCCGGCGGCGGCCCGTCGGGCACGTTGAACGAGATCTTCTGCGACGGGTCCTCGGGCACGAGCTGGATCTGCTCGGTCCCCTCTGCCGCGGTCGCTTCAGCCTTGGAGATCCGCACGCGCTCCTTGAGGTGCTTGTATGTATCAGCCACGTCCTTCTCGAACACGGCTGTTGCTCGAGGATCGTGGTCGATCATCCTGTGATAATGATGAGCATCATCTACATCGAGGACCCACTAAGGTACCCACTTTCGGAAGAAGACGCGCACGCCATCGCCGCCGAGCTTGTCGCAGTACTGGATGAGCAAGCTTTGGTGGACGCATTGCTGTGCGTAGCGGTACTGCCCGTTACTCTCAGCCGTGAACGCCGCTACAAGCAAGGCGTCCGAGGCACCGGGGACCATGACATCCCGGTGGCTCTTGATGAACTCCCAAGACTGCTCGTACCCGCGCAACGGAAGGCGAGAAAATCCCTCCAATGTCGGCGTCAGCTCGGGTAGCTCGTCCTCATCCGTGCTAAGTGATGATGGTGCAGAGGGAGTGGCTTCGTCGGCGACCTCGACGCCCTTCGGGTTGATGACCTCGAACTCGGTCGTAGACGTGGATTTCTTCTTTGGAGGGTCTACCTTCGCACCCTTGATTGGTGGCGGAGCGGGTTTCGGAGGAACGTACTAGGCAGAGGTAGAGTTGAGCGCTGTGGCGTACATCATCACGACCGAAAACTCACATGCGACTCCCATCCCTCATGTATGTCGTCGCTCGTGATCTTCTTCTGCGAATCCTCCTCAAGCTGCTTTAACTCCGTCTTGAGTTTCTCTTGGTGCCCGCCTAGCTGCTTGATGTGCTTCCTCAGTCCAGCCTCGAGCGCATCACCGAGCTTCGGGTCGTCAGGTTCTACGCCGGACTTCTTGACCTCGTCCCATACTTGGAGCATCAGGGCGAGGAGCATTTCGTCGTACGTCTTCTGACCGGGCGCGTCGGTGGGTGGCTTGTCGGGCGATGGGCTAGTCTTGAACTGCTCGGTGAAGGCGGAGAATCGTGGGGGCCCTTGCGCGGCGACCTCGTCTGCGATGGTGCGCAATCGTGCTTCGAGGATGTCGTTGCACGCTATGTCTGCTTGCAGCTGTACCATACGGTGCCGACGCTGCTCGCGCTTTTCATGGATGTCGCGCTGCTTCCATCTGCAACAAAGGTCATGACGCGTCATCTTCCGCACGGAGCCGAGACGCACCTTACCAGAGACTTGTGGTCGACATTCGGGTGTCCCTCGATGTCTGAATCGTCGGAGATCTAGCACATCGTCGCGTCGGCAGTATGTCACAAGCAATGTGAACAAGCACCGACCTCGAGCGCATCCCACTTGGAGTAATTGAGAGGCATGTTACCGATCCCAATATGTCAGGATCCACTGAGAAAGTATATTCTGCGGAGAAGGTAGTCGTACGGGTTGGATCGCTGGTCGCTGCACTCTGACGAAGTGGACTTGGGACTGACTTGGGATGTAGAGAGTGAATGTGGCTGAGAGGTGCCAAATACAGCACTCGAGTCGGTATGCTCGGGAAGCTTCTCGAACCAGCTGCCATCGATCAAAGCCGAATCGATCTGGATTGATCCTTGTCCGAGCTTGCGAGGAGGCGCCAAGGAGGCGCTCCCTCGACTCGTCGCGCTCCCCTTGACTCAGTAAGGTGGTTGTGCTCAACAAACTCAGAGTCTCAGACTGCAGGTACCGTTAAGTACAGGGCATGTACTACTACTGTCGCCGCAGCAAGTTGCAAGTGCCAGTTGCAGGATTCGACCCTGGTGACTAGTACAACCCGGACCACTATGAATGATACAACAACACGGCAACGACTGAGCGGTAAGCAGGGTCTTCACGATTGAAACGCCTTCTTGCAGCGCTGTACCGAGGCCCTCGATTGCACAATGTGTGACGTGTCTTGCTCACGTTCGCTCGAGGCCCAGTTATTCGAGTTCCTTGGCACAGTATTGGTGTACTGACGCTACCCCGGTTTCCCCTGTTCGCTACCGCTTCGGCGAATCCGCCAAGTGAATGCCGCCTGGATAGACTACTTGACTTGTCACTTCTGCATCTTGCAGCTCCTAGGCGCTTTGAATGCGAGCACGACGTACGAGGGTCCACGACAATCGAGCTCTCCGTACTACCTGGATTTGGTTCGAGCCGCCGAACTCGTCGTAACACAAATCGCAATCTGATCGGGAAGATCCACAAGAGATAAGTAATTAGGCACAGGACCCACAGACCGGGACCAGGTTTCCTTCCATATGGCGCACTCGGTCGGAGCTGATACTTACAGCTCGGACTATTATTTCTCGCAACAACCTGACAGCCCGCAGGCACTTGAGGCCGCCCCCTCTCGCACGACGGTAACGTCCCCCAAGACACCCACCCACCCGCGCAAGCCGTCCACAACAGCGATACCACAATGCCCACGTCCATAAAGCCAGACAACCGTAAGTAAAACGGACTGGCTAAGATCATGGTCACTCATATTGCGCGATCATGTTGGCTTAGATCTTGGAGGCGCTCACAGCGCTCACAGCGCTCGCGGGCAGCTGTTGACGATGGCCGGGCAACTTGAACACCCCGCAGCGAATCGCTACGGTCTCTCGCATCCTCCCCGGCACGAGGTTTCTCACGAAACGTCCAGAAGCCACACACAAGCCGGCCCTGCCGACGTGCGTCCAAGCGACACGCAGGCGAGTGCGTACCATACCCCACAGACCTCTTCCTCGGACCACCCACCACTCGCGCAACGAATTGCGTCTACCTTGAGACGGTCAAGCAGTGCCGTTCATCTGCTACAGGACAAGCAAGCACCGCAGCCGGAGGAAGCGGAGACCAAGCCTCCGCAACCCTGGGTCACTGGCTCGACGCGACGCTCCTCGAGTTCCTCGAGCTCATTCGATAGACAGCCATCCATAGCAACATCCCGCCCTTCGAACGTCTCGAGTCTCACAAGTCTCGCTCACTCACCAAGCTCACGCGAATGGCACGATCCTAAGTCGGTATGGTACTATTCACTTGGAGAAAACTTCGTCCCTTCAGACTGACACCAATACACAGGAATCCTCGCACCAAGGTAAAAGTCATCAGTGGAGTCAAGAGAGCCACGCCACCAACTCATACGCCGACCCAGGACACAGCTTGAATAGCGCCGACACATTCGAGAGCGAAGAGGTCGACCTTGACGAGCTGCGACGTATCATCAAGAAGATGGAAGAACGCGAAACCAACTTCGTGAAGCGCAACGGGCGGAAGCTCCACAGACACCCTGCCAGCGCGGTGCCGTACCCGCGAAGCTATGATCGCGAAGTCGTGGACCAGTGAGTAGATTGTCGCACGCGTGTGATGCCGCGGGCTGACACCGTGAGAACAGCGACGTGTGGTGCTTGATGTGGGCGCACCAGTTCTCCGGGAACGTGGCATGGCATCTATACAAAACCGCGCCGCCAAAAGTGTGAGTAGCCCCCTCTTCCTTACGGCAGCTTTATTGACGTCCTGTAATTTAGGCTAGACTTGGGCTGCGGTGCGTCATAAAGTGTCTTGCATTTGTCGCCCTCCTGTATCTGACAGTAATTCCAGGGACGGGGACTTGGATTCTGGACGCAGCCAAGAAGTGGAAGGTACGCAAATATGTCGATATATGGCTGCATCCGCTCACACCTACATCGTACAGGATACTCACTTCGTCGGTCTGTATACAACTATTCCGTATTCCGACGTTCCTTGACGAACGTACAATATGTAGGCCTTGACATCGTTCCTCTCCATCCGAACCTAGAGGAGATAGATCCAATCCTGGCATGGCGAGTGACATGGGTGCAAGCCAATTTGTACGTCTCATTCCCGATATTACGGTGCGCGGTTAACCTCCTCGCTCGGTAGCTTGGAACAACTACCTTTCGACGACGGTGAATTCGAGTTCATGTGAGTGGGGTGAGTTGTGCGTATCGACTTGCCCACCTAACATATGTATCCTGTGAAGCCATGTGCGTCGGATTGCGCGAGGAATTCCTGAGGATAAGGTATGTGTTGCAGCAGTTCGGTGAGTTGTCAACGACTGACATGTTACAGTGGGATCATGTGCTCGAGGTTGGACATGCCTTGCATCCGGCGTGTGTATATTTGTTCATGTCACGTCACAGGAAATATCCCGCATCCTGAAGCCTGGCGGGGCGTTCCAGGTATGCTTGTATCTCTTCATGATCGCGCTGAGTCGTCCCTAACCGTCTACACGGCCAGATCTCGGAGGAAGACTTGACTTTCCCCGGTATTCGTCAGGAACTTCCCGTGAAGAGCGACGACCCAACTGCAACCGCAAACCCAGACGAGCCGTTCTCGGTGGGCTCTCCGCTCGCGCGGCCCCGTGCTCCTACACCCTCGTCATCCATGATCAATCACGACCAAGATATACCCACATCCGCGATACCCAATATATCCCAGGGCATGTCCTTCCAGTCGGACGCTGGCTCTTTCATTTCGCCCCACGATTCTTCGAACAATCTACCCGAGGAGACTCCAATAAATCCGCATGACCATTCGCTGCTGGAGTTCATCTACAACGAGATGCATGCTGCGAGGTTCATAAATCTCATGCCGCTGTCATTGCTCAGTAACATGCTCCCTCTGTACTTCCAAGGTACGTTCGGAAGCCTCATCCTCCAACGTGTATTGACGACGTATTGACAAAGTCGATACAGGGGTGCGTACACATCCTCCGCTGATGACCATGTTCCCCCCTCCGCCCCACGAGTCCTGCAACCTCGGTACCGGCCCTCCGCCCCAGAACTCCACTGCTAAGAGCACACAGTCGGGACCTCATCTTACAAAGAACTATGTCATTCGTTCACAGGATGAGGCGCCGCCGTCCGAGTCCGACCCAGCAGACGACCTCATGAGCTCCGAGACCATCGCGACGCAAGTCGTGCGTCTCGACCTCGCGCATCTGAAGCCAAGCCCAGACGGCAAAACGCCCTTCGTCGGCGTCCCACAGCTCATAGCCGGCAGTGCCAAGTATGTCAGCGTCGATATGGCGCGATACGTCGCGTACGCGCCGCGCTCGCTTTTTCGGCCCAACCAGTTCCAGCAGAAGGAGCCGGTGCCTCCCTTGCCGAAAGGCGCGAAAGACAGTGACTCGCAGAATGCAGCTGGTGGCGCGGGTGGAGGCGCGAAAGAGACCTCGGGCAAGGACCGCCTTCCCATTACCGCGATCAAGTTCGATGCGCGGACGCTCAATCTGCATCTCAGCCTGAGGGTGCAGGAGGTACTCGCATGCGCCGAGGCGATGTGGGAGTTCGTCGAGTCGTACCAGGAGAGGGCGGGATTGGACCCGCCGGAGAGGAAGGCGCCGTCGGTGGTATCTTCGCTCACTGGGTCGGACCCTACGGGCGCAAAACCCCCGAGGCCAGTGAGGAAGACCACGAGGAATCCTAATTGGAGGGAGCTCCTGAGCTTGCGGCGCTCGGGCTTCGACGCGCTGCTAATGCGGTTCAAGTTGTGAGTGGGTTCGAAATTTTGTGCTCCTTGAATTTCTGCGCATTCCAAGCCGGTCGCTGACATGACGACACCAGTGACATGGAGGACTGCTTGGGCTTCAATGCAGTGTTGGAAGATCGTCTTGGTTGGAAGCCCGTGCCAGTCTCACGCAGCGAGGAACGCATGGAGTTCGACGCCATGTGCGATGCATGGGCTGAACATCAAGACCTGCGAGCCAACAGCACTTCGTTCAGCAACGACGTCGCACCTCGGCTGAGCATACCATCGGTGCCGCGCTCCTCCATATCAATGGACTCGTACGCCGCACGGAGTGACGAAGGGCAGGACACTCTACGAGGACCGAGGTCGGGCGCATACTCCGCTCTGCAGACTGTGCGCGAGTCGGAGGACCTACCAAGGATCTCGCAGGGCGAGTCGATATTCACCGGCAGGCCTCGCCGCCAACATCCCATCCCACCGCACGAACGCCTCAGTAGGACTATCCGTCTCTTCGTCGCGTTCAAGCCGTCATAAGGATGGCCCGCCCCATTCGGTCGAGACTGCAGGCCGCTGATCCATCGTCGGAACCGAATGTCGTGCGCCAGGATGGAGCCTAGTAGGCAAAAGGCCCCGACCTCGTTCATGACCCCGGAGCCAGGGCAGCACCGTTCTGGGAGATAACGGCGCGAGGGCGCAATAATGAAAAGGTGACAATGGTCCTGCTCCCGACTCGGCGGGGGCAGGTTACCAACTCGGTGGGGAAGGGGCGACGGCGGCATCGTTTCGTGCTACAGAACCCGATGGAGGTGCTCTGTTCTCGACGTCGCGAAGTTTCATTTCCGGACGCCACAGCGCGCGGGGGGCGTGGCACGTCGCACTGAACGGTACATTGACAGGGAAGATGGCCATCTGGCTCCTCAAGGACTGACCGGCTCGCACTTCGTACGTACGGACCTACGTGATCGAGCGCACTTCCGTCTCCGAGCTCTTGATGATAGGGGGCCTCGTCCCCCGCAGGAGATCGCAATACCAAGAACGAGCGCACTTCGCGTTTTTGACGAAGCTTCTCCGTATTTCTCGTGACAGCGTGTAGTCAGCGCACGATGCGGCGATCTATCTCCCCCTCGATGATACTCCGCAAATGAAGCTTCTGGCAAATATACGCCTCCATGAATTCTTGTTTAGTCTATTGTGTGGGTGCGCTGCGCTGATCATTAACGGTGCGTATTTAGCGGTGAGTAACCCTCCCAGGGTATGTATGTTCAGCAGCACTGGTTGCTCTTGACGAGAACGTTGGATCCGATTTAGCGTGCTCTCACTGGTAGCTTCTGCTGCCTGTCTGGTAGCGTATTCCGTTGCTCGTATTGGACGGACGTTTTCTTCGCATGCTCCCGCTCATCGGACGTCGTCGAGCGCCATCGCGCGGGTTCTTTTGCGAGGACCCTAATAAGGTGCGAGGACTGCCTTTCCGGGGCAAACCTGCCTTTTCTGTCCGTCTCCCGTTCGCAAGTGGCCGGGCGGCATGTGCGCGCCACAAACATCACGCTCCATTTCTGTGAGGCGGATGGCGAGCTGCGAGCGCCTTGAGTCTGCCCTCCGGTGTGCTTCGCACCCTGGCAGAGGTGAGACCCACTGTAAGTGAGGGCATCTGGGGGCTCGGGATGAGTCTGTTTGACAATTTCATTATGAACGGAGGTACGCAGCATCCGCGTGGTGTGAATCGAAGGCATGTGAAGGGTTCTGTAGGGAAACGGGAGAGGTGAAAAGACGCAGGACTGGCTTATGTCTAATGGCCGACGGTACTCTTCTACGGGCCAGAACGCTCTTGGCTGGACAACATGGTCAGAGGTATACATATTCATATTCATCGGCTCGGGACTGCGATAACATTCGGGACACGGTGCATCTGACGACGTGGCCCACCGTCAGCCAGTCGATGTGCCGCGTACTGCCAGCGAGGCTCTGCCGACCTTCCACCAAGCTTAAGCTTTTGTCACCGGAACACCGCGGAACACCCTCATTTCCCAATCTCGGCCAAGTCCACACTTCCCAGTACAGACCACACGCCCAATAGAGTTCATTGAAGTTGCTACGCAACCACCGGCCCACATCCCGAACCATGGGAGCCTCCGCACGCCGCTCTCCCAGGACGCCCTTCGCGTTCCTGGCAATGGCCGCGAGCCTCGACCGTCGAAGAACCCGAGCGCATTCTAGCAGGACGCCTATGAATAAGACTTTCGCATCCGGCCTGTTCTAAAGAGTGAAGCCTCGGGAGAAGGCGAAGGGCCGTTAGTGGCCGATGGGCCTGGAGCGAGATGCTTGTACCAATGCGCTGCTTTAGGTTTGGCTGGGCTGTAGGTCGGTGTTGCACGAGCGGAGGGCTGGGTGGAAGTTCGGAAGGAGTGAGATAAGACAAGATCTAGAGATTCGAGCTGTATCTAGCCTGAATATGTTCCGGACCTTCCGGTGAATGTTCACTCGTCCATCTGCGCACTTTTACCTTTACTATGCTTCCGCGGGGGCATGAGAGTGTGAGCTACTCGTGCTCAGACGCGGAGGAGATGATATTCCGAGCCCAGGTCAGTAGCACTTACCGTACGTTACCTGGCACTGTACGACAACATCGTGACGGGACCATCAAATCGGGCCATCTTGAGTGAGGTCACACAACGCACCGATAGCGCGGTTCACTAGGATGTGTATACATCCCAAAAGGAGAATGTGAAAGGCTATGGCCGGTGATAGCAAGGGCAACTGTGTCCTGAACGGTATTGGTCTTGATAGTGAATTCCAACACTTCAGGTCTGCGGTCCAACGCCGCACGAAATCAAATGGTGCATTCTGGGCACAACCAAAGAAAGAAAGGACCCAACACCATATCTGACAAGAGTCTCGATGCACCGCGGGACAGGCCGGAGTTGGGCCAGAGATAAGTAAAGCAGGGGGCTCAACATCTAAGGTTGAGAGGAACTCAGTTTTCACGGACGGGAAGGGGGGCGTGGGGGACAAACTTCGCGTTGCCTATCTTCGGAACTCGGAGGTAATGCATCGCATGGATGTCGATGTGAGGATGAGCGAATCACGACAGTACGGACAATGAAATGAGTTGTCCTATCATATGGAAGCCACAAGGAGCGGAACGCCGGCGACATTGTGCGTCAAAACCATAGACTTGTCATAGACTCTACACAATATGACAGCTGCGGTGGAATGGGTGGCACGTCAAACACTGGTCCACGGTCTCGGCGTGTCTCTGGGGGTGCCACTGTCCACTTGATGCGTAGCAAAATGGAATGAAGCAACGCCTCGCGGGGGAAGACTCGGGGTGAGCGGCACGTACCATTAATGAGCATAGATATGATCATCTAGACACGCCACAAACGCAACGATGAACGGCGAAGTCATCTACGCCAACATCCAGGAATATACATACCTGCAGTAGCAGCAGACCTCGGAACCCAACACGCTGGGCAACCTCTCGACAATACAACCCTCATCGACTCTATCCCCCACCGAACACGACAACGCAAGCCAGATCCAGTTCCGCAGGCCAGCTATCTTGGGCCCGTTCCCAGCGCGGAAGGCCTCGTGGCCCTTCATCGCGCGACACTGACATCGACGTCGACGCGCGGACCCAGCGAAGGTTCAGAGAAGGCGCCACAACTGATCGCAGGAACACGGCGGCGCTCACAGTGAACGCACGCCATGCGCGGCGAACAATGCGGGGCTGTGATTCCGTCACTCAGTGCGTACATGTGCCTGTGGATGGGTCATGGAAGTACGCACGGGTCTGCGCTGCGATGTTGTTCCGAGGTTTGCTACCTTCGCAACTTGATGGACCTTCTTTAGGTTTGTTGCATCATCTCCGGGTTGTGCCAGCTGCCTTGGATGAACTAGATGGCAGTGCCGCGAGAATGAGCGATAGAGCACATATGTAGTGTAGAGGGAACAACGCACACTTAGCAGCCTGAAGAGCAGACTAACGATAGAGCGTGGACGAGAGGCTCTGCCATCACTGTTCCCATGAACAAGTATCGTTTCCCGATCAAGCCATGCCCACAGGCCACAGCGTAGCACGCACCTTAAGCTTCCCCACATAGCGCTCGGAGCTTCTCGGGCAGCGTACCACGGTGCAAGCACCGCACGCTTCCGTCCACGCACCACCAGCCTAGCACACCGTGCCCGCATCTTCGCGTTCCCTCCCAGCATCCGTCATCTTCGCGAAGAGATCCGCGCGCGCATGCACGCTACAGTACTCAGTCTCTGGGGACGCACACACGCCCTCCCGCCCTGATCAGGCTGCCACCCGAAGCGCATAGGCAGGAGCACGATCACAGCTTCCCACCAGGGCCTCCCGAGATGGAACCTAGTCCGACAGCCTGCGCGCACAGACCCACGAGCGTGCCCCCGGGCCCGGCGACCCGGCGCGCTCGAGCGATCGATATCGAATCCATGAACGGCGGGTCTTCCGCAATCGCAAGCACAGCAAGCCTTCCAAGACGAGTGCCACAGCGAGTCTGCCAGACCCCAGTGCAGACACGCATCTGTGCACCACTGTGGTTCCGTTGTGCATGGCGGTCGCACGCGGTGCCGAGACCGTCCGAGACCGTCCTACTCATCCATTGAGTCGACTTCATTATTGTCTATCATCCGTGATTCAGAGATAGCCCAGCCAGCCCACGCCTCCCACGGAACGTGCTCAGCGAACTCGAGGGTCTGTCTTGCCCTCCGGAGTGCACCACACCATACCATGTCGGGCAGCCGGCGGCAACCCTCGACTCGGGAGGCCCGTGCGCTCGGGCTCCGGAGGCAGTCGCAGGGAAGTGGACACTGGCAGGCCGGCGTCCGATTGCGAGTCTAACTTGGGGCAAGGGCCCAACTTGGGGCGGCGTAGATTGATGGGCGACTAGCGGCAAATGAGCATCTGCATGTCCGCTCAGCACGGAATGAACACTAGTACTAGCGACCGCGTCTCGTTCCCTTCGTTTGCGTCCCTTGGTCGTTAAGGACAAGCATCGATTGATTGTTGCGCTGTCGCGAGTCCGACAATTAGGACCGGATCCTGGGCGTTGTTGTACAGCGTACAGCTTGCCCGGACCTCGGAGGGTGCGGTGCCTGTTCACTTGACAAGACTCGTGCGTCCAGAAGCGACGTCCCATAGCGGAAGTCGAGAGCAACTTGAAGGCACGATTGGCTGGAGGCTGAGCTCGTCGTGCGAAGCCACCCCGGGTGCCAGACTTGCGGAGATAGCATGCTCTCCGGGTGGCATGAAAGCAGGGCACGCACTACGGGACGCTCCATTATAGAAGAAGGCAAGTTTCGCGTTCTTCTACCACGAACACGCGCGAATGCAATTGGCCCAAGCGCTACTGGGAAAGCAAGCTCGATCGTAAACGCGCACACCCCGAGCGACCCTGCAGACGACGCGAGATCGCCCGCCGAGCTGGTAGCTTGTTCGCCTACATGGGGAACCCGCGCCTCGAGACCCAACGCACCAGTCACATCTTTGGAAATAGATGCCAAAACGGGCGGCAGACCTCTGAATGGCCCGCTCCCCTTCCGGAGCGCGCCAACTGAACGCGTCCGTGCTGGTGGGCAGGATCCGGCAAAGATCGTCGAGGGTCGGACTGTTCGCGCGATCCGCTTTCTCCTCCGGGCTGCGAACGTCATGGATTCGGCAAGAATATACGACGAAGTCCCTGTGCGCTCCTCGGCCCACTGGCAGCGTGCTCTTCGTCGCCAACAGGAACCAGGGCACCGGAGCACACTGTGGCACAGAACAGAGTATTCGATCCCAGCCTCGCCTCCATTCAGGAACCCAGAAGAGTGTCTGCTCCATTTCGTATCCAACCTCGCGTGCAAGGGCGATCGATGGACGAGCCACTCGCGCCATTCCAGACGTCGGACACAGTGGGCCCATCGCCAGACACGGAAGCCCACCCTTGAGCTTGTCGGGCAGTCGGTCTTCCTGTCCTGCCGTCGACCCGTGGCCAGAACGCATCGCGAGCCTGTCAAGACCGCCGTCGTCCCCGCCTGCACGTCATCCGCCCAGCAACAAGCACAACGAGGGGGACGCAGAAGCCACTCCCCCTCGCTACTACTCGGCCGTCGACGCTCGATCCGAGGGCCGCTACCACTGAGGGAATGAGGACCCGGCCGAGTAGCACAGCGCACGCACCAGACTCCAAATCGAACATTGCGCGCGTCTCTAGATCGGGCAACCTGCCTTCTCCTCTCGAAGCGACAGCCGAGGTAGGGTGGCCCGAAGAGGCACGCGCGGGCTCTGGGTACGTCATCGAGCTTCGTGCAGAAGCGGAAGAGCGGTGTGCGTGACGGGGGGAGCCACGAGGTTGCCGTCACGAACCCGAAGGCTTGAGAGGTCCGCGCCTGGATGGAAGGAAGCCGAGGCGCGGGTGGCGGAAGACGGAGAACAGGGCGCGGAGCGAGGGACGAGCGTGGTGTTGAAGAGCGGGCGTACATGATCTCGGGACACACAGTGTGCGCACGTACGTGCAGTGCTCCGCGTCCGTGTCTGCATTCGCGCTAGAGTCCACTCCGTAATAACCGGGCGATCGCCCGCTCCGGCGCAGCCCGTCGCGTCCGGCTTCGACTTCCGCGCTCGAGCAAGGTCCACGACCAGAAGGCGAGCATTACTGAGACGGCGGGGCGTTGACACAGACACGCAGACCACAGATTCCCGAATGCCGAAGTCCTATAGTTCATGCTGACAGGCGGGCAGGCGATTGGTACAGCCTCCGAGCGTAGTGCGCACGCCTGCCGGATCCAGATGTGTCGTGTTGTCTTCGCCCGTAGGCCATAGGCTGCGGCCGTCTGCGCGTCTGCGGTACCGCCGCTTCGGGAGGAGAGGCTGCCATATCCGGTGCACGCAGATCCACTGGCCACACTACCACCGCAGGAGAGGATCCAGCGTCAGAGGCACAGTCAGAGCAGGGAGGCAATGCAGCGGGAGAGGACTAGCAGCGGGCAGCTCGCAGCAGCCTGGGAGTGCAGCCCAGGAGAGGAAGGGACGCGGCGCGGCGCAGGGGGATTTGGCAATTGGGCCATCCACGAGATCCCGCACGTCGTCCTGGCCTCGGGGGCTCTGTGGAGCGCGCCGCTGTGCGTTCCTGCATCCCGTCTTCGTGCATTGAGTCCGTAGTCGACGGCCCTGGGTGCGCGGCGTGCGGGAGTGCCTAGTGTGTGTGCTATTAGAGATCGTGTGAGAGTGTGCATGAGCATGATCGGGAGGGCAGACTAGAAGCGTGACAATTGTCCTCGGTTCTGGGCGCTGGTTAGCCAAATTCAGCGGGCGATGGTGTACGGGAGCGACCACTGCGAGGCAACGCTCAACGCGTCGCGTCTTCGTCAGAGGTGTCGAGGCGGGGGCCATACGTGGCTTGCGGCCGCGCAGTGCTGCAGCCACAAGCCCCGGAGGCCGCCATCTCCTGGCCCGCTGAGCACACGTCGTACACGGCGAGTCAGCAAGACGCGCACAAGACGCGCACGCAACGGAGCCGCGTCCGAGACACTGGCGTTCATCAGCAAATAGTTTATATGGTGCATCGCCTGCCTAAGTAGTCCACGCCGCCCAGGCTCCGCCGCGCGGCTGTGCTGCGAGTGGTCGAGAAGGGCGAGGTGATGCTGGATTGCTGCGTTGGGCGGGACGACGCCTTGGGCGATCGGACTCGTGGGGAGATGGATCTGAGGTGCGTTCGAAGGGCAGCGGAAGCAAATCTGCGAAGTGCGTGATGGGCAACACAGTGGACGGTCGCGAGGACCCTGGGCAAGCGCTGCGCTGTGAGTAGGCAAGATGGCAACCAGCGCGGCGGGCCCGTAGCGACGACGACGCCGCCGCCGCCGCCCGCGACAGTGTCCGGATATGGGAGGCGGCGGAGACGTCGAGGACTCCGGCGGGACAATGGGCTGGACGGCGGCGGACAATGCGGGGATTGGAGGCGCCGCGCAGCCGGGCCACCGCATCAGATCGCACGCGAGGCGGGGTCCGGATCTGGGATGCATGGCGATCTCCCGATTGGGCGACGCCTTCGGGGTGCTCGGATGACTGAGCGCCCCAATATAGCAGCCGACCTGCCATATGCGCCCGTGTGCCTGGCTGCCGGATCCAGCGGTCACGCGTCGCCCGGCGAGGCGCGCACACGGTGCGAACGTGCGCGCGGGCCATGGATGCCCCAGCGAGGCGTGCGGCGGGAGCCTGTAGATCGGGCAGCGGGCAGCAGCAGAGCGAGGCAGTGGCGGGGGACAATGCACTGCAGAGAAGGGAGAGGGCGAGGCTGGGCGGGGGTGGCCGGGGGCGCGTGATGGCGATAAGATAGGACGTGGGGTCTGGGCTATGGCGTGGGAGAGCGGCGGCAGGCCCGTTTGGGGAGGGAGGATATATAGGGCAGTCACGGAAAAGGGAAGGGACTTTCCTCCTCTGCTCCTCCCATTTCCGGGCAACCCTTTTCGGGCACCCTCCATCCACCCAGACGCGTCCGCCCTCCCCGCCTCCTCCGTCCTCCCATCCTCCTCCCCCGCCATGCCAGACTCTGCCGCCGGCCTCGCTGGCAAGCGTCGCCTCGACGACCCCAATGGCCCCCACCACCCGCCCGCCGAGGACGCGTTCATCACCGACCACGATGCCGCCGAGTCCGGCGGAGACGACGACGAGGATGAGGAGAAGCCCAAGGGCGACAAGAAGGCTGGCAGGCGAAAGATCAAGATCGAGTTCATCCAGGACAAGTCCCGCAGACACATTACCTTCTCCAAGCGAAAGGCGGGCATCATGAAGAAGGTGCGTCCCAGACGCGTCTTACTCTCCCTTCCACTGCCTAACGAGCGCGTTTTGTCCAGGCATACGAGCTCTCGACGCTCACAGGCACCCAAGTCCTCCTGCTCGTCGTCTCCGAGACCGGGCTTGTCTACACATTCACCACCGCGAAGCTCCAGCCCCTCGTCACCCAACCCGAGGGCAAGAACCTCATCCAGGCATGCCTCAACGCGCCGCACGGCTCGCTCCCATCCTCAATGCCCGTCGGCACACCCCTCGGCCGCTCGAACCCCATTTCAACCCCCATGCCCCACGGCGGGCCACCAGGCGGCGCGCCCAACGTCCCCGGCGGCCTCGCGATCGGCTCGAGCGGCGGCTCGGGCAAAGATGATGAAGGCGACGACGCGAACGACGGAGAGGGCGAAACCAACGAGCCGCGCTCCCGCAAGCGCCGTCGCGCATCCTCGACCTCCGGCAACAACAACGCTAACTCGTCCGCACCCACTTCCCAGCCCGGCGCAGCCTCTCGCGCGACGAACCCTTCACCCGGCGCGCCCCAGGCGGGTGGCCCCCCTCCCGGCGGCCCGACCGCCTCGCCACACGCACGCCCACAGCCTATGCCCGCGCTCCCCGGCGCACCGCCCTCACTCGCGATACCCGGTGGCCAGCAGATGCCTGGCCAGCTCGAGCAGCACTCCCCGCGCCAAGGCCAGCAGCAACCTGGCCCGCAGCCTACGTCCCCGAACTACGCGAACCCTGGCACGACGTACGGTGCACCACCACCGCAGGGCGACCCGGGCATGTACGGCCCGCCGCCGACTGGACACGCGGGATACGCAGCACCTCCGCCATATGGGTTCACGGGCCACGACGGGGGAGCACCAGGCCAGGGCGCACCTGGAATGCCACCGCCCGGGCACGGACAGTGGGGCGCGCCTCCGCCGGTGCAGCAGAGCAACCACTACGCGTCGCGGCGATGAGTTGGAGTTGGCGACGTTTGGTTGATATACATGAACGGTCTGATCTCTGGGGTACGGTGCGCGTGCGCGGAGGACATTGCGATCCGCGTCTCCGTAGCCGTGCCTAACGATGATATCCGCGAACGAAAAGTGTGTCTATCCCCGTGTGTATGCGTACCCGCTCCCACCTCTCGTCTCCATTTCTTGGCGAGCCTCCGGGCTCTCTGTCCGGTTCGTACTTGTGTGTCCTGGTTTATCGCCTACCCTTATCCCCGTCTGCTTCTCTGTACATAGTTGTGTCCGGCTCTCGTTCCGTGTCCGTATCTGTGTCGTGTCGTCTCGCTCTGCCCTGCCCCGCCGGTTTGGATGTCTTGTGTGCCCCGTCCCTGCTTGCGCTGCTCGTTGTGGTGGCCCTCACGAATCACGAAGTGCCATGACGCGTAGATATGTAGTTGTGTCTCGCGCTAGTGCGTAGCCGACCGAAGTGAAGTCGAATCGAAGGCCCTGTGTAAATATATGTATGCGCTACCGTACCGGATTATACGATCCTGGCCCATTCCCCGCTCATCCCCACCACGAGTGACGTGCCGCGCGAGTTTAATGGAGGTGAACTCGCAGGCATGCGCGAGCGAGCCTGCATGGACGAATATGTCGAAGATGACCATAAACGGCAGGCCGTCCGCATCCGTCGATTTCCTCGCCGCACGCGGCCACGGCGCACGCGATCGCGGTCGGCGACTGCTGCTGATCGAGATGCGCTCGTGTGCGTGTGTGCAGGTGTGTGCCCGTGTGTGCGTGCCGACGACGCACTTACTGTACTCGTACTAGCCACCTGCATCGCTGCACTTGCCCTATCCGGGGGCTACGCCAAAGAAGTCTGTCTTCGCTATATCCGGCACTCGCGTGGAAGGAGGCGTAGAACTCCATGGGCTGCAAGTTCGTCTGTTGTGAGCGGGGCCCCTATGACGGGCGTAACGTTTCCTGTGAGTCGGGATGTGCCTGCTCGGAAAACATCGGGGGCACGGGCTCCCATTGGGCTCCTGTGGGTCGTGCCGTATCACAAATAGGCCTCCGAGTGTGGTTTGGAGTGTTCCCAGGACAGAATAGAACGGGCGCACGCGTGTCGTTCCTGTTGCACCCAACGCGCTCCCGTCGGACGCGACACCAACTGGCGCAGTCAGACAGCCGGAGCGGCAGACCCATGGGATCCGCCAGTACTCAGCACTCGGTATAGGGAAGAGCAGCGAGTCTGGACCTTCATATACATAGAGTATACCGGTGCCATCCTCGCCCGACGGTCCTGGACCAACCACGCCACTCCGCTCGCAAGACCAGCTGCAGCAGACCCAGGCCACACAAACGTTCGCGAACAAAACAATGCATTGCAAAAGATTACACGACGAAGCTGGCCAGTCGAGAACTACTCAGACGTGCTACGGCTAGACGCGACCATAATTCAAGTGTGCATAACTACCTAGTAAACATACACTGCGTACACTTTTTCTCGGAACGTAACCAGGCGCATAACCAGGATCCCTTCCAATACTATACACGCGCACGCCTCGGCGGCGGGCCTCTTCTCGCTCAAGCGAATCAGGACACGGCGCACCGAGCTGCCGCGAAGGCCAACCCAAGCACGGGCCAGGACCAATCCTCCTCTTCACCTAATCAAACACTCCCAGCGACTCGTCGTCAACCGGTGGCGCCACGCGCTCTTTACACCCCATCCACGCTCTTTCTCGGCTGCGGAACGCGCCTCGTCGTGCCCTTCGTTGACGGCAGGCTTGCGGTGCGCTGCGGGAGCGCCAAGAGCGAGCGAGAATCGACGCCCATGTTGCGCGAGACTACCGGAGGCACAATGCGGTCACCACCTCCGCAACGCAATCGTCGAAGCTCTTTGCAGGGCTGCGCTGTCGGATGTTCTCCAGGGCGTCCTTGATGACCTTGGCGCTGTGGTGTGACCCCGACGGGACTGCGTAGTGCGCGTACAGGTAGTGCGCAGTCTCGTCATCTACGTCGGGCGGCAGACGAGGGGGAAACATAGGTGTTAGCGAGCAAGAGCGATCGGATGAGAGCGTACCAGTAGGGTCTGCCGCAGGCGGTCTTGACAAATGTATACAATCGCAATCACGATCACGACATTCTCCTCCGCCTGGGATTTCATACTGGCATATCGGTCTTGAAGGATCCGTGAGCAGGTTCTTCGCGTGGGCCATCTTGAGGTCCTTGAGGTCGATTGAGCTGTTGCGCGGAGAGCTTGAGATTGACGAATTGTCCATGCCGTCGTCAAGTTGATACGCCGAGCTAGATCCTCCACCATAACCGTCAAGATATGAACGCGATCGCAGAGAAAGGAAGCAGTCTAAGGGTGATGAGTAAGCAGAAAATCCAGTTCTTGCGTCTTCGCTTTGGACAGCTAGGTCCAATTCATCTTGCCGTGTTGTTGCGTTTACCTGTGAATGTCGGCAACAGCCCGTCAATACAGATCCAGATAGCGACGTTTCTCCTGCAGAAGATCCATCGTGATGGCGTTGTAAGGGCGGCACATACCTGGGCCGACGTCCCTGCATTTGCGCTGACGACGTCGACGTTCATAGCATCTTCGCTTGACGTCCCATCTACGTTCATCTAAAAAAGTGAAAACAAAAGCACAAACAGGCCACGGCACGAAAGACAAAAGACAAGGAAGCACGAAGCAGAAGCAGTACACAACCGAAAGAAACAGAAGGCGTGAGCATGCAATTGTACGGCCGCCACTGCGGCAAGACTAAGAAAGATCCTTGCCGGTTGCTCATGTCTTGCCTCAGCGGTCAGCACTGTATATGCATAGCCACGCCGTGCACGTAGGACAAAGAAGATGAAGATACAAGTGGAGACGTACGATGTCAGGTGGAGACGTACGATGTCAGACGAATGGCGAGCAGCAGAGCACGGATGACGGAAGCGACGAAGCGGAGCGGGAACAGCAAAAGCAAGCAGTCGTGTGAGGAAGCGAGATAGAACACGCGAAGATACTGGAGAAGCCACTCGCCTCGGTCGCCGGTGGCAGGATCAAACAGACTGTTCGAGACGACATCTAGTGGGGTCGACCAGCGAAGAGTCAGCAAGGATTAGACAAGAATGAAGTTAGAAAGGACCTATTGGTGTCGCAGTGCTGCTAGTGGCGATAGAAGTCGTTGAGGGAATCGAAACAGGGCCTGTACGTATACAGCACACGAAGCAAATCTTCAATACACTGCTCGAAAGCTGGAAGGTGAACCGTTGACGAACCAAGCGCAGTTGGCGTGCTAGAGCCTGTACTAGTATGCGAAGACGTGTTCTCCTCGGGTGGCACAGTGGAAGGTCCACCATTGGCAACAGGCGTCTCAGCAGTCGAGGTGGGGGTGGACCGAGACATCTGCAAAACGCCATCGGTACAAAGCACAGGAATCTCTCAAAGAAACACTCACAGTAACAAGCTTACGTAGTCGACTCTGTTCACGTTGCGCGATCAGCTCTCGCATCTGCCGGATCTCCTGCTCCTTCTCTTGCAAAGCCGCAGGCGTCATGGCGGTTGGTGTGGCGCTGCCGCGTCCCGGTGGGCTCTGACGAGCCACCGACGCCCCTCTCCGCGGCACCGCTCGAGCTGCGCTAGGTGGGCGCGTGAAGAGACCATCGTCATGCTTCGAAGGGATTGCTCCCTCTTCCTCTTCCTCCTCGTCTTCGCTGTCGCTCAGGTCGATCACGCAACGCCGCATGTTACTCAATCCCGAGAAGGTCCCCACGCTGCGCTTGAACGACGGCTGGTGGTAGGGATTACGACTGGCACCATTGCTGTGGTTCGGTCGGGGCCGTGGAATAGGAGGTTGTGCGTCGTCGTCGAAGTCGGCCGCGACGGGGCGCTTCGTACCTCTCCGGGCCAGTGGCTCACGTCGACTAGGTTCGGGGTTCGATGCGACCGGATTGAAGGAAAGACCAGGGACAGCCTCCACTTCACTAGGGCTGGGGTTGGCCGGCGAACGCTCACCGGAGGAAGAAGCAACGGATTCAAGTGACCCGTTGGTAGTGGATGTGACCGACTCGACGGTGGACTGGGGTCCAATGGCGGAGACTGGCGTGGCTCTGGTTGATGTGGGGGACTGAACGAAGGCGTAGGACTGAGGCGACTGCACAGCGGACGTCATCATGGTGTCGATAGACAGCCCCGGGATCACCTCATCGACGTCCATGGCATCCGAGGTAGTACTGAAACTGACAGCCGAAATTGGGCGCGCGGGAGCCTTGCCCTTGCCGTTGTCCTTCTCCGAATCAGGCCCGATGCTCTTCAGAAAGTCGTCGACGGTCTTGGTGGGTGTTGCATCCGCCATCTCGACGTCCTGGGACTCCGTGGTTGCGACGGTGGCGTTGCCAACTGGGGCGCTCGATAACAGCGCAACCTGTTGTTTCTTGCGAGAAGCGATGGCGGCTTTGCGAGCTAGTAGTTCCTGCCTTCGTTGTTGCTCCATGTCAAACAGATTCGGCCCTGTGGATGAAGACGCCGCAGTAACCGGGATGAAGGTATTCGCAGTAGCGGACAAGGTAGTCTGGCTACTGGAGGATTGGCCGTTGGCTGGAAGCTCTGAACACAAACACAAACTCAGCGCCGTAGAAACAGAGGACAACATCGTTAAACATACTTGCGACACTGTTGACCGCTCGCAGCGTCATTGTGTCCGTCCGTTTGATCAAAGTGACTGTGGGCGCAGCGTTGAGAGCCATCGGCGAGGGCGGGTATGGCGGAATGCCCGTAGCATCGAAATTGGGTGGCAAACGAAGGTTCAGTTCTGTGAAGACGTAGAACATTATCTCTCGGCTGACACCACAGCTGACGAGGTATTCTGGAGGAACTCCCCAGCCCAGAAGATCTAACACGAGATCCTTGGCAGCGTTGTAGTGTGCTTGCGTCACTGCATCGTCGACGTCAGATCAGCAGTGTTTCAGGTGTCCAAACGGAGGACGTACTCTCTAGGCCAGGTCTGACGTGTTTCTCGTCCAATACGTATGGAAGAGGTGGCGGAGGTGGTGGCATCAAGTCGGAGGCACTCTGCCCAGACACATCGTTCGATTCTCTCGGCGGGCTGGGTCCCGGCGCTGTAGTCGTCTTGTTGGGAATGGGTTTGGCCGGCGTTGGAGGCTTGACAACTGCTCTGGGGGCGGGCTTGATTTTCGCTTCCCGGGCGACCTCAGGCTGGGCGACAGGGGAAGCGGGTGTCGGCTCGGAGTCACTGATCTCGCCTTCTTCTCGACCCTGTCCGTCGTCTTCCTCGGGCTCCGGTGTTGCTGACTTTGCAGACTGCGCCACACTCGATACTGAGGCGGTAGAAGACCCACCGGATGGCTCCTCTTGTCCGTAATCAAGCTGAATAGAGGGCTCTACAGAGGTGACCTGCACGACCTGGGGTCGAGGGGGGATGCCAGCGGGTTCCGACCCAGATCCAAGCTTTCGTCGTCTAGACTTGAGAGTGAGGAGAGCAGCTTCACGCAGAGAGGCGGCAGGATCAGTTGCGGACGATGGGCCTGATCCCAGCTGATTGGGTATAGCCTGAGGCTGCTGCGCGAAACCAGGAGCAGGCATGATCGTCATCGAGGCCGCGGTAGGTAAATCGCCAGTGTGAAGGTGGTGGAAGAGGGAATCAAGAAGGGTTTGTGAGGAGGTGAGAGGCCGGTCTACTTGAGGGAGAAGGCGTCGACGCGCGCGTGTTCCTCACGCACGGACCATCCATACAACTATTCCTAATCCGGCGCGGCCGCGGCTCATCTCCTCCTCGTTTCACCATCACTCCTAAGTCAAAGCGTCCTCATCCATTTGCCCACCCTCACGTCCATTGTCTGCCGTCAAAGCGTACAGTGGCCCCGTTCTACATATGTCATGCATTTTGCACACTAATCGCTAAAACTACCCGGCCGACACCCTGCCATCCCAATCCAGGATTCCATCCCGCGGAACCGACTTGCTGAGGCTCATTATTTGAATCATGAAATCTCGCTACGAATGACCAGTGGTAGGACACCTTGCCTCAATTGTAAGGGACTCCCGTTTCGAACGAAGTAAAGTTATGGATGTACCTCCTGTTGGTAGAGAATACGCAGCACGTCCCATCGCTGCCAGGATTCCATTTATGATACCACCATGGGCAGTGATCGAGATGTCTAAGCCAGACGCTAGGTCAGCGAACGGTATCGACCAACCAAAAACTTGCTCCGAGTCAGGAAACCCACTTACAGGTCTCTGCAGCTTCGTCGAATATCCTATACAGTACTGATTGCGCCCTCGCCTTTATATGATCCTTAGTCTCTCTGACATCCGCTTGCCAGACAAGGTCCTCCTCGACGAATCCAGGCTCGAAGTCGTACGTGAGCGGCGGGAAGTTGCGTGCAATCATAGAACGAGTATCGCGCATGTCGCAGGTATGTACACCATGCTCCTCACGCAAGTTCTGTGAGACGAGTCACTAAATGTACCGGGTCGTCGTTAGCGTTACGCACCTCAAGGATCATGACTCTGCGTGTTTGTTGAGGGAATGTCTCATCGCTTGCGAATGTTATTTGCCAAGTACTTAGGGCCCTGTGCAATGGACTTGCGTAGCACCGCTCCGGGGTAGGCATCCCGTTCGGGATCTCCTTGAGCCAAGCTGTCCGCGCTGTTTCTGCTTGCTGAACGCCCAAGGCCGTAAGTAGGGGATCCGGACCCCATGTCATCTGCGAGTCGCCGTATAGCTTTGAGAAGTAACTGTGCATTGCGGGTGCGTGAAAACATAACATGGGTTTTGACTGCAGTGCAAGGAAGAGCGATGCAACTCAACTCGTCCCAAGCCTGGACATAATCGTATTGAGCTGACTTCGAGCAAGAACAAGGTACGGAAACTTACTTGAGTGCCATACTTCGCTTCAGCGACGTTGTCTGTACACTGCTGTTGAGAAACAGTACGATGACGAATAGCAAGTGCACAACTAACGCCATCCTTGCCCGTGCCTTCCAAGAAAGAAGACCTTGTACGTCGTACCCTGAGGTGCGGTCTTGTTTAGATCAGTAACGCGATGCTTGAACTTCGGCCAGCAGTCCGGCGAGTCATCTACGAGGCCGAAGCGGGGCGGCAGCTATAGAATAAATCAAAGCAGGGTGAGCGGGCAGTACGATCAGTGTAGAAGTCGAACCCACGGCGCCGATCGTCGCCGGTATTGCATGAGGGTCGTCTTGCACGAAAAACCCAGTCACGATCTAGCGGGTCGCAATGTTGCCTCAGTCGATGATCATACGATGCAGAGACGTCTTCTCACCGAGAATCTACGACCGGATTCAGACATGGTGTTGGCTCCTTGCTGGCCGCGAAATTGCAACGGAAAGCTAGCTACAGGCTGCAAAGTGTCTTCCTTCGAAAACAATCAGTATAGCACAGGACTGCCTCGAAAAGGCCATTCAAAGGTTGCTCCGCGTCTTCGCTAGAGTGGTGACCGTGTGCAAGTATGATACTCGACGTGCTACTTACTACACGGTGCGAGGAACGTGCCAGCGGCGCGCGGCGCAATTCGATCCGATCCAGTCCAGGCGGGTTTCCGGCTGGCAAGCCACAGCACCTCCCCCTTACGCAAGCTTGCAACTATCCCGGTACTGAGCAAGTGGAAGCAACGCAAGTATAGTAAACAGATTTATCACTTGCATGCACGGCGAGCTAGTAAGTAGTCATTTCAAGGCATGCGCAACCAACAGGCGCGTCTTCAGTAACTTAGCTTCAGTGGATGCCGACATGAGCGCCAATCCCCGATGCGAAGTGCGCGTGTTTCTCTCAAACTGCACTTGCCAGTGGTACACAGTGACACTACGTACTCGTTACTCACACATTGCATAAATGAGAGACTGGGCTGTAGAAATATATGGCACAACAAGCATCATCAACATACCACTCTAGAAGTACACAGCCGAGGACGGTCCGGCAGGACGGAGGCCCACTAGTCCAGCTCTCCAGACCTCTCTTTCAGATAGTCTTCGAACGTAGTCTTCTTCACCTCAGGAAACAAATGCCAGTGACGCTCCTTCTAAGCTGCCCCAACGCTTCACTACACTTCACGATGAAGTTAGTCTCCCCTAGGCAGACCTTAAAGAAGGCCTCTTGGACGGACAGGGGGGGCGGTCTTCCGATGAAGTCGACTGGGATTCCCGAGTTCGCGGCGATCTCAGCCGGGGCCTCCGCCTCGTTCGCGATGAACCGGTGCCCGTCGTCCATCCAGAGCTTGCGCACGGCGACCGTGCGGCCCTTTGCGCCGGCATACTTGCGGAAGAGCTCGACCATGTCGTTCTGCGAGAGCGTATCGCTCGGGACGTTGAGCTGCGTGTTCTTGGACAGGCCAGGTTTCGCGAGGCTTGCGACGGTGTAGCGTGCGAGGTCTTTCCTGTAGGACCAGTCCATCGGGGCGTCACCGGTGCCGATCACCGAGACTTCGTAGGAAGCGCGGTCTTGCGTCCATGGGCACCAGCATGGTTCCGTTATGGTTCCGTTACCTGCATGAGGGAGTCAGCAGCGCATATTATAGGTGCCGTGGTAAGACACTTCATGTCTACGATATTTCCTGCGCCTATGAACGTGTATTCTCTTTCGCCGGCGAGACAGCGGGCTGAAGCCTGATGTGCATGGCGAAGCTCTCCTTGTAGTTCCAAAGCTGTATCAGTGTCAGCGAGGAAGTTCCAGTAGATCGTAATATTAGCATACGGCGTGTATATGCGCCGGGCTTTCCCGGAGCTCTGTAGAGCTGGGTGAACCCGTTTGTAGAGGGATAGAATCTCTTTACGCCTAATACGTAGTGATGTGAGTGTCACATAGCCTAACTCAGGGATGCCAAACCAACTAACCTGCTTGTGTTGCCGCCTCAAGGACTTCTTGGCGCGCGCCGTCGCCAGGTCCGCTGAGAATGCTCACAATAACAGCGACACCGCGGAGCTTCTCCACGACTTCGCTTCCGCCCTTGAGGTAGTCACGGTGAACGGGCCGCTGGAGAAAGACATGAAAGGACTTCGGCTGCCTAGCGATCGAAGGGAAGTGAGTTGAGTCTCTTTAGGATCATATTCCCCGCCTATATATGGTCGGTGATACTATGCTACGGTACTTCCGCGTCACGGGAGAGCTGTCGTCGGGATGTGAGTGGGTTTCTAAATGCCCCTGTGAAATCCGCCCGCAGTTCGAGTGGAGGGACGTTAGCATGTGTATGAGCGGGGACAAGCCGACCGAGAGTCACTTGGCACACCGGTCGCTGGATCAAGACATATACTTAGTCTTTGGTGAGAGGCACTGCGGTAGCGAGTCTGGAATGGGTTATCAGTCAAGCTCCTCGCATATAAGGCACGACACGATGAGCGAGCACCAAACACATCGAACCTTGGCGCTGCGATGCCTGAGTAGCGCACTTCAAGGAACATAGCGTCTTGATGCTTCGTCTCTGCCCTCGCTCGGTGCGGCAGTAGGATGGATGAATATGCAGGTCCCACTCATGAACTTGCAGTGGCCGAGAGCCCGCGATTGAGAGTTTAACGTGCGGCGCCGAGCGTGGGTCCTGGTGCAATAGCGATGACATCCTTGATCAGGACCTCAACGAAAATGTAACGGCTCCATCTCGACAGCTTCGCAGTTGCACATGCATGTTTCTCTTAGGGGCCTCGGACGTCAGATAGGCCGAGTATCTCGTCCCCACAATCTAACAAATCATTCAAGCTGAACGGTGAATGAAGCCCAGCAAGTGAACCACGCACCCGAAGCCTCCAACCATCGCTCGGCATCCCGTCGGTACTAGTGGTACGCAGGCATTGGACCACACCAACACCAGCAAGAACCATGTTGTGCAATCTGAGCATACCAAAGAGAATGATCGTTGTATGAAGTTGATCGTATGGGCTGTCTTGGAGTAACGATCCGTCAAGTAAGCCCATCATTATTGCTGCTGGCCAACACAATCCTACGTTTCCCACATGCAGCTGAAAATGACAGTTGCACAGAGTGCATTTGAACGCACTTGAGAAGACAGTAGGTAGCGAGTTGTGGCCTGTTGTGGCGGACTCGGACGAGCGTCGGGGCCACGGGACTCTCGCGACGTGATGGGGGCTCTACACGTGGTTATCAAAGAAGGAGGTGGCCAGATTTGGACAGCAGTCTTAGCCGAGTGATTGAAGAGGGCCGGCAGCGGTGCGACGTGCGCGAGGCTCTGCTCAGCTCTTCCCAGCCCGCACCTGCACCGCGACGGCCCCGCTGTCCTGCCTGTCGCCGCTGCCCGTCATGCTCGCGGCAATGATCTACGCGCTGTTCTTCTTGCTCGCCGCCGTCCACGCTGTTCCCCTGAGACGCGACGTGCACGAACGCGACGTGATCAGCCCGCCGATTACGAGTCCTGATGCCAGCACGGTGTGGAATGTAGGCGAGACGGTGACAGTGACTTGGTACGTAGCTCAGACTGATATCTGGTCGTGGACGCTGTTACTTAGCTTTGCCGCTCGAAGGAACCTGTCCGCTCTGCCACCGGACGTCAATGTCACCGGAGCCATAGGGAAGGTGGTGCTGGGTTACAGCACTTGGGACAGTGAGAATCTGATGATTGGTGAGTACGCATGGCTCTGGAAGGAAAGTAATATAAACAGTGTGCTAACTCTGAGGAAACAGATAGTCCGCTGGCGCAGAGCTTCTTGCTCAGCGCCGGCCAGGTTTCATTCACGGTGCCTTCTGTACCTACACGCACCAACTACATCGTGGATCGTGAGTATTGTTACAGTCGTGACGCTATCTGTCCTCATGCATTCCGGTCAAGTGTTCGGTGATTCCGGAAACATCAGCCCGAACTTCACTATTATTGGCACCTCGGACTCTTCAAGCGCTACTTCGACAGCGGCCACATCTACTTCCGTAGCCGGTATGTTCATACCTTTCTATTCATGGTCTTCGTTACAGACCCTACCGCCATAGTGTCTGAAACGACCTCCGAGTCTGTTTCTGTGATTGTCACGACTGAACTGTCGACGGCAGTGACTACCATGCCGTCCAACACCGGCACTGCGTCATCCGCGTACACGCCGTCTACTGCTGCGAGCGTGGAAACCTCTGCATCCGGATTCCCCGCATCTTCTGCGGCTTCCGTGCCTACTGCATCCGCGGCGTCCTCGGTCGCAGCTCCTACGTCCTCCTCAAGCTCGATCTCCGCCGCGAGCGATAACAGTGACACCAGTGGAGCGATGTCGCTCATGGGCTCAAGCTTCTTCCATCCCTCGCTCGCAGCCGTCATCGCGACCCTGTCCTTCATCATGCTGTGATGAGGCTAGGCTACGCTGATGGTTCGACCCCGATGCCGAACCCGAGGAAGACATGTATATGCTCATGATGTAGGGGGAGTTATGACAGAGAAGTGGTTATGAATCTACGATACGCCTTAGTTTTGAATAGTCGATGTCCGTCTGAGATACCCTCGGACTACATGCGTCTGCGTCATGTTGACTGGCTGAACGCTGCTCGTCTGTAGTTATGCTTGCGTTCCATGTACTGTAACACTTTACGATTCTTACGTCGATATGTTTGTTCTTCGCTTTCAAATCTGGCCATTTAGGGGGCAGCGACTGAGTGACTGCACTGACTGAGTGGGTGAACACACTCAAGCCCGAGCTGCTTCTTGGATGATGGACAGCAAGGTGTGTCCAGAGTTCCTGGCAACGTCGGCAACGTCGATGCATATGTACTCACCAGAAGTAAATGACGCAACACCTGTGGCCTCGTACAAGCCATCCTCAATGATGCATGGCCCAGGCTTCTCAGGGATTCTCTCGCGCAGTGAGGTATTTGACTTCTCTATATTCTATATCGCATTTCTGCATCTACAGCAATTTTTTCCTATCTGCTACAGAGCCCCGCATATAGGGGGAGAGGTGACGAGGGTAGAGTGAACACCGCTACACAAGGAATATGCTACAATCGCATCCCAAGCGTCGATGCAGCGAGACTCCACGTCGTCCGCGCCAACGAAGGGCTTTTGTCTAGTGGAATAGATAAACGACGCCGAACCGAGCCGGCGAGGTGCGTCGCGTCCCCCAGGGAGCGACGAACGTATTAACACAACACACCGGAAGACCGTAAGGAATGGCAGAGCGAATGAGCGGCGTCTATGTCGTGGTGGGTGGGTCAGGCAGGCGGAGGCCGACGCGGGGGTAGCGTCAGCTGGTGAGCGGGCTGGGCCGCTTAGGGCTGCCAGCCCTTGTTCATGAAGTGCCAGGAGAGGGAGAGAACACCCTCCCCGAGGTCGGCACCGAGCGCCTCGAAGAGCGAAGGGCTCAAGTCTGTAGAAGACGGTGAGCGTCTGATGAGCGAGACGGAACGAAATGCACGTACCAATGGCAGTCGCGTCGCATCCCATGCACTCGTCGCGAGTCTTGCCGTAGGCGACGTCGCCGGTGGCAGTGTTCTCGATGCGCATCCACTGTTAAAGGGAGTCAGCCGGGAGATCACGCGTGTGCAAGTGACAGAAGACTGACCTGGTTGCAGTTACCACCGTTGTTGTAGATCTCGTGAGAGATGGCCACGATGTGGTCGGTGTCGACGTCGTTGTACCCGCAGGCGCCAAGACCAACTTCGTACCAGGTGCCCTATGAGACGAGCGTGTCAATTGCAAGGTAGAACGACGGTAGAAATGCGAGACTTACCCGACCAGAGTGCGTGATACGCTTTTCGAGGGTCGCAGTCTCGTTGGTCGCGACAGGCGAACCAGAGACGGAGGCGAGGATGGCGCAGAGCGCAGTGGCGAGGACGGCGAAGCGAGACATTATGACCGGTAAGGAGGTAGTGTGAACTTAATGAAGGACGTCGCACAAGTGCGAATGACGAGAGATGCCAAAGAGGATGAGACGAGCGGGCGGGTTGGAGGGCCATCCCCCCGCATCGCTGGCCTTTTATGCGCGGACGCTCTCCTCCCCCACATGCTTGCGAGCCAAAAATTCTAAAAGTCTGTCGAGCCCAGACCGGTGCGGCGAGCGCACGGTGGGTTTGCCACCCCAAACCGGAGTAACATGGAGGTACCTTCAATCCGGGGTGCTCGTCTTCGAATCGACAGAACGATTGCCCGAACGAGCAGGCACCGACGGCTTTCCGGTGTTAATGGCCCTGAACACCCGTGAGTCGCTGGGCGTCCTCGCCCGGTCATTTCGTGTAAGTGTTCAAGCCGGCCGACGTTTCAATAAGCCGGGCGCAGGTAATTGAGGGTCCAAGATCGCTCAGCCAATCGGCGGGCATGGATGTGGCGGCGGCCCCGCCACATCCATTATGTAATCAATATGCTGGCCAATACGAAACCCACTGGGATAGGAGGAAAAATTGAGGAACCCTTGGCAGTAAATATGAAAACTCTCAGCGTACTCAGAAATTAAGTCAGGCATGGAGGGGACTTAGGACAGGATTGCGTCAAGGGAGCTGGCGCGGTCGATGGCCCCGTCCAACGCCTTCGAACATGATGCCACATTCCAAGTTTCAAGTCTGTGGTAACGCTTCTCCTCGTCAACGGCGGAGGTTGTTGAATGCTAAAACGGATCAAGCGATCTCATGGCAGTGTAAACTTCTCCTCGATCGAGGGTGGGGACAAACGTACGCACCGTCGGACCCGGCGCAGTGTGGTAAACATGCGCACGTGAAGAGTCGCCGAGGAAAGGGCAGCTATTGCCGCAATGACCTGCCCGGGCCGGGCATATGCCCTTGATGTCATTGCGCTAAGAAAATCGCGACAATGAGCAGCGAGAGGCCGAGCACAGGAACATCCAGGGCCACAGCTGCAAAAACGCCTCCGTCCTCCACAGGACGGTCTCGACCCGGTCAGGTACCGGCTTGCAGATGGCACTGGCGCGCTTTGTGCCGCCGACCTGCTTGGGCTTGGATTGTTGAAGGAATCAGGGCCTCGGAGGCCCTGCAGAGTGGACTCCGACCAGCTGGGGATGCTTCATTCGATCGTATAATGGACGGCTGGCGCTGGTTACTTCACTTAAGATGGAGAACTCGCGTTGTGTTTGTCACTAGAGCGAGAGGAGTCAGACGATCTCGCGCTTGGGTGGTGAATGGAGAAGAAAGACGATGCAAATGCAATGGAAGCAATACTCACAGGTCTGTCACCCAGTCGAGCGTACCCATCTGAAAACAAGATATTCCACACCGTCCAGAACTCTTTGATACAGGACTTGATGATACACTGCAATGGAATCATTACAGCCGACTCAGTATTAGGTAGCACACCGATGTGTTCGGACTTGCGGACCAAGTTGCAGCAACAACTAGATCTTTCCGCAACAGTGAATGACTGAGATTGCAACAAGCAGGACAACGATGCTCAACGGACCTCGCGCCGCCGACATCCGAAAGCACCAATAATGATTCATGATTCCGGGGCCGAGATGCAGCTGCCAGCCTGAGTGAGAGGGAGAACGCACTGCAGCTGCCAGCCACTGCGGCGCGCGCAGGTCCTAAGTACTAGTGCCGCCATGAAGCTTGCCGCGAGTGACGGGACCAGTCTTTCTTCATTCGACATTCTGCCCATGAACAAGATTCCTCTGCCAACGCATTCACGGGGTCGGATTGGGCGAGGTTCAGGACAGGTTCAAGACAACTTGCTGAGTTGCGCGTCGCGTCGCGTCGGACGCACAGTGAGACGCCCAAGATCCCGATACAAGATTACGACGCCGAGGTGGCACTGCCGCCGCTGCCACCGGAGGACACACTGGTCGTTCGCACTGCCAGTCGTTGCCCGTTCACAACGGCCGCGTTGTTCTGTTCATCTCTGTTGATCAGGATCCGTCTCGCCTGACATTATCATCAAAAAGCTCTGCTACAAGTTGGTCCGAGATCTTGCTCGTATAACGCTGTGGTGTTGACGCATCTATGTACTAGTTCGAGGCGGTATCAGACCTTGACAAGCGGTGCGGTTCAAGTGTAATCATCCAGCGACACCTATCAGGACACGGTACTCTGCGAATCTCATAGTTCAGTCATGAGCAGTGGTCAAACTTACGGGAAAGAACTGCCGGTACAGCCGTGGTCAGTCAAGAAGACAGAGCTAGATAGCTAACGCCCGCCCAGGATCAGGTGGACCGATTGGTCGCTCTGACCGATGTCCAACTTGAGCTACTTGCCGATGTATGTCTAGAGCTCCTTGTGTTTTGTGTTGAGCACGAGTCCTTATCAATATACAGGTACGTGAGATGCACAAGGAACGTGCCGCTCTTGAGCGTGAATATGCAACGAAGCTTCAAGCCCTCGCTCGCAAGGCTGCGGACAAGAAGAGCAAGAAGGATGCTGCTCTTGTGGTTGGCGCTGAGCCGACCAAGGCTTGGGGAGATGACGCGCTGCAGCGAAGGTGAACAACTTCGCTTGTCTGCATGAAACGGTCTGACACGATGCATATAGCACTCTCCACAACGCTTATGCACAGCTGATCTCGTCCATGATGGATACTGCGCAAGCGCATATCAGCCTTGCGGACTCACTCAACGCCCAAGTCATAGAGGCTCTGAAAGTGACAGAGAAGCGGCAGGAAGAAGCTAAGAAGAAACAGGAGCAACACTTCGCCAAACTCCTGTCCGAGAGGGATCGTGTGTATGGCGATCGAAACAAGGTATGCAGCATTCGTTCAGCAGGAGCAGACATTAACACTCGCGCATACAGAGCAAGCAGAAGGTCATTCCGTTGTTTAAGGATACACCTCACCGCTTGTTTGCTCATGTGGTATCCAGTACGATGACGAATGTGCTGAGGTGGAGAGCTACCGCCAGAAGCAGGTGTGCTGGATTTTCGGCATGCTCGTGTGGTACGTTTAACGACGTCTGAAGGGACGCGCCGATGATCGGCATGCCGAACGTGCCGCAAAACAGTTCGAATCTCAACAAGTCGACATGCAGAACAACAAGAAGTGAGGAACTCTCGCTTGTTCATAACAGCGGTGATTAACAGTTGACGAATCAGTGTGTACCTCATCTCGATCGCGACATCCAACAAAATCAAGGATAGATTCTACGACGAGGATCTACCCAGCCTCGAGGATGTAAGTCGTACAACCGATTGTCTGTCACGACCGACTGACACATGCCGCGAATCAAGCAATTCCGTAAGTATCTACTCGTCCGTCGGTTTGTCCGATTTCCTGAAATCTGCATGGGCCAGAAACCTTACAGGCGCAGCTGCTCGAGAGATTTGTCGTCATCATGGTACAAGCACAACTACTGCAGAAGGGACATCTGGATACTCTGCGCACACACATAGAAGGGGTGGAGGGTAGGTTGGCGGCCGTTAACCCTCAGGCTGATCAAGAGCTCTTCATCGAGCATAACATTCGTCCGTTCACAAAGCCTGGAGATTGGGTCTTTGAGCCATGTGCTGTTCACTACGATACCGTGAGTCTATCGATATGGTACAAGGAATATAATGACGATCATTCGGTAGGGAGACATGGTCGTCGAGCCTGCACCTAAAGTATACCTGCAGAACAGACTGGCGAAGTGCAGGAGCAAGCTAGACGAGCTGCGACCAGTCATCAATACCAAACGTGAGTCAAGCTGTGCGTTCTCTTTCTCTGGCCCTGACGGTGTTTCTGGAACAGGAAAGGAGATGGAGTCATTCGCTAGAATGATGGCTAACAACGTGGGGATCGACAAGGCTGCGAACCGAGAAGAAGCCACAGATGTCAGTGTTTTCTTGGACACGCGGTTCAATGCGAAGAATCGCCTGCATTTTGACGTCATTACTAATTGGCATGCAGAGCTACCTTGAAGCACATCACCAGCTCACGTTCTATCTGTCATCAGAGTACATGCTACTCGCAGAAATGGATGTCATATCAGAGGCACTGAGCGGTACGTGATCCTTTCGAGAACATTCTACGGAACCCCTGTCTATTTCCCCTTACCCGTATTAACTCACCCCCCTGCCGATAGGTGATGAGGGCGAACAGAAACCGCACACGTTCAAGAGTACGTCCTTCTCCATACCAACACAGTGCGCATACTGCAAGGTGCGCGAGACGGCGACGAAACGAATGCAAATTCGTTAACAGTCGCCGCAGTCTTCTATTTGGGGTCTGAGTAAACAAGGAAAGACGTGCAAGGCATGCGGTATCTCGGTCCATGCGAAGTGCGAGTTGAAGGTCTGTTCGCTCGTTCACATGCTGCTTTCTGCCTCATCGCGTCGGCTAGGTCCCTGCTGATTGTCCGGGGTCTCGAGGCGTTGCGCGCTCTGCCTCTAGCGCCGGGTCTACCATGTCACGCTCGTCTACGATATCGAAGAGCAGCAGTCAAAGTCAGTCAATAGTCAAACAAGGTTATCGGTTACTACGTGTCAAGTCTGATTTTGATTGTTCAGGTGCAACCCCATCTCCGTCTTCCTTCGCGCCCAGAGACTCGGTTATCCATGAGGCACTTCCGAGCGCGCAGGTCTTCTACGATTTCACACCCACCTCTCCCTTCGAGCTTGCTGTGACAGGTTGGTTCGGGGAACTCGGCACATGGAGTAACGTTAACATGCTTGCGCAGCCGGAAGTAACGTTCAAGTTCTGGAGGAAGACGACGGGTCCGGCTGGGTGAAGGTTGCTGACGAATTCGGGGGCAAAGGGCTTGTCCCAGCGTCGTACGTACAAGTGGTCGAGGCGGCGAGCTCAGCGCCACGGCCTCCACCAGTGCCTTCTGCAACTACTCGCCCGCGGGGCGGAGGCCAATTCGGTACGTTTCTCCTCCACATCCTGCGTAGGTCGGTTGATGACGCGGTCGCATGCGGTCGCAGTGCGGGGCGTCTACGCGTACCAAGCGCAAGGCCCGGACGAGCTGAACGTACAGGAGGGCGCTCTGATCGAGCTAACCGGGGGTCCGAGAGGAGGCATGAACTACGCAGACGGCTGGTGGGAGGGTATGTTGCCGTCATCTGATAACTTTCGTGGGTCAGGCTAACGTGCGGTTTTGCCTCTAGGCGTGGACTCCACCGGGAGCAAAGGTATCTTCCCAAGTAACTACGTAAGTCTCACTCTTCTGTCTGGGCGTCCCCTGCTCACTCACCACTATCAGGTTGAACTCGCCCAATGAGACGATTGCTCCTCCGTATGGTAGCTGTCGACCTAGACTTCGGTTCGCTAGGTGTATAATAAATGAACGAATCGAATGCAACGGGCGGTCCGTTGTATGTCCCATATATCCCACAATGAGCGAATACTTCTTCCGAGAGCATGGCATGTGCTATGCGTGGTCTTCGGCTACGTCTTCCTTTGTGGTTATCAAGGTCCGGCGGTTGTACATGCTTACAATTATGACTCGCAGTCAATTGCAAGGCTAGGCGCACGCAAAAAATCCAAATTCGAGCGTACTTTCGCATACCTCAATGATCCAAGTGGAGTCACGTCTCATAAATTTCCAACGATTGCAGTGAATGACACATGATGTTTTGCGAACCAAATGACAATGGCTAAGATTGGTGACTTGACAAATCAGATGTGGAACGAAGGTTTAGATGTCTAGGCTGTCATGGCGCCGCGCCGCGCGGACAATTGTGGACGACATCGCACACCCACAAATGTGGTGCCGACAAGAGTCCTCAGGGTCTTGGAACTGGTCATCGCTGCGCTGATACGACACCGACTCAGATGAAGAACCGCGGCTGTGAACCCCTAGGAGGTATGCCAACCACGACGGCACCCGCAACCGCTCGTTCCACGCATGAACGGGCTCGCAAAGAAGGTTCGCTATGCCGCTGCAGAGCATCCGTCATCGATGTGATGGGTGCGGTAAAATTTCGCTCACCGGCGTGCGCTTCGTTGGAGGTATAAAACCTCGCTCCTGTGGGATATGCCATTAGCTACTACCTTGCCCCCCACCGGTCATCCGCGGCTGGACCCACGCTGGCTCTTCAGAGCCGAACCGGTCGTGCCTTGGAGTGAGTACAGCGGTCAGTACTGTATAAGTCTGCTCAGCTAGCTTACCCAACCCTATGTCCAGAGATAGACATAGACCCTATTTATACCGTGGCAAGCGAGCTCGTCTGTCGACCCTGGCAGGTTCACAGCAGTACCACGCAGCAGTAGTACCGCAGCGCTGCTCGCAACGATTCACTGATGCTGCGACATCTACGCTAGGGAGGTCAGCATGTCTGGTGCTTCGGTTCCTCATGGATTGTCGTCTGCAGTCGTACACCACATATAGCGTGTTCATTGAGACTTATGCCGAGTCCGGACAAGCCGAGGATTGTGCTATTTGTGATGGATGACTGCGACGACTATCCTGAGGAGCTGGGGCATAGATTTCCATTGAAGCTGCGATTTTTTTGTCACATTAAACTCACTACGGTATGACTTGACAGCAAAGGCCACCGCAACTTGAAGGACCCCACGCGTACTAGTGTCGTAGACAACTGTTTGGATGACTAGCGGCGCAGCAAATGACGTAGAATAATTAGTTGAAGGGTGTCAATGAGATGAATGGTTGGCTTGAAATGTGCTGCCAATTTCGAAAATCCAGAAGGGTGCGTACATGAGATGCGCACCCACTGAACTTGAATATCCACCGAGTAGAGAGACAAGCGCCCGGCGTTTCGGAGAGAGGGTTGCCTTTTGGGGAGCCGGGGAGGAGCATCCTAAGCGCCAAGAGCGGTGGCGCCGGCCAAACGATCGACAACATGCGGTACGCGTCTCGACTCTCGACTCTCGCAGCCACTCCTCCACCGAAAAGACCACTCGACTCGCGACCTCTCCGCTAGTCAATCTCTTTCTCATTTATCCTCAGCAAACACCACGACGCTACTGCTGAAGGATGTCTCGAATACGAGAAGTCTGGGCGCCCAATCTCGAGCAAGAGATGAATAACATCCGCGACCTCATTGACAAGTATCCCTACGTCGCAATGGTCCATGCCCATCTCCTTGCCCTCGCAGAGCATCCTAGTGCTCATGATACTTACAGGACACTGAGTTCCCTGGTGTCGTCGCGCGGCCAATCGGATCCTTCAAGACGTCGTCCGACTACCACTACCAGACCATGCGGTGTAACGTCGACCTACTGAAGATCATCCAGGTCGGGCTCACGTTGGCGGACGAGGATGGGAGCTACCCGCAGGACGTCTCCACATGGCAGTTCAACTTCCACTTCAGCGTGAAGTGAGGATACCCCTCTCTTGGTGGTTCTGTCCCCGCGAGATGCTTACGTAACGTGCAGCGACGACATGTATGCTCCTGAGTCGATTGAGCTGCTGCAGAAGTCTGGGATTGACCTTCAACGACACGAGGAAATGGGTATCGAGCCCAACGACTTCGCCGAGCTGATGATCACGTCGGGGCTTGTGCTTACGCCAGAAACGAAGTGGATATCGTTCCATAGGTACGTTTCCTGTGCTCGGGTCCCCCACATGATCAATATATTCACGTACGCCCCACCTAGCGGCTACGATTTTGGCTACTTCGTGAAGCTCCTTACTGCCGAATCATTACCTACGACAGAAGAAATGTTCTTCGATGTCCTACGGACATGGTTCCCAACGATATACGACATCAAGTTCGTTATGCGAGCATGTAAGGTGTTGAAGGGCGGTCTACAAGACGTCGCAGACGACCTCGGGGTGAGCAGCCCATTCTTGCATGATGTGTCCTCCCCTTCCTGGACGTCTGACCAACCCAACCGTCGTGCAGGTCATGCGAATAGGACCTTCACATCAAGCAGGGTCCGATTCGCTCCTCACCGCCTCCACCTTCTTCAAGATGCGCGAACTCTACTTCAACGACTACATCGACGACGCAGAGTACAACCACAAGCTCTACGGGCTCGGCCAGACCTTCATCGCGAACGGCATCGGCGAGCCCATGCGCGGGACCGCAGCGACGATCGCCGAGCGCGAGGACCGCACCGGCGCGTCGCGCGAGCACAACCAGACGCCCGGCCCCGGTCAGAACCACAGCGTTGCCGCCGTCGCGATGGGCCTTGGCGGCTCGATGAGCACCCCGGCGTTGGCATCGTCACTGGCCGCGCCTTTGCCACCAGGGACACCGTACGGCGCCATGGGCGCAAATGGGCCGTATATGCGGACGGCGATCGGTGTGGGTGGGAGGTAGGATAGTTGAAGGAGTCAGTCAACGGTTATTTGTGGATGCATGGACTGTTTCCTAGCTGTTGTAGTTTATTGAGTATTGTGTTCGTTCCTCCTTTCGGGACTCGCTGCGGCGTCTGAGCACGGGGAATCCCCTCGGGAGCCAACGAGGTAAGCTCGGATTGCGCGCTGGCCGACAATGCCACTTGCGAGCGCGGTGGATGTCCCGTCCGGTGGCCAAAGGCGTGCGTTAGCTGACCGTTGTGCGAGGCGTCCTGGGCGACATGGAAGCGTCTGTCCTGGCTCCGACCGCCATGCGCCTTGCGCCCATTTCGCCACACGCGTGGGCGGTCCAACGCAGACCAGCCTGCTGCCGTTCCGGAGCATGCCGCTGTCAGCGTACATGGTCGCGCTCTCTCCGCAATGAGGCCTTCTGCCAGGTTCCGCTGACGGGGATACGGCCAATAAGCTGCTTTGGCAAAACACCGTCTTGAACTTTGATGCATGGCTGCGAGGCCGCCGGCCAATTCTACAGAAAGCATTCAGGTCAACGTAATTCATTCAAGCTGATAGGAAGGACTAGCGTTCGGCCGCCATCATAGATTAGTCGAGCCTAAGAATTCATGGCTTGTGAGTACCGTACTGCCCCGTTTCCTATTCAGTGCGGCAATAACTCCTCGGCCCATCGCAGATCGCAGGCAGCGGGTCAAGTAGGAGGAGGAAGGTCCGGCTGCGAAGCCCGGGACCCGCTCCGGAAGCTGGACCAGCGTTCGTACATAGATTCCCAGACTAGCAGCCCTGGATAGGCAGCGGACTTCCTGCGACACCCGGGTCGCATTGTTTCGGCATGTTCTGGGTCCGCGAGGGCCTGGTGTCTTTGACGCTGTTCTGGGGACCATCATGGGAGCGGGGCTCTTTTGACGTTGGGCATGGATCTTTCGGCAGGTAGCTGTGCAGGCGAATCGATCAGCAGGCAGGTAACTTACGGATGGACGGTCGTAGAAATTCGCCAGCGGAAAGTACATCGATCCAGGACGTCTGCGACCTAGCCTGAAGTTACTGCCTCGACGTTCCGCCAGAGCAGCTGGCATCAGGAGGAGTCGAGAAGGCCGCATTCGTCATCTTCGGCCGCTTCTCGCAGCAAAGCGGTGGGAATGGCCGCACGCCAGCGGCATGGAGCAGAGTCAGAGGGCATGCGTACGTACGCCGTCGACTCAGGGTTCGCGCCGCTCGCTAGCCGCACCCAAGAACCAAGGATGTCCTGTTTCAACGTGGCGGCGTGAGGTTTGATCGGATGAGAGAGGGGCCTGACGTACTGCGCGGGATACTCAGCCGTTAATGAGGAGAGGCGTTTCTGGTGGCTTGGGTGCGATTCAGGGGGTGGCGTATGGGGGTGAACGCTGTGGTCTGGCTCGTGGATCTCGGGATGTACTACTCAGTAGCCGGATTTGGGTGGCGTCAATTTGGAAGAAGTCGATACACGGCGTGGATCAATGGGGTACGTTGCATCGCCAGTGGTATGAACATGAGAACCGGTGCAATGAACAGATTGATTGAATGCACCCGGAGATCTGGTGGAAGGTTCAGCTATGGGACCAGGGTGGATCAGCGGAAGCGAACGCATTTTAGACTCGAGAAGACACGCAGGCTGCTTTCATGAGCAGTGTGCATTTCTGGGGATCCAGGTTCGCTGATTGGCCTTGTATGGATGCGTTTCGATATCATGCTGCCGGCACGACGATACGGTATTTGTACATCGTCGGACGGAAGAGTTTGATGCGGAGGCCAGGAAATGCCATTCACCGCCGACGGGGTCTGGGAGCATCCTATGTGATCGCATGTCAGAGTGTGCCACTTGCTACGCAGAAAGGGTGGATGAACGGAAGTAAACCCCGGGTCTGGCGGTAGTACAGCGGCGTGCAGTGTGGGCGCCGCGACAAATCCTGTGAGAGAGATGTCGAGGATGTATTAATGCACCGGTCTGGGGAAGCGGAGGACTGAGAAGGGAGCTGCGCTGGGAGCCCGAGTCCTGGCATGGCAGATCCACAGGCAGGGTGGCGGACGGGCGCCTGGGATCGCGGTCGTGCTTCTCGCCCGGTTCAGCCACCGCGGGGAAGTACGTGTGGGTGGCTGGAGCCGTGTTTCAAGGAGCAGACGGGAGCACGAGCATGGTGCGCGTTGGGAGTGCACATCAGGGCTGAATGCGAGCGATGAGGACAGAAGCCGGGGCAGGAGGAGATGAGCGGGGCTGAGCCTTGGCTGAGCCACGCCTGGTCGGATCGCAGCCCGATCGACAGAGTTCGCTGCTGCCGACTGATTCTGGCCGTGAAGGAAAACTTCAAAAGCCGGCGACGCTCGCCTCGTCTCCCTCGACCATCACCAGCGCGAGGGGGCGTCGAAGTTGCTGGCAGCGGATGAAGACAGTGCACCACCAGTCACGACGGTGAGGACAATGGACACGCAGTATGTCGGCGCGGGCCTCGTGTATCACCACACGTCGCCCTTCTTCGACCACAACTCTCGCCCCTTCCCCGTCGTCCACAACGCCCACCACCCATCCATGGCCTGGCAGCCCCAGCAGGTCCACACGTCCCCGCCCAACAGCTCCGCATCCACCAGCTCGTCGCTCTCCAACACCTCGCTGTACTCCTCCGTGAGCCATTCAGACGAGAGCGTCAACTACCCGACCACCTCGACGCCCCTCTCGCACCCACGGACCGGCAACGTCTACGCATCGCCCCCCATCGACTCGGGCGCATCAAACCATGGGCCCTCCTTCGACTCGCCGCAGATCGAGAGCAGCATTGGGCCGAGTCGCGTCCTCACCCGCCGCCGGGCGCATACGACGGCTCAAGCGCCGCCGCGCTCGTACACCGTTCGTACCTCTCGTCCACTACGCTGCCATCGTATTGATATCTGTTCTCATTCCAGCGGCGCACGCACTCTCTGGCCTTCGCTGGCCAGCAGGGCCTTCGCGAGCCTTCGCCCCTCCAACACCCTCCACCGCCGCCTTATGCGAGTGTGAGCTCGGAGATAGAGACTGCACTCGGTGTATCCCCATATCCGTACGCATATTACCAGGCTCGTGCAACGTCCAGCTCCGTATCCTCCAATCCCCGCTCCGCGTCGCCTGCCAACAGCGTCGTATCCCTCGCGTCCTCCAGGACGTCCTACTCTTCTTCGTACTCTGCCTCGGGCTCCAATCTCCAACAGCACCATTCGCCGCAGGAGCCGCGCCAGCCCAAGCACCGCAAGCAGCGGCTTTGGAGCACCGACCGCAAGAAGATCTGCATATGCCACCGGGACAATCCGGGCATGAAGCAGGAGGAGATCGCTGCCCGCTTCGGTGTCGAACGCAGCACCGTGAGCAAGATCCTCAAGGAGAAAGACCGCTGGTTGAACGTTAAAGACGATGAGAAGCTGCAGGTCGCGAAGTGGCGGTGAGTCGTCGCACATGTCTCGTACATACTCGCGCGATCTGACACGATCGCCCAGCCCGAGCAAGTTCCCTCAGATCGAGGGGAACATGCGCATGTGGCTCGAGAAGATGGAACCGACAGGCATGGTGTTCACCGACGCGATCATCCGCACGAGGGCACGAGAGATCTCGACCATGATGGGAATCGGCGAGGACAGGTTCAAGGCGAGCTCGGGTTGGGTGGAGAACTTCAAGGCGCGGCATGGCATCAAGAAGGGCAAATACACGGGCGAGGGCACGACAGACGAGAAGGCGCGCGCGATGGGGTACGGTTACCTGCCCACGGCTGACCCGCCTAACATCGTCCCTCCGTCGAAAGACGCTTCACAACCTGCGTGGCATCTGGCGGAGCCGGAATACGTGCAGCCTGAGCCTGCGCCTATGACCGTCCCCGACCCGGTTGCAATCTTGGTGCCGTCCGAGGACGGGCTGACGCAGCAGGAGGTCTACGTCGTGCCCAAGGTGAACGTCGCGAAGGAGCCGACGAAGGTGGAGACCCTGGAAGACGCGGAGCGCATGGCCAGCGCGCTGCGGGAGTATGCGAAGACCCACCAGCACATCATATCTCCTGCGCACGAAGAGGTCCTCCGCGAGATCATCGTGAACATCGTCCGCTATTCCAGCGACGAGCAGTGACCGGCGATTATCCGGCTTCGTCTGCTTGCCATATGCTCCGCCTTTCGTTCTCTGCTCGGCGCCTCGTTGCCTTACGCCTCTCGATCCCGATTCCCGGCCTTCGACTCTCAACTTTCAACCTTCGACCTTCAACGTTCGTATCGTATCGTATTGCTGCCTGCGAATGCAACCCGCGCCGCAGGTTCAGCCTCTCCGGTGAGGTATGTATGACAAAAGCGCGTCCGCGCATTTCTCCTTATGTGACCATCACTTTTTCTCTGGTTTCTCTGGTCTCGTGCATCATGGACCCATCCATCATCCATGCAATCTCCCACTTTCCCTTCCCTCCCATCCAACGAACTCGCAATTGCCTTCATACATACGCACATCGTCGTTCACGCACATCACGTCATGCATCGCATTTCTCATCGTCTCATCGCTCTCCACGCCAACAATTCGCAGCATGTACTCCACGTCTGTCTGTCTGTGTCTCATATAGTGTCAGGGTTCCTGAGTGTTTCGATTTTGTCTCATTTCTTTGCACTGGGCAGTTCGTTTCCGTAACATACAATGCATCCTCACCCCCATCCTCCGTCCAATCGTCATTGTAGCATCATAAAAGCAAGCAATACATCGTATTTTTAGGCCGTAGGCAGCGTGCGATGTGGGTCCTGGTGTGATTGTGCTGCTGTCTCTGGGCCGGCCGGACGTGCCATAATATCAGGTCGAGAATAGGCCACGAGATCTACCCTCGATGCACTTCTCCCGACGGGCGTGATATGTGTCCTACATCACAAGGATAAGTAATGAGAAGTAGGATTGGCGGCATGAAAGAGCCTCACACTATGAAGTCATGAAGACGTTATGACTTCTTCCCTTTAGCCTCCTTCTCCTTCGCGGCGTTGCTACCCCGGACAATAATTCATGTATAACTCATATCACAGCGACAAAGAACTCACCCCTCCATCGCAACGTTCTTCATAATAGTGAGCTTGCCGGACGAGGCGGCTGAGGCGACCTGCCGCTCGATGCTCCGGTTGATCTTCGCACTCAATTGCTACGCAATATTGTCAGCGCATAAAAATCGGACAGGATGTAGGCGACAGTACCTGGTGCATGGCTGCATGCCTGACTGCGTCCTTGTTCTTGGGTGCGACGTACCGCTTGCCCTTCTTCGTCTGGGCAGCAGCCTTCGCGGCCTGACGGGAGCCGGACGCCTTTTGCTTCTGCAAGCCTTTCACTTGTCCTTGAACCATTGCAGTTGTATAATATACAGATTACGACGTGTGTAAGGTCGATGGTCCACAGAGAGAGATCTGAGAAATAGGGAGCACACGGTCGAAGATCGAAGAGTAAGACAACACAAGCGCCCACTCCTTCCCAATCGAGCGAAAATGCATGCAGCCGGGAAAAGCCGGTCGGTTCATCGGCGTCACGCACGGCGGCGAGGACGAGTGTCAGTCCGTTGCTCACCGTCCCCAATCTCACCGTCCCCACCGTCCGCCAGCGAGGATGTTGGCCACATCGACGGGCTGCGTGCCCCTACGGCGCGCGGTCGCTCAGCAAAGAAAGGTGCGCCTACCGATGATCTGGGACGGGCGCGACGTTGACGGTGACGATGCGGGATTGTAGAACTTGCAGAGGGCGTACCACGACCTCGTCAACTTGCCGAAGAAGGGCCCTGTGGTTTCATATGGCCCACCTGGGCGGAGCGCGACGACGGGCCATGTCGCTACTGTTTTTGGGAGCACAGGGTTCTTGGGGAGGTACACTGTCGCGAAGCTTGGTACGTCGTACGCACTCAAGGAACGTAGGGTAAATGCTGACATGACATGGGCACACAGCGAAGGCTGGTACGCAGGTGGTCATTCCGTACCGTGAGGAGGACGAGAAGCGGCATTTGAAGCCCATGGGTGATCTCGGCCAAATCGTCATGATGGTACGTCTACGTACGGCGCAAGCTATAGTATGCTCAACGCTAACCTGTCCCTCATCAGGAATGGGACCTGCGGAATGAGGACCAGATTGAGGAGTGTCTGAGACATTCCGACATCGTCTACAACCTCGTCGGCCGAGAATACCCAACCAAGTGCGTTCCCGCCACCTACGCCGCCCTCGCCCCGCTGACGCCCTCCTAGGAACTTCAGCTACGACGCGGTGCACGTCCAGGGCGCAGAGCGCATCGCCAAGATCGCGGCGAAGGTCGGGGTCCCGCGGCTCGTGCATGTCTCGCACCTGAACGCGTCGCACGACTCGCCGTCCGAGTTCTACAAGTCCAAGGCGCGCGGGGACGACCTCGTGCGCGAGGCGTTCCCCGACGCGACGATCGTGCGCCCCGCGATCATGTTCGGCTACGAAGACAGGCTCCTGAACAACATGGCTCGTGCGTCCGCCAAATCCACGCGTCCCCGTTGGCTCGCGCTTGTCGACGCGACGTCTGACCGCTAACCTTCTCCCTCTTCTCTCCAGTCTGGCCGATCTGGTGGAAGCTCAACGATATGGCGACGAAGATCCGCCCCGTGCATGTGAGCCGCGCCCGGCATCCAAGCAGTCAATCGTCTACTCACTCACAGCGCCGTCTTCGTTCTCGTCTTCGCAGGTCTTCGACGTCGCACAGGCGCTCGCCAAACTCATCTCCGTGCCCTCGCTCCCGGGCGTACTGAACCTGCCCGGGCCGTCGCAGCTCACGTACGAGTACCTGCTGGCGCTCGTCTCGAGCGTGACATACAACCCGCCGTCGCGCGCGCCCATGGTGCCCAAGGCTGCCGCGCTCGCGCTCGCCAAGGTCGCGCAGGCGGTGTGGTGGCCCGCGCTGAGCCCGGACGAGGTCGTGCGCCGGTACATCGACGACGTCGACGTACCCGGCGACTGGGATAAGGTCGGCGTCGTCCCGGATGAGGTCGAGCAGCATGCGATTTCGTACCTCCGGCGGTACCGCTCGGCGTGCGTGCCATTCTCTCTGGGTGATGTTGTGGGAGTCATGCTGATGCTTCGTGACTGACCTGCAGGGAGAACTTCACCCGGCCCGTTGTCTTCCCTTCCTCCCGGGATGCCGAGGTGAGTCGCGTCTCGTCGTTCTGTGGCGCACTGTGTGATTCATGGTGGTTCTGCGCAGTATGGGTATTAATGGGGGCGTGGACATGTGGTCTATCTCGTAGAATAATATCATTTGCTTCAATGAGAGTCGCTGCACGTCTGATTACATCGTTGCCTGGGAGCAGTCAGCGCACAATGGCCTCATTGGAATTTCATAATGGTAAGACGTCAAGACAACAAATTGCCCGAGGAATGTACGACGGCTGCCCCAGCTCAATCGCGAAGCGACTGCGACACCGAGGACGCCGATGTTAACACTCAGAATTCACCGGACCATGGTCGTCACCGGTCTACACTGTGACGGCGCAGCGCGGTAAGGACGGTGGTCATGGCAGAGACTCTCACACAAGTGACGTCGCAACAGTCCGGAGATTGTGGCCATGAGAACAGAGGCCGAGGCGTAGGCTTTTGAATACGTCTTCGCGGAGACCCTGCGTGCCAGCGGGACTCCGAGGATGGGGAAAGCGTTTACGCAGCGCGGTGAGGTGGCGGCTGAGAGGCGGGAGAATTGCTGACTAGTAGGGGCTCTATGATATAGTACAAAGTGGGGAGCGCGAAGCAAGCAAGGTCGTGACGATGCGGACGTATATGGTGTGCGTATGCGATCAGAAGCCGGGCGGCACGACGCCTTTTGGCTGGTCCTGCTGGCCGGGTTGCGCATACATGGATGCCATCTGGCGGTGCGGCGTGAGCGGTGTGGGGGCGCGGGAGAATCAGCGGAGACTTACGTGTTGGGCCCCTTGTTGCTGGGCGAGCATCTCCTTCTCCTGGGCGACGATCTTTGCCTCGTCCTCGAGGCTGAGGGCGAGCGGGAGGCCGACGAGGAGGGCGCTGGTGGTGACTATCCAGACGATGTTGCCGACGACCTTGCCGGTCGTCTTGAAGAAGCCGGTCGTCTTTGAGAGGCGGCTGGATATTTTGTGGCGCGTGGTGGGCGGGACGATGTCGACGAGGGCGGCGAGGCGTTCGTAGAAGGACTCTTCGCCGTCGAGCTCGGAGCCGACGGAGGAGAGGGAGACGGAGGAGGATGTGCGGGAGGAGGAGGAGGACGCGTAGGGGGAGTTTGTCTCCTGCTGGTCCTTTTCCTCGACGATCTCTACCTTGACCATGGCTGCGAGTGGTGTTGGCTGCGACGTGCACTGGCGGTGACGGCGTGTCGAAAACTGGGCAGCGTCACGCACACGTGGGGGTGGCGGGCGAGTCACAGCGAGTCACACGGCGCCGCCGACGGTGACGGCGGTGGATGACTGGGAAATGCGTGGGAGCGTGCGGCGGATAAGGGAAGCGTGACAGGCCCGACGGCTGCGATTGGGCGGCGGGGTGTGACGGCGCGTGGGCAATCGGGACCGAGATTTGATGGGTGTGCCGCCGCAAATCGTAAGCAGGATTTGGGATAGGCGCGCAGGGACGCATAGCCCCGGAGAGTCGGTGGGTGGCGACGCCCTTGCACCGTCCTTATACGCACACAACGCAGACATCGCCCGCCATGGACAGCGGCCACGCCCCAGAGTCCTCGCGTGCCGGCGCGCAAGGTCCGTGCGCCCCCCGCACTCCGCCCGCACCGCTCACCCGCACCTGCTAGCCTTCAACCTCACGAGCACCACCATGCAGAACCAGATCCACGAACTCGCCAAGACCCTCCCCCCGCCCCGGAAGCAGAACACCGCCTGTGACGCCTGCAGGTACGCTCTCCACCGCCACACCCGCTTCTTCGCTTTGCACCAGACCGCGCTCACCCCGCCGCGTTCCGCAGAGCCCGGAAAGTCAAGTGCAACCAGCTCCCCGGCCAGGACAAGGTACGCGTTCTTCTCCTCCTCCCCGTGCCGCTTCCCTGACCCGCCTTGCTCCCCTGCGCAGTGCCAGGTATTGTCTCGTCCGCTCTCACGACGCCAGCGCTGAATCCAGCGCCACTGCAGCACTGTCTGTCCAAGAACTACCCATGCACGTCAGTGACTGCCCCGCCTGCGCAGCCCCACAAATTAACCGGACATGATTCTCCTGCAGACACTTTGTCCAAGCCGCGACGACAGAAAAGAAGCGCACCGCCGCTGCCTCCAGGCGGCCCCGAGCCCTCAGCTCGACCACCCAGACGTAAGCCTATCTAATCAGATCGTCGTCGTCAAGGTATTTTAAGCATGAGCCACGCAGCCCGACCGCGAGTTCGTCCCTGGGGTACGTCCGCTCGAATGCTGCTATATCCCCGCTCACTGTAGCCCCGGATATAGCCCAGCAGCATCAGAACAGCCTACGCCCGGCCACGCCCCAACGTCGCCCAATTACCCCAACACAACCGCCCTCCGACCGACGCAAACGTACTGGCCGCAGTATCACCCCGTCACTTCGCACACCTCCACGCGAGACCTACTCGCATATTTGTTCTCGCCCCCGGTCCCCAGGTTCATTTCACCAGCTGCCTGCCTGGAACGTTGCCCGCGCTGACGTCTTGCCCGTTCCAGCTCGACGTATCACTCCTCCGCGGGACTCCCCGGTGCGTACGCGGACTGGGGTGGGACGGCGCCCCGCCTAGCCGAGGAAGCTTTCCGCTTCGAGTTGCGTTCTTTCCCTTCCTTTGCACCCCAGATCATACCGGCTAACTGGTTCACGCAATTTACGTCGCAGAGTCGCTCTGGACCTGGTCGAGGTCTACTTCCAGATTGTGCACACGCGCCTGCCGCTGCTCAACCCTGCGCAATTCCGCGCGAGGCTGCACTTTAGCCTGCATCTTGCGTCGCAGTCGCGCAGCCACTCACCGCATACACCGCCGTCTGCATCCTCGACGTCAACGTTCCTCTCCAAGGGCGGCCTAACACAGAACGATGCGCATAAACCGCTCCATCCCGCGTGCGTCTCGCTTCTTCGACACGTTGCCGCCTTCCGTGTTTAGGCACTGCGCCTGCGATACTGAACAACGCTGTTCTACAGGCTTGTCGCGACCGTCATTGCGTGGGGTGCTAAATTCTCCGAGCACCCGCTGCTCTTAGCAGACCGTGCTCACAACGGTAACCAGAGCCATATTGCGAAAACACTCATCAACCGTGCGCGCGACTTAGCGGAAGACCTGAAGGTTCATCGTATCCCAACAGCTGACCATGTCGTGATCGCGCTCTTGATCGAACCCATGCAGAATCGTACGACGCGCTTCTCTCCTGCTTCACGAAGTCAATGTAGCTGACGCTTCTGGAACTGCTCAGAAAATATGGATGCTGCAGATGGTCAGTGGATTCTGTTACTATGGTTCCCCGATCACGGTCATTGAGCGCGTTGACAGGGTATCACGGTTTCTGGCTAATGTCCGCCATCCGCCTTCTGCTCGACCTCCAGGTGCGTCTGTCCAACCCTACGCTCAGGCTCGGAGCCGCAACTCCTCCCGCGCCGTTACGTCACGACCGCCTCCCGCGCGGCACGCCCGATCCTCGATCAGTCGGCTAACGCGCCCACAGATCAACCACAAGTCCGTCATGTCGAACATACAGGACCCGGAGGACCGCGGCACGATGATCTTCGCGTGGTGGATGGCCTGCCTCGCCGACGCGTACCGGAGCGTGTACTACAGGCGCAAGCCGATGCTGTGAGTGCTCGCTGTGCTCGAGGACTCCCTCCCTCCGCCTCCTGCGGCGGGGTGGGGCGGTCCTGCCATTTGGGGTTGCTGATGGACGCTTTGTGGGCGTTGGCGTTGCAGGGACGACGACGATTATGATATTGATTTCTACACTGTGGGTCCCGTCGCTCCCGAGCACCTCGAGACGCAGGGCACGCAGCCGTCGCCCCGGGAGCAGCTGGAGGTAAGCCGCACCCAGCATTCATCTACCCGACGCAGTATGATTGACATGCCTCTGTGGTGTTTAGTTTCTGGTCAGTGACCTACAAGGCTCGTACCGTCCGCGGACTGATCGAGACGGTCCTCCGCAGGGGTACTACCGCGCCTCGCACGCGCTCGCCCGGATCTCCCGCCAGATGTCGCGCCAGCTGTGGCGCCCCGCGACCGAGTCCGACGGGATCCCGTTCGACATCCTCAACAACTTCATGAACCTCCTCAACGATTGGCGCGAGGAGTACCTACACCACGTCGGCGTGCCGAACAACTTCGACTCGGGCTGGGACTTTGTGAGCGCCGTGACGGCCTGTGAGTGCTTCTTCCTCGCCTTCCGGACTGGCGGTGCGCGCCTGCGGACGACACGATGCTGAGGGTGCCGCTCCGCTCGGCGGCTGTAGGTGCGAGCGACGCGACGTACCACATCATGTGGATCGTGCTCTTCAACGCAGTAGACGACTTTGGCATCCGCGAGATCAACGACCTCGAGCGGACGGGGAGCCCCGGTCACCTGCACCCCAAGGCGATGGAGATCGAGGGCCAGAAGCAGAAGGTTTTGGATACCGCCCTCGCATCCGCGACGCGCATCGCGGGTCTGGTGAGTCTAGGTCCGCCTACGCACACGTCACCGCAGCTCACGCGCACGTCCGCACGCCCAGGCTGGCATCCTCACGCAGAACGGCTATCTGGTACGTCTCCGTTACGAGAGCGGCCTGCGAACGTGGGCGTGGGCTGATGACTGCTCGGTTGTGCGCAGAAGCTCGACTCGGCGGTCATGCACGTCAGCATCATCCAGGCGGGCATACTGCTCGCGCGCCTCGGGCGGCCGGAGGTCAAGAACTGCATCGACGGCCTGGAGCAGTATAGCTACGCGTACGAGGAGTGCGCGGAGCAGGCCGCGGAGATGCGCAAAATGTACGCACAGGCCGTTGCTGGCGAAGTGGATCTCGCCCACATGATGTCCGTGTACTCCCGGTCTGGCGGGGGCATGGGCCCCGCGAGCAACGCGATGGCTGTCGACCCGCCTATGTTCGGTGGGTACGTCGGGTGAGCGCCGCGTCTGCGTGGCATTTGGACACTCTTCCTTTCCATGCTTTCGCATTGCATCCAACGGACTAGGTCAGGTTTTGTATACGCGGTGGGGACGGGAATGGACCTTCATGGAATTGTAGCGACCTCAGCGTTCTCTTCTGTGAGGTTGGATATGTGTGTAATGTCTGTAGTACGCGTCGCTGTCTCGGAGATTCGGACCCTGCATCTCATAGATCAAGGTGGTATAGGACACGATCTACTGTACTGACTCCAAAAGCCGAAACCGTGTTCTGTACGTTACGTAGTAAATAAAAAGGTGTAGCACTCGAGAGATGCGCATGACAATGTCCCAACAGCTTTACAGACGAACACTCTTCACCACACGCGAGATGCCCGACTTTTCACCGTCGTAACGACCGGTGTCGCTGATACCACCCTTATAGACCGCCTTCTGTGAGGAGACCTTCTTCTTTGCCTTCTCGTACTTCTGCCGTTTCTTCACCCGAGGATTACGAACGGCCTTCCCGCGATGGGGTGTTAAGCCCTTGTTCTTGAGAATAGCTCTCGTCAAGGCACGAGGGCCGTCGGCACTCTCATCGATATCGGGTCTGTAGAACGAGAAGTATGAGCTTGAATGGCATGGCATGGGATAGAGTTCCGACTCGTACCTCTCAGCCGCCTTGACCGCTTCGTACTCCGCCTTCTTCTTCTCCTTTCTCTCCTTAGACTTGCGCTGGACAAGCTCGTAGTAGCCGTCGGCACCGCCGTCCCCGCCGTCGGAGTCGCTGTCATCCTCTCGGGGCCGCTTTTTGTCTCGCTGCCGCGGCTCGGGCTCCGCGTCATTGAGGTCGTCCCCACCCTGCCCACGGCCCTTCGCTGTCTCGCGCGCCAGCCGCGCTTCCTTTGCCTTCTTCCGTTCACGATACGGTATATCGTCGTCCCCACCCATGGCGTTACTGCGCGCATTCTGCCTTCGCGCACTCGTGTTCTCGATCCGTGCTGCATGGAAGCGGAGAGACTTCTTCCGAGCTTGCTTGTCGGCAGCGTCGGCCGCCTGTAGTGATGTAGCCTCGCCGTACACATCGGTCGACGAGGGCCCCGAACGACTGGTCGAAGCGGTAGACTTCTTTTGGGTGATGCTAGGTTCAACAAGATCAAAAACGGGCGTAGCGGGTTTAGATTCGCCGGAGGTTTTGCTTGTTTTCCGCTTCTTCTTCGGAGGCTCCTCTGACTTCTGGGTGGAGGCCTTAGATCTTCGCTTCGCCGAGGATTCGCCCTGACCATCCGCAGACATCAGGCTTGCTTCCCTGAGGAGAGCGTGCAACTCGTCAGGTTCTAGGCTGTTCAGTTTCTCCTCTAACCAGAGCGCCTTGGCGTCCTTCAAATCATCGTCCTGTGATAGGTTTTCATCGTCATCTTCGTCATCGTCGAAGCCGAAGTTCAGATCTTCCAGCGTAGCCATTGCTTGCTTGAGTGTAAGCAGTCTTTGGAGTATGGGGTGGGAACGGAGCAATTCGGGCCGCTGCACATACTTCTCGCTTGTACGGAGATGCAAGTAGAAGGACACCGTCGTCGCATATGTGAGCAATGCCTCTGAGCGACGTCAGTTAAGGGACCAAAGGCGGACTTTTGGGGATACATACGATAGTAGAGGTGGGACATCCCGGAGCCCAGAGCATCAGGAGTGCTTTCTTCGAGCCTGTATTCAAGATCAGCGTCATTATCGTTTCTTAGGTGGTGAAACCTACGCGGATAACCTCGACTGCGTTTCCACCAGCTTGTGCGCTGTATCGTCCCAGTCGCGTGCGAGTGCAAGTGCCTCCGGATTATTCTTCTCGAGATGTCGGAGCAACGACTGCTTGTCAGTCGGTAAGGGTTGCAAGACTGGCGGCGCTGCGTCCAGTACCATGCTGGAAGATGTCAGAAGTTGATTACATGTCAAAGGACATTCAGCTCACTCGTCAGCTTCTGCTGCAATCTCCACCGGGTCCCTCAAGCCGAAGTCATCGTCAGCCATGGCATCTCTTGTTTTCGTCTGCAGCCGCTTGGCCTCTTGTTCCTCGAGCTCGTTTGCTTCCTCGTCTTCAGACTCAATCTGTCGGGCATTCGACGAGTAGTAAGCAGACTTCTTCTTGCCCCAGCCCTCCTCTTCCTCTTCCTCCTCATCCTCCGCCGCAGACAATGACGGAGATCGCGCAGCTTTGCCCTTCTTTCCTTTGGCTTGGCGACCCTTCTTAGGGCCAGAGTCCGAGTCGGCTGCGTCGTCCTGTTCTGCCATTCCATCCTCCTCTGCACTCGCGTCATCCTCATCCTCCGAGTCCCCTGAAAGGCCTTTCAGAGCGAAAACCTCATCCTCGTCGCCTTCATCTTCATCGTCGTACTCATCCCCGTCAAGAAGGATCTTGTCGCGAGACGCGTGGACTGTCAGTAACACGACACGCATGTCAGATTCCATACATCCTCGGTAAATATGATGTACCACATACAATGGTCCTCCTCGTCTAACGGTATGTCCGACGGTTTGTTCCACTTCGCAATCTTGCTGTCTTTAGGGTTGATGCCTCGAGGTTTTGAGCGAGAGCCCTTCGCCTTGTTCGTTCCGCGTTTCCGTGCCATGGTTGGAAGAGGGTAGAAAGGAAAGGATGCCCGCACGACGATTAAGCACTACAGTCGGCTATGCGCGTCGGCTGCAGCCACAGAGGAGAAATGAAAATCCTACTTGCTTGTTTTGGAAAACATACTGAACGCCTCGCGCATTCACGTGCCTCACTCACACGCCCTTAGGAGACCGCCCTCCCCTTCGTCAGAGGTCCTCTTTAGGTTCTATCTTGGGGAGACTACTCGCTCGCTCTAGTACTGGGCTCTATCATGGTCCCTTCTACCATGCATATGATATCACAGTGCAGCTTCTGGACATCTGTCATCATGACTCGGAATCTGCTGTTGTACATCCGCATCGCCTAGCAGCCGGCCCCTACGCCTAGTTGCTTCCGACCGATTCATCAAACTTGACGCAATATGTGTTTTCATGCATGCCAGTATTGGCGGGCTTGTATGCGAAACACGAGTGGTTCCTAAACTCGAAGTCTGGCTCAGGGATCTTACATGCTAGCTGCTACGCTCCAACTCGTCAGCGCGGCAGCGCTGGCACTCCATCCTGATTACCAGTAGTGAGTGACTAACTTAGTGAACTCCGTATGTAGAGGTCTACGGCGAATTCCCTCTACTCTCCGTTGCTTAGGAACGGACAACGCGTGCTGTCATCCTGAGATCAGCTGTTACTGTTTCAAGACTATTCACCCTGCAAAGGCATGGACGAGCGAGAAGCAGTTTTTGCGGGCTTCTTCTACGCCGTCCCCGGCTACGATGGAAGAGAAGCGGGGTTTCGGTCTAGAGCCTTTCTAAGGTGCGTTGCACCATCGTCGCACTATTACTATCCGCTACCATTACCACCTCGTCGCTCACTTAGGACCTCACAACCGTCGCTCATTTCCTACATGGATTCTTCTGCCCACGCACCGATTTGGGAGTCCCGGATCGCTGCTATCATGTACGAAATCACTAAGATCATGATCGGTCTTGCATGCACAATTGATTGCCATATCTTTGTAGTGGATGACTATCCGTAAGGATTTAGAGCCGGCCGATCGTCTCTAAACGAGTTATAGCGGAGCTTAAATTCAGTTTGGAACGAGTTTGTAATCCGTAAGACAAGTTTAGAACTACCAATCCGCATCCAAAGCCGCATCTATGCGGTTTGTCTCTGGGCTGGACAGCGATGATGAGCTCGAGGACGAAGAGCGCCTCCGCCTCGGCCTTGCCGCTGCACTTGTTCTGGGTGCCCTCGACTCGCGGCTAAGTCGGGCGATAAACCGCCGTCAAACCTACCTCACGCGCCCCGAGCTCATGCCTGATCCACGAATCAACACCCCATGGCAGCGACTCTGGGCGAGCCAGAGCGACCGCGCGTTCATCACGACAATGGGGATCGACGTCGCGACATTCCACTATCTACTCGACAATGGTTTCGCCGAAATATGGGCCACGACCGCCATACCCCGAACTGACACCAATCCGACTGGACAGCCACGACTCGGTCGCCGCTCACTCGACGCCGCAGGCGCGCTCGGGCTCTATCTCCATTACCTTAACTCGACTATGCTTGAGAAGACGCTGCAAGAGCTCTTCGCTCTTGTTCCGGGGACGACAAACAGGTACCTCAAGTTTGCGCGGCTTGCTCTCCTGAAGACTCTACGGAACATTCCTGAAGGGAAAATCAAGTTTCCGCGCGATCATGAGTTCCACGAGCTGTCAAAGCTTGTACAGGTGCGTGTGCTCGCTCGTATTACACACTGGAGGGTCCGTTAACCAGACTGCAGCGGCGCCATCCATTGCTTAATGGCGCGTTCGGCGGCATTGATGGCTTGAACCTTGCAACACAAGCCTCAGATGACCCAGCGATCGAGAATGCGACGTATAACGGATGGCTACATGATCATTTCACGAGCTGTGTGCTCGTATTTTCAGCCAAAGGTGAGTCTGCTTGACTCGCTCCTCAACTGCCACTGACGGTGCGAAGGTGTTATCATCTCATGCAATGTCAACGCACCCGGTAGCTGGCACGATGCGAAGGTCGCGAGGCCGATATACGAGCAACTACGCAACAAGACCCCTGAGGGGTACTTCCTTGTTGCGGACTCGGCCTTTCCGCAGGGTGGCGCAGAAGTTGCAGGTCGGATTCAGTCCCCTCGGAAATCTGGTGCTGCGCTGCCTAGGGATCGGATCGAGCGTGCAGCGGCTATCGCATACGACAACCAATTGCTATCGTATCGGCAGACTGCTGAGTGGGGCATGCGGCAGCTCCAGGGCTCCTTCGGTCGTCTCCGTATTCCTCTCGATATCAATGACGACGATGGGCGAGCCGACTTACTGGAGAACTGCGTGCGTATGAATAACGTGCGTGTTCAGCGCGTTGGGATAAGTCAGGTACGGAATGTGTATGAGCCCATGTGGCGAGCGTCAGAAGCTGCAGAGCTTTGGGACTCATTCGAGCGGATGCTCATCCGGGACATTCGGCGCGGAGATCGTGTTGCACGTTTTCATGTAATAGAGTGACTCCTCAGTACATATTCACATGGGTATATTGAACGTGAGGGTCTAAATATGTACATGAAGCCAGCTTCAGGTCAACATGAAAGTCCAGAATGAAAAGTTAGGACATGAATGAGATATAAATAATAGGATATGAACGAGATATAAATAAAGTAAGAGGCTTGAGAAGGGTATATGCAGCAACCTACTACTGCAGACAGTCCTACGGCTTTTTGTTTGCTGACGTGCGACGTGCAATGCGACGTCGGCGCGGCGTGACGGTCACATCATACATGAGCTCGCCTCCCTCTGTCCGGTCCTCCAGATCCGCTAGAGCTGCTGCCGCGAGAGCGCGGAGACCACTGTCAATGCTGCCGTCCGATGGCACTGACGGTACGTGCGAGAACATACCAAGTGATGGGTTTACAACAAGGCCGTTCTCTGCGGAGGGTGTAGGAAGGCCCGAAGGCTCCGAAGAGCTGCTATGATGATTCTGGTCGAACGAGACAGGTGCGTTCTGCGGACTCGGATGCAAGTGGATGTAGGCGTCACCTGCTTCTTCTCGTGCAAGTGCTGCCATTGCTGCAATCTGCGCGAGGTCTGGCGGCGGGGATTGCTGGTGGTGGCTGGACCAGTTGGACGGCCCGGCAATCGCTTGTGGTGCGAGTGGCTCGGCGGAGGGGAGGAGCCGGCTTGACGCGGATGCACTGCCAGTGGGTTCAAGATAGCTTGAGGATGAATAGAGGGGTTGGGAGTCATGGCGACGTTCCCATTCGCGGCGGTGCAATTCGTTTTCGAGACGATCGGCGCGACGGGTCTGTTCTGCGAGTCGCTCGAGGAGGGTGTCCGTCCGGTCGCGCGTACTGTGCATCTCATTGAGAAGCATCTGAAGAACAGTGTTCTCCATCTGGCGAGCTGCCCGCGCGTCTTCCCGTGCTGTCTGAGTCGCCGGATCAAATGCAGTAGCAAGATTATTGAGGAGGTTGTTCGAGATTCCGGAGCGCGTAGGGCGGCTCGCAAGTGGTCCAGACCCTGCGCTAGTAGTCACTGGACTCGGAGACGCGCTGACCGAGGGACCAGTAGTACGAGGCTGGCGACCCGGAGTGCTCGATGCAGCCGTCGTAGTAGTGACGCCGGTCTTGAGCTTTTTGCGCAGGGGTGCTGGCACAGAGTCGGGATCAGGTTTCACAATGGGTTCCTCCTCGTCAGAGTCGAAGATCTCGATCACGTCGTGTTCATCACCCTGCGCTCCACCAACACCATCGATCCCCTCATCGTCGTCAAGCGGGCGGACGTGGGCACGCTCATTTATGGAGTTGTCAATGATCCATGCTTCTTCGACCCACCACGGCACCTCAGCATCGCCAGTAGGCTTGGGTGTACGGGCAAGCTGAATAATCACTGACAAGTAAGTAAAATGTTGTTCACACTCAACGGACTAAATTGACTCACCGACTCAAACTTTGACCTAAGGGGCTTTACCTGGCGCTCAGGACGACCCTCCCTCTGCGCACGCTCGTTGTAGAGCGACCTGACCCTTGCCCATTCGTCTGGTCCGAGCGGCAAGACATCGCGTACGAAGTCCATCATCGCACGGTAGTCAGCCTCGGTATAGGTCGTAGCACCCGGCTGGCGGCCACCACGTCGCGGAGCCGCCGAAGCGACCTGTGCCGCGCCCTGCGGTGAGCGGCCACGCTTGCGTGCGGAAGGCGGCGCGGCTGGGCCCTTTGCCTTTGAAGCAGGCTTTGGAGCGGCCTTGGAAGCGACAGGCTTTGGGTTGGCTCGTGATGACGCAGGCTTTTGGCTGCGGCTCGGAGGCTTCGCGGCCGGCATACGTTGCGAAAGGATCTCCGAAACCTCAGGGAAGTCTTCGTTGTCGCTGCGTGGCTCCTCCTTCACATTCACAGGTGGACTCCGACCCCGCGCAGGTGGAGGGAAACGATTACTAGGCCGCTGGGCTGGCTGGCTGGTATAGTCTCGCCCCGCAGGGGCTGACGGCGTGCGTGCCGGCGCCGGTTCGCCGCGATCTTCCGACGAGAAGACCCAACGACTCGGAGGTTCGCCGTGCGGGAGATGGCTGAGCGAATGCGGAGAGCCAGTCGGGAAACTGCGGTAAGGCTCCGGCGCTGCGGCAGGGGAGCGATGGTGTGAGATGGTGTAAGGAGTGGATGGGTACTGAGATTGAGGGTAAGAAGCCGCCGGGGTATATGACCCATGAGAAGCATGAGACGGTGCAGTATGCATGTCACGGGAAGTGGGATGGAGCGCTGCAGGTCGAGCGGCGGTGGGAGTCGGAGGCGGATGAGACTGAAGACCAACACTATCGGTGCCCGGGGTATCATGGCCCATTCCGGTGTAGGCTGGGCGAGGACGGGGAGGCTATCATGGTACGCTCCGAGTCAGCTTGGTAATTTCTCAATTGACATGGAACATACCGTAGGAGGCCAATCCAGGCCTTCGAGTGGCGGGTCTTCATTGTCATCGGTCTCGGACATGGCCCGGGCCCTCTGCTTCCCTGCGGCCTTTTCTGACATTGGTGTACGGTTCTCCATGGCGAAGCAAGCAGTAGCAAGGTAAACGTGTGAGAAAAAATTCACGAAGGAGCGAACAGAAGTTGGAATTGGAAGAAGTGGTATGTTGTCCTTCTCGCCGACTGTACTGCAGTATATATACACTGACGAGGCCAGTGTCTCCACATGCATACAAAGGCGGTACCGATCACAACCATCTAGGTTGTACATAGGTAGTGTATGTCTCAATCATATTCTCAATCATATTCTGACTTTTTTTGGCTGCTTGAAACAACCAACACAGCTGGATGTTGCTCTCGTCGCACCATAGCGAACCGGCTGCCATATACATCTGATGAACCATCTCGTTCACGAACTTCGCACCACATGTGTCTGGCAGTCCAGGCTCTACATCCATGTTGCCCAACGCGCGGTACTCGTCTCCTCATACATCGCCTGCAATATCGCCCGCACTGTCTACGCCTAATATGGAAATGTTCGAGTTGCTCTAGGATAGCAGTGCTACACCACCACCGAGATTTAGCTCGGGGGGGGTACCCCCCCGAGCTAAACTTGTGCCTTTAGGGCTGTTCTAAGCATATGCATCAGAACTTGTCCGATTTCGGTTACGGGCTGTGACGGGCCGTAACGGTTGCTAAAATTCCGATTTTACATAGCGTCAGCGTATCACTCGTTAGCAAGACCCGTCGCATTTTAGAAGGTTGGGAAGATGCGGCAATCGCGTCGCTAGATAGTCGTTACGTAGCCATAACCGTTCACACAATCCTCAGCAAGCATCACTGCTGCAGCTCCCATTCTCCGGTTCTGTGCTCAATATTTCTGGCAATAGATTTCATTTTCGATGTATGCTACACATTGTGTAGTACTAGTACTGTATGTAATACAACTAAACCTAAGAAACGCACCCGCCCGGGTAAAGACCCACCGCAGTGGGCACGGGTTGCACGCGGGTAACGCGGGTTCGTGGGTCCACGGGTGGGTTTGCGGTTGAGTCGACCACCGGTGGGCGAGTGACCGTGCGGATGAGCGTACAAAGATGGGGCCGAGCGTGCAGATGTACAATCGCGCGCGGGCGTCCGTGCGATCGTGTGGGCAAGTGGGTGAGCGAAGGATATCAAGCGAGTCACCGACGACCGTAGGCGGTAAATTTGAAGGAGCGTGCGGGATACTCACCAGTTGGTAGTGTTTCCTTCCCTCCTTCTCAAACCCGTGCTTCACGCCCGATTGGGCTTGCCATTCTTATTTTACCTCCCTTATTTTACCTCCTCCGTGTCGCTCTTGTGTACCAGGCTCGCGTGATCCTCCGCGACGATCTCCTGCTTGCTGTCCGCAGGGTCGGTGTATTGCTCCTCGAACTTCTCCGTCCACCAGATGAAGATCTCCCTGCGAACTGGTCCGTGCACGCGTCAACGAGGAAGCCGACCGTGTGCACGGTCTCGAGTGTGGGGAAGAGCGTGTGGTGCCGCAGGAGTGAGGGTAAGTGGTCTTGCGCGTGGCTCGGCCGGTTCGGGTACAGGCGCGAGATGCCCATCCCGCGGATGCTGATGCGGCGGAGTGTGCAGTTGGGCGTGTGTAGCTCGGGCTCGAGCGCGTTCCGCGAGGGCATGGGTGGTGCGGAGAAGGTGGGTGAGTGCGTGCTGGAGGCTGGGAAAGCGGGAGTCGAATAGAGGGATGGCAGTGGTGGGGAGCGTGCATTGAGCAGCTTCTCGCCGCAGTCGAAGACGAACGTCTCGAGTATGGGGCAGACATCGGGCTGCAGGAACATGGCGATGCTAATTGGGGAGCCTTGGTATGAAAGAGATGTCATCGGGAGCAGCTCGAGGATAGTGATCTTTGGCACGTACAAGGAGCTATTACAGCATATATTCGCATCCAGAACAACTCTGCAGAGAGCGGGAATCAAGAGACAGCGAGGTGGAGACTACCCAAGTGTGGACACAAGAGGGTGGGAGTGAGTCGGCGGCAAGGCTCTGCCAGATGATGACGAAGCTCGATGAGAGCATGTTCTTGAGCGCGCACATTGACTGTTGCAGGCGACGAGCGCAGGAGAGTAGCAGAAAGCCAGCAGCGAGGGGGAGAGACACGGTTTTGAGGCTCGAAGCTGGACGTGAGCGTCGACGTCGGGAGGCCCGCGTGGCGGTCGAGGATCGCGAGCGCGAGCGGCGCGGGCTGCATGCCGGAGTGGCCGGAGTGCCTCGAGCTCTCGCCAGAGAACAAGGACATGGAGAGTGAGATGGACGCGCTTGGCGCGACGGGGAACATGAGGTCGAGCTAGTGAGGACACAGTGCCACAACGCCGAGTCGCAGCTGCACCGGGACGCGCAAGTGCCACAGTGACTTGCCCTAAACCGCCTAAGCGCCGGCGGCCACGTCCTTCCTCTCGTTAGCTATCTTTCCCTCGACGCGCGCACCCTGTCGCGCACGCTCTCCCTCGACCAGATCGCCGCCCGCGCGGAGCACCCACACGCTCGCGAGCTGGAGCTCGACCGACACGCTGCCACGCCATCCCAGCGTACCCCGCGCACAACACTGCCCTTCCTGCACGCGCCGCCTCCGCCTCACGCGGTCGTCTGGGAGGCGATGCTAACTCACCCGCCGTGCGCGTGCAGACCCGTCGTGCAAGGTGTGCCACCCTCGATGCCGGTGCAAGTACCACCGCGGCCTGCAAGAAGGGCGTTCGGAAGCGCCACAGGGCGATGGGGACAGCTCGAGGGCAAGGACAGGTGAGTACAAGCCCTGCCCTCTAGTCTCGAGCGCGATAACACGCGAGCACCTGGCGATGACGAGTACGCAGGGCAAATGCCGCACGTGCAAACGTAGCCGACAGATACGGGTACACTGGGCAAAGACCGAGTATGGTCGGAGCGCAATCAACAAGCAGACCCCCCGCGCGGAACACGGGCAAGCGACGGGCGACGGCACACACACTGACTGCAAGTGCACTCGGCGAATGCCCAGCACGCAAGCACGGCCGACGAACGGACCCCACGCGCGTGAGCAGAAGACCGGCGATGGTGACGTTGGGCCTGAGGGCCGGGGCACGCACAACACACGCCGACTGCGAGCGTGGAGGGCGAATGCCTACTACGCAAACATGGCCGACGAGCGGTCAGCGCACACACTGAGCGGACAACCAGCAGACAGCGTACACGCCAACCAGCGAGCACGCAAACATGGCCGACGAACACACGCAGGTGGGCGGGCACACGCAGGCGACGACGACATGCATGGCAACGACGAGCACGCCGGGCGAATGCCCAGCACGCAAACGCAACCGACAAACGGACCACGCGTGCGTGACGGAAGAACGGGCGAGGGCACGCGGAGGACTGGGCACTGACGGGTCAGCAGCGGTGGGCAGGGCCGGCACGCGGCAAGAACGGGCGGGCGCGAGGGGGAGTGAGCGGGGAGGGTCGGAATGGGAGGGCGTGAGCGGACGAATGGGGACTCGAGGGCGAGAGAATGGCGGGGGTGGGTGCAGATGCACCAACCCCCACATGTAACCCCGCGGTAGGTAAACTCGCGTTCACCGCCAACGCCGGCAGTGAAGTTCTCCAAAGCGAGCCAGTAGCGATAGCACTCAATAGACAGCTAGATAGTATGTAGAAAATGGCATTGCTATGGTTCGTGGGCATCATGATGCAAGCCCCGGTACACGAAAATTCTGTGAGACTCCAGTAAGCGTGTCAGCAGCTACATATCACGAGCCGTTAGCAAAATGCGCCTTTTGCTAACGACTGACGAATGTGAGCGTTGAGTGACACGCTGACGGTCAGTAACGCTTTTGCGTTAGCATCCGTCAGCGTGTCAGCAACGGTTAGCAACGGTTAGCAAAATCGGACTTCTACTGATGTGTGAAGTGCTAAATCATGGCTACGCGCTCGGAAATATATTTCCCAGATCTTGATTCAGTACATGCCGTGCGGCTTGCTTCGTACTATGCCTTTTGTGATGTCGGAGTGTGGACGAATTCAAACTCAACAGCTTTACGACGGTCAGTGTTCGTCTTTAGAACAGCCAATTTAGCATTTGTAGCCCTTAGATTGCATCTAAAGCCTTACGGATAGTCATCCAGTGGATGCCTTCCCGCAGAGGTTTACAGCGCGTTCTATCCTAAATTCGCACTGTAAATCTCTGCGGCAAGTCGGCATCTCGTGTGTACCGTTGCTTCGGATCAATACACCTCTCTTCTAAACAGCTCATTTAGAAGGGGGGTGGGACCCCCCCTTCTAGGTACAAAACACGTCCGTAAAGTTGAGTTTGAGCCTCCGACGAGATTTGGATCTTACCGTCGCGCCCGCGCGTCGCACCCCGACTGTGCTCTGCGCCGTATTCGCACGAAAACAAGCGGGAATTGTGGGGATATTGAGTGGATGGGCGCCGGCCCGATGGTCAGAAGACGGCGCTTACATAACCCGTCGATGGTGTCGACAGAGGGGCGTTGGTTAGTGCCCCCTCGACAACACAGAAGCCTGCTCAACGAAACTATGTGATAACACTGCCGTACGGTTCTGGGCTCTGGGTTTGCCGTGCCAAGTGCACCGCCAGGACCTGCATGCAAACTATGCCATATACCCTTGACCTACGCGCTACCCTGGAGACCCGCCCCGATGCCGCCTGTGCGCGATGCCACTTCTATGTAATGCCTCCTCTGAGTGATGACGTTTCTACGTGACGAGTCGCTTCGAGCGATGATACCGTCTTGTAGCGTACTTCCGTCGTGTAGTGTGCTCGTCTGACGAAGCCGTCTCATACTAGCATGTCCGAGTCCACGCGACGAGGGTACCTCGTAGCATATTCGCTCGACGAAGCCGTCTCGCAGCGGTCTAGCTCGACAATGACAGCAGACAAGCCTCGCCCATGGAACATGCGAGTCAGTGAGATATCTATGCTTGAAAATATACAGACACATTCGCACAGCGGCCACAGCCAGCCTGAGTGTCTTAAGTTACGCGACGGTAACGTTGTGCCACCACGGCAGCGCGGCATCATTTGAACTCCGCAAGGTAGTATCCATGGATTTTGAGTGGAGCTACGGAGGCGCACTGCAGATAAACATTCCTTAACCATAAGATTCAAGGCCCGCGCATGCATTTAGAATCACTGAAAAGCCTGCGGGAAGGCATCCAGTATGTAGTGGCCTCGTGTTTCCCGCTTTGTTTATGAATGTCATATGGACTGCTACTGTGGGCGCCGCAGCAGCGCTAGCCTCTACATTGCTGATGGGCCTCGACCGTTGTGAGTTCCCCCCTTCTGAGTATGTGTGCCCGACTAATTGATATATCGAGGATCACGCGAACAACGATTGCGTTCAACCAAGTTCACGTACGTTCTCTGCGGAACGACATTGATAACGCGTCCTGAATCGAGCACTGCCTTGTGCAGTCCCTCTTTCTCTGCCTAGAGATTTCCCTTGCATGTTCCTGCGAATATGTTTTCTTTCGGAGAGTCTGGGACGAACCCGTCGCATCTACACCGCAAAATTCTGCGAGACTGTATGTGGTCACTGTAGTCGATCTAGAGTCCGTGTGCCAATGTGAAATTCAGACTTCGTTCCGTGTAAGTGCTTCACTCTCCCTCGGGGTGAGCCGTGAGTGATGACACCGAAATGACTGGCAAACATTCCTGCAGGGCGTACTCGCGGAACTTGAATTCAGATCCAAGGCCGAGAAACGCGCGAATCATGTGAGTCTGCGGCCGCGAGTGCGTCACGCTTGAGAAGGACAAGGTTGCCTCCAGGCGGAGATGAGTAAGAAGGGGCGGGAGGCTGGAGCTCAGCGAGCTTCAGATCCAATACACTGAAGGCCTTGCACGCGCCGCAGAGCTGGACGCATAGAAGCGGGAGCGCGCCGCGCGAGGCACGAGACGGCCAGACACGCACGTGGGGAGGAGAACCTACGCGCGGCCATGAAGAGGATCGCGGCCCTCGAGGAGGAGCGTGCGCAGTCTTCTTCACTGGAAGAAGAGGTGATGAAGCTCGTAGACGAGGAGCGGCGGGAACTCCTACTTAGAACAGCTCCGCGCCGCGGCGGAGCGCGTGGGCTTCGATATGGGTACGTCTCGCCCCCCCGGGCAATCGTCTGCGCACGGCGCTCACGGGCCTGCTCGCTCGACAGACGAACCCGTATGTCGAAATCCTCGGTGTCGTCGCGGCCGTGTTGGACACGCGCGCGCTGCTGTGGTACAGGGTGCCAGGCTGAGGCTCCAACTGGATTGGCGCGAGCTAGCTGTTCCGCGTGTCGCGCGGCATGGGTGCGTTCGCGCATGACTGTCTGCACACATTCGGCTCGTCCGCATCTTCGTATTCAATTGGCAAGCTTGATGGTCATATCCCCCTTGACCTCTTTCTTTGTAGTATAACACGAGCTCATGAAATCGATGGCTGACCTCGCTTGCAATCAGGTCTCGTGCATTTCTCATTCTGCATAGTACGCTCATATGAGTCTTAGGAATCAAAATGTCTGACAGCTATATGCATTCAATGCAAGAGAAAGCCCTGCGTCGACAGTATCCCCGAATGGTACTTGTGGGTACCTTGTAGTCCGTCATTACCTCAGGACCTGAATCCACCTTCACTCAGACAGCGGTCGAATTGCCTCCTGCATGTTCTGCCTACTTCGAGAACCTTATTGACTGCGTAAACGCGCACTTTTCATCACTCCTGACCGGTGCCTCGTACTTGAGAAGACCTCTCTTGTTGCTTCAACACACTACTAGCTGTGATAAGGTGGCAGGACTTGCCGACGCGGCTAGCATCCGAATCCATGTCTCCAATTGGTGGATTTGTGTTATGCTGCTGACAGCAAGTACTGGTCTCAGTGATCCGTTGTACATCTAGGACAATTAAAGGATGCAGGACAATAACAGGATATCTGTCGGACTACCACGGTCAAGGAGTCACTGGTTGATAGAGCCAGATCCATTCAACAATAGAATCCACCACGCGCCTTGTCGAAACGCCTACGTGGATGATAACAACCACATTGCGTCTTCATTTGCTGTTCGAACATACTCACATCTACCTCTCAAGCAACCCTGGCCGCTGCCTTCCTCCGTTCCACTGCAGCGGATGGCACTATCCACATCGTCTGTCATACCAGCGATTCCCTCTTGCATACCTTGGAGTGTACTTAAGGGGCGCGGCAGATCGAAAGCGGACATCTGGAACTCGTCCCAGTCGAACTCGTACTGTCGGTAAAGTGTGGATAGGTTAGTAGGTCGGAATGGCACTTCCCTCACACCAGTGATTGGAACAATACGTCATCGCCGAGAATTGGACTCATGAAATGCATTTGATGAGATTCTGTCCCGATGCTGAGAATACGTCTCACAGGTGAGTGAGTCTCCTGAGAATTAGTCTCGGCTGAGGGTTCCGATCTCTCGGGCTTCGATCTGAGAGTCCAATATCTCGGACTCTCGTTTACTGAGGCACATCCTGTTCCGCGAGACACACCGTTTCCTGATGTCGCCCGAGGCGCCTACTTATTGGATCGGTCACGTGACTGTTAGACCGCGTTGTATGCGAATCTTCAATATTTCAATCACGGCGTGTTCGCCGGTGGCCACACTTCAAGTTATAGCCAGAACCAACTAGACAACACAAGAGAGAGGTAATCTCATACGCTAACCAATCACTAGCGGTATACTAGCTCGTTTCAACCTCAATATTATATTGTACATTGCCGGCGTTCAAGAATGGTTCTCTTGGGGTTGAGCACTACGCATCCGTCTCTTCTTCTCCACTGTTAACGCATACAGCCAACACTTCCATTGATCGGCAATAGGAAATCTTCCTGCATGCCGAGTCGTGTTCGATGGGATCGCGTCTTCACCGCGCGTTCGATCGGGTGGAAAGCACCTATGTACTGATTGAATTGATTCCTGTTTGATACCCTTCATATCGGCTGGACAAGTTGCCGCGAAAATTTTGAGAAAGTAGGTCTGCTGCCGATTCCGACCATGGATCCCAAGCATAATGGGCTCGAGGGCTGGGTTATGGACACCCTGTCTCCGGAACTGCCTTCGTGCTCCGTCATATGACTGTAGGCCAGGGAAAGGAGGATCGTCATTCTCGCTTTCAGGCCCTTCGTAACATTTCTGTTATGATCCTCAATGATTATGACTCGATGGAGGTAACTTGGAACGCACCTTGATCGAATACTCCTCGGGATCGAAGACGTATGCCCATAAATACAGATCCACCGCTGATCTATTCTCGATCTCCACCGCATAGAGATCAGGTCCATATTCGAATCGAGCCTCCGTGACAGCGAGGGTTACACTGGGAACGCCTGCTTGGACAATCTCCCATGGGCCTGTGAAGTAGTTTTTTGGCTCTGAAACCTTCCACACGCTTGGCCCCATTATTTCGGGTGCGTAGCAATGTCGCTGTAGCTTCACCTCCACATTCCAATCGGGAGCAAGATGGGGTACCAGGTATAGGTAGTAGGTGAATCTGGCAATGTCTCCGAGGACGCTTGCCATAGATTCGGGGTCGGTCCACTCGACGGTCACTACCGTATTTCCGTAACGCAGAAAGAATGGGTCATGACGCGTGATGTTGACTCTCGAAAATCTCGTGAGAGCTACAGAGATGTCCGATGCCGCCAAGGTACCCTGTGCGATGATTGTGTTGCTGACAAGAGGTAGCCCGGTGAGGAACCTAGGAGCCATCTGGTCGGCGGTAAAGACCTTGGGTTTATACTGTTGCTCTGCTTGTAGTCGTGCGATTGTGCCAGACGGCGGGATGGCGAAGTCATGCAGTCGTGCTTTGCAAACGCAGAATTCGTCTTCTCGGTCTGCTCGAAAATCAACGACCACAACCTCGCCATAGCGTATATCGGGGGAGTGTTCGGAGATGATGTCGAAGGCACTTCCGAGCACCACGCCGTGAAGATGACGACAAGAGACGTAGAATTCTGCGTCGACTTTTCGTACGTCGTACAAAGCATCGCTGCTGGACTCCGGGCATGCTGACCCCCAAACGTAGCGGTCCCTGTGCAAGCCAATGCAGCAGGGATGCTGGTCAGGGCTCATCGCTCTAATCTTATAGATTAGCGCCTTGTACGTCGTATGAGCACCGGTCGCGACCAGCAAGTCGATGAGGGACAACGTAAACGCTCCATGTGCAGGTGACCCCGGAAGCGTAGTCACACACTCTTCTGCTTGCTCAGTGGCACGACAAGCACCCAGAAATACATGTGAGGACGTTGGATCGATTTCGAGCTCGAGTCCACCACGGTAGCGCTCGTTAAGGGACTCGGCATTCGCATGTGGCAAAATACAGCGTACGCGTGCTCCGCCCTTGGACGTTGTTGTTTTTGTATAACAACAATCCAATATGAGCACCTGCACGTTTGGGGGGGGGGGTCCTTGTCAGTGAAGGACACTCGTCAAATGCGTACTGTTAGTACGCACAATATTGTTGCCGCGCTTCTTGGCTAACGCCCCAAGCCACCGCGTCAGCTCCTGAACCGATAGGCCAGTCGCGCCCGGATTTGCGCCGACAAAATCAAAGGGACAGACCATCGGCACCAGTATGTCGCGACCTTCACGACTCTGAGCCTCACTTCCATTACACGCGAAGTAGAGGACCATCAGATCTCCCGTGGCGATGTCATCGTTCTCCATGAAGAAGGAATCCAGAGTCATTGTGATTCGTGCCTTCGTTGCGTCGCTATCAAGCAGCAATTCGATACTGCACGCAGAGAACGTGTCTTTGAAGTATTTTGCCAACAATTTTGCGTCGTTGACGGCACCGTGCAGGCCATAAGGGTCTTCATATCGATCAACACCGATGAGAAGAGCAAATAAACGACAAGGTCTTTCACGAACATTCTCAGCAGCTGTCAATAGAACAAAGGGAAAACGGTACATACCGTGGTGCTGAAACTGCACCGACCGTTGCCTCACGCAGCGGCGGCGATGATATCGAATCCATTCACTAGCATGCTACATATATTAGGGTCAAACGCACGAGTCAATATCTATGCCACATACGATGACAAGACGTGTATTGAGGCGTTGATTTCCGGTTGTCTTCGAGATTCAGACCTTAGTAGCGGGAGGAGGAGGAGGAGGAGGAGGAGGAGGTAATGTAGCGATACATAGTACAGTAACTAATAGTACGGCCCTACTACGCATACATATGTGGTTAGTGAAAGTGAGATGCCTCAGGAAGACTGGGTTACGTAAGCAGATTGGCCGGCTCCGGGCTGCCCCTCGCTGCCTCTCGCAATACAGTAATGCATATGGTACTGAATTAATACACACATTGGCCAACTGGGTGCTCGAGTGCCATATGAGCATACCACCTATAGAACGCAAAATGAGAGGTATGTATATGAGACCTGACTGCGAACATGAATCGATTGAATGGGCTCATGTTACCCTAAGTTGCGAAGAAAGAGTGTCAAGTGGGATATGATATATGACGCGCGAGTCAAGGTCACCGATTGATCCGCGGGACGCAGACGACCCAGATGCATACAGACAGACATGCGTAAACACAGCCGCACCGCGCCGCGTGGCACGCGGAACAGCTCGCGCCAGTCCAGCCTGGCACCCTCTGGTAAGGTAGAGGAACCGCCTTCGTACCACGCTCTCGAGAAGCATTCGGAGGGCCTCGACGCATTCGGGATTTTCCTCCTCGCCAGTCGCGGCAAGTGGATCAGTCGATGACGGAGGATCAGTTCACACATTTCAGGACATCGATGGACCAGCAGGCGAGAGTCGAGAGAAGCTAACAAGAGATTTGCGGACGAGTGTATCAGTTTGGATGAGGGATCGTGTAAGCGCGTCCAGAGTCCCGCCGGCGGCGTGTCCGCGTTGACTACGCCTCAGATGAAATCGATTCAACGGCTGATGCAACGACGAGTGTTGTCATTTCGTTGCTAGTTTGTTCTGCGATTTCCCCTCGTGCTCCTGTAATGAATGATCCTTTTGAGAGTATCGAGATGCAACCCCTAACAGGACAACGTAAATCACCCTGATGCGCCTACCACATTCGGAGTGCTCTATAACCACGACGTCCGTCATCTCGCATCCACCATTCTCAGTCATCCGCTCCATCCACCTGCAGGCCGTAGACCAGACCCAGAGCGACCCTGGCAGCCGCCTTCCTCCGATCCGCATCGTCAGTCATACCGGCGATTTCCTCTTTCATACCCTGTAGTGCGCTCAAGACGCGCGACAGATCGAAGGCGGACATCTCGAAGTCGTCATCGTCGTCGTGGTCAAATGGATGGGACTCGCCTGGCTCATGCGGGGACGCTTGAGCCGCAAATGTTGATGGTGGTGATTGGGCAGGGCCCACAGAGCCGAAGATCCGACGCGATGTCGCCATGACCTCTGCGCGCGAGGGAAGGTGTGGGTCATCTTCGTAACCGCTTGGGAGAGCGGAATCGTCCGTGTGCGAAACGAACGTATGCTCGCCCTCGCCGCCGAAGTCAGACACGGACGCGAGCGAATGGTACGATGCGCCAGAATGCTGCGGCAGCAGATGGTCCACGTCAAGTCCGGAATTATGCGACCGTGTTGAGACAACAGGCGAAGGCGCAGACACGAAGTGTGTGAAGTCGTCGTCAAACCCGAACGTAGGCGTTTCTGCTGTAGGCGTGCGGATGCTCGGCGTCGGCATATCTTGCCACGCGGAGGATGGCAGCGGCACGTCGCGCTCAACCGTCATCCATGCCTGCGCATCCACCGCCTGGCGCGCCCTATCCTCGTCCGCCAGCCACTGTTCAAGCTCCTCCATTTCGCGCTGCATTCGGCTCTTCCTGGGCTCGGAACCAGCGACCTGGCTGTCGGAGAACGATACGTCACCCGCAGAACCGGAACCCGAGATAAGAGCACGCAAGCCGTCGTCGCCCTCTTCGTCCCGCGCCCAGTCAAGCAGCTCCCTCGCACGACTCTTGCGGGTGCGGGTGGACTCGGATTGAACAAGCGACGGCCACATGATAGTGCTCAGAGCGTCAAGGACGCGCGAGAGGCCCGGAAATCCTAGGATGCGAGTATGTACGTACTAAGCACGAGCGTAGTCATTCAGAATGAGTACTCACCGGCGTCGGCATCATCTGTGTGTCTACCCTCATCTTGTGTTGGCGGACGTGGCTCTCGGTCTCCCTCGACATACTCAAAGCCATGGGACGAGAGGAACTCGTCTAAGCCGTCTTCTTCTGACAATGTCGTCGGGGTACTGTCTGAGAAACGGACTGCCAAGGACACCTCCGGATCGTGGTCTCTCAACCTCGACGCTATGTCCTCGATATGATCCCTATACGACTGCAGACGTGTCAGACAACCAGAAGCACAGTAAATCGGCGGACACACCTGCCCGTGCTCCCAAACGTATACGACTGCTGGTACACCATCGGCGTGAGGGATCCTGAACTCGCTATACGACTTCGTCTGAAAGTGCACGTCGGCGGTGTAGTATTTGTTCACGATCGTCCAGGGAAAGACATTGCTCGGGCTCTCAGCAGGAAACGAAGCTGTTGGTGTGCTACTGCCAGACAGTCCCTGTACCCCTGGGAAGTTCATCGCTTTCATGCACAGTTCGAGAGCGAAGGATAGACGTACGTTCTACAAACTGCCGTGCTTGTTCTGCACTAGGAGAGATGACGAGGATCCGGCAATCCGCCGCGGCAGACTGCGCCATGTCCGTTCCTGTGCAGTAGATAGCCTCAGGGTGTTCTAGATAAGCACTGGCTTAACGGTGTTCGGCGGGTCAAGGGCAGTTGAGCGAGGTTGAGTAGTGGTGGCTAGTCAATGATGATGATGATGATGATGAATTCAGAATTTATAAGTGGTGGCTAGTCAAGGTGGTCGCCAGAGGCGCGCACGACTCGGAACGACCACGTGACTTGGCCACTACACGTTCAAGCCACTCCCGTTGATTGACCATTTGCCACCTCAAACACAAAGGCTACGACCGCGGTCCACATTCCGAGGGCCCGTGACAGACCACATCCCGTATTCATTTTCTCATACTTACCGCTTTCCGTCATTGACCCAGGCGCCAACCTAAGGCTCGCCGTTGACGTTGCGAGTCTTATTAGCCATATACATCGGTAAACAGTAAGTTGATTTTATCTCCAGATTGAAATCGTGCTTATTGAGTCTTGATATCGCACCTCTAGGTCTAGGGTATCTACAATGGAGCACAAGATTGCCCTAATCAGTCTGGAAACATTCATGCTGGAGTTCTTACCTGGGCCAGATCTTCCTCGAGACGTTTCAATGGACGCGCTTGGTAACTCTGTCGGATCGCAGCACCAGAAGCCTGGGCCTATGCACGACAAACTAGTACGCGTGCCTCTTTTGTCAATGATTCATGGGATACTCTGACAAAAGTCGGTTGTAGCGTGATGTGGCAAACCATATCTTTAGTCAGGTCCCCGCGGGGGCGGGTTCGTGGAAATTAGTAGCAACGGATACGCCCACCCGTCGGGGCCTCGATTGTACGGAAAGAATGGCCCCCAAAGAACACACAGGGCCTACCGTGACGGTCTATTCTGTTGAGGATGACTCTCCGAGCAGTGCGGATGCCATCAACTCATCAGTCACGAACGGCCAGGAGGAGCGAAAGCGAAAACGACAGAAACATCAAGGGCGCGAAGCTGGGATCGCGCCGTTGTGGGTCTGTCTCTTGATCGAGTCAAGAACTGATGTCGACGACTCTCCTTTGATGGTACCACGAGCAATAGAGGTGACTGGACCGCGACCGGAGGCCACTTCGGGTACACCTGGGCCCGAAATGTCGAGGCTGGTAGCTCCGACAGCTCCAGCCTCGTCGACCCCCACAGCCCCGCCAACATCCCAAACATCGGTCTCTTCGACAGCTAGTTCTATCGTCTCCATCCCCGCTGCAGCAGAACTGGACCAAGATGCAGCACCATCGCTCCTGCGACTGGGCACAACAGGCGGTGCGCAGACTATGGAGCAAATGGCTCACGACATATCCGAGATTCTGCGGCAACAGTTCCTGCTTCACTTCTTCACGATCTTCATCTGCCTCGATCACATATGGCTGCTTCGATGGGACCGCGCCGGCCTCGTCGTGTCCGAGCCGTTCAACTTTGCAGAAGAACCACAGCACTTGTATACCTTCTTCTATCGGTTCGCCTGCATGGACGACGTGCAGAGAGGCCGAGACCCCACGGTGGTGCCGGCAAGTGAGGCGGAGGTCAAGGTCATGCGCAGCATTGACCAGTTCGATTCAGCATGGCACAAAACTCAGTACACAGCCACGATGACAGCGGGCTGGCCAATCTACAAGGTCCTGATTCCGGAGGAAGACGTGATTTCGACGGCGGAACTGAGTGAAGGAAGGAAAGACCGGGCGGACTCCGAGTTGTCGGAGGGTCGCGAGCGCGGATTCCTCGTAGGGAAGCCATACTTTATGAGTGATTCCCCCACCGGGCGCGGGACACGAGGTTATATTGCCTACGACGTAGCCGAGCATCGACTTGTCTTTCTCAAGGAGTACTGGCGCTTGGACGCGCCGACGTATCATCCGGAAGGTGAAGTGTACTTGCGTCTTCACAGCAAGCAAGTGCCATATATTGCAACCCCAGTTGCCGCTGGCGATGTTCTTGATGCGACAGGCGGCATGCACCACACCCGCGCGCAAGATTTCTTCCCGGACCCACCGCCCAAGCTCATTCAGTACCGCATCATCCTGGAGGAGATCGGTAAACCGCTCGAGGAATACGAAACTTCCTTCGAATTGATGTCTGCTATGTATTGCTGCATATATGGTGTGTCGAGCATTCACTCCATATCCTTGCGCACCTGCTAACCTGTCGTGCTAGCACATATGAAAGCCTGGACAGAGGGCGAGGTACTACATCGGGACATCAGCAGAGCAAACCTTTTGATGTATCCCTATCGTAATGACGATGGGGAAATCGAGTGGCTGGGTCTGATTGTCGACTGGGGTCTGTGCAAGTACAAGGACGAGTTGGGACTACCGCAAGTGCAGAACACTCGCTCGGTGCGTATTTGTCGTTCTCGTGTCACAGACGACTAAACCTCGCGCAGGGCACTTGGCAGTTCATCTCTGCCGTCTTGCTCGCACATCCCGGGGTATTTCCGCATGCAGTATGGCACGACCTGGAGTCGTTTATCCACGTCCTTCATTGGTTGTGTCTGCGGTTCCACAAGACGAATTACACCGAGTCCGACGATAACCGCGAATCCCTACTCAAGCGTGTCGACGCTGTCTATGACCACTCCAATAAAACACGGAACGGTATATCCGTGGGCGGTCAGGAGAAGTTGGCGCTCATGCAAGACGGCACGCTTCCCTTCAAGCTCGTAGCGGGGTCTACGGGCCAGAGTGGGCCAGGCCTATATCGCCTCCTGACCGACCTATCAGCTCTCTGCAAGGAGCACTACAAGTGGCTGAAGCCCCAACTGCCAACTGCGACGCCCGAGGAGGAAAAGGAGGAGGGACAGGGTCAGCCCCAGCGTTCCCGAAGCCGCCTTCTCCCCCCTCGAAGGAATGTCGTATCTGCAGTTGGACCGACGATCTCGGAGGCGCCTGCTCAGCCTGTTCTCGAGAACCACACGAAGATTCTCGACGTGTTCGAGACGATGTCGCAGGGCAAATGGATACCGGACAAGAAGATCGAGGATCAATTTGCGCACTCAAACACGACGATGGACCAGCAGGTGAAACTCAAGAGATCCTCCGAAGAGTCTATCAGTCTAGACGAGAGACCGGGTAAGCGCATCAGGAGTCCAACCGGTAGCGCGTCCGTGTCGATTGCGCCTCAGCTGGGTTCGATTTCGGAGAACCTCAAAGGCTGATTACTGGCAGGAGCATCGTCGTGAAGCCTGCTAGGTGCAATGTCGGTGACGTTTGGATTGGCGAGTACTATTCACGAGGCACCCTGTAATGTATGATCTTGCGTTTGTGTTAATGTTGTATCAATTTTAGAGTCATCACTGCTATGGCTATGACAGTATATCTACCGCGTACATCCAATCGCCGCATATACAACTTATAAGCGTGACGACCGCAGCGATCGTTGAGTCCGTTTCGTACAACTCAAGTTATCTGGCGCCGTCGGGCACGTCCGAATTTCACTTAGCCACGATATTCAAGGATGTCGAAAGCTGCAGAGTACGGTTTGAGCGCAGTGGATGATGGGAGGGCCCGGGCGGAGTGACCCCGGAGTGCGGACATATGGCTGTGCCTACGATATTTCTTTCTTGGTCCGGGTCAGGCGTTGCACACAGTGTATGAGAACATCGCTCTGGGCCGCCCTCAGTCATCTTTATGGTTGGAACTAAAGTCCGAGTATGACGGATCCGAGCGTAGCGCGCTCCCAACGGTATGTAGCTTATTCACTTCTGGCTGAACAAGCACAGCGTCCACCGGCTACTTTGTACTCCTTCCCTGGCATTATGAGTCGCGAACGTCGGTTCTCGCCGATCCTGCCAACAATTCAGATGCTGCTTTAGTCAGCAGATATGGAGACTATACTCAGCACAACGTCCAGAAGGACTCGGTGGCCGAAGTTGCGCCATGGAGCTCCGGGAGCACGACAGTGCTACACACAGCTTCTCTGGCGGCCGGAGGGCTGATAGCTGGCGCGCTCACGCTAAGCTATGGCGTTATGTGTATATACTATCGGTGTGAACCTGCTGACCGAGCCAAGGCTGGCCCGCGGCAATTCAGCAAGGTCGGTATATAAGAGTGGCTGCGACGTCACCCTGACCAACACCAAGCAGTTCTCTGCACGGACCGAAGTCTCAACTGCATAACGGAAATGGCGACCGCTGCTACTCTCACCCCTCATGACGTTCAGACTACGCTGAACTACTACGCCCCATTGGATGGCTCGACAGAGGCGCCGTACCAGTATGTGTACGACCCGCCTGAGGGCGTGGCCAAGAACAACCTCGACGTCGACCCGCATCCTGCCGTGATCTATGACGCGCGCGGGCGGGACTCCGAGTTCTCCATCGACACGAGCGGATTCCAGTTCGTTAAGTACCCGAGCGTGGAGAAGGAGTTCGACGACGACGCCCGCATCCAGGACGTGTACTACAAGGAGGTCGAGGAGTTGCTCAGGAAGGAGGTGGGCGCGAAGCGTATCTTCATTTTCGACCACACCATTAGGTATGTTCGCCGTTCGACGTCCTGGGACCATTGTAGGCTCACATTGAGACACAGGAAGAAGCCTTCAGACGACAGTGACAGGAATGCACTGGCGCGTGGCCCAGTAGTAAGCATCTACAGAAGACTCCTGAATGCAACATAGAACTCACATGTCATACTCAGGAACGCGTCCATATCGACCAGACGTTCGAGGCCTCCGTGGCACGCGTGCGCTACCACCTCGCAGAGGATGCGGACCGCCTGTTGCAGGGGCGCGTGCGTATCATCAACGTCTGGCGACCGATCCACCACCCTGCGGCGCACAAGCCGCTCGCGGTTTCGGACTGGCGCTACCTCGATACGGAGCACGACCTCGTCTCCGTGCGGCACATCTACCCGCACCGCGAGGGTAGCACGTTCGGCGTGAAATACAACCCGGGCCACAAGTGGTACTACCTGTCGAACCAGACCCCCGACGAGGTCACGCTCATCAAGTGCTACGACTCGGAGGTGGACAGGGCGAGGCTAACGCCGCATTCGGCGTTCCTGGACGCGACGACCCCGTCGGAGCTGCCGCAGCGCGAGTCGATTGAGGTCCGCTGCCTCGTTTTCGACCAGGAGTGATTGGGGGGCACATAGCTGGTACGACCTGTACGATGTAGAGTGTAGGATAGTGCGATCGGGCTTATGTGAGAGATTCTGTGTATCTGGCAACGAGTGACGTTGGCTCGAGAAATGCCGAACTTCCACCCGAGAGCTTTGTTGAGACGATCTGAAAATACAACGGTGATATTTCGAGCATGCAAACAACAAGCAAACCTAACGCTACAAAATGCGCGATCCCGCCGATAAATGGCGCATACGCACCAGAATGGCCCCGGCCCATGACAACTAGGACTCATGCACCAACAGCTGACACGGCGTTGCCGTCTCCCAGGCCATTTGCATATTGGAACTCGCCAGAGTTCTCGTACTGCCAAGGCGGGTCTTTAGACGCGTAGATCTGGAATGCAGAGGAGCGCACGTACCTCCCACATATCGATCGCGACGATACAGCTCTCCTTGACCACGCGTGGCGAGTCCTCGCGCTGTGACCACTCCTTCAGATGAGGAAGCACTTCGGGCGTGGCGATACCCCCGAGGGCCTCTGCAGCTTCGTGCCGGACCATGTCGGACTCTGATGAGTTCTGCAGCACTTTGAGGAGGGACGGGACGGAGTGGGCGGAGAGGAGTTGGCCAAATACGAAGGCAATCTCGTGTCTGTACACGCAGATGTCAGTGGAAAGCGAGCAAGGCCATCGGGGAGCGCACATACTTGAACAGTGCGCTATCGTCGGAGAAGCCGGAGGCGAGCGCGTCGACGGCAGCGGGGGTGCCGATATTTCGAAGCGCAAACATTGCCCGGTATCGCTCAAAGAGAGGACGTGACGTGTCGAGGAGGATGTCTTTCAGCTTGGCGATAGCCTCATCGGAGGTATCTTCCGGTGCGGCCTTGCCGGAGAGGAGTTTTGAAGAGGGCGGAGCGGGGTCGATGGAGGTGTAAGCTCTACATTGCCCGTGCCGAAGTGAGATCCACATCGTCCTGAGAAGCTGAAGCTGAAATACACGCACTGGTCTGATGAGGACGCGGCACTACTCCAGTGCTTCTTGCCCTCCTCCGAGTTGTCCCACTCAATCTTCGCAAGCGCGATCTCGCACGTCTCGCGCACGCTCCTGTTCGAGTCGTTCAGGTATTGCGTGAGTACCGGGATACTCGACGGAGCGGATATGGCACCCATCGCTTCGGCAGCCTACTTCCGTGTTGGTAGTGAGTTACGATGAGCAGATGCACGCGTGAGGCGACGCACCTCGTGCCGGACCATGGGGTCTTCTGACTCGTTTGCGAGGACAGCTTCGAGCGTGGGGAGGGCGAAGGGTTTTTTCGTTTGCCCGAGACAGTAGGCGAGCTCATGTTTGAGCAAGGCACTGTCGTCGGCGAAGCCTGGAATCGTCAGCGAGTGAGCGACGCCCCTGACAAAATTACATAGCAGACGGAATGTGCTTGCAGTTACAATTTACCTTTTGAGATAATCCTGATAGCCTCGTCTGTCCTGAGCGACTTCAACGTGAAGAGCGCACGAAACCGGCTATGCAGCGGGACGTTTCCAGAGGTGTTCAGTAGGGTCGCCTCGAGCGCAGCGAGCTTGGCAGAGTCTGTCTGTACCATGTCGCTATATGTTTTACGACTTAGAAGGAAGATCACAGCAAGAGACAATGAGTAGCAAACAGCGTACTGTGCAGTGATACTGACAGATCTACCGTGGCCAGGGAAAGTGGCGGCGGAGGACGAGATCGGGGTGACGAGATTAGATTGTGGGGCAAATTTGCGAGATCAGATCGGACGCATCTTATCCTCACGGGCGCTCCCTTGACCTCCTTCTAGTGAAAATCGTGTTTACTGCCTGCATCCGCGCCGCCGACCATACCCCCCTCCGCTACCCTTCCTACAGGTATTCGCATCCGACACAAACCACGCACTTGAAGGGAGGAACACAGTCTTGAAATGCCGAAGTCAAAACGCCAGAAACTCGGTGAGTCTCGACTACCGGTGTGAGGTGAGGCATGGCATGAGACTTACCGCGGTAGCTGCGTAGTTTCCCTCACAAAAGTCTCAAAGAAGACACGGGAGCAGAAGAATGCTCTCTTGAAAGAGGTGAGTCCTTATCCGAGGAATTGGTGGCATTAAAGCCTCACGCCGGCCTGCCAAGGTACAAGAAAATGCGGATAAGTGGGAGTACTGCTGGTTATTCGAGGTGGGGAACATGCGTAATGCGCACTTGAAGACAGTGCGGAAACTATGGAAAGAGTGCGTCACATCGATACGCATACATCGCTCGTGGACTGAATATCATGCAGCTCGGCACGAATATTCTTTGGCCGAGGGGCAGTCATGGCGAAGGCATTAGGCATGACGCCAGCAGAGGAGCATCGCCTGGGTCTCCACAAACTCGCAAAAGTACGTACACCCTACTGGATGTCTCACCACATACTCACACAACCGATCCACACAGCAAATAAAAGGCCAAGTCGGGCTCTTCTTCACCTCCTCCCCGCCCTCCGAAGTGCTCGAGTGGTTCGCCGACTTTCAACAGCCCGACTTCGCGCGCGCAGGGAACCCCGCCTCCGCGACGTTCACGCTGCCCGTGGGGCCTGTCATGCAGCAGCACTCCACGCCGCCCGAGCCCTTCCCGCACAACGAGGAGCAGCAGCTCCGCAAGCTCGGCTTGCGCACGCGCATGGTGCGCGGCCTCCCCACGCTCGACGCGCCCCATACCGTCTGCGAGAAGGGGAGGGCGCTTACGCCGGAGCAGGCGCAGCTCCTCAAGCTCGTGGGTGTGAAGATGGTGAAGTTCCGGGTGGGCCTGACGGCACGGTGGGAGGCAGCGAGTGGGGAGGTCCAACAGATCGAAGGGCAGGAGATTGGCGCGGCGGAGAAGGCGGGCGGGGAGGCGCCGGAGGGCGAGGTTGTAGATGGAGAAGGGGGAGATGACGAGGAGATGGAGGACTAGTCGGGCGTGTGGCCCCCCACTGATGTGCGGCGTGCGGTACTGTGTATTCTTCGCTTTCTCGTCTCGTTTGTATCGATGATGTTGTCTATCTCATTCGCATGCAGATCCTCGATCAGTGGTTTGCTCGGCGTCTCTGCGACCTCGCGAGACGACTCACGCTCCCTTCGCGTCTGCCCACCAATTCCTCGGTGCGCTACATCGGTCTGCACTGTACTGGCACTATAAGCCCCGGACTACGGTCGCAGCACGCGAAGCTTCTCCTCGGAGGACGAGGTATTGCACCAGTGGCAACTTCACGCCGTGGCGTTAAGTTCAATCGTACTGCGGTATCCGAACAGAACCTTATCTGCAGACATCGGACCTTGAAACTGATGTGCCCGACCTCACTTAGTAGGGACACCCACCGCGCCAGCACTCCTACTGAACGTACGTAACGGTGTTCGCGAAGCAGCGACTAGAGACGCTTGCGCCCGTTTACTTCGTCGATCTCCCGTTGATGCTCCACAACTCATGATCATAGGTTCTCTACTTACCCAAGCTAGCGAACTGTGGCGAGGGCCTCGGTCTAAACCGTAGCTCATCGGTGCTGTGGTCAAGCCCAACGGTTGGACTCACGGGTACATTGCATTCAGGCAGGTTCAAGTTTAGGTACCATCACATGGAATCACCTGGAAGTTCATTCTCGCGGGAGGGTTGACTTTGAATCTGTCGAGTGTCAGGTGTGCTCGAGGATCCTACAGACAGCCATCCGGTCAGCGCGGACGGCCGTAGTGATGTATGCTGGTTTCTGGTTGAGGCCTGCTCGGAGCGTAAGTTATGCATTGGTCTGGCCCGGTGATAGCTGCTCATTATATGCGAGAAATAGATGATCATGATTCGCAGACGCGAAATGCGACTTAGGGTTTTCCGTTCGGGAGCCTCATGATTGAACGTGCCTATCAGCCCGCTGGATGTTTTCGCCGATCTTGCCAACTTCAAGTACTGGCGTTACAAGTTCCTCTTCGAGCCCCTCTTCTCTCAGTTTCCTGAACAAGAGCGATGTCAGGGCCCGGGCATGCATGTACGTTGAGATATTTCAGGAGTCGTAAAATACTGAACTCACAGGCTGCTGCATATCAGAGCTACCACAACGTTGACTTGGTGTCACTCGCATCGGTGAAGCTCCGATTGACAAAACGAGCATCTCAGGGAAGTTCGCAGTTACTATCAGAACGGAGATTCGATGCGCTATAGCTGCTGTTCTATCCCAGCTTCATCTCGAGGTCGCGGAGTGTCTTGTCATACTTTCATGCTTGCATTGTCGGCTCACAGCGAGTGTTTCGCACGGATGTCAGCTGGCGAAGGAAGGTTGACTTTCGGTGCCGGTGACTTCCCGAAAGCCGCTGCGCCACTTGTGCCCAGGACTCCGTGTCGATCGGTGCAGCAGGTAGCGTGCACTCTGCCTTCGCGACATGTGTTGACGATAATTCGAGGTTTCCGCGCCTTCTATTTAACAGCTGTGGCGGGAGGCCTCACTGGGAGAGATCGCTGCAGGTGACGGCATTGTGCGGGGCGGCGAGTGCCAGCGCTGGACGACTGGTATCCGCATGTGGCCCCGATCAGGACTCCCGTCGCCCGATATGGAGGTGCTACTTCCCCATCCGGACGTTCGCTGGAAACGCCCAAGCTCGCTGCCTGTCAACCCACTCGACTCGCTGCCATCCCCTCGAGCATCTCCCAGTCCCCTCCCTCGTCGGCGGTGCGGTATAAAGGCAGCGCTGATGGTTCGACGACCCCCGCCCTCCTCTTCCCTCCCGCCCCCACCTCTTCCTCCTCAAGCCCGCGGCACCCTCAGCGACATCTCCTTGCGTCTGCGAAAGACGCTTCGAGCCTCCCTTCTACCCGACGCATCACACTATCTGGGCACACTGTAACGACCCGTGATCATTCTCTGCGGTAGAGAATTCCGGCACCATGTCATCACCTGCGGCGGAAACGTGGGTGTTTGTCAACGTTCCCGTGCTCGTAGTCACCGATTTCTACCTCATACAGATACGGCCCCATCTTTGTCGGGGTCGTCCTCAACATCGTCTTGTATGGTATCATGATTACGCAGACGTTCCTCTACTTCACTGTATACAAGCGGTACGTATGCGCGCCCCTCATCATGGTAGTCCTCTCATCATCCACTGCAGAGACAAGATATGGATGAAGCTTTTCGTAAGTATCAGCCATCACGTAGATTGTCGTCATTAATAACCGCTCGATTAGGTCGCGCTCCTCTTCTTCTGCGATACTCTCAACTGCGCTTTCGACATCGCCTTTACCTACCTGCCTCTCGTCAACGACTTCGGTGGGTCGAGACGCGCTCGAAGTTGCATCATTGACTCAGGGCGTCATGTCCAGGTGACCTTGCCAGTCTGAACTACGCGTCTTGGGTCTTCGCTACGGGTAAGTGATGCAAATACGTTCCGATGCATTGTTGACTGATCAGTCCACAACAGATCCTGCTATGACGGTAAAACATCCTCGTGTCACTCCAATGTTTGGCACTCATGTCGATCTAGGCGATCATTGCGTTATTCGTTCAAATGTTCTTCGCATGGCGAGTCAAGGTCCTTACGGGCAGTATCACCGCCGTCTGTGTCATTATGTTCTGCTCGCTCTGCCAGTGGTGTAAGTGCTCGTCTAGGGGAAGTAGCCAATCACATTTACTGACCGATAAACAGGCGGTGGCATCGGAACGGCAATCGCTGTTGGGATGATTCCCGAGTTCACTCACTTCCAGCAGTTCGAGGTCATCGTCATTGTTTGGCTGGCGTTTTCTGCCGTTGCCGACACCATGATTTGTATCTCTCTCGTCTGGCACCTGGTATGGCTGTCAGTTGTGCTGCATCTCACTTACACTGATATGTCTTGCAGAGGAAGCACAAGACTGGCTTCTCTCAGACCGATGATGTAGTCAACAAGATCATCAGGAGTGAGTGCCGTAACGCGTGCATCTGATAGCTCCTTACGAACAGTTTGCTCTGCGTCGCAGTGACTGTCCAGACAGGTCTGATCACTGCCTTGTGCGCTATCATCGATCTCGTCCTCTTCCTTGCTACGGTACGTGCCCAGCGGTAGCGTATACAATCGACGACTCAACTTTCTCTATAGCCCGCCGGTCTCCACTTGATCTTCAACTTGCCTCTGTCGAAGCTGTACACCAACTCATTGATGTCCAGTCTCAACTCGCGTGCTGGATGGAAGTACGGGAACGGCCTGGGCGTGGGCACGAGTGCGAGCGAGCTTGGCCGCTCACAGATCAAGGGCCTCCAGATGCAGAGCGAGTACGGGAAGCGGGTTAGTGTAATGAACTCGGTCATTCACATCTCTTCCTTGTCCCATGCTACGGTTATCTGACGCATAGTTGGTATTCTTCAGGCCGGCCAAGAGGTATACATTGACGTCGAGAGCCATGAAATGATCGACTCATTGGACAAGGGCCCCTCGCCCAGCGAGTCCAGCGACGTGGGCACGGTGAAGGTGGGTACCCTCGTACTTACGTCGACGTCTTGTCAACTGAACATTGTACTACTCGCTACGTAGATGTTCGCGCTGCCGAGGAAGAGCTCGGAGAAGCCGAGTCGCGCGAGTGTTGGTCAGGCTCCGAGCCGCCCATCCGTGACTTTCTGAAAAGTCCGAGTCGCAGCAACACTCCACCATCTTCCACCATTGAAGAAGCAAGTCGAAAGTTAGCGTGGACCGACGGCTTGTTCTCCCATCTCCGTTCCCAGCCGTTGAATGGATGTTCCGCTCCTCCTCCTCCTCGAGTTTCTCTCGGTGCCTTTTAGTCATTGATCTTGAGGTTCTGATTCCGAATTCGCACCTGGCAGGAGCGCTCACTCAGACTCTGTCGACACTTGTTGAATCTGTCTTGCACTTCTGTCGTTACTTTGGATTGACGTCGTCTGGCGACGAAACACGTAGGCTGGACTGTCCGTGGCTTGTACAGTAGGCACTGGTATGTTTATGGATGGCTATGCACGTCATGGACGGGGCGCGGAAGCTGGTCTGAACACGTTGTGTGCACGCGTTGTGGGATGTACGCATCGATGGGCAGCACATGTGAGCGCGGCGTGCTGATAGGCTGGGGCGGGGAGGAGTGGATGAGCCAGCGGGCGAGCAGGAGGATCACACGCGATGGACAACGTGCCCTGCAAGTGCCCTGCCCCGGAATTCTCTCCTGCCCGCGCAGAACTTCATTTCGGCCGTCCACGCACCCAGACCCAACACTGCATTGATGGCGCACAGACGGATCCCACTCATCGCGCCCCAGAGTCGAGCCATGCACCGGCCTCGTGTACGACATCCTACTTATCAGCCCGCTGAGGACTGCCGACCGCTACCATCATCCCTTCCCCTCTTCACACCCACACCCACCGACCCCGCATCCGGGCACACCGCTCGAGCGTTCCTGCTGCAGGACCAGCACACCAACAATCACCACCACAGCTGCATACTACAGCACTATCACACGACAACATGACTAGCACCCCGCCCAAGGCGACCAACTCCCTCCCATTCGTCCCCCTCACCCCCGACTCCATCGACATCGAGCGCGGGCGGTCCACCTCGCCTGCGCCGTCCGAGCCCGGCTCGCCGTCGCCCGGCCACCCGCGCAGGCGATCGCGATCGCGGCTCTCGTCGCTCTCGCTGCGGAGACGCCCCGCGAGCGTCGTGCACATGTCGAGCGAGCCGATTGTGCTCACGGCCGAGGCGCTGCTGGCCATCGAGACGGACGCGGACAGACGCCTCGCGGTGTCGGTGCCTGCGCTGCCCTCGGAGACGGCGCACTTGAGGGAGGGCTCGAGCGACTCGGAGGCGGGGCTGGACGACTCGAAGACGCCCATCGCGCCGACTGCGAACGGGAACGGACCCCATGGGATACGCGCGAGGGTGCTCAGCTTGTCGAAGCGGACCCGCCCCGCGGGCGTCATGCACATGTCGAGCGAGCCGAATCTCAGCGGGCAGGCGCAGGCGCAAGCCATCGCGGAGAGCCTGCTCAACAGCAGGGCGGCGAGAGCGTCGGGCTCCGAGTCCGCGTCGCTGCATAGCAAGACGTCCGAGCCAGCCTTGAGCGCCGCGGCGGCGAAACCGCGCTCGCGCGTGCTCTCGCTGTCGTTGAGGCGCCGCCCGGGTAGCATGGCGTCTGCCGCGGGCGCGCCGACTGCGAAGGCCCTCGCAGAGGCGATCGCGACGGGGATGCCGCCCGAGTCCACCACCAAGCCTGCGAACGGGGATGGACAAGCGTTCCCGATGACGCCGCCGCCGTCCGAGCCACGGACGTCGGTCGAGCACGAGGCGGACGTGAAGAGCGTGACGTCGGTCGAGTCGGGCGCAGCGTCGGGCCAGGAGGCGGGCCCAGGCCCGAGCGCGAAGAAGCGGACGCGCGTGCTGAGTTTGTCGATGAAGCGGCCGGGGAGTATACTCAGGAGGCAGGGGAGCGTGACGAGCGTGTCGAGTGGGAGTAAGAGCCATACTGGTGCGTTTGCGTGGGCCTGGTGTCGGGTTCGGCGGTCGCTGACGGGAGCCTATGCATGTAGAGGAGCCGCTGCCAATCAACCCGAGCTACGTGCAGAGCCAGGTGCGTTAAGACGCGCTATGTGTCCGAGTTGTTAAGCTGACATCGTGTTCTCTAGCTGGACGAGGCCCGCGCGTCGTTGCGCAGCAAGGAGGGCGTGGTCGCAGTGCTCGAGCACGAACGCGACAACATGCGGCGCGAACTCGAGGAGGCGCAGAATGAGATGAAGGGCCTCCAGGAGGCGATCGAGGAGAAGCGCGAGGAGCTCGGGTCATTGGAGGAGGTCCAGACCGCGCTTGCCATCCGGGAAGAGGTGAGGGCGTCTTGTGTCTGAACACGACCAATCGACGGTGACTGACGACGATACGGCGTAGTTGAAGCAAGCGAAGGAAGCAGCCAACGTGCAGGACGAGCTCGTCGGTTTCTTGCAAGGCAGACTGGCCGAGGTCGAACTCACGGCAGAAGCGGAGCGTCTCGCGAAGCAGTCGTCGGACGAGCGTGCGGCCGCGAGTGAGGCGGACTGCGTCACGCTCAAGGAGGACAAGCTTCGCCTCCAGGCGGAGATGAGTAAGAAGGAACGGGAGCTCGGCGAGCTGCAGAACCGATATACTCAAGTCCTTGCACGCGCCGCAGAGCTGGACGCGCAGAAGCGGGAGCGCGCCGCGAAGGTGGCGGCGCTCGAGGCGGCGCTGCGCGAGGCACGAGACGGCCAGACACGCGCGGAGGAGAACCTACGCGAGGCCATGGAGAGGATCGCTGCCCTCGAGGAGGAGCGCGCGCAGTCTTCTTCGCAGGAAGAAGAGGTGATGAAGCTCGTAGACGAGGAGCGGCGGGAACTCCTGGAACAGCTCCGCGCCGCGCAAGTGCAGGCGCAGGCGCAGAACGGGTCCGCGAACGCACAGGCGGCGCGGACCCCCGCAGGCAGGAGACACACCGCGCCGCGGCGGAGCGCGTGGGCTTCGATATGGGTACGTCTCGTCGCCCCCCGCGATCGTCTGCGCACGGCGCTCACGGGCCTGCTCGCTCGACAGACGAACCCGTATGTCGAAATCCTCGGTGTCGTTGCTGCTGTGCTGGGCACGCGCGCGCTGCTGTGGTGGTTCGGCCAGCTGGACTGGCGCGAGCTCCTGCGCGTCACGTCGTGCGACGCGGGCGCGTTCGCGCACGGTTGCTTGCGCGCGGTCGGCTCGTCTGCGTCGTCGTGATTGAATGTTAACTTATCCTATTCGTTTTCTTCGGCGTTCTGCTCCTTGGGTTTTCTTCCTTGAATTGCGTGGATATCGAGCTCGGCCACGGGTGGCAGCCATCATGACGAAGTGTAGGCTTGTAGAAAGTGATGTAACATACGCAATCCGTGTACAGTACTATGCAGCCCTTACTTACATCACTTCCCCTATGCAGTATGCTTCTATGGTCTCAAACATCGAATTTGTGTTGCGTGTGTGTGCGGACGTGTACGTCGGGATGGATGGCGAAAGTCCTGTCGGATTGGAGGGACCCGCTCACCAGCAAGAACCATTGATTGCTCCAACACGGGCGGAATAGCAGGCAACGACGAATGTATGTACACATCTGATTAGGAGGTGGATTTCTTCCGTGAAGCGGTGGCTCGGCGCCCGGTCATGAGGCTAACACAACTCAACTTAGACTCAAGTCGTTCGAGACGGGCTCAAGATCGCTGACGTCGTCACGCTTATAAGTTGTATGCGCGGCGATTGGATGTACACGGTAGATATACTGTCATGGCCATAGCAGTGATGCCTCTATATTGATACAACATTGACACAAACGCAAGATCATACATTACAGGGTGCCTCGTGAACAGTACTCGCCAATCCAAATGTCACCGAAACTGCACCCAACAGGTTTCACGATTGCTTCACGACGACTCTCCTGATCAACGCTCAGCGCTCAGCCTTTGAGGTTCTCCGAGATCGAACCCAGCTGAGGCGCAATCGACACGGACGCGCTACCGGTTGGACTCCTGATGCGCTTACCCGGTCTCTCGTCTAGACTGATACTAATAGACTCTTCGGAGGATCTCTTGAGTTTCACCTGCTGGTCCATCGTCGTGTTTGAGTGCGCAAATTGATCCTCGATCTTCTTGTCCGGTATCCATTTGCCCAGCGACATCGTCTCGAACACGTCGAGAATCTTCGTGTGGTTCTCGAGAACAGGCTGTGCAGGCGCCTCCGAGATCGTCGGTTCAACTGCAGATACGACATTCCTTCGAGGGGGGAGAAGGCGGCTTCGGGAACGCTGGGGCTGATCCTGATCCTGATCCTCCTCGGGCGTCACAGTTGGCAATTGGGGCTTCAACCACTTGTAGTGCTCCTTGCAGAGAGCTGCGAGGTTGGTCAGGAGACGATATAGGCCTGGCCCTCTCTGGCCCGTAGACCCCGCTACGAGCGTGAAGGGAAGCGTTCCTTCTTGCATGAGCTTCAACTTCGCCTCACCGCCAGCAGATATGCCGTTCGATGTTGAATAGGTCTGGTCGTAGACAATGCCGACGTGCTCGAGTAACATATCGCGTTTCATCGAATCGGAGTAGTTCGTCTTGTGGAACCGCAGACACAACCAATGAAGGACGTGGACAAACGACTCCAGGTCGTGCCACACTGCATGCGGAAATACCCCGGGATGTGCGAGCAAGACGGCAGAGATGAACTGCCAAGTGCCCTGCGCGAGGTTTAGTCGTCTGTGACATGAGAACCACAAATACGCACCGAGCGAGTGTTCTGCACTTGCGGTAGTCCCAACTCGTCCTTGTACTTGCACAGACCCCAGTCGACAATCAGACCCAGCCACTCGATTTCCCCATCGTCATTACGATAGGGATACATTAAAAGGTTTGCTCTGCTGATGTCTCGATGTAGTACCTCGCCCTCTGTCCATGCTTTCATATGTGCTAGCACGACAGGTTAGCAGGTGCGCAAGGATATGGAGTGAATGCTCGACACACCATATATGCAGCAATACATAGCAGACATCAATTCGAAGGAAGTTTCGTATTCCTCGAGCGGTTTACCGATCTCCTTCAGGATGATGCGGTACTGAATGAGCTTGGGCGGTGGGTCCAGGAAGAAATCTTGCGCGCGGGTGTGGTGCATGCCGCCAGTCGCATCGCGAACATCGCCAGCGGCAACTGGGGTTGCAATATATGGCACTTGCTTGCTGTGAAGACGCAAGTACACTTCACCTTCCGGATGATACGTCGGCGCGTCCAAGCGCCAGCACTCCTTGAGAAAGACCAGCCGCTGATTGGTAATATCGTAGGCAAACCAACCCCTCGTTCCCCCTCCGGTGGGGGAGCCGGTCATGAAGTGTGGCTTCCCGACGAGGAATTCGCGGCTCGGTGAGCTCTCGGACACGGCCCGCGTCGCCTTCGCGCCCTGCTCGAGCTCTGCCTTCGATATCACGTCCTCCTCTGGAACCAGAACCTTGTAGATCGGCCAGCCCGAATTCAATGTATTCGTGTACTGGATCCTGTGCCAGTTGGAGTCGAATTGTTTGATGCTGCACATGAGCTCGACCTCCTCATGGGTCGCCGGTATCACCGTGGGGTCGCGGCCTCGCTGCACTTCGCTCATGCAGGCGAATCGGTAGAGGAACGTGTGGAAGTGCTGCGGCTCCTTCACGAGATTGAACGGGTCGGAGACAATGAGCCCGGCGCGATCCCATCGGAGCAGCCACGCCACGTCGCGCCAAGTGAATATGGTGAAGACGTATGCCAGGAACTGCCTTTGCAAAATCTTGGATACGTACTGGACCATCTGCCCCATTGTCTGCTTCCCGCCTTTCGTGTACGTACGAAGGAACGAGGGCAACGCTTGGGGCTTCGGCTTTGACGCCTCGGTAGCGGAAGTTGTCGGACGTGCTGTTGACTGAGCCGACAATCCTGGGGTCGCTGAGGTGGACAAAGTTGAAGCGATGAGAGGGTCCGTCACCTGCGCCGATCCTTCAGGCTCGAGTGACGACGAACTGGCCATCTGCGGCAGCTCAGCCTTCTCAGGAACCAGCTCCGAGTTCTGCTTCATGCTTAGTGGAATAACAAAAGGACAGTCATTGGAGTTGGTCTTCGCCTCGATGAACAGCTTCATCCATGACCATGCAGTTCTGGCTTCCCTCCTTTGGCATCGTTCCCTCTCTGCCTCGTTCTTCTTCTTCAGTGCCTGCGAAGTGAGGGTATACGCATGTCGGGCTTCGTCATTCTCGGGATACACCATGACGTGGGGTCTTGTATTTACTTCAAAGTTGTTCTTGTCCGTGGGGTCGGGCCAGATGTACGTATCTTTCGCCACGAGTTTCTCTGTGTTTGCTTCGGCGGGCATCTGCCTGAAGATGGAGTTGGCCACCTTGCACTGTAGGCAACATCAACCCAGACATTCTGTGTGAAGCGGAGGAGATATGTACCAACTCGTCGCGTATGCGGTCTTCCTTATGCTGGAAATTAGCGGGATTGAACGCCTCAACTGCGAAAGGCGGGGGCACATCGGGGCCCGGTACAAACTCGCGCATGAACGTCTCTAGGCTGACTTGAACTGTCTTGGTTCCCATCTCGTCGGCGTACTCTGCGCGAAGCTGTTCGATGAACTTGGCTCCTCCGAAAGACAAGACAGAGTGGAGGTGTCTGCTTGAAGCTTTGCTAGCGACGGGGGTGGACGGCAAAGGTGCGGTCGACGCCTGAGACTGTTGGTCTGGCGGAGTCGAAGGCCTAGTGTTTGCCGACGCTGCTTGGTCTGCGTGCACAGACTCCTGAGCGGATTGCTCTGGAACGACGGACCCGTCGAGCGCTGGGGGAGCGGGGACGAGAGGTTGGTATGTGTCGTTGCGGAGATGGGTAGCCGGGCTCGATGTGTGACTGACGTGCGCCTCGTCTGAGTCGCTGAAGTGACTGTCGTTGCTTGATGATGATGAATTCTGCACTTATATTCCGCAACAAGCAAACTCTAATGGTGCTAAGACACTGTCGCTGCTTGCGTACTGCGATGGGTCGGGCTCGGGGATGTCTTCGAGACCGTCGTCCAATAAGTCAGCGTCAGAAAAGTGGGAGCTCGTAGGAGACGGGTGCCCGAGTGCGAAGATCGGGGATGGCGGTAGCGAACCTGCCTCGCTAGATTCGTAGTCAGAAATTCTGGAGAGTGGTGGCATCTTGCACAGACGTACCGAGTCTAGCCACTACTGAACTGGGATATTTATGCAGGCTCGACGCAGAGCCACACCTTGGCCACACCTGTCGGAGTTCAACCGCCGTGTGAAACAAGCCTAGAGCGAGAAGCAGGCCTTTACCCCGTATGGGTCTGCTTGTTTCCTCAGATGTAGAACAATGCAAGAACAATGGATAGACAATGCAAGACATGCGGTGATTGGCCCTGTCGCGACGCGGTATCAGCCACCGCGAGGCGATCACGTGTGGCCGTTGTGGCTCAAGATGTGGCTCGACGCTCGTCGAGATTGGGCGCTAATCTTATCCCAAGTGTGTAACTTAAGTTAACACGCTGTAACTTGTACGCGTCCACCCAAAGATGCGTTCCTCAGGATGAACCTGCAATGCCATTGCGAGTTAGACGCGGCGTAGCATTGCTGCGGACCACGGTAATTTAGACCATATAACATCACGGCGAGCGACCTCACATACTAGACCCTGAGGCCTGAGGCCTGAGGCCTGAGTGACCAAGGACCACGTGTTAGCGATTTACTACTAACTTACTTACGACCGGGACGTCCATACTGCAATATGATCTGTACGAATTTTTCAACCGGACTCGAGTAGTATCAAATGAGAGGTATCCGTAGCATGTAGTGCCTCGAGCCAAAAGGTAGTATGTATAACCAAGTCCACGACGGACTCGCGTGAAGTGAAGACCGAACTTAGGTGGACCCCCATGGCCACGGGCCACGCGGCTTGGAAGAGTCCATTCAAGAATCGATAGCCTGAAGTATGCACCTCTGAATTTTGTTCTGTCTTCAAGCTATACGTTGCCGTATGTCATATGCAATATGACTACACCTTATATGGCTCGCTATCGCGTAGATTAGGCTATTGTCGATGCTGTGAACACTGAGGGTTGCCAGGCCCCTTTGTAAATATAAGATGCAAGCTCCCATGCTATGGGTGTCTCGTCCGAGTCCTCAGGCCTCAGGCCCCAGGCCTCAGTTCTAGCACTGTGACTTAGCAGAGCGCCATATGCTATAAGTGGCACGTGAAAAGCACGCGTGCCAACATGCGCAGGGCAGACAGCAACCGGCAAGTCGCACTACGACTGGGCGAGCCCGGTCTATACCTTCATAAAGGTGGTTTGCATCAGTCCGCGTAGCGCACCGACATGCATGTTCTGTGTATGCATCGAACCGCACCGCCTTCGAGTAAGGCATTGACCAATACACTGCTATCTCCAAGCGTGCTTGAACCAGCGCGGCCAACCTTGGATAGGCGTGCTCGAAGAACGCCTCAGGGGCCTAATCCATGCTGCGTGTCTATATAATGACGGCCCCGGAGTTGGCTCATACACCATAATCTTCACGCCCACGACGCAAATGTTCCCGAACCGCCAACCTACTCGCAAGGGCACTTCGCGCCCGTCCGCACTTTCGCGCTTCGGCTCGGGCACCGCCAAAGCCCAGCCGAGCGAGGCCTCGTCGTCCACGCCATCTTCCACGGCCGTATCGAGCAGCCCTGCTTCGTCCGTCACCTCCCTTGCGCTCACCTCAGAGCCAGCCGAAGAGCCCGCACCCACAAATGGTCGCATGACGCCTTCCAAGGCCTCGACTATGCCGACGAAGCGACAGCCTACCCGGCAGGATTCCCTTCGGCCTTCTGCGCTGAAGCGGTTCAGCTCGAGCGCCGTCAGCCTGATCAAGGGCCAGGGACAGACCAATGGCGCCGAGACGTCCGTGTCCAAAGCTCCTGTCTCGGGCAGCCCGACATCGTCGGTGAGCTCGCTCCCACTTGGCCCTGATCCCGGAGAGGCTTCCGCGACGAGGATAACTGAGGAACTGCGCATGAAGGTAAGGGGCGGCGAAAATATAGCTAGTGGACCTTGCATACTGATGATCCGCGACTAGCTGGATGCAGCGGAGGAAACACTGGCAAAGGAACAGAGCAGAATAGCAGCATTCGAAGAGCGAATCAAGGTCCTCGAAGTGGCCAAGGAGGAGGGCGACGCGAATGATATCGCTCAGCAGGAGAGACTAGCTTCCTTGAACGCTCAGCTCGACGAGCTACAGGCACAGCTTGTACACTCCAGAGACGAAATCGCCAGCAGAGAACGAGAGCTGTACACCGTACGGGCAGAAGCAGCGACGGAGAGGACAACACAAGGCGAGGTCCGGGGCAGGCTCGAAGGCGAGCTTGCGGACGTGCAGTCTCAGCTGGCAGAGGCGCAAGCGGAGTCACGCAGGAGAGTAGACGAGCTGGAAGCAGTGAGGCGCAAGACGGAAGAAGCGGTGTACGAGCGAAGCGCCATGCAGCAGAAGGTCGACGACCTCGAGGCAGCGCTCAAGAAGGCACAGGATGACGGCGAACAGGAGAAGAAGCGAATGGGCGACGAGATTGCTAAATTGAAGGAGGAGTTGAAGAAGGCACAGTCGGGCGGATGCGTTTTGCAATGAGGGAGGTGGGAAGCGTATGGGCACGTTGTGTCTCTAGACCTGATGATATCATTCACGGAGGCTGTCTATGTATATTACCGTGACCCGGGCCTCAGATTCGAGACGCATCAGTATCAGCGCGTGCATATTATGGAATGAACGCACGTCCCGTTGAGAGCCATGCATCAATTGCACCGTCTTCGCCTGTGTTCCGCGACCGAGCGTGACGGAGGTACTGGGAGCTGCCCGCCGCGCGATCTTCACCTGCTCTGTGCATGCTCGACGGCTCCTGCGCAGCTTCGATCCCCATGAGCACCTGTACGCCATTCATGTCAATTCACCATATAGAGTTGTCGACTCCGCACCGCGCAGTCCTCATTCCATCCGTACCCCCACAGTCTATCCGCCCCTCCGTACAGCCCTCTTCATCCCCATGTTCGCCAATCGCCCCGGCTCGCTCTCGAAGAGACCGACACTCCGGCCCTCACCGCTCACGCGCTTCAGCACGAGCGTCGTAAGTCTACTCAAAGCTCAACCTGCGGAAGCATCCGCGAGTGTCACATCCGCAACAACGACGCCGACGTTGCCTGTGACAAGTCTTACGAGCAGTCCAACGAGCTCTGTGCTTTCACTTCCGCTCAGCTCGGACCCAGAGGATGATGCTGCGAGCAAAATCACCGAGGAGTTGAGGAGGAAGGTGAGCGGATGGCCAGAGGAAGTGTAAGTGTATACTTACGAAGGTCTAGTTGGAAGCATCAGAGGCTGCGCTCGCCGCAAAGTCGCGGACGGTGGCTGGACTGGAGGAGAGAGTGAAATCACTGGTGACTGAGAGCGCCGAGGGAGAGAAAAGCAGGGCCCTACAAGAGGAGGTTCAGAGGGGCACTGAAGAGCGACTGGCAGATGTCGAACAGCGCCTGACCGAAGCAATAGCAGAGACGACGAGGAAAGACCTGGAGTTGGAGACGGCGCGCAGCGAGGTACATGTCAGACACGGACGCAACTGTGATTATCTGGAACTCACCTTGGTTGAAATAGATTGACGAAACCAGGGCAGGCCTCCAAGAGACGCGAAGCGAGTTGGAGAGCATGAAAACGGTGTTACAAAGGAAGGATGAGGAGCATAGAGCGATGCTGGAAGAGGTGAGCTAGCAGTAGAAGTATCGCGCATAAATAACGTGACAAATTGTCGATCCAGTCTGACACGACAAAATCAGCATTAGCTGGTGTCGAAGCTACTCTAGTGGAGGAGCGTGACAACCGCTCCGCCCTACAGAGTGAGTTGCAAGCTTCAATACGCCAGCTTGAGGAAACCGCGGAAGCCAGGGCCCGTGTCGAGAGGGACAACGCAGAATTGAACACGCAAGTTGCTGAGCTACAGACGAATGCAGCAAATCAGATGAAGGAGCTAAAGGCCATTGGATCGAAGGTTTGTTCAGTGAGCCCATACACTACGTCTTCACGAGTCTGATCAGTGCGAATATAGCTCGATGACGCTGAGAGAGCACTTCGAAGTAACTCGGATGAAGTGAAGATGGAGCGCGAGAACCGGCAGGCTATCGAGTCAGAATTGCAACACTACAAGGAAGATAACACACGCTTCGATGCAGCCAACGCAAAGTTGTCCTCTGAGCTCGAGTCCAGGACGACGGAACTTCGGGGACAGAGTCGGTGTCTCGCTGAACAAAACCAGGAGCTTGAATCCTTGCGCTGTCAGGCTGACGCGCACACGGCAAATGCAGAGACTCTGGCACGACTGCTAGCTGAAGCAGCCCGCGCACGCGATGACGCTCTCTCCGAACTCAGCGCCCTGAAGTTCCAATTATCGGACCTCCAGATGGCCACCCATCGAGCGGCAGACACCGCGATGCACGAGGTGACAGAGGTACGGTGGCAGGCAATGAAGACCGAGAGCGCCCTCTCCCAGCGGGTGCGAGACCTGGAGGAAGCTTTGCGGTCAGCGCAAGACGATGCCGCTCAGGAGATCAAGAAGGTGAGGGGTGAGAAGAGGAGGCTGCGAGAGGAGTTGAGGAACACAGACGTGAACGCCGGTGGCAGCTGTACCATCCAGTGAATCTGTCGACATCGTTCTGCAGGCCAGAACGTCCAATGTGACTACGTTATCGTAACTTAAAGTAGTCAGTATCACAGCCATTAGCCCCTGAAGTAGCGGGATTGGAAGGGGAACGCTTACTCCGTGTCTTCACTGCGACTGGCATGAGCCAACTGAAGTCATGCGTACGTAGCATGCATCAAAGTACATAGTGTTGTTCAACAATGCGCTTGACTAGACTCCCGAGACTCTCGAGCACTATTCACAACGCCTGGCCCTAGAGGGAAAAGTCACGGTCCCAAGTAGATGGTAGGCGGACGTAACCGTGACAGTCGGGTTGCAGTCGGGAGTAGAGTTGTGCGTCCACTAGTAAGCGCCGAGAGCCGAACCTGACCGGCGCGCAGGTGGAACGCTTGAGATTTACTAATCACGATGCGATGTAGATGGTGTACATTGCGTGAGTTCAACCGTGCAGAGGAACAACCTCCATAGCTAGTATGCCCTTTATCTAGTCGAACAAGGAATGACACATAAATGCTAAGGATACATCGAATACATGGGATAAATATCGCCGTCATAAATCAGGATCTCTGCGCCCGCGCAGTCATTGTATGCAACAGCCCGTCTCCTGCATGTGTCTCCGTGCTGCAGCTTCGAGGTCAGTCGCGTGGCGCCCGATGACCTGGAACTGTTCTCGCACAGTCGCGTATGCAACGCGGGCGTTTGCGAGCTCGTTCCGGAGCCGCATGTTTGCCGCGTCGTTGACCTGCTTGTCCAACCCTGCTCGTCGCCGCGCGTCGTCGAGGGCGTGCTCCGCGTCTTCCGTCCGCTGGCGAGACTCCTCGAGCTGCGAGCGCAGACCCTGGATTTCGATCTCGAGGAAGTGGTTGACCGCATCGCTCTTCTCGGCCTTCGAACGAGCTACCTGCAACTGCTTGGCCAGCGAGCTGGACACCTCCTGGGCGGCGTGGATGCCCTCCTCCTTTCTGCCGACCTCCTCGACTGCTTGCTGCAACGCAGTCGTCACCTCAGCGAGGCGCTGCTCAAGAGCCCGAACGTGGTCTTGGGCATAATCACGCTGGAGAGCGCACTGTTCGTAGGAGACCTGCGCCTCCAAAAGCTGCCGCTCGAGCTCGTCCACCCGTGCTGACTTCTCCTCTTGCTCAGCGTGGAGAGCAGCGAACTTCGCCTCCAACGCCTCGATGCGAGCGGTGAGCTCCTCCAGGTCGGCGGTCTTGGTCTCTGCCTCGGTCTGAGCTTGGGCGTGTGCCTCCTGGAGGACTTCACACTCGAGCTGCACGGTCTTCAGTTCGGACTCGACCGTCGACCGGTGATTCCGCTCGGCATCTAGGTCTGCCATGCGTTCAGCCAAGGCTAATCTGGCTGTCTCGAGCTGCGATGTGACAATCAGCAGCTATCAAAGACAAGACGCAGCGATGGACATACCTCACGGCGCGTAGCATCCAGCTCGACACGGCTCCGCTCAATCTCGGCTTCTGCACCGCTGAGACGCTCCTGTAGCTCGGTGCGCTCCTTCTGCACAGCGGCCTTCGTCTCCTCTGATTCGGAGAGGGTGGATTGGTGTTTGTCGGCTTCCGCGCGAGCGCTTCCCAATGAAGCACTCAAGTCCTTGACGCGCTCCTCTAGAGATGCCACGGACTTCTCCTTGGTCGCCAGTGCCGCGTTCGCGTCATCGAGCTAACCAACAATTCAGCACATACGGAATACAGGGTTCGTGCGGAACAATACCTTGCGCCTCAAGGCATCTGCCACCTTGGCATCCTCGCTGAAATCAGCAGCAGGGAGGGATGCGACCGAGCCTTTCGGACTCTCGCTGAGAGGCTTGTCTGGCTCTGAGAGCGACTAATGAGTATGGTACCAACTTTGCTTCCACGGGCGATGTCATACCTGTAACCGATTCGGTGGTCGCTTGACTCTTAAGCATGCCCACCATGCTCGAGCTGAATCGCCATAGCGGCGACGGGCGAGCGGTGGTTGCGGCGGCGGTGGGCCGGACCTGTCGGGATGCCAGCATCATACAATGGAAGTCGGTGAAAGAGGAGTGGGCGCGCTGCGTGCGGATGCGTCAAAGCAGGAGCAAAGTTCGAATGATATGAAAGCCGTTAATGGTCTCCTCCTTGCTATATCTACAGTCGGAAGTGAAGAGCACGCCTGCCTGCATTGTCGTGGAAGGGCAGTGCGCAGGCCCGCCTCCAACGCGATTGGCACTCCGCACGCGTGCAGCCTTTGCATGTATCTCAGAGTTCGCTCCTTGGAGCCCGAGTACCCTTGGGAATCCACATGAGGTTGCGGACAGACTACCGAAGATCCTGCTGCGAGAGGCGTGTTAGATATGAAATGCTCATGCCACACCAGGGCCCCGGCGCCAGGTTTGCGCTTGCGTCTGCCGCATGGCCTCGGCGCCTCTCGCAATGGAAGAAGAACAAGCTTCCACTCATCGGCGCCCGTCTGAACAAATAGAGGTGCCCACCGGAACTGGACCGAATTTAAGGCTGTAGGGATCTACCTTGCGCAGGTCATGTTAGACTGATTCCGAGCAGGATCAGCGGAATGTCAGGCGGCGAGACTTTGCACACTCACCTTCAACCGTCATGGTAGCCGCGGTCTAGCCAGTGCCGAAAAGTTAGTTAGGGTAGGTGCTGTGCACCTCTTCACACGTGCTCCCACCGGGTGAAGCACCAGCAATGCATGCAGGCTGCCCTCCACTAGTCCATCCCAAAGCGATACATAACATGACGATGACAACGATACATATTACATGAGCTTCCCGTTGGAGTATCCTTGATGCGCCCCGGAGCCATGCTGCTTCAATGCGCGTGTCGCAGAGAACAACATGCTGTCGATGAGCGACGCGACTGTGAGCACTCCGCCAACAATCGCGCACGTCCTGCGCCGTCGCCGTCATCAACACATGAGATTAGAAGTATGCAACAGAGGAGACGTACGAGGTGAGGAAGTGCGCGAACGACTGGCGCGTCGCGTCGTGCACGATAAGGATTGGCGAGATGTCGTAATTAAAGAACGCGCCTGGGTATCCGTCAGTGTATCCAAGTCATGCGATCTGCGCGCGGAAACGAACCTGGGATACCGGTCGAGGTGTGTGCAACATGCGTCCCCTCCTTGTTGTCCTCCTGTTGCCCTTTTGATAAGTCCCGCTCGAAGTGAGTGACGCTGTACTGATGCATCTTGTACTGTACGCAGCGCGCGGATAATCAGTATGCGCAAGATTGCCGTGGCATTAGAGTTCGACATACCACTCTGCTGTCCTGCATGTTGAACTGCGTCGAGACCACCTTCAAAAAGTACTGGAACATGTACTGTTGCTTCGACGTCTGAAGAAGCTGCTATTAGCATCGTCGTCGAGTCGGACGCCGATGCGCTCACCCTCTTCGTTGTCTTATCCAGTGGGTTCCCTTCGATACCAAGCATACCTTTGAACTCGCGCTGGCGCTGACGGTCACGCTCCTGATCGCTCTCGAAACCAAACTCGTGGATGACGTGCGAGAAATCGTGGCGGTTCTTGTCGTCGCGCAGGTAGGGCACTAGGTCGTAGATGTTCTGCGCCGCACTGCGGAACGACCGTCCCGGAGAGAGGTGAATGTTGCCCACGACCTTGTTTACGCGCACCTTGCCCGCGATGTTGCAGCCCTCATCGGCCTGCTCCTTCAGCTTGTCTGACCAACCTTCGCTGACGCACTAAGCTACATGTCAGAAAACGCGGTGAACAGATCGCTTGACAGACGAACCTGTTCAATCGAGTCGGGTCGGTTGAAGCTCCATCCCCTGTCGAGGTAGGCCTGTCGCACTTGCTCGCACGTGTTGCAGCACCCGCTCTCTGAGGGTTTTCCACCAAAGCAAGAACCACAGTACTTCTCGCCACGCTGCTCGTTGAGTTTGTCGAGATCATTGCGGAGCTCGTTGTTGGCATTCAGAGCCTGCAGGGATTCGCCCTTCTGCGACAGCCGCGTCTTGACAATGTTATGCGAAATATCGGTCTGGGTCTCGCCAGAGATGTCCATCACGTCCAAGCTGAGAACTATGATGGAAATGATCAGCTATAAGCCACAGCCGCTGCAAACGAGTGAGACATAGATGAAAAGGTGCATGAGCATCCACGTTCCATCTAGACAGTGACTTGCTGTCGGGCTGATAGTGGCCTGCTGGTTGCTCGTATATGATACGAACAGCAGAGACCGCCTCGAAGATACCTCGCTGAAGCAGCTGAGGCAGTCGACGATATCTGAACGATGTTCATATGCATTACGGACGGACCACAGCATACAACGAAGTTCAGTTACCGTGGCGAGCAGGATGTCCCTATACTGAGCAGATGCGAGGTGTTCTGACAATCTGGAGTATGGGCGGAGCTATTGCTCTGAATGTGAAATTGCCCAAACAGTGGCTGCTACATCTTCAACGAGCATCACAGTGCTTCACCAGTCTTCCACTATCACAGCCCCGCTCTCAGCCGACGCTAGACTCAGCCAGTCTGCGTCTGACGGTGCCAGTCCATGTGAACCGCAGACTTATGTAGCACCTGCGCTCGAAATATGATGTAGCGTATACGCGCCAGACAGCCCTTACGCACTCCGCGAATCAGCACTGCAAACTATAGTCGTACTCACGGTAGCATGGTACTCTCGGGAAGGTGATGTTCATCCGAACATTCAGCTTCTCTCCGCGACTCTTGTCAACCAGGATAGACGTGTCAATATTGACCCTCCTGTAGTCGAGAAACTCGATGGTCGTGAAGGCCAGGATTATGGCGGCAGAGAGGATGGTCACTGCCCGACGTCAGCGACATCCCCGCAAACTGTGCAGGTTGACTCACAGAACGCGCCGGTACGCGTCTTGACCTTTACATCTTCTGTAGTCTGTACAGAATATTAGATCGCCACCACCATGAGGCCTTGCATTTCGCGAACCTTGCCGAAGGCGTCGATGCCTCTCAGTGAGCTGAACAGCCCTTTCGCCGGCATGTTCGATCCAGGAAGTGTCCGTCAAGCAAATAAACCAGTCCTGGCCGGTAACCGAGACGAAGTCCCAAAAGAGAGGCCAGCAAACCCTGCTGCGAGAGAAAGAAAGAGGAAAGAGTAGTGGTGGTGAGTTGGAGACGCGTGTGGCTGGGTACCGCATACGTGTCCGATCTCGCGACGCGTTGGCACGTGCTTCCTCGAGAACGAGCTCTGGACGAGCCTCGACATCGCACTGCAATATTGGGATCGCGGGTCGCACCGTTTCCTTCCTCCAAGAATATTTGACTAGACAGATACTCATAGTACACTACGACAAACAGCATTTGCCATCAAGCGTCCAAACTACCGCAGTTCTTGCGATGCAATCCGATCCACACCCTGCCGCACCTTTCCGAAGAGGTTCTTCACACCATCCTTGATGCCATCCGCCTGCAAGCTCACACCCTCCCCGCTCGTCCTGTACACGCCAGTGCCTGCAGGACCACCCAAACTGACGTTGACACCGCCTAGATTGAGGTTCAAGGCCGGCATCGTGCTTGAGCTCCCTGGCGGAGGTTCGTACACCGACGCAGAGAAGTTGACCGCAGCGGAGCGTATCATGTCCACAAAACTAGGACGTGCAACAGTGAGCATCGACCAGACAGGAAGGGGCGTACTACGTACCTAGATGAATTATGTACGCATGTCCCGCCCAGGAGAAGACGCGTGCCCGCAGACGACGCGCCGCCTTGCGTCGACTCCTGGTTGAGCAATGCGACAACGCGGGCTTCGGCATATGTTGTCCCGCCGATCATAAAGATGATCACATCCTGCGGTCTAGTATATACAGATGAGAAGACGCGTCATGAGACACAGGTCAGTAAGCGCACCGTTGTAGACTCGCGTTTGGCCCTGCGCCATCGAGGAAAGGATGGCTGGTATCCCGTAGTCGGCCCCTGAACAGGTTTTCTAGCGTTTCGGCAAGATGTGGCTGGTGTTGCATATACACATTCTCCACGCCCTTGAGACCCTTCAAAGCTGAGCGGCCTTTCGCGAAGAGCGACTCCGCAGAGAACAAGTCGTCTTGCCGCTGATCTGAGCCCGCGATGTTCAAAATGACATAGACGAGCTAGAGTTGGGCATGTCGTGAGTCAGAGATATATCTGTACGCAGCGCAACGACTCGCCTTGGCGTCTTCTCGATTAACCCCGTTCTCGAGCATTAGGTTGATAAGTGAAGCGACATTGTTTGCTTGTGTTTTCTGATATCGCAGCGCGTACAGAATGACCAGGCGCAATTTGTTCCACGGCTGAATGGTAGGGTTAGTGATGAGGGCCTGTACACTCTGTATGCAAAGCCCCGTGTCAACACCGCATCTTAGAAGACCAACTGAGAACCTACCCTCAAGTCCGCACCAGATCCGGTCGCTAGCCCCTGCTCGACCTCTCCAATGTCCAATAGCTTGTCCCGGTCCACTAGCCGGCTAAGCTCGCCCACGAGTGCGACGTGCTTGCTGACGTTCCCGCCGAGCTTGCGGAACTCGGGGTACTCCTCGACGAAGCGCTTCATGTCGGTGATTGAGTTGATGGACTGTGGGTTGTGCGCGAGGGAGTGGGACTGGTAAGATTGGACATATGCCTTGAGGGAGGTGCCGAGGTCACCGAAGGTAGCGAGGTGGTGTGCTTGGAAGAATGGGTCAGTGGAGGGTGTTAGAGTGACTTCCTACAGTGAGTTGAGTGGATGAGGGCATAGCAGTATGGTCTCATGGCGTACCTTCAACTCCGGTCGGATGTCAGGCAAAAGGCTGAGGTCTACCCGACCGTTCTGGATACCCAGGAGCTCGTGCACCATGGCCTGATACGTCCACTGAGAGAGCAGAGGAGTCACAGGATCGTTTCTACGATCCAGAATAAGGAGCAGTGGAGGGACTTGGGTCAACCTGAAGTCAAACAAAGAAGATTCAGACTGCATCCTATGCTATAGCCCTGGTTAGACTTCTTGCCATCGGTCATTCCGTGCTATCTCACCTGGATCTCCACACCGAGCTTCTTCGCCATTGGACTCGACCGCTCGTAACGAATCACCGGCTTCTTCTTCAAGCTCAGCAAAACGGCGGTCACGCCTTGTACAGCTCGCTCAAGCGCTTTCGGGTCCCACGAATTGGGTGACGAGCCGTACAGCGGATGCGAAGCACTCGGCATATGGTTGAGGGAGAAGAGGCACGGGAGGATGGGCGCGTAGTCTGCAAAGTATTCCTTGCATGTGTATCAGGGGATACGCCGCCAGCGAGATGCGATGTACTCACCTGCACCTCCCGTACTACCTCGTACTCGTCTGCGTCCGCTAACCGCTCGATGGTGGTCTTGCTGAGGATGGTGCTGAAGTCTGCATAGCAATCGTGTCACGGGGGCGGCTGGAGAGGTCCAGTGCTGAGATTACCCACAGAGGTAGTATTCGCCGTACTTTGGCTCTCGTAGTTCCGCTTCTAGTGCCTCGAGACTGTCGTCACTTGTCTGGAGGAAGCATACGCACTTCATGTGCGGCATCCGGTCGCGCTTCTTGTTGTCGATCTTGTCCGTGAGGTATACTTGATGAGCGAGCAAGGTAGACTGAGTGACGGCCAACGATACAATAGGTGTCTGTCGGGGTAAATGTTGACAAACTCTCGACCCTGCACGAACGTGTCGAAACATACCGTATGTCCGTCGAGGAGCAAGACCTTCATCGTGGGCGGCACGGAGATCAACTTGGTGATGTACGTCTCCACAGCTTTGACGATGTCCATCGTGGCTCAACGAACGAGGGTGCAAAGAGTGGGTATTGGACGTGGTCGAGAGAAAGCGGGCTTGAACTTTGAGTGGGTGGACAGACGCCGGGATGGCTACAAGCCCTGCTGCCCCTTTTTGATCCAGTATTTGATGCTATCTCCTTGCACTCTTCTTTCAAAACGTATTCGCCGGGAGATGTTACAAAGATCCAAGACGAATGAGAGGATAGGGGATCGGAAGAGACGCGAGTGTTGTGCGTGTCACTGCGGCGCGTCCGTACACGCGTAGGCGCCCATATGCGATCGTCGTCACGGCCGGCGGCCTTTCCCTGGCTAAGTCTATAGTCCTCGAGCTTCCTCGCTCAGGCTCACGTCCATGGACTCTCGCAAGAAACAAGTTATCCAGTCACAGCAATAAAAGATACCGTATGTCTCATGTGCTGAAGCCACCTCCGAATGACGCAGACTGAGACCCTGAGTCGGATGCTGTTTCGATGTTCCAACAGCTCATTGTCCCTGAGTCCCGGCATGTACCCGACTGCCTCTCTTCCTCAGCCTTCGTCTTACACCAGCGGTGCCTCGTCACAACTTAACCTATGCATACCCAAAGCATAGAAGTGTCATCTAGCTCAAAACCTGTATCTCCAGGGTCCCCGCCAATGCACAACGACTTCCCCGGCGGCGAGCTCGAGAACGCGCTGAAGGAACATGCGTTTGGCCTGTCTCGTTACGAGATCTTGCACAAATCACCTCACGAGGCTAGAGCACGTATCGCGCTCCTAGAAGGGAAGGCGGTGAACGTGATGCTCACGACAAGTGGTTATAGCGTGCGTGAAGGCGTGTCTGCAAGCGTGATAGGTGTAACTGAGTAGTGTTTTTGCATAGATCGTATGCGATGTAGAATCTCCGGCAAGGACATTCGAAAGCCTCGACGACCTGTTGTTATCAGTCAGTCCTCGTTTCGAGGAGGCCCGACAGCAAGCTTTGCTGGCCAAACTGCAGCTGTTGGCTGAACAACAAGATCAACCGGGCGGGTCCTGATCTATGCCATGTATATTTTTCTGCAAGAAACCATGCACCACAGTACATCTCTACGATAATGCAGCCACGATGAGACAGGGAACTCACCTACTCTTCCGCATCCACTGCGCTGGCCTCCTCCGCGAGTTTGCCCGTCTCTTTCCGTCTCCTCAACGCCTCGGTATACAGCTCTCTGGTGAACTCTCCACGCTCCCGCTCCCTGACGTTCCGTATCATCTCTCCAATCCACTTCCTCTCTTCTTCATTCCTCACGCAGTTTGCCCACCATCGATCCATACTACTCCGGATGCCAGCCGTGTTCAGTTCACCATGCTCGCTCTGCTCTGCAAGGACGAAGAGGAGGAAGCCTGCATTGAGACGTTCGAGCCCAAGCATAGAGAGACACTTGAGTATCCGCGAAATGCGGAGGTAGTTGTGTGAGGAACCTATGCTTTGGATCGCGTCAGCTCGATATATCAAGTGGCGATGAGACTTACGAGTCAGGTTTCTGAACCGGTCTTTCCAGTTCTTGTCTGATCTCGCGAGAAGACCCGTTTCACTGTCCTCGAGGCGCATGCCGTAGAAGTCGAGCATCAACCTGTACGAGCGCAGGACGCGCTCCACAATTGTCTCGTCGGCTTTCATGGCCTCCACCTCATGGCGCTGCAGTGGTTGGGACTCCCAATTCATGCCATGCTCCGGTATAGGGAAGCTATGTATGATTCCGTTTTCCTTTCCATCTGTGAGAGGACGAGAAAGCAGCACATACAGCCATTGAATGAATCCATGCTTGTACTCTAGCTTCGCATAATCACCACGCCATCTGCGTGCGAGTGCGACCCTCAGCTCACCGGTCCACAGGCCAGGCCTCATGAGTGCTTACTGTTTGTGTAGATCGTCAATGTAGAGGTTATCTGGCTGACATCGCGACTTGTTGGAATAGAACAGCAGGTTGTCTGAACACGATGGGTCGTCATTATTATCCGGGTAATCGTCCAAGAATTCGCGGACGTCTCGAGGTATAGATGCAGACATGGCAGATACAGATCTAGTGCGTGCAGCAGAATGTATTATCTTTGCAGTAAGGCAAGTAATGCGACAAGCGGCAAGCATGAAGTGGTGGTGCGACCTGAGCGAGACGCGCGGTGGCGGCCGACGCGTCGCGTGGAAAATCAAAATGAATTTGACTAGGACGCGGTTGGTGTGGCCGATCACAACGCGCCTTTACGTTTGTTACGTTGCCCTTCCCCGCCAATTGACTTGCTGCCTCGAGCTCAGCCGCGATGCCACCCACACCGTCCTCCATCATCTCTGACGCGCTCAATTCGCTCTCGAAGGCCGCGAACCTCGCCGTAAGCCCCCTGCATCGTTTCAGTGACGTTCGGCTCTCTCAGGCGTGTCTCAGCTCGCAACTGTCGAAGAACAGGCCCGCTCTGATGTCACGCGCGCGAACGCGGACGCCTCGGAGGCGCGTCGGGAACGGGACGATGCGCTCAAACTACTGCGCGACCTGAAGCTCGAGGAGAAGAACTGGGAGCGTCGTGAAGAGGCATGGAGGGCAGCGGTGCGTACCTCAGAACCACCGAAATGTTCGATGCACTTATAATGTCACTGCAGGTCGACAAAGCCGAGCTTACCGTAGGCCATCTGATTCTGGGCTCCGTACGCTCTCTCATGGCCCTGTAGATCAAGCACCAGGCTGAGACAATAACACACCTGCGCGCCGAGTCCACGCAATGGAAGGCCCAATTGATGCGACTCGAGGAGACATCTCGTCAAGAGATCGACGACTGGAGAGAGCGCTGCTTACACGCTGAACAGGAGCGGTGCCAACTGTCATCTCGGATAGATGAGCTCGTAGCTGAGCAATTAGCAGTACGTAACGTATCATCCATCGTGGTCTAATAGCTGAGTTTACTGCCAGTACAACACTCAAGCTAATGCTGCTTTGGGTGCTCTCGCCTCGAGGTCTCCGTACCCAGACATCTTCGAACCTTCTAGTTCCTCCACAAAGCGGGCTTCCACCTCATCTGTGGCGCCACAGCTCGCGAAACGACAAACATCCCTGGCACACGCACCAGACGACAATGCGCCGCCTTCACCCCGGAAGTCGAAAGCTGCACAGACACCATCTAAACACATCTCACAGATTGACCGCCCCGTCGACCCTCCTCCCACTCGCACACCAAAGAACAAGCCGCAGCCCGCGCCGGCTACGAAGGCCCCACGCACGCCGAACACGCCCCGTGCCACCTCGTCCGCACACCCCCCACTGAAGATGAAACCACACGCGATGCCACCACCACCAGAAGAGTTCCTTCCGCAACAGCGCGTCATCCGGCGCGTGCAGGCTGTGATCTCCGTCCCGGTGAAGGAAGAGGAGGATTCAGACGCGGGTCCCTTTGAGTCGGATGCGTCGGGCTCGGCGTATGAGCCGGAGCAGCCTAAGCGCAAGCGCACCAATGCACGGGCGTCCAATGGCCGCAGACAGTCGCAGGCTAGGCGGGTGGTCGAGGATGAGGACGAAGACGAGGAGCCGCAAGCGTATCGACAAAGTAGACGGCCTCGCTACATCCCGGACGATGACGACGATGACGACACGGACGAGCTTGCTATGGCCCCTGACGTGAGTTGCGTTGACTGGGGTGTGTTAATGAGTCCTGACCTCACTTGCAGGATGATTTCGACGCTCGTCCTCAAAAGACGCCGAGAACGAATAATTCGCGACCCTCTACGAACACATCTGCTAAGAAGCGTAAACTTGACGCTGACCAGGCGAATGGCTCCGCTGGCCGCGCAACGAATGCGAAAGTTCCACGGAAGAAGTAGGCTCCCACTGGCGATATGTGTAACAACATTGCTATATCATTGTGTTCTCGTCACTGCAATTACCCTTGTATCATACATACATGCTAGAAGTCCTATGTTCGTCTACACAATATGCGCCTGCGGTCATAAATAATTCGTGTCGATACCATGAGGCGAGCTATGGAAAGATGCAATGCAAGCGTGATGATGTAGGGTCAAATAACTTAGTGCAATGTTCGTTTAATGCGCCTTTGCCTTGCTAGTCAGAGGAGGAACCCAGTCGCCAACCCCAACGCTGCTGCTATACCACCAACTACGCCACGGCCAACACGATCATGTCGCCTCGCAGCGAGCAAAAGCTGGACCTGCTCAGCCTTGAGCTCACGAACCTGCACGTTCCAGCGATGCATCAACTCCTCCTTCTCCGCCACCAGCGCAGCTATCTGCGCCTTATAGTCATTATGGATCTGTACGGCGATTCCGTCCTTCGTGCGCTCCAGCGAGCCCGCGCTGTGCTTGTGGTTCTCAAGCGTCGTTTTCAAGGTGTTGACCTCTTGTTCAGCCGATGCACGAGCTGCGGTCGCAGCCGCCAGGTCAGAGCGAACCGCGCGGAGCTCAGCGTCTCGTTTCTCGATTTCCTGGAGGGACTGCTTTACCTGCTGCTGCAGCGCCGACCTATGTTTACCATGGAGCTCGTCGACCGCCGCCTGGTGCGTTGTGCGGAGTTGCTTGACCTCGTCCGTGCGCTTCCTGGTGCTTTCTTCGGCCTGCTGGAGCTGGCGGCGCGCCTGCTCGTTGCTCGAGTTGAGCTTCCTGGTGAGGGCGTTGCGTGCCTCGCGCACATCCGCGAGCTCCTTGGACAACCGCGCGATCTCCTGGTACAACCGCGCGATCTCCTGGTCCTTCTCGCCGATGCCCGAGAGGCGTTGGCGTGCGGCGTCCAGCTCCGCCTGCAGCGTCTTGTTCTGCTGCGACGCCTGCGAAAGCTCGGAAGAGAGGCGAGCGACTGCCTGCTCTTTCTCCCGCTCGGAGGCTGCGCTCTTTTGACGGATCGCGTCGGACTCCGCCTGCAGCGCCTTGAGCCTGTGCGAGGACTGGGATAGTGCTGCCCTGCATTCTGCGTACGCTTCCTCTGTCCCCTTGAGGACGTTGTTCAGCTGAGTGATGCGCGCCTTGGCTTGATCGCACTCACTCTCCAGCTGAGTGATCTTTGCGCCGTCCGCCTGGACCATCTGATCGAGCTCGGAGGCCCTGACGTACGCAGCATCGACCTTCCGTTGCATGTCGGCTTTGTCAACGAGCAAATCGGACAGCTCGTCTTGGTGGGCAGCGTGCAGCTGACGGATCTCGTCCTGAAGAGCGCGAGCGGTGTTCTCTAGCTCCTTTGCGTGGCGATCCGTGGCGAGGAACGTCTCGCGGAGGGCAGCGTGTGCCTCGCGAGCGTGAGACAGGTCCGCAGATAGTCCCTCGATGACTTCGCCCTTCGCCCGCTCGATCTCCGCGGTCCGTTGGCGGCCTTCCTCGAGCTGCACCTTGGCGGCGTCGAGCGCACGCAGCGCAGAGGCAAGAGCGCCTTCGGCCTCGGACAGCTCTGTCTGCAGGTCCTGGATTGTCGACTCCTGCTCATCACATTGTGCTTTGAGAGCCTCGGCGTCGATCAAGACGCGGTCGTACTCCTCCCGGAATCCCTCGAGTTCGCGACCAGCCACATCGCACCGACGTTGGACTTCATCGCGCTCGGCAGCAAGCGTGTCAATTTCGTCCCGATGCGAAGCATGTGTCGCCTGGAGTTCGCGCTCATGACTCTCTTCTTGCGCCTGTGTAACGTGCTTAGAAGGCGCAGCAAAGCATTGTAGCCTCGACATACCTGGAGCTCCGCGGTCAACCTATCGACCTGCCGTTCCAGCTCGGCGTAACTCTGGGAGTGCCGTCTCTCGAGCTCGTCGAGCTTGCGAAGGTGCGTATCAGCGTCTGCACGTGCCTGTGCTCTCGTCTGATCAAGAGAGTCGGAGGTCTGTGCGAGCTCGGCGGCCAGCTCCTCGATCTGCATCGAACGTCTCGCTGACTCAACGCGGGTAGCATCCAGCTCTTCCCTCGCTGCCTGTAGGTCGGCATATTTCGCCTCCAGAGTTTCGGTCATCTCGTCCATAACACTCGACTTCTTCCCCAAGTCCGCCTCCAACGTCTTCATTCGGCGAAGGTAATCCTCGCATCGCTGGTCTAGCTCCGCGCGTTCCTTCGTCACGATGGAGAGCTCAAGCTGGAGATCCGCTGCGCGGTCGGACTGTTCGTTCCGCTCGTCGCGTACAGCACTCAACTCCGAGGCCAAGGTCTGCAGTCGTCGGATTCCGTCCTGCAGTTCTACGTCCTTGGCTGAGATGACTTCTCGGTTTTTCTCATGCTGTGTCGTCAACTTGTCGCGGTCTTCTTCAGTCGACTTCAAACGCTGCTCGACTGAAAGATGTGCGGCGCGCTCCGTCTCGAGTGCAGATTTGGTCTCATCAACCTGTAACCACGTTTATCAGCATGCGATGGGACGTGAAACTAAAACATGACTACCTGTCGCCGGGCGACCTCTAGCTGCGCAGATTGCTCCGCATGCTCGTGTCGCCCTGCATCAGAGCGCCTCAGCGTTTCAGCGAGGTCTGTTTGGAGTTTTGCCTTCGCGTCCTCCGCAGTCTGGAGAGCCGCACTCGCGTCGCGCGATTCTGCTTGTGTTGTCTCTAACGAGGAGGCCAGTGTCCTGACACGGTCCTCGAGTGAATCGACTGTCCGTGTCTTGGCATCTAGCGCGGCCGTCGTCTCGTCGAGCTAGGGCCAAACATCTGATGAGCCAATGCCTAGCATGCTGCATGCACAAGACGCACCTTGGCCTGGAGCTCGCTGACGAGCTGCTTGGTATCCGCCTTGGACGCTTTGGACGCTTTGGATAACAAACTCTTTGTGTCTGCTAAAGCCGAGTACACGTAAGTAACATCAACTGAGCGAGAACGAATCAAGGCCTACCGTCGCCGTTAGCTGCGTCATTGGGCTTCTTCCACAAGAGATTGGTAAAATACGAATTTTGGCGCTGTGGTTGTTTCGGGGGCATGATGGGTCGTGATAGAATATGTCAAAGTGTCTCAGCGCAGAAGAATGGAAGGTCTCTTCAAAAGACAGTGAGTGGTACAAGTAGATACAGGACAAGGGGCTCGTGTGCTGCCTGAGCAGCTCGACGGGCAAGAAAAGAGGCTCCGGAGTGAATTGTGAAGGAATGCAGTGTGCCCCTCGCCCGCTCCAGGAGGGTACCAGGCAGCCACCCTCATTACCGTCGGCACCCATCCGAAATGAAGGGAATGTAACAAATCGTCCCGTCGGCCTCATGGTATACATGAGTGCGAGCCTTGTCAATCGTGGAGATACTCTGGCCCGCATGCGTAGGCTGTGCGCAGGCCGGAGGCCACCGCAGCACATGTTAGATAGCGCCATCTGAGTACCGGCTCTGGCGGCTGAAGAGTCCTATAGGGACCTGCTGCGCTGCATGCACATTGATATCGAGCAATGACGCTCGCCGGTAGGGGCCCGACATGCTGTGATATATCTGCTAAATCTATGTAGTGGATCATTGAAACTGTATTAGTAACTCAGAGTCTGAACGTGGAAGCCGTCCGCGCTGATGCCTCGTTCCACTCACTGCCACCGACTGCATGTCCGCTGTCCCAATGCCTCGCGATGTCCAGACCAGTCTGAGCTGCTTCTGCACGTTCGGTGATCACCAAGCGCCTTGATAATCGCGGCCTGCAATGTTGTATCAGTACGTGCACAACTCCCAGACGGTGAAATAGAGCCTCGATGCCAGTGAGGAGGATCCGGTTGGCAAGATCATGCACGAAGACGTACCAGAATCTACCCGCAGCCGCACCTCCCGAATCGACGAAGAATAGTGTACAGCTGACAATGATCTCCTGCACGAGGGCATTGCTAGTAGCAAAAGCGACCTCTGGGCCCAGTATTCATGTGCGTAGGTCGTGAGTTAGTATGTATCAAGAGTGGAAGCGCCAAGGAAGCGCAGCTCGACGAATGACAAGAGAATCTTAGATTTGATCTAAGTAAGTAAGATCGTTTGCTCTAGCTTGAGATCAACTTTGAGATCCAATGTTGGGGATAGGCAACCCCCCTTCGCTGGACGGCCAGCGTCTATTTGTGCCGGGATCACGGCCGTGTAATCTGGTGACATCTAAACGAGCGATAGTGCAATATCTCATCTTATCGTTGTCGTGCCGATCACACAGAACGCGATATCGTAGATAGGCATGGTACATAGTGCTAGGAGGTATCGGTGTGCAGCGGGAAAGAGCGTAAACTGTAGTAAATGAGTGCTGGATGTATGATACATGTATATTGTGAATTACAGAGGTCAGTCTGTACATGCAAAGTGGGTCTCAGAGATTCGGGAGGTGTAGCGCAAACGTCGGTCCGCCCGAGCCAAGCTCGTCGGGGTAGAGCTCGACTGCATCGACGTCGGCGAGCTGCTCGTCTGCAGCAAGCGTAACGCGGCTGTCTCGTCCTCCGGCGGTGTCCACGTCAGGACTTACCGAGTGCGAACCTTGTGTGCCCGCGCGGCGCGAGTCGTTAGGCACGTTCCCTTGCAGTGACTGGCTAGATAGGGTGCGTGGGCGCCGGGAGCGTGAGCGTGAGTGCAGCGACGGTGCTGGCGGCGCGGAAGGGGGCATTGGAGAGCGGGGGCCAGGGCAGCTGCGACGTCATTGCCGCACGAGAATCTGACTCAGTGATGGTGGTAATGTGGCTCGGGTCGATGTAGTATGGGTGCGGTAGCCACGCTGCGATGAGCGGGGGACGTGGTGAGGGTGTCGGAAGAGTAGTAGAGCTTGAGACCGCCACTGCCGTGGCGGTAAGGGTCTACTAGTAGGGGTATCAGCACGTTTTGTTCGAGCTTGCCGTCCGAGTCAACCTTCTCGTTGTCTCCGGCGTACTCGACATCTTCCTCGTTCTCCTCGTCGACACTGACGTCCATATTGACGTCCCGCGACGCGCGCTGCTTCCGCTTCAGGCCGGGCACAAATCCCGCAGTGACACGATCACCGCTCGGAGCCATCAGGCATCCGAGTCCGCAGCGACCTCGAACGTACGCACCTTGTCGATGAGCTTGAGCTCCTGGAAATGGCATGCAACAGTCTTGACGAACACGTCCACTGGCTTGCACTCCTTATCCTCTATCCTGGGCCTGCCCTTCACCTTCGTCTTGCCTGGCCTCACTGCTCACCGGCTTCCTCAGTAGTCTTCTCCTGCTCAGCCTCACTGATCAGTGCACTCAGTATCGCAGCTGTCGGTTTCATCTTGGTCCGGCGGGCCTTCCGATGTGGGAATAGTTGAGTTTGCGGAGGGACTCGCGGGCGGACACGCGCGACATTGCGCCAGACAAGTTGCAGCCACGACGGCACTGGACTTGTACTCGGAGTGCAGTGTGTCTGGAAAGCCGGTCCTAGGAACAGGGCTCTTGTGGAGGATGGCCGGCAGTGAGTACTGTACCGACGCCGTAGCGCACCGACTCGAAAGTCCCTGTCAATGCAGCGGCAACACAGTTCAAGTTGCACCGTGACGTTCACAACTTCAGTGATAACATGACTCACCATGTTGTTGCCAGCTATAGCCTGGATTCCTCGTCTCCCCGTCGGCAGGAAATTGCCCGCCTTATACTTCAAACGCAGACGTCTAGTAGCAGACTGCATCCAGCATCCCAGGGACATGGCACGTACAGCCGCGGCGCTTGTGCGATGTATCGCTTATGTAAGCTGTACCGTGACGTTCAGACGCAAGAAACTCACCAGCTCGCACCTGACGGTTATGAGAGAAGCTGAAAAACAAGTCATGTATTCATTCTCAAGGTGTCCCGACTACATTGGATAGCCATTGTTGAACATACTGACAGGGGACATGCACACCGCAGCCACATCCCGCACGGGCGCTTGATCTGCACGCCGCGAAAACCAGCACCTTCTGTGTGGTCTCGTAACGACAACCTCTCGCCCATCCAACGTTCGGGATGACCGTTTTCAGACCCGACGAGTCGAGCCTTCGTTGCCGAATCTTCACAGCTCTTCATTTAATGCACGATCTCAGCATGCATACAGCGAGATCAGTTACTTCTCGACACACAACAAAAAATCGGCAACCAACGTTTTGCTTAGAATCCTTATCGTAAACGCACTGTGTACAAGATCTACGAATAAAGCCGCTGTTGCAGACCACAGTTTTCGATACCGTTGGCTGCTCACTGTGGCGCCTGATACGAAGACGATCGCTGGACTATCTGCAAGAGATTATATGGCATCTCGGCACGATGGCCAGCTACCATCAATCGTGTCCGCTTCCGTCCTCGAGCGCTTGGCCGCGCGCTAAAGCCATTTGGCGGGGGCGTTGCCTATCCCCACCAATGTACATCTGTCATCGAGCACTCGGAGCGGGACGGTCCACTGGTGGTGCACAGCATGTCTCGACGATGTTTTGCTTCACCCATTGACTCATATAGGGACCCCTATGCATTGCACGGCACCGTCAACGATGCGGACGCGATGGAGAATATTCACGAGGCACCCGATGTGCAGTGCGAAGAAGCATGAGACACACGATGACATTGCGAACGAGGGCCGATTTCGGATACGACATTACAAACACTGGAGACGCTGATGTACAGGCGATCACTATGGCACACAATTAGGGATCAAGAGAGACGCGGGGTGTATGACCAAGGGACGAGTAAGAGCATTCAGTGCCCAGCACCGACGTCAGCGAGGGCGCGCCACAGCTTGCTGAGGCCATCGAGCACAAAAGAGATCAGGGCCATCAGCGCCGCCAGGACCGCCGGTACGAGCTTGAACAGCACCAGGAATGACACGAACGCCGACAACGCAACGATCAGGAGGGCCATCATTACGACCGCCACCTTGCTACACCATGGGAGATCGTTCCAGCAAGTTTCAGGCTCACGGGAAGATTGCACATTCGTGGTACGCCTGACTGCCGGCGTGTGTGCCGGACGCTATGTGGTTTCCCGCGGCATCAGTTGGAGTGAACTACTGTGGCACGAACATGCGCGCCTTACCGATTGATGTAGAAGAGAAAACAACTGAGCGTCGGGAATCCCCGCACAATCGTACGACGCCATTGACGGACCTGACGGCACCGTGATACCGGCTGTGAGGGATTCGGCGAGCCTGGTTTGTTCTTCTCCCATCTCCTTGAGGGTCTCTAGCTGTTGTGCGGAACACCAGACCATCGTCAGTCCACGCTCTCTACGCAATAGTATACACAGTGGGCTCACCCCGAGAATCATCGCGAAGTAGCGTTCTTTCGCCGAGTTCAGCTCGTCAACACAACGTTTCAGCTCTTCGCGACTGGCGGCGAGCTCCTGGTCCACTGCCTTCTTGGCCTCTTGCGCGGCTACGTTAGCTGCCTGAGCGTCGTTACTAATTTCCTGAGCGACTTCCAACTGGTGCTTGAGCTCATCTCGCTCGTGTTCGAGCTGAGAAATGATCCGCGTAGCCGTTTCGTCCAAGAGTTGTCGCGCATGACGTTGTATCTCAGCGACTGGACGTTCAAAGAGGAGCGCCAGTCGCTCCTGAGTTCCTGTACTACTCTAAGATCATCGTCATTGAGGGGTTACCTAGTTGGCGAAGCGCACATACCTCCCGTCTTAGGCCTTCCACTTCTTCCTGGAGCCTCTTCGCGCGTTCCCGTGCTTCGTTGCGCTCCGCAGTTAAAGTCGCTACCTGACCCTCGAGCTCAGTGAGCGAGTCGCCCGCATTACGAGCTGGCGCGCGGCGAGCATCGTCCAACTGAATCCATATGAGTCTTTGATCAACAACTGGTGGAGACGTTATGTGTATATACCGGACGGCGCTCCACGTATTCGAAACCGAAGGGTTCTGCGAGACGATTCATGATCAATGCCACTCGTAAGTATGAAAGTCGAACTTGGATTCACCTTCGACCATGTTTGACAGCGTTCACGCTTTGCTGTTTCACGAGTGGCTAGGTGAAGTGTCCGTGTTTGCTTACGCCTGCGTCGGGGCAGAGGTAGATGGACGCGAGCGGGTTATGATCCTGTTATTGGGCACACGTCCTCGATGTCCGCCATATTTATACGCTAGCACGCCTGGCCCACCGCCGCTGCTACCCCAGAGCCGCTCAAGCAACAAACCGCACATGAACGTGTGCGAGACGCATTGTTCAGAGGAGAGCACATGGCTGGGGAAATGAGACAAAGGAAGGAAAGAAAGAGGGACAGTGGCACGTCGGGGACTGCCAGTACTGGAGCGTGCGGATCAGGCCTGTTCAGGTCGCACCCAGGCTGGCACACTCCGAAGCGGAACGTTGAACCGGCGCTTGAGCGATCCTCCTTCCTGTGACATGCCGTCATCGTCACACCCAGCCCTGACTCGGAGAAGCTGGCAATCCCGCCTTGCCCTTGCTCATGCACATATTCATCGCTGGTCACTGGTGCCATACAGTATTCATGAATCACGAGCATCTACAGTACTTAGAGCCACACCACTTTGTGAGGGGCTATTGAACGTATCAGTGGCAGCGTTTCCTCCACTAGCATCGTGAACTTCCGCCGATCCATACGGTCAAGTCACGGCTCGACTGTTCAGCGTTCAAGCTCAAGTCGGGGATGCGGTGAGCCATATATTGGTATAACTACGACAAATATACATGATAAGTAAAAGCTCTACTCATCTACTCTCTAGATGCAACCTGGAGTACTCCATGATCATATTCATGGCGCGGCGGGTAAGGAAGAGACGACATGAGCTGCAAGAGCGACAAGAGCAGTACGGCCCCAAGGCACGCCATCAAGGAAACTTCAAGTTGGCCTTGACTCATAAGCCCGCGAAGAGGTCTTGTCTCGCTTGCGCCTGAGGCAAGGTGCAAGATATTCTTCGAAGGCCGTATCAATGACTGAGAAGTTCTTCGTGAACATGAAGGCAACGTTGCTCACCGGTTTGTCACGCGAGGAGAGATACTGTCTGGCTCCATCCGATGCTGCCTTCCACAGCGTCTGCGCCCCCTCGCTCATCCTCGCCCGAGGGTTCTGACTTGGTATCGAGGCTCTTGCTAGGGCCTCTGGTTGCACGTCCAATGCACCCGGCATGAGCTCTGTGCACCCTCGTTCCGAGCTAGTCTCGCTCTCTGCGTCTTCCGAGCTCGCTCGGCTGCCATGACCAGGCACTGAAGGAGGGTAACGCGCTCCGCGAGTATCATCCCGAAGGTACTGGTGCGTCAATCCTCCGTATTCGCCGCGAGTTCCCACTTCTGCCTCAGGATCTCGTCGCGAGCGTGCGCCATGCTGATCAAAGTCCCCGCCGCCCGTGGCCTTTAGTTCAGCTGCTTGTCGGGCACGCCGTTCCGCCTCCAGCGCACTCTCCAGCTCATAGATTCTATTCTGTTGAATTCTGTCCAGTTTGTCCTCTGCCTCCGCCGCCTTTCGAAGCACCTCTAGCTGCAACCGGCGGGAGTATTAGACCCTCATCGACCGCCATCCGACAACAGGACACGCCAGACTCACCCCCAGCTCCACTGCGATGCGACGGTCCTCCAACATGTTCAGCTCGTCGACACGGTGTCTAAGCGCGAGCTGGGTAGTGAAGAGCTCTTCTCGAAACGAGTCCTTTGCGTCTCGTGCCGCCTGCGATGCCGCCTTCGCTTCGGCGCACTCCCCTTGAGCGGCCTGTAAGCCGCGTTTGAGGGCGTCTCGCTCGTCTTCGAGCTGCGCGATGCTACGCTTAGCGGCGTCTTCCGTGAGATGTCGTGCGCGCCGTTCAGCTTCGATGGCAGCCTCCATCTCAATCAGTCGGTGCTGAGGAGACGCCGTTAATCTGTCCTGAGCTACCGAGCTCCGGCGTGCTTCTGCCAGCTTCTCGGGACTGTCAGTTCCTGCCCATGGCATCAATAAGTGCCTCACCTCCTGTCGCATGGTATCGAGCATTTCCTGCAGCTTCTGGACGCTCTCATGCGCTTCATCACGCTCTACAAAGGCCTTTCCTGCCTCTTGCTTGAGGGCATCGCGCTCATACTCGAGATCGTTGAGCGTGTCGCCTTGGCTCCGGAGCGATGCCCGCGCCTCCTCGAGCTATGTTCACGTGTGTGAGTTGTTGAGCGTTCCGAAAGTACGATGCAAGTGGCTCACTTGACTTTGAACGTAGCTGGGGTTGAGCGGGTCTAAGTACTAACGTCAGGCATGCTCATCGGTCCCTCGACGTCAGTGATTCTCACCTGCTCCCATACTTGACAGCGTACTACCGCTCGCTCGCTTCTTGAGCGACTCCGTGAACTTGCTTCTCTTCGACAAATTGATCGACATGATTTGCGCTGTCGATGGAGTGTTTCCTGTGGCTCTTTATACTCAGGATCACTGAGCACGAGGCTCATCGCGCAGAGACTCCTTGTGAGCCAAATAGTCGTGGCCCTTGACCTCCGATCCTGACGCACATGTCAAACAGCTGTGCATTGTGCGCGACTGGAGCGTTGCACGCACGCGCTCCTCGTGTGGCATGTCCGTTTACGATTCAAAATGAGAATGAATGTGCTCATCTCAAGAAAACCTTTATCCACGTTGATCCCAGACCTGCACGCCAGTGACGTCGCCGCCTCAAGTTCCACGTAGCGACGCAGCATGGCACACCGATGCAATGAATCTAGACCGTGATAGTAGTGCACTGAGGCGCCTCCAGATGGATGATATGCTCTTGGGATGAAGGACATGCGGCAGCAGGGGGGACCACGGTAAGATACTGGCAGAGCCATTGACGGCTATTGACGGGCACATGGCGAAAGCGAACCTCTCCGAGGCCGGTATTCTCGGAGTTGCCCAATACGGCGTGTACCGCACGTGACCGTGGTCAATCCGTTCGAACTGTGGCTTGAACTCAGAACCGATCGCGAACTTTGACCCGAACCGCACCGACGCGAGCCACACAGCACTGTTTGCGTAGTAGCTGAAGTCGTTGCAACGCACGCAGCCAACCGGAAAATCGACAAGACGTCGCTGGAGCTGCAGGCGTTGTACTGCTGTACGTGTCGGCACAAGACCTACGCGCTGTGGAAGACTTGTGGTGGCTCCCACTCTGTAGGTCCTGTGCGATGGGACACCGATGATGTTATGTGTGCTGATCTTAATGCGTCTCATAGTACTCGTATTCTTAACAAAGCCAGAACGAAGCAATTGGGCAGACATTGACAACGCCACTGTGACCCGTATCGAATCTTCCGTCATAAGCCACTTCGGACGTCCGCATTGCACAGAAAGAGTACGCACGACGACATGGACAAGATTGCACAAGTGACGCTTGATGTCTTCGTACGAGAGTTTGTTCCTGGTTCTGACCTGCCTGCAAATCTCGCTGTCGAACCACTCGATCTACCAAATGATCAATGTAACAAATTCGTGGGCATAGCTTGTTTGTCGTGACTTTCGTTCCGGAAACCCTGACTCCTTATGTACCGCAGTGTGAGGTAGCGAACTCTATCTTCAGTCAGATTCCCGTACAAGTCGCCTGCGAAAGGCTCGTCGCGAGGACTTTTTGGTCCAGCAGTATGTCGAAGTTCGGCGGGACGAACGATACGCATCAGAATATTGTCGTATATAATGTGGGCAATGGCGTACAACGGGACTCTGCAATCGAGCCGGCGCTGAATGAGGATGTCCCCAAGAAGAGGAAACGGCGCGGGGCCAAGGACACCTCGGCTGAGTCGCTCAGGGTTACTCTGTTGATGATGATGAACTCAGCATTTATTAACCGCTGCAAGCAAACATGTGCTAAGACGCGGCGGACGCCGGCCTGTACAGTAGTGGGCGTTTAAACGCGCCACCCAGGTCGTCGTCCCGTTCGGGGCTGTACTGGTAGGAGTAAAGTCTGGAGAGGTAGGTAGTAATGGGTCGGTATCGTTCTGTAGTCTATGGTAGCTTCTATGTATGCGGTTCTGTTCGTCTGTCCGGGTCGCATAGGTCTTTAATAGATAGGCATAAATGAATAAAAAAGGAAAATCTTCATAGTACTCCGCGTTCCGCGGTCGGCGCGTCGTCTTCTCCTAGGGGCGCAAGCCGGGTTTGTTCCCCTAGTGCACGAGTGGGTGTCGGAGGTGTGGGGGGTGTCGGGTTTGGGGACGGTACTTCGCCGTGCAGCTGGTACCGTCTATTCTTCGTCCTCGTCGGCCGGTCCGTCCGGGTCTTCTTCTGGCTCTGTGTCGTCTCCTCCGCGTTCGTCTCCTGCGGCGGCCTCTTCATCGTCATCCTGTTCTGCTGCTCCTTCCTCCGGAGCCTCGGGTGGTTCTCCTGTCTTCGTGAACGCGCCGCTCTTCTCGATGAAGCGCGCGAGTGCGTCAATGCCGTCGTCTGTGCCGAGGATCGTAGGTAAGTCGATCGTTTCGCTGGCTTCTCGGAGGGTGTTTCGGTGCGCCTCGTACCGCGGGCAGTCCTGGAGGATGTGTTTCCTCGACTGGTACTGCGCGCCGCACGGGCATTCGACTGTTTCGGACGGGACGTGGTGTCTGTAGTATTCGCCCATGAACCCGTGTCCTGACCGGCACTGTAGTACCCGTCCGAACACTTCGCGCGGTAGCTTGAGGAACCGCTTTCGCGGTTTGGGTTTTGGTGGTAGGCGGTTGGCGGTCGCGAAGCGACCGGTCGGTCTCGTTTTCTTCCACTCGTCGGTCCACGCTTTCATCGCTCTTTCCCTTGCTCTGCGCAGGGCGTTTGCGCGCGTGGATCGGTTGTTGTCGGGTTGCATCGCGGTCGCGTCTTTGGCGAGTTGGTCGGCGAGTTCATTGCCGGTGATCCCTTCGTGGCCTGGTGTCCACGCAATGGTGATCTTGGTTTCTGGGTTGGATTCGAGGAGGCGGATGATGATCTCGCGGAAGATGCGTGAGTGGCCTTGTGACGGTCCCGGTCTCGCTTCGAAGATAGCAGATATGGCGGATGTGTTGTCGGCGAAGAAGTAGATGTCGCGTGTGGGGGGGGTGTCCGGTTGTTGCAGGTAGGCCTCTAAGTCTCTCGCTGCCCACGAGAGACCTGCCATCTCCGCGTCGTAGACCTCGGCGCGTTGGCTCATCGGGATTCTCCTTCCAAAGAGAATGCTGTTGTGGCCGAGCGCGACGTGGCTTGCGCCTACGCGCCTCTGGTTGTTCTCTGTGAGCAGAGAACCGTCAGAGTATAGCGTGATGGTGTCTTTGCGTCTGCTGAGGTTACTTAGCTTTGCTTTGTGTTCCTTTGCGGCGGCTTCCTTGGTGACTCCCTTCACCGCTGGGGTGATGGTGAGTCGACCGTTGAAGTCCGCCGCTGTCTTCTTCCACGGGGGGACCGCGAGCGGTGTTATGCGCTCGTCTAGGGGGTCTGACCTCAGTGCCATGTTGCATAGCCGGGTTGTCGCTGGGGGTTTCCTCCGGTTTGCGTTGGTCTTCCTATGTGTCGGTCGTGGTGGTCGGGGGGTGTTGGACTGGGTGAATTGGCGCCATGCGTCCGGGAGGCGTTGCAGGATCGGGCTGTGCACGCTGAGCTTGTTCAGCCGGATCGCTGCCCGATCCTTGGTGAGCTCGAGGTGGTGTCGGATGGGCGAAATCGCCGCTTCGATCTCCATGGCGATCGTCTGCGTCGTTCTGAATGCTGCGCATATCAGTCTCAGTGCGCGTCGTTGTACCTTTTCGAGAGCGTTCTCGTGGCTTTTCTTGCCTCGCCACCATGCGGGGCACGCGTACGTCATGATCGGACGTACGCATGCTGTGTAAAGTGTTCGTAAGTGCTCCTGTGAGAGTCCCCTTACGGTGTTGGCTAGCATGCCCAGCCCGTTTACCACTTTCTCCGCACGTCCGGCCATCTGCTTGACGTGATGGTCGAAGTTGAGTCTTCTGTCGAGGTGTACGCCCAGCCACTTTGTTGTGGCAGTTGCGGCGATGGTAGTGTCGGCTCCATTGGTGCCTGGGAGGGTGATGGTCGGGGAGTCGTTGGCCGTCCGACGTCTGAGCGAGTAATGCATCAGTTCCCTTTTGACCAGGTCAGGCGAGAGGCCGACGCTGGCCATCCAGGTGTCGACTCGGCCGTAGGCGATCTTGAGGATCCGGGTGTTGGTGTCGAGGGAGTCCGAAGAGACGTAGAGCTTGCCGTCGTCTACGAACATGATCAGCTGGGTGGGGCCGGGGCTGTCGACCAGCTTCAGCTTGGCATTGATGGCGTCTACGTGGTCCCGCGCTGCCTTCTCGAAGATTTCGAGAAGCTCAGCGGCGTACAGGATGGAGAGGATGGGCGATACCGGTGAGCCTTGGGGGATCCCATTCTCCACCGGTCTCATCTCCCCTCGTATCCCGTCTAGGCATATTGCTGCCTCTCGCTCCGAGAGGAAGGCTGCCGTCCATCGGACGAGTTGGAGCGGGAGGCGTTTTTCGCGCATGACGTTGAGGAGTCGGCGGTGGTTCACAAAGTCGAAGAAGCCTTTGATATCGAAGGTGAGCGCTGATGTGACTTTCCCGTGGTTGTGGGCTGCTTCGACGTCGTGGACAAAAGTGAGGATGGCGTCGTCTGTGGAGCTGGCAGGGCGTCCTCCGAACTGGTTTGCCGGGACGAGGTTGTGCGTCGATACCAGGTAGGCGAGGCGGTTGGCGACGATCCGTTCCAGGGTCTTCCCGAGGCACTCCAGCAGTTGGATGAGCCGGTAGGCCCTGGGGTTGCTGTAGTCTGGCTTGCCCGGCTTGGGGATGGCGACCGCAATCGCCTTCCTCCATGCCTTGGGGTGGTAGCCTGCGCGTAGACAGTGGTTCATCAGCGTGGTTATGGTGGTGTCTGCCTCCGCCCACGCCCATCGTATGACACGAAACTGGCATTGGGAGAGCCCCGGGGCCTTGTCTGCCCCCTGCTCGAATATGGAGCGCCTCACCTCGTCCTTCGTGACGTCTTCGTCAGCGAAGTCCTCTGGGTGAGGGTCCTTGAGGTCGTTCTCCGGGACTCCTTGCAGTGGTGGTGGTGGCTGGAATAGCTCGTCCCGCAGCGCGTTGCACTTGTCTTCGTGCATGACGGCTGGTGGTCGGTCGGCGCCTCGCGAGATGGCTGGCGATTGGTACGATCGTACCCCTTTGCCCCATTTCGTGAAGCCCCAGATGTCGGCTGTGGTCGCGGTCTCGAGGGTCTCCGTGATCCACTTCTGGCGTGCCTTCTTGTAAAGCCGCTTGAAGTAGTTCCGGGACTTCTTGATCTGGGCGTTTGTCGTACTCGCCTGCGTGCCCCACCTTTTCAGGTGGTTCAGGCTCTGCGTGCGTAGGTCCGCGATCTTCTTCGCTGCGTCGTGGAGGTCCGCGTTCCACCACGGTCGTGCGCGGTCACTTGGCTTCTTGACCTTTGCCGCTGTTGTGTTGGCGGTTTGCATCGCCGCCGTCAGCGCGTCAGCGGCTCGGTCTAGCTGGTCGTCGGAGAGTGTCGCGTTAGGCTCGGATAGGGGGGCGAGGTCTAGGTCGTGTTCCCCCAGTGCTGCTCGGAAGGCTTCGCGCCACTCTGCTGGGTCCGTGTCTTTGAAGTTGTAGCGTTCCCCGGTGAGGTTGTCAATCTCGACGGCGCCGTTGTCGATCTCCCATCGCAGGGCGAAGTGGTCGGATCCGAACGCGTATTCTCTGTCGATCCACCAGTGTTTAGCTGTGTCGAGCTCGGTGGCTTTGGGGTTGGTGAAGGTGAGGTCGATCGTGGACCATGTTTCGTGTGCGTGCGAGAAGAACGTGGGCGCGCCCTTCTCGTTCTTCATCGTGTACCTGTGCTGTGTCAGCCAGTCCACGGTCTGGTCTGTCGAGTCCTTCGCTGGGTCCGACGTGCGCGACCAGAGGGGGTGGTGCAGGTTCCAGTCGCCCGACAAGATGGTCGGGGCGTCTCTGGGGAGTGCGAGGCTCTGGAGTCGCTTCGCAGCTGACCTGGTGCCCTGCTTGCGGTCGTCGTTGTAGAGGTTGACGATGATCGTGGGGGGGTAGGGCGCCTGTGCTACCTCTAGGACTTGGATGTCGAGGTCGCTTGCGATGTCGGAACGGAGGGTGACTGTGAAGTCTCCCCGTCGGCGCGTGTACGCCATTACTCTCGGTCGCTTATCCTGGGGGACTGCTGAGACGGGTAGTATCGGCGTCCAACCTGCTCCCGCCTCAGAGACCGGCCCTTGGGTGTCGTTGCCAATATTTCCCCACCACGGTTCCGTGATGAGGACGATGTCGGCGGTGTCGTCTGAGGTCGCGGTGTTGAGCAGGGCGTGTAGCACTGTGTTCTGTCGGTTGGCGTTGAGCTGTAGGATCCGGACCGGCCGTGTGGTCGTGTCCTTCATAGTCCAACCTCGTGGTCGCTTTCATTGTCGGGGATCCGGCCGGGGCAGAGTTCGCGTTCGATGAACGCTACCGTTGCTGCGAAGTCGTCAACCATCGTCGCGTAGGATGAGCATATGTTAGCCTCATCTAGGTCTGGGAAGCGCTTTTGGAGCGCTTCCAGGTCTCCCTTCTTTTGTTCTTCGTCCAGAGCCTCCAGCGCAGCGAACTTGTTCTCGCTCTCTGCTGCTTTTCGCTGCGCTTGGCTGGGCTGGGCCCGTTTTGCTGCGTTCTTTGTTGGTCGGGCCTCCTTCCACTCTGATGTCGCCTTAGCGCCTCCCTTTGGGCGCGGTGTTGCTTTTGTGATGCCGCGGGCCTGGTCTCGGGATGCGCAGTGTCGCCAGTTCGCCGTGTGGGCGCCAGAGCAGTTGGCGCATTCGTACTGCTCATGGTTGCAGTCTTCCATGCTGGTGTCGTCGTCGTCCGGTCGTTCTTCGTGGCACTCCTTGCAGGTGTGGTCTCCTTCGGTGTGCGTGGTGTCCCCGCAGATGCGGCACTTCTCCTTCCCGTTGCATCGTGACTTGGTGTGGCCGAATAGCCAGCACCGGCTACACTGCATGACGGGTGGTTTATCAGCGTACCGTCTCACCTCTGCGAACTGCCCTGCAATCGCGAGGTTCTTGACTCTGTTCACCAGGTGGTCGGCATCCTCTTGGGACTTGAGGGCGATCACCACTGACGAGTACGTCAGGTTGATGAGGTCGCCCCTGTGTCGCATCCACCGAGGTAAGTCGGCGGTCTCCATCTTCTCGTAGTCCGGGTTCAGGCTGCGTAGGTCGCGGTCGATCTCTTGTGGTGTTGCAATGTCGCGGGTGTTGTCGTTGAACGTCCGTACCCCGTTGAGCTGGATCTTGAACCACTTCTCGTCGGGTCGGATGCGCGTCTCGCGCGTGCCAGCGAAGAAATCTACAAACCTCGGAGCATGCAGTGCAAGCTCTCCCGCTGACTGATCAGCGCGCGTGAAGACAATGCAGTTATTGTGGGCGTTGAACTTAACGTTCACGACCCGTAAGTGTCTGCTCTCGTCGCTGGCCTGCAGTATCTCGTTGATGTACTTTACAATCTCCACCTCGCTTGGCCGATCCTTTGCTGACGGTCCGTCCTTGATCTCGATGATGAGTCGAGACGGGTGGTGTGCCGCCAGCGGGTTGAGGACTGGCTTGGGCGTGCGGGGTGTCGGGACGATCGGTTTCGCGGTTGCGACCACCGTCCGTACGGTTGCTCTGTTGGTAGTGGTGGTGTCGGCGGCGGTGGTCTTCTTTTTGTTCCTGCTGGTACGCGCCGTAGCTGTTGTCCGGATTGTTGCCGAGTCGTCCGACGTGGTCCAGTCCTGTGTTGTCGTGGTCGGTGCGTCCTTCGCCTCGATGTGGTCGAGTCTGGTCGCGAGTCTGTCGATCGCCTTGGCGATGTTCTCGAGGATGGTGGTGTCGGCACTGGCAGGGGGCGGCGAGGTCGTCGGTTTGGGGGCTGTCACTGGCTGTGGCTCTTCCCATGACGTCAGTCTGCTCGCGATGGTCTGCGCGTCTTTCGTAACGGATGCGGGGTACTCAGCGTGCATGGAGATGATCTCCTTGAGGATCCCCGTTGCCCTGCTCAGTGCCTCCTCCAATAGGATCATCTTCCTTTGGATGTGGTCCGGGCTGAAGAGGTCCGAGGCGGCGTTGCCTAGCATCAGGCTGTCGTTGGTCTGGTGGCCGGTTCGTGTCGGTGTTGGTGACTCTACTTGTATACTCTCATCGTCCTTATCCTCTTCCTGCTGCGTCCGTTCTATGCCGTCCATAGGCGCAGCCGGTTTGGGTGGTCTACTTAAGGAGTTCGTTAGTCTGTCGAGTACTTTACGTCCTCGACTCGGGGTCGCTGGTATAGGCGCCGGGGTCGTCTCCTTCCCCCGCGGTTTCCCATCGACCTGGTGGCCTTGGCCTTTTGGTTCAGCCTCCTGCTTTCGTAGTGGGTACGGCTGATGCCTATGGTCCCCTCCGACCCCCTCTTGGGTCTCTGAAGCTTTGGTCATACGCTATTTTTCTCTAGATTCCACCCGTGGGAATTTTCGAGACAGATGTGGTAGCGGTATGAGGAGCCAGGGTTACTCTGTGTATCGACGTGACGTCCGAGCCGGACGACTCTCCGTTTGTCGTTCCGGTCTCGATGCAGGACGGCGAAACGATGCCTGACGACGCGGCGGGGAAACCAAAGATACTGTCTGATTCGGTGGCTACAATGCAAGGCTGCCCTACTCCTGCAACGACTAATTCTGCCAGCGGCACGCCACTAACGTCACTGCGTCTGGAGACAGAAGGCGGCAAGCGAGGTCTAGAAAGACTGGTCAATAATGTATACCAAATCCTTCGGCAACAGTTCTTGGTTCACTTCTTTACTGTCTTCGCTTGCCGCGACCACGCATGGCTGCTCCGATGGGATCGCGCCGGCCTCGTTATCTCAGAACCGTTCAACTTCATCAAGGAGCCCCTAACCTTATACACTTTTCTCTATCGGTTCGCCTGCATGAATGATGCGCAGCGTGGTCGTGACCTCACAGTGGTACCGGCGAGCGAGGAAGAGGTCGAGCTCATGCGCAGTGTCGACAAGTTTGAAACCCAGTGGCACGAGAGCCAGTTTGCGGCCACGCTGGTACCAGGATGGCCGATATACAAAATCCTCGTACCTGAACACGACGTGATATCGAAAGCTGTGCTTAGGAAGGGCAGCAGCAAGGCGCAGGGCAATACCAAGGGGTCAAGGAATCGTGTGCGCAGGTTTCTAGTAGGTGCACCGTGTTTCATGAACAAGTCCGTCATGGGGCGGGCGACGAGATGTCATATCGCGTACGACGTTGCAGAAGACCGGCTCGTCTTTTTCAAGGAGTACTGGCGTACCGATACGCCAACATCGCATCCGGAGGGAGAGGTATACCTGCGCCTGCACAGCAAGAACGTGAGTTACATAGCGACACCGCTCGCAGCTGGCGACGTTCGCGTCAAGGGAGGCAGAGTGCATCAGACAGAAGACCGCCCCACTGACCGTCCAAGAGGTCTTCTTTAAGGTCTGCCTAGGGGAGACTAGCATCAGACGCGCTCCCAGGACTTCATCAAGGGATCGGATCCAAAGCTCGTACAATATCGCCTCCTCCTGAAGGAGATCGCTCGACCTCTCAAAGACTATGAGGATTCGCTCCAGCTTGTCGAGGTCATCTATCAGTGTTTGCGAGGTTCGTCAGTGTTCCTCTCCGTACGTCTTTGCTCTGATGACACGACATCGTAGCTCATGAGGAAGCATGGGAGCGGGCTGGTGTTCTGCATGCAGACATCAGCACCGAGAACCTGCTGATTCAATGGTACACGGAGAATGGAGAACTGAAGTACAAGGCGTTGTTGGCCGATTGGGGACTGTGCAAGTATATTGAAGAGATGGATCAACCGGTTGTAAAGGCGTCTCGCTGCGTGCGTCTCAATTTCTTCGGTGCACGGTGGTGGATGCGCGGCTAATATTTGCGCAGGGTACATGGCCATTCATTTCCGCTGTGCTGTTGGTTTATCCGACGCGCTTCGTCCAGGGAGTGTCACACGATTTGGAATCATTCATACACGTCCTCCACTGGATGTGCCTGAAGTTCCACAACACGGACTACTCCCGCATCCCTTTGCGACTGCGTCGGCATGTTGCCATTCTCTACAACGAGCGTGATGGGCAAGTGCAGGGACAGTTTACCGGCGGCTTCGAGAAGATGAAACACATGCAAGATGGCCGCGTACCTTTTGCGCTTGAAGGAGGCTCCGCGAAAGGGAAGTGTGTCGGCCTCCACATGCTATTGGGGAAACTCGCAGCGCTGTACAAGGAACATTATGCGTGGCTTAAACCGCAATTTCCGAGCTCAAACCCGCCCACGTCGCCCAAGCGAAGCGTACTCCGAGTCAGTGTCGTGCGTGGGCAACTACCACCGGCAAGGGACTCGGCCCCCGAGCCGCCAGACTCGGAGGAAGCCACGACAGTAGAGAAGCCCGCAAAGCCCGTCCTTCAGTCTCATAAGCAGATCATCGCAGTGTTTGGGAAGGTGCTGGCCATGGCGGAGGATGGGTGGATTTTGGACAAGAAAACTGAAGACAAATTCGCGCCGTACCGCAGTGACGAGAAGACTGCCTCGAAAGTCGAGGCGACGCTGTCGGGCGAAGCCGAGTCTTCTGAGGAGCACATGTCCGTGGAAGGTGTACCCAGCAAGCGCGTCAGAAAGAATGGTAACAGCACGGCTGCGTAGAGCACATCTGTCTCAAGCTCGGGAACGGATACTTAGTATCGAGGGCTGATTTCGATCGAACGGTCGAAGCTCTATTCCGGTGCCACTGGTTGACCTCTGCTTCGCTGTAGTGCACGAAAGGTCCTGGGATGGTTGTACGATGGTTGTCATGGTGGTATTATTTTTCTGTATTATACATTGGACGTCCAGAAAAGTTGAAGCATGTATCGAGCGTGTCACTAGTGCTGTTTCTGACTTCGAGAGCTCGAGGAAAGTCGCGTGAAGATCAGGTGACCGCGAAAGTTGAGCGCTTCAGCGGAGAAGAGTGCGTTGCGCCGAACGGTCACATCCTACAGACTATCCTCCTCTTTCTCCTCCTCCCCATCTCAGCTTCAACCCGGTGGATTGGGAAGCTATGGCCGCAGCTTTACATTCGCTAACCTCCGCCGAATCTCTTGCACACCGTGCCCGCATCGCTTCCTTCGTATCCTCATTGCGCCCTCTCGGCCTACGCACACCCGTCTGCAACCTCCTCGCGCACCGCATCCCCACACGATGGTCGCTCTACCGCGGGCTCCTGCGTGATGCGCCGAGCGACGACGTCCGGTATGTACGACACATCTGCTTCCGTTGTCGCGGCTCGGGGGTGACTCTGGCCTGATACCCGAAGGCAGGTCGAGGATACGGACGTTGTTCCAGAAGCACAAGGGGCTGCGGAAGGCGAGCATGGTGAAGAGGGTGTTGGCACGGTATCACAAGGTGAGTTTGGATGCGCTTGAGTCATGTGCCGTCCGCTCAATAAACTTATGCAGATGCGGGACATGTTCGCCGCTGCGAAAGCGGGGGAACCGCGCTCACAAGCCATCGTCGAGCGGTACGCCCGGATGGTTGCGTTCTGCAATGAGAAAGCGCGGAACGACCGCCTCGCACAAGAGATGCTCGTCAGTCATCCCTATGTCTTCATTCACCCCCTCTCATCCCCTCCTCCAGGCCTGGCGTGACAAGCTCGCAAAGCGACCCATCATGACAGGGATCTTCTTGCGCGCCACAATCTACCACGGCCCACTTCCTCGCTTGAAACCGCAGCCAAAGCACATCTCCGGATTGATTGGATGGCGCCGCAAACAGCGCGAGCGGCGCATAGACGAGAATCGGGCGAACGAAGAGCAGCTCATGGACATGCAGTGCGAAGTGGAGCAGGAGCGAGCGCTCGCTGAGAGGGCGCTGCAGGAGGGACAGCCGTTCAAAAGCGAGTTCGTTGAGAATGCCGACCTGTGGCGTGCGTATCTGTGTGTCCGTCTTCTACACGCGCGCGATACTGATGCATGTGACAGTGAATCCGATGCAGGAGCGTGCAGACGAATTCGAAGCAATGCTCGCGCGCGACGAGGAGCGTGCTCGGACGCCGTTCCCGCCTGCGCTTACCGCGCAGATCATGGCCGCGCGCCGGGAGAAGATCGCGAATAAGACGCGAGAGTTGCAGCGCGAACGCGCGGGCGTCGTACTCAAGCGCACCCTCCGGCGGCGAAGACAGGGTCCTCCCGCGCATATCCTTACGAAGCTGAGTGAAGAGGAGAAACATTTAGACCAGGTGTCGCGGAGCGTAAGCGAGGTGGGGTATGTCGGCATGGTGAAGAGGAGGCTTGGGTTCAAATTGAGGGACCCGGAGGCGTACAAGGTCGAGTTAGGAAACCCGAAGGAGATGGAAAGACTCGAGCGGGAAGCTGCAGAAATTGAGGCCGAGAACGAACGTAGACGGAGGGAAGATATTGCCATGCGATGATGAGGGCACTAGTCAGGACATTGGCTACTACTTATACTGTAAGTGTGCAGCCATGCTCGCGACATACATACGTGCATGGCAATAATGGTGCGCCATTAGCTGTCTTATGACTGTCAACATGGCTGACTTTGCTTCCAGTGGATCACCACTCAGTCAACTCTAGATGGACACTGCTAAGTACCATGGACTTGTAACAGAGTCCCTTCTGGATGTGATTGGGATTATATCATACAACTTTACAGCGTCCTTCTACCTTCCTTCATCCCCCGACCGATTGACCAAACGAAATCATGACGTTGAATTCGGGTGAACGGTGTTCTCGCTCGCCAAATCACCTAGCGCGACTTCCTTCTGTATCCTGCTCATAGGCTCGTCGCCGAGGACACCATCCTGCTTGGGGTCTGTCACCTCCTGCGCGCCCTCCTTCAGGCCGGGCGCCTTGCGCAACGTCGACGTCTCTCCAGGGATGTTCAGGTTCTATTGAACAAGTTGAGTATTTCGCGCGCAGTCGTGAGCGAAAAGTGAGTCCACTCACGTTGGGAGGGTCGCGGATGTACTCGTCGTTGATGTTGTGGTCCGTGACCGGGGGTCGGCCGACGGTCTGGTACTGCTTCTTGAATTTCTGGTCGTCGGTCGTGTGGCCCTCGGTGAAGTCGTTGCGCGTGGTGTCCATGATGATGATGATGTAGGAGGAGTAGAGAAGGGTCGTTATATGTGGGAGAATAACAGGCGATGCAGTAGGTTGAAAGCCAGGGTCGGCGGCGAGCTCGTCGGTTTATATGTGCTCGAGGACGCGCCTGGCGATCCTGGAGAAGGATGCGTCACGGTGATGTCATCCCCGCCTTGCGGGGTGGCGTCGACAGTCGTTCTTGCATACCTTCCGGATAAGGGCATCCGATCACCACGTGAGCCGGTGTTCGACGCCACCACTGCCAGCCTGAGTGGCAAGTGCAACCTGTGCAACCCGAGTGCAACCTCGGCACTTACTGCCAATAGAATGGACTTCCTGACAAAGGCAGTACCGACACGCACGGTCACCATGGTGCACACTTCCACCGCCAGCCCAAATCCGGCCGACTCAACGAGCCCACCCATCGTCGAGCTCCTGCGCTTCGCGTCCTCCTTGCTCAGCGTCCTCGCTGCTCTCACTCGGCGGTCCTTCAGCTATGTCGTTAGCAAACCTCTCTGGACAACCCTCGCCATAGCCTATCGCCCTCTCTCCTACTTGCTCGCCCCGCTCTTCGTCTTCGTGAACGTGCTACTGAACGCGTTCATCCTGACACCGTACGCCGTAGTCAGGGCCATCGCAGTCGACGTCTACCCAATTTACGTATTCGTTGGCGCAAGCCTGCTCTGCGCGGCTTGTGTCGGCTTGGGAGCACGTCTATGGGTTCAGGCAATCCGTTCCACGATCTACGGACCGCGGCCCACCAGCCACGAGGCCTATCCTCCAGCGAAGCCGAGAAAGCGCGTCTCTATCAAGGAGGAGGAAAGATAGTGCTGCGGGAAAAGATATTCCAGGCTGGTAATCGCGTTTTATGATACTGGTGAGTCGCTCGGGTTTCTTCTCTATGAGAACTGGCGCCGATGGCAATCCCCAGGCAACGCGGGACGTCCGGACTTGAAGCGTACGGCGTTGTCGGGGTTGATTCATGCTAGCGCATCTTATTGCCTGTGCCGCTGCTGGCACCGATAGCCGGAATGCCTCTCAGAGGCCTCAAGCTTCAACCATCGCTTCGGTCTTCCCCGCCGCCCTCTTTGCGCCCGTTCGACCGCCCGCCCCAAGACTTGCACCCTCGTTTACCCACGCCTCACCTTCTGCGAACCACCCGCCCCAGCGAATTCTTCGTCTCTTCTGCTCGTCGTGACCCGTCCAGGCTGCTGTGTCTTCTACACCAATTCTGCAATACTCCAGAGGTAGTCGAGGAGCTTGCCAGGCAGCGGGTAACGGGCGACCCCGTGCGGAACATCACATTCAGCTTGGTCGCTAGTTAACGCCCCCTACCTGGGCCTGGTGAAGCCTTGCTTAGGTTAGTCTACAGTATCAACGATTTCGAAGGCGTCGAGCATGGGCGCCTGGAGATTTGGTCGCGTGTATTTGTCCGCGAATATTCTCGCGATGGGGGTGCGATGCACCCTAGAAACCCGCTCGTCATTAAATGGTAAACCGTGACTTCCAGTCTCGGTATCTTCCACTCTGTATACTTACGGCCGGCTATGACTATCCAACCCTTTTGGGAGCATGCCTTACGGAGAGGACTTTTTATTACAGGACTGGTTGGGGGTAACGCAGTGGCGAGGTCATTCTATACTATGTGTAAGATACAGGCTGGTACTTAGTATCTTGGAGAGGCAGCATGCGTTCGGTCTGGTGCCCACGGGGATGTAAAACATGCCCGACACCGTATGTCTACAGTAACATCCTCCCCGCCCACCGCGGCATAGCGATGCACTCCCGTACGTTTTCAATGCCAGATATCCAGCTAATCAAACGCTCAAAGCCAAGCCCGAACCCTCCATGCGGCGCCCCTCCATACTTTCTCAGCTCCGAGTACCACCCGTACTGCGTCTTGTCCAGCCCATGACTTTCCAACGCCTTATCCAGCAAATTGCTCCGCTCTTCGCGCAGCGAGCCGCCAACGAGCTCGCCGAGGTGCGGGACGAGGAGGTCGAAGCACGCGACGGTCTTCCCGTCGTCGTTCAAGCGCATGTAGAACGGCTTGAGCGCCACTGGGTAGTCCGTCACGAACACCGGGCCCTTGACGAGCTCCTCCGCGAGCCACCGCTCGTGTTCGCTCTGCAGCGGCTTCCCCCACGCAGGCTCGAAGTGGAACTTCCGCGCGGACGCGTGGTACTTCGCAAGCTCCGCGACCGCGTCGCCGTAGCTCAGCCTCGTCCAGACCGGGGTCGAGCTTGCTGTTTGGAGATGCTCGAGGATTCGCGAGCGCCCAGTGGCTTGCGCGAAGACTTGCGCATGGGGTTGTGTCTTGGAGAGGACGTCTTTGATGGCGCCTTCTGTGACAGCACATATGTCGTTGACGGATTGGGTGAACGACCACTCGGCCTCGAGCATCCAGAACTCGGATAGATGGCGGTTCGTCAGGGAGCGCTCTGCGCGGAAGCTTGGTGAGATGGTGTACACCCTGGACAGGGCCGTCGCGAGGGCCTCGAGATGTAGCTGTGACGAGACAGTGAGATACGCTGGGTGACCGAAGAACTCTGAGGGCTTGTTCTCCGTTGGGTGCGTAGCAGGTTCTGAGGGTTCAGGAGGCGCGACACGGAACGTCTCTCCAGCACCCTCGCAGTCGCTGGAGGTTATGATAGGCGTGTGCACGTAGCAGAAGCCTAATGACTGCCCGTCAATGAGTGACATTTTCCCCCACACCTCGCGATGCGCTCACGTTGAAGAACTGCTGCAGCGCGTCCGACGCGGTCGCGCGGAGCCTGAGCATCTCTGCAATGGTGTTTGTACGCGCCCGGAAGTGGCAGTTGTCCCGGAGATAATCGACGGGCAAGGCCTGCTTTTGTATGGGATACGCCTGGTCGGGTGTCGTTCAGTCGGATATGAAAGACGCAGACGCTCTGACGCACCGCTGGGTCGCATTCGCCCACGACTTCCACCTCCTCAACACGCAGCTCCTTGTCCTGACCCTTCCCCGGACTATCCCCAAGGGTACCGCCCAGCCTCACGCTCGCACCATTCGTTAACCTTGACAGCAGCCACCAATCAACTACCGCGTTAGCTTACGACCTGCTCGCCCGCCCAGAACGCTGACACGTACACTTTTGCTAGCGAGCCATTTTGTATGACCGCCTGGATCCCTTTAGCTGAGCTGCCGTCCGAGATGACCGCGAATGTGACATTCTTTTGACGTCGCACCGACTTGACCCAGCCGTTCACCTGCACGCGTGCGCTGTTTGAAGTGTTGCTAAGAAGCTGGCGGATAGTTGGAGGAAGTAGAGAGGTGGAGGCGACGCGTCCGAGCATCCTCTCCGACGTCGGTGGATCCTGAAGCGCAACTTCGACATCGCGGTGAAGTACAGCGGCACGGTCACGGACTGTCCCGTGGCAAGCTTGCAAAGATTTCATGGTCACACAACCATTCATACATACGTAGCCCGCCTAGCTCAATCGGATAGAGCGTCAGACTCTTACACTAGGCGGTGATCTGAAGGCTGCGAGTTCGACCCTCGCGGTGGGCTAGTGTATTTTTTGCTCCGCTTCATGCCAGTCTCGGGATCTAACGACTCACTTCATGGACCCTGCGCACCTGTCGATCCATCCCACCCACGCAACCGGACATTCTTGATTCAAGTACAGAATATCGTACATTCTCGGTAGCGACCTATCACCTAGTACCTAGAGGCATCTTGCCTACAGAGATCTCGTAAATCCTCGTAAATGTAAACAAAAACATCCCCGGCCGCCCCCTTCCGGGGACAATGAGACAGCGGTCCACAAAAACGATCCAGTAGCCCACCGCGAGGGTCGAACTCGCAGCCTTCAGATTGGCCCGCCTGTGGTCGCTGTGCAGCCTCAAGGGTTAAGAGTCTGACGCTCTATCCGATTGAGCTAGGCGGGCTGTGCACGTGTTTCCGCCCTTCCAAATATAGTAATTGGCGCATCAAATTCTAGCTTCCGAGTCACGCCGGGACCGAGTGGCAGGGACCGGCGCTTGCCATCCACCGCGTTCAGGATACCTGACCTTCACACCCACTTTTAGCTGCTCGGCTCGAGCGAGCTCTCGCCAAACGGGCCGCGCAAGAGTCATCGAAGGCATTACAGGTGTTTAGATATGTTCGTCGACGTACACGGTAAAAATACAGCTTCCACACAACATCGTGAAGGTCGTCACGGCATGATCGTACAACTCGGCCCACCGGGGCTTGCTACCTCGTCGGTGAGCACCACGCTCACCACGAATCGGCAGAGCGCGAAGATTAGGATATACCCATCCACTAACTCAGCACCCACTGCGCTAATCCACGTCCTTCTCCCTAACCTCCTCGATACTCCTCGGGCGGGACCCCGACTCGACGTCTGCGCCCTTACCCTCGGGGCCGGCACGGACGATGGGGTTCCCGTGCTCGTCAAGGTCGGGCATCTCCTCGTCGCGCCCGGCGCCCTCCTCGAACGCCGCCTTGTACTTCTCGAAGTGCGAGCCGTGATTCTCTGGGCCGATAATCGTGCAGAGCACGACGAACGCGGCGACGACGCCGAGCAGGATCCCCTGCACGGTCGCGTAGTCCGCGACGGTCTGGTATGCGCCATTTTGGAAGATGGTCGTCTTGAGGTTCTTGCCGCCGGCTGGGGGATTGCGTTAGTGGTGGGTAAGCGGAAGGGGAAGGACGGGACTTACTGGTCTCGATTTGTGCGGAGGCGGAGGAGACCATGTTGCCCATCTGGTATGCAACACCAGGGAAGGTCGCACGGAACGCGGGTGGGGACATCTCCGCGAGCTGAATCGGGATCTGCACGGAGGCGCCATTGAGAGACTGAGGAATCAATGAACGAGAAGGCACGTACTACTCCCCAAGCTCCCTGCACACCGAACTGCACGCAGAAAGCACCTGCTGACAATGCGCCGAATGTAGACGGGAGAATCCAGAGCGGGATGAATGCGCCGATAAGCAAGACGAACAGGATGATGGTGAGTCGCCGGCCGATGTACTGAGACAGCCATCCGGCAATGGTACCACCGCTGTAATTAACACGTCAGCGATGCGCGATATAGGAACGTGGGATTCACGTACGCAATGGCACCACAATTTCCAATGATCGTTGCCACTGTCGAGTCGTGCTCGGAGAAGCCCTTCGTGGTCCGGAGGTACGTAGGGTACAAGTCCTGCGAACCGTGCGAGAGGAAATTGAACCCAGTCATGAGCACGACCGCGTAGCAACACAGAATCCAGTGGTTCTTCAACATCTGCTTCGTCTCGCGAACGAACACCTTCGTCTTGTTCTTTGTCGTGTGCCCCGTCGCGCGCTCGACCGCCTTTGCGCGCAAGAAGACCTCGCTCTCGGGGAGGACAGCGCGGACCGCCGCCGCGAGGACGCTGAGGCCCGCGCCGAGCCAGAAGAGCCCGCGCCAGCCGGTCGAGGTCTCCGGGACGAGCGTCAGGTTGATCACCGCGGCAAGAAGATACCCGACTGCATAGCCCTCCTGGAGGAACCCACTCGCAAGACCGCGTGCCTCCACAGGCAGGTTCTCCAGCGCGGTGGACGAGGCGAGGCCCCAGATTCCGCCCATGGCGACTCCGAAGAAGGAGCGCACGATGAGGAATTGCTCATAGCTGTTCACGAAGCCCGAGCCAAGCTCGAAGGCGGCGGCGAGGAGCAAATTCACGACGAGCGGCCACTTGCGGCCGAAGCGGTCCGAGGCGATACCGAAGATAACCTGGGTAGAGGGGGGGTGAGTCAGTGGATGCCAGTGGGGGCGGACGGACGTAGAACAGTCTGGACGGGCGGGGCGAGCGCATCGATAGCGTCGGCTAGGAACATTGCCGGCCCACGCCCGAAGGCGAGTGCGGCACCCACTAAAATGGAGTCGAACGAGGGTGAAATACTCACAGCACCTAACGAACGGAAGAGGAGCGTAAGCGTGATAGCGGTCGACTAGATATCTACCATTAGCTAATATCATACGATGTGAGATATGATGGGACGTACGATGGTATTAGCATCTTTGTTGAACTGCTTTTCGAGGGCCGTGACGCTGAGCGACACGCTGAAAAAGTCGTAGGAGTCGCAAATCCACGCCAACCATCTGCATCGAAGGCGCGTCAGCGACCGAGTGAATTGAGAAGCCATTTTGTTACGCACCCGCACCAGAATTGTGCCCACTGGATCCACGTGAGGCTGCGAATCGCCTGCCAGAGCGTGAGGTCGCCGGCTTTCTTTTCCCGATGGGGGATGAGGTTGACAAAGCACTGGCTGAGATATGTGGTTACCGCGGACGACATGGTGGACGTGAGGCGGGGGCGCGGGGTAGGCAGCGTGCTGAGGACTGTTTTAAATACGGCGGCCGTGATGGGGTATCTCTGCCGCCGCGATCATTGTTCCCCCGGACTCCCCACATCATACCCCACACCTCCCCTTAGCGCGTTCGCACATCGCGGTCCCGGTACCCGGATCTCTCTCCATCTCTCGGCCAATTCGCGTGTCCGACAGGCGCAGGAGGACACCGGCCGACGCGCTCCGCACAATGGGATGCGACACAGACACCATCGAGACACCATGCTGAATTTGCGTCCTCGGTATCGGGTCTTGCACGCCTGACGGCGGACGCCCGAGCGCGTCAAGACGCGGTCCTTGAGCGGTAGGGCGCTAGGCACGCGACGCGCCGATTCGAAGGCTGGGATGATCGGTTCGGGAGGGTGCGATCGAAGATTGCCCCGGAGCACGCGGTCACCTGTCCCTCCGGCCGCACGCGAACCCACCGACGGCGCGGGCCCTGCAACCGTCTCTCCTCTCGCCCAGCAGAACCAACCTCGCCGACGCAGCGTCGCAGGCCATTGCCTTCAAAATCTGCGACCCGACGCAATGCTTCCAGCCAACCTCGAGTGTGTGAAGACGTTCGGAAGGTATTCATTATCTGATTCATGAATGAGTCAACGGGTTCAAGTGTAGTGCCGTTGAACAGCCAGAACCTTGTCGGCCTACGATCGCTCGAAGCCGCGGCGAGCTATACACAGACCAGGACCCCAGTGCCTCAAGATTCTACGGGGACGAGAATGGAACTTGCGAAGCCGCCAACGGTGCTAAGTACTTATCTCAACGGCGTACACGCCGCGCTTCTGCCGCCATCACTGGCATCAGTGCACGGTAAGCATATCTTATGTATGTAAGTATGCTTGACGTGCGCGTATGCCCCATGGATGAGCTACTTGCCAGCACGAAAGGAAGACTCGCGCAATCAATACTATGCACTATACGCGGTTTGCAAAAGGCCCAGAATCCAGAACTGAGGTCACTCAACATGGAACGCCATGCCGCTTAGCAGGCGACGTACCGGAGTCAAATCGGCGCGTCACTACCATATGGCTCCTGATGAGTCTATGTCACATCCTGACTTGGATTACCAATACTGTTCCAGGAGTCTGTAGTAGCGGTACAATTAGCCTGCCTGTAAGGATACCATGCCACGCCAGGCTGTATGAATGGCATGCTGCAGCCTCTGCCAGTGACCAACCTCGATGTCGCACGAATGAAGGGCAACATTGACTGTTGTTTGGGAAGTTCGCTCAGTGCGGACTCGACTCGCGAGGGCTCGAGCGATGTACCTCTCGCCAGTTAGGTAAAGGTCGCGGTCTTAGTCTGGGCTAGATCCGCACGGTCCATACTAGACGGGATGTCGAGCGTGCCGGCCCGATTCCACCATGCTGCATTTGACGGTCCCTACACTAAGAGTAGCGGCACCGCCCCGTTGAAATGCGACTACATCGGCTAGGCGATGCGCTTGAGTCACCGTTTCCTCTATGCGGTGAGCACTACTACGTACGTGGACGCACCGTCCCTTCGGCGCGAAGAGCCGGCGGGGAGTAACGGACAAGGCGCGCGTCCCAAATCGGGAATGCTAGGGCTTTGGATCCTAACAGTCGCAAACAACTCCGCTCCCCGCTGACTCCCGGGCCGTGGAGCCGCGAATCGCAGACCCTCCTTCACTTGTCTCTTCTGCTGTCAACGTCTCAACCTTTGGGTGTTCACTGTAGTCAAGCTCGCACATCCACATGACGTGTCCCCAAATGAAGTATGCGGTTACTGTAAATGACGGGAAGCCTTGATCGCGATCGCTGTGGGGAACGCCTGTCTTCGTTTGGTCTTCGTGAGTCTCGATCAACTACGCTGTCAAGCTCGCGAACGCTTGGAAGCTTGGCGGCTCGTCCGACGTCGCCCAGCTCGGTAAAGTAGCCCCCCGTTCTTGCTGTGGGTCCAGTGTGGGTGCGCGGGGCCCACGTTCACGTACGATAGGCTCTGGGCACGCCCGCGCTCTTGGCGCCGGCGCGACGGGATGTCCCGCCGCCCGCTGCGATCGAACAACTCTGCGGCTGGCGCAGCGGTCCTTGCATGCTGTCGTCGACTTGTGTCCTCACTACTAGTAGTGCGAGATGGAGAGACAGCGGGAGGCGGTTGCAGATGCCTCACGTATATTCCGACGCTCGTGAGTCGTGACTCGTCAGTACTTCATGGGCACTGGGTCAATTAGTGCGAACAAGCCGGTTGCGTTGCGCAGAACAGACGGGAGCGAGCGTGAGCGAGGCTCATGTTGGTGAAATTGTAGGCATAGATTTACGCGTTCACTCGTAGCGGAGCAAGGACCACTGTGTCCCCGCCAAAGCGTCCATTGACGACGTTCACCCCCTCAGGCCCCGCTTGCTGTCCAAGTGGTCTTCCCAGATCTACTGGAGGCCATTCCTATGACTGGAATGAACAACCATGGCCTAATCACACTGCAATCTTCTGTCGAAACGACATCCATGCCATTCAGCTCGAGTAAGAGTGCATCCATCCTACTAGCAAGCCACTGGCAACTACATGCTATCTCCTCAGTCAAGCTCATCATAGAGCGAGCGGGCGAAGACCTCAGCCAGATCATCCAGCTCGCGCTCGTACAGCTCGTTGAAGTCGCGCGCCGTGACGGCGGGCTCTGCGGCGGGCTCTACGGCGGTAGTCTTCTGGTGCCTGCCGCCGGCGTGGGGGTGGCCGTGCTTGCCAGCGTGCTCCTGCTGACCGTGGTTGTGGCCCTGCTTGCCGTGCTTGTGGCTGTGCTTGCGGCCGTGGTTGCCGTGGCGAGGCCCAGGCTGGCCCTCAAGCTCACGGGCGTAGAACTCATCGAGTTCGAAGTCGCGTTCGGAAACGGCAGCAGCGGGAGCAGGAGCCTCGGTCGCCTCAGCGTGATGGTGCTTGTGGCCGGCTCCGTGCTCGCCGTGTTGACCGGCGTGCTGCCCGTGCTTTCCCTGCTTCTGCCCGTGCTTGCCCTGCTTCTGCCCGTGCTTGCCATGCTGCTGCCCGTGGCGGTGGCCGTGATTGCCAGCTTGGCGGGCGTAGAGCTCGTTGAAGAACTCACGGGTAGCGTGCGGCTGGTGGTGGGCAGCGTGTTGACCAGCGGCGGGGTGCTGGCCAGCCTGGTGTGCGGGTTGCTGACCATTGTGGTGGTGGCGATGCTGAGCAGAGTGCGCAGGGTGGTGAGCATCGTGATGTTCCTGAGCGTGCTGCGCAGCGTGCTCAGGGTGCGCGCCAGCGTGAGCGTGTTCCTCGTGTTCATCGCCGGGGCCGCGAGCAAGGAGCTCCTCTAGGTCGCGAGCGGCTGGCTTGCGACCTTGCTTTCCGCCATGCTTGCGACCGTGCTTGCCCTGCTTATGGCCGTGCTGGCCGTGCTGCTGACCGCGATGGCCTTCATGACCGTGATGAGCGTGCGCACCAGCGTGGGCATGCATGCCGGCACCGTGGTGGGGGTGGGGCTGCTCGGAGACCTCGCCTGTCGCCTCAGTCTCAACGGGCATACTAGACAGCAGGTGTTAGGTCGAGGGCAGAAGTCGAATCGATCCATACTTACGGATAAGCGAGAGCGGGGGTCGCGGCAGCGACGGCGGCAGCAACAGTGAAGACCGTGGAGAAACGCATGACGATGAGCTAGAGATGTAGATTGAAAGGATTGAGGATGAGGTCGTTGGATGGCGTGCAGTTGGCAAAGATCGTAAGTGTCGTTCGACAAAGAAAAAAAGCAAGGCTAGTGAACAATTGTTAAACCAGGGCATTTCCAAGGAGACGTCGCATTGTACTCACCAACCAGTACCCGCTTTTGTGTGTGAGCTCGAAGAAGTGGAAAGAGCTGAGGTTCCCCTGAAAGTAGGGTCACCTTAAATATGTGAAGCCGACGAGTGGCCATGGGCGACTGTCTAGTCAGACTCCAGCGTGGCCGAGGAGCGCTGCGGCAATGTCGACGCAGGTTTCATGACTTTGCATCTCGACCGACCAATGACCCGCCGTGGAGTACTTGGCAGATTAGGGCGTCACCGAGTTATTCAGTCACCCCTTGGTCTCCAACGCGCCGATGCACTGGCACATTGCATGCCGAGGTTCTATGTCGTGCCTTGTTGATGGCGTTTGGTTTGGCGGCAACGAAAGACTTCTTGCTATTGCCCGGATGTTGAATCGTACGCAATCGGGCCCATACATGTGCTCACCGTACAGTCGCCTAGCTCGTTGGCCAGTAAGTACGCCCGCGCACCAGTTTCGTCGATCCTTCGTGCCTAACAGCTGCTATGAAATGTGTGCCTTACACCCGCCCAGGCATGAAGTGCGGTGTCGCAAACACAGCGTAGGACAAGCTCGTGCCTCAACGACTGCTGTCAGCGTCTATAGATCATCGCCCGCCGGACCATCCATGCCACGAAGAACTCACCAGAGATGCCGAGAGGCTAAAGTAATGCTGGTTCCCGCACACCCACGAATCCAAACACATCCTAGCTTCCCAGAACTACCATGCCGCTTCCGCTCCGACCGAACGACTCAGATATGCCAGGGTTGTAACAAGTTGAACAACAGCGCCGGGACAGCGCCACCCGGTGGCTGTGGCACCATCACCCGAGGCTCAGGCTGCTTTCAGGACGAACGCGCTCGATCATCTCTGCGATCAGGATACAAGCAACTCTTAGCATTATCGCATCTGGACAATTGACGCGCTCGGAACGTCGGCCAAGCTCCGTGGGTGCTACTTATCTGGATGCCATTGCAATTCGATGGTACTCGATTTCAGTATGTGAACAACGGAAAGATTGCCTAAAGTACATACCTCGTACTACAACGACCAATACACTCTCATGGCACTTCTGCGCGTCACTGCAGTCGGCAGCGAGCAAGTTAAGTTACCGTGACACAGGTAAAGATTTTCTGTCCAGGGCGAACATCGAGTCCGAGCTTGCCGGAGCCCTCGGAGTCAGATAGGGGACCTCGGTATTCCTCGGGAACGCCGCTGCCACATATGCACCATTCACAGCATACATGATTGCACCCCGTATCGCAATGCTAAGGCGCCGTCCACCATGCATGAGCGCAACGTTGCTGCACCCGCCGCTCGAGTACATTGATGCCGTTGGCCTGTATGAGCGCCTATTGAATGAGTACAGTCTCACCGGCAGGACCTCCTAGGCGCTGTGCGCCGGAAGTATGGAGTAGCTCGGACTCATCTATTTCTGCGCTTCAGCGGCCAACATAGCGCAGCACATCCAGCGGCTGTTCGAGCGATAGTCAATGTTGTGCGCACAGCCTGCATTCCCGCCCCGAGGAATCGATGAATGTCTCCGCGCACGGCTCCAAGACATGCTGAGCAACGAGACGTCCGCGGTAAACCAGTGTTGACAATATGGTGAGCCGAGAGCACGGCCGCCATCGGCGCTCATGCATAAGTGAGTGTAAGCTGAGAAGAAACTCGATTCTTTGCTTCTTACCTTGCAACCGCCATCAATCATGGCTGCGACCCTTGACTGTACCTTGAGTACTGCAGACCAGGCAATGATGTCCCTTCGTTGCACTTTCTTCACAATCAGATCAATCGGTGAAGCTCGAAGAAATGTAACTCACCCTCGCACGTCCGATAGGCTCCGGAATCGGAGGCAGACAGAAGAGGTGACAATGAGATGACGCCTAGGATGCACCCCCAAACAGACTTCTTGCAACCCTCTCAATGCTAGATCATACGACAGCAAATCGCGCCGACAAGGTCCAAAGATAAAACCCTCATCTACGTCTGACCCCGGCAGGTCGGAGCGCGTAGCAGGCCGGCCGGGCAACGAAGACCGCTGAAAGCATACACAACGTACATGCACAACATTCACCGACTAGAATACACTCTTTGTTTCTGATTCGCACTGTACAATGTCGTCGACCTACACACCCCTTGTCGCTGAATATAAGACCCGCACACTCGAGCAAAACCACCACTTACCTCACCCGATAACGCCGAACTGCGCCATCATCCGCTGCCGTCCACACTTCCGGCTCCTGTGTTTGCACGACACAAACAGCGCGCACAGCTTCACAATCCGGCCCCACAAGTTCGGCACGTACGCCAGGTCCCTCCGGCCGTACATCTGCGATGTACGGCAGCCCATCCTCCGTCGCAACGGCCAACCCGATGCCCGACCCATCCAGAGCTCTGGCGTCTGTGGCGAACGACGAGGCGTCAAGCGGCACAAACGTGAGATCTTCGACGGACGCCGTATTGCGCTTGAACGTGGTCAATGGTGTCGCGAGCGCACGCGTATCGTACACCGCGACGATCCCGTTCGTCGAGCCCGTGGCGACAAGGTCCTCCGTAGGCGCATACGCGATCGCCTGCAGTACGCTCTTCCCCCGCGCTGGTTGAGCCTGCGAGCGGAATACACTGAGCTTCGTCCGCAAGTCAAACGCCTCGAACGTGCCATCCTGCAGCGCAGCAAAGACGAGCTTGTCTTCCGTGTCGACCTCACGCGGGTCGGTGCCTGCCTCATCAGCGGCGGTACCGTCAGCCTGAAGCGACCCCTCGCCAACACTGATCGCGAGGACGGGCACATTGTTGCCGTTGGCTGAGCCCATCATCCGTATCTGCGACTCCGAGGGGACGTCCCAGAGGCGAACCGTGCCATCCCTCGCGGCGGAGAGCAGGTTGCGTCCTTTTGATACGATCGCCGTCGAAGTGATGCCGCGCGTGTGTCCACGGAAACGCCGTACCGGCATGATAGGCCCTTGTGTAGCGGAGGGCTCCTCTGGTGGCGCTGCAGGTAAGATGGCGAGGGAGAAGTCGACGGAGGAGGTCAGGAGCACGCGGGAAGACGGGAAGAAGCGGAGAGAGGTGACCGTGCTGACATGTGGTCTGCATGAATTGGTAGGTCGAGACTGCGATGTTTGGGAAATGTGAATCGAACCATCCATATGTCCCGTCGCGAACTGAGATCCATCTGGGGAGACGTCAAAGGCTGTGATCTTCAAGGCCTAAGTTGTTGCAAATAGTCAACGGCCTAGATTACAAGGACAAGGATAAAATGCGGCACTTACTTTACGCCCCTCATGCTCTGAATACGTCTTCGTGGGCACAGCGAGTCTTGTAGGTGGTATGTGCAACGGAGAACAAGACGCTGAGTACAGTGCCTAGAGATAGGTCATCGTTTTTACTTCGGACGCTTGAACATACCGGACACAGACGACAAGGCGCATGCATGCGAGGAGGTCAGTAGGAGCGGATGCTCACCTCTCCACTGCGGAGGAGTTCCACACCATCTCTTCCCTCGAAGCGTACCAAGTCCCGATTGAGGTCGTCGAGAGTAGCGTACACTTTCCCGTGGACAGACGGCTCTCCAGATTTGTAGCACGAGAGCCAAAATGTGTCCTCCGGTGTAAGACCTTGGTGAACGTCGGATATTACGGACAAGAAGTCAGGCTGAATTGTGCACATAGGCAAGACGAGGGGATCAGAATCCATCTCGAGCAAGCACCAGGCCCCTTGTCAACTACAAGCTAACGTGTTTGAGAGAAACTCGACGTTTGGCCGGGAGTGAGAGGGGTCGACGGTATGTATGTACACAGTTATGTAAGTGGTCCAAGGCTCCAAGCGCAACGCAAGCGATGTTTGGCGCGGTGAACACACAACGGATCGATCGAATCGAATCGTTCCGGTTCCTTTCAGTCTAAGCAGTCACGGGATCGTGACGCGCCTCAGTGCTCGCCTGGCGCGTGCGACGCGTTCAACCTGCGTTCAACTTGAATCTGCTCGGATTAATGATACATACGTCTCCGAACCAACATCGTCGGGATCTGATTCGCTGATGTATCTTCCTACCTGATCACAGTACACTTCATGATAGGAGGTACTCGGGACATACTGTGAGTGTGCATGCGAGTACGAACAGTACCTCGAGCCCATCGTCACACAATGAGGTGCCCAAACGAGACGGCGGCGATATCCGGCGTAATGGTCCCAAAGTGAGTACTGTCCTAGCACCATGTAAAGTGTACGCTAACCTGTAAATGAGTTATCTGGACGCATGGATCGTAGCTGCGCCATCTCGACCATCGCCCACTGGCAGCCTGGCACGAAATTCGGCGACTGACCGCGCTATGCAGCCTTTAAATACAGCCCGCCAGCCATCGACCTCTTTCTTCACCGTACCACGTAGTACACCCATCTCAGTGCTTCTAGTACAACTCCCTGCCTCATCTATCCTCGAACTTTCTTGCTATCATGCCTTCCTCTAAGCTCTTCCGCCAGGCTATCCTCTCCCAGTTCTTGGTGGTGGCGCCAGGTGTTGCGACTGCCCGGGTGGGTGTAGATGCTGCAGAATCTGCACCTGTTCGTAAGCACAAGCGACCTTCCTGCGCGACATCCAACAAGTTCAGCAAGGCGCGCCTCCAACAGCAAAAGGAGCTGGTTCCGACTCCCGCTGCTGCCCCGAGCGCTCCGTCTGGCTCGAGCAAATCGCACATCATCCGCTCGGTATCCAAGCTCTTCGGAAGATCTCGCGGTGAGCCTGTTCCCGAGCCACCGAGAGGTCGTTCCCGTCAACGCCGCGTCGTTTCTGGCGACGATTCCGAGCGGAGACGTGCCCTGTCCCCACCGAGAGTTTCCTCGACGAACGCTAAGGTTCCGCGAGTGCCCCAGGTGTTGAAGGCTTCCGCTCATGCGCCTGCCTACAAGCCTGTCCGCTCCCACCCATTCGCGACCACCGAAGCCGCACAGGTGCCCAAGTTCCCCGTACCTGTGCCCGTCCGTCGAGTTTCAAATGTGGCTGAATCGACTTCTGTAAACTCCCTTATGTGAGTGATCAACCCAAGTGGCCATGAGGTGTACAAGCTCTGACATGTTATCGTCCATACAGTGCTCCGACAATCAAGAGAGGCCCCTCCCCCCTCTCTCAGTCCTGCTGGACTTCGCCTGCAGAGTCAATTCCTCGCTCTCCTTCCATTCCTGATGGCATGCCCGTCGATGCTATCTCGAGTTCCGAGCCTACGAACGACTCCGCCATGGACTGGGAGCCCATCCCGCCGGTGCCCCCTTTCATGTCCCGCACAGACTCCTCCTCCACTGCTTCCTCCTTGGGCTCTGTCCCCTCGACACCGATCGACGAAGATGTGGTCATGGTCGACGTCTTCGATGTTGAGTCCAGTGTCGACGTTGATGCCCTCCCCGTGGTCGAGGAAGTCCCTGCGAAGTCCGATGACTGCTCTCCCCCAGCTCGTCCTGTGAAGCCATTGCCTGCTCGCCGGCACCCTCGTGTTCCCGTTGAGGTGCCCATGCCTCCGGGGTTCCCCACCGATGGCGACGCCGGTACCTTGGCAGCATCGGACTCTGAGCTGGAACGCCAACTTTGGGCTGACATGAACGACATCCTCGGCCACGAAGACGAGCCCGCCAGGTTCTGCTTTCCTCCCGAGGGTATTCCCGTCATCGTGTCATTGCCCCCCTCCGTCCCTCAGCCTATCATCGCCAAGTCCATCCCTGCTGTCTTCTCGAATGGCGTCGACTTCGACGAGCCCCTGCGGGAAGCGTTCCGCCCGGACGCGTCGAAGTCGAAGTCACAGCAGGCGATGGAGGCGGCGGCCCCGGACGTCGTCGTCACACCGGCGACGCCCGTGGTCATCTTCCCTGCCATTACCGCCGCCGAGGGCTCCGATGGCACCTCCCATCAGTCGCTGAATGCACTGTGGGAGGAGCTCTTCGGCCCTGAGGTGGATGCGTAATGAAGCAATGGTTGACATTTTTGAGACCCGGTATGACATTCCCTCCCTATGTCTTGAAGGCCGCCTCAGCTCACATGCACCTTTCCATACTGTAGGACATGGTACTGTAGAACATGGTACTGTAGGACATGGACCTGTAGGACATGGTACTGTAGAACATGGTACTGTAGGACATGGACCTGTAGGACATGGTACTGTAGGACATGGACCTGTAGGACATGATACTGTAGGACATGGACCTGGATTCGCACAAGTTCTGGATGTACCCCTTCCCATTCCCCTTCTCCCTTCCGTTATCCTCCTCCTTCCGTCATCATCCTTCTTCCGTCATCATCCTTCTTCCGTCATCATCCTTCTTCCGTCATCATCCTTCTTCCGTCATCATCCTCCCATCATCCTCCCCCTTCCATCAACATCCTCATCCTCCGTCCGACATCATCCCTTCCCCCAGCTTGCGGGTACGGACCTGCCTGTTGTCTACTGAACTTTTTCTGGTTCTCTTTCAGACCTCAAGGCCTCAACCTCAACTCGAGCTACAGCGCACCGTCCCCGCACCGTTCCCCGTGGTCCCGGATCAAGACGAGTCCAGGAAGTGGTCGACCTCCCCAGGCTAGGGCCCAATGTTGTTCAGTTGATTACCGGCGCGAGGAGTCATGACCCGACGACCGTTTGGTTGATCTTCTGGACTTCGGCGGGCCAGCACGCGGTTCGGAGCGGAAGGTGAGTCGATTTGGTCGCGCATATGAGGATGTACTGAATGTCTCGCATGCAGACTGCAATTTGGTCTCCCTCCAAAACATCCAAAAGGCTGTTGCACAATGGGTTGACCTTACCTGCGTGCTGCAGCTCTAGGATGCGGGTTCTAGTGGGTATGATGCCTGAGCGAGTGTTGCTAGCTCGGCGACGCGCGTAACGACGGCCTGAGTCCTACACTCGTTCTCCCATCGGGAGTTCGTGCGTCAATGCATCTCGCCCGGAGGTAACGAGGTTCTCCCTCGTTGTAGCCGATTGGCCCTCCAAAAAGAAAAAAAAACTCGAGCATATGTAATCGTCGTGGTTGACTTGTAGATCAGACCGATGAATGTAATAGACAGCCATGTACTCATTTAAGCAAGGACAGATATCAGACGTCGCACCGATTGCTACCGCTTCGCCTTCTTCATACTTCGCCGTGCTCCCTTCTTCTCTTTCGCTGGCTTCTCGTCGCCGTCATCTGCCTTCCTCTTCTTGCCAGTGGCAGTGCTTTTGACACTGATGATAGTGGACTTCCCGCTTCCCCCGCCGTCCGCGAGCTTGGCGACCTGCGCCTCAGCCATGCTCCAATTTGCCGAGGGGTCGTCGATTGCGTACCTGCACAAATAGCCTGTGAGCGGCACGAACACCACCGACGGACAGATCCCGCCCTGAAGGACATGCGACTCACTTGCTCAGGTCGAGCGAGTCAATCATCTGCCGTTGCTTATCCCGTAGCGACTTCGTTACCTCGTCACCAGCGTCCTTCAGTTCGTCAGTAATGCTCGTCTCGACTGGCTTCCACTTTGTGGCACTGCCGTCCCCATCTATCCGAGATGTCGCGGGCTCCTCCGGCATCGCAGCGCTGATGGCCTGACGTTGAACGTCGTTTAGCCGCTTGCTGATCTTCTTGACGATCTTGACGAAGAGTGCGAGAGCTTGCGAGACAGGCAGCTGCAGTTCCGACTGTGCACAAGCGTGAGCTTTCTTTCATGTGTACACCGGAGAACAGACGAACCTCGACTTCCTCGATCGTCTTGCGCTGCATGCCCAATGCAAGCAGAATGGAGCTCTGCACTGCGCTAAGGTGCACATCCTCGCCTAGCCGCTTCTCAAAGTACAGAGAGGTAACAGTGGGTAGCAGGTCAAGGATGACATGGTAGTCGAGCATGTTGTTGGCATACGACTCCAAGCGCTTGAGGTCGAAAGGCGACAGGAGGAAGGAGAGCTCCTGGTTTGTCAGATCTGCAATGGTTCATTTCACTAAACATCTATGTTACGATGGAAGAGCGACACATCTTACCTTTTGTACGCTCTGACCCCAGCTTCTTGACACCGTTGCTAGCGGCCTCTAGGATGCTTAGAGCTGTGACGCTGCCAAACTCCCGGAACTTGAACGATAGCAACGACAGGAATCGTCTCCGAAAGTCTGTGAATGACTCGCGTGAGCGAAGAATACCTAGCGAAACTTCAGATAATCCGTACCTCTCGCGAACTCCCCTAGCCACTCTAGCTCACTATCGGCCGACGTGTTGAGGCCGCGGGCCATAACACATGTATGCTCGCCAGTGAGCTCACTCGTCGTCTGTCGGATATACAGTGGCACGTATCCCGCACGCTTCCAGAACCTGAGGAGCTGTGGTGTCAAGCCGTACGATACGCCAAGGTAGTCGAGTGTCTCGGGTTTGCGTTCCGTCAGACGCTGGAGTAGTGGTGGCATTGCCGTCGCCGCACGGACAGTCGGCTTGTCTGTCAAGAGATTTGTCGACTCGTCAATCGCGGCGGGATCGGGATAAGACAGCTCGGGCTGTGCAGTCTCGTCAAGGTTGAAGTACTCCCCACTGTAGAAAGAATTTAGAGCCTGCAGAGCGCGCGCTCCATAGCCCATCTAAGCTCAAGGAATGATCAGCATTGACCAATTAAGATGCCCTTGGCCTACTCACGTTGGCATAATCCGGATGTGTAGCTATACGAACTATTCGTGCGCCAGACAGTAGCGCAAATTTGCTCTCCTGGAACTGCTGAGAAATTAACCAAGGAATCATGTCTCCGCCAGCCCTGAATCCGCGACTCAGGCCATCCATGATGGCCTGCTTGCTGATGTTGCCCTCCAGCGCAACTTGCAGGACGACAAGCGGCTCCGGCAGCGTGCTCTCGTCGTCCTTGATCGGCGGCAGAAGCACGAACAAATGGTGCGCGGGTGCGTCACTCAGGAGCTGCAGGTCGTTCGGCTGGTTCTTGTAGTGGCTCGCGACGTACAACGCCATCATGCGCTGGAGGAACACCTCCGACGCAGGGTGGTAGCTGAACAGCGTGTCGCGCGAGACGTAGAAGAGCTCGCACTGCGACGGGTGCGGCGTGCTGTGCACTGCGCTCTTCGGCGCGATCGTCGCATCGAGGCAGAGGAGCGCGTTCAGCCACCTCTCTACCTTGTCGCCTGTGGCGTACCGGATGGGTGTCTCGAGCTTAATCTCGCGCAGCGTGCGTGCCTTGGGCGGGGCCTTGGCGAGCGGCTTCTTGGACGAACCTGCGGTGGGCGCGGTATCGTCGGCGGACGCGGCGTCTTTTGTAAGGGCGGATCGCGTGCTCTCGCGCAGCTGCTGGATGAGCTTAAGGGAGAGCGACCGGCCGGTGCCTTCGTAGCCGTTGATGGTGGACGCCATGAAAACCAGGTAAGGGCCAATGAGGTTGCGAACTAGTGGCAGAGGAATAGCGGCAGCTTCATCGATGATGACTAGCTCGGCTTGCCCGAGGACATGGGCATCTTGTGGTTGAATGTACTACATAGACAGATAAGAGGGTTGTGAGAGGTTAGCACGCGTTGTACGTACCTGAATAGTCTGACGATGTTGCCGGAAGACGTTGACCCGCACAATCGCCTTGTTGAAGTCGGGATTCGTGCTTTGTGCAATATCATAGTCAAGGTGTTCCTCGTACCCCAGAGCATCCATGCCCTTGAACACGAAGTCGAACAGCGTCTTCAAGTTCTCCGGGCTAGGACTCGTCACGAAGATATTCGAGTACCCATGTGCAAGCGCCGCTGCAATCGCAAGACCCAGTGCCGCAGACTTTCCTCGTCCACGGGCTGCAGTGAGCGTGACTGTCGAGCTAAGCGTCTTCTCCGCGATGGCGTCGACGAAAGTGAGTATCGCCTGCGCCTGATCAAGTGTCTTCGCGAGCTTCACGAGTTCGCCGACGGGTTTTGTGTCTGCGAGGCTGTCCTTGAGATCCTTCAACTCGGACTCGACCTTGCCCTTCCCGCGCTCCTCCTCGATGGGCCTGATGTCCTTGCCTCGCGATACAGGAAGGACGTTGAGTTCATCGTCCAGGACGAGGCAGTCCTCGCAGGAACTGAGGGAAAGTATGAAGCGTTCATTGAAACGCGCGACGACCGTGTCGTGGGCGGATGTTCGGTACCGGGCGTGAACATCCTGCGCAAAGGGAACATCAACCACAACGAAGGGCAAACAGGAACAATCAGACGCACCATGGTCATGGTATACAGCTGCCTCAGCGAGCTCATCGTCTTCAGCAGGATCACAACCAGACCACCTCCCTCGACCGTCTCGATCGTCCGCGCAAGTAGGTTCGGCGTGATCGCCTCGAAGTCCTGCAGCACACACATGCCATAGGTCTGACCCAGGATCTTGTGCGACTCCTTGTAGTACGTATAGCGGATGTCGGTGACGGTGACAAAAATCTCGAAGGGGTCTTGCTCGTTGGCTTCTCGCACACCGCGCTTGACATCCCGTTTGATCTTCGCTTCACGCTTTTTTCGGTGACTAACAGTGCCCTCTGTGAGTACGGCATAGTGGTCTGAAGAGCCTGCAGCCTACCTGGTGAAGCCGAGATCCTTCTTGTAACACCAAAGAACGGATGGTCGTGCAGACACCCGGGCTTGGGATAGCAGGAAGTGCAAGTTCACCACCTGATAGAATGAGTACCTCCTGACAGTGAGGCATGCTATCTAGCTCACCTGGTCCCTTCCCTTGTCCCCAACTAGCACTACGAATGAACGGTGATTCTTCTTGACATTGTTATTGATGAGGATAGGCAATCGGGGATCGAGTTGCTTGCGCATGTCGCTTTACCGACTGGGGTTTTTGATGAACAACAGTGAGCCCTTGCCTGTAATATCCTGGGTCTGCCTGAGATGACGCTGGGCCGGCGACCGGCTAGAAAGTAGCACTGAGGATCGAGGAAGTTAAACTTAAAGAGATGCGAGGAAGTCGACTAGGAGTGTGATCACGGGCGTCTAGCTAAATTTCTGGTCCTCGAGCGTTGATTGGCTGAGCGAAGGAAGTCAAACGGCGAAGGAACGCGTCTTCATCCTCGTCCTATACCACCACGTTCACCGATTAATACCGCACCTTCTTTCTCAGAGCCAACAATGCGGCTCTTGTGAATACGCAAGCTGAATGCTATTCATTGGAATTAGGCACGGTATGGTTCCTTGTATTTGGCACTAGACCGTGACGTCTTACACTTACTCGCTTTCATTGAGATTAATACGCCTAACCTGTCCTGCTTTGACATAACAAGACTACTCCAGGGTGGACGTGCTCGAGAGGCGTGAACAATGAAAACTCGCTGCCGACGTCAAAGGGAATGGTACTCGCTTTGTCCCCCCTTGGTGGAACCTCCCGAGCGAGACATTATATAAAGGACATCTGTGCGTACCCGTTCTTTCAGTCATTTGCCAGTGTACGCGCGCAGGCGTTACCTTGCGCCCCATCCACTCGTCGCCTCAGTCATTCGCCCCTACTACCCCGCCATGAATACCGTCTCTTCCATGCACCCCAACGCTCGCCACAAACAATGTTTGTGCGGCAAGTGGTTCAGCATCAAACCCGAGCGCGATCGATACTGCTCGAAGCCATGCGCACTTGCAGACTCGTGGAACACGCTGGTAGCAGGCGAGTCGCACTACAGGCGCGAGATGGCCGCGAGGGAGGCGATGAAGGCCGCTTCCGCGAAACGAGTGGCATCCAGCAGATCGATGCGCACTCCAGAGGTTGCGACAAGCATTCCCATGGGTCAGCGCGGCGGGCCTGTAGCCATACAGGCCGACTATTACACCGCTTTCGGTCAAGCGGTCCCCCATCGTCCCCAACCAGTCAGCACCAGGCCGAGGACGCGGCACCTGCGCAGGATACCATCGACGATGCACCTATCCTCGCTAGCCAAATCCCAATCTGTACGGCCCCTGAACATGTTCTCGCCTGCGCCTTCATACTGCGGTAGGCAGGGCTGAGGCAGGAACTCCGGAGAACGATTTAACCGCTGGACGTCACTCCTGGCGCAAAGCGAGGACAACGCTCTTTCATCCACGCATACCACTTTCATCCACATACCTATGGCAAATAGGCTGAGGATCATAGAATGATTACCTGGTTACTCGTTCGTTCACTCGAAGTTGTATGTATGTTTACTGCACTTCATGGCGTCTCTCGACATCCTTCGTTTTCTTCTGCTGCACTCCTGTTGTAACACATTGCCCAGCAACATCCCAATCAATGTATTGAATTCTCCGCACAAAGTATTGAGGACATTTGTCTGGACAGGAGTCGGGGCTGGCGTAAAGGTGTGGCCTGTTTACCTCTTCGAGCACGGGCGCCTGGCGTTATCAGCTGTTGTTTACATACTCCCGCCGTCGTATCATGAGTGCCGCGGAAGAGCGACGAGCAGCCTCGCCGCTCGTGCGTGGGCTGCGATATATAAAGCCCCTGTCCGCATCCAGACAACCTCTTCTCTCCTCTCATGTCGACGACTCAGCAGCCCGTCTCCGACGCGATCCTCACCCAGATCCTCGGCCGGCTCGATGCCCTCCAGGTCTCCCAGCAGGCACTGCAGGCCAAGGTACGTGTGGAATGCGATAGAAATACGGAGACGAGCTGACCTGCAGTACAGCTAGATGCGTTGACCAACCCGCCTGTGAGCCCGGTGTCTTCGCCGCCGAGGAATGGCATCCCTATCCCGCAATCACATTCGCGAGAGGGGTCCCTGTCTGGGCTCGCACCGACGACAATCTCACCGCCGAGCTCGGTAGCGGGCACGCAGTCGCCACCGATCCATGCTTTGAACATCGACAAGGATAAGCAGTTGAGTGACAAGGAGCGCGAGAAGCTGTTGTACCCTGGGCGAGTCTTGTTGACGAGTGAGTTGATACTGTCCTCCATTGGTGTCGTTGGTGGCCCCCTATATCTGTCAGGCATCCGGATTGTCTTGCATGCCGAGTGAAAGCCCTCAGTGGTTGATCGCCTGTCCCACCGCTGCCGTTGATGATCTCGTCTCACTATCATGGCGTTCTGTGGCCCTACGTTTGAGATGCGAAGATCTGGTACTTGTGAAACCGTGAACTATGAGATCAGGGCGGGACAGTCTACGCGAAGATGCTCCGTGTAGCGAGCATACGTTTCTGATGACAGGTTGGGCCGTAGGTCAGGCGAAGTTGAGTTGGTCTGGACATAAGAGTGGCCCCGTACCCGTGTGCCCCATATCGGCTCTTCGACTCGCTGTCTTCCATCGGAGTATGGTATGGCTCTTCGTCTGTACTGATATCTCCTTTGCTCTCCAGCCTACCCAGATCAACACAACATCAAGCCCTATCCCATCCAGTGGGGCGCCGCCGACCCATCCGTACGCGGCCCCGTCATCTGCTCGCGGTTCCCCTCTTCAATCAAGCAGCGGAACGCCCTTGGCGCGCACTCCGGCTCGTACTCCATCTACCGCGCGCTCGCGATCGCAATGGGCACGCTCACGCCCTCGCACAAGCCCGACTACTCCAAGACCGAGCCCAGCGTCCCTATCCCGCCGCAGCCCGCGTGGTCGGACCCGACGAAGATCGTCTCGTTCGACCCGTGGGGCCACGTCGTCCCGCAAGTCTTCCGTCGCGAGCTCGAGGACCTCGGTCTGGATGTCCGCCCGAGTATTGCGGTCACCCGCGGGCACTTGAAGCTGAGCGAGATTGACGAGGTGGCGCGGAAGGGCGACTTGACTGTGGATGGCAAGATCCTGATCAAGAGTTTGCCGTTGAGGAATGTGGACGGGAAGGAGAGCACGGCGGACCCTGGTGTGGAGATCGCAATCAACAAGGCTGCTGTCGAGCCCGTGTGGCATCTCCCTGGCGTGGCGGAGCGATTCGGCATGTAAGTGCACGTATCTGGTTATGAAGTGGGCTGGTATACTGAGGTGTTGGAAAGCTCCGAGAGCTTGCTCCGTCGAGCACTTTTCGAGGATACTGGAGGAATGTACCCCGAGCTCATCACCCGACCAGACATCAAGGTCTTCCTTCCTCCCATAGGCAACCTCACTGCCTACATCTGTAAGGAAATCATCATTGCAATTGCGTCGAAGTTGCTGATTCCCCCCAGTCGGCAACCCCGCCTACCTCCATGACGAGACGAAAGAGCTGACACTGCGCGTACACGACGAATGTATGACCTACGTATACCTACGCTACATCTCCCTTCTGATAGCGCTTTTCACAGGCAACGGTTCCGACGTTTTCGGATCCGACATCTGCACATGCAAGCCATACCTGACGTACGCCATCGAGGAGTGCGTCCGTTGCGCTCAACGCGGCGGTGTCGGTCTCGTAGTCTACTTCCGTAAGGAGGGCCGTGCTCTCGGCGAAGTCACCAAGTGCGTCTCACATCAATGTGTTGTGCGAGCCTGCGATGCTGATCCGCGCGCAGGTATCTTGTCTACAACCTGCGTAAGCGGGGCATTGACTCTGCGGACAAGTACTTCAAGGCGACCGAGCTCATCGCTGGCGTCAAGGACATGCGCTTCCAGGCGCTCATGCCCGACGTCCTGCACTGGTTCGGCATCAAGAAGATCGACAACATGGTTTCTATGAGTGACATGTGCGCCCTCTTCCCTCACTGTGCATCAAGAGAAGCGGCTGACTTGTCTCGAATCAGGAAATACAACGCGATTGTACAATCTGGCATCCCGATCCTCAAACGTTATGACATTCCTGGTGTGTCCCAGTCTTATGTTCATTGTATACTCAGACTCACACTCGGGCACCTGCAGACCATCTCCTACCACCTGACTCTCGGGTCGAGATCGACGCGAAGATCGCGGCTGGTTACTTCAGCAACGCGAAGGTCGTCACTGAGGCTGACCTCGTCAAGACTGTTGGGCGTACATGGGAAGAGACAGAGCATTGAGATGGGGCTTTCACGGTGCTGCTCGGTCGCGATCTGCAGCTTGGTATAGCGTCTTGCATATTGTCACGTTGTAATGATACAGTATCTGCGATATCTAGCCACAGACTGAAACATAGTGAAGATGTGCGACAGACGGTCCATATCCAATAGTAACGCGACTCAGATGCAAATTCATCTCTTCAAAGCTCACCAATCATACTCGGGGATGTCATCAGCCCAGGTGTTGTCTTCTTCATCTACTGCGTCCTCCTCTTCCTCCTCTTCCAACACCCGCAACTTCTTGATTGCTTGCTCCGCTGCAGCGAAGCGGACCTCTTCCTGGCTTGCTCTGCTGTGATACACCTCCGTCACCTTCACGATCTCTTCTTCGTCCATGAGCACCGCGCAGCTGACATTCCCTTCCTTCTTCTTCACATCGAGCTTGACCTTCTGCTGCGGGTCCTGCTGGGCCGCCCACATCGTTAGGCGCGAGATGGGATGCAGCACGTCCATCTCGTTGCGATCAATGATGCGCTCCAAAACCTCCATGATTCCGAGGGTGCGCAGCACGTCGCACACGGCGGTGAAGTCACCCTCGGAGTCGAGGAAAACGGCGCCGAGCAGGCTCTCCACCATATCGCTCAGGAACTTCGGAGCCTGCAGGCTGGTTAGCGCCGCCCATGGGTAGATGGTCTTCTGCTTGAGAGCTTTCTCGATCTCCGGACCGACCTTCTCGAAACGCGTCGAGGCGACGTGCTGGTCCTCCAGCACACGGTGGCTGGAGTGCAGAAGGCACTGCCAGAGATAAATCTTCTGCTCATCGGTGTCAACGGTGACACCGGTCCCTGGCGACCACGACGGGTTCGGCGACTCGCAGATCGTGAACGTCTTGAGACAGAAGAACGCGAGGAAGTGGGAGTTGACGAGTGCCTCCTTACGCAGGTGCATGTGCCCGGGCTTGTAGTTCTGCCCCTCCGCGTGGAAGAGCATGGAGGTGACGATCATGTCCAATGCGCAATCCCCCAGGAACTCTAGTCGTTCGTAAGACGTGGAGGCCAAGTCGCCGTTGTAGCTCGCGTGCGTCAGGGCCTGTATAAGCAAGGCTTTGCGCGTGAACTCATAGCCGATCATCTGCTCGACGAGGCTGAGCTGAGGAGGAGGCACGTCGAGCTCTTCGTGCCTCGCCAGTACCTCGTCAATGTGAACCGAGAGATTCTTCCAGGACAACCCTAGACCGAACGTCGCTATGCACTCAGTTGCCAGATCAAAACCTCCATGCTCGTATGCGGCGCCGATCAAGGACTCCACGACGTCCGCAAGGACCTTGGTCGACAGCTCCTGCGTCTGCTTCTTCTTCTTCTTCTTCCCATCCTCTTTCGTCTCCTCTTTCGTCTCCTCTGTTGGCTCCTCTGTTGGCTTCGTCTCAGGCCTGGCGGGCTCCTCGACGACGGGTTCAAACAGGTATCGAGGCTTCCACTTCCTTGGTACGAATCGGTCTCGGATGATCCACCTATGCAAGCCTTTCTCGATAGCTCCTTTGGCTAGTTGGACGTTAGAGACGGCGTGATCTTTCCGTCTGGCGAGGTATCCTTCGTGCCATAGAGGATGATCAGCGAAAAGCTGTGTGCTCGTCAAGCACTTCAAAACACAGTCTCCGAGGGTCTCGAGACGTTGGTAGTTGAGCGGCTGTTCATCGATCATTGTCTCTTGAGCGACGGGTGCCGTAGTCGCGATCCGGAGGAGATGGAAGGGTACTTGTGCGACCGAGTCCGCAGGCAACAGCTCGTCGCGGAGGGACACGATAGTGAGAGCGCAAGTCATCCAACGAAGGATCGAAGGGAGATACATAGCGTATTGCAGATCTTCCTTCGATATGAGCTCGATCGTTGTATACTGGGGTAGAAGATAAATTGCCTCGTCGCGAGCTAGACCGGCCGTGTCGGAAGCCAGTGGCGCCAGGAAATTGGCTCGCTGAGGGAACTGCTTGACCTGAAGCACAGGGAATGTGATATTCGCGTCCGGGAAGCCTTCGTATCTCTCTCGCATCCTCTCCTCGTCTTCGACACCCAACGGACCATTGTACCAGCGCACGAACTGGAAAAGCTTGCCGAACTTCTCGTTCGGTCGAACGAGTGCCAAGTCCGTTGGAAGTCCGTACTGCTTGTGCAGTACACCCGCGTTTGCTCTCATGCTTGTCTCCAACCGATCGTTAACGTCGGTACCCCGATCGATGCGGTCTCCCATCCATTTCCGTCGTTCCTCCCAGAGGTGCTCGTCAGGACCATCCACTACCGGCAAAAACAAGTAGGCGAACGCATGGTCGTCTGGCCTCATCCGCGCGAAGTACAGCGTCGAGAACATGCGATGAGTATAGACGCGGGCACGCTCGAGGTACGCCGAATCAGGCTGCATCTTCCCGATTGGCCGTACTTTGACGTGAGTAGCACCGCGTCCTGGGATGTAGATAGTCGGCATCTCCTCCTTGGCGAAAGTAGGCAGCGGATTTGGCGTCAACATTGTCAAGGCCGGCAGGCCGTCGATGATCACCTCCGCTTTCCACCAAGCGTCTTCGTCCGTCTTCGGAGCCCAGGGATCCGCCTGTATAGATACCCTCTCTGTGCCAGCCCGCTTCTCGATGTCAGCGAGTAGCTTCTTGACTTCCTCCCCTTTGTCAGGTTCGAGCTCGCTCATCAGAGGCAGTAGATGGTCGTCTAGCAGCTTGGCCTTGTGCAACGCGACGTATGCATCGAACGCCGCATGCTTCTGTGCCAGACGCTTCGTGTTGTGTTCCCGCTTCGTGGAGAACTTGCGGAGACTACACACAACGCCCCGTTGAGTAACATGCAGCTGTATAGCTATAGGACTTACTGGGGTGGAAGACATCTCGGAAGTGTGACAGTGGCTCCCCAAGGGCCCTTATACGGCGGCAGGTTCTTGAGGCGGTCCTGCTGAGAGTGCCAATCTTCGGGGTAGTCGGGTGGATCGAGATCATATAGAGCCAACTGTCCTCCGTACGCCGCATTCGGCAGGACAGCACAGAAGTGATTTAGATGACTCGTCACGGAGTCGAGCGTGAGGACAGCGCTATGGGGGGGATTGTCAGCACACAAGAAGTCTTGATTGCTACGACGACATACCCGGTAGACTCAACAGTGTACGTGCGCTCGTCGTGGTCGTCCTCTTCGAATGTTTCTGGAACTACCCTGTCGGGATCCGTGTATAAAGCCATCATCTGCTGCTCGATGGTCTGCCACTTCCGGATCTCCTGTTCGTGTTCCTTGTCTTGTTCCAACATCATGATGAAACTACTCTTCCGCTGCCGGGCTCGGCCTCGACTCTGCGCCCAAGCGACCACGTTCGGGGGAGGGTCGAAGCGGGTGACACTACTGCAAGCCTGGATGTCGATGCCCTCCTCGGCGACGGAGGTGGATACGATCAGGTTCTTATCGCCGCCTCGGAACTCCGCCAGCGTTTTCACCTGCGAGGCCTTGACAATCTCGCGGGTGATATCGAGGAAAGAGTGCCGCTTGAAACTCGACGAGCTTCCTAGGAGACAGCCAATGCGGAAGAGCTGCGCAGTCTCTGGGAGTCGGGACAGCACTTCCGCGAGGGCAATCACCGTGTCCCGCCGAGTGACGAAGATGAGGCCGCTGTACGTCTCGTCCGCCAGCCGGAACTCCTCCTCCTCTGCGAGCAAACACGCGATCAGCGCCTCTAACTTCGGCGCGAGCATGCGGCGGATCTCGTCCGGGTCCGACGAGAGGGGCACGAGGTTCACCTGATCGAGGTTGTCGAGCAGGTAGTGTTTCTCATTTGCCTTCCAGCTGGTCATGATGTTATTGTACGGGTTCGCGGCATGGCGCGCCTGTTCGATGACCTTGACGATGTACCAGTCCGCCGCCCACTCGCCGAGATACATGCAGATCTCCTGAGCCGCTCTGAGAAAGTCGTTAAGGCCCTTGTGGGTGAAGGTATCACCCTTGTCGATGATCTTCGACAGCTTCTGGTCAATGCGGCGCCGTTCATCATCCGAATGTGCCCGTGCCAATTGACTACGCAGGGATTTGACGCTCGGGTCATTCTCGATGGAGAGTGAGTCAACCACCGTCTTGAGCGAGAAAGTGTTGTAGGATGGTAGCGTATCCCAATCGTATGACGGAGGGCCATAGAGGACGTGCTTAAAGACCGGTTTGTGGACATGTTGAGCGAGCTCCTCTCTGTGCATACGCGATGAACGGATGATGCTGTCGAGGTTGCGTTCGAGCTTGCTGTGAAAGAAGTAAACACACTGAGACCGACAAGATGAAGATCAAAGCGTACTCGAATGCGGCCTCCGTGTTACCGCCATAAATTGGACTAGCTGTAAGACCAATGACCATGGGCCGGACACGCTCATGTGATCCGGCTGTCCGAGTACGTTTGTCTAGTGGGAAGTAGAATTGTTGCATGATCATGTTATACGGATGTTTCGAAATTGCATGGTGGGCTTCGTCAAAGACAAGCAGACCTATGTCCATGCCTAGGTCAACGAAGCCCTGCATATATGCGTAAGATGAGACATCAGTGAATGCAGCATCATGGACACGTACATGCAACAGCGCATCGAGCAGCACTTGTGGCGTAGATACGATGACCCTGTTAGCTTCCAGGACACGTCGCCACAGCGCCCGGTCCTTCCATTGGCCGGGCTCTGATGCTCCGGAGATCATGAGTATAGCTGGGATCGTTTCCTTTATCACAGCACATTGCTGTTCGACAAGAGCCACTGTAGGCGCGAAGAACCACGAGACCTATGATGCAGTCAGTGTCAGCGAGGCTATGGGCATGATCATGAGTCACCTTTCGCGGTTCCCGCTCTGCTTCGTGCTTCATGCGCAGAACAGCAATGTGAGTCTTACCAGACCCCGTATCGAGCGCGATGATGATGTTGGATCTCAAGCTCTCCTCGAGAAGTTCCTGTTGATAGTTACGCGTGTGGAAAGTATTCGACGCGCCATTGTCGACGCTTGGAGGGGGATCACCCATAGCGATGCAAGACCTGAGGATACCTCAGTACTCGAGGTGGACATAATGATAGAATGAAGGGTTAGAATAGGGCAGTAAAGACCGAGATCGCAGCTGTTGGACGCGCGGTGTTGATCGCAATCCTTACCGCAGCGAGCACTCGCAGACAGTACCTTGGACTTGAAGCGAGTAGTTGACTCACCTGGACACAAGACGATCTTGACTCGAAGGGAGCTAGTACTGTACCGGCGTCGTCTACAGAGAGAGGCTGAGGAGAAAGACGGGCTACGGCGCGAACTATGGTGGTCTTTTTATGTATCGAAGCCACCCTGTCAGCTCGGACCTCAGGCTGCGGACAATCAGATAGACGCCACTTTCATATAAGCAAGAGTGGCAACGAGCCTTGGAAGAGATGAAAGATACCGACAGAACATGGCCATCCCATTGTCATGCGCCATACCGTGCGAGAGAGGTCGCGCCCAGTGCCCTGTCAACCTGAAGACTCGAAGACGTCGAGAGCAATCCAGAGGATTGACATGAATGCGTCCATGCATTGACTATTCAATGGGCAGCTGCGCAACTTGAAGGTGATATAAGTATGGTGCATGAGACGAATTTAAAGTCTTGGACGGTCTTACGCTAATACCAATTCCGAGCCAATCCTGCGTGACCGTCGAGCCACAAAACATATGCATGCATATGTTTAGACACATTCTTAACGTCCAGTTACTATAAGCATTAATGGGGTAGTGGTAACCTGGGTCGTTGCCATCGACCCGCCGGGGGTTCGATTCCCCCTTAATGCATTCAGCGAGCTGTATTAAGTTTTTCATTTTACACAACCTCGGAGACTGGGGTGGGGCGCGGTGGTTCATATTTTTGATTGAAGTGCCCTCTTCGGAATCTGTAACTGTCGTCGAGCTGGCCTTTGGATTTACTCTGATTTTTGCACGACGCGTGTCGATCGTGCTGATCCAATCACATGCGGCAGAAGAACGCGCGCCGTCAAGTCTGCTCCCGACTCGGCCGGCGCACACACCGCGCCTGCCGACCCGCTGCGGTGTGCGCGCGCTGCTCCTGCCACTGTGCAGCTTTCACGTCTGTGCTGGATGTTCCGCCCTGTCAGCTAGCACATCCTGAGCGATGGATTCCATTCCGATGGCGAGGATGCGCTCGCCAAACAGCGCGTCCCGCTCAGCCTACTCGCCGCGGCGCTCTCCCCCCTCAGCCAGCGCACCTCGTTCTGCCTATACTCCCGTACCCACCGCCCGTACAGCCGAGGAGCTTCCCCCGGTGAACTCGTTCGAGAGCATGGACGATACACACGTGCAAGAGATACACCCGGAGTGGAAGCGTAGCCTATATATGCTCCTGGAGCGGCCCACTTCCTCGTACTCGGCTTTCATCATCCACGTTGCTACGACGTCCCTGATTATCATCTCTGCGCTTGTGACTGTCCTGGAAACTATTCCGTCCTTCCACTCAATATCTCCACGAATATGGTTCGGCTTCGAGACGACGCTGGTTGTGCTCTTCACGGTGGAGTACATCGCGCGGTGTCTAGCGCACTCTGCGAACGTGTGGACATTTCTGCGATGGTTTGGCTGTGCGTAAACTGTCCTTATGTGTGGGCTAGACGTAACCTCTGTGCCATGTCCAGCGTTCTTCGGTATCATAGACTTGCTTGGTATTGTTCCGTACTACCTGGAGATCATCCTCCACCAAGACACCGTACGTCGACGCACGCTGTCTGCGCTCCTCTCATGCGAATATCTGGCAGTCAACCTTTTTCAGATTTACCATTCTGCGGACGTTTCGCTTGCTACGCGTGTTCAGGCCGTTCCGCTATAATAACACTATCCTACTGTGCGTACGCCAGAGCATCCTCCTCGGACATCTGACTTATGGGGTTAGTACAATCGAGGTCATGTACCTCTCCTTCCGCCGCTCACAACACGCACTGCTGGCGCTTGCATTCTTCGTGGTCATGGTCCTAGTCGTGTTCAGCACACTCTTGTAGGTACTCTGACGTGCAACCTTTCAGGGTAGCTGATAAAGCGTCCAGATACTTCGCTGAGCGTGGAACATGGGACGAAGTACTGGGCACGTTCATCAATTCTGACGGTGATCCCAGTCAGTTCGCGGTATGTTTCCCTTGACTTCTTAGCCGCCTAGTTGATCTTACATCACGCAAACCAGTCAATTCCGGCTGCTGCATGGTACGTCATGTTTGTATATGATCGCCACAGAGAACTGTCTGACACCATTACTGTTCTAGGTTCGTGGCATGCAGTGAGTGTTAATGGTACATGTTCTGGCTTCGCTCCGACTCACAACGACCAGCGATCACAACCGTCGGCTACGGCGAGATCACACCTCGCTCGTTCCTCGGGAGGCTGATCACAATACCGTTACTTGTCTTCGGCCTCCTCCTCATCGCGCTCCCGACCTTCGTCCTCGGGCGCGAGTTCAGTCTAGTCTGGGAAATGATGAAAGAGGACCAGGTGCGCTCCTCCATCATTGACATTGACCACCGCCACTCACTTCACGCCTCACGCCTCTAGCAAATCTCCCGCGAAGAAGTCTTCAACGCACACGCGCTCGACCCGCTCGCCTCGCCCACGCTCGTCCGCCAGCGCTCCTCGTCGTCCGCCATGAATCCCTGGCGCCACACGCAGGACGAGCCACAGGCGGGCAGCAGCTTCTCCCGGGAGAGCAAGGAGCTCCGTGAGCAGGTCGCGGAGCTGAAAGCGAGCGTGGAGATGCAGGGCGCGCTGTTGCGTCGGCTTGTCAGCGCTGTGGAGGGGGGTGCGCAGGGGCAGGGGCGAGGGAAGCAACGCTCCCAGGGGCTCGGAGAAAATGTACTGTAGAATAGGTCGATATTTGTCTTGTTCGATAAGGCTTTGCTATAACTTGGGCAGGTACTGCGTGCGCGCTGGAGAGGTGAAATTTGAAAGTGCAAGCCACCCGCACCACAGCCCCGAGACGACCGATCTCTGCGATCTGCAATGGTCGCTGGGCTAGCACTCATTTCACCCGTGGCCTCACCGCCAGACGGCCTCCGCAGGATCAGTTCTGTGATTGAAAAACAAAAACGTCTGTACAGAGCGCCGAATGCATTAAGGGGGAATCGAACCCCCGGCGGGTCGATGGCAACGACCCAGGTTACCACTACCCCATTAATGCTGATGTCATGGTAGATATGTTTTAAACTGAGCATTGATTGTCTCGCTCATCGTCTGTGAAGACAAGCGGTAGTGCGAGAGTTGCTCCGAGTCTCAGCACAAGTACTGCTGCTACCTGCATTTCAGCCTGAGGCTCTGACTATTGACATATCTGCGTGTCCCAAAGCCCAAACCATTCCTGACTGTCAACATGGCATACAAGCCTCCGCATGCCCGGGCACATCGGGTGTACCAGCCCGGGAAGCGGCACATGGAACTGATGCCTTCCCTGAGTAGGAGCAGTGGGCTGGACAAAGATGGGGATGCGTGAGTCCTTTGGGGCATTTGACGATGGCTTCATTGTGACGCTGCATAGGGATGTAGGCTGAGGGACCGTGCAGTCCAGGAGGAGTATCGCGCGTTCATTGAGGGGAAGGTGAGCGTCGATGTAGTGGATGTTGAAGGACTCAGGGTTGACCATGAGCTTGTTTGGGGCAGGTCGACGACTTCTGGAAGCGCCATCCGTATGGACGAATCAGTACCGACGCGGATGCGAGACGTCGACAAGAGGAACAGGAGAACATCTTGATCTTGTTCAGTATGTACTATCTTGTGCATGGTTCATTGCCCGTTGCAGCACTCAGAGCACGCCAGGAAAGCTCCGCGAGGGACTCTTGGCGACCGACCGCAAGGATGCATTCGCACTCGAAGGTGAGCGCGCCATTCTTCATCTCCTCCGCCAGTCGACGAGAGCTCGCTTCAGCGTACGAAACGTCCCTCCACCTCTCGATTATCTTCCGCTCCGACAAGCAGACGACGTCTGTCCTCTCCCACCTCCCGCACCTCTACGGCGCGCGTCCGGGAGCTGCAGATCCCACTCACACAGCGCTGCCTACGACTCTGCTCTCGCTCCTTCACCACCTCCTTCTGGGCTACCCCTCGCAGAGCAGGTACCACGAGCACCTGTACTCTTTGCCTGGCCCGTTCCTCCCTCGCGATAGTGCGGCGTATCGATGGATCGCGCAGCTGACGCATAGTCTGCGCACGAGGAACTACGCGAAGCTGCAAGAGCTCACGGACCGCGATGCATTCGAGGGCTTCTTCGTGGACCCAGGCGCACCGGACGAGGGCGGAGGTCACCCGCCTAGCGGCGAGACGTCTGAGCAGATAGTTCATCAATCGGCGGGACAACCCAACCTTGCGCTGGAGGCTATGTGCACGCTTGTCGAGGGCATCCGCGACAAGGCTCGTGCGACAGCGTGGCTCGTTATGCGGAGCGCGTATCGAGAGCTTCATTGTGTCCCGCTACCTGTCAGTGCGCCGAAGACAACCGACAAGGAGCCCTCACCTACCAGCGAATGGCTTGCGCGTTCGTTGGCTCTGCGTCCTCTCGGGCCTCTGACAGCGGACGTCAGTGAGATGATGAGATGCGTGAACGAGTGGTTGGAGCAGAAGTGTGGCGAAGGCGAAGTAAAGCGCAAAGAAGGTCCAGAAGGGAGATGGGTCGTTAACAAAGTGCCTGTCAAGATGTAGTACATGTTCCTCGGAGCGACAATATTGTGTGATGTTACATTGGGATACGCCGAAGCTTAGCCCTCCAGGAATCTGCACTCATCCGCTATCATACCATTCACGCCGATGCAATCTATTTTCTTGTCAAATGAAACTCGTCCACCACGATTTGAACGATGTCTTTCCATTCCGCCATGGCTCCCATACCTGTTGTGTGGGATGTTCTTCGATGAGTAAAGATGACAACTACAGGTCAGAATTACGCACCAACATCACCACATGCGAGTGCCTTGCCTATTGGACCGACAACTTGATATTCGATCACCTCGCGTATTACCGTGAGCTGCTCGGCTGTGAGGGGGTGCTCGTACATAAGCGTGTTCATCGCGGGGAACACGTATGTAGGCGTTGTAGGTGCAAGTGCGCGGAGTAGAGACGTCTACCAACCGGTAAGCCGTCGTATGTACGGAGGCACAGGTTCAGGACATACCGCCAAGTTGTCGCAAATACCATGCGCGATCTTTGCTATCGTGTTCGCCGAGCACGGCGCGATGAGGACAATATCCGCCCATCGTCGCAGTTCTATGTGCAGGATAGGATCACCGATCCTGTAACCACCCTACATCAATATGTCAACCACTGTATATAAAAACCAGAGGTCAAACATACGTCTGAAGACCACTCGTCCTCATCTCGCCAAACCCTTGCGCCTGCTCGTTCCACCGCGCCGACGTCGAAGAATGACAGTGAGGCTTTGGTCGCCACAGCTTCGACCTTTACACTCTCGTACTAGATAACATAAGCTCCGTTAGTCAATCGTTGCTTGAACATCATGAGACAGGACACGGACGGACATCAGCTCAGAAACGATTAGTGGTGCTTTGATGGAGGCGACGCTGCCAGTTGTAATGAGTAACACATGTGTGCACCCTTCTGTGCGCTCCTGTTCTGCAACAAATGTTCGTTTGCTCATGTTGTGATTTGATGTTCAGTCTTTGGCAAACGTCAGGTAGCAAATGGCGAGATGGAGTTCAGAGTCAAGACGACGACCGCAGCTGCGGGCTGACCGCCACCGACGTAGCACGCCACAACGCCACAGGCAGCGATCACGAGCGCCTCGGGTGTATCGAGTCCCTGCCAGTGCATCCATTCCCGATCATGTTCTTATCCAGTACCGTATATTGCACGTTCGGACGACTCGCATTCTCTCGCAATATTGAAACCACTGAGACTACTACTCTTCATTCATTGAATGGGTGAACACCTGTCTCTGTGAGCTACAGTATCTATTCGAAGCTTCTGTCACTGATGATTCTGACAGCTTAATATTGCCGTCGCAGTCGTTTCGACCTTACTTGCAAGTCCACCCAGGTCCCGAACCTCTTCACTTATGTATCATTACCCTGAAGACGAGTACTCTCCTCCATGGACGCCAGCCTCCCAGTCCCAGGGCTACCTCACGAATCACCGATCACATCATCGTCCATCTACACAACGTTATCTTGTGCCTTGGTGTATGCGCAGAGCGAGAGCGTGGCTACCTACCGCACGATGGCACCGATTCAGGACTGTCGTGGTGGAACTCGGGAAGGAAGGCAGATTCGCTAAACTCAGCGAAATACTCTCCACCTCATCCGAGCTGTTGCTACCTATCCGCACACTCTGGATCAAGGCCCCGCCGACTGAAATCGGTGGGGACATGACCCAATTGGCCCGGTTAAAATCGAAGGCAGAGGCACTCCACATCTTCTGAACGACTTTTGAGGGGGTTTCAAGTTGGACTCGCAGCTGAATGACCAGAAGCTGTGGACGTTGGTCTCTGTGCCTGATCCAGGATTTGTGGACTACGATTCACTTATCATCGTATCGTTCACCAACAACATCTACTTGAACGAGAATATCTTCAACTTAGCGCTGTGAGATATCAACGCATGAAATGCCGGTGGGAAGAAGCACCGGATACTCTGTGAGTCTGAGTAGACTGATCCTTGCTTCGTACGAACTGACATATTTCGGGACGTGTGACTAGACCCGCCCGCTGTCTTTGGAGACGACCAAGGGACGACCGTACATAGGCAGACTAAGGCGTGAGTCATCACGAGCATCCTCGTCTGACGTCAGGAGGCTCAACACCGCATCGGTTTCTGATGTTGTCCCTGCAGGGCACGAAGCTACGGTCGCCGGGGCCGTTTGCCCGCGACACCGACTACTCTTGTCTCTGATCCTGTCGTGCACTGTTCGTTTGTTCGGGATACTCTGATCAATATCTAGTACCGTATCACCCCCATGTCTGACAGCTCTGCTGACATGCGATCTTGGACCTATCCCGGAAGAGATTGCACTGAAGCGTGAACGATGCTGGATGCTCGTTTGCGATTACTTTTATCCGTCAGATCGGAGTCTTCTGACGAGATACCAACATTCCGGTTTTTGTCCAGCGTTCCCAGAAGGTGCAACAATGGAGCGCATCGTAAGCGCTAGCCACAGACGACGAATTTATTACCTGTGAGGGCAGAACTGTGAGTGCAGAGAGTACTCATCACTCAGCTACTGCGACCAAACTTTTGATAGGCCTCTCCTATCCTTTTCTCTGCAGTATCTGGAGCCGGAACAGCTGCGCGCAAAATGTCAGCCGCATCCTGCCCAGGTGTCACGTCGACCCCAGCAGCGCAGACATCGAGCGAGGTCCCTGCTCCCAAGTTACTTCCGGAACTCTTCGACCAAGTTATCGATCACCTCCACGACGACATCCCGGCCCTCACGAGATGCGCACTCGTCAGCAGAGAATGGACGTCCACCGCGCGATACCATCGTTTCAACACACTCAAAGTGAACCTTCGGTACGACGACTACACGAAGCTCGGAGAAGTGCTGTCCGCCTCTCCAGAGATCCGCCGTCTCGTGCGCGAGCTCTGGATAACCACTCCGTGGGACGACATGGAGACGCTCACCAGCCCTTACCTTGGGCCGCTCACCTGGCTTCCGGTCATGGAAGCGACAGAGGAACTCGTCCTTAAGGACCACACACTCGAGGATGATGAACAGTTGGACTACGATTTTCGCCCGTACTTGCCCGCGTTGAAGCGAGTGCACTTCTACGCAGGTAGACTCGGCGTTGGCGTTATCGACCTGATGTCGGGGTCCTTCCCGGACATGGACACGCTCCGCCTCACCCAAATCGGAAGGCTGATCCGCATGCCCCGGTCCCGCCGCCGCAGTGGCCCTCAAGTTGTTGTCCCGCCCCCGAGACTACACACGCTGGACTTCCAAAACTTCTGCCCTACCGTGCTCACCTTCACGTCCCAATGGATGGCCCGCCATCCCAATGCGAACTTGCTTTCGACGTTGCACGTCCAATGTCCGTTCGTTTGCACGCGCGAGGCGCAGCCCATGTTCGACCTCTTTGGCCCCCTCCGGCTGCACAGCCTTCATATCGGGATCCTCACTTGGATGGACGGGCATAAAGAACTACACAGCGGTAAGTCGGCGATTGTCACGCGCAGGCGCGAGGCTCATGAGGATATCACTAGCTCCCCCGACGACCGCTTCGTTGAAGCCCTGCACACAGCTCCGCGAGTTCAGCATAACGATTCAGATGTACGACGGGGTTACGCAGGAGTGGCCGCCCGTGCTATTCCACGTTCAGAGGATCCTACAGAGTCTGTCATCACCGGTCCTGGAAAAGCTCACCATCGCGACGCGAGGGAGCTTTGGGAAACCTTGCCCGGTCGATATCATACAGGAACTGGATTGGAACGCCATACAAGACACGCTGTTGGGGAAACACTTCCCGATCTTGCGGACGATAGTCATCAAGGGGAAGGGAGACCGGCATGCGTTGACTGCTTTCGTGAAAGAGAAGTGTCCGGAGCTGTATGGACGGGGATTGATACGCTTCCTGTCGATCCCATCAACGTTGGACTGGAGTTTGGACCCGTGATGAAAATGTATCAGTGAGTTTCATCGTATCAGACCTCGTCACTGGCAGAATTAGCACGTCTGACAAAGAGTCTAGCTCTGTATTACAATTTCACAAGTACAATCAACCTCGTTCACGACAACATGCGGTGTTCGACGACACGGGACAAGAAACCTGATGACACAAGGAGCGACGAATTGTTAAATAACACTTTTGGAATGAAAGAGTCTCTACGCTCATGAATTGCGAATCTAATCCGCGTTGGTAGTAAGGACTCCGTCTTCGTAGACGACTTGCTTGCCCTTGCCTGTAGTCTTCGCCGCTTTGCGCGATTGGTCGAAGTCGCCAATGAACGCAGGGAGGTCGTCCGTGGGGGTCTGGATTTCTTCATCATCGACATCGGAGTCGTCGTCTTCAGCTGCGACCGCAGCCGTCGAGGACATACGAGACGCATTGGATGCGCTCTTCTCGCGATCATCACCATTCATGCCTGTAGTGCACACGCGGCACGTCAGTCACGACGGCATTTACCCAAGTCTGCACGCACCATCGACGCTTCTCTCGTCCGCGCTTTCGTCGTGCGTCGCACGAATCCTTTTCGTCAGCAGCGCCAGATCCGTCACGCGTGCCTTGAATGCCACCGGCGGTGGAGGATACCACAGATACCCCGCGCGCTGTCCAACAAGGCTCATACTAGCAGTGCCCAGTACAGAGGTCGAGTGCGACTGCATCGACGGCGCGAACGACAGAGGTGCGAGCCCAGACAGATACGCAGAGTCGTTGGCGGTGGTAGTAGCCGGGTGCGGCACGTGGGCGTTCGTAGCGTCGAGGAGCAGCTGCGAGAGGTAGAGCATGTTCAAGGTGCGTTGACTCTCGGCTTCAGTGAGGTCCACTTGCGTGTAGTCCGTTGGCAGAGTGGGTACGGTGGGGGCGAAGCGTTCAGAATACAGCGTTGGGTAGCTAGCCTGAGAGCCAGCGAGAAACTGAGAGCCCGCGGGAGCGTCGACAGAGCTAGCATTGCTTGAGCCGAAAGATGTATCACCAGAGCTAGACTTATCGAATGTGTCGGCGCCAGACAGGTGCGAGAGTACCATAGGGAAAGCGAGAGGGATGTAGCCGAGAGATGGAGACTGGACCAAGGTGCGTGTCTTTAGGCTGTTGAGGCCTTGCGAGGATTCCACGGGCGCAAAGGGGTTGGAACCACTCGACTGGAGTTGGTGATCTTGATACAGAGGCAGAGAGAACGAACTGCCAGGTGTCGCTATGTGAACAGAAACTTCAGGAGCAGCAGGTTCCAGTGCAGCTTCCGGACTGCGAGAGGTAGTATCAGGTTGTCTTTTGCGTTTCTTTGGATGCTTGCCGCCTTGCTGATCCTGCAAAACTTGATGGATCGAGACATCGCTCCTGGGAGAAGAGCCAGCAGTGTTCGGCTTGGAGGCGGGGGGTGCGCCCGTCGACGACGACGATGGGTCCCCTTGACGGCTGTCCGTAGAACCTTCCCGACCACTCTTTCCCCTACCTCGACGCTGTCGACTGAGCCAGTTCCGGATCCACCGGACCTCTCTTCATGCAGGGTCTTGTATAAGTCGATCAAACCCAAGCCAGCGTAGCACAGACGTACAATCCAGTCTCTTTTCCAACCCGGACAATCTCCTCCTTCGGCGGACTGTCTCCGGCGCGCCGGCGAAGCTGCTGCAGCGCGGTGACTTGCCATGGCGCGGCGACGACCTTGTCGCGGCCGATCTGAGTATCCTGGGCGACTTGATTGGCGGGAAACTGGTGGGTGCTGCTGCGACTCATCGTGCACGACTCTTTCGGGCCCGGTTCGTGTTTGAGGGGCTGCGCGTGTAGAGGGAGATGGACGTCTTGGTCAAGAGGTGAGTACGCCTCGAAGCGGCGACGAAGACGAACGTGCGGAGCGTGAATCTCGTCCACCGTGATCTTGCTCTTCACTGTGATCCCACCGAGTATGTATGCATGTGTGCGGCCACGTACACAGCACGCCGTGAATTTTCTCTGCGCGGTGCATTTGGTACACTACGGCTACGGTACAAAGACAACAGAGGACAGAGGACACTAATCATACAAAAAACGGCACCACGATCCCATGGCCCAGATAGATCAGACACACAAACTATCCAAATGCACACGTCCCGGTTTTTCTATACTCTGCGTGCGCACCTCAGCTACCACTTGCCCGCGAGCCTACCAGCGGCCCACGCCGACCCACCTCCACCTACGGGCACCAACAGCATCCACACGCCAAAATCCCACACCAGCCTCCGCCCGAGGCGCCTCCGCTGCAGCGTGCGCTCCTTCCGCTGGAGGAGCTCGTCGTTCCGCGAGTCGCTCGCGTCCGAGCGCGCGCTCGGCATGCCCGGGCTCGACACTGCGGTCGCGGGCGTGCTCGGCGGGATGATGATCGACAGCGGGCTGCGGAAGTTGTGCAGGATGATGTGGAGCAGCGCGGGGAGCATGTACGTGCTCAGGAAGGCGAGGATCCATACGGCATCGCTGAGCGCGCGCGCAAAGGCGGCGGGCACGAGCGAGAGGCCGATCGCGGCGATGAATACGAGGACGCGAGAGAGGGGGACGGGGGTGGCGCGGCGGACGGAAGATGAGATGGGGAGTGCGGGAGTCGGGATGAGTATAGATGGTACAGACAGCACGAGGGCAGCCGTTTCGAACAGCGCTCGTGCTGCGAGAACGTATTCGGGCGTCGTGACGAGTGCGTCTGGCGACTGCACTGGTCTTTCCTGCGACTTCAGGCGGTCAATACCGACCATCTGGTAAAAACGGGGATGAACTCACCGTTGGCAAATTGGCAGTTTGGAAGAATACAAGCGGTAGTATACATAGTACCGCAATCCCTACGGATAGCGCGGAGAGTAGCTTGAAGGACTGAGATCGCCGCGGGCGGGCGCTCAGTGGTTGTGTGGTGCCTCGAAGGGCAGTATACAAGGAGGTTGTCGAGGACGTGGTAAAAGCGAAGGCAATGATGGCTAGGCGATATAAGACAATTGCATGGGCGGAGGTCGATCGATCCACTCACATGCGCTTTGCCATAACGCTCCTGCAGATACGGGGGCTGCTCTCCTAGGGAGTATACCCTGCGAATGGGAATACGCCGTGCATATGAACCATGCTACATATGCAGCGAGGGATGCCCAGGTCGCATATATGACCCGCGCAACACCAAGGGATTGGGCAAAGTAGAGCGGGGCGATGATGAGAGCAAGTACGAGCGTCACCGTGACATCTGACGGGAGGACGAGCTTCCCCGGTAGGAATGGCAAGAGGACATCCACGGACGCTGTGCGCAATGTCAATTAACGACCCAGCTGGCAAGAACGCAGATATGGGCTGCGAATCGGCCTCAATTGATAAATGGGCACCGCTCAGAATGCATGGCATGTATCGCAGGACACAACTACATGTCACAACAATACGATGACAGCTGTAATGGGTCTTCAAGCCTATTGCCGAGAGATGAGCTACGGCTGGGCACCAGACAATGGTGGTGCCCAAGCCGTGGCTCTATCGAATGTTGGGCGGTTGGTGTCTTACTCAGAGGTCCCCGGGCATTGGCCAATCAAGGATGCCCGCCGCAGCCCAAGATAGCGGTCTACTCGTCGGATGGTAGGATGCTCACCTCGCACATACACCACAGCCAACAACACTCGGAACACGCCCGATGTCAAGCGGACGATCTGCCTAAAAGCCCACCTCCGTCCCTCCTTCCTCCGGTCCCGCGCGAACGTCTCCAGCACGATCTCCTCTAAGTCCGCGCGCCGGATGTACCTCGCCAGCATGTACCAGATCTGGCGCGTAAACATCGCCAGCGCGGCGAAGAACAGTGCCGCAGGCACTGCGACCTTGAGCGGTAAACCAGCATCTGGGAGGAGGAGCGCGCCAAGCTTGAGGAAGGGCGATAGGAGGTAGAGGAAGACGGAGATGGAGGAGAGCGGCGGGAATGCGGAGGCCTGTAGGCGGTCGGCAGTCCCTCCGATACCGCTGTCGTCGTCCGAGTCGTACTCGTCGTCGCTGGAGATGCCGAACGGGGTGCTCGCACTGAGCTCGTCGGTATCTGGGACAAGGATGAGCGCGGCGGAGGAATCGAAGCCCTGCGTGGGCGAACTGCGGCCGGAGGAGTCGGAGCTTGTCGACGGGCGGGGGCTGCTGGACATGGCGAGATGGGGCGTAAATGAGCGTGAGGGGCAGAGACCAGTCTGCGGTGCAGGCCCGGGCTATGATATGTGATGCTAGCAGGGATGGTGCCAGTAGGCTGCGCAGAGCTGAGAGCACTCGAGGCAGGCACCAGTCCCTCCAGCACCCGTCTTCCCACGCTCTCCATGTACACCTTCCGCTCACCCGCACCCGCACCCGCAGCGGACGCGAGCAACTCACATCGGGCAAACTGGCTGTCGCGCAAGTGGACGGGTACAGAGAACGTCGATGGGCATTGTCAGTGTGCTAATGTTACGAATAACAACTACGAATAACAGCATGAAATCACTTCGACGCGCCCGATTCCTTCGGTGCCTCGCCACCCTGCGCAACGCATTACCATCATGAAATATGAACTGCATCCCACTCGGTCTCACCTTCGACGTCTTGCGGGCATCGCCAAGATCTGAGGGAGCCTCGCCGCCCTTCTTCTCGGTCGGCTTTTCTTTCTGCTCGGGCTTCGTCTCTGCCTCGGAGGTCTGGCCGGGAGCGCCTTCGGCCCACTTGCCGTCCTTCGCCTTCTTTTCTTCAGCTGCCTGAGCATCTGGGGGCGAATCCTCGTTCTGTGCGAATGACACCTCAGTATGGCACGTAGATACGTGTAAAGACCACTCACAAAGCTTTGCTGCATGGACTCGTTCACCTCCTTGCCGGAGACGGTCTCCCCATCAGAGTCAGTGATCGCATCCTTACTTTCGCTGGATTCCTGGGGCGCACATTCGGTACACATCTACTTCGAACCGTATAAGGCACATACCGGCTTGTCTTCAGCCTCCTCACCCGAAGGCTCCGGCGCGCTCTCATCTTCGTTCTTAACGCTGTACGCGCCGTCGTTTGAATGGGATAATGCGACATCATGCGACTTTTTGGTCGAACCCGATGAGATCAACCAGATGGCCTGTTATTCGCAGCGGGGAGTGTCAGCGCTCTGTTGTACTCGCGTGACGTACCGCGAGCGTACAAGAGGGCCAAACGTGATAGCAGAGCCAATCTACACCGGCGACTCAATCAGCACACCAGTCCGCACAACACGAGATGGTACGCGAACTCACTATCCATGGCATGTCGCTGCTCTTCCCAGCCTCCGCGGAACTGCTCATGCACCGCCTGCCAGCGGTGCGGCCAGTCGTGCGCAAACTCGGGCGAACAGCCTGCGCAAAGATACGTCGTCCAAGACGGGATGCCATAGTAGTAGAACAGTGAGTACGAGCTGGAGGGAAATACGTCGACTGCCAGGTCAGTCCGCTGGCGCCTGCTCGACGTCCCCAGCGCGCTTCGGACAGCCCCGGATTGTACGCCGTGACGTCAGTGTAACGTTGATTTCATTATGGCATCACGCCAAACGTCAAATAAGTAAGCAACTTAGACAAAAGACGGTATGCCCGCCTAGCTCAATCGGATAGAGCGTGAGACTTTTAAGTCATGGGCATTTCCAGTTCACTAGAATATCTCAAGGCTGCGGGTTCGACCCCCGCGGTGGGCTACTAATTTGTTTTTTTTTTTGCTTCTGCGACGATATTTTTCTTCGATCTTCATTCCGAGTCGAGTGCTGCTTTATTCTCTCACACGACGTATGTGTATGCTGCATTGGATCCACTCAATTTCATTCGTGTCGTCAAGAACGTTACCCTGACGGCAGCATCACTACTTTCAAATTCCCGCCTTATTGAACGCAAACCTTGTTCACTTCCAATGGACCTCTTTGAAGTAATGTGGGACGAACTCAGGGCTCTCAATATCCTTATGCAGATTCATCAACACTAGCTTGGCAACATGACTACCAGACCGGCCGCAAAGATCAAAAGAATTGGCTCGTGAACCCGGACAGTGGGTGCTCACCGAGCTCCCCGGGAGTTGGTTGGAGACTATCGGAGATGCTCCTGTGAGTCGTCTAGCCACGATGTCCGGTCTATGGAGGGCATCTGGGTCCCGGAGGTGAGTGGTCTTCGTCGGTACACATGGAGACACAGCGCAATCACAGTGTACAACAAGATTACACGACTCGGAGGCAAAGCGCCGAAGGTTTCCGACGGCAACAGCGACTCACAGAATCGACAACGCCATCGCGATTGAACTCCGTGAATATGTGGAGATCGCCATCTGACTGGAAACGGTTTCGTTGGGCGCCAACAGTCGGGGTTGACTTGAAGTTTGAACCGACTCCGTCGTAGGTTGGTCGTAACTTAGGTGACCCCAGGGCGACCCTACTAGTACTGTGCATCCTTCAGAGACAAATTACGACGAAGTGGACGTACAACGTGGACGAATACTTGACCTGGCAGCGAACCTCAATTCCTGACGAGCAATATGCAATTCACGTTACGTGGGATACGTCGATGGGGAGAAGCATCCGACAGGCATGGAGGTGCGGTACGTAAGTCGATGCGATCTTGTATCTTGTTACGTGTACTCACGCAGATCGATGTTACACGGATTCTAGATGTGACGACTCTTCACCAGCCTGAGGTCAACGGCATCCCATGGCGACACGTAGGAATACTTGGTGAGTACCATGCTCGCTGACACTGGCAGGTGCTTCAGTCGGCATGGTCCCCTTTGACGGTCAGTATAGACACTGTCAATGAAACGGACGTGTGCCTGGCTTCCGTTACACACCTTCTCAGGTGCCGATGGTCGGATGAGCACTGGGGTTCGCTGGTAACACCGCGAGATTGTAGGCGTCGGCATGCCGTAGTTGGAGACTCCAGCCTGCCCCATGTCAATCAAGCAACCGTAAACTTGGACCTGATCACGTCATCCGAAAATCAGGGACAATGACAACGTACGTCGAGAGCCCAGCCAATGTTGGCCCTTGTCTGTGTGCGTGCAGTCGCTGACAGGACCAGGCATCCCCTCCGATCGAACGAACAATTCACGCGTCCATCGTAGGTACAGTGAGACACGCTCTCTGATTGAATTGCACCATGTGGTGAGTTGTTTTCAACGCCCTCGGAGTGCACTGTTACTCACCGCGGCCTACTACGACTTGACGTCCCTCCACGCTCATGCCCAGTCTTCTGAGTCGCGGGGAGCGACCTCTAGCTCGATAACGTTCGGCACGTCCTCTCTTGCGTCACAGGTCTACAGTCAGCCGCGGTAACGGCGACGATCCTGCCCAACGATCGGTTTGGGTCGTTGTCTGACGCTCGAAGGCCCGCGGAAGATTTGTCAGCTGGCGGGCGACGGCCGTCAGCGTGAAGGTGAGTTTGGCTGCGCTTCGTACTTTCCCTATGCCACCTATTGGGGACATACTGGTGGGAGTCGTGGGGGGAGTGCAAACAGGACGGATGGACTGACTCTTCCCATGCACACTAGGACGCCCATGGAATCGATATCGTCCACACCGTTAACCGATAGGCACCGCAAGCTAAAGCAAGCACTCATCGATGGTTGCTTGGGTGCGTCGCTGACTCTGCTCCTATTCTTTAAGACATCAGAGGGAGTGGGGCGGGGAGGTCTCGGCTGAGCAGACATGGTCACAGAGGCCGGTTGGCGAGGGGGACGTGGTGAGCCTGTGCTCATCCGTGGCGAGGACGCGGCGATAGATTTCGCCGCAGCGTCCAGCGGTCTTCCACCCAGTCTGTGTGATCCAGTGAGGGCCGCTCAGATGTCGCCGCGCGCATGGACTTGGGGGCGGAGAACAGACATGTGGACCTGCTGAATTGCGGCTGACGTCCCTGGGATCCGTACGAGATACATACAGGTGGGCATCTATCAAAGAGTGGAAGATGACGCGATGACGTGTTGTCGGGTTCTTTTCTCATATGCCACCATCGACCCTTTCAAGGTCCCCGAAATGCTGGTGTTTGCGTGACAGATCTAGGGCACGAAAAACAGGAAGAATCTCGTGCCTTCGATTCAGGTATAGGTGGGTTCATTCGTGCTTAACACTCATTGATAACGCCGAATTGAGGATGTTAATACAGAGCGCTCCGTGCACAGCGACGGTCACTTGTGTTGAGCACGCTTACGCAGGAATCTTCCATTCTGCAAGCCGAACAGCCCTAGAACACGGCGTCTGGAAGAGCGGGCACTTCCGTGCTTTCAGACGCATAGTGACGGGGCCCGAGTCATGACCTGGGTCCTAAACCATCCAAGTTACCTGACGTGCATCTCCGAACCCCATTCCATCAGACTTTGAGTGTACTCTGTCGGCGTCTTTGGATGTCGCGAGTTCGCGTCAGATATGCAGCCCTTGCGGATAACAGAACCGGCGTCACAGCGCGGCCTTACCTGCGACCCCGGAAGTGAGCCACGCTGGTGATAGATTGAGCGTGGGTTCTGCGGCAGGTAATGAGACTGCATGCAGCGCAACTGGCCACAGTAGGCCGCATCCATGCCTTGTCTGAGCTCCCAGGAGGTGCCGGCCGTGACAGAGGCATGGAAGACACTAGTACTCTCACCTATGTATACCGCTAGCCGGCGAGCTCTCGTCCGGAGACGAACGCCCCCCACTAACATTCGCCAGCAAGACCCTCTGACCGTAGCATCCGGTCTGTCTCTGTACATGCTTTGGATGGCGGAACGTCCGCGGAACACGACTCGAACGGCACTCCACAGTGGGACCACACCGTCGAAGCAGCCATAGCGGCAGGTGGGTGGGATGGTATGCGCATTACACGTGTCTATCGTGACTGAGCACTAAGTCTTGAATCGCAGGTTACGCTCAAATCGGCAGTGATTGGGCTATAGAATATCGATGAATCTATTTCGAGCGCAGGGGCTTGGCACTTCCCCAAATACACGGGCGCATTCAACATCCGGGTGAAGTTGTCCACCAGCGTGTTTGGCATTTATGACGAGAAGCGAGATGAATGAGATGGTGCCGGTGGAGTGCATTTGGTGCTTTGAAATTTACAGTGACGACTCTACATTGCTCTCCGAGTCAAGGCTCAATCCTGAGCACCTGCGATTCTCGCCATTGTCATGATGCGCTAGAACGTCTTTACATGAGCGCTGACATTCTAGTCGTCAGGCCGTACAAGTTGACATGGAGGATCCGATATCAAATTGCTTGGGACAGCCTGATGGGTCGAGACTCCGTCCCGAACATTGATAATATCACACGTGTGCGCACACGACGGTGGAAAGCGCACCCACCAGTATCTCTTGCCCTCAAGAGCCACCGGCCTTTTGGATGGTTGATTTAAGGCGGCCTGCCCCTCGCTGGGGGTCTCCATACTATGCCGGCCTCCGCAATCTACACTACTAGTACGTGCAGCGAGAGGCTTCATTCCCGTATATCCTAAACGCTGATCCATCTGCTCATAGCAATGGCTACGCCTTCTGCAAGTGACGGCGCCGCTGCCGTCTACGACCAGTCGACCGTCTGCAGACTTCCAAAGGACTCGCAGCCCATCTGCGGGCATGTGTTTGCCACGGTGTCGCCCAGAACGATTAAACAGCACATCAGCATGCACCACCCCGAATATATCCAGGGCGAGCGGACCAACTGCGGCTGGTGCACGGACTCTGCGACGGGTCGTACATGCGGCCACGGCCTCTCGAAAGGTCATCTGCACAAGCATATTTGCAACGTGCACCTCAAGATGGCCGTTTGCTGGTGTAGCTGCTGCGGTGGCGTGTTCTCCCGCCCCGACGCGCTCAAGCGTCATCTGAAGAATACCAAGTGCGGGGGCATCGATGCGGAGTAAGGTGAACGTTTTCGCTTGAACAACATTCGCAAAAGACTGAGAGTCGCCGACAGGAGTGTGAAATTCATCATATGTACCGAAGAACGTCTTTCGCGTATCGCTGCCGCTAGGTGTCTTCTTCAGATTATCCTGTATGGTCAATCAAAGGAAATCCCCTGCGGTATCGATCCGCTGGCAAGGGGCTGCGTTATATGCAATGCATCATGATTATGGTTAAATATCCATGAACAAAGTGTGCCAGGATACTAGTGCCTTGACAAGTGACACCGTGTTCAACCGCACGCAGCTACCCGTAAGCTCCCAACTAGAAGATTTCCGTCAACTCGCTCGAGGACCGTGTCACTAACGAGGGTATCGATAGCATCATATTCTCGAAACTCTACGCGCCACCAAGTGACAGATGCTGTGTGTACTCCGAGTCGGAGACGTTCAAAATTCAGGAAGAGTATCGTAACAAACGCACCGCCTGCGGAAGACTAACCACTATCGATCCCTACCATGACTTCTGGCGCTGTAAGCATCCTCCATTATTCTCGCGCTCAGATGGATGCTGACAAATCGGCCCTCCGCATAGCATAGTCTCAAAGAGGCGATCGCCGCCCGTTGGCAGTGAGTTTCTCGCTCAACGCCCACGCCAGTGTTCACTTTCAATTGTTGGCACAATTCTTCAGGTTGCACGTCGTCCATGTTCACTCTGAGGTGAGTCTGAGACTTGGACCCAAAGTTCATTTGACGATGAAATCAGGCTCACGGAGTGCGAACAGGGTAGCCAATGTGGCTACAGCTATTACAGGAACTCTGTAAGCAAGCTCGGGTCATTCCTTGTCGGCCTTCAAGTGCGTCCGAGTCTCAGGATGCACCTACTACTCCGTTGCTGGGTCCCGGGACTTGGTCAACTTACTGATGAGATCGGTGTGACATCCATCATGCCAAGGCGACATGAATGAACCTTCTACCTCGCCATGCTACTCATCTCGTCAGATGCTTGACCGGCCGATGAATATGCACGCAGTACGGCCGCGTCAGGCGGCCAACGATCCTTGTGAAAATTGCGGGACCGCGAGGTGCTCAAGGGTGCTCAACCCACAGACTCTCGATCAAGTTCAATACAAGGCTGAACCGGCGGTAGATGGTCATACATCCCGATGACATCTCGGATCGGAGGATCCTCGGCGGCCTGGATACATATGGCGGTAGTGTCATGCGTGTCCATAGCCGCGAAGGCCAGATCGTCCAGCCAGTTGCCCAGGCCTTGGCGAAGACTCTGTGATCCATTGCCAACATAATTTGGGCCCGTAGCGGGCAGAAAGACCACATCAAGAAGGCCGATAATAACCCGCATACTGAACCGCCAAGCTCAAGTAATACTCCGTCCACTCTATGTCCACGGGCCATCGGTGGGTCATTCATGTCGGTTGTCATGCAACTACCTCCGCACCCGTGGTCCCGGACGACCAACATCTCTGAAATGGCCACCCTATAGCAAGGAGTATAAAAGCGCGTATGAGACACGGTCACGCTGTCTCTAGTGAACTAACACTCTCGACCTCTCAGTCTTTGACTCGAGTCCTCTCAGAGCTGACAATGTTCACTCCGAAAGCCGGATTCTTGTGTGCTCTCGTCGCTGCCGCGGTGACCACGGTCAAGGCCCACTGTACGTCGACAACTTTCAAGTTCTTTTTAAAAACTGTCTGCCTACTAATGCCTACGCCCCGTCACTATGGCAGACACGCTGCCCGACCTCATCATCAGCGGCTCGGTGAGCTCTGACTGGGAGTACGTCCGCGAGACCCAGAACCACTACACCAACGGACCCGTAAGGATGGCACCCGCATGTATATTCCTGCTACCGCGTGTGCTGACGACCCCTACAGGTCACGGACGTCACCAGTCAGCTCATCCGCTGCTACGAGAACGACACCGCCTCGGCCACTTCGACCGCCACCGTCTCGGCTGGTGACACCGTCGGCTTCCAGGCCAATGGCGACTTCTATCATCCTGGAGTACGCTACTATCTCGCACAGCTGATAATCGCGGCTGCGCTAATGTTTCAACTCAGTACTTTTCGGCATATATGTCAGCCGCCGGTCCTGCAGCGGACGCGGAGTCCGCTAGCCTGGGACAGACCTGGTTCAAGATCTGGGAGAACACACCGTCATACACCCCTGGTGTCAACGGCCAGCCTGGTACCCTGAATTTCAACTTCGAAGGTAAACGAGAATCCGCCGTCAGCGAACGAAGTTGCTTAGTACGAGCGTTCGGTATCTAGACTCGAACCAGATTACGTTCCGCATTCCCCCCAGCCTGCCGAGCGGACAATACCTCATTCGTGGCGAGCAGATCGCCTTGCACGGTGAGCTCCCATGTCCACAGACCTCACATCTGAGCCCGAATCGACAATTGCAGTGGCGAGCACTTACGGCGGAGCGCAGTTCTACATAGGCTGTGCGCAGCTAAACGTCGAGAACGGTGGTAACGGGTACGTACGACCTGGGCGACGGTGTACCTGTCTCAGAGCTGACACGCGCATCGCCAGATCCCCCAGTCCTCTCGTGTCCTTCCCGGGTGGTTACACCGGCTACGAGCCCGGAATCCTGATCGTACGTATTTTCTCCGCCGCAAGTCGGTATATCCTCATTGTTTGGGCTCCAGGACATCTGGGACCTCCCAAGCAACTACACTGGCTACCCGGCTCCCGGGCCGGCTGTCTGGAACGAGTGAAAGCTACGGCGTCATGGATACGAAGGTTGATGAACACGGTGAATAAGGCACGGTCTTCAAGTTACGGTTTGTTAGCGTGTTTTTGTACGATTGTCATGACGGTGGTCGAGCGTGATGTATCGTTGTCGCGAATTGAAGAGAGTGTCTGAGTGTCTGCCTCGTATGACGGTCAGTGGCAATATGATAAACGTTCGTCAGTGATGCTAGTGTCGACGATCGGTGATGTTGTGTGGCTAATTTAGCAGATTTTGTGAGCGTTAGTCTTGCTGTAGGTGGATGTATAAGAGAGGATCCGCCCCCAAGTCCATGCGAGTTGACAAAGACCATGCAACGTCAGATATAAACACGAAAGCGATATGAGAGCGAGTAAGTACAACGTGAAGCAATTTCTCTGCTGCAATGAAACAACCAGTCGACGCATCAGTCCATGGGCAGCTAAGCCTTCTCTTCTAACGTCTCTGAAGGCACCCTGATCGATTGACGTTGTGTTGTGTCAGTATATAACATCATGCGTACCTCTCCGTACTCACCGGGGGCACTCATAATCGTCGCCGTCCTCGCCAACGACACCCATCAGACCTGTCGAGCGCGACAGGACCCACTCTAGCTTGAGCTCATCCCGGTAGGCACCCAACCCAAATGGGTGCACCTGGTCCCAGAAAGCATTCATCGAGTACGTGCGTACCATCAACGCCTCCATTGTCGTCAGCTCCCAATACTCCGGATACCATCCCGCGTGCTCCCAGTCGATAATCGCCGCGAGACGGCCGTCCTTAATCAGGATATTGTCATGGTGGAGATCCGCGTGGGTGAAGCAGATGCGGTGCGTCTTCGCAAACACGGGCTCCGCAAGACGGCGCAAGCGCGGGAGGCGATACCTGAATATATTGCTGACTTTGCGAAAGAGCGCCTCCTTGAACTCGTCCTGGTCCGCGAACGGGCCCGCGAAGTACTTCTCCCCTGCGCGGCCGATGAGGAGCGGGCGTCCTGCAAGCCCGCTGACGGCCCGCGATGGAGGCGGGAGATCTCTGAGCTCGTTCATGGCGCGTCGCAGATCCTTCACGAGCAGATCGTCATCGGACATATCGACGGTCGGCCTAGGCATCTTCTCCAGTTCAGCGGCGATTCCCATTATGGGTTCAAGGTCATTGGACTCCATGCACGCTTCCAGTTGCGCGATGAGCGCAGCGGCCTCGGGTGCGTGTCGTATCCGCGGGATCACCCACTCCCACAACGATTCGCCCTCTATCTTGCTCATCAGGATAACGCCTCCCTTCTCTGTTTCTGCCGTGGAGAGTAGTATGACATCGAGAATCTGTGGGACAGGGATGCTCGTGTGTGTGGACACAAAACGAGTATTGTCAACTTCGATACGTGGGTCTTCTCGCTTCTCTTTGAGTACCAGGTTGAAGGGCAACTGGGTGATCGAGGAGAACGGCTCTCGGTGTCCACAACGCTGAAGTCTGCGATAGCAAGAGAGCCGGAGCGACGATGGAAGTAGTCGCCATAGCGTCCAAGGCAGATTGAAACGTAGGATGTACGTTGCGGCGCGCGCCAGTCGTGCGAGGATCCTGGTCCATGCGACTCAATGAGGACATGAGGCTCGATTGTGCTGGGAATGTGTAGAAAAACTTACCGTCCATGAGTGAGGGTATCAAGGCGGGGAAGTAGTCGTCCTAGAGTAGATTTGCTGAAGTCGAATACATTACACAGACTCAGTGTGGCGGCGATTCCAGCGAAGGTATGGATTCGGAAAGACGCGCTGGACTAGTCTGTGTTCAGACGCGGGGGCCTTACCGAGAGGTCGCCATTTTCGACCTCCGTTTAAAATCCAATATAACACATTACATTCGTTTGTGATCGGAGGGTGAACTATGGTGAAGCACGAGAGAGACGGCCTGCTACCTCTTGCTACCGTACATCGCAGTCTGACCCTGCGGGGCCTGCGGTCGAGTCTCTCGTTCTGTTCGCTGCTCATAACTTGAACATGGCATCCTCATCTCGGCAACGCGCCGTACAGGCCAATCTTGACGACGCTCGATCCGAGAAGCTCGACACCGTATTCCGCGCTATCCAGGCAGGCGGGATGACTTTCGGCGGGTTCTTGCGCGAAGCTTTCACTGTGCCGCCTCCTCAGGTTTCCAAGGGAAATACGGCACGACACTCGCAGCTTGTTTCTGCATTCCTGGGTGGACGATCGAGCGAGTCGGCACACGAAATCGTCGAGCTCATGTACTCGAGCAGGTACAGTGCTCCCATCCCTGTTCGAGATTCTCCGAGACGTCCTGGCCACGAAGCGCCGCGACCTGACGCGAAGAAGATGGCTCGCTGGGGTCTGCGTGAATGGGCTGTGGAGAAGGTGGAGGATATCGTGGACGAGGAGGCGGAGGATGTCACGTCGAAGGCGGGCGGGTTTCACCTGAGGGACAAAGACGCTACATGGGACTTCATGTTTAGCTTCACAATGGAAAACATCTTGTCCGTCATCAATGCGAGGGTCCCGACTACCCTGTGTGTGATTACCGCCGCCGCTATCCCCCGTCGTGTTCGCAAACCGCCCGGTGCTCCTCAAGATGCTTCGGCAACCTTTTGTGGAACGTACTACTCCAAAGAACCAGACTCGAACGGAGACAGAGGGAAGCGACGTGATCCGATGCTTGTAAGCATGTATATTCATGCTTCGAGAGCCGGTTTCTGACTCAACAAACGCAGATAACCTTGATTGCATGCCTCTTGCTCTTCGGGGCGCGCAACCTACAGTTCACGGCATTCCAGAAGTTCATCGGGATATGGCTGTTCGCCCATACAGCCTCTAGTGACATCTATGCGGTGTTCAGCCGCTTTGGTGTCTCGGTCTCTTACAGTTCTGTGCTCAGACTGTTACGCTCCCTATCACAGTCTGCCCAAATGGTAATCCAACGTGTCGCGACTGCGCGAGCATTCCTTCTCATCTACGACAATATCAATCGCATGGCCTCGCCTATAATATTCGTGCATTCTTGCAGACGATCACGTCGGCCCGAGTTACCGCTCACCTTGCAAGCAAAAGTGCAAAACATGCACGCAAAGACAAGCATGCTACACTCAACGAGCTTTCGCGGCATATGGACGAACAAGGTTTGCATCAGTTCCGAGCGGGACGTACCCTGGGACATGTAGCACAAGACGACTTCACGGAGGGCTACCGGAAGCTAGCAGATGGGAAAAAGATCGAAGACTTCATTGCACGTACACTTCGGGATGCCGGCGCGATCCACAGTGATTCCGAGTTAGCGGCCGCCGACGACGAACAACAAGCGATAGATACTGCTGCATTACCGAATGTGGTTGTAGACGGGCAGCTACTCGTTGGTGACGAAGTGATGTCGGATGGGTCGGACAGTGGTGAGGAGGAGGAGCAAGAGGAGCAGGATAATGATACAACATGACACTAGGAGTTACAAATGCCAGAGCCGTCGACAGTACCCCAGTTGCATATAGTAACGCCGATCGCACTGAGCGGGGCATCCGGCGAGCGTCAAAGCGCGCCTTCGACGCGTTATACACAAATGTTGGCCCTGTTTGTATCATCACATGATGTGCCGACCGGCGAAATTTGACCTACCGATAAGACCCCCCTAGTTGATAGCAGACGTCAGACAAGGATATCCTGAGGCACGAAGGTTGAAGGAATTGTCTACGTCTGCCTAGGGAGACTACGCTGGACACGCTGCAGTGCTCGGCAAACGCCGGGACGGAAGCAGATCGATCAGACTAAGATCAGATGCAGATCTTTTGACGTTCTTGTTGACCTTTTCATAGATATTTGATTTATAGACCCGCGCGCCCACTCAGCTGAACAACGAGAAAGGGATCGCACCGGCTGGCCCGAAAGCAGCAGAGCGCCATTTTACTTCTGACGGCGTCAAGTACTTACTGGACTTCGGAATGTCTGTATCTGGTACGCACGACTCAACGCATCGATCTACGTTGTACACGACGTGTCATTTCGCACAGAATAGCCCATCTAGCTTGCTAAAAAGAGACAGCTTTTCCTCTCGTGGCCCGTGGGAGGTAGATCTAGGCTCTAGCGATGCAATACTGGCTCATATCGGTCGTCCCCAGGACAGCTAGAAGTCGTACACAGATGCACATGGGACGCACTGTCGCCTCTGATCAGCAGAAACCAGGTTAACGCCTTCGCAGTCCCATTTATTGCTAGCAGGAAGCACTCGAGCATTGCCGCCACCCAACTTGCCCTCTGCTATCGAGATGTCGTCGACTCGGTATGTCTAATTGCTCTGCATCACAATTGACTGGTCTGCACCTCTCTGAAATGCCATTTTGAAGAGAGACTATGCACATACCCGGGAACATCCTAGGTGTGTTGTGTAGAACGAGTGGCCCTGTGGGCGCATTTCATTGGATCATCTTCCTCTGCACGGTGAGTGGTCATCTGTGTAGGTACTACTAGACTGTAGTCTCACGTATCGAAGGATAACACGAACGGTGTCATGTTTCACGTAATCAACCCAGACGAGCAGGATCCCGATCGATGGGAATTCAGCACTGGCTCTTGGGATGCGCTCAAATCAAAGAGTTGCTTGACCATTGCCCTCGTCGGGCGCGTGGTGACCTTCGATCCTCGCGACCCCTCCAGGGCCACTGACACAATGCGCCAATGCCTACAGTCTGTACCACTCGCAGTGCCACCCGAAGACAGGGGACGAGAGCCGAGGTTCACATGCAGGGTGTGGTTCGCCGCAGCCCTGCGCCGGCTTATGTCCCATCGCGCGTTTCAACTCATCAAGACTCCGGAGGAAATCATGGAGAGTATGAGGAATAGAACGACGGCAGTACAGTTCATGGAAACAAGGAACATTTCTCTCCCTCTGTTTATACAACCCCAGCCTCGTTCCGCATACCGTTAAGCTCAGTGTATCGTATTTGATGTTGTACGTACCGCCTGCCACCGTCGCGGCGACCTGAGTATACTTTTCTTCAACTGACGCTTATCCTCGGTGTCCTCTGTATGTATTGCTTTGCTCCCACTACCCGCGAACCCCTGGAGTTAGCGTCGCAGTTGTGCCAGGGTACTATCGTTCGTTAAAGGGGTCATGGACCATGCTCCTTCATTACCTCCTTCTGCTTCAGACGTTTGTGGTGCAGCATGGGACACATGTCGTCGATTGGCAAAGTCATAAACATTCATGCAATGGCATGGGAACACGAAAGCGACAGGATAGCAAGTAGATACAGCGTAAGCCGATTCCTCTATTGAGTCACGCGCCAACCGGCCAACACAATGCCCGAAGGGTATATCGAGCGCCGTTGAAGGTACGCTGATCAAGTGGTACTGTGTGAGCGTATGTCGTAGTAGATGGCCCTGTGTACTCACCGGGGGCACTCGAGATCGTCGCCAGCCTCGCCAACAACACCCGTCAGACCAGTGGAGCCCCAAAGAGCCCACTCCAGCCTAAGTTCATCCCGGTATGCACCGACTCCAAACGGATGCACCTGGTCCCAGAAAGCATTCATCTCGTACTTGTGTATCGACATTGCTTCTATCGCCGTCAACTCCCAGTACTCTGGGTACCACCCCGCAGTTTCCCAGTCGAGAATGGCAGCGAGGCGGCCGTCCTTGACCAGTATGTTGTTGGCGTGTAGATCAGCATGCGTGAAGCAGATGCGATGTGTCTTCGCAAACACGGGTTCTGCGAGACTGCGCAAGCCCGGCAGGCGGTACTTGAAGAGATTGCTGACCCTGTGGAATAGCGCCTCCTTGAACTCGGTCTGGTCCGCGAGCGGACCAATGAAGTAATTCTCGCCCGCACGGTTGACATAGAGCGGTCGGTTGTCCAGCCCACTGACGGCCTGCGAGGGAGGCGCGAGCGCTCTGAGCTCGTTGATGGCACGGCGGATATCCTGGACGAGTGGATCGTCGTCAGATATATCCACGGTCGGACGAGGCATCTTCTCCAGCTCCGCTACGATGCCCATGATGGGGTCGAGGTCGTTAGTTTCCATGCACTCTTCCAGTCGCGCGATGAGTGCGATGGCCTCTGGGGTGCGTCGTATTCGAGGGGCGACCCACGCCGATAACGATTCGCCCTCTACCTTGTTCATCAGAATGAAGCCTTCTTTCCGCGACTGGTGTTCTGGGACACAAATCGGGTATTTTCAGCCTCGAAATGTGGGTCTTCTCCCTTCTCTTTGAGTATCAAGCCGAAGGGCAGTCGGGTGACCGAGGAGAACGGCTGTCGGTGGCCGCGCGCAAGCCTACGGTAGCAGGACAGGCGGAGCGACGGAGGAAGCAGGCGCCATATCAACCAAGGGAATTCCAAACGTAGAAGACATGCTACGGCGCGCGCCAGTCGGGCGGATATGTTGTTACACATAGCTAGACGGAGACTTGAACGAGATACAACAATTGCGGAGAGACAGCAAATACGCATACCATCCATGGGGTTATGAGTCCAGAAGCGACGTGGTCGAGTGAAGCTTGGTGCGAACTTGTTGAGGCCGCAAATCCCAGTGTATGTAGTACTAGTAGTTAGTAGTAACTATTAGTAGTAGCCACAGAGAAACAAGAAATGAGATAATGCGGGGCCGCCCAGCGGGGGACATGTGCTATGACGCGCTGTAGCGGCCGACCACGACACGCGCGCCTGTGAGCCTGGGGCCGATCGATTGGATCGATTACACCGCGGCCGCCACACTTCGGCGGCTAAATGCAATCTCCTCCTCCTCCTCCTCGGCCATTGGCCACGCCAGGCCAGGCCACTGCCCAAATCGACCGCTATAGGCTGGTGAACACCGACAGCTCGCTGCCTCGTGCGGCTGTATAGTAATCATCTCTTAGTAGCAGACGTGGCCCAAAGCGCTTGAGTTCATGAGCGACGAGATACTAGTCGTGCACGCGGACAAGTCATTTCATCCATACTTGGGCATCATACTGACGGATTAATCAACCGCCCTTGTCTTCTCTTGTTCGCCAGGGTCCAGAATTCCCGACTGCTATCAGATTCACCGTACAGAAGCTCCCAGTGTATACACGGGGTGCATACTAGCATCTGATCAGCGTGGCTAAGCTTAGGGCAAACACATCAAATGTACGACCTATAAGACCTTAAGGAATGGCAGTCGTAGCATCAGCGCAGCCTAGTTACTACTGTCAAGATGTCATTGACTCGGTATGGTTCATTATTCAGCGTACAGTTGATGCCTTCACAACGCAGACTTTCAGAGAGACCTCGCATGTTCCCGGGAACATCCTGGGCGCATTATGCCCGACAAGCGGCCATAAGGGTGCTTTCCATTGGCTTATTTACCTCTGTATGGTGAGCCTAACTGCCCGCCTATTGAGGTTTCTTGTTGACGCGCCGCAGGATAGTAACAGTGGTGTCATGTTTCACGCCTCCAGGCCCAATGAGCAGGATCCCCATAGCTGGGAGTTCCACACCGCTCACTGGAAGGCCTTTGAATCCAAGAGCTGCTTGACCCTCGCTGTCATTGGGCGCGTGGTCGACTTCGATCCGCGCAACCCCGCCCGAGCCGTCGAGATGATGCGTGGACGTCTGCAGCCCATACCGATGGCCGTACCACCTGAAGACAAAGCGCGAGAGCCAAAATTTACCTGTAGGGTGCGGTTCCGTGCAGCTCTGCGCCTGCTCGTGACACATCAAGCGTTCCAGCTATCAAACCAGGATTCTTTCGTAGATAGGTATGACGACTATTTCCCTTCATTGACGATCACACTACCACTGTACATACTAATGTATCCGAAGCGTCATTAGCATCCTCAATGAGCTAGCTCTACTGGAATATAAATTTACCTTCGCACATCGATGCCCTCGTTTGCTACATAATTCGGACTCTACTGTTGATACCGCGTCCGATCCGATGATCGCACGCCGCCCAAAAGGCGTAACACTATCGAAGTATGCGGAATTCAACATCCCTTGAATACACGCATACCTTCCCTGCCAGTGACTTACTAACCGATCTGGGCCGCTTAGCCTGCTCGACTTTTGAGTCTCGACTGTATGTTGGGCTGAAGTTTGGGTCTTTTGTCCCCAAGCTGCCGTACTGCTGTCACCATCTTTACCGTCACATCAAGTCCCCTAACTATGGCAATACCTCAGGATCGGTGAGCTGCGTCCTTATGATCTTATGATCTAAAGTCGTGATCTGAAGTGGATCTCAGACAATCCCAGCATGTCCCAGGGACCATCCTAGCGGTGCTCTGTAGGACGAGCGGCCCCATAGGCGCCTTTCACTGGTTAGTCGACTTGTGTCCAGTGAGTCTACTCCAGGCCAGACGCATGCACATCCAGATGGCAGCGAACTCATTGCGCGCCGCTTGCCAGGACACAGAGAAGGGTATCATCTTCCACGCGTCCCGACCAAACGAAAACGAGATCGACAAATGGCAGTTTTACACCTCCGAATGGAATCCCTTCACCTCACAAAGCTGCCTGACCCTCGCTCTTATCGGGCGCGTCGTCGACTTCGAACCGGAGAACCCCTCTCACTCCGTCGATGCGATGCGCGAGTGTCTGCAGGCAATCCCAATGACCATACCGCCACAGGACGTAGGCCGAGAGCCAATGTTCACTTGCAGAGTCTGGTTCCGCGAGGCTCTGCGGCGCCTGACTGCACACGACGCGTTCAGTATGATCATGGGGCCCGACGAGATGATGGAGAGCCTGAGGAACAGGACGATCGCTATACAGTATATGAACCCAGGAAAGCAGGTCCTGCCCGTCTTTCTGCAGCTTCGGCCTCGCTCTGCATACGGCACCACGTAGTGAACACACTGTACTCACATGCGATTCAGACGTACTGCTTGTACTTGTTCGTATCGTCAGTTACGGTCGCTCACACGCACGCCGCGAACGACAGTCGGAACGTAGGTCACAGACCCAAAGTCATCGCATTCATCACTGGTCTGGAACGTATAGACATGAACCTGCAGAGCAAATGAGATATGAGGAATAACTGAGCGTATATCGTGAAGATGCGTCAATGGGATCGTGAAGAGCAAGACTAGATAGACATACGAAAGCAATGCGATAGCAACGACGACTGGAATGCGGCAATCCTGACGATTGAAAATGAGGTCCGACAGAGAGGGAGAATGATAATACTGGGGAACAGGCAGACATGAAAGCAAGGAAGACATAGCTCATAGGACTACTCTGGACTTAGTTGACATAGGCTTCCCTGAGACGATCGCCTTGAACGCCTTGCGGACGATCGCAACGGTGTTCTTGCTTGGATCGTAGGGATCGGTACTGCGGTCATGTGCAGCGGTGGCGTGCATGACCACACCAAACTCGTCGATAGACGTGGCCTTGCGCAGATCTTCGCTGGACACAGGCGGGGGCATCGGCCTCCTGGTGGAACGGAAGAAAGTCTGGTTGCGCTTCGCGTTCGTGGCCGCGTGCACAGGTATGTTTGAGATAGGCCCAGTCTGGGATTGGTAGCCTTTGCCAACGCGCTTCACCCCAGCGGTCGACATCAGGAAGCTACGCCAGGAGTCAATAATCGTGGGACCAGACAGGGACAGGTACTCACCGGTCATAGACGTCGTCCAAGTGCTTGCGCCCCGGTGTATCAAGAGGAGCCTCTATCTGCACACTCTGGGGTCGAGGCGGGTAGGGTTCGACGTGGAAAGGCGATGCCGTTAGCTCGTCATGAAATCGATCCTGCGTGTCTAGTACTTCCTGTGGCCCAGTACTAGGGGACGGTGTAATAAATATACTTCTGTCGACCATCGCGGAAAGCCGCTGGGGAGGGGCAGGCGTCGCAACTGTTGGATGGATCAGTACGGATTCACTGCAAACGCATTCAATAAACGTACGCTTCTGCAGTTCGAATTCCAATTTCGTAACGGGCGTAATCGGTCGTATCAAATCGTTTTGAGAACGCGACTTCTCGCGGCGCTTTGACGGCGACGTGTCTATCTCCAAGCTCGGTTTCTCACGAGCAGGTTCCGGAGAGCGGGTCACGACCGTAGCGCGGCGCCGGCGAGATGGGGTTTCAGGTACAACGAGACTCTGATGGTTGCTGAGCACACTAGGCTGCTCCGACGGGATCGTGGGCAAGGTGTCCTCGTTCACGTGCAGAGCGGTCGGGCTCTTTGGTTCCACCTTAGCGTCTGCGTAGTAGCTAGAGCCTCCGGACCTGTCAAGGAACAATGCGCTCTGGTCCAGGTAGCCAGACTCGTATCCATCTGTGAATATCTGGCTGGCAGCCAAGATCTTGCGGGGCATGCGCCCAGTAGATCGTTGGCTTCGAGAAAGGGAGGCACGTCGAGACACCGGCGCGAGAGGCAGCGGCGGTAGAGGTCCGCTAGTGGACGACTCTGCGAAGGTCTGTCGCGCGTCCTCGACTACCTCTAGGTATAACGAACGGTGTCAAGAGCAAGGAATTTTGCAACGATGAAATCAACTCACTCTCGACGTTGCGGATCCAAATGGTCATGCGATCCAGCTTGTTGGCAACAGCCAGCTCTTCGTTCCGGACTGCATACCGCACAACGGGCAGCGACGAATTAGCTGCATCGATTGACACTATCAGCGACTTTAGTGCCAATCCGTAGCCATATGCAAATGCGACTGACCTCTACGAACGAGATTATCGTCTTCCCAGGATTCGCGTTCACTAACACTCATTCGGGAGATGTCGTCGTCGTCGTCATCATTTGGCAGCTGGAGGGCAGGAGTCGAGCGGCCTAGCGCCATAGTCGACGACTTGTAGAGCCTCATGGTCTTGTCTGTCATATCATAAGTCCCAAGGGAAGATTTCATGACACGGCATTGACTGACCGATTGACATCCTCAAGCCATGCTTGAGTAGATTGATGCCGGACTCATTCCCAGTACACGGGTACTCGTCCTGCGGCGAAGTAGCTGGTTCTGATTCTTCTGGTCATAGGGCATTAGCGAAAGTCCCTCCACCATGACACGACACTGACCTTCCTTCAGGGGACTAAGAGGCGTAGACGGAACAGTACCAGACGGACTCATCGATGCCCCCCGCAGGAGATTAAGCCTCGGAAGACTGGACTCCCGGGCTCTACCCCTCTCGCATTCGATGGCCTTGTCCCTCGCGACATTCAGCTCCCGCTGACGCTCAGCCTCTAGCTGCGTCTGTCGCTGCTGCCCCTGTTCCTCGAGCCGCTCCTTCTCACTAGCGGCCTTCTCTTCGAGCTCCCGCTCGACTTCCTCCTCCATCTGTCTCTCCTCCTTCTTCTGCTTTTCCCGCTCTTCCTCAACTTCCTTCACCCGCTCCTCCAACAACTCCATTTCCCTCAGACGCTCCCTCTCCCTCTCCCACGCCTTCATCCTATCCTTGACGGAATTCGAGTGGGACTCAGGACTCTTGGCTGGGCGCTTCGGAGTCACTATCTCCGCCACGCTCGTATTCTCCACATTGCGATTCACGGCGGTGACGTCCTTGAAAACCCGACTCCGTCGCGTCGCCTTCTCTTTCTGCTTCGTGAGAGCCGGCGACTGTGCGTTCTCCTTGCCAGATGGTGACATAGACGACGAGACGGTAGGTGACGTTGGCGGAGTAGGTCCGCGCGGACCAATGGGTTTCCGCGTGGCTCGGGCGGTCTTGCTGTTTACACTGGGCGTAGGCGAAGAGTTCTCCTTACCAGCAGTGACCACCGGGCTGAAGACGGTAGGCGTCGCTGGGGGCGAGTGTTCGAGCGGTGAGAGCGTGCCCAACAGAGAAGGCATAGGTCCATTCTTCTTCGCTTGGTTGGCGACGCGAGCTGCTCACATCAAAGTTAGACTCGCCACGGAAAAGGCTGCGCGGACCTACCCTCTTGCAGCAGGAGCTTGGGCTGCGACTGAGATCGCGCATGGCGCGACTTGCTACCTCGACGCTCTAATTTGGTCTCTTCCGTCTCCTGAGCGGTCACCCGACCCCTCTCGCCCATGCTGTTCTCCTTGTTGGTGTCGCGCTTGGGGGCGTGTTCATGCTTGGATTTCTCCTTCTCGCTAGCTCGGTCTTTCTCCTTGACCTTGTCCTTCTCAGCGACAGATCGAGGAGACCAAGTGGAAATGATGTCCGAAAACTTGAAAACATCCTTCTCGAGGCCAAGAGAGAGGGACGGCGCATGCGAGACGCTGGCACCTTTGCCTAGAAACCAATGAGCGATGACGGCGGACTTCACTGAGCAGACTCACGATGAGATGGAGCCACTGCCTCCTTGTGCACCCAATACTCGTCCTCCATGGCCTGCGAAGCGGTGCATCTCAGGTCTGCATTGGGAAGAATCATCCTGCGCAGGAGCTTCTCGAGACCCTTCGACATCTTCCATGTGCCGACCCATTTTCCGCGCAACTGCACCTTAAGATGAGCTGCGAAAGAACTGCAGACGCGACAGGATACCCACAGTACGATTCCAGTACATCTCCAGATCCTCTTTGGTCGTAAACTGCTCGCCCTCGGAGTACTCGAACGGCGTGCGGCCCATGACAATCTCGAAGAATGTTACGCCGAGTGACCAGACGTCCGATTTGCGCGTGTCGTGTGGCATCCCCCGCGCGCGCTCAGGCGAGAGATACTGGAGGACTCATTAATACGAGCCACCGAGACACAATAAGCACATCCAAACGCACCTCTGGTGTACCATAGGAAAGGTTACTGTGGAACGCCTTGCTGGATTCAATATCATACCTTTCTGCGAAGCCGAAATCGATGAGTACAGGGACATGTTCTTCTGACATGAGGATATTGGCAGGTCTGAAACAGAGTGTCGTCAGGATATCACTGGCCGGTGATGAATCTGCACTTACTTGATATCGTTATGGACAACACCACGCTTGTGCAGGAACTCCACACCCGAGAGTAGCGAACGGAACCATGGTTTCGAGTGTCTCTCTGGGACTTCGACGGGAACGAGGCGAGGATGGTAAGCCCTGACACACGTTGTTAATACAGGTCACCACGTGAAATGATACTGAGGGACTGATGCTGTCATCACTCGCTTAATGGCAAGGTTTCAACACGCACGTAGGCCCGTACAGTGCGCTCGCCGCATTGCGGCCTGTTTCTGCCAGCACCAGGTCCGCAACGAGCGACCCCGCAAGACAACCACGCACCGCAAAGTACAATGCGGTACAATGTGTGCTCTATGCACTTGCGACTAGTGAATCACATTGCGATGGTCGAGGTACATATCAGAGAGGCGACAGCGGCGCACATCACTGACGCGTTTCTTCGACGCAAACTGTCTGACTAGAACGTAGCACGGCCATGGTGACTCACATGGTAATCAAAGCATATGAAGGGGTAATGATGAAGGAATAGAAGGGGATGATCGAGGGATGAGGTTCGTGTTTGAGTGTTCTGACGACCTTCATTTCGTTCCATCTTGAGAACGAGTCAGCAAGCGACACAACATGCAAGTTGGTCACACCACGTACAGTGACCGAACACGCGCCGCTGTGGTCGACGTCTTCGAACGGTGAACGAGCTTGACGGCTATTCTGGTGTCTCGCAGCGCGTGAGGGTTGTCCGAGGAAGGGGAGCCGGGTTCGGGTTTAGGACGGCATAACCAGACGCTTCCCCAGTTACCGAACCCGATCTGTAACAGAGAAGGTTATGAGCGCGTCGTTCTATCACCCGCGTAAAGCGATGTACCTCTTCAATGAACTGCAGCCTCTCGGCCAGCACCTGGTCGGATATGGAGAAAATGTCAGTAGCTTCTTGCGGGGGTTGCGGAGGTGGAAGCATTGTGGTAAAAGACAGCTAGATATACAGAGCACGACAACGGAGAGAGCAAGGACAAAAAAGCAGGCGAGCGCGATGGCGGGAGGTGACCGCGGGCGAGGGCAATGGCATGCGGAACAAGTTCGAGTCGAAGCCAAGGTCAAGTTGAACTTGTCCCTGATCGTGAGAAATGATGCACGCGGCGTTCAGCCACAGTCGCGTCGCGCGTCGCGACGTGTCACAGTCTGGCACGTGCTCCTGTCGCGCTATAGACGCGTCCGGTGCTGCAGCGCTCAGTACTACTGTGCCGCCAGCGAGCACTTTCCCTGTCAAAGTTGATCATGTGGAGTCTGTCTAGTTGTCCCAAAGCATCGCGGAAGCAAATCTCGTCCCGGGAAACGCGCCCAAATTCGGACCCCTAACGCCGTCATCAATTACTTACCGCATTCGTTACATAAGGGGTAATTGCACACGGGCATTCTGACGTTCATGCGGCATGTCTCAAACTTTCCAGTCATATTCAAACTTCGACAGGATTCTGATCAGGGATGTTACATTGCCCTTCGCACACAGCACTGGTCCGACACATTGGCCACAACGTATCAATGCAAACGGGTCCAGTGAGAATTAGGCCGCAGGAGATGATAAGGACGGTGCGGTGACGGCTGGATGGGCGGGAGTTGTCTAACCTAGGACCATTTGTATGCACTTGAGCCCGCTCCGGGGGAGCCTTGGGGAAATATTGTCAACACCAGCTAGCTTCGCAATGTGAAGTCAATATTCTCACCTAGTGCCTACGTGATTGTGTCCAAATGCCGCCTCAGCGCATCTGGGCGGGAGAATGTCATATCGCAGTGCGGGCACTGGCAAACAAACATCCTGAGATGAACATTGCAGATATGCTCGTACACATGCGGCCTTGAGAGGGTTTCATTGCACATGCGGCCTTGAGAGGGTTTCATTGCACACGCGACCTGAGGGCATGTACCATTTGCATTCCAAAGTGCGCTCTCCGGGTCGCGACTCCAGGTGGTAGGTGTTGATATGGTCCTGAACGCCTCTCAATGACACGTTTGTGATCGTCCCGCCGCACGGGGGGCTTCCATAGTCGCGGACAACAAAATGCGAAGTCATACTGCTGTCACTTCAAGTTGTGAGGTATTAGTGCACACTGTTATTCGTTTCTCTGGTGAAAGCCATACGCACCGGTTAGAGGACACGGCAATAATGTCCGCCATGGATGAAGATGCCGCAGGCTCTTATATATCAAAAGGGCTGCGCGGCGGATTGTTTGCTGCTCTTCGGTCTTGTTTACAGTTGTGCCGGACCCTAACTTGAACGCTGATTCGGAATATGTTCAGAACCACCATGGCGATCGACAGCGGGAATTAACATACAGATGCATAGTCAAGGATTCACAGAAACCGACGACACGGAATTGACGATGAATTCACTTGAAGATCCGTACTACAGAGTGCGAGAGCGAGTGCCGTGACCTGTCGTGACGGCGTGAAGGACGACTCGGACTTGCTGAACATGAAAACAGAAGGTCAGGAAGTGTCTATCTTCGGCATCCAGCACTGGTGATTGACCCCATGACTGTCCTAACTTTCGAGTGAGTGCACTTTGCGCAAATACAACCAGCATAAACGTGGGCAACGGCCCTATTTGCCTCACTCGGAGCTCGACCTTTGCACAATGTACTTAGATGCCGAAGCCACATCGGACATTGCGACGAACTCACCGCACTACTCCAAGTACTGCCACTAGTACTAATTGGAAACTCCTCCGTACTAGACCCTGCAACTGATATTGTAATGTCCCTGAACACAATCGTTGTCCGGCCCCACCTGCCAGCACCGCTGCCTTGACGTTCATCTCCATGAGCTTACTGCACTGGCAGCGATACACGCCGCAGCGCGCATCTGGTTAGGAAGGATAGGAAGATCCATGAGTGGGCGGTGGGGAGCCCACTGAGCAGAGTCCCAATTCACTGTGGGTCATTGGCAATGTCCCTCAGCTCGAAGCACCGGACCTCGGGCTACATATGCACTGAGATAGCCGTTTCATTTTGCCGAACTACATGGCTGACCCTGTGTATCCAACGTCTGACCTAGATCCCCGTCAATATGGCATTCCTCTAGAAGATGCGGGGAGGACAAGGCCCTGAGTGATTCCAAAATGCTGGGAGCAGCACCCACATGCTACTGTACGCATGCGCAGCCGCGGCATTCCTTGTACAAGAATGAGGTTGCCATACTTCAGGGGCCAGGAAGCCTTGTGCCCGCACCGTTCCCGTGAGGGCTCATATCGAATGGGAAGGTCTCCTTTCACAAAGCGATACGATATGATCCAGATGGTCAGCGAGACCGTGGTGGGCGCTCCGTGTCGAAGATCGGGCAGAGTGTGGACATGCTGGCAGCCAGAGTCCACGCCGTTGGACACCACTGATATGCGAAGGAATGACCACAAATTCGCGGCGTTATCCATATCCGTATACTGGCGACAAAGGGAACAGACGATCCCGCTGTGTTCGCTGCTAGCTACAGCACCACCCTCTTCCCCGCTCTGCTTTATCTGCCGCCACCCCGCCTACGTGTCCAATACCATAGAGGGAATCGAGAGAGACAATTGACGCACCCATAGTACCCGAAACCAGGGCTATCACCTCCGCTTTGTTCAATCGCACCTCGGGCGAACCTCCTTGCAGCGCCGGACGGACATCTTGAAAATCGTGAACGGACCAACGAAGGGAAACTACGCCCTACGCTCCATAATCCGCGTGAATTGGAGACTTGGTGAGAGAACGCGTCCTGTTTTATGGTTCAAAGAGCAAGGTGTTCATCGATGAGGGCTTCGTCTGCACAGAAGTAGTGAGGCTCTGAGGCGATCCTAAAAAAAATTAGTGGGGAGCTACAGGGCCGTAACACGTTGGCAGCCAAGGCGCCCACCGTGAGTACTTGTACGCAACTGGCCAGCGGACAAAGCGGCATGTCCACTGACACAGCCAGAACATACTCGTTCCGAGTCGACACGCACGGCGGATGTCACGGTGCAAAAACTCCAACTTGATTCACTCACCTTTTTATACAAAGGACCCGTAGACGTCGCGAGGATGGCAAGACATAGTACCAAGAAGCCGAGACACCATTTGATCCATGTCCCAATGGAACATGAAGTCGAGGCATACTGGGACCTAATACGAGCCGCCGGACGAACTGAAGGTACTTGATACTGTGGGACACGGATCCGGATTGGCCAGCGCAGTACGGCTCCCCGTGAGTACTTGTTACTCCGGCCAAATGTATACTTAGCCACTGGCATGCGGGTTATTTGGGTAATCATCGCCACGTCCGGACACCAGACGATCCATACCGTGACGGCAAGTCCTGTCGGTGAGCATAGCTCACGCCGGCCGACTCAGTGCCAGGTTAGTGCAGAACGCTGCGCACGACGTACTGTTTTTTATTTGATCACCGTGTGGTTAGGACGATTCGTTGAGCGTATCGATACAAATTGCTTACCGCTGATTAGTCTGGGATCACAAAAAGGTCAGAAATTGTATACCGACCAGGCACTAGGGCTGCCACGCAATCCCGGACAGTGAGTAGTACGGCCCATACAGTGACTCTGACATTATAGTACGCAGAGTTGGAGAGCCAAAACAGCTGCGTAATTCAAGAGATGCGTGGCTTTATGGTACTTTCTGTGCTTGTGGTTCTCAAAACTGAATCCACGCACCTCACGCTGCCGGCGATGGACGGACGATGACGATGTGGTGCGGTGCTATACAATAAGTTTGCATTGAACTGATGGCCCAAGAACCGCTCGGATACCTTGTAGTTTTGTGTATGACGCAAGACCAAGTGAGACAGGAGCAATTGTGAGTGTTTCTGGTTCGAATATGACCTGGAGCAATTAGCAGAGTCATCAACGTTTCTACTCACGCCCCACGTCCAACGTTGGCAAGCGTCCAAATGGGGCCCGTAATAGCAAGGTCCAACACTGACACCGACTGTCGAAGTACAGTCCGGGAGGTGGAGCTTGAAGCTTGAAGAAAGTAGTATCGACTCCTCGGACTCCATCTACAATTGGACAAGTCAGTGGAGACTCAGTCTGAATGAGGTCTACCTTTGCTCACTTTACGACTATTTAGTGAACGTAACACTTTCTCCTCAAGGCAGGTTCAAGGTGCCTCGTTCAACTCGTTCAGTTTGACTTACCTGCCAGTGCCAGTTGGAGATGACGGTTGCGCATCTAGAGACGTGACTTAGTCCTGACTGCGCCCCGGGTTCGGGTTGCTCACCTCCGCGCTGTCAGCAACCCTGCTAGTCGACATGGGTTTGACAAACCTGACACTTCCGGGTAGTACGACGCAGTTGGTTTCAAGTAGACTGCGGTCGGAGGGACAACATCATCATCAAGTTGGGCGACGGTGGACCAAGACGCACAAACAAGCGCCCACATGTGGACGCCGAGCTACAACGAGCTACTACTAAGTAGCTAGTATACAACCGACTCGCCAAACGCCTTCAAGTTGATTAATGACGACTCGGTGACGGGGTCAGCCACCCTTTCGCTTCTGGGTTCTATCCTCATCAATAGCATCCAATTCTCTGGGGACAACAAGCATACGTGATTGATGCTCTCTGGTATACTATGCCACCACTTTTCGACGTAAGCCGTCGGCGTCGACAAAGACTCACACGTAGATGCCCTCAGTGAGATCGAACCAATGCTTCTCATGTCCAGCTGCTGTGTCTTTCAAACAGCCAAGATGCGATGATTTGAGTGCAAGATACTACATTCCGACTGATACAAGCGTATAACTTAACAAAACTGTGATGCGGTGACGGAAACGCGATGCTACTAGTACGGGGATAATAAGCGGATGATTGTCTGTGGAAGCTATGATGGTGGAGGCACACGATCCCGGCGCAACATTATAGGTTTGCTGTTGCCGTCAGCGGGCTTGAGTCGTTTGGCGAGGGAGTCCTCTCCTGACGACGCGTCGCCTTCTTCACGTGCACGTTTGCTAGCTGCCCCCATAATCGATACGCCACTGCCCTCAGTTGCTGTACCGCCCGGTGCCTGAGCGGGAGCATCACGACCTGCCGCCGTTCCTTTGATCGAGAGGCCTTGTGCAGCACCACGAGCGGCACCACGCACAGTCGCCCCCCTTCCACGTCCGGCCCCGGCAGCCAATACAGCCTGTGCCGGTTGCCCAGCAGCATTCAATGATGGCTTGCGAGGAAGCGCCTTGGCGCCGGTAGCAGCAACGGTGGAGGTAGAGGCAGCAGTAGCAGAGGTCCCAGCTGTAGGTTTCGCCACAGTAGGTACTGCAGCGCTGACAGCCGCGGGTTTGGCGCCTGTGGGTGTTGTCTCCTTGATAATACCCGCTTGCTTCCATTGAAGGATCTGAGCTTCGAGTTCCCTCAGCTTGTTCTGCGCTTTGACAAGCTGTTGATCCTTCAGCTTCCCTTTGGCGGCTGCCTCCATCCTGCCCCGGTCTACGGCCGCAGCGATCTCCGTCTCATGCTGTTCCCTCAACTTTCGCTCGTGCGCAGCTAGGGCTTCTTGGATCGCTACCTGCTGATCACCACCGGCTGATGATGAAGCAAGGGACTCCGCACGAGCGGCGGCGGCAGCACTCTCAACGGCAGCCTTCATCTCCTCGTTGAACTTGGCAGTCAGCTTGGACTCCAAGTCACGCAGCTCTTGCGCATGTCGCGCGACGACTTCGTCGGATGAAGCAGAGGGTGGTGCGCTCTGCAGCTCGTTACGAAGTTTTTCAACAGCAGCCTCGACGGCGGCCTGTTGCTGTGTCGCAGCTCGTTCACCGTCAGCCGCTCGAGCCCTCGAGAGGTCTTGGATCTTAGACTGGAACTTCTCCTGCATACAGATATGAGCAAGCCTGAACACATCAACGATGTCAGCAGGAGCTTACGTTCGCAAAACGAATGCTCTTGGCCTCTTCGGTGGCTTTCTGTGCTTGTTCAGCGGAAGCCTAGAGACGTGATGAGTACACGATCATTGGCAAGTGCTGTGACGAACTGACCTTGGCCTGAGCGAGGGCCTCATCACGGGTCTTGATGAGCTCGTTCTTCTCAGACTCCCATTCCTGCGGTATCTGCGACGAGTCCCCTGAGGTAGCAGCCGAAGACGTCCATGTGGCCTTCTCCTGGCTGAGCTTGTCTCGCTCTTCCGTCAATGATGCCTGCGAGACTGTCAGTGATGATACAAGACGACGAGAACAGATACATACAATCGCGGCTTGCAGAGTGGCCACAGGAGCGGCAGCGCTCGAATGTGCTGCTCTTTCGTCCGCTAGTGCTTTCTCGAGCGCATCCTTCTCCGAGCGCAGTGACTCCAGTTGTTGAGTCAACTCCTGCTCCTTCGACGGGTCTGGGGAGATAGCAGGAGGCTGTGACTTCAACTGATCCCTCTCAGCGGTGACAGTTTGCAGTTCGGTCCGTAGCTGAGCGATCTGCCCATTGAGTTCGGCCTTCGTCGCAGTGAACTGTTCGAAACTGGCCCTGTACTTCTGGTTGTTCTTCTGGCCGATCTCCCTCTGGTTCTTGATGGTCGTGTCTGCGACAGTAACCTTAACGAGCAGGCGATGGGTCAATACAAGTCTGTGATGATGTTGTGGCGAACCACATGCCTTCTCTTGCAGCTGAGTCAATTGTTCATCGCGCTCCTTGACAACATTCTCCATCTCTCCCTTGGCTGCCTTGATACGCTCAATCTCATCCTTGAGGGATTGGACCTCTGCGGGATCGATACGATCGTACTAAACACGCGAGTCAGGTCAAAGCTCGTCTACATATTGAATCACAACATGTACCTTGCTGAGGAGCTGTGTGTTGCGCTCTTTCCATCTTCGGCTTTCGTCTTCCAGACCTGAGATCTGTTGATCCTTCGCTTCGAGTTCGGCCTGCGCGATACGCAGCTGCTCTTTCGTCGGGTCCAGCTCGGAAGACAACTGCCGAAGTTTGGCATCCAGCTCGCGAGCACGTTTCGCATGCGACTCGCAGTCAGTACGGAGAGTAGCATTGCTTTCCCGCAGAATGGTAAGTTGGTTGATCCTCTCAACAAGCTCAGCATGCTGGGCCTCGGATGACGTGGCCTCAACGGCACGCTCACGTTCCTAGGTACGCCGGTGAGCGTCACAGCAATTGAACAGTACTGTCGTTACCTACTTCCGAGAGCGTCTTGCGAGTCTCTTCAAGGTTGTGCGACAGATAATCAACTTGGGTCCTCAGGCGCGCATTCTCCTGCTTGCTCAGGTCCAGTTGCAACTCGACGATCTCCTTCTCCCTGCGCAGGTATGCGACGACAGAACGCAATTCTGAGACCTTGGTATCTGCATCGTCTGCTTCTCCCGCTAAAGGAGCTGAAGTGTCCGCTGCTTGCTTGATGCGTGCCGCCTGCGAGCTGACTGATTCGAGATGCTGATGCAGTAGACCGTTCTGCACATTGAGTTCCTTGCATCTGGCGACAAGGTCGATCAAAAATGACACCTGCCCTAGGCAATTGAAACACACCTTGTATTGAGGTCCACGATCTCCTTGTCCATAGCCTCCTTCTGTTGCCTCCAGCTGGATTCGGACGCTGCCAGCTTGGCTTCCGCGGTCTCTGCGACAGCGCTTTTCTCGCGTGCCGCAACGCGCACCCGTGCCAGCTGTTCCTTGAGGTCCGTGATAGCTTTGAGAGCCTCGGCATGAGCAACAACCTCACTCGCGTAGCGCTCCTCGGCAGCCTGACCCCATCGATGTAAGCGAAGCGTCATCATGAACCAAACTTCTCAACGTACCCGTGCCCGTTGCTCTTGTTGCCTGACCTCACTTTCGCGCGAGACACGATCGTTCTCGGTGTTCCTCTCGGACGTGCTCATGTCGATGATGGTGTCCTCGAGCGTCTTTCGATCGTTCGCCCAAGCTATCCGGTCAGTCTCCAGGGTCCGTTGAAGCTCGGCGTGCTTCTGCGACAACTGATCAAGCTCCTGTTGGACGGCTTGCAATTTCGCTTGCAAAGCATCAAACTCGGACTACGACAAAAATAGTAAGTATGTCTTCTCGTCTCGTCAAGAGTGATCTAATTTACCGCGCGTCTCGTGAGCTCGGCCTCGGTCGAGAACTTGTACTCATCGTAAGTTGCGTTCAAAGTAGCCAAGGCCGTCTCATTTGCTTGACTTATCTCTTGGAACTGCTGAACGTGGCTCCGTGCAGTAGACAGGTCCACTTGAGCAACCTTCAAGGCAGAGCTGTTGACCATCATGTTAGCCGAACCGCATTATGACCGACCGACAGATGAAAACGAACCGTAAATCGGCCACCTCAGCTTCAAGCTGTTGCTCCCGCGTCATGTCTTCGCCGGTGCGCTGTGGGGCGATGCCATTGACACCGGTGGCACGACGTTCATACACAGCCAGCTTCTCTTCATTACCGTGTAACTGCCTGGTCAGTTCCTCAACACGTTCCTCGAGATGTTTCTTGCTCGTCTCCGCCGCGATGAGGGCCTCACGAGTCTTCGAGAACTCCGCTGTCTGTGAATTGTCACATAGTGAGTATGAGTCCTAGTCGTACCATGCGAGCGTAGCTTACGGTCTTCTCAACGCGGGATTGCAATTCCTTTACTTCGATGTCCTTCTGCAGAGAGACATGACGGAGAGTGTCGCGTTCCGCCGACAAGTGCGTCCGAAGATCTTGAGTCTGGTTCTCGAGCATCTGCATCTGGCTCTCCAGTCGGCGTCGGTCGTTCTCGCCCGATCGCTCGAGATCGCTGTGCATCTTCTGCACGTTCTGCATCAGATCTGACAAATGAGAGCGCTCCACACTGAGGATGCGGTTCTCCTCCTCCAAACGATCCTGCACGCTCTGAATAACGCAAATGAGATACCAGTGTTGATGCCGAGTCAAAATGAATTACGTACCTGCCAAATCTTCCTCTCAGCACGCAGATTGGCGCACTCGTTCCGAAGCTTGTCAAGCTGTCCATTGGCAACGAGGAACTCCTCCGAGACACGGTTACACTCAATGTCGATACGCATGTACTGATCGTAGAGGTCTTGATTCCGCTTCGAGAGGCTATCCAATTCGCGGTTCTGTGCCGTCGACTGATCTTGGATCATGCGGTGACGTTCTGCAGGACCTCGAAGATCAGCAACTCTCTCGGAATTTATATTGGGATATCACTGACCGTCCATAAATTCGATCTTCGCGTTCGCCTTGGCAAGCAACACACGCAGCTGGTTTGCGTCACGCTGAGCAAGGACGACTTCTTCCCTCAAGCGGACAGAATCCACGCCCATCTCGTTCTGGTACATCTCCAACTGGGTCTGGGCCTCAACAAGCTCCTTCTGCAGGTTGGTCTGAGGAGTCGGCACCGAAGCCGGAGCCGGGACAATGTCGCCGTTAATATCACCGTTGACAGTAACAGGGGGTTGGCCGGAACGCTCCCTCGCGAGCAGAGCCCTTAGCGAGTCGCGCTCCTTCATGTACGCTTGAATGGTGATCTCACTGCTCTTCGCCTGGCTCTCGAGCTGTTCCTGGAGCTGCTTGATCGCGCCGTGAGCCTCCATGACGGCCTCGCTCTGTTCACGCTCCAGAGTCTCCCGGTACTCCTTCTCCTCTGACTCCATCTTGGTTCCAAGCTCCCGGACGACCTTGAGCAGCTTCTGATTCTGCTCCTGGAGCTGAGGGATCGAGCGGTAGAGGACGAGGTGATTCGTTATGACCTCCTCAATGGTCTCGGCTGGCCTGGGGTTCTCGTCGAGCTCCAACTCCGCGTCGGACGGGATGGTGGGGTCCTGAATGCGACCGAGTTCCTTGAGAAGCATGCGGATCTGCCGACCAAGATCATTGAGTTGTTTCTGGAGAAGATCGTTCTCGCGCGAACTCTTCGCGAACTTCTGCGCAGTCTCGTCGGAAGACTGAGCGTATGCATCACGTTCGGCCAGTGCTTGTGAGAGCTGTGACGCGAGTTGTGTGGCCTCCTGTTGCAGGCGTTCGTACTCGGCGCGTTGTTGAGTCAAGATGGGTGCCTGAATACGAACGCATTAGTGCGGCAATAGAAGGCAATCGAGCGGAACATGCATACCCTCTCCTGAATCTGACCCAATACGGTAGACAACGTCCCCTCCATGTTGTCGAACTCCGCCGACTTCCTAGCATAATCCTCCTGCAACCGGACGTAGTCGGCATAAACCTCCGTGAACGTCTTGCCATTCCTCTGCACCCGGCTCGCCATCGCGACCGTCGGACTGAGACCCAAGATGCTCTGCGAAAGGAAGTCCGGCGTGCCGTTCATCATCAGAGACGGCGTGCCCGGTGTACGAGCAGGCGTGCGCGGCGTTCCCTGTAACGCCTCCGAGCTGAACGATGGCATAGGGAACTCGCCACGGTCCAACCTCTCCATCACCGCCTCGAGCTCCTCCACCCGCTTCTCCGCCTGCTCCGCGCGCTGGCGTTGGTCCTCGATCTCATCCTTGAGTGCCGCCTCCCGTCGGCCTGCACGCTCGTTGATGCCCGCGTAGTCCTGTTCAATGCCCTCGACAATTGCCTTCGCCTGGGCTTCGCGCGCCTCCATCATCTCCACAAGCCGCTTGAGGCTGGCGGCCTCGCTGGAGAAGGTCGCCTCCTGTTCCGCGAGTTGACCTTGGAGCGTCTGCACCCTTGCGAGTGCCTGCGTCAGCTGGTGAGACTGGGTCGAATGTGCGGACTGGAGCGCCTTCAACTGGCTCTCCGTCGCAACATGTCCCTGGACGAGCGAGTCATGCTGTGTCTGCAACTGTGCGAACTCCGCATGCTTCGTCCGGCGGTAGTTGGCATACTCCTCGACCTTGGCGTTGAGGTCGCTAGACATCCGCTCGGCATGTTCCTGGGAGAGTTTCAACTGTTGAGATAGCGAATCGACCTTGAACTTCGCAGCGGTTTCCGCCGAGCGCAATTCCCGAAGTTGACTTTCCAGTGCCTGATGGTCCTGCCGTGCTTGCTTGAGGTTCGTGCGAAGAGTCTGGATTTCGTCTGGAGGATGTATTTTAGAATTCGCATGCGTGACGGTGAAAGGGACAAGATAGTGTAGACATTGGTACAGGAACCAATTCCATGACGATGGCCAAGGCGATCGGTCATTAGAATGCCACAGCACAACGCAAGAGGCATGATGCCTGACCTCTTGGCCAGCAGCTGTTCATCTGCCTCTCATAGAATGCAAGGACTGATGAGATATGACAGTTGCAGGGACAAGCACTTCCACGAGGTGGAATAGATCCGACAACGCGTTCCTACTGAGCACATGCACAAATAGGACGCTTTCATTACATACACTGTAACAGAAAGCCATGCTAGAGGGGGAGCAGCCACTACATAGCCAGCCACTACCTCCGTGGCACTCTGATGCAGTGGATGTAAGGACAGCCCCTGCCCACTGTGTTCCTTATGTGCGATTGAAAGCTTACCTTCACGTTGTGCACTGTCATCCTTGAGCCTGCTTACGACCGTGACGAGGTTGCGCTTCTCGCGTTCCGTATCTTCAATCTTGTGCTTGAGCGCCTCAACCTCCACAGAGGAGGAGGACTGCGTGGTCGACATTGTGGACATCTGTGCTTGCAGGGAAGCACGGGAAGTGGCTACGGAGAGACATAAGTGTTGTATGCGCGCACCCGCCACCTGGTACGCACCGAGCTCATCCTTCTCTCGTCTGACCTGTTCGAGCTCCTTCCGCACGGTGTCGAGGGTGCTCTCAAGTTCTGAAGTTGCGGACTCCTTGTCCTGCAATGCCTGCTCAAGCTCTACATTCTTGCGGTCGATCTCAGCACGAGCCTCCTCGAGCTCACGCTGAGTGGCGTCACCGTCAGAAGCCTGAGCGACCACAAGGCGATACAGAGCGACGATCGCATCTGGTGAAGGAGCACGTAGATCAATCTCTGGCAACAGACCAGAGAGTACGCTAGCATCGACGTCCTCCGGGACCGCGACAGTCATTATGGCATCATGTGTGGCTGGAGTCGGTACGGGAGAGTTCTCCCTCGTCGAGACCTCCTGAGGGGCCACGGCCTCTGCGGCAGCAGCTGCCGCTGCTGCCTTGCTTTTTCGTCTGGTCTTCATCATCTCAGACTGGCGAGACAGGCCCTGAGGCAAGGGAGGGGGAGAGGTGGGTGGTTGGGTTAACAAGAACGTATGCACGTGCAGAATACAATGCGCGCATCGTGGCTCGCGTTATTTGTTCGTGCTGGGCAGCGGCCTCGGAGCCAAACACGCGCAAGCACGGGGACGCATTTCCATTCCGGGTGCAGTGCAGCAACCACGATCACGTGCCTCCACTCTTGCCCTTCGCTTCTGATCCGCGGTTTCGACTGCGTTTCGACCCAAGTTCGACCTTCAATATTACTTCTGTCCCGTCCTTTCCCAGAGCCTCGGAAGATTTCACTTATCTGTCTTGAGACTAGTCTCCTCTTTGCTTCTTTCTCTCCCCCGTCGCCTCAGACTCGCCCAAGAGCCGCTCTGTCCGCTCATCGATTCGCGTTGTCATGTCGTTCTTCAATTCCATCGGGTATGTCATGTGTTGGCTCGAAATAATAGAGGATTCTCGCTCATGCATCGAAGGCGGTCAATGAACCGTGCGCCTCGTCCTCCTAAACGTTCCACGACACCAACCTTATCACGCCGTCCATCTGAAGAATCGCTTCCTGGCACACCGACCTCACCTGGGGTCGCTAAGCCTCTCTACCTTTGCAGCCCGTTCGTCGAGGCAGCCCTAGTGAAAGGCAACTTCAAACACATCGTCATGCTGCCCAAGTATGCCGACGTCATGGAATGGGTTGCTGTCAACAGTACGTACAGCTTCGTGCGCGTGCAGCCTAGTTGACAGCTGAACGTGTTCTCCGCCCTGCGACATGTCTGCCTGCAGTTTTCGACTTCTATCAGAACCTCAACTCGTTCTACGGTGTACTCGCGGAATGCTGCACATCGCAGTCGTGTCCCAGCATGTGTGCCGGCCCAAAGTATGCGTCACAGTAACTAGTTGCATTTGTCACTGACTCGCCCTTCTTCACAGCCTGAATTACACTTGGATTAACCAAGATCGGAAGAGCGTCCAGCTGCCCGCGCCAACATACATAGATTATGTCATGACATGGATACAGAACCTACTGGACGATGACAACGTGTTCCCCACCAAGTCAGGTACGTTATCCATCGTGTCCGACCGCAGAGCCGCTCACCTCCCTTCCATCTCAGGGCGCGAGTTTTCCCAGACCTTCCCGTCAACCGTGAAGCACGTCTACAGACAGCTGCTTCGCGTTTTCGCGCATCTCTACTATGCGCACTACCCCCAGATCCTGCATCTCCGGAGCGAGCCTCACTTCAACTCGCTCTTTGCGCACTTCCTTGCGTTCGGCAAGGAGTACGAGCTCCTGGACATCAAGGATGTGAAAGGCCAGCCAGGGGTCCCGGTAGGTATCGGTGCGCTCTGGGAGCGCTGGAAGGAGATGGGCATCCTCGAGTCACCGAACGCTTGATGGGCATGCGCTCGAGGTGCGCGTACGGAATGGCTTCAAAGGCCTAGGGACCTCATGGTCGGGACGGTGCATGCGAGGCGACGGGTTCGTCATATACCTTGTGGATACATCGCGGTCTTTCTGGTCCGCTTTCGGAAAATGTAAGATAGGTCGGGTTGACGATGCATAGACTGTTCTGCTTCTGCAAGCCTCATGTGACGGGCGCGGTTTTGCGAACCTCCGGTTCAACGCTACAATAGGCGTTTACAAGTCGTTGAACACCAGACCGGGAACTAACGTCTGCAGCAGCCTACTCCGCCCCTCTTGTCAAAACAACGTTAATATCTGCAAAGCTTCCCCAATGCTGAACTAGGTGCGCTCGCGGGTTCTTAGCTTGATCAACCATGCATGCCTCATGGAGCAACTCGTAGGTCTGTATAGACAACAGCTGCCAGTGTCTTCGAGCGTGGATGCTAGGCGAGATGGTGCATGTAGTTACATTGGAAATGCGCGACATGGCTATGCCCGCGCGCGTGCGTCCGGGGGCGCGCTGGGCGTCCCGCCGCAGTGTATCGGATTGGAGGCGGCCATATCCTCTTTTCTCCCAGGCGGTCCTTCTCTGCAGTGAGTATTGGGTGCTGTGTGGATACTATGATGCGCAAGGTGAGGCTACTCTATGATTGCCGTCGCCCTACAATACCTCTGACTGTAAGAAGCCTCGTTGAATGCCAGGAGTTTTTAATAGAAATAGGGAAGCTTGCCGTGTGGGCGCAATGCCACGCCATCTGATCATCACTGGCGCATTCCTTCTGAGTCTCAAGTTCCGGCCAATCGTCGCGAAGCAGCGCTACTGTTGACGTGTCCGTCCGTCAATCAGTTCAGATAGCAGCCTCATCATCTGTGTGCCAGGTGTGTGAGGCCAAAAATATCACTGCCTGGGTCTTAAGTGATATTTCTTGTCAGCAGGAGACTCGCACAGAGAAAAAGGGAGCAAGAACACCACAAAACTCTACGATTGCTTTACGGCGAGCGATTCAGCCCAACAGATCTCGAGCGTGGTGACGGTCTGATCGAACCCGATCGTTAAACAGCGCATTCCCACCCGCGCGTCTTCCCCCTCAGAGTCCGTCCGTTATAAAGCAGGATCACAGGCCTGCTGGTGCAGTTCCGCGGGCAACTTCGTGACGATTCCTCTCCTCAGGTGATGGGCCGCATACAGTCTGCCGTCAGACCGTGAGACACTCATGATTGCACACAGTCATATCTTCGCCTCGTCGCGGGCGTGCAGGCCACCATAAGGTCAAGGGCTTTCGCGGAAGCCTCCGCGTCTGCGAGCCAGCTGTCCCCTGCACCCGTTCAGCTGCCATTGACTGAGTCTTGATCAGGACTTCTGCAGACATGGCCTCGTCACCGAAAGCTTCTAGCGTGATGACGACGACGCCGCCGCCTCCCGCCCGGCAGCTCAGTTCTCTGTCCGTCGCGCGAAAGATGACTCTGCTTGCGACTTTCTGCATGGCCCAATTTATCGACTCGTTCAGCATCTCCGCTCTGTTTGCTGCGACTCCGCCCATCTCGGCAGACCTGAACATCTCGGACGCGGTGTCTGTGTGGACGACAAGTGCCTATCAGCTCACGTTTGCAGCTTTCCTACTCACTGTGAGTACAGTGCAATGTTTCAGCCTTTGTCTCACTCTATGCATACATCACTCATAACGAGCTTGTAGAGTGGCCGCTTGAGTGACTTATACAGCCCGAGTACGTCCCAGCATGACGGGCGTAGGATGTTGCGTGAACTAACAAACAGGATAGAATATGTCTTCCTTGTGGGCGCATTCCTCGTCTCCTTCACGTCACTTGGATGCGCCTTTACGCGTGCGCAAATCCCGCTGTTCCTCCTACGAGGCTTCATGGGAGTGGGTCAGTGCTCTACCGCCACTTAATAGCCCATATCACTGACTCGATCGACACCTGCAGGCGCGGCACTTAACATTCCATCGGCGATGCAGATCATTGTGCGGATGTTCCCTACGCCGCATGTACAGTCCAGAGCGGTAGCCGCCTTTGCCGGTTGTGCTGGTCTGGGTAACGGTACGTACCGTACTCAGGAGTCGCCCTTGACTGTCTGGATGTTCAGGCGATGTGTTTCTAGTATTTGGATTAATCATCGGTGCACTCCTGGTGTCTTTTGCGTCATGGCCTGCAGTGTTCTACTTCATCACTGCAGTCTGTTTCTTGATGGGTTCCCTTGTAACCGTCCTCCTTCCATTCTCGAGGAACCACGACAATAACACTGGGTCTCGCCTTGAGACGTTCAAGAGAGTAGACATCGTTGGCGTATCACTGCTGACAGGTAGACCCTATCGTCCTGGATTGCATGCCGATGACTCATGTGATATTCGTAGCTGCACTCGTCCTCTTCGTGTATGCAGTCACGAATGGAGCCGCCGTCGGATGGAGCAAGGCCGCCACTCTCGCTCCGCTGGTGATCTCAATCGCCCTGGGTATCGGGTTCTTTGTCTGTGAAGCATACACCCCAGAAGAACGTGCTGCAGTGTATGTACACAGCCTCCGGGGGAGCCGACCGTATGTCTCATCACTTTGGGCAGACCTCTGAAAATGTGGAAGTACGAGAACTTCACAATCATCGTGATCCTCGGCTTGCAGCCTCGTATGTGGTGGGCCTCCGTGCAACTGTTGTACTCCTGGTTCTACCAAGACGCTCTCGGATGGTCGACTATCTACACTGCCATCCATTTGTGAGTATTCTGCGTCCGTCGGCTGTATCGCGACTTTTGACTGATGGAACGCCCAGCTTACCAGTGGGCCTTGTGTCTGTCCTTTTCATGGCCTTTACGAGCTCTCTGCAACAACGTTTTCGTCTCAAGTGGGTCATGCTGGGTGGACAGGCACTAGTCCTGATCGGTACCATACTACTCGTTTTCGGGGGTTCTGCATCGCGCTACTGGCAGTTCGCCTTCCCCGGCTTCTTTCTGGGTACGGCAGGAACGACGATCGTATTCGGGACAACGAAGTGAGTGTCACAAATAGCGGTCATCAATGCGCCTGACATGCTACGCGTAGTATCGCACTCTTCGCTGTGACCCCGCCCCGCATCGCAGCGACAGTGGGCTCTATCCTGACCGCCTCAGGGCAGTTCGGAAGCGCCGCGGGCACAGCCATCATCACGTCCATCCAAACTACCGTACAGCAGACACACGGCGGCCCGGACAGTTTCTCAGGGCGAGAGGCCGGCCTGTGGTTCATCGTGGGTATGACAGCAGCGGAGACGCTCTCTTTGCTGTTCTTCATGAAGAACGTTGTCGCGCCCAGTCGGGACCGGACAAAGGCTGCACCAGAGGCTGCAGATGTAACCGTGAATGCAATCAACATAGAGAAGAAGGTTACGGAAGAGAAACAGACGATAGAGGAGACGGTTGTGGCTGACCCGACAGATTACATAGAGTGACCATATCAACTCAGACTAAATGAGACTGCTGCCATGGCGTCGTAGATACATTGCGGATGTACTGTACATTGATGGGTCACCCGCACATAGTAGAGCGGAGGGGTACCCCGGCTAGTGAACGCAGACTCTTACGGAAGCTCATTGTCACCTACAGTAACTTAGCGTATGGAGAGAAGCTACCGCCCAAAGCGCACACATGGATGGAACTCACGCCAGGGTCTTCATCTCACCGACTGTCATTTATAATTGTTCTAAGGCGTTGCGCATGCACATATTCCTGTGAATGTCATCGTGGTGCAGCAAGAACGCATCTGCCACGACCGGGGCGTCCTCGTCGCAGATCGGCAGCATCATTCCTACCTCGCTTTTGAACCTGTCGTGCTTCATCCGTTTGGAGGCGATGTATGCCAAAGTTTCCGCTTGATAGTCACATATGTGGCGCGCATTGTATCAGTGCATTATCCAAAAATACAATCCGATCTGCGTTTGCATTGACGACAGCCCTTCGCTTTGCACAAGCAGTCAACAAGTGTACCGTTGAAACTACGCCATCACACCTTGTCATGTCGCGGTTCACATGCCACGACATGAGTCCGTTGGAACGATGATCTTAATCCTTGTCTAGTGTCTAGACCGCGAATACCGATGTGCAATGAACAAAGCAGATGATACAGTACATACAGACGATAGTGACCCGGGACATACAGAATGATACGTTCATAACCTACTTACCTCCTCCACAACGAGTGGCATGTCAACCGACCACTCTTTCCCAGTTATTCATAGCCAGTTCAAACAGAGATGGCAGCTCTTGCCACACTCGTTTGCGTTCAGCGACGTCTCTGTCGAGCAACATGACGTGGCACGCTCTACACAATATAGAGAGCTCCCGATGTTCTTGCAGCTCCCGTTCAATGTCCGTCCGCCACGTCAGAAGCGCGTCCGTTGCGCCTACACACTGTGCCCCGATGGCGAGTGTGTCATGAAGGCGATTGATCGCAGGCCCACATGCGGCCGGTGTGGCGCAACTGTCGCTGACCGTCGATCGGCATATTCTCGACAAGCACAGAGCTGCCTGCCCCGCAAGCTCAGCCTTGCCTTGGATGCACCGCTCCAGGTCTTCCGGAGCCAGACAGTCGACGGTGCCGTCCGAGCGAGCGGATCCGCGGAGGAGAGTTCGGCTGTCTAGCGTGCAGCAGTAGTAGAGCGCCGGAGGGATCATGGTGAACGAGTCCGTCAGTCGGGCGAGGTTGACCGCCGCGATTGCGTACTGACGCTGGACAGCGTGAGGGTCATCCTTGAAATTTGCGAACTTGTCGGGGAAGTATCTCTTGAGCCGTTTCATCGCGTCATCGAGTAGGTCCTGTATGTGATACTTGTGGCTCATGCGAACCCACGCTGCGACATCCTCGAACTGGGCTTCATCTTCGCCGGTATACCTGTTGAGCCCACGAGTCGTCAGCGCAGCCCCGCGAGGAGGAGTATGGCAGGTACGTACTTTCGTCCATGTATCATGACGGAAAGCAGAGCTCGCAGCTCCTGCGCAGTGTCAGACAAGTGGACCATAGGGCATTCCTCCGTCGACTGGGCCTCGGGTGGCTGAGGGACCGTGAACAAATCACGGAACACTTCCGACTGCTCCGCAAGAAGTCCCCTGTAGACCCTGAAACCTATGTTCTGCGCCAGTAATATGATGTTCCCATCTAGATACCAATATTTTTCGTCCTTCGTGAAGCTGGCCTCCGGCCGTGTCCCACAGTCTCCTGACACGGAAACTGCGTCCGGATCTGCGCGAGCGCGTTTGCGAGATCGGAGGGACATGAGCGTCCCAGACACTATGTTCGACATATTTGTCTTCTGTTACAGTGTTTCACAGTGCAGAGCAATATATCCAGTCGTATGAAGAGACGCGAGAGGACGTCGACTGATTCGAGTAGTGGTGTGTGTGGAAGTTGAACTCACGCTCGAAGTGTGGCTTGCAGCGCTAAGCGCGTGGCAGACAAGCACGTGATCGCGTCCGCAACGATCTCGTTCAATTGCGCGTACCATCCATCCTTAGACGGTGCTAGCTGCACGGCGAAACACCGTCCCCAAACTCGACACCCCCCACACCTCCGACACCCACCCGTGCACTAGGGGAAAAAATACGGCTTGCGCCCCTAGGAGAAGACGATGAGCCGACCGCGGAACGCGGAGCATGCAGGATTTCCTTTCACCTCTCACTTATGATTATTTATTACGATCTATGCGCCCTGGATTGACGAACTGAACCATACACATAGTTGCTACCATAGACTACAGAACGATACCGACCCATTACTACCTACCTCTCCAGACTTTACTCCTACCAGTACAGCCCCGAACGGGACGACGACCTGGGTGGCGCGTTTAAACGCCCACTACTGTACAGGCCGGCGTCCGCCGCGTCTTAGCACATGTTTGCTTGCAGCGGTTAATCAATGCTGAGTTCATCATCATCATCGTACCATCCATCCTAAACTCGAATAAATTGTTCCCCGTCTCATGTCAGCCCTTCTGGTTAGCAGCAAGAAAAATTCAATTCTCTCATACAGTCCATTTGTTGGGGAAGAATTGACTGCGCGAGCTTGTCAAAGACGGCCGAGGTGAGCTGCCAGTGCTACCTGTTGGCAGTGTATACAACGTAGCTACGACGGCACCGTCGACGTGTAGTGTCGAGTTGATTGACCGCTGACATAGTTGGGCAACCACTGTGCGTTCATCAACTAGGTACATTGTATTTTTTTTATATCTCGCGACAACACTGATCAAGACATGAGCAAGTACAGTATGTAGAGCATGAGAAGAACTCACCGTCGCATTGTTATAGGATCGGCATGGGTAACGGCAGAATTCCCCAGCCTTCGACCTCGACTCCCATGTACGACGGCAGTAGTTCCCGGCTACCCCTGCAAACCTCCTCATCTCTACCATAGAGAAGGCTCATGCATTGTTGACATGGCTCTGGTAGGTTGTCGTCCTCCTCGCCCAAGGCGTTGTATTGTAGGAAGTGGAGCCATGACTCGAAAATGTTGACATCCGTTTCGTCGAGTCGCCTGATGGCCTCGGTGCGCATCTGCAGGATCGAACTTCGACAGTGTCCCGGAGAGGTGCAGTTGGTGTTAAAGGTGTAGAAGAAGACTTCATGGATTGACAGCGCACGTCTGGAGGCCAGCTTCACTCTGCCATTGGAGCGTCGTAGCAGGTGTTCTCTGCTCAGCATCTCGACCGTCCCATCTGACAGAGATACACCTTGGAGTACCGTAGCATCCGCAAGGAGGCAGCAGTTGTATAATGCAGTTGGCAGGATTGAAGGTGTGTCGGTCAGATCTGCCAAATTAGCAGCAACAACGGCTTGAGCACCCCGAAAGTCTCCGTCGGAGAAAGCGTCGTAGTGTGCAAATAGGACAGGGAAGAGTATCTTCAGCTCTTGAAGAGACTCGCTTAAAAGCTTTTCTGCGCCATATTTGTGGGCTAGCCGCACGCGATAAGCCAGGCTCTCCAGCTTCTCATCGCTCCAACGGTTGTACCTGCGGGATCCAGCGATGTCAGCGGTGGTCGCCGGTCAAGGAAAGCCAAACAATGTCACGATGCTGGTACATGCCTTTTCTCTCGAATAAGCGCATTCAAAAATTCTCTGAGTGCTATAGCTGTGTCGGATACCCGGACAACCGGGCAACCGACGGCAAGCTCGCTGTCTTGTGGCTGCGGGATGGAGAATATGTTGCGGAACACTTCTGCTCGCTCCGCTAGCAGACCTCGATGTACGCGGAAGCCGATTTTGCTTGCAATCAAAATTACTGTGCCGTCTTCATACCAAAACTCAGTGTCGCGCTCGAAGTCCATGTCCCTAGGTCCGTCAGCCGCCGAACTACTGCTGCCCGACTCGGCCAGACGAGGCCTTTTGTGACTTGAAACATCTCTTTCGGACATGCTAACTTGTTAGGTGAGTGGAGGCTTCTTTAAAGTTAGGTCAGATGAATCAGTGCGTACCTGCTGAATGAAACGCCGTGGATGCTCTACAAGGGGATCCGTCCAACGTGTGTGATGAATGAAAATCTTTAGATTTAATGTGGCGCAGAACGACTGACGCGATCACGTGGGTGCGTGACAGGGCGGCGTTAGTGAAGTGGACGTGTCTGGATTCTGGAAGACTGGAACGTCCGTCACTTGAGCGCGGAGGTTTCAGGTGCGTAATACGGATCCATACAAACTGATCACTGGTAACTACGGAACTCACAGGGTCCATGGAACCGGAGAGCGGCAGTCACAAACGGCCTCGGTGGGCCAACTTGGCTCGATGCACTGTGATCGGTGGGGGAGTTGCCGGATGATCATATGGACGTTACTGTCGATGATTGGGGCTGTTGATTCCCTCATGTCTATATCATCAGTTCGTACGCAGAGAAGCTCGGCTTGCTACCTATACTACGTATATACGTTCAAGATACATAGCCCCCTCATTGACTCGACAGCACAATCGTAACCTTATTGAGTACACAATGTGCGCACGTGATCGCGCTAGGGTAGTCGGCGCGCGTCTTAGACGCGCCTGCCAACTCTCTTTCGAACGCCACACATCCTGCTACTGTGACTACAATTACCTCAATGAAGCGCAGCCTTGATTTGTGAGTATTATAACATTCCGTACACTGCGTGACTCACCGAGCTCTGTCCAATGTTGCGTAGAGACAGCTCGGGGGAGGCAAGTGGCAACAAACGGCCTCGTCTATCACAGACGTCGGACAAAGATCGCTCGCAACCCACGAACATTGAAGCCGAAGACTTAGGGCTTGTACGCGACGAAGAGTTTTGGTACGAGGATGGGAGTGTCGTTCTGGTTGCGGGGAACGTCGGCTTCCGCGTATATCGAGGTCTGTTGGTGAGGCGTTCTGAGGTCTTCAGCGACCTCTTCTCCGTCCCGCAGCCACAGGACAGTCAGCTGGTCTGCGGCTGCCCAGTCGTGCATCTCTCTGATACCCCCGACTCTTTGAGAGAGCTATTGGGTGTACTGCTCTGCGGAAAGAAGTGCGTTCATCCTTTGTGTCGGTCTCCCCTTCATTCCCAAGGTGCTCATACCCGCCTTTGACCGCCAGATATATCCAAAAAAACGACATTGAGCTCCATCTTCTGTCCTATCGCATTCGCCTTTCCCATAAGTATGGCATTCAAGACGTTCTGAACGAGTCCATACAACAGCTCAAGGCACTCATCCCAACGGACCTCGCGCGTTGGCTCGCCATGGGACGCCACTACAGTGCACGAGCCATCACCGCGGTCAACCTGGCTCGCCTGACCAGCACGAAGCTCGTGATTATTACCGCGCTCTACATGTGTTGCCAGCTGCCCAACCATGTCTTGCTGGAGGGTGCGGCTCATCCCGACGGGACCACCGACGAGCTGAGCCGGGACGACCTCCTGCAGTGCTTGGACGCGAAGTCTGTCCTCACGCATACATACGCGCATGGCATCTACAGCCAAACCAGCATCATCGTCCAGGGCTGCCGCTCGCACGCTTCCTGCGGCAGGGCCCTCGATAGCATACGATACACGGCGGCGAAGCGGTTGACGATGGACATCATGGACACGTGGGATGAGCTATTGGACAAGTACGACAGAACGAAGGTTGGCGATGCTGCGCTCGTCAGTTTGTGCCAGTGCTGCATGGTCAACCTCCGCCAGCAAGTCTGGGCCCATGTCAGCTACAGGTGGGCATTCTTGGCGAGCTATATGGACGTCCGTGGCCAGGGGAAGGATGGAGGAGTCGAAGAGGAGCCTTGAATCATCGTGATCGAACAGCCCAGTCGCATCGACATATACTGTTGATGATTGCAGGGATCTGGACACCACAAGACCAGTCATGAAGATGTATCGCCAGTGTATACCCTATTGCTGCATTGTATCTGAAATCACTACGCATCGCCTATAGCTACTATATACCCTCGATACCCAGTCTGGACCTATGTGCTCATATCAATATACTTATATCCGCTGTGCACGCTACATCTATCGAATCTGCTTTTATCTGTGTACACACTCGAAGCGTGCAAGAATCCCGCAACGACCATCTCGAACTTGAAGCCACTCACGCGCCGGGCGCCGATACGGTACGGGGCGGGCCCGGCCCCATACGGGAAGTAACTTTGCGACTGGAGGCCCGAGTCATTGTAACTTATCCCCGTCTCGACAGAGCTACCCCGTACATACTTCACTGCAACGATACGGGCTCGCCCTATGTCTACTGACAGTGTGCACTACATATTGGTCGAGTTCAAGGTCATGTTTGCAAGCGTCGCGCATGTTCGCCATTGAGCTGAGCTTTCCGGCCCGGCCCCTCCGCCTTGTGCTGACGGGCGCCACTGCGTACCCGACGCGCCTCAGTTCCCGCTCTCCGTATTCCACTCCACCACCGACGCGTTTGTGCTCAAGTACTGTCGTCCTTCTTGTATTCTCAGCAAACTACCAAAGCTATCTTGCAAGCCTATGTGCAATCAATGACACTCGCTACGCATCACCATACCATGTCGATCCTCCAGCATACTGTGCGCTCCTCGACCGCGTCGTCGAGCACTTCTCTCCACGCCCAACGCGGGAAACGATCGTTGGCCTCGTTACACGAGCACATTCCTGGGCTGTCGAGACCGCAGAGACCACCAAGTAGAAGACCATTCGGCACCACAGCGTGTCGATGCGCGGATGGACACTACGATATCCTCCAGGTGCCGAACAACGCGTCCAGGGCACAGATCAAGGCGCGTCCCTTCTAGTCTTGCAGCGCTCAGTGTACGTGACACTGAAGAGTCTGTAGTCAAGCTACTACAAGGTGAGCCTATACCGAGGGTGAGAGACACGGCGGGCGCGCGGAGCTGAGGTGTCCCACGGACTGCACGTAGTTAAGCAAGCAGTATCACCCGGACGTTAACAAGGAACCCGGGGCGAAGGAGAAGTTTCACGCGGTGAGCCAAGCGTACGACGTGCTCGGAGATGATCGCAAACGGTACGTTCCCTCCCTTATGAACACGCACCCTTCAACTTCACAGTCATACACACAACTGCTTCGATTGAGCACTCATGCACAACATAGACGAGCATACGACCGCTCAATGACACAATCCACAAGCGGACCCTCACGTACCTACGCCTCCGGATACGACTCGCCCTACTCACACTGGTCATACGACGTCCGGCGGCGGCGAGGCGCGACGCACGCCTGGGAGCATCAATACTCACACCGTCCGCCGCCCGGGCCCAGTGGGCACACCCGCCCACCGCCCGGGCGACACTACGAGCGGCCACAGGGCGCCGACCCGTTCGCCAGTGCGAACGTCCGGCGCGCGACGGGGATGGGGCACGCACGGGCGACGGGCGCGGAGGCGCGAGAGGAGGCGCGGGCGCGCGAGCAGAATCGGGTGCATAGCGAGAGTGGGTTTTGGCGTATCGTGCAAGTTGTGGGGGTGGTAATGGTCGTCGCGACGGTGGGCGGGGGCTTCTCTGCGTCGACGTAACTGAGATACTATTGACGGTGACTTCTATGTAATGTGCCCTGCTTAACCAGGATGTAGACACCGCGAAACTTCTGCAGTGTACGATAGACCAGCCACACATCACGACTGTAGAGGTGCACGCATTACCACTCATGTCAGTGTAAGTCCACTTTCGCCAGGACTCCAGGAAAGCCCAGCAGCAGCACTCCTGACATCCAGCAATTGCCCGAATCCCCATCGAGCACTGGCATTGACGACCGCAATACAAACGCGAGTGCGCAGCCTGGCTGATGGCTTGTTCGTACGTGCAGCAACCGCAGTTGAGCGCATTCTGATTGCTGTGCCACATCGCCATCGGGTGTCTCCATGTCGGTGTATGGGCATCCGGCGTGCATCCTGAGCGCATCGTAAAGGGATTTTGATTTGTTACTACACCAGCGATCCGGCGATTATCTGCAACTCTACAACATTTCGCTCTTCGGTGAGGTAGTGTGGCGTCCGGTTTGGGATTATACACGGCAGACCAGTAAGGAGCACGGCGGCACAGAGTAGAAGGGGGTACAAGTGATGGAAATCGGGCAGAATCGTCGCTCAGGCTCCTCGGGAGACCTTGTCAAGCACTGTAGTAGTAACGCATGAGCTGGGACGGCTTGGTGATGAGGCAAGGTGTACGCACCACTCTCGTACGCGACCTCGCTGTAGTCCGTGCCCTGAATCTCAGCAGCGATGCCGACAAGGGCGCGTCTGAGGGCGTCCTTGGACGAGGCGAACAACATCTTCTTCTTGATCTTCGAGTCATCCGGCGACCTGCGTGCGGACCGCGACCGCATGAGGACACGCGCGCGCGCACACTCGAAGGAACGGGGACACACGCACCAGGAGAAGAACGTGATCTTGTTCCTCTTTCCCGCGCCCTCCTTCTCGAACTCAAAGTCGTACACCGCCCAGCGGGGCTCGTTCTCTGGGAGGTCCGCGAGGAAATCGTCGTAGTTGGTGCTCTGGGACTGCTTCTCGACGACGATCTGCGTGTTGTCCGGGTTGAGCGTGTAGATGATGTACTTGATCTTCTTCCCGAGCTTGAGGGTCTGGTACGTCTCAAGACACTCGGGGCTCACGCCGACGCCGGACTGGGAGGCCTGTGGCGGCGGCGCGCACGCACGCGATCGCAGCGATGAGCGGGGCGGACGCGCTGGACGGCGGCGGGGACGTACCATGGTTTCAGGTCGTTAGGTAGGTCAGTAAGGAGATGGACGTGGCGGGCGACGAGTAGGAGATGGCAGGTCGGTGCAGCGCGATGCAGTCCGTCCGTATAAGTATCGCGATACGGCGATGACGCCGGCGATTGCCATACTGATTGCCCATATTCGCCGGTGGCTGCTCACTCGCCTTCGTCCCGCCTCGACTGTCCGCAGTGTCTCATCCGCCCACACATCCATCTCTGGTCCGCGCAGGTCCTGCGGCGGAGTGCAGGCGCGGACGAGCCAGCGCGATTGGCTGTTGATCTGAAGCTTGCATTACGTCGGTACACGCAAGTACCCACGGTCTAACCTACACCTGCCCCGTCTAGCGATGTATGCTACAGTAACAAATTGCAGGAGACGGATGCGAGCTTGCACTCAGAGCAAAGGAAGCTGATGATGGATACAGAGCACTCAAACCCCACTGCGGACTGCGCGCTCATATGAAGACAGCGTCCAGCCAAGCCTCGTAGTCGTACTCGGCATCGCCGACACCGTCAGCCGCGGGTGGCATGGCCTGCCGCAGATACTCGATTGCGCTTGCCGGCAGCTGTGCGACGCGCAGGTCGAGCTCCGTCACGAACGGCTGCGAAGCAGTCAGACCAGATCCGTGCGAGACAGACGTATCCGCGTACCTTGTCGTTCGCGATGCCCCGGAACGCCTCACGTAGCTGCTCGGGCGATGTTTGGTCCTCCGTGATTTCAACCTGCGGATCATTGTGTACCGAATTCCAGAAGGCCAGCACAGGAAATGACGTACCAGTAGGTTGATGAAGGTCTCAAACGTAATCGCACCGTAGTCTTGCAGTAGCTGGTCGTAAATAATGTCCATGTCCTCGTCCTGCCGCAACATAAGCGAGGAGTGGAAAGTCATAGGAACAAATGCACGTACGGAATACACGATGCCGAGACTAGCAAGAGCGGCCGCCATCTCCGGCTGGTTCAGAGTATTCGTCTCATCCCGGTCGAAGTACCGGAACGTGCTCTCGAACTGCTCCAGCTGTGCCGGTGTCAGGTTCGTCATGTTTCGCGACACGATCTACACGAGGAAACATCAGTAAGATAAGCGTATTTGTGTCGGGCCGAGATACCTGGTTGTCGATGAAGGCGATCTTCTTCGAGATGCTCTGCTCCAGTAGCTCGAGCTCGAATTCGAGGTCTTGACACGTGAATACGGTATAGTCGTTCTCATCCACGTTAGCGGCTCTGCATTCGTCCTCGGCATTGATTACAGCAGCGAGCCCATCTCTGAGTAGTGGTAACTTTGTACGAAGTTGTGTGACCTGCTCCTGTTGGTCCTGTATACATAGTTAGCTAAGCGCAAAGACAAGTGTCAAGATTCTGAGTGACCTCTAGTGCGCCCTCGATGCCAGCTAGCTCCGAAGAGATGGAACGTAGCCGTTTCTCAAAGTTGTTAGCGAGGTCAGCAAAAGCCTTGCGCAAAGCCTCCTTAATCCTGCGTCATTTGCTTAAGCTACTGATGCACTGCGACAGCAGACACATGCTCACTGTCGGATCTCCGCATTGATAGCTCGCGACCTCTTGGCCTCCGACATCAACAGTTCATTCCACGCAGCATCCAAGTCCTACAGCACAGTCAGCCACTGACAGAAGCGCAGTATGACGCAGTGCCGGACCTACCGACAGCGCAAGCCCCGGTGGAGGGGCGTATTCCCGCAGGCCGTATGTGCGGAGCTTGGTCTGGATGTTCCCGAAGAGCGTTGTGACGTCCTGCCGCTCCGTGACCCACGCCCGCTTCGTCGTCTGTTTATAGGCGGTGAAGCTGGCGGAATGTTCCTTGGCGTTGGCATACGTGCCGGTGAACTCGGCTGCGGCCCAGCGCGCTTGGGTGACGGAGATGGAGGAGAGGAGCTATGTGTGCATCAGACTGAGTGAGCAGGACATCTAGTGGGAGAGCGTACCTCGCGTGCACGTCGCTCGTAGTCGTTCTTGCTGAGCCAGACGGAGTGCATAAGTTCTGCGAACTTCTCCACTCGGCGCGACACGGTCTCGACCTGTTCTGTGCTGGGCTTCAGCGGGCGGGCATGGGCTCTGCGACAGACATACCCATGGAAGAGAAGGCGTGGAAGTAGCTGGCTACATAAGTCATGACACTGCGCTCATCTGGACGTGCAGTATCACACAAATCTGCCACCTCGAGTAGTTGCTGCATAGAGTCGTGTAGTCAGTTGACGCAGGGTAGACTACAGACAACGTACTGGTATCCCGAGGTGGTCTGCGGCCACTTGGAACGCGAGACGTGTGTTGGCGTGTCGATCGGACTGCATGTACGTTGTGAGACCTAACCTGACATGCCTAGTGGCTACCCACCTTGTCCAGCATATCGTAGTCGAGTAAGTCAGGCCGATGGCAGTGAATAAGTGCACACCTGCCATGCACCAGATTGGCCTTGAGTCAAGGGTGGGTGGTGAACGGGCTCACGAACAATGCGAGGCCGTCGGACCAGCTCAGGGAGAAGTCCTGGACGTCGACTTCCTTGTACGGCGCAGTCTTGCGTTGGCACCACAGGAGCAAGCCTTCCTTAGCGGACAAACCCTCTTCGCTTGCCGGATGTCAGGGAATAATCCGCAAGTGTCAACATCGAGACATACCTGATGTCTGCAATCGTGAAGCGAAGAATGAGTGTCCAGATCATGCCCAGAATGAGCTTCAAGTTTCCGTCGATAATGTCTGGGTGACTATCAAGGATCGCCTCACCGACTTCTAGTGAGCCACTGTACCTTCGGGTCCGATGTTCGTTAGCTTGACGCCTCGCGAGGTGATGAACTCCAGGGCTTTGTTCACGTTCTCGGCCTTCTGGACGCGCATTCGCGGGTTCCTGTTGTATCTCCCAAGTGATGTATCACCTACGAAGGGATATAGGATGTAGCAGTAGTTCGTGCCACAGGAAGTACCTCATACCCATGATCTCCTGCGATGTGGCACGTACATTAGTACGCTATCAGACGACCCCTGAAGAGGTGCTTGCCATGAGCTGTATGAGCCGGACACCATCCGATAGATCCTTGACTAGCGAGGTCATCGCTGGATATCCGTTGGTTTCCAGCTTCGTATTCAACCTACCAGCAGACGATCAGTCAGTTCGATGTTTGCAGCGATCTATTGAACGCACCATTTGCAGAAAGTTCTCTCCTGGACATCCCGCGAGCGTGCCTCCAGCGAGTCCATGTCAGAAAGCACTCCACAACACCTTGAACAGACGGAACAAGAGCGGGCAGGAAGAAAGACGAATACGCGACCGCATCGCGCTCAGACGCGTGCACAGCGCGCTTTCAGACTCCGCAACGCGTCCCACCCAGCCACTCGATTGGCCACACGCGCCGTACGCTCTTCCCTCCGCTCCTCCAACTTCACCTTCACCCTGCCGCTGCATCCGCGTAGCGAAGATCCAACATGACAACACAATTTGACGCGATATTCCATGGACTGTCTCCCGAGCTCGGAAGTGAGTGTCCTAGCTTTTGACGCGCTCTCGTATGTTGAGCACGGCGCGGGTGCGATTTATAACAGAGTTCCGTATCGCCGCGAGCGGAATGGCGTGGAAAGGCGTGGACAGCGATAAAATGGTCGCGATATCTTCAGCAGACATCAAGTGGGCGCAATGGCTCAGAGTGGCGCGTAATTACCAGCTGAGGGTGGGGTTGAAGGATAGGTCGCGGGAGATATTCGATGGTTTTGGGCGCGAGGTGCGCGACTTCCCGTACTGTCTGTGATCAATGGGGGTTGACCTGATTCTAGGACCACGACAAACTCTCACAACTCTTGAAACAACACTTCAGCGTCACTCTTGAGACGAAGGAGGTTTCGTTCAAGGGATGGAATTGGGGCGTCACAGACTTCCAGGGTGAGCAGGCAGTATCAGCGCATCACAGGCATATCTGATTCCACGTCGCCCTATGCAGGCGAGGACCTCGCTTTCCTCGTCTCAAACAAGGCCTCCTTCGAGCTGCCACTCTCAGAGGTCGCCAACTCAAACATCGCTGGTCGAACGGAAGTGTCCCTTGAGTTCACCACACCATCAGGGAGCAAAAAGTCGAAAGGTGCACCAGATGAGATGGTCGAGATTCGCTTCTACGTGCCCGGAACTGTGAACCGCGACCGCGGCTCCGACGCGGGCTCACAAAAGTCGGATGACGAAGAGGAGGTCAGCGCTGCGCAGGCCTTCCACGACGCGATCAAGGAGAAGGCGGAGATAGGCCAGGTTGCTGGCGATATCATTCTCAGCTTCGAGGAAGTGCTCGTCCTCACGCCCAGAGGTCGGTACGATGTCGATATGTTCCCTGACTTCCTGCGGTTGCGTGGTAAGACATATGACTACAAGATCATGTACAACAGTATTTCGAGACTATTCCTCCTACCCAAGGACGATCAACACGTACTCTTCATTGTAAGCCGCATAACTTCTATGACTTATGCTTCATTAATGTCCACCTTGTAGCTGGGCCTCAGCACTCCGATTCGGCAAGGTCAGACGAGATATCAATATCTGGTCATGCAGTTCAGCAGGGAAGAGGAGATTACCGCTGAGCTCAACATGTCAGAGTACGCCACACTTGACCGCTCGTGAAGCACTATATACTGAACACAATTGCACAGAGAGGAAGTTGCCCAGTATGATCGCCTCAAGAAAAACTACGAAGACCCAACCTTCGAGGTCGTGTCAGGCGTCTTCCGCGCCCTCTCCAAAAAGAAGATCATAGGAGCGGGCAGCTTCACCAGCCATGCCGGTCACCCAGGCATCAAAGCCAACCTCAAGGCCGTGCAAGGCGACCTGTTCCTGCTCGAGAAATACGTTTTCTTCGTCTCCAAACAGCCGACGCTTGTTGAGCTCTCGGACATCCACCAAGTCGTCTTCTCGCGGCTCGGTGCGGGGCTCGGCGCCACCGCCGCACGGACGTTCGACGTGAAGATCGTGACGAAGAGTGGGCCGGAGTACACCTTCACCTCGATCAACAAGGAGGAGCATGAGGGCACGGAGGCATACCTCAAGGAGAAGAAGGTGAAGGTGAAGAACGAGATGATGGAGGGCGAGCTCATCATGGCGGGTGTGGACGACGAGGACGAGGAGATGCAGAGTGTGGCGAGCAGCGGCGAGGAGGTGCCGAAGCCTCGGGGGATTAACGACGAGGAGGATAGCGAAGATGGTGAGCTCCGCGCAGTCACTGACGTTTCCTGCATAACTGACCCCTTGTGCTTCCAGACGAGGACTTCCATGTGTCAGACTCGGACTCTGGGTCACCAACAGAGGCGTCATCAGACGACGAGGGCGCACAGACTGCATCAGACGCGAGCGGCGACCGCGACTTCATCAAGAAGGGCAAGGGCAAGGGCAAGGCCGCCAAGAAGAAAGCCCCCGCAAAGGACAAGGCCGACGAGAGCGACGCGGAGGACGATAGCAAGCCAAAGAAAGCCGCCCCGCGACCAAAGCCAAAACCCAAGAAATCTGACGATGCGATGGACGTTGACGAGGAGCCCCCGGCCAAGCCCAAACCCAAGCCCAAGCCCAAGCCCAAGGCAAAGCAGGATGGCGGTGAGGAGGGCCCGGCGAGGAAGAAGATCAAGAAATCGGATTAGGGGGTGGGGTGGGTTGTGCATTGTCGTGTTTGCGATTGCTCTGCGTGTTGTTACATCTTCTCTTCAATTGTATCGTATCTCGTTCTGCATTCTTAAACCAGCCGCTGATGGGATGCTTTCACATCGACAGCCGGGTGATCGTGCATTCATGGAGAGGCTTGCGTTATGTCTCTTCACAAGCAAGTTCAGTTTACTACGAGCGGGAGATGCCTCCGATTTCTGAGTGGCAGTAAACTGGCCTCCTCGTAAGGAACCTGCCGAGCCTCGTAGAGCATGCGTCGGAGATCCTGTGCGACGCCACAGGATGTCTGCCGTGATGCATATGCCTGAGCGATTGGGTCACTTGCTTTGTCGGCCAGTCACTGACAAATGGACAAGGGGAGGAACCTGGAAGACATTGCGATTTACTATTTTCCGCTGTTTAGTGTACGACAAATGTTGTAAGAATGCGATACAGAGAGTGAAAGTGATACAAGGAGCGTAGTATTGTACGACGACTGACGAATAAATATCTACAAGGTGAAAGGGAATGACTCTACAGCGGTGTCTAGCTCCGCATACAAAGACGATAAAAACGACAGGAATGTGTACATTACGCCGGTAGGCGCTTGGCCAGCAGAGATCCAGGCTCGAATCCGACAGGAACAGCTGGTACAGGACCCTCTGCCTTGGGCGCACCGACGTTGACGAGTGGTTGTGCGGGTCTTTGCCCAGCACGGGTGGTCGTCCGTGTCAATGCTGATCCGGCTGACGTAGAGATGATGTTGCGCTCCTGGTAGAGGACGTACGACTGGAAAGACGATAGGTGAGCTTGTCGTCCGAGACCAGGAGATAGAACAACTTACGCGAGCGAGAAGGATTTTCTCTACCCAGGCCTTGCCTTCGGACTCAGTGTTAGAGTGGAAGACGTGCACGTAGTCTGCCGTGTTCTCGAAGAACGTCAGACTATCCGTGGACTTCACGGCCCAGGAGTACCCCTTCGTGCTGGCACCCTTATACGGACGGATCATGTAGAAGGCGTCGAAGTTGTTCAGCGAGCACAGGAACACGGAGTCTTTCCCCTGCAAAGGGTATCAGCAACGTGACATACGAGTGCCAGGCACTGAAGCACTTACACCCTCGCGCTTCGACAACCACAAGCTATGCTCGCGGAGTTCCATCCACCGCTTCTGCCACTTGCCACGCTTGTACTCGTACTGGATATATCCGCTGTGCATGGGAGAGCTGCGTGGCAGGTTCTGCGTGGTTGTCAGCGGCTAGTAGAGTTATTACACGGAAATGACTGACGGAACGGCTGAGAAGCGACGACAGCAGCGTCCTCTTAATGACCAGGAAGTTGAGGAGCATCTTGTCCGAGTGCCAGGCATTGCAGATGTCAGCCAGTAGCTCGAAACTGCGGATGGGGCGTTCTGCATCGAAGCCATGAGTGAAGTGACAATCAGACTCATTGAGAACACGTACCCATGCCGAAGTCCTGAGCGACCTCCCACAGCATATAGCCGCCCTCACCGGCACCGCCTGCCAATGCGCCCTGCGCGTCGACGAGCTGCAGGATCTCTCCCGCACTGGTCGTAGGGCTAATCTCGACGACCACATACTGCTGCATGGTGCCGACGTGGATCCGTTGCTGCCATAGCTGCTGCGGCTTCACCTGGGAGGGGGTTTTGACCGTAGCTGCTGGGGCGAATGGAACGGAGACAGCGTGAGATGGTGTGCCTAGGCCATTGACCGACATTTTGCGGCCCCGGGGACCTGCTGACACAGTTTCCCGCTCAAGCGAGGGCATGCGCGGCCGGTCTGGTTCTACACTGGGTCTGCGAGAGGCCTGTCTGCAGGACTTTGCGCGCTCTAGGGCACGATGTTCTTCCGGCAGAAGTGGAACAGACGGCGCGACGGACACCGGGGGTAACGGCTCCTGAGGCTTGTTAGAGAACGCAACGCGGACTGGGCTCCCAATGCTCATGGGAAGAGGGGGTCCTCGGAGCGCATCAGCGGGAGGGACGGCGTTCGGGCGATGGAACGAGCGCATCGGGCGCAGAGGCCTCCCGCGGCCATCATCTTGGTCGGCCTTGGAGGTGCGAGTAGGCTGCCTCTGCAGCGAGAAAGACCGCTCCGCGCCACGCGTAAGACTTGCATCTCTCGATTGCGCCTTACCCGCGGGGGACTTTTCTACTGAAGGGCGGCGCACCTTGCCGACCACCGAGGGCAGGACGCCGCTCGCCTGGACGCCGAGCAGCTTCTTGGTGAGGTCGCCGATCGAAATCGGAGAGCCGACATTCCCGGGGAGCGTCTTCGTGCGCGGACGCCCAACGGGCGCCGCCTGTGGGTGCCCGCGCGTCGTGCCCGATAGAGTTCGGCCACTCGAGGGCTCAGCGGCTGCGGCGACTGCCGCCTTCGCCTTGGCTGACGCTGTCCGCGCGAGCGCCTCGTGCACGGCGTTGGGCGACTGTGCTCTGAGCGTCCTACGCTCGTCGCGGATCGTCTCGTCCCGCTCTCGCCGGATCGTCTGCTGCCTGTCTCGTCGCCGCTGGCTCATCTCATCGCGGACTTGTCGCCGGATCGTGCGCTGGGCTGTGAGAGCTGTCGGGATCTGCTGGGCAAGTGGAACGTCGTCGTCTTGCGACCCTCGTGAGCCGCGAGACGTTGCTGTCCGCGCGGTCCGGTAGTCGTCTTCGTCCGAGCTCGACTCCTCTTCCTCAGAGGTTTCGGACTCTGATGAAGTGACGAGAGGCCCTGGTGGCCGGCGATAACCATCACCGTTGCCCCGACGTCCACCGCCCGCACCGCCATGGCCACCAAATCCACTGCTCGAGCCGCCATAACCACTGCCACCCGCACTTCCATTCGACCGTCCGTTGCTGTAGCCGTTGTAGCCAGAGCTACCAGACCCTCCGAACGAAGCTCCACGATGCATGCTGTCCTCGCCGTCGACAGGTTCTGAGTACTCCGTGTCCGAGTCGTTGTAGTAATACGATGAGCGCGCGCTGTGCGGTTGGGATATCCGCTCAGTAACGTCGTCGGCAGTTGCAGCTGCAGACGGGTCGATGTCGAACAGTTTATATTCGGTGTAACACGAGAGCGTTGGCGTATGGCTGTTCTTCCCAAAGGACGGCCAAGGGATGCCGAACGCAGACACGCGCAGGCGCTGTCGGGGGCTGTCAGCCGGCGGAAGCTCTTCCCCGTAGTCGGTGGACGCGGAGCGCGACGAACAACGCGAGAGGCCACCGCTGCTTGTGCTTGTCTCGGTGGAGAACTCGGAGGTGGAGGAGTCTGGAGAAAGGGGCACCTCGGGCTCGTCGGATATGGGGCGTGCGTTTGCCTCGATGGTGAGCGTGCGGACAGTGTCCGCAGAAGTACCGGGCTTGAAGAAGTCGGCTGCCTCGGCAGATGCCGAGGATAGGTAGTCGAGGATGTGTGCCTCCGGAGAAGGCGGCCCCGAGAGCTGCGAGAGCGCGTCGGCGTAGTCGTAGTCAAGCGAGGCGACGAGCTCGCTGTTGAAGTAGCGTGTGTGGCGCGTGTCGATGGGGGGGAAGGTGTCCGCGTGTGGAGTGTCAAGCTGAATGGAGTGATCGGCGGACGAAAATGAAGAAGTGGGAGAAGAGGGACACAGCGAGGGGATCGATGACGGCGGGGAGTCAAGGCGACGTGGGAACGGATCAGTGTGCGATCGCAACAGAGGCGGTATCAACGAATCCTCGTCCATGTTGGAGTGCGCAGACTGCGCGTCGCCAATGGTATCCTGGACCAGCACGACGTTTCCGTGCACGGGCGACCCATCTCTGACATACCACGGCTGACCATCCATGATCATACGCGAGTCTCGGATGGTGCACAGGGCCGTGGGACGCCTGAGGTGTCTATTACGCCTGCGACCCTCCGGAGAAGTAGACGGAGACTTTGGGGAAGAATGCTCGCCTTCGCTCTCATTCCACGGCTCTGCAGGCAACTGGGCTCCCACCCGTCCCTTGCGTACCTGAGTTAATGAACGGCTCAGTCGATTATGCTTACCTCTCTTCGCCACATTTACTCACCTTGGGAAGGGGTACATGTGACCGCGCAAGCGTACTGAGTGAGGGTAACGATGGCCTAGGTGGGAACGCAGGCCTGGTATAAGCAGGACCGTTCGAAGACTTTGGTCGTGGTATACGGAACCTTGAACGCGACTTCGTGGGCGTCACGGGTGGCGCAGAAAACACATCAGGCAAAGAAACAAGAGAACCAGTGGTGGACGACGCGTCATCCGCCGCGAGTGGCGACCTCGGAGGGAGCGAACGCGTGTCGTCAGCGATCGTTCGCGCGTCGATCCCCGTCAACACGAGTGATGGCGGACGCGAACGCCGCACAGAAGGCGCTGGTGACAGGTTCGCGAAGGGGTCATCGTCGAGCAGATCGGGAGGGGGCGAGTACCGCGGGGGAGTGGCGGGTAGATCGAGAAGCGGAAGGTCGAGTAGCGAAGAGATGCTGCTAACGCATGACGATGACGATGAGGCATAGGTGTCGGTGGTGGCAGCCGAGTTGGAGCGCGCCCGGGAGCTCGCCCGGGAACTACTAGGTGTCGACGGACAGTCAGGGAGCGGAGCCTGCAGGAACGCGCTAGGCGAGGAGAACAGAGACTGTAGAGAGCGACGTTTCCTTGGCATGCTGGTATGAGAGGGTACGCAGGTAGACTGAGACGCGACGGTGAGGGGTGGCGCGAGTGCTATGCTATAGAGACGCGACGGTGTATTCTTGGAGGAGTGCGCGGGGAGGTGGAAGAGCTGGGGTAGAAGAAGGTCGCGTCAGGACGCTGTGCATGCTCATCATACAGGTAAGAGAAGAAGCATGGCGCGTGCAAAACACGTTAACGCCGGCGTGGTGTGTGTGCAGCAACACGCCTGGGCGGGCGTCCGAGACGCGGAGGACTTCGTCCCTAAATACGAAAGCCACGCGCATCACGGGCGTTTTGTGCCACCAGCAGGTACGTAACGGGGGAATGGTAAGGTGCTTACCTGGACGGGGCCATCCGTCGCGCGCTCTGGATGCGGGAAGGAGCGTTCTCCCTCAAGGATGTTCCTCAAGTACACCAAGTAGAGCCTGAGAATTCCTTCGACGAGCAGCGGGCCCTGCGACGCGACAAAGGCGGTGACTAGCGCGGTGGCGGTCGCGGGGTTTCTGAGGACAAGGTCGTCGTCTTGCGGGCGGGAATCGCAGAGTTGCGCGAGCGAGGGTCTCACGGCGCGAGCTGGAGCTGTTGCATACATATGGCCGTCCAATTATTCCTATCCAAATACGTGAGCAGATCAGGGCCAAGATTATTTTGCAGATTGGCAGATTGAGGGGCGAGTCCGGGGCTCCCGGTGGGCGAGCGAGTCAGACATGCACGACCCTCCGCCTGCCATAAAACCGTGACCGTCACACCAGTCACAGCCTCCCCGCGCCCCGTCGCCCGCCAATCAGTGTACACAACGCCCACTCGGCGACTGCAGGCAACAGCGTCGACGATGCCCATCCACATCTGCCGTCTCTTGGAGACAAGTCAGCAACAGTCTCTCGTGAGAGCGACCACTGCCTCCTCGTAATGTGTGACTGACATTGTCGGGTCGGTTTTACAAATTCAAAGCGCCTACAGAGCTACATACCCCGAAAAGTGGATTAAGTACATCCCACCTTTTCCCGGACTGGTCCAGGCCCCTCGTCCCCCCGGCTGCTGTTGACGCAGTCTATAGGGGCTGAGCATTATCCCGGCGGTCCCCGCCCTCCTCGTCACCGTATACGACGACCGACGTCGACGACCGAGGGCGCACGCGCACGACCATGCCTGATTCGACGTTTAGCATGCATAGCTCCTCGAGCGCGTATCCAGGCTGCATCATCAATCAGGCAGCACGGACTCCGGTGAGTACGTACGGATGATATCCCAAAGGGCTTGCATGCGCTCACCGTCGCAGCGCTGGCCTCGGTGATTAGTCGCGTCGTCGGTCAATTACGAAAACCTTACACTGCAGCAATCGGACGCTTGCCGTTGGCCGCGAAGCATGCGCGGCGCGCCTTGGAGGACGTACGTCAGCTGCTGCTGTATGTCGACAGTCGCACAATTGAACGACATAACTGTACGGCCGTCGCGGTTCTCAGACTGCCCGTTCTTGCGCGACTTCGCGAACAGCTGAGCTGAACTCTGCTCGACGTCACTGTATCGTCGCATCGGCAATACGATGCGTCTCAAGGTACAGTACAGTGCGTTCCTCTGTATAGATGCGGATAAAGTGTCTCTGGGCCCTAGGTGCTCATTCTGGCCGGAGCGCTGATAAGCTTCTGGCAGCGCCGTCTCGTCGGCGTACTTACGGGTCGGCCGCGGGGAGGACCTGGTTGCCCCCGGGATCACGTCGCACGACTCTCAGGCCTGACCAACCTCATGGGACCCGAGTTCCCATCACCCGGCTTTTCGTGAGGTGCGTTCGGAGCGAGGTCTCTATGTACTAATCGGCTATGGAGCGTTTCCTGCGAAATGAAGCTAGAAGCTAGTTAAGCTCGCGGAAGACACCGGGTGCTGTACGTGCACCTGGAAGTCCTGAGTTCCGCCGCTCCGACAGCGTCTTGCGGACTCGAAATGACAAGAGCTGCAGGCTTCGTCAAGGCTTCGTGTACGTATACTATTGCTTGGCTTGGTTTCTTGAACGAAGTCGAGACGCTAAATAGAAGCGCACCGGTCATCGACATGGGGATTATCCTAGGTATCGGCGTTGCCTACCGTTGCAACAATTAGAGGTGCCGTTATGCATTGTCCCATTCACGTCCAGCTTTGTATTATCAAGGGATCAGCTCGCTTTTATTGCGGACATATGATATCAAGGCCAGGGAAACGTCTCGCCATGTTCGCCAACCAAACGAGTACTCGCCTGTCGCCTGTTGGGATTGGAGCACACGAGGTCAATTGCCAGTACACCGTCAGGCAGTGAATATTCGCCATTTCTGTGCTCGCTTTCCGGGTCAATCCTGCTGTAAGCCTCGACTAGTATACCCAGGGGACCTTCTAGCACATCGCAATCGTAGTATCCATCTGTGCATATGGCACGGCGGCATGGCCGTTCATTCATTTCGAGGGTGCAAATCACGCCCCGCGCTCCGAGACAGACATTTCTGCGCGATTTGAGCGCCTCGCACTGGAGTTCAGAGATGCGCCAGGACGGATTACCCGCCCAGGGCCTGGACCGGGGTACCCTAGCGCCGTCCAGAAAGAACGCGCTCCTCGGGTCGCGGACGGTTTGTGAGCCACGTGGCGGACGAGTTGCCGTTTACAGAATCAACGCTCGGCTAACGTCTGACGTAATTCACTGGGAGGCCACAATCATTACGGACTTCGCACGCCCTGTCCGTCCAACTTCGCGCAAGCCAGCTGCTATACGCTTGCAGCACCCTCTCTGCCACTGACTCACAACCTTGAACCCTTCCTGCTCAAGAGATGCCGAAAGAGTTGCTTGGATACTATTGGGATGAAGAAAAGAAGCGATACTTCCCGAATTCTATGAAACCAAAGTTACCCATGCTACACGTCCCTGAGGAGACCCAAGGGGACGAGCCTTCCCGAAAGCGAAGGCGCATCGAAGGGGGGATTCCTACATTTTCTGCACTCCAGAAGCTCCGGACCTCCTACGGGAGCAGCTCACGCAGGCGAAGCGCATTGCAGTAGGCCTCACGCAATGGCTGGACTCGATGAATAACCCGCTGAAGATCGTCGTTCATTTCAGTGATATTTTTGCGTCAAGTTTGTCGCTCACATGCGGCGGCGCAGCGTACCCTGTCGTCAGCGCCGGGCACATCACCTCCATCTGCGCAGAGGTAGGGCATGCTCACATCCCGCGGGCCAGTCCGAATCTCACCGTAATCTGTATAGGATGCATCGAGCTATGATCCCGAACGCCGCTCCGTGACTTTGGGCGATAGCTCAGGGTGGCTGTACTCGATACGCAATGCCGATCCAGACCGCCCCCCGAAGAGCCATGTAGAGCTTAATATCGGCTCATCTGTACGTCTTGGCTTGTGGTTTTCTTCCGCGATGTTCCCATGATCTCACGTTCATTAGGTTTCCGCGATCTGCTCGTGGGGAACGCGACGCGTGTAAGTCCGAATGAGGAACGGCGATCTAGCTATGTAATTGACCGAATCTCAATAGGGCGACGTCGTTTGGATGGCCTTGTAAAATATTCATACGTGACATTGCGCCCGTAGAGTACGTTCTCCCCTGGCCCATAGGTCAACCGCTGACTGGGCCTACAATAGACGGTGGACAATTCTGAGCATGCCGGAGGTCATGTGTCACGATGTCTCAACCGCTGCCCTAGAGGATCGGACAATGGCGTTGGGTATGAGTCTGACCAACGAACCGTCTGCTCCTCATCAGGCTAATTGTTTGACCATGCCAGGTGCCGGCGGGCGTTGCGTGGTTGTCCCCGACTTGGAAGTTCATACAGGACTGCTAGACTTCTACACTGGCAGCGACGTGTTAGGAATAGCTATGGATAGAGTCAGTTTTCGTGAAAATTGACCCGTTTGGCCTGTACTGACGCTTGACATCTGGGATCACAGCACCTCATATATGTGGGCTCCCGAAGCGGTTTTGTGCAGCGCTTTGACACACGTGTGCCCAAGAAGGAGCATTGTACCATTCTGAACCACAGATTCTGGCGCTCGCCAAATTCCATCACACATCTCAGCTTAATCCACCAAAATGCATTGCTAGTGGGCACAATACGGGGCGACGTAGGTGGCAAAATTATTGCGTCTCTCATGTTGCTAACATCCTGCGTGACAGCTCGAGACGCACGATATCCGTTTTCTGCGTGACTCAGACCCTCTACTGAGGTTGTCGGGTCACGTCAACGCGTGCATGACCAAACTGGTTCGTCCCTCAACCACGATCATAATTTCCAGAACCATTTATCAACTCACTCTACACTTCTCTCAGGGTCTCGCTATCGATCCCTCCGAAGACTTCGTCTTCGCTGCCGGCCAAGACCAGCGCATCCGCGGCTGGTCCCTGCGCACGGGCAAGCGGCTTCCCGCACAGCCCGTCAACTCCCGCGCAGCCGTCTCAGATTGGCACGACGCGCCAGCGGAGAAAACGAGACTGTTCGACGTGCTCTTCGATGCGCCCGTCGCTGCGATGCAGGTGGCCAGAGGTGATGAGGGCCTTTGTCTTTGGGCGGCTTGCGGTGGGGATGTTTATCGTATGTCGCTCTGCAACTCGTCTGTCGTGGGTTGATGGATAGGGACAGCTGGCGCGCCTGCTGTTCGACTGGCTGACGGGAGCTGTACTCGCTGTCGTGTAAGAGGGCCCATTTGTGAATCTCTCGGCTGGATGTATTGGTACCTTGGTTCGATTGTTCAATAGCATCGTGGCGCTGTACAATTGCCAATGCGTCATTGAAGCTTGGCTGATGCCGCAATATGGCGAGTCAGTCTTCAGCCTATCGACAGGGTCTCGAAGGGTGCGCAAAGGCCGGCCTATCGCCGCCAACAGAATACGCACCGAATTCGTCGGCACTGCCTTTGGAAGACATCTCGGGATTCTCTTAACGTGGGATCTACATTACTCGAGAAGAAGGGTGAGAAGTCAATGGATTCATAGAGACGGTAGCAAGCACATCAAACATATCCTTCCTCGAAGGTACAATAGCTATATGGGCCTTTCAAGCTTCCGGCGCAGCCTCGCCGAATCTCATCCATAACCCACCCTACGAACGAACGGAATGAGCGACCATACAAAGAAGTACGCTCAGGTCCTCACCTTTACGTACAGGGTCAGAGCACTCTTCGGGATGAGTTTCTCGATGGCCTTCCGGCCGCCCGCGCTTGCCCAGCTGGCCGGGGGCTTTGCCTCGGCGGGTTGCGCGTCGGGGGCGAGCTCCATGTGGTCGAAGACTTGCAGGAAGCGGACGAGGAAGAAGGACATCTCGTTGTATGCGAACTAAGGGGGGCATTGGATTAGCCTCAGCTGCGGGGTGGGCCGGCTAGCCAAAAAGGCGTCGTACCTGCTGTCCTAGGCAGATACGCGGGCCTGAGGTACGAAGTGAACTAGGTCAGAAAATTAGGTCACGGTGGAGGGAGAAGTGCGGCTTACCGGCGTTGAAGGGAACGAAGTTGAACGGGTTGGAAAGAACGTGCTTATGAAGCCTCTCGTCCAGGAACCTGCTGGGATCGAACTGTGACCGCTCGATATCGCCCTCACCTGACAGTGACATGTCGTACCTTGTCTGCATCGGGACCCCATATGTCCTTGCTCCTCTGCATAGTCATTACGAAGTATGCGACTCTACATTGATGGCACCATCAGCTTCCATGCTCGCCCGGACAAGCAGTACACGTACTCGCTGTTCGCGGGAACGTAATACGGTTTGCCTCCGGGGACAGTGGATGGTAAGGTCGTTGCCCGTATGTTCGACCTGTGTGATATGTACTAAGTATTGATGGAAGCATCTCTCCAGGTGAGCGTACCTAATGTTTGCAGGGACAGCAGGGAAGAGGCGCATCGTCTCTGGTAATGCAAGGTGAGATCCCTAGGATCGAGAGTCGATGTATGGAAGGCACGTACCGTTGATGACCGCACGCATGTACTTCATCTCACGCATGTCCTCGAAGTCCGGGTAGCGAGACGGGCCGACACGATTGAGAACCTCTTCCCGAAGGCGACTCAACACGTGAGGATGCAAGGCAAGGAGATATACAAGGTATGGGAGTGTTGTGGAGGTCTGAGAGGTTGTGAACATTGGTGTATGCAAGGAAAATACACGCGGAACGCACAGTATCACGGCCTGCAATCAGGATGTTCAGGACTTCATCCGCAATGAGCTTAGGGTCTTTGGATAAGTGCATGTAAGAATTGTTATCGCCCACAGGGTCAGAAAACTTACCGTCGGACACGTCCAACAACTGGTCCAAGAGAACATGATAGGTGTTGCTGGAATTCCCTTCCACGTCTCCTTCTCCTTTAGCCTGTTCGTGACTCTTCTTCCTGTCCAATGCAGCCTGGATGATTGGGCTAAGGAACTCGCCGATCATCGTCATGTCCTTCCTGTGGGACAAAACTCAACTCAGTGACCGCGGATGCACGCTGGAGCTCACTGCTAACTTGGTCTTATCCGCCAAGACCTCAAAGAGAGGCCACATCGCCGCCATCCTTCTCCTGAACGAGAGCCGTTCCTGTACGCGATTGAGGGCCGGCCCGAATGCCTCCGCTGTAAGCGACATCATCTCCCGCTTTCCGTACGTCGCTGGCAGCAGGGCGTGCAGAGAATGGACGCATTTGCCCAGCAAGAACTCCGTGGCGGAGTCGAGAGTGAAGCGCTGCAAGACGTCTTGAAAATCGATCGGGTTGCCCTGTCGCGCGCGGATGACGGCGACGGCTTCGTCCGCGTGGCGCGCGAAGATCTCGAAGTCGGTGATGCGGTCTCGAGCGAAGAATGGTCGCGTCATAGAGCGGTGGAACCTGGACGCAAATGAGCTGCGGAGTCGCTCGGCGCAATACCTAGCGCGTACGGCAGACTTACTTCCAGACATCACCGTCAGCGTTGAAGACACCGGATCCGAGCACGGAGGCCATGTCTTCTCTGAACTGGTACCCTGACCAGGGTTCGGCGTATGCCATGAGCATTGACACCTCTGGTCAGCCTGCGGCACGCGCACCTTTCTCCCAGACGTTAAAGTCTGTAGCCAGGATGCTCTTGATGTGGTTCGGGTCCGAGGTGAAGATCTACCTCCGTAAATGAGTATCTCGGCCATATCGAAGACTCGTGAACGCACCTTGTTATGTCCTAGGAGCTTCGTGTTGAAGATGATGCCATGCTTCCCCTGCAACGTCTCAATCCAATCAACTATGGAAGAACTGTGAGGACAACGCCAAACGTGTTCAGACAATACTCATACACAAATACATATCATCTCCTGTCCCCAGCTGCGGTACGACATCGAGGTTCCCTGGGAGCCGCCCTTTCAAGTCTGGAATCCGGACTGCGCCAAGGCGACGAATGTCGCGTTCTTCCTGCACCCATGTGATGATTGAGCGCAGAAAGTTCGTTAACAGCGGGTACGCAATCCACGCGGATAGGAGCGCCCAGCTCGGCACATTGTAGTCAAAGCCACTTTCAGCTAGCTGCGCAGCACCATAAATACAGACAGCAGGAATTACGAGGCTAGAAAGAAGTCGAAGGATTAGACGGAGCCCGGGAGTGAGTAATAGCATGTTGAAGGGCCTTCGAAGATGAGGACAACTTAAGCTTTGAGACGTTATATATGATATGACCATCATGGGCGCAGGCCGCTTAGTACGATCGTTTGACATCACGGAACATATCACCCATACAATGCCGACGGGGTGACAGGGAATGGGTGGGTGTTTCGTCTGCGCAATACGGGAATGTCTAGTAGGAAGCGACACTGATCAACAGTTGATTCACGTACCGGTAAATGAGACGTGAGTACAGGCCCGGAGCGCCCATGATAGCAGTGAGTCCATGAAATCGCTCTGACAGAACATATCGAATGGTCATTCGCAACCCCAATTGCAGGGGCACGGCGCGTGCCCCTCCTGTTGTTTTGGCACTAAGTACATATGATACTTAGTATAGGCGCTTAGAAGACCTACGTTATACGCCGAGTAGCCCGAGTTTCGCGGACTGAGAACTTACCACTGGCTAACCTCCAATCTTCCGCCTGTCCTCGTCATCCCTTCGGCACTGGCGTGTCTCGCCGCGAACAACCCCGTTGACCTAGTCCATATGACAACAACGAATCCGCCGCACTGACTACGCGGCAGGGTATCAGGCGACGTTAGGGGAATGTCAACCGGGTGATGGTACATATCACTGCTCAGAGACCGGCGACTTAGCGGTATAAAAACAGGACTCACTTCCTCTACCATCCTCCCGACTGAAGCGTCGGACCGTACCATTATATATGGAGTTGACATTTTCGGGTGGAAGTTCGTAAACTCGCGACTCTTCGCAGATGAGTACGCATCACACGGCTTTCTAGTCCTTATACCGGATCTCTTTGACGGTAGGCAGCCACATCTCTGCTCGCTGGCGTTGACTAAAGACCAAGCTCATTGGCTGTGCACAGGTTACGAGATTCCAATGTGGTCGCTCACCAGTCAACGAATCCGCATCGCTCCTTCGGTTCGGGGCGAAGCTGCTGTCGCTCTCCGTCTTCGTGCCGTTCCTCTTGCGCAACGGCAAAGCCTCACAGGAGGCGAAGATTGGTAGGCTCCTCGCGCACCTACACGAGACGAAGCCGAACTCCAAGATAGGCTTCGTGGGGTTCTGCTGGGGCGGACGCTTCGCGCTCACCATGAACAGCCAGTTTGACGCGACAGTCGCATGTCACCCGTCGCGCGTCACGTTCCCACAGGAGCTTCAGGAGATAAACAAACCCATTAGCTTCGCTGTAGCAGAGACAGACCACCACTATGGTGCTGAGACGGCAGCCGAGACGGAGAAGATCCTGAAAGCGAAAGGAGTGGAGGTGGTGGTGGTGGTATACAAGGGCGTACAGCATGGGTGGGCGATAAGAGCGAATATAGCAGATACCGATAAGAAGGTGGCGAGGGAGAAAGCGAGAGAGCAGGTCATGACTTGGTTCGAGAGGCATCTCGTCGTATGAAGCTCTACTCGATGATGTTACCTGCCCGAGATTGCCACTGGCGATGTTTCAGCAAGCAACGACCTGGAGCGGTACTTACAATGCGATGTCTTGGTTGAGTTGTGGGCCTACATCCAGGTTGTACGATTCCCGGTGAAACCAGATCGAGTTGAGAGCAGATATGTAAGACATAGTAAGACATGCTATAGCAGGCTATAGCTTCGGGATCAGCGAGCATGAGAAGGCGCGCCTTATTCCCATATTTGGTAAGGTGGCAACACGTGCATAGCCCGCCTAGCTCAATCGGATAGAGCGTCAGACTCTTATCCCCATACGGATGGATTCGTTCCATAGGCGGTGCAATCTGAAGGCTGCGAGTTCGACCCTCGCGGTGGGCTAATGAGCTACCTCCGGCACTCCCGGTGTGTCTTTTTCTCACTTTTGGGTAGGCAGTTGAGCCTGACAATTGCCGGGGCCCAGGGATCTGGAACAGATCTGGTGAAGCGGGACATCAGCTTATGTAAGCGGCGGCACCGATTCACCGGCACCGTTCAGCGACCATGGTGGCTTAACTACTCGCGCACGCGCAGTCCTCAGGCTCGAGCGTACTCACTCTGGCTGCCAGTGTCTCGTCTCAGCCAACATCGACACTCTGGGTACATCGTATCGATAGTTCTGCGCTGTCCACCATGCAGAAGAGCGACAACTTGGAGGCTGTGTCTCCTCGTCGCTCGTTGCAGCAAGAACTGGGCACCAATGACGAGGAGCGCACGAGGCTTCTCTCTGACGGCGAGAGGACGTTTGATGACGAAGTCGTGTATTCCCGTCCTGCTCCATCTCGCAAGCTCGTCGTAGGTGTGGGTGTCGGACTCATTGTCATTATCCTTGGTGCACTCTTCGGACGACCACTGCTTCACGCCCTGAAGCCTCGCCCGAAACCTCAACCAGACTTCGACCATAGACTTCTCCGGAGCAATGGCACGCACTATTTCAAGAAGAGTGCGCTCATCGTGTCCATTGACGGGTTGCGGTATGTCGCCGTGAACTCTTGTTTCTGGTCAATGCTTACGTAACACTAGGGCGGATTACCTGGATCGGGGCTTGACACCACATCTGCTAGCCATTAGCAAGAAGGGGCTGCGTGCAAAGTCGATGAAACCTATCTTTCCGGTAAGCCTGAAGGATCGATGCAAGCAATGTTGTTGACAGTAACATGATACCAGACTCTGACATTCCCGTAAGTAGCCGTACATTCAGCAGCACTGGAGATGTGGGACTGATGCCGGTGCACCGCCAGGAATCATTGGGCTTTGATGTAAGCTCCTAGTAGGGCGCGCATAACCTCTCATCTGATTCGCCGTAGGACAGGTCTATACGCTGAGTCGCACGGCATTATCGGAAATGTACGTGTTCTGGACAGCCATCGTTCAGAGAGGCCCACGTCTGATGCTCTATAGAATTTCTGGGATCCCGCAACCGGCGTGGAATTCCACTACAACAGTGCAGCCGCCTCGCGGGCGTCTCACTGGTGGCTAGGAGAGCCGGTACGTCTTGCGAACCTCACTGTGTGTAGTCACTCACGACCTATTACTTTTGCAGATGTGGGAGACTGCCCAACGTGCAGGAATCGTCACTGCCAACCTCATGTGGTCCGTACATACGATTGTACTTGCATGTCTGTGCTCATACACTACCCTAGGCCTGGACCGCCTACTACGATGACGGGCTTCTCTCCTAGTTACTTCGTCCCTTGGAAGGTAGGTCAATCAAGCATCCATGTGTTGGGCTTCTCGCTCACTTGCTGAAATTTCACAGGACAAGGTCCCGCTGAAAGAGAAGCTTGACCAGATCACAGCTTGGATAGACCTGCCGCTGGACGAGCGACCTCAGTTCATCATGGGTACGTTCGTCTTGGCCTTGTTCAAAGCTGGGAGATGACACCATGCAGCGTATGAGCCGTCGCTTGACCAAGCCGGCCACCTTGCCGGACCTGCGTCTGAGCTCGTGAACGTCAGTTGTCCATGATCAGGGTACCGCTGCACACCTACTGATCCCCTTTATAGAAAGTGCTCCATGAGGTAGATGTTTTTGCGCGGGACCTGCATGACGCTCTGGAGGCTCGCAATCTCACCGACATCTTCGACGTTGTCTTCGTGAGTGACCACGGGATGACAGACACTAGCGATCCAGAATGGATCTACATCGACGATATCCTCGGCGACGGCTTCGGAATGATCGACCATGAAGACGGTATGAGCTTTCCCGAACCCGCTGACTGATCCGTTTTGACCATGGACTGCATACAGGCTGGCCATCCATGGGCTTGCGCTTCAAGCCTGAGGCAGACACTGACAAGTACCTCCGCGTCCTCCTCAACGCGTCAGAAGCAAGCGGCGGCAGGTTCCACGTGTACACGCACGACACCATGCCTGAGCGCTGGCACTTCGCGGACAACTACCGCATCGCGCCGATCTACGTCGTCCCGGAGATGGGGTACGCGCTGACGAACCACATCGAGAATGGCTCGGGGATGAGCAAAGGGGTGCGTCGCCGTCATAGAAACCCTTACTAACGCCGGAAGTAATGGTTAACTAACCCTCGAGCGCGCACAGAACCACGGCTATGACAACGACGAGGCTGCGATGCACGCTATTTTCGTCGCACACGGACCCTTCTCCGCCGTGGTGAAGGCGATCGAGCACGACCGTCAGCAGGCGCGCGTCCTCCCGCGCGCCCTCTCGCGGCCGAACAAGGGCTGGCACTCGACGTCCGACGACACGTACGTCATGGACACATTCGAGAACGTCAACATTTACAACCTCGCGATCAAGTTGCTCGGCATCGAGGCCTTTGCGGCGCCCAATAACGGGACGGAGGAGTTCTGGGACCAGTTCTTCTAGGTACTGGGCCTGTGTAATGGCTAGATGCGTAGGGCTGGGCGTGAGGCTGGAAAGGATGGACACTTCATCTAGATGGCTTCGTTACATGTCATAGATATACATTCTGGTATTCGCGTATTCGCGTAATGGATCCTTTGGCTACGGTGATGTGGAGGGAGATGAAACGAGAAAGCGTAACATTAAGCATCGAGGTGGCACCTACAGTACAGCAAAGTGAATTTGAACATCGTGGATAGGGATAACCAACGTAGCGTGAGCGGCAATATAGTACACAACCTTCCCGTCGATCAACACGTAAACCTTAGTGCCCTTCCGCATCAAACACGGTCCCTCCACCCTGGACGTTCATGTGGTCACCAGTTGCGGTGGGCACGTAGGCGTTATCGGGGAGGCCGCTCTCATCAATACCCTCCGCCGCTTCGATGACCTCATACAGCTTGGACGCGACTTCGGGCGGGGGCACACGGCCACTCAGGATGTCAGATGCGGAGACTGGCGACCCGTAGAATTCGCGGTTCGCGTCCTTGCGCTCGATAAGTACGGTGCCCTCCAGCGACAGGCCAGCGAACAGTCCTGTGTACACGTCCTATTCAGTCCGCGAGCTGTCATATATCGCATTCGGAGACCGAGACGCACCCTTGGACTTTGAGTACGAGAACATGGGGGCGGGGTGCGCGAGCGTCGCCTGGACGGCCGCGCCTGTGCCAATGGGGCCCGCGGTGGCACTCACGTTGCCTCCGATCGTGACGTTGCCGCCAATCGAGAACGCTCGGACGGCGTCCTCACCGTTGAGCACGATGACGAACTCGGTGAGGTCGGCGCCGATCTGGAGGCCCCAGCCGACGCCGCCGGTGGCGATGCAGGAGGGCGCGGACCAGGAGCCGTCGGGGAGGCGTGCGATGACGATGCCTGAGCCGGCCTTTCCGGAGAAGACAAACCCGGCCTTGATGACAGAGAATACGGCGAGGCCTGCGGTGGTGAGGGAGTCTGAGATATCGTGACGGTGAAGTTGGGGACTAGTCACCTCGCGCGCGCTGCAATACGGCCTTGGGAATGGAGTTGAGTGCGGACTCGGGGTGTTCTGGGTTAGCTGCACGCGATGAGTAATGCAATATGCCATCGGTAAGTGGTCTACGCACCAAGGAAGCTGGCTAGTGTTTTGGCCGCCTTGTCTGCCTCTCCGGGGAGACTGAAGCCATGCACGAACTGCGCGGACTCGCTCGCGATCTTGCTGCCGCCCTGCTGCGCGAGAAGGGTGGCCTGCCTGCTGGCCTTCTGTGCGCCCTGCTTGATTCTGTCGAACATGGACATTTACTTGGGAGAGAATAGAGGGGTATGTGAGGGTATGCTGATGACTTCAACTGGCGCCGCGCATCGTCTGTATTGCTCGGCGCGCTACGCGGGCCCTCGATGCACGTGATACTTGACACGATCGTATCGGCCGCGCTCAACGCTGCCAACGCCAGCTCAAATTTCGACCGACGACTGGACACTCTACTGGTCCCTTTCGGGCGACGCCTGCGCGCTAGGGAGTTGCTCTGAAGGCCCGGGAAGCAGACCGCATTGTTGTGCTGCACAGGTGCATACGCGATTGCGTGGTTTCGAGATGACTCCGCCCGACCCAGTGGTCCCAACCACTACTATCTCTCCAGGCGATCTACATCACGGTACGTAGAACTAGACGCACCCACTAGATTGACTGTTGACCTTTATGCACAGGCAGGCATGCCTTGCACATCTTCCCGCAAGAACTGTGGGACAAAATCCTCGACTCGTACAGCGATGATAAACGCACACTCAGGGCCTGCGTTGCGACATGCAGAACCTGGCGTCCGACATCTCGGAAATTTCTCTGGAGGTCGCTGTCTGTGCACAAGAGCCGGACGTACCCTGCACTACTATCCCTCCTTATTTCCACCCCAGATCTCGCCCAGCTCATCCGTGAGCTCGATATAGGCGTTCAGGGCCTTAAGATCGCACGCCTCGCCATCTTGGTAAATCTGCAACGGCTCAAGCTCACTGTGACGTTTTCGATGGATCAAGGAGACCAGGCCGACAAAAGGGGCGACCCTACTCCAGACTGGGGCGTCAGGCTGCCTTCGGTCACTGCACTGGATCTCAAGGCTGAACGGCCAGACTTGTCGTTGTCGTATACAGACAGCTTGCTGTTCTGTTTTCCAAACATATCCGACCTCACCATCGATTCATACTCCTACATCTTGCGCAAACCGCATCGCGACATGACTGCGCCGTTGCTGCGTCTGCGCAAGCTGGTGATCAATGACCCATCGTTCAACAAACAACTACCGTCGATACTCCACTCCGCGGTTTCCCTAGAGCACCTGGAGCTCTCCACTGTGCTAGCGAAACGTGACAAGTGGGATTTTGCCGATCGGGATCGTGTGGACAGCTGGAGGATGTCGGAGATTTTCGACCTATCACGGAATCCCTGCCTTTCCTCGCTACACCTGCGGTTCACATACGACGAACGCGACCAGTGGGGAGACCCATGGGCTCATGCGCTGAGACAAGTGTCCGCCTTCCACGCTTCCCTGAACCACGTCATGTTACACATCGGCCCGAGTCTGGGCTTAGTGGCTAACTTGGGTCTGTATGAGCGGCACCAAGGGCTGCTTGTGCGCGAACTAGAACGTGTTCTGAGCGACCTGCCACAGCTCGTCCTGGTTTTCCGCGTCAACGGGTTCCGTGAACCCTTCAAGTCGGTACGACGTACTTTCGCCAGTGCCCTCGCTTCGCCCAATCCCGTCGCTCATTCCGAACGCCTGCGAATCCAGTTTTCAGAGTGGACCAGTGGAGATCAGCCCGTCGCCCTCGAATCAGCGGAATCATTGCCGCTCCTCGACGCTTGATACGTCTTCGCTCCTCTTGACATGGATGATTTCTACCCGCGAGTCCTTTGTCCCTTTCCTAACCCACTCGCTCTAATTGGCTCTGTATGTGACACAACGTATATGTATTATCTAGCAGTGACTTCGAAACAATAGCCTCGTGCTTGCTATCTCGTTCCTGATTTGTTCAAGCTGTACTTGCACTCTCATTCGGCCTGCTCATGACTCGGATGTATACTGACGATGACTCGGATGTCCGGATCGTTCGTCCAGCTAATTCCAAAAATTGGACTTTCTGTCATGGTACTACGCGCGAAGGAAGTCGAAATCCGTGACAGACGGACAAAAATGTGAGGTACTGTAACTGTGTAAGAGGTCGGTTGTTCAAGTTGAACACTTCGCTTCCATGAGTTTTGCATCCTCGAGCAGTGCCAGATCCGGTAAACGAGCGCTTATCTGATGCGCCACACTGCAGGCCGCAGGAGCTCGACTAGAAACAGTACTTTGGGACGTTCCAGACTTGGCTACCAACGAGGACCATAGTCGACAACGCAGTCATCATCGACATCCGACGGCCAGCTACCGTTTCCTCTCCCTCGAAACCGTAGTAAAACTGCCAGGTCAACTTGAACGCGCTCTCATTCGCTGGGAGTCAATCCCGTTTAATGTGCGTAGCAACTCAGTGCCCGCCCTGGATTATGGAAGCCAACGTACTGTATGTGTTTCAGAGGCCGGGGGTACTACAGAATGCAAGTCGTGAGCGCCACAGTGTGCGATTCTTCCTCCGCCAGTACGTATCGACCGGCTTTACATCTCACAGACACGCTCGATACGACATTCACGCTCATTTGGCTCTGTCTCCCTCTCAGTCCAGAATGGTCTCTGGCTGCTTCCTCAGGAACTATGGGACCACATCATCAATCATCTTCACATAGACCGTGACACACTGAAGGCCTGTGTCTTGACGTGTAGAGCATGGTTGCAGACTGCTCGCTCGCACCTCTGGTGGTCCCTGGCCATTCATAGCGCATCTAGAACGCGATCCCTCCGTGACTTCCCGGGCATTGCTGCAAACGTCCGCGTGCTTCGGATGTTCTGCAAAATAGCGGAGCTCCCTTGTCTATCAGTCTTCACGAATCTGCGGCATTTGAACCTCTACTGCATGGACGACAAACAACTTGAAGATCCTATGACGGCCGTATCTCAAGATTTCCAGCTGCCCAGTGTCGTCGCACTTTTCGTAATGAAATCGATGCAACATCAGGGCTTGTCAACCGCGTGTCTTGAACGGACTTTGCGTTGCTTCCCTAACCTCACGACCTTATCGGTGGTCATTGCGACTAATCGTAACGCCGTGAAACGGCTCCGTGCAGCATTACTACCACAGACGTCAAATATTTCGTTGCCACACGTACAGGACCTCGTCATCACAGCTGGCCAGCTGCTACCATCCCTCCCAGCAATCTTGCGCTCGGCAGGCACCTCACTGAGCTCCATCATGCTCCATATTCCACGCGCTCTCTCGGGGATCCATAATCTGTTCGACTTCTCGCATAACCCGAATTTGCAGCGGATGGTAATCTGCATACCAAGCTTCGACGCCCCCGACATCGGGTGGGGCAATGCTCTAGCCTCCCCCCTCTCGTGCATCAGCGCGCTACACACCTCTCTGACTTGCCTAACCATCGACGTTGGCTGTGCTTCTCCCAATACGTGGGATCATGCGTCAATTAATCCCTGGGCAGATCCCGGGGGCCCTCTGGCCTACGAAGTCGCTCGTATCCTGGACGATCTGCCTCTCGTCGTCATAGTCTTCTCCGATGCGCAAAGCTTCGCTGTGCACGCAGCACGTCAAGTGCGGCGGATGACTGCGGACTACCTCCTGCAACGATGTCCTGGTCTCCACGCACATTCGCAGCGCTTGCGCTTCTCAACCGAACTCGCGCTGTGCGACTGCCGGAGGCGCCTGCTTTGCGGAGGGACTTATGATGAAGATAAAGGCACCGGAGGCCAGGGTTGGTACTACCCTTTGCTGGACCCCCACACATAGGATGAGCCACTAGAGTGGTGAATTGATAGGGAGATATTGACATGCTGGGTATGTGCTCGTGATCGGCCACGTCCACTCCGGCTGCTCACTCTGGTTACATAGCTCCTGGACCAACTCTGTATCATGGAGAGGCCTGGTAGAGCCCCGCAGTTTCAGTTGTTACCTTCGCTCAGAACACACCGCGGATATTCACCTATATATGTAACCCAAGCACTGCGTATAACCGGCGCGCCAGGTTCATCACGTGTTGCGCCACTGTGTCGTAGTGACCTGTGTACTGAATCTCATTATGTTGGGCTGCCCATCATGTTACATGATGGTATGGACGACCTATACACGACAGACGTCGACAAGTGAACCCGCACGCTAACCTGAAGCACATACTTATGTTCACAGGAGCGCTTGCTCTCTTCATGTGACGATAGCTGTAACTTGTCTCATCCCTGCCTTGACTGGAAGGCTGCTGAGAGCGTACGCACGAGGTTCATATGTCTACGTGAAGCTCGAGCCGATTTTGGATTTTATTCAGAATTGTCTCACCCCTGAGAGTCATTGAGTGCCAACGGGCATAAGCGCTCGACCACCGCATGCAACGGACCGGACGGCTGCCACAGCACTGCCACAGCCATCCGTACCACTTGGATCCCCTCCTCCTCCTCCTCCTCCTCCTCCTCCTCCTCCGCCGCCGGTGCTGTGCAAGTTTCATCTTGACTTGTACGCGTGAGTAAGCCAGCGCCGTATCGAAATATTTGGATAACCTACAGTTCGCTTGTCTCTCATGGCTCAGACGTTGCAGGCTTGGTGGTGAAGTAGACCCACTGATCATGGTACGTTCCACCGTAACTTGAAGTTGAGGTCGCGGTATACCTCACGTCGAATAAAGCCACAGATTTATCAAACGTGAGCATACGTTCGCTTTCGCGATGGTTCACCGTTAGAACTTCTCGCTGTAGATATTCCTCCGAACCCACAGAACGTGAGGCCGCACACCCAAAGGGTTATAGCTACGGTAAGTCAAACTGTTGACGGCAGGACCAGTCTGCATGACTCACGATGCTTGCGATCCATCCTAGATGTCCTGAGCCCTATGCCGCTGCCACAGGAACTGTGGGACGCCATCATGCATTATCTAGGCAATGACCGTCCGGCATTGAAGGCTTGTAGCCTGACATGTCGAGCATGGCGACCCACTACTCGGATGCTTTTCTGGCGTACGGTATCCGCGGTCAATGCCGGAGTTCTGTCCAGACTTCAATCGCTTCTTCGTGGAACTCCGGATATTGTCCCTCTGGTCCGCCTGCTGCATGTCACTATTCAGGCGGACAGGCTCGCGTGGTTGGCGACGTTCACGCAGTTGGATACGTTGGTAATGAGGGAAACAGACGACGATCCCTTCTTGGGGTCACGCGACCCCTCCGTGCATTATCTGCCTGACGTACCGTGGCTGCCGAACTTAACGAGCCTGACTTTGCGCCACGAGGCCTTGACGGTGTCGTCATTTGTGCAGTTGTTGACTGGCTGTCCTCGCCTTTCAACTCTTGTGGTAGGGCATTATGCCACTTACTTGAACGACTTGGGAGACCACGCCGTTGGCTTATCGCGAACACCGCTCTCGCTGCCGCACCTACGTCGTCTCGAGTCCAATGGTCAATCACTCATACACGCCATCCCGATCATCCTACGCGCGGCAGGCACCGCTCTGGAGTCTTTGAAGCTCGACATACAATTGGTTCCTGTACATGTCCTACTCGGCGTCTTCGACTTCTCACATAACACACGCCTCACGGACATGGAAGTCGCCACCCTGTTCTGTGCTACCTACCGTCCCGGGTGGGGTGATCAGTTGGCCGCGGCGCTGGCAGGAATCGGTGCTGGGCACACCTCTCTGAAGCATGTCGCTCTCCGAATCCCTAGCATCCACCCAGCTCCTGGACACACGTTGCCCAACCCCTGGGATGATCCTGGGGAGTCTCTTGGCCGCGAACTCTCCCGAGTCCTGGATGGTCTGCCCAATCTCACCGTTGCATTTCACCAATGGAACAGCTTCTCGTCCTTGACGGCCAATAGTGTGCGATGTACCCTGGAGCGCGCCTTTCAGCAACGGTTCCCCGGTCTCTACGCTCATCGCGAGCGTCTGCGCTTTACGTGGGATCTTTGGCCTGGAGGCAAGGATGAGGTTTGGGATGTCGCTTTACTTGACGAACGGAATGACGCTCAGTAGTACTACTACTCCATGACTATGTACTTGACTATGGTCCCTTGCCAATGTACTGAGACCCTGCTCTAGATACTTAGACCGGCCGTACTTACGAGATTCAGAGATGAAGGGCGAGTCTTGTGTCCTGCGGCCCTTTGCTCCAGTCTTCAAGTGGCGTTCGGATACGACTGTCCTGAAGGGGGCCAGAGTGCGATCGTACAAGTAGGCTACGCCAATGGCCATGTATTCATTCATCGTCTTGACGTTCTTCGTTTGTTGTGTCGCTGCACAACGACCCGATCTTATCAGGGGTTTCAACACCGAATTGTTTGTCAGTTCAATGTGCTTGCGGTTCTCGCTATTGATTGCAAGCAGATCAACCTCCCGGATGCCAAGCATACGTGCACAGCGCCACATGGATGTCGTTATGAGGGGAGTATATTCACAATTCGCTCTATAATACAGGTACAGATACAACAATTCTCATTCGACATTGAGCAGCACAACGCGCCCTCTCGTCTGCCTCTTCTGAGACACCGCCACGCACTCGCGACGCCGCGCGCATAGCAAAGGAGGGAATGTATTTGGGAGTCCATCTCGAAGCACAAATGCCCAGACACAACAGAGAGGCGAGGGGGCTCGCGCGCGCACACAGAGAACCCAAAGAATGATGCTGATACACTACCCAATACCCAAGGGGGAACGTAATCGTAGAGAAGTCGTCACGTTCGGAAACATCGTACACGGCTCGCGGGAGGTATGGAGGGCAACGTCCGCCTGGGCAAGCTATCTTGCGCAGGCGGCGCGCCGGGAGAGAGGAGGAAAAGGAGGGGGGACCAGGACATGACCACTAACTAGCACATGTCGGGGCCCGCGCCCGCGATGGGCTTTTGCCGTTCAGAGTTGCGTGCGCGCTCATGATGTGCGCGGGCAGTCGCATTGGGTTTATTGAGGATTGATTCAGCGCCTTTGAAGATGAAAGCGTCGTAGAGGAACGTGCCGACTGCAAAGCAAATGTCAGCACGCACATCAATCGTGAGCAGCGTCCAACACGTACTGAGAGCACCAAGAATGGGGGCGATGACAGGGCACCAGAGCCAGTATTGGTTGCGGTAGGTGAAGACCTCCTTGCCGTAGCCAGCCATGGCGGTGAACAGACGGGGGCCAAGATCACGCGCGGGGTTGATCGCATAGCCTGTCTGCATGCCAAGGGCAGCACCAATACCGAGGATAGTGATGAAGAGAGCGAGGGGGACGAGACCGGGAGGCGGGGGACCGTTGTTATTGTCGGTGAACGCACAGACGACCAACAACAAGACGGCCGTGCCGACAATCTCGTCGAAGAAACACGAGACAGATGTCATGTAGTCCAGCTGTGGAGATAAATATCAGTAATTGGTCACAGTTGTTTAATTTGCCGACGCGCTCACCGCATACGTGGAGAACAGGCCTGCAGTGCCGGGGACCGTCCGGATGCCCCTGCCGCCCTCGAAGATGTCGATGGCATGGAAGTAGTTGGCATAGACGATGCCGCCGCCGCACACCCCACCCATAACCTGGGCGAAAATGTACCCGGGCACTTTGCGCCAGGGGAAGTCGCGGAATGTCGCCATTGCGAGTGTCACGGCAGGATTGATGTGCCCGCCGGACACTCCTCCGGAGAACCACACGCCGAGGGCGGTACCTGCAGCGGAGAGGAGCACAGGGGTCAGTCGGGTCCGGTCGGAGCTCGGGCCGGAACCGGGGAGAGTGACGCACCGACAGCCCAGCCGAAACTGATGGAGAGGTAGCTCTGTGGTGCGGGGGTCGCAGTCAGATACGGCGGCAAGGGCGGCGGCAGCGGGGACGTACTCCTTTCTGCGACGACGCTACGTCGGTGTTGCCAGAGAGCGTGACCTGGCAGTCGACGCCGGCTCCGAAAATAACGAGAATCATGACGCCGAAGAATTCGGCCATGGGTTCGCGGAGAACCTCTCTGCACGGAGTCTGTAAGTCGCAACGCGCGGTGAATGTGGTCTGGTGTCCTCACCGAATCTTGGACCATCGGTTGGGGTATCGGGTGTAGTGAAGAAGCAGCTCGTCGTCGTCGACGGTAGAGCCAGACACGGTATCGGACATGGACTTGTGGTGTTCGACGTGCTGAGCGGAACCCTTGTGCGAGCCGTTATAGCCATGGCGTTGCGTCGGGCTGGGCTCGACCTCGATGGCCTGGAAATCGCTTTCTTTAGACATCACGTAGAGTCGGCGAAGGGTGAGAGAAGAATGGGGACGAGGGACTGAGATGGAGCGAGAACGGAGCTAGACTCGGGGGAGAGCAGTAATCGTACAAGAGGAAAGGAAAGTGGGCGGTCAAAGGCGAAACCGTGCCGGTTATGAACAGTGCCCCGGGGGAGACTGCGTCGGCTGGCTCCACAGCGACTGAGCTGGCCCGTCATATATGGGGAGGGGGGGGCGCACTTGATTTCAGATAGAAGCCGGGCGTCTGGCGGCAGGCCCCATGATTAAACGTTCAGGAGGACGACCTGATCGACTGGGCGTAGTGGAGATCTTCGGGTTCAGTCCATCACCCGTTGTGGTTTCTGCTTCGATCGTTGCCGCTTGAGGGCCACACTTGCGCTGCTACCGTGCCCCGTCCGAGCAGGTCCGAGCCCTCCCCCGCCTATCACCCCGCCCCCAGAGCGGGGACATTGCAAATCTCCAGCCCTGCTTATCGCGCAATGCGTCCTCGACTCATATCGCTGGATACACATGCACCTGCTCAGACCTCATCAGAAGCGCGGTGACATCGCAGACCAGCCGTCTGACTAGAAGTGACATAAATTCGCGGTAAGTCGGTAGAGTTCGGCTCGGTCATGGGGCCCACCGCAACGCGAGCCGCAAGGGCAACAGTGCACGCTGGCACGTTCCAGCCCCGTCTCGCTTCCCGAAGCCCGTAGGCTCCTTCCAACGCAGCCAATACGACACCAGACCGCCTTTGCGCGATCGTGAATCTGCAAGAGGCGCGGGAGGCACGGTGGGCGCAGCCTGACCATTTACGACCATGATGCGCCCTGGCCTCGATCCGCCTGCTGATCGGCACCATATGGGCGGGTTCGTCGGCCGTAAATGAACCCAAAATGAACCGCTCCGCATAATGTCTCGCCCGTTCATCGACATCCTGCGCCTCCTCTCTGAGTCCATGGGTACGTCTGCAGTCCCTGCAGCGCGACTGGAGCGACCTCGAGCCCCTGAGCAGGCTGTGCAAAAATGGAGCCGGCTGTGGGGACATGGGCTACCCCGCGGGGCGCCATGGTCACCTGCAGACTAATGAAAGACTCATGATCAAGACTTACAGTACCGTCGTTTTGAAGGGATACGCTAACGAGGTCCCACCTGAACGCATCAATAGGTCGGAAGGTCGGGACATGACCAATCCCGCCATAGCGAGCTAAACAACCGTCGGATATGCAGAAGCCGGACAGTCAACTGCTCGTAAACACGTCTGCGTGTGTGCCCGACCTCTGGGCCGAGAGCATGAGGGGAGCAGATGCAAAGCGATGCAAACCGACGGCACGGACCTACGACGCAGCTGGCCCGACGTTCTGCGCTGTTCTTTCTGGCTTTAGCACCCGACCGGGCGGACTTAGCGTCACCGAGGCAGACATCCGGATGTTACGAACCGACCAGAGCGCGATCAGGCACTGCAGTGCGCCCCGTTGGGGCTCGGAGCCCGACCACCGGCACACGCATGCTATGTAGGCAACCGCTGCCGATTCCGGTGCCGACGTGTGCGTCGGCGACCCCTGGGGCGCGTTGGAACTTGGGAGCGGTCCATCGCACTCCGTTGAGCTTTCCGGCTAAACGTTGCTCTCCTGCCCCTTTCGACCTCTAGAAAATCGGCTCGCGCTCGCAGACTAGCGCAATCACTCCCCGATGTTCTCCGTACCACGCAGAGGGCAGGTGGGCAGCGGGGGGACATATTGGGGGGGTCATGCCGGCGGGGGGAGGCGCGGAGGGTGTCCGACGGAAGAGTGAGCTGACGAGAACGCGGTCGACGCGGGCACTGACCAGCAAGCGCCCGAAAGCCGAAGCATCCAGGCAGGCCCCGAGGGTTCCCACGCCACCCAGGAACTGCTCCTGCCCTCCGATCATTTTGGGTTTAGCGCCTCTATATCCGAATGCGGCAAGTCCTGACATTCTAGGTCGTCCGCGTACGCCCTTGGTGGGCCCTCCTCGCCACCACCTCCACCGTCCATGGACGCGGTCTTGCGTATCGCTCGACGTCAACCTCACCCACACGGACGGAGCTTGCACTCGAGAGCGGATAAAAAGTGGTCTTCTGTAAGTGCTCAATAATAGAACGAAGACGTCAATGATCCGCCGCATTCAAATTCACATCTAGATTGGGGCGAGGTTCGAGGAACATGCGCCGCATTAATGCCATGTCTCGAGCAAGTTCGCCGTAACGCAGAGCTAGAGTGCTAATTTTGTCCTGTCCTTCGATGCCTCACACCTTCTATCGCCGTCCTTCGCCCACTGTCAACTTGGAACTGCGAATCACGCCTCGCCCGTATGTACTTCATCCGAGTCGCATATGCACCAGATATTGTGCCGCATGTCGACTAGCCAAAATTAGACTGACCGACAACCCGCCCGGGCCTTCCAACCGACCGCCGAACAGTGAACACCCTCATCTCGCTCACGATCCGATCGTTCGATACGTTCTCAACCTTTGCGAGGTACGCGAGATCTACTTGCCTCGGATGTTCCTGGCGTCCGGCCCACCACAGAACCTCCATCAAATATATTCATCACAGTTGCATCAGAGTCTAGCATTTAGATTGTACTCTCGGGAAGCCGAGATCGAATCGTTACTAACCGTCGTCAGCTTGTCCCGCTAACTCTGACGTGGCGATTTTTGTATGACTGCCAATGCACGCTGGGAGACCCAGCTCTGTCAGTCTGAGAGGTGATCAACAAGACACGTTTCCGGTTGCAATTGTAAGTCTCACTTGCGGCTCGCAGATATGATGCGACCGCAGAGCCTTTAGCAAACACGGTCCCGCCGGTAAGTGCACCCGCCGCCCGCTCGCAGCTTCCGCCTACAATCGCCTCTCCTCGGCAGTAACAACGCCCCTCCATCTTTCACCATTTCGTCGATACCGCGCCTGCATCAGACGTCTCCAGGTCCAAGTAAATAAAAGCTTCCGACTCCCGCGTTGACACCGAGCATTATTGAACACCCAAGAGCACCCGATGATCCGCCAATGCTCCCGATGGCAACAAGATCGCATCTCGCGCTGCCGGTGCGTAGAAGCCGCGAGCCGTCGCACAGTCCGAAACTAATGATAACTCGCCTACGCCGTCGAGGGCGGATCGCCGCTCTTTAAGGTTACTGCGACTCATATACGAGACATCATCTCGAGCGGTATGTGACCACGTTGATTCGGTTTGTTCGAGCGCTGAGCGGAGGTGGACAGTTTGGTGAAGGTATGCAGAATCGTGTCGCCCGGTCTGACCGGGTGGTGCGGTACTACTAGTGATAGCTGCATCATACGGCTGATTATATTTATGCGGATTGTCTTCAGCTGCACATGGCGTCATGCGAAGTTGGCGGCGCGTTGCTCGGAGGCCCGAAGCTGATTAATGTGCTCGCCGTACACTCTTCAATGCGCCGCACGCCCAGGGCCCGCCGGAGTGTGGCCTCCCTCCACTCCCCCCTCCATCCCCCTTCACGCTCAGCAATTAGAGACAGTGGGATGCCTGCGTTAGTGTTCGACGTCTATCTATGGTTCGCTGTTATCGCCTCACAATCATTCTCGCCTCTGCGCTAACGAAAGCTGACACACAGCGCCATAAGCGCCATCTTACCACTGCCAGTGTTCACAACCACCCCGGCGGATGCGTCCAGGATAGCGTACCCTCCATGCACTGCGGGAGGTTGCTCGCTTCATCGCGAGCCAGATTAATTCGACTGCCGAGAACCGTAACTACCAGCGACATATGCCGCGCGCACGTCTTCGCCGGTTTGCCGTCTCTCATTCGACTGGAAGTCCCACCTCCCCCTCAATCTCCGACGATGGCTGTTTCCAACAGCGCGTTTGGTGTCGACCATTGAAAGCTCCAGGACAAGATACTTACACGTTGGCACGGCCCAATAAAACCCGGTAAGTTTTCGGTCTTGTCCTGGTCTTGTCGGTGCTCGTTGCAGATGGGCCCTTCTAGTATGGGGCCCATATGTTCGAATGGCCTCCCCATATATCTCGTTTCGTGCTGTCTGCGCCAACCACTCATGCAAGTGCTTTAAGCATACTTCGGCAGAACACGTATGGTGTCGGACGACTCAACTCGGTATTCATGTCAACTTCCTACCCCTCCGCTTCCGGACTCTCATGCTACACCATGAACTGTGCCACGTCGGACGCCCTTTTTGTATTATTATCCGAGACCCTCTCGAGGAACCATACACAGAATGGCGGATCGCTACCGCTGCCAATTGCGGCCGGGTGACTCGAAGAAGCCTGCATAGCTCATTCGTCAGAGGGTGCCGCCTTCATCCAACTCAGATGAGGTGAGCGTGCCTGTCCTTCTCTCTTCCCCTCAGGCCGATCATAGTACATGAAGTACCACCTGCTGGCGGTGAGGAATCGACGTAATGTGTCATCTCTACGCGTACTTGACATCTTGAAAGATCCCTGAGTTGACTGTGTGTCTGCGATTTACATACTGATCGCCGTTGACAGTCGTTTTACGGAACGCGAGTAGGACGTCGACGGACTCGGAGCGAACATCCAGCGTCGCCGTTAGGCGCCCGGAGATGGCGTTGATCGGCGCTGAAGCGCTCAATGCTTTTGACTTGGGCGCCTCACGCACGTTGGGTTCTTCGCCGCCAGAATGGGTAATATCCCGCCTCTTCGATAGCTTTGCGTCCGCTCGGTGGTGTGAGCATGCTTTGCAGCAATGCGGCAGCAGACGCCATGTACGACGGCGTCGGGATGATGAAACGCAGCGACCTCAACGACAAATGCAGTGATCCGGCACAGCCGTCGGCACCGCCATCATGATGGTGGGTGCCGTGCAAGTTATACTATAAGACACTGGCTTGTGCATCAGCGTTCCCCAGCTCTCTCTCACTCTTCCACTTCTGAGCTCAACCGAGGTACTGGCTGGTGAGTGCTCATGTCCCTCGCAATGGATGCAGCGCTGACGGAGGACTTGTGTTATGGATGTAGCCTCGTTCATTCGCATCTTGTTCCATTCCTAACGACTCACGATCATCGCAACCTAACGACCTCACCACCTTACTACACTAACACCGCTCACAATGCGTGCATCCACACTTATCCCCGTTGTGCTCGTCGCTGCTTCCGCAGCTCCTGCGTTTGCCGCGCCCATCCGGTGCGTAGCCCTCTTCTTTCTGAAAATTCCCTGACCCTTAACTCCGCTCTAGTGGCGACTACGATTCCTTGATGGCCCGTGAGGAGTATCCCGAGATGTACGAACGCGATTACCTCGAAGATTACTACGTGCGCGACGAAGCCGCCGGAGCCGAGGCCCCCGAGGCCGGAGCGCCTGCAAGCGACGCCTCTGGCGCTGCCCCGGCCGCTGAGCCCGCGCCAGGATCCTCCCCTTCCCCCACACCCTCGACGAACTCCAAAGATGGCGGCGCGGACCCCGCCAAGACCCCGTCCGCGTCCGCGCCCGCTTCGACCTTGTCCGCGGCCGCCCCGGCGCACTCGCCCGGCGCTTCCAACTCAACTTCGACGTGGAAGCCGAAGCTGCACTTCACGGGGCTGATGGGCGAGTTCATGAACCTCTTCAACCGCGGCGTGGACGACGCTGCGGCTGTCGAGGAGCGCTCGGTCGACGAGGAGAGCAACTTGTTCGCACGCGACTTTGAGGAGGACCTCTACACGCGTGACTTTGAGGAGGATCTTTACGCGCGCGACTTCGACGAGGACCTGTACGCTAGGGAGTACGAAGACGAGCTGCTCGCGCGTGAGTACGACGACGAGCTGTTCGCCCGCGAGTTCGACGACGAGTTCTGGGCGCGCGAGGACGAGCAACCCCACCCTCACCCTCACCACCACCACGCGCACCACCCGTCGCAGGCGAACGAGCCGACCGCGGCGGACCGCAAGGAGCTGGGCGTGTTTCCCCAGGGCAGCCCTGAAGCCCACCAGGAGGGCCACTCCTCCAGCGCGCAGCACCCGATGCAGGGCGTGCACCCGAAGCGGGAGTTCATCGACGAGCTGAGGGAGCGCATGGATTACTATGACGAGCTTGACTGATCTGCTAGTGCGTAACGTTGTGCAAGTGTATGTAGGGCCGTTGCGCTGGCTTCACTGTTGTCGTGCAAGTTAATGTGAACTTGATGCGATGCTTGCTCGCTGTGCTTGTTCTCATTGGCGTTGGAGAGTGCAAAATATCAACGAGATTGAGAATGTCACACTGTGTACGTCCATAGGGGACGAGATGAGCAGCTTGAATGCAGGACAGTCGAAGCCTGCTAAATTTAGTGCTTTCGTCCATGTGGCGGACGAGCTAAGATCTGGATCTGGGCGTGACACCCGATTGACGAACGCGTTACCGTCACATGCGCCTTTCATCCGGATTCAGAGCTTCGACGGTGGCTGAAACGTCACTCACTCTACCCTCCCATTCGAGGTCCCAATACCATGCCCGACTCCGACTCCCAACCTTCCTCAGCACCCCCAGCACCCTCCTCCTCTCCAAAGAAGGTTATCTTCGAGACGGACACGACGGGGGACTACTGGACCGACTTCAGGGAAGCCGTGAAGGTGCGCCCGCCGTGAAGTTACGGGTTAGAGGGACGCTGACGCGGGCCACGGCCAAGGCAGAGAATCTCTTTCTTCGATGACCTCCAGAAGGTCGGGGAGATTCCGTGTGCGCGGAGCAGCCTTCTGAGCGGGATCGCGAGCGGTGCGGGCGTCGGCGTCATCCGCGGGCTCAGTGCGAGTGCGTCGTCTTTCTCTCCCCTCCCCCCTCTCCCCTTCCTTCCTGCCTTTGCCGCCCGGGCAGTGCGCGGGGTGGGGCCTGTGAGTGGAAGGCTGACATTGGCTTGTGTGCTGTGCGTGCTAGGTGCGTTCGTCGCGTCGAACTGGGCGGTGGGGACGTTCGTCGCGGTCACACTCGGGTCATGGTGCGTCTCCCGTTCTATTCCTGCGTCTCGGATCCTGCTGGGAGGCAGACTGACGCGTAGGTCGTGTTGGGCTTGTTAGGACGATATGCAGGCGGTCGCGAGACGAGGAGAAGAGGCGGGTCCAGCAGGTCGTCGAGCAGCTCCCGCGGCGGTTCGCCAAGCAGCAAGACGATGCTCCCTCAAATGCGCAGAGCAAGTCGTGACTTCCGCCGTCGCCACTGTGCTACGCAGTTCGGACTGTGTAGGCTCACGGGTTCGCGGAGCCTGTCCGTAAGACGTACTTCGCCCCCGGAACCAGAGCCGGAGCTAGTGGTACTTACTCAGAAGACGCCAGCATGGAAGACCGGCGGTTCGGTTGTCACATTTGTATTGTGCTCGGCCCGATAGGCTAAGCCTCTGACGACGGCGGGCTGCCGTGCACAGTCGACGTCGCAAGCCCGTGTATTGATGCGACCCGTTTCTCTAATGATACAACATATTATGAAGATACTACTATAGCGATACACGCATGATCGGCCGTCGACGCTCGGAAAGCACACGACCAAGAAAGCAGGGCGGAGTCGGACTAGGGTGGAATGGGTGTCTACTAAAAGTGCAGCCCGCTACCCCAGACCTCGTCCTTCCAATTTTCGACGAGCGCGGGGTCACCTTTGTATTTTGCCTGGAAGTCCTGGAAGCCGCCCCGGAGGACGAACACATCGTGCGGCTTGTCTGCGCCTTGAGTTTGGAGGAGGTCGCGCGTCTCGGAGTAGATCTGTGGGGAGGGTGTTACACGGAGGCATGAGAAGCGCGGGCATGACGGCATACCCTGGCAGCCTTCGGACCCCTGTGCGAAGGGATGAGCAACGAGGGTAAGATGTATGGTAGAGGGAGACGCACCGGACTTGTGAAAGAGCACAATGGAAGATGACGGTCGGGACGTCTTTCGTCTGCGTTACGAGGTCGGATACTTTGTCAAGGAACTTGTACGAAGGCGAGTTCTGCGAGCCCTTGATGTTACCGCCGTACCAGTCGTCGTCGCGGACGTCGACGACACAGTAGTCTCTGCCGACGACCTTGTCACTCTTCATCAACGCAGCGAGCTCCTATCCGCGAGTTAGCACACAAAGGCGCAGCCACAGCCACCAACGAGGACGCACATCGGGAGAGATGTACTTGAGCATGGTCGTCCGGGCAAGGCTGGTCGACGGGGCGGTCAGAGGAACGGCCTTTGATCTGGCAGGGATGCGGGCGATGCGTGAAGAAAGTGGTAGCATCTGAAGGGCTTATGTCATCGATATCTGGTCGCGAGGTCCGGGAAAGTGGGCGCGAAGCTGCGAGAAGCCTGCCGCAGCCCAAGCCTTGCTGCCAGTGCCCGCGCGGTGCCATGCGTGTCGGTGGCTGTCATTTGGGAGACGTGCGCGTCGGTGGCGGTGGGAGACTGAGAGCGAGGAGGAGGGACGGCGCGCGCGAGCAATATCGCCCTGGAGAAAGTTGAATACGACGACTCGCTGCAGCCCAGAAAACGCGCGTCATCGAGCGTCTGTGCAGGCTATCGACTGTGTATCTCACGCCTCGAGAACATCGCAGCTGGTATAGATTCGCGCACGCACAGGCTGAGAGGGCGACGAGGGCGCGCGGGGGCGCAGACGGGGGATTGGGAGGCAGCGGGAGTGGCGGCGGGGACGCGTCTGGCCGGTTGGGGCGAGCAAACGCGCTGCCAGTCGCATACGTATTCGGGCCTAGCCGGAGCATATAACGTGCCAAAATTCGGTTGCCACTGCCAGCACTCCTCCCTCCTCGCCTCCTCCCTCGCCAGCACCACCTCCGCCGTTGCACCCCATGTCTCTCCCCCAGCCCGTCCCCCCGTCCTGGAAGGTGTGTTCCCCGTCGCGCACCCCGCGTGCGCCGCCCAGCTCACCGTCGCGTCACCGCACCCCGCCAGGACCTCGGCAAGTCCTCCAATGACCTCTTGAACAAGGACTTCCCCTTCAACGGCGTCGCGCTCGAGGTCAAGACGAACACGCCCTCCAACGTCGCGTTCCGCGTCACCGGCCACCAGGACGGCAAGACCGCCCTCATCGGCGGCGACCTCGAGGGCAAGTACTCCGACAAGAAGCACGGCCTCACCTTCACCCAGGCGTGGACGACCACCAACACCCTCCGCACCCAGATCGAGCTCGAGAACCAGATCGCCAAGGGCCTCAAGCTCGACCTGAGCACCGCGCTCACCCCCGACAAGGGCTCCAAGAGCGCCCTCTTCACGTCCACCTACAAGCAGCCCGGGCTCCACACCCGCGCCTTCCTTGACCTCTTCAAGGTACGTCCGCGCACTCGTCTAACGCGTTCCGTTCATTCACGGACCCGCGCAGGGTCCGACCGTCACCGCAGACACCGTCATTGGGCGCGACGGCTTCCTGCTCGGCGCGGAGGCGTCGTACAACGTCACGGAGGGCAAGGTGACCAAATACGCGACCGCGGTCGGCTTTTCCGCGCCCGAGTACGCCGTCACGCTGCACGGGCTCGGCAACATGAGCACGTTCGCTGCGAGCTACTACCACCGCGTCTCCCCCGACGTCGAGGCGGGCGCCAAGGCCGTCTACGACACCAAGGCGACCACCGCAGGCGTGAACCTCGAGGTCGGCGCGAAGGCGTACCTCGACGCGGCGGCGTTCTTCAAGGCGAAGATCAACAACTCGGGCATTCTCGCCCTCGGTGCGTGCTGCTTTGCTTGAAGCGACGAACGTGGCTGATCCGCCGTGTCCGATAGGCTACACCCAGTCCCTCCGCCCCGGTGTGAAGGCATCGTTCGGCCTCGCGCTCGACACGCAGAGACTGAACGACATCTCGCCCGCTGGCCCCGCGCACAAGGTACATGCATATCTTCGCATATGGATCGTGCATTGAGCGCTGACTTTGCTTGCGTGCGTTTGCGTGTTCTGTCGCGATCAGTTCGGTGCTAGCTTCGTCTTCGAGGGTTGATGACGTCATGTCACGTTCATGTTACGCCTACTGTAGAGTGTTTGCTTTATGGGGCCAAAATGAATTTATTGCTTTCTATAATCAATGCGTCGCAGGGCCATTATCTCTATTGGCAACCAGTGACTTGTAGAATGTGCATAGCACCGCGAGATGATGGTCCTTGAGAGAGTGAGCAGCCTCAAAGTAGGTCCTTACCAAACTTCCGAGATGGTATACAAGAGTCTCCGACAGGACCAGATGTCAACTCAAGAACGGTATGTACACATTTCGATTATTCAGATGGCTGTCACAGATCGGAATCCCAGCGCCGGAGACCCAGTTCTCCGACGTGACAACTGATGATTTGCAGCGACGTCCAAGAGCGGGTGCACCGGTGCAATTCTGCCAACTCTCAGCTCACGCCCGTGGGCGCACGAACCTACTACGTGTGGTACGCGCCGCGTTCCGGCAAGTAAGTAAGTCTCTGAGAGCACAGACAACTCGGAGGCCGCGATCGATGCAGAAAGCGAGGTGGCCACCATGGTGAGGCGCCGGCCCGCAATCTGCAGGCAAATGCAACGAGACCGTTGGCCACTCGCATCTGAGGACCGTTTATCTGCATATCACAATGGTAAGTAGTACGACTTCGGCGTGGCCAAGGCCCTAAATTGACCCCGTGCCAGTAGTAACTTAGCACGAGGATGACACCGTGCAAAGGAATGGATTCGGTGACTAAAGCACAACATTTTTGTGAACGACAGGCAGGGCCCTATAACACAGTCACGGTCGGCCGCAGAGTGCCGATGCTTTTTACAACACCATCGTACATACACAATGATGGTACACAAAGCACAATCCGCTCAGTGCCAGCTGTCCGCCTGGGTCACACTGCCGCTCGCGGGCGTCGTGATCGCGTTGTTCGGGTCGCTCTCCCAGGTGACGTCGGAGCCGTCGATCACAAGGTACTTGTACTGGATGGTCGTGCTCGCGGGCAGGTCAACGGTGACTAGAAGCAATCAGCATCATCGCTCGACAAAAACAAGAAGTTGTTACTTACTGCTCCAGGTCGGGTAGTCTGCAGAAGACAAGAGCAGCGCGTTGCTGGAGGACCAGTCCTCGAGCGCGGAGACGGAGCCGGTGATGTAGAGGTTCTCTGTGAGACGCACGACTGGTTAACTACTGCCGAGGGCTCAGGATAGTCACGGAAGACTCACGTCCGTACTGAGTATCGTAGTCGATAGTGAAAGTCACCGCAACGGTGTCGCCGCCGCTACCGCTACCTCCGGAGCAGGTCGCGTTAAGGCCCGCCGCGCCCCAGCTGCCGTACTTATTTCCCGCGCGTGCCTCGAACGCGGTCAGCGCGGAGGCGAAGCTCCAAGTCAGGTCGTACGCGCTGAGCGGGGTTCCGTCCGCCTTACTGTACTGCTCGCTGAGCGAGCCGTTCGACGGGGTATACGTGGCGACGATGTCGACGAAGCCGTCCGCGAACGACTGCACTGCGCTCTTGAGCGTGCTGTACTCGGCCGAGTCCGAGGCGTAGGTGCCGGCGGCCACGGAGGCATCGAACTGCTGGAAGAACGCGAGCGAGGTCGAGGTGACGTTGAGCTCGCCGAGCGCGTCCCAGACGATGAGCGCATCGTAGAGCTGCTCGGCGACCGAGAGCGTGCAGAGGTACCAGGGCTACATTGACAAGACGAGGACTTAGTCGACGCGTCTAGCCACGGGAGCCACAACTCACGTTTCCGTTGTAGTACGAGTCTTCGGGGTACCGACCGGTAGCAACGGCGGCGTCGGACGAGATGCCGTCGTTGATGGTGTAGATGGGCCGGAACGAGTCAACATACACCTTCAGGTTCGACAGGGCCTTGTCAGAGCAGGGCTGGAACGTCGCGTCGTCGCAACCTGCAGCCGGGTCGAAGGTGTGGATCGAAGCCAGGACGGTGTTCGCGTCCTTGCCGGACCGACCACCGCCGGTGTTAGCCGTGATGTACGAATCGGTGGGATTCCAATAGGACTGTGGAAAACCCGGTCAGTAGGAGGTTAGCTGGATGTACCACTGTACACACCTGCAAGAAGCAAAGGAGTGAATCGGCCTGGGTCTCCCAGTTGCTCACATCCGAGGTCTTGCCGGTGAGGTTTGCGAAGATGATGCCCTCACGCAGGGAGCGGTGTTGCACAGCAGTGGTAAAGAACGACGACGACTCGACCTCCTCCCACAGGTCAAAGCTGAAGTATCCACATGTCAGCTCGACGATCGAGGAACATGGGTGAGTGTGTACGCACGTGGACTGGTTCCAATTATCCGCGACATAGTTGAGATCGAGCTCAATGATTGGCCAGAGAGTGTTGGTCACGTAGGTTGTGTTCCCGCTGTTCCAAAGATGGGTTGCGTAGGTTAAAATTGCGGTGGCACGCAGAGCAGGACCATCTACAGCGGATAAATGGCATCACGATTGTGATCCTGATCATGGCAGGCCCACTTACCACGCTGCGGACGGCCCCACGCACCGGTGAAGGCAGTCTCGTTGACGTTGAACTTTGGCTCTCCGAGACCACCAGTGCTCACGGAACCACTAGGGTTGTCGATCTGCTGGAGGGTGGCCTCGGCCTCGGTGAAGTCGTCGATCAGAGGCCCCAGCGTATCGTCCTGACCGTTGACATATTGGTCAATGAGCGCCTTGAACGTGAGCGACGAGTCTCGCGTCCAGGTGTAGAGGTAGTTAGGGTTGACCGTGCTCGGGCTAGCAATGACGACACCCGGCTGGAGGGCGTAGTTCAGCTGCAGCGCGGCCCCACCGAGGAACGTGCGACGTACCTTGGCACCTGAGGAGAGGGACCCACTGGAACCGATGTTGGCAAGCACGCCGGCCTTTGCGATGGGAGACTCGGTCGCGATGTACGAGCTCACGTTCGTCTGAGCGACGGCGGCGGCGGCGAGGCCAAGGGCGTACGAGAGTGAGAGACGCATCTTGCTGAAGGTGCCGATGCTGGAGCGAGCGACATACCGGCGTCGTATTTATACTCGACGAGGCATATGGACCGGAAGCATCTGACGTTGCGATGCATGGGACGAGGTCGACCACATGGGTGCAGCCGTAGGCATCGTGAGACGCGCAGTGCGGGGGCCCTGCCTGGAGAAAGGCTTGATGATCGCTCTCAGAGCCAGACTGGCCCAACGCCGGCTGTTGCAGAGCAGGGACAGTCGCGGCGAGGATCAAGAGGCAAGTAAGGATGCTTGACAACATCAGTCCGGCCGTTCTAACGATTGTTATGTTCTGATACAGTCTAGACGCGGCACTAAATAGTCTAACCACACGTGAGCGTATTTGATCCCGACGACGGGAAGAGTGTTTGGCAGGGATGGAGGGGAATTGGGGGCCGTCTAATGTAGTAGCAGTGAGGTAGTCTAGTACGTAGTCCTATGGCTTGCGATGTTGTAGCTAGTGAGCGCTGTCACCGTCAAGAAGTCGAGACGCGCGTGCGCTATCGGCCGGTGGCTAAATGGACCCCCCTCCTCCTCCTCCTCCTATCGATCACGACGATCAAATGCTTGACTGGAAAACGGCGACACTCGACGCCCACCACCGCGAGAATATGGCCTCCCCCCTGTCAACTTGAGCGGCGTCGATATCACGTACAGTAGCTTGGGTATACCCCATCCATCCGCAGCAACGACAGACCGGGTGTTTGCTCGCTTCAGTGAATTGCGTACATCGGCTCTGCGGTCTTCTGCTCGCGCAGCCTAGTATGCAGGGTGCATTACAGTAGCCCAAGAGTCTGGTTATCATCCAAAGGGTTATCAGCAGCACAGCGAGTCTGAACTTCCTACAGATGTTGAGCCGCAAGACATGGTTCCGCCCACTTCGGAGGCACGAGGAACGCTTGCTTACAGTTACCCATACACTCAACATCCAGTGATCCACCGTCTCGAAACCTCTATTCGGGAGCCAGGCCCGCTAAGTTACGTCCGGCCTAAGTTGCCACCTCGACCAATCTCATGTGCACCACTTCGAATGGCAGGAAGCACGTACTGAAAGCTGCAGTCGCAGTCCGAGCCACGGTGAAAATCGTGGTTTCTCCAGGAAGCCTTCAGTGCGCTGGGAGTGGGTACGGCAGTGACTTGCAGTGCGGGCAGCCTGGGACAGGCCGGCGGAAGAAGAAATGATCAGGTCGCAGCGAGTCGGAGAGCATGAAGGGGATGCGAGTGCATGTTCGCCCCGTAAAATGCAGGACCGTCCTGCAAACGAGGCCAGAGAACCGATGCGAATGCGCAATTTGAATACCTGTTGGCTAATGTCGATTGCGGCCTGCTGGTCCACTCTCTTCCGTCATTGCTAGTATAGCAGCAAACAAGCCAGCGACTGGAGCGCGTAGACCTCAGACTGCCTAATAGCCCGATGGCGTCAATGTCTGTTTGTCGGCGAGTGTCGTAGATCTGTCGCGGCTACATGCTGCGAATAGACCAAGGTAAGTAAGTACTTGTATGCGCGTTGCACGCCAGGCGAAGGACTCCGTGAGTGAGCAATCCCTGAGACTGAACGACCTTGACCTTCCGGACGTACCTACGCGTTACCCACATTCGACGAAGTGACGTTCTGGTCGGCGATGCCGTCGTCATGAATGCGGCAAACGAACGTCTGAGCCTACCACAAAGTAGACGATGATTTCGAGGCATACAACGGATCATGTTGAGGGATATCAACGGCACATATGGGCGACTCACGGGTGACCAAACATCAGAGCCAAGCTGGTGCGAACATTGGACCTATAAGTCGGCCGAGCACACCACATGCCCTGCGGTCCACGCCGACCCAATCCGTTGATAGTGTACACGCTGGAGCGCGGAGAAAATATTCACAGCATCAACTGCAAAGCTATATACAGAAAGCGGTTGTCAACAACTGGTTTTGTACAACAAGCGAGCGGAGGCAGCGATATGGATCCAGAGCGATCCGAGCGATCCGAAGGTGTGTAGTGGTATCTCGATATGCCCGGTGCTGGGGGACGTGCAGATATGCAAGAGTCGATATGTACCCTGGGGGAAGGATAGTCATCAAGTACGTCCACCAACCAGCAAAAACAGCTCACCTCATCTCCTACTCTGTGCCGTCGTCCCCGATTCCGTACTAGGACGGGCACCGTGGCCCTGGCCGTCCCCCTCCTCCAGCTTCGCCAATGTGTCCTCCAGCACCGCCGCACGGTCCGCGTCCAGCGCCTCCTCCCACTCCGGGTCCGTGCTCATGTAGCTCTTCGGCCGGTCACTATCCGGGTCGGGTGTGAGGCGCGGACCTGGTCCCCCAGTGCTCCGCACGCTAATGCGCCGGATGTTCAACCAGGACATGATCGAGCCACGCGAGCCCACGCTGTCGCGGAGGCGTTCTGAGCGGAGCTGCTCGGGGACATCACCGCGGAGGAGTAGCTGACTGTTGCGGTGCTCGCCGTACGCGGGCGGGGGCGCTTGTGCGATAATGTTGTCCTCGACGTCGCCCGTGCCGACGCCGCTCTGCGCGAGCGTGGCCGCGTACGTAGGGAGTGGAGGTCGGTTCCAGGGCGCGAACGCGATGCCCGGGTGCCGCGGCTGGCCGCGGTCGTGGTGTGTGGGGAGCACCTCCCCGGAGTGCGTGAAGGCGTAGCGCTCTGCGCGCAGCCGGAACAAGCACCGCTCGAGGAAGACGACCTGCAGGAGGGTGAGCATCGCGAATGCGACGTACACGAAGATCAGCGCGGAGCCCATCGACATGCCGCCATCGTCGCCCTGGCCCGATTGCTGGTCGGAGGCCCGGGCGGCCTGCATGCGTTGGATGAGGACGATCCAGCCTCCGATGGTGGCACCGAGCACCGCAATCTGGAACGCGAAGAGGGAGAGGGTCGTGACGCGCATGCCCCAGAAGAGAGGGATACGCTTGCAGCCTAGGAATGAGGAGAGCTTCCGGCCGGTTGTCCCAGACAGGTTAAGAGGGGCAGAGGTATTTGGAGGGTTGGCGGTAGATGGACTATCAGCAGGAGGTGCATTGGTAGTTGGGGTAGGGGTCGTAGGTGGGTTGGGTTCCTGTGGTGGTGTTGTTGTAGGCAAAGGTGTATCCGCCGGGTGCCTCTCAGGCAGCGGACTCGACGTCTCTGCGGTCCCAGAGCCCTCGCCCGCCTGCTCCTGCTGCGTCGACACATCAACGCCCTCCACAAAGCCAATCTCCCCCCTCTTAGACGGAAGTGGGCCCGCCTGTGGTCGTGATTCCGGTTGCTCAGGAGTCGCCATAATTCCAGCCTCGTCCAGCGTAGGCCAGCTGCGAACGCCTGTAGAGAGCGAACGTGAAAAATGAGAGAATCAAGCTTGCGCCTGGCAAAGCAGACTGCGCGACATGCGAGGAGTCCGGGAGAGAGACTCAGCGCACAAAGAGCTGGGCTGGGGACCGCACTGCATCTGCGCGATATATCCGCAGGCACCCGTCATTCGCTATGGCTACGCCGCTACGAGCACCACACGTGATGGTGGCCAGACCTCCCATTGGCTCTTGCTGCACCGCGTCCCAGCCACAGTGGCAACACTGCCGACCTGTTCTTCTCTCCACTCGCCACCTTGATTGGCTGCCTGGCTTCTACGGTATGTCTTTTAATATTGGACGGTGGGGACATGTTGGGGAGGTTTCTGGCTATGCTCGAATCATGTTCAATGCCCAGATAGTTTCGCATACGTACTCAGAAGGCTCAGGAAGCGTACCCGGGCCCGAGAGTTCGATATCCCTGGCTATACTTACCAACGGCTGGACGCCATTAGGACGTAGACCAGATGAGGGTTTGGAGCAAGAGATAATCCGACGCAAACTCCTGTACCCGTGGGCTATGCGTGGACGTGGAGTCGGCTTACGGGCCAGATGCTGGCAAGGCATTTGCTTGTTGGTGTAGTAGTTTACGCCCTACCGGGTGGGTACAACTTGGACAGCGTGAGTAGCCAGCTGACTCGGGTCACGGTAGCAATCTACTGAGCTTCACACTTCAGAAACTGAGACAAAGACGGTATACGCGAGGCTTCCGGTGGTATCATCAATATGTGCAAACCGCCTCACCGCCTTTTTGACCAAGGAGACAGTAGTAAGATCCAGCGAAAGAACATACGTGGACCCTACATATCCGTATCGTGTATCGTCTCCTCCCTAGGCGCAATCGTTCCCAAATCCACAACAGTGTAGAACGAGAAGTTCTTCATCTCCGGCGGCTTGCTCGACGCATGCCGCGAAGGCGTACCCATCGCGTTCTCCTCAGCCGGGTCCGGGTCGTCCGACCGGTACGTGTACGACACTAACATATTGAACTGTCCCCAGTAGGCATGAGCCACAGTCGCGCGAGCGAGTTACAGAGACATCAAACGCACCTTCACGTTCCCCCTTGACTCCTTCGTCAAGATGACCTCCCCCGCCACGACAGTCACGTTCGCCCGCTTCTCCACCACCCCCACGGTCCGCGTCTTGCTTCTCTGGTCCTTCTGCAACCGCCCCAGGCCGTCCAGGTCATCGTCGTCATCCAAACCAAACATATCCTCATCGTCCTCGTACTCCCAGGCCTCTGCGAACGCGGCGATCGGAAATGCAGCGGAAGGCAGATTTACCTGGAACGGCGGCCTCTTTGCCTTCTCGCCTGCACCTTCGGTGCCGGGCGCGGGCATCGCCTGCGCCTTCTTCAGGCGCACTTGTATCGGGTCGTATAGAGGGTTCGTGAATGAGATGTGGAAGGAGTATGTCTTCCCTGCGAGCAGCGCCGCTGCTGCCGGGCTCTGGTCTTCTGACTGAGCTGCCGACCTGTTCAATGAGCGCTTCATCGTCTCGAGAGCTGCCCGTGCATGTGGTAGGGAGACCGAGATGGCGGGCAGGTAGTTCGCAGCGACGAGTTTGATCTTGTACCGCACCGACTGTGCCTTCTGCTCGGGCTTGATCAGGATGTGACGACAACTCGGACATCGCTTCGACTTTTTGGACTGCAGCGGTATCCGCAAAGGCTTGAGGTCGCTGTGGGAGGGCGACACACTCTCATGATGCACATCACTGGACAAGACAGAACCACGCACTCTGTGTGCAGCGACGACACCCAGCTATTCACCCACCGCTGTTCAACCGTCGCCACCTCCGCGACCGTCTCCAAATGCCGCATGAACTCAAGGTCCGCCTCCCCTCCCCCCGCGCCCATGCCCGCTGCCGCGCCGACCTCCATACGCGCCTTGTAGTCGGGGATGTCCGCCTTATGCGAGCTTTTGTCCCGCCCAGAGCGCGAGCGCGAGAGCGGATTGTACTTACTGACGCCGGGGATGTCCCGCGCGAGTGCGGACGACGCTGCGGCTGTGATAGGGTTCGAGTGGTGGTGTGAGGACGAGGGTGTGACGGCGGAAGAGGAGGAGGATGCACGTAGGAAGGGTTCGAAATGTTCCTTCAATCGGTCGAACTCCAGGGCTTCGGGTGCAGAGTCTTCGAACTTCTGTAGTTGAGCTTTACACAATCTTCCAGTCAACTTCAGGAGGGGGTGGACTAGCGTGTCGCTTACCTGCAAGACCTGTGGGCTTCTCAAATGTAATATCGACCTGCGCGGAGTCCCACCTGCAATGGTTACAATACAGAAAGAAAGGCGGTTCGCCGAGGGACGTCGACACAATCGGCGACATCCTGTCATACCCGTCATTCGGCGGGTCCGAAGGAACGACCGACAGCGTATTCCGGCAGTTCGGGCACAAAAAGCAATTCCGCGCACATCTGCCTTTCTCCGTCAGTGTGCAGCGACACGACTTCAATGACGCGCAAGCGAACCTCACCTGTTCTTCTCTGCGCGTACACTCGCGCTGGGCACCTCGAACAGACAGTTGGGGCAGTAGTACCCGCTCACTTCGACCATGACGCAGCGGTTACATCGCACGGCGTCGCATTCTTCGCAGAAGAAGAGATTGTGTAGAGGGTGGAAGCTGTCAGACGAAGACGGGAGGTGAGGAGGAGGAGGGTGAGGAGAGGCAGCGAGACATGGGCAGTAGTAATCGACCGAGGGTGCCATGGTCGCTGAGTCGGGTTGTGTACAATATTGGGCGCAGTTGCAAGGACATGTCTGCATATGGCTGCCACACCTTGGTCCTTGGGCGCGTCTACGCACTAAACACGTGATACGCCCCTGTGGCCTTGAGCTGTATGATAAGCAAGCCGAGTCATCGTAACCCAAGGTCCCAAAACGGACATGAGGCGTCTGATTTCCGAATCCATCGTTCACGTGATGGGCGTGTGGCTCTGAGACCGTGGTTCGTTGTGGCTGCAGACTGCAGTGTGGCTACCAACTCGCGTGGGCGCACAACATTGTTCTGACTCGTGTCGCATTGTCCGACCGAAAAGAGAACAAACGGGCGTCCATAGAAGGAAGGACAGTCCACATTTAGAACCCAGCGTGGCCGCCGCCTCATCACACATATAAGTCTGCTCTTCTGCCCCGAACTCGGTACGTCCTATCGCTGTGAACGCCATGTCTGGCATTCCTATTGATTCAGTTTACAGGTGGTCCGACTCCCCGTCGCCTCCCCCGACACTTGACACCGCTCTTCCTCTCGCTCTGAGTGATTTCTCAGAGGGCGTTGACTACTACCCGGATTCTCCTGTCCAACTTCCCCAAGACAGCGAGTACACCGGCAGCGAGCCTGACGGCCTTCCGCCATACGAGGTCGACGAGGCCAGTTCTGACTCCGCGCCTGCCGCTTGGGAGCAACCCAACCTACCTCACGACTCTGACGACAACGCGGTTGCGACCTTCGTCCCCGCGGTCTCTACCCCAGAGCCGTCCAACAGTGCACCGTCGGCCACCACCCAGCCTCAAGTCGAACCTCAACCAGCGCCAGAGGCTACTAGGCCGGTGACTCCAGAAAACCGATCGAAGTCGTCGAAACCTGTGCCGAAGTCCACGCCCGTGGCCAACCGTCCGTCGAACACCCAACGTCATTCCGTACAACCTACCCACGGCCAAGGACATTTAACGAAGTTGCGTGCAGCATACGCCGACGACATGAAGGACAACAAAGTGGCCCAGATCACTGTCGCCGACTTTATGCGGGAGTTCGTTCCCGGCCCAGACCTCCCCGATGACTTCGTCGCGGAGCCGTTTGAACCTGCCAATCTCCGGCGTCAGGAGGTCCCTATGTACGAAGAACTGGTGAGTGGTTCTCAGTGTCATTCAATATGTGATCCCTTGACCGAACGTCGTCTGCAGTGCAAGGTGACAAACTCTGTGCTCAGTCAAGGTCCCACCGACCAGAGCTTCGTGGCCAAGGACACGCACAGCTGGTCCGACCCTTTGGACAAGTATGATTTCGAGGATAAACTGAGCCCCGACGTGATCATCTACCCCTCGCACGCCGACGCTCGCCGAGCGTATACTCTCAAAGACCTGACATCGCTATCCGAGGAGGAGAGGAAGCGACACGAGAACAAAGCTAGGACCTCATGGCTATGGGCGACGCTATACATCGAGGCGAAGGCTGATGCCGAATATTCGCCGTTTGTCATCCCGGACTCGATGCGGGAGGCGGAAGCACAGAAGGAAGAGGAGATGCAGGCGGCGGCAACACAAACGTCCACGAAGGCGACGCCGCAGAAGAAGAAGAAGCCGTCGCAGAAGACGAGGAAGGCGGCGCAGAAGCGGGCGCAAAAGCAGAAGTCCGCTGACAGTGCAGGCGCGCTTTCATCGACCACCGATTCACTGATACGCGACACGCAGGCATCGGCGACCACGAGCCAGGCGAGCTTTGCGGCCCCCTCACTGTCGGCCTCGATGGCTGCGGGGCCTTCTACCGCAGCTACTCCCTTGGCGCCTCCAATCGCGCATGTCCCCGCGGCCGATACTAGTACTCCCAGCCGCGACGAGCTGCCACCATTCCTGCTTCTGCAGAGCAAGGAACGTTCGAAGACCATGGGGCAGATGAGCCACTATGTCTCGAAGATCATGCGACGACAATTCCTGCTCCACTTCTTCACGATCTTCACCTGCTGCGACGTCGCATGGCTGCTTCGTTGGGATCGCGCCGGCCTCATCGTCTCCGAGCCGTTCAACCTCGTGAACAACCCGCGGCCCTTGCACACCTTCCTGTATCGTTTCGCTCGCATGAGCGACACGGACCGTGGCCATGATCCCTCCGTGGTACCGGCAACCGAGGCAGAGGCTCAGCTCCTGCGCAGCTTCAACAAGTTCCCGCCGCCGGAAACCTGGTGCAGGGAAACATTTGCCGGAACTTTGGTTGATGGCTGGCCGATCTCGAAGATCCTCGTACCGGAAGACGACATGATTTCGGAGGCCGAGCTCAGGAGCGGCAAGAAGGAGGAGCGGGGCGCATCGGAAGCGTCGGGCAGACGGATGCGCGAGTTCCTCGTCGGGAAACCTACGTTCATGAACACATCCTTGTATGGACGGGCAACAAGGTGCCACATCGCGTACGACGTAGCTGAAGACCGGCTAGTGTTCTGCAAGGAATGCTGGCGCACGGATGCGCCGACATCGCACCCGGAAGGGGAAGTGTATCTGCGCCTACATGGCAAGAACGTCAGCTACATTGCAACGCCTGTCGCAGCCGGCGATGTGCGCGGCAAGAATGGTGCGCATCGCACACGCACCCAGGAGTTCACCAAGGGGTCGGATCCGATGCTTGTTCACTATCGCCTGATATTGGAGGAAATCGCGCAACCTCTGAAAGAGTACCGGACGTCGTATCAACTTGTGATGGGTCTGTATCAATGTCTGCAGGGTGAGTGTTCCGTTGGTATTGGCTCTGTCTGCAATGCCGTTGACCCCAGCTTTGTCAGCACACGAACAAGCATGGTCAGAGGGCAAAGTTATTCATCGAGACATCAGCGCAGACAATCTTCTGTTGTACTGGTACTTCGACGAGAACGGGAAGCTCGTATGTAAAGCTATACTGGTCGATTGGGGGCTTTGCAAGTATGCAGACGAGATGGATCAGCCAAGCGTCAAAAGGACCCGTTCAGTACGTGTTGTAATCGACGGTCTCCTGGCGATGATCTGAACTTTGAATAGGGCACCTGGCAATTTATATCTGCCGTATTGCTGAAGTGGCCGGGACAATTCGCACATCAGATCTGGAACGATCTGGAGTCATTCATCCACGTCCTGCACTGGATGTGTGTACGATTCCATATCACGGACCGTTCACTGGACCGCGCAGATCTTATCCAACATGTCACACAACTCTATGATGACTCCCATAAAGACGACAAAGGGAACTCCGTTGGTGGCCGCCGGAAGCTCGACTTTTTGAAACATGGCATTGTACCCTTTCATCTGCTCAGAGGGTCTGCCGCTACCAACCCGCAATCCCCTGGCCTCCATAGCCTCCTAAGGGAGCTTGCGGACTTATACAAGCAGCACTACAAGTGGTTGTCCCCGCAACTACCCGAGTCGGACCCGGCACAGGGCAATGCGCAGGAAGATGAGTCGCAGAAAGTCGTTCCGCCCGGAGGAGAAGAGTGGGATATGTTCTACGAGCCTCGAAAATCGCGAACGCGCGCACGGAACTTGAAGAAGCCCGCGGCAGAAGAGACGCCTCCTGAACCCGCCCTCAGCACGCACACAGCAATCATGGAGCTTTTCGACGAAATGCTGGAAACACGAGCAATGTGGGTCGACGACGCAAAGGTCGCCGACCAGTTCGCCTGCGACAACAACTTCCTCGAGCAACAGCAGAAGCAGTCGAGGGAAGCCTCTCGGCGGTCTTCTGAGATGGAGTCGCTCGCGGAAGAGAAGCCGCATAAACGCGTCAGAACCAGTACCAACGCGGCCATCACGTCAGGCACGTCTGGGTCTCAGCTGAATTCGATATCCGAGCATGTCTAGCGTTGACGGCTTGCGAAGGAGGGTCCGTTCGAAGGAGTAGGAAGCAGTGCGGTGGCGCACAGTAGGACATGGTCGCTCGTAGTCGTGTTCGCGATGTCTCGTTCTGTATTTGTCTGGTCATGTAGTATTGTATAGTCCATCGTTCGTCGTTGTGTCGATTCGAACCGCTTTTGGGTCAGATAATGAGTTTCGAGTGTGACGGATCCCAGAGCAGCGCTCGACCGTCAACGGTATGTGAATTGTTCAGTCGTGGCGGAACAAGAACCAGTGTCTAAGTGGTCTTGCCGGATACACCAGCCATTTATCAAGTATTTGAGGCCAGACCGGTATGTCTTCGGAAGAAAGACAAAAGGCAATCCATAAAATCACGTACACAACATATACACAAAGATGTCAAACGCTCTTCTCGGCATCAATGTTTTGGTCGTAGTATATCCTCCTCGTCCACCTCCGCCGTCTCGTCATGCCCGTCGTCCGCCACTCCTCCAATGGCATCGAATGCGGGTCCAACCACGCGTCGTTCGTATACACCCACCCACCTGCAAGGCGGAGTCATTACTACGATGCCATAGATCTGTGTAAGACGGGGACTCACTCTTGTCTGCTACCCCAGGCGTGACCCAGCTGCCCTCCAAATCCGGCCTCCAGTCCTCCGTCTCGACAAACACCCAGCCTGGCTCGAGGGCAAATGTAAGGTTGCTGCTACACCACACGACCAGTCAGATTCATGCCATCTAACTGAATTATCGTTAGAAAACCCGACCTAACGTCTGCACTGCCATCTTCGCCCAGGCCGCTCCAGCCATCCCTGCCCCTCGTCCACGCCTTCCTCTCGCCAGGCTTCAAGTTCGTCTTGGCCCAGCCTGCGTCGGAGGTCAGGCCCGCCTTCACCGCATCCTCCCCGACGTCGCTCACAGACCGCGACATCACGCTGCCGGCGCGCCCCGTCGGCGCCGCCCACCGCTCGTTCTCGAAAAGCTCTACATCGCGCAATGTCGTGCGCCAGTGCCGGTCCTCCAGCCGGTCATCGTCTATGAGGCGGGCGAGCCGTGTGCGCAAGGCGTTGAAAATAGGCTGCGCGCCGGATAGAATGTTGGGAATGGTGTGCAGGGTGAAGGGATGTGTACACAAGAGGGGGAAGAGCCCTAGGAAGAGGAAGGTTGGACGGGGAGGGAGAAGCAGGAGAAGAGGCAGGATTGCGAGCAGCGACACTAGTACGAGGGTGAGGATGATGGGGGTGAAGGGTGAAGCGTGTGTGAGATGCGGGACGACGGGAAGGACGGCGTCGTAGAAGTCTGAGCTGGGGGTCCGGTCAAGTACCATACGGACCAAACACGTATCGCTACTCACAAGACACCCATGAGATTCTGGATAGCCTGGACATTCGCAAGGTAGTCTACGCTGCCCTCGCCCACTTGTGCGGGTGGGGTGGTCGGCGCCGGTTTCGTCTCAGCTTCTGAGTTGTCATTTGAGCGGAGGGAGGGGTGCGTAGCAAGTAGGATGCTCAGCACAATGACGTGCGGGAGGAGGAGCACAAGCCTCGGAAAGTAGCCTATACCCAAGTCAGCGCGATTCCGGAGACGACGCTCGGCGGACGTACACAGGAACACATACACCCCCATCCACACCGCCGTATATCTATTCCCCTTCCTCCACATAACAACCTCCTCCACACGGTCCTGCAGCCAAAAGACCGGGCCGACCTTCGCGACGAACCGCCGGAAGTTCACCGTCGTAATCGGGATGCTCAGCGGGTCGCGCGCAGACAGCAGCTTCGCGCCGCCCCTACGCGGCTCCGGCGCGTTCTGGGGAATCTGGAGCGTCGACGAGAGGAGGAGCGAGGGGATGGAGTTGTACGCGAGCTTGGAGGGGGAGAGCGGGCCCTGCGAGGAGGTGGCGGAGGTCGGCGAGGAGAGCATGGTGGGTGCTTGGGCCTGGGAGGGTCGCGGGAGCGCGGTGGTCGTCAGTTTGGGCGTCGGGCGCGAGGACGCGGGTGCGGAGGACGATGAGGAGGAAGTGTCCCGGAGACGCGTCGCACATGGTGGTATGGACACATATTCGAGGGGCGACTGTGGGTTGCTAGCAGGCATCTTGGGTGCACATGCGCGCAACGAGGTCCGCGCTACACGCGAGTTGAACGTTGAGCAGCGAGCAGGAGGACGGCGAGGAGGAGGAACAGTCGATTGCTAGCCACCGACACTACGTACGCCCACAAGCGCTCAAGCGCGCCCGCATCCACGTGAACACGGGCCACTGTATATTCTGCGTTACAAGATAACTTGCAGATGTTCGAGCATATGCATGCGTAAGGGCAAGAGCGACAGGAGAACAACGACCACTCTCACAGGCCGGCCATGAGTGAAGCAACGAAAGCAGCTCGACAAATTGATTCAAATCCAACCACGGCAACGCGGTGGAAACGCGTACTAACACAAACATCAAATCTCAACTGTCCGCAATTGCTCCTCAGCTTGGGTCCACTCCGGCATCCTACACGTGCTTGCCCTCCATGTTCTGCATGCCCACGAGCGTCGCCGTCGACGCGCCCGCGAGCTGACTGTACGAGGACGGCGCGCCCTTGTTGTTCGTCGGCAGCAGGCCCTTCTGCGCGGCGCCGTTCTTGCGGCGGCGCACAATGCAGCAGCGCCAGACAATGATGCCTACCACGATCAGCACGAACGCGAGGCAGCCCACGAAGATCTCGGGCCAGCGGCTCAGGACCTTCTCTTCGTATCTGGCCGCGTGCGTCAGCCGGGAGGCGGTGACAAGGCGGAGGGGATGCTCACTCTTGTTTCTTTTCTTCCTCGGACTCGGGCGACTGCTGTTCTTGCGAGGCGGGGAGGAGCGCCTGCGATGCGTCGCCGGTCGTGTCGACGCCGCCGAGACGAACCTGTACGAAGGCTTCGCGCGCGGCGGTCGCGTTCGTGGTGGAGAGGAGCTGGATGAAAGGGTCGCCGAGATCTTGGCTCGTGTCCTCTACGAAGTTGCCGTAGTCAAAGAGAGCATAGACGCTGCGCACTGGGAGCGACAGTCGAGTCAGTTCGAACAGATGGATGATCATGACGCGACAAGCTCAGGCATCCTACACGTACTCGATGTTCTGCATGCTCACGAGTGCACAATATCAGCTCCATTTCGAGGACGCTTGACAGGAATCCGTGTGGCGGAGTGAGACCAACCGCGAGTCACCCAAACCGGACATGGACGTTTGACTCCCATCATTCACGTGACGGAGTGACAGTGGTTCGTTGTGGCTCCGCGTCCAGGGGACCAGTGTGGCTACCGCTGCCAGTGGCAGCCTCGCGTGGACGCACAACATTGTTCTGACTCGTGTTGCATTGTCCGATCGAAAAGAGAACAAACGGGCGTCCATAGAAGGAAGGACAGTCCACCTTTAGAACTCGGCATGGCCACCGCCTCATCACTGGCACACGTACAAGTCTGCTCCCTTCTGCCCCGACTCACTCCGTACGTCCGACGATATGAAGGACAACAAAGTGGCCCAGGTCAGCGTCGCCGACTTTATGCGGGAGTTCGTTCCAGGCCCAGACCTTCCCGACGGCTTCGTTGCTGAGCCGTTTCTACCTGCCAATTTCCGGCGTCAGGAGGCCGCTATGTACGGTGAACTGGTGAGTGGTGTTCAGTGGGTTATGTCGTCCAATATGTGATCCATTGACCGAACGTTGTTTACAGTGCAAGGTGGCGAACTCTGTGCTCAGTCAAGGTCCCGCCGACCAGATGCTCGTGGCCAAGGACACGCATCGTTGGTGCGACCCTCTAGACAAGTACGACTTCGAGGATAAGTTGAGCCCGGACGTGATCATCTACCCCTCGCACGCTGATGCTCGCCGGGCATATACTCTCGAGGACCTGTCTTCCTTTTCCGATGAGGAGAGGAAACGACACGAGAACAAAGCTAGGACTTCTTGGCTATGGGCTACACTGTACATCGAGGCGAAGGCTGATGAAAAATATACACCGTTCAGCATCCCGGACTCGATGCGGGAGCTGGAAACGCAGAAGGAAGAAGAGACACAGAGGGTGGCACCACAGACGTCAACGCAGGAGGCGGCGCAGAAGACGCAAAAGCAGAAGTCCACTGGCAGTGCGGGCGCGCTTTCATTGACCACCGACTCACTGATATGCAATATGCAGGTGTCGGCGACCAGGAGCCAGGAGAGCTTTGCCGCCCCCTCATTGTCGGCCCCGGTTTCTGCGGGGCCTTCTACCGCAGCTACTCCCTCGGTTCCTTCAATCACGCATGTCCCCACGGCCGATACTCCTGGCAGCCGCGATGAGGTGCCACCGTTCCTGCTTCAGCAGAGCTCAGATCGCTTGGAGACCATGGAGCAGATGAGCCATTACGTCTCGAAGGTCATGCAACGACAATTTCTGCTCCATTTCTTCACAATCTTCACCTGCCGCGACGTCGCGTGGCTGCTTCGTTGGGATCGCGCCGGCCTCGTTGTCTCCGAGCCGTTCATCCTCGTGAAGAATCCGCGCCTTTTGTACACCTTCCTGTATCGTTTCGCTCGCATGAGCGACACGGACCGTGGCCATGATCCCTCCGTGGTACCGGCAACCGAGGCAGAGGCTCAGCTCCTGCGCAGCTTCAACAAGTTCCCGCCGCCGGAAACCTGGTGCAGGGAAACATTTGCCGGAACTTTGGTTGATGGCTGGCCGATCTCGAAGATTCTCGTACCGGAAGACGACATGATTTCGGAGGCCGAGCTCATGAGCGGCACGAAGGAGGAGCGGGGCGCATCGGAAGCGCCGGGCAGACGCATGTGCGAGTTCCTCGTCGGGAAGCCTACGTTCATGAACACATCCGTGTACGGACGGGCGACAAGATGCCACATCGCGTACGACGTAGCTGGAGACCGACTAGTGTTCTGCAAGGAATGCTGGCGCACGGACACGCCGACATCGCATCCAGAGGGGGAAGTATACCTTCGCTTGCATAGCAAGAACGTCAGCTACATTGCAACGCCTATCGCAGCCGGCGATGTGCACGGCAAGAATGGTGCGCATCGCACACGCACTCAGGAGTTCACCAAGGGGTCGAATCCGATGCTTATTCAATATCGCTTAATATTGGAGGAAATCGCGCGACCTCTCACATCGTACAAGACGTCGTCTGAGCTGATCACGGCTTTGTACTTGTGTCTGCGGGGTGAGCATTCCGTTGGCCCTGTGTTTGCAATCTTGTTGACTCGAGCTTTGTTAGCACACGAAGAAGCATGGAGGCTGGCCAAGATTATACATCAAGACATCAGCGCAGGTAACATGTTGATCTACTGGTACCGCACCTCGGACGGGGAGCTCGTCTGGAAGGCGTTACTGGTCGATTGGGGTCTCTGCAAGTATGAAGAAGAGATGAACGATCCAGTCGTCAGAAGAACTCGTGCAGTACGTGTTATAATCGACGGTCCCCTAACGATGACCTGAACTTTGACTAGGGTACCTGGCAGTTTATATCTGCCGTATTGCTGAGGTGGCCGACAAAATTCATGCACACGATATTCAACGATCTGGAGTCGTTCATACACGTCCTCCACTGGATGTGTTTACGGTTCCATGCCACGAACATGAGCGAGAGCCAACTCATCGCACATGTCAGGTGGACCTATGACGATATCGAAAAGGACGCCAGCGGCAACTTCGTAGGTGGCTACCAGAAGTTCTTGAACCTGTTTTACGGTTCGACATCCTTTCGGTTGCTTGGAGGATCTGCCAACGCCGGTCTGCAATCCCCTGGCCTCCAGAGGCTCTTAAGGGAGCTTGCACGGTTGTGCCAACAGCATTACAGGTGGATGGAACCGCAACTGCCCGTGCCGGACTCGGTATTGGCGCTGCTGCAGAAGTCGCAGGACAACCCTCCGCCTGCCGCACGACGGAAGGATGGCCATCTCCCGCCTCCAAAGACGCTGAGACGTACGAAGCAAGTGGCACAAAATGTGTCTCCTGAACCCGTCCTGGAGACCCACACCGCAATGATGGAAGCCTTCGAGGTCATGTTATATTCGCCGCTTCCGTGGGTCGAAGATGACAAGGTTGGCGACCGCTTCGCATGCGCAGAGACTTTCCTCGAGCAGCAGCAGAGGCAGTCGAGGGAGGCCTCTAGGCTGTCGTCTGAGATGGAGTCACTCGCGGAGGACAGACCACGGAAACGGCGCGTCGGAAGCAGTACCAGTTCGGTTACCACGTCGGCCACGGAGTCGGCCACATCGGAGTCCCAGCTAGGCTCGATAAATGAGAATATCGAGAGCTGAATGTGGTCCGAGCGTTGATAACTGGCGTGATGATACCGTATACGCGTAGTACTAGTACGTACAATAACTGGTAAGGCTATGGCCGCGGACAATGGTGTCGACGACGTTCATTCTGTATCTCTGTATCATATGGTCATATGGCATCGTGTATCACAGTGTTGGCCCTGGGTCAGATCGTGAAGTTCGAGTATGACGGACCTGAACACGACGCGCGACCCCCAAAGGTATGCGACAGTACACGAGCACGATCATAAGCATGGTCAGCACGAGCACGCTGGCAAGCAAGGCCACGGCGACGACGGCAAGCACTACTCAGAGCGTTCAGCGTTCAGCTATATCCTAACATCCTGATTGCACCATCGTCGGTTCAGCGACCCAGATGTATTGTACTGTACTCGCTCTCAGAAATCGGAAAAACGACAAGGAGATCTTGACACGACAATTTGAATGATAGAGTCCAGGATGTAAAATAAAATAAATGACAGCAGCGTACAGCCAAGCGGATACAATACTAGCGACAGCGGCATCATGATGATAAAGCGTGTAGTCCCAGTCCGTCGAGATCCCAATCCCTGCTCGTTCGTCCAAATGTCTCATGCTCAACACCGTGCGTCACCTCAATACCGCGCGTCCCAGGGGTTCCCATACGTCGGGGCGCCGTCCGTACGCATGAGGTGGAGGTCGTGTGCCTCCTGCGGCGCGGGGTCACTCAGTGGCTGGTAGCGCGTCGCGCGACGGCGCCTGCACATCCCGACCGCCGCCAGCGCGAGCCCGATGAGGAGCAGCGCACCCGCGATGCTGAGCGGGATGATAAGCTTGAGGTGGTCCTTCACCCACGTGGACGTGGACTCCGACGTGGGGTTCCACGATGCGGACCCGCGGATGGCGACGAAGTCCGAGTGCAGCGCGGTGGAATCGTTCGAGACGGAGAGGAGCTGAATGTACGGGTCCGCGCGCGTCGTGGCGTTGTCGGCGAAGTCGCCGTAGTCGATCAGCATGTATACGTTCCGCACTGAGCGTTATGGCGTGTAAGCGCGGGGAGAGGGACAAGAGAGCAAACATGACACGTACGGAATGCCATGCCAAAGATGATGTCATAAAGGTCACTCTTCGCGACATTTATCGGTTGGAACTGTCACGATTGGGTCAGCGAGGGAGTGGGACATGTGGCCTAAATACGTACCCCGCCATAGCATAGTGCTTTGCCATCGCTGTCGGTGGCCCCAAGGGATAATGAAGTATCCAAAGGGTTTATAGGGTAGCTGTTACCCCCGAATTTGAATGTAACGTTGATCTCGTAGTCGCAAGGGATTTGCCATGCTGGACCAGCTAGCGACGACACATCGTCGATGTACTGTGCGCCTGGGACGTTTTCGTAGAATGCCTTGGCCACATCGCTGCAATGCACGCGTCACTTCCCAATGCCCCGTTTCGATTCACCTGCACGTACCTCGGCACTTGCGGCAATGAGTAGCCCGTGTCGAATACAACCGTCAACTGCTTGTCGTTGGAGGTAGTCGACACGCCCGTCGTCACATCCACCACACTGCCGTCCGGCCCAATGATCCCATCCGCGTCGAGCAGCGTCTGCCAATGCTGCGCAGACGACTCCGTCAGCTTGAGCTCCGTCACGTTCAGCTTCGGCTGCGACGTGATGTTCCCGTATCCTGGGAGTACCTCGCCGATGGTGATGTTCCCGGGCACATCATCGAACTTGTCGTCTGCGCGGCCCAGGAGGACGGTGAGGTAGTTGGGTGTTGATGTGTTTTGGTGGAATATCCGGTCTAGTGGCGGGTTGCCGGTGCCGTTGCCCAGCGTCGACTGGATGTTGGAGCCCGTGTGCGGACCGAGACCGATCAGGCCTGTCCCAGATGTCTGGTTGTTGCTGTTCGCGGCTATTTGTACTGTCGAGCGGTCAGCATCGACTATGTCACTGCAACTCATTCCATAATGCTGGACTCCACAAGATGTGTGCACAGGCGGAGCCTGTCGAATGCGGTATTTCCTAGGCCTGTCTGTTGCCTCCCGTAACGGGGGGCGTCCAGGGCGAGCCAACATCAACGAGACCAAGGTCTATGGCCGAGGTCGACTGGCAGATAGTGCGTCTCACCCTGACAGCCCAGTCCGTAAAGTTCGGCTTCCACAAGATCTGTTTGGAAGCGGGGTTGTCCGACGTCTATCGACAGTGACCTCTCTAATGCGCCGCTCAGCCTGAACTAGCCAGGAACACTACAGCCGAGTATACGAGCGCCTGGCTCAGCCTCTCTGCTGAGGTCCACCGCATTAGAGCATGATCGCGACGCATTCCGCCTATGTGCGTTTCGTGGTGCTAGAACCCCACGATATGGCCTGGAGAATACCGCCGTGCGAAGGCTCGACGCCCTCGCCCGTGTTCGTCACTTCGGAAAGGGGTCCGGCAACGTGAATCTGGTTTTGAGCAAGCTTATGATACTCACGGTATGCCTGGTCCTCGACAGTGTATCCAAGGAAGTCCATCGTGGTTGTCCTGATCTCACCTAGCACAGAACACCGTCAGAACACGATGGTCGAGCATCCACGACCGACGCACCATTGACAGCGCCCACCGCATATGTAACCCCCGCACTCTTCCCCGTGTCTTTGCTGTTCGTCACACTGCCCGCGACATACAAGTCGGCACTGGGACGCGCTTCAGCCACTCGCGCAGCTCGCAATGTCCACGGCTCGCACTCACCTCCCCGTGTCGATCTCGACCTCAAAGTCCTGGCCGCCGAGCGTGAGGTTGACATAGTACTGGATGTTGTTGGAGTCGGTGAGCCCTGAGGAGCCGGTGACGCTCCCGCGTCGCTGCAGCGGGTGTCGCGCTCGCCGGCCATGCACGTCCAAGCGAATGGCGCCCACGAGTTCGGTCGGGAGTGCGAGAAACGAGACAAGGAGCGGAATGGAAAGGTGCTTCATGATACTGCCCCCGACAGCCCGACGTCCAGAGCGACACGAAAGAGAAGAAGTAAAATAAGAAAGTGCCGTACGCGCTTGGGAGGTCAGTCGAGGCACGGTTGTACGGCAGTGCCCCGCGCAGCAGGCGCTCAATACTGCCCGTTTCACTCCGCCTCGCCTTCAGAATCCACGACAGACGGCCTGTGTCACCGCTTTGGACGTGGCCGACGACTCGGACGAGTGCAGTGTGTGTAGAGGCTCGAGAGGGCGCTGTGCAGATGGCCCAGTAGCAGTGAGTACTGAGCTCCACTTCTGGTGTCGTATACTTATCACAGTTGGGGGCCGTCTCGAACGATACGAGTATTGAAACGGAGTGCGCGCTGAACTTCACGCGGTGGCCAGCCACTACGCAGTTAAGAAACACACTGTGTACATTGTACATTGCCCGTGTGGCCGTCAATTGACTAACTTAGCTCAACACTACTTACATCGAGCCGGTTACAGTACTAGTATCATACGTCATATGTATGTTTGCAGTAGGCGTTTTTTCCAGTCACATCAGGATTCCTAGCTGTCCCGAGCAGGTTCACCTATGCAACAGAACCGTAAAATCGTCAATAATCGTTAGTAGCTCAGCTGAGTTTGGTCGTTGGTGAGCAATGCATCGGGTGGCCGACCAGGGTGGCCGGCCGAGATCCCGGCCCGATACGGTACTTACGTGGATCACAGCGCGAGGGCATGTTCCTCTTGGTTGAGATGCGATGTAAAGCATCCTGCATTGCACAGGGATTAACAATGTTGATGTTGAGAGTGAAAGGCGTCAGGAGAGTGGCTGGGGAGGGAACGGGCGCCTTGCCCGGCGCGGGAGATGGCAACGCGGGAGCGTGACAGAAATAGGCGTTGAATGTGAACTGCTCAGAGAGCTGGCGGTGGGCAGCACACCCCGAGTCTTTCTTCTCCCCGCCATAGTCTACATCGCAGCTGGCGAACGGCTGGCCAGTCGCTCTCTACTCCTTCCGCTCCTTGCCTGGATATGCGCTCCTTCCTTCCGCTCTCTCTCCTCGGCCTGCTCTCCCATGCCTGCTCTACCCATGCTTTGACCTTCCCCGTCCGCGTCCGCCCCAGGGCCGACGACCGCACAGCTTCTGGCAGGCTGACCACGCGTGCCGGGAGTGGTAACACCCTCCTACCTCTCCACAACACCCAGAACTCCGAATATATCGCCAATATCACCCTCGGAGGCAGAGAGATACCCGTCCTCCTCGACACGGGAAGGTACGTGGTTTCCGCCCGCCATTGCCTCGCGTTCTAATTGGGGCATACCGCTGGAATAGTTCCGACCTATGGGTAGCAGGCACCATACCCCAGACGACCGACCTTGGCATGTCAGAGTCGCTCTCCTACGCCGTTGGCAACGCTCAGGGTATGTCCGCTTCTCGATTGGTCTATCCACAATACTTCACCTGCTGGGATTGTCTTCTCTTGCTGCACTTGATATGCCCGCTATCGAAGTCATGTGGGGTACTTCATCACCAGGAAGGGTTGGGGCGCCCACTAGACGTCACCGTGCACCGAGCTGGGGGTAGCGTGTCGCGCATTACTGTCGTCTTGGACACTCAATGTTGCAGCATTGCGCCTACGGTGTGTCGTTCGGCGTCCTCGTCATGTCGCCTCAGAGGAAGACTAGGAGGTGCCGTGCAGAGCTCGCGTGCTGGACGCTCAGTGCGCCTGGGACAAGTGCAGTGGTGGGAGCTGGAGCACGGAGCCATGAATTTGTCCTGCTACCACAGCTTTATAAATGCTGCGGACATTCGTTTCCGGAGCGCGGATGCTCCCGTGGCTGCGCAGCGCTCCCGCTCGGGTCCCAAACATGTATATATCGAGCGCGCACACAGAGCTACGTAGGGCGGTTTTTGTCCGCTATCTCCGTAGCCTGTGTAAGGTCTTCCTTTTGCGTTGCCTCGCTCCTCTGCTCACTCTTCTTCACCTCACCAATCCGCTTCGAGACTACCAGACAGGCAGATGCGGGTTGACGGTCAATGCACCTGCTTTGGACGAGCAGCCAGGCGTAGAAGCCTGAGGACCTCGGGCTTCTGCGCCTGCTTCCTTGAACCGCGGCCCCTTTCCCCAGCACGACTACTACTCTATCAGGAGTAATGGATCGCGCTGAGCCACAGACTGATACCCATTTACATATTGTCTGGCTATGGGGTCAATGTGCAATTGACTGAGTATATCTCCGTGCAGGTGACATCAATACCGCGACGTTGAATTTCGGCAACTACACTGTTCAAGACCAAGCGTACCGTGGGTCTCCTATATCGCCCCCACCCAGCACGTTTTGACGCGTTCACAGTGCTTGTGAAGGACATCTCAACATTCTCAATCAACATCCAAGCCGAGGGCTTCGAGGGCCTGATCGGGCTCGGGCCCAACACAGGCTCCGTCATCCGGGACAAGATGGACGACCCCAAGGGCGACAGCGTGCTCGCACGCATCTTCCAGCAAAACACGACCTCATCCAACTACATGTCGATTCTGCTCAACCGCGAGGGCGACCCGAACAGCGCCGCGTCGGGGCACATGACCATCTCGGAGGTCGTGCCCGGCTACGAGGCGATCACGGAAATGCCGAAGCTGTCCGTCATGAAGGACCACAAGCTGACGGACCTCGACCAGCACTGGCAGACGTACACGGACGTCGACGGGCTGATTGGCCCTGACGGGAACCCGATCGCCTACGACTCCATCGTGCCCTCTGCGCCTGACGGCCAGCTCGTCGTCGTGTTTGACTCGGGTTTCACGCTCCCGCAGGTGCCCCGCAAAGTCTCGGACGCGATCTATGGTCGTGTCCAGGGCGCGGAGTGGAATACCCAGTACGAGGCGTGGACGATCCCGTGCACGCAGATGCTGAACATTAGCTTCAAGTTTGGCGGACAGACGTATCCGATACACCCATTGGATGTGTCGAGCAGTGACTTCAATCTCGTCAATTCCAACGGCGACACTGTGTGCTTGGGTACTGTGAGTCATAGAAACCGTGTGTATTCGTGCGAGCATACGCTGAATGCCGCGTAGTTCCAACCAATCAGTACATCCGCGTTCAGTCTGCTTGGAGAATACGACGTGATTCTCGGCATGGCGTTCAGTAAGTTGTCCCGTCATGATCATCCATCTGTTCGAACTGACTCGACTGTCGCTCCCTAGTGCGCAGCGTCTATGCTCTCTTTGACTACGGCAACTTCGTAGAGGACACGAGCCAAGATCTCGGTGACCCTTTCATCCAGCTCCTCTCCACCACGAACGCGACCGCCGCGCGCGAAGCCTTCGTACAGGTTCGTCTCGGCGGCGTCGACACGACCGGCGACGCATCGCAGGCGCTCCTCCCCGCCTCGCAAGAACAGCAGTCGCCCGAGTCCGAGGAAGAAAAGAAACAAGAGTGAGCATCCCCTCCGCCTTGTCACCGCTCTCCGACTGACGCACGCGGCCAGATACGAAGAGAAGGTCCTGAGCCGCTGGCCCGAGATCTTCGTGGGCTGCCTCGCGTTCGTGCTGATCGTGGTAGGCATCATTGTCTGGCGCTGCTGCATTGTGCGCCGCCGCAAGAACGGCGCCGCGCAGAAGGGCCTGCTGCCGACGAACAACAAGGGCGCGCCGTCCTCGTACAGTCAGCTCGCGGGCGCGTCGACGGCGACGCTCGTGGGCATGCAGAACATGGAGGGCAAGCACGTGTAGGATGCCGGAGTGGACCCAAGCTGAGGAGCAATTGCGGACAGTTGAGATTTGATGTTTGTGTTAGTACGCGTTTCCACCGCGTTGCCGTGGTTGGATTTGAATCAATTTGTCGAGCTGCTTTCGTTGCTTCACTCATGGCCGGCCTGTGAGAGTGGTCGTTGTTCTTCTGTCGCTCTTGCCCTTACGCATGCATATGCTCGAACATCTGTAAGTTATCTTGTGACGCAGAATATACAGTGGCCCGTATTCACGTGGATGCGGGCGCGCTTGAGCGCTTGTGGGCGTACGTAGTGTCGGTGGCTAGCAATCGACTGTTCCTCCTCCTCGCCGTCCTCCTGCTCGCTGCTCAACGTTCAACTCGCGTGTAGCGCGGACCTCGTTGCGCGCATGTGCACCCAAGATGCCTGCTAGCAACCCACAGTCGCCCCTCGAATATGTGTCCATACCACCATGTGCGACGCGTCTCCGGGACACTTCCTCCTCATCGTCCTCCGCACCCGCGTCCTCGCGCCCGACGCCCAAACTGACGACCACCGCGCTCCCGCGACCCTCCCAGGCCCAAGCACCCACCATGCTCTCCTCGCCGACCTCCACTACCTCCTCGCAGGGCCCGCTCTCCCCCTCCAAGCTCGCATACAACTCCATCCCCTCGCTCCTCCTCTCGTCGACGCTCCCGATTCCCCAGAACGCGCCGGAGCCGCGTAGGGGAGGCGCGAAGCTGCTGTCTGCGCGCGACCCGCTGAGCATCCCGATCACGACGGTGAACTTCCGGCGGTTCGTCGCGAAGGTCGGCCCGGTGTTCTGGCTGCAGGACCGCGTAGAGGAGGTTGTTATGTGGAGGAAGGGGAATAGATATACGGCGGTGTGGATGGGGGTGTATGCGTTCCTGTGTACGTCCGCCGAACGTCGTCTCCGGAATCGCGCTGACTTGGGTATAGGCTACTTTCCGAGGCTTGTGCTCCTCCTCCCGCACGTCATTGTGCTGAGCATCCTACTTGCTACGCACCCCTCCCTCCGCTCAAATGACAACTCAGAAGCTGAGACGAAGCCGGCGCCGACAACCCCACCCGCACAAGTGGGCGAGGGCAGCGTAGACTACCTTGCGAATGTCCAGGCTATCCAGAATCTCATGGGTGTCTTGTGAGTAGCGATACGTGTTTGGTCCGTATGGTACTTGACCGGACCCCCAGCTCAGACTTCTACGACGCCGTCCTTCCCGTCGTCCCGCATCTCACACACGCTTCACCCTACACCCCCGTCATTCTCACCCTCATACTAGTGTCGCTGCTCGCAATCCTGCCTCTTCTCCTGCTTCTCCCTCCCCGTCCAACCTTCCTCTTCCTAGGGCTCTTCCCCCTCTTGTGTACACATCCCTTCACCCTGCACACCATTCCCAACATTCTATCCGGCGCGCAACCTATTTTCAACGCCGTGCGCACACGGCTCGCCCGCCTCATAGACGATGACCGGCTGGAGGACCAGCACTGGCGCGCGACATTGCGCGATGTAGAGCTTTTCGAGAACGAGCGGTGGGCGGCGCCGACGGGGCGCGCCGGCAGCGTGATGTCGCGGTCTGTGAGCGACGTCGGGGAGGATGCGGTGAAGGCGGGCCTGACCTCCGACGCAGGCTGGGCCAAGACGAACTTGAAGCCTGGCGAAAGGAAGGCGTGGACGAGGGGCAGGGATGGCTGGAGCGGCGTGGGCGAAGATGGGAGTGCAGACGTTAGGTCAGGTTTTCTAACGATATTTCAGTTAGATGGCATGAATCTGACTGGTCGTGCGGTGTAGCAGCAACCTTACATTTGCCCTCGAGCCAGGCTGGGTGTTTGTCGAGACGGAGGACTGGAGGCCGGATTTGGAGGGCAGCTGGGTCACGCCTGGGGTAGCAGACAAGAGTGAGTCCCCGTCTTACACAGATCTATGGCATCGTAGTAATGACTCCGCCTTGCAGATGGGTGGGTGTATACGAACGACGCGTGGTTGGACGCGCATTCGATGCCGTTGGAGGAGTGGCGGACGACGGGCATGACGAGACGGCGGAGGTGGACGAGGAGGATATACTACGACCAGAACACTGATGCCGAGAAGAGCGTTTGACGTCTCTGTGTGTATGTTGTATGCGTGATTGTATGGATTGCCTTGTCTTTCTTCCGAAGACATACCGGTCTGGCCTCAAGTACTTGATAAATGGCTGGTGTATCCGGCAAAACCACTTAGACACTGGTTCTTGTTCCGCCACGACTGAACAATTCACATACCGTTGACGGTCGAGCGCTGCTCTGGGATCCGTCACACTCGAAACTCATTATCTGACTCAAAAGCGGTTCGAATCGACACAACGACGAACGATGGACTATACAATACTACATGACCAGACAAATACACAGAGACATCGCGAACACGACTACGAGCGACCATGTCCTACTGTGCGCCACCGCACTGCTTCCTACTGCTTCGAACAGACCCTCCTTCGCAAGCCGTCAACGCTAGACATGCTCGGATATCGAATTCAGCTGAGACCCAGACGTGCCTGACGTGATGGCCGCGTTGGTACTGTTTCTGACGCGTTTATGCGGCTTCTCTTCCGCGAGCGACTCCATCTCAGAAGACCGCCGAGAGGCTTCCCTCGACTGCCTCTGCTGTTGCTCGAGGAAGTTGTTGTCGCAGGCGAACTGGTCGGCGACCTTTGCGTCGTCGACCCACATTGCTCGTGTTTCCAGCATTTCGTCGAAAAGCTCCATGATTGCTGTGTGCGTGCTGAGGGCGGGTTCAGGAGGCTTATCTTCTGCCGTGGGCTTCTTCAAGTTCGACCGTGCGCGCGTTCGCGACTTTCGAGGCGCAGAGGACATATGCCACTCTTGTCCTCCGGGCGGCACAACTTTCTGCGACTCACGTTTCTGCCGATCGGCCTGTGCCGACTCGGGTAGTTGCGGGTCCAACCACTTGTAGTGCTGCTTGTATAAGTCCGCAAGCTCCCTTAGGAGGCTATGGAGGCCAGGGGAAAGTTGCGCGTCGGTAGCGGCAGAACCTCCGATCAGATGAAAGGGCACTGTGCCATCCTGCAAGTGTTGAAGTTTTGTGTGGCCACCAATGGAATCCCCTGCCTCGTCTTTGGTGGAACGATCGTAGAGTCCTTCGACATAGGCAATAAGATCGTTGCGGTCCAGTGATTTGTTCGTGATTTGAAACCGCAGGCACATCCAGTGCAGGACGTGAATGAACGACTCTAGATCGTTCCAGATGTGGTGTACGAATTTCCCCGGCCATCTCAGCAATATGGCAGAGATGAACTGCCAGGTACCCTAGTCAAAGTTCAGATCATCGCCAGGAGACCGTCAATTGTGACACGTACTGAACGGGTCCTTTTGACGCTTGGCTGATCCATCTCGTCTGCATACTTGCAGAGGCCCCAATCGACCAGTATTGCTTTACAGACGAGTTGCCCGTTCTCGTCGAAGTACCAGTACAACAGAAGATTGTCTGCGCTGATGTCTCGATGAATAACTTTGCCCTCTGACCATGCTTCTTCGTGTGCTAACAAGGTTGGGTCAACGGCATTGCAGATAGAGCCAATACCAACGGAACACTCACCCTGCAGACATTGATACAGACCCATCACAAGTTGATACGACGTCCGGTACTCTTTCAGAGGTTGCGCGATTTCCTCCAATATCAGGCGATAGTGAACAAGCATCGGATCCGACCCCTTGGTGAACTCCTGGGTGCGTGTGCGATGCGCACCATTCTTGCCGCGCACATCGCCGGCTGCGACAGGCGTTGCAATGTAGCTGACGTTCTTGCTATGTAGGCGCAGATACACTTCCCCTTCCGGGTGCGACGTCGGCGCATCCGTGCGCCAGCATTCCTTGCAGAACACTAGCCGGTCTTCAGCTACGTCGTACGCGATGTGGCATCTTGTCGCCCGTCCGTACACGGATGTGTTCATGAACGTAGGTTTCCCGACGAGGAACTCGCGCATCCGTCTGCCCGACGCTTCCGATGCGCCCCGCTCCTCCTTCGTGCCGCTCCTGAGCTCGGCCTTCGAAATCATGTCGTCTTCCGGTACAAGAATCTTCGAGATCGGCCAGCCATCAACCAAAGTTCCGGCAAATGTTTCCCTGCACCAGGTTTCCGGCGGCGGGAACTTGTTGAAGCTGCGCAGGAGCTGAGCCTCTGCCTCGGTTGCCGGTACCACAGAGGGATCATGGCCACGGTCCGTGTCGCTCATGCGAGCGAAACGATACAGGAAGGTGTGCAAGGGCCGCGGGTTGTTCACGAGGTTGAACGGCTCGGAGACGACGAGGCCGGCGCGATCCCAACGAAGCAGCCACGCGACGTCGCGGCAGGTGAAGATTGTGAAGAAATGGAGCAGAAATTGTCGTTGCATGACCTTCGAGACGTAATGGCTCATCTGCTCCATGGTCTCCAAGCGATCTGAGCTCTGCTGAAGCAGGAACGGTGGCACCTCATCGCGGCTGCCAGGAGTATCGGCCGTGGGGACATGCGTGATTGAAGGAACCGAGGGAGTAGCTGCGGTAGAAGGCCCCGCAGAAACCGGGGCCGACAATGAGGGGGCGGCAAAGCTCTCCTGGCTCCTGGTCGCCGACACCTGCATATTGCATATCAGTGAGTCGGTGGTCAATGAAAGCGCGCCCGCACTGCCAGTAGACTTCTGCTTTTGCGTCTTCTGCGCCGCCTCCTGCGTTGACGTCTGTGGTGCCACCATCTGTGTCTCTTCTTCCTTCTGCGCTTCCAGCTCCCGCATCGAGTCCGGGATGCTGAACGGTGTATATTTTTCATCAGCCTTCGCCTCGATGTACAGTGTCGCCCATAGCCAAGAAGTCCTCGCTTTGTTCTCGTGTCGTTTCCTCTCCTCATCGGAAAAGGAAGACATGTCCTCGAGAGTATATGCCCGGCGAGCATCAGCGTGCGAGGGGTAGATGATCACGTCCGGGCTCAACTTATCCTCGAAGTCGTACTTGTCTAGAGGGTCGCACCAACGATGCGTGTCCTTGGCCACGAGCATCTGGTCGGCGGGACCTTGACTGAGCACAGAGTTCGCCACCTTGCACTGTAAACAACGTTCGGTCAATGGATCACATATTGGACGACATAACCCACTGAACACCACTCACCAGTTCACCGTACATAGCGGCCTCCTGACGCCGGAAATTGGCAGGTAGAAACGGCTCAGCAACGAAGCCGTCGGGAAGGTCTGGGCCTGGAACGAACTCCCGCATAAAGTCGGCGACGCTGACCTGGGCCACTTTGTTGTCCTTCATATCGTCGGACGTACGGAGTGAGTCGGGGCAGAAGGGAGCAGACTTGTACGTGTGCCAGTGATGAGGCGGTGGCCATGCCGAGTTCTAAAGGTGGACTGTCCTTCCTTCTATGGACGCCCGTTTGTTCTCTTTTCGATCGGACAATGCAACACGAGTCAGAACAATGTTGTGCGTCCACGCGAGGCTGCCACTGGCAGCGGTAGCCACACTGGTCCCCTGGACGCGGAGCCACAACGAACCACTGTCACTCCGTCACGTGAATGATGGGAGTCAAACGTCCATGTCCGGTTTGGGTGACTCGCGGTTGGTCTCACTCCGCCACACGGATTCCTGTCAAGCGTCCTCGAAATGGAGCTGATATTGTGCACTCGTGAGCATGCAGAACATCGAGTACGTGTAGGATGCCTGAGCTTGTCGCGTCATGATCATCCATCTGTTCGAACTGACTCGACTGTCGCTCCCAGTGCGCAGCGTCTATGCTCTCTTTGACTACGGCAACTTCGTAGAGGACACGAGCCAAGATCTCGGCGACCCTTTCATCCAGCTCCTCTCCACCACGAACGCGACCGCCGCGCGCGAAGCCTTCGTACAGGTTCGTCTCGGCGGCGTCGACACGACCGGCGACGCATCGCAGGCGCTCCTCCCCGCCTCGCAAGAACAGCAGTCGCCCGAGTCCGAGGAAGAAAAGAAACAAGAGTGAGCATCCCCTCCGCCTTGTCACCGCCTCCCGGCTGACGCACGCGGCCAGATACGAAGAGAAGGTCCTGAGCCGCTGGCCCGAGATCTTCGTGGGCTGCCTCGCGTTCGTGCTGATCGTGGTAGGCATCATTGTCTGGCGCTGCTGCATTGTGCGCCGCCGCAAGAACGGCGCCGCGCAGAAGGGCCTGCTGCCGACGAACAACAAGGGCGCGCCGTCCTCGTACAGTCAGCTCGCGGGCGCGTCGACGGCGACGCTCGTGGGCATGCAGAACATGGAGGGCAAGCACGTGTAGGATGCCGGAGTGGACCCAAGCTGAGGAGCAATTGCGGACAGTTGAGATTTGATGTTTGTGTTAGTACGCGTTTCCACCGCGTTGCCGTGGTTGGATTTGAATCAATTTGTCGAGCTGCTTTCGTTGCTTCACTCATGGCCGGCCTGTGAGAGTGGTCGTTGTTCTCCTGTCGCTCTTGCCCTTACGCATGCATATGCTCGAACATCTGCAAGTTATCTTGTAACGCAGAATATACAGTGGCCCGTGTTCACGTGGATGCGGGCGCGCTTGAGCGCTTGTGGGCGTACGTAGTGTCGGTGGCTAGCAATCGACTGTTCCTCCTCCTCGCCGTCCTCCTGCTCGCTGCTCAACGTTCAACTCGCGTGTAGCGCGGACCTCGTTGCGCGCATGTGCACCCAAGATGCCTGCTAGCAACCCACAGTCGCCCCTCGAATATGTGTCCATACCACCATGTGCGACGCGTCTCCGGGACACTTCCTCCTCATCGTCCTCCGCACCCGCGTCCTCGCGCCCGACGCCCAAACTGACGACCACCGCGCTCCCGCGACCCTCCCAGGCCCAAGCACCCACCATGCTCTCCTCGCCGACCTCCGCCACCTCCTCGCAGGGCCCGCTCTCCCCCTCCAAGCTCGCGTACAACTCCATCCCCTCGCTCCTCCTCTCGTCGACGCTCCAGATTCCCCAGAACGCGCCAGAGCCGCGCAGGGGCGGCGCGAAGCTGCTGTCTGCGCGCGACCCGCTGAGCATCCCGATCACGACGGTGAACTTCCGGCGGTTCGTCGCGAAGGTCGGCCCGGTGTTCTGGCTGCAGGACCGCGTAGAGGAGGTTGTTATGTGGAGGAAGGGGAATAGATATACGGCGGTGTGGATGGGGGTGTATGCGTTCCTGTGTACGTCCGCCGAACGTCGTCTCCGGAATCGCGCTGACTTGGGTATAGGCTACTTTCCGAGGCTTGTGCTCCTCCTCCCGCACGTCATTGTGCTGAGCATCCTACTTGCTACGCACCCCTCCCTCCGCTCAAATGACAACTCAGAAGCTGAGACGAAACCGGCGCCGACCACCCCACCCGCACAAGTGGGCGAGGGCAGCGTAGACTACCTTGCGAATGTCCAGGCTATCCAGAATCTCATGGGTGTCTTGTGAGTAGCGATACGTGTTTGGTCCGTATGGTACTTGACCGGACCCCCAGCTCAGACTTCTACGACGCCGTCCTTCCCGTCGTCCCGCATCTCACACACGCTTCACCCTACACCCCCATCATCCTCACCCTCGTACTAGTGTCGCTGCTCGCAATCCTGCCTCTTCTCCTGCTTCTCCCTCCCCGTCCAACCTTCCTCTTCCTAGGGCTCTTCCCCCTCTTGTGTACACATCCCTTCACCCTGCACACCATTCCCAACATTCTATCCGGCGCGCAGCCTACTTTCAACGCCTTGCGCACACGGCTCGCCCGCCTCATAGACGATGACCGGCTGGAGGACCGGCACTGGCGCGCGACATTGCGCGATGTAGAGCTTTTCGAGAACGAGCGGTGGGCGGCGCCGACGGGGCGCGCCGGCAGCGTGATGTCGCGGTCTGTGAGCGACGTCGGGGAGGATGCGGTGAAGGCGGGCCTGACCTCCGACGCAGGCTGGGCCAAGACGAACTTGAAGCCTGGCGAGAGGAAGGCGTGGACGAGGGGCAGGGATGGCTGGAGTGGCGTGGGCGAAGATGGGAGTGCAGACGTTAGGTCAGGTTTTCTAACGATATTTCAGTTAGATGGCATGAATCTGACTGGTCGTGTGGTGTAGCAGCAACCTTACATTTGCCCTCGAGCCAGGCTGGGTGTTTGTCGAGACGGAGGACTGGAGGCCGGATTTACAGGGCAGCTGGGTCACGCCTGGGGTAGCAGACAAGAGTGAGTCCCTGCCTTACATGGATCTATGACATCGTAGTGATGACTCCGCCTTGCAGATGGGTGGGTGTATACGAACGACGCGTGGTTGGACCCGCATTCGATACCGTTGGAGGAGTGGCGGACGACGGGCATGACGAGACGGCGGAGGTGGACGAGGAGGATATACTACGACCAGAACACTGATGCCGAGAAGAGCGTTTGACGTCTCTGTGTGTATGTTGTGTACGTGATTGTATGGATTGCCTTTTGTCTTTCTTCCGAACACAAACCGGTCTGGCCTCAAGTACTTGATAAATGGCTGGTGTATCCGGCAAGACCGCTTAGACACTGGTTCTTGTTCCGCCACGACTGAACAATTCACATACCGTTGACGGTCGAGCGCTGCTCTGGGATCCGTCACACTCGGACCTCACAACCTGACTCAAAAGCGGTTCAGGTCGACACAGCGATGAACGATGGATTATACAAGACTACATGACCAGACAAATACAGAACGAGACATCGTGAACACGACTACGACCATGTCCTACTGTGCGCCACCGCACTGCTTCCTACTCCTTCGAACAGACCCTCCTTCGCGAGCCGTCAACGCTAGACATGCTCGGATATCGAATTCAGCTGAGACCCGGACGTGCCTGACGTGATGGCCGCGTTGGTACTGGTTCTGACGCGTTTATGCGGCTTCTCTTCCGCGAGCGACTCCATCTCAGAAGACCGCCGAGAGGCTTCCCTCGACTGCCTCTGCTGTTGCTCGAGGAAGTTGTTGTCGCAGGCGAACTGGTCGGCGACCTTTGCGTCGTCGACCCACATTGCTCGTGTTTCCAGCATTTCGTCGAAAAGCTCCATGATTGCTGTGTGCGTGCTGAGGGCGGGTTCAGGAGGCTTATCTTCTGCCGTGGGCTTCTTCAAGTTCGACCGTGCGCGCGTTCGCGACTTTCGAGGCGCGGAGGACATATGCCACTCTTGTCCTCCGGGCGGCACAACTTTCTGCGACTCACGTTTCTGCCGATCGGCCTGTGCCGACTCGGGTAGTTGCGGGTCCAACCACTTGTAGTGCTGCTTGTATAAGTCCGCAAGCTCCCTTAGGAGGCTATGGAGGCCAGGGGAAAGTTGCGCGTCGGTAGCGGCAGAACCTCCGATCAGATGAAAGGGCACTGTGCCATCCTGCAAGTGTTGAAGTTTTGTGTGGCCACCAATGGAATCCCCTGCCTCGTCTTTGGTGGAACGATCGTAGAGTCCTTCGACATAGGCAATAAGATCGTTGCGGTCCAGTGATTTGTTCGTGATTTGAAACCGCAGGCACATCCAGTGCAGGACGTGAATGAACGACTCTAGATCGTTCCAGATGTGGTGTACGAATTTCCCCGGCCATCTCAGCAATATGGCAGAGATGAACTGCCAGGTACCCTAGTCAAAGTTCAGATCATCGCCAGGAGACCGTCAATTGTGACACGTACTGAACGGGTCCTTTTGACGCTTGGCTGATCCATCTCGTCTGCATACTTGCAGAGGCCCCAATCGACCAGTATTGCTTTACAGACGAGTTGCCCGTTCTCGTCGAAGTACCAGTACAACAGAAGATTGTCTGCGCTGATGTCTCGATGAATAACTTTGCCCTCTGACCATGCTTCTTCGTGTGCTAACAAGGTTGGGTCAACGGCATTGCAGATAGAGCCAATACCAACGGAACACTCACCCTGCAGACATTGATACAGACCCATCACAAGTTGATACGACGTCCGGTACTCTTTCAGAGGTTGCGCGATTTCCTCCAATATCAGGCGATAGTGAACAAGCATCGGATCCGACCCCTTGGTGAACTCCTGGGTGCGTGTGCGATGCGCACCATTCTTGCCGCGCACATCGCCGGCTGCGACAGGCGTTGCAATGTAGCTGACGTTCTTGCTATGTAGGCGCAGATACACTTCCCCTTCCGGGTGCGACGTCGGCGCATCCGTGCGCCAGCATTCCTTGCAGAACACTAGCCGGTCTTCAGCTACGTCGTACGCGATGTGGCACCTTGTCGCCCGTCCGTACAAGGATGTGTTCATGAACGTAGGTTTCCCGACGAGGAACTCGCGCATCCGTCTGCCCGACGCTTCCGATGCGCCCCGCTCCTCCTTCTTGCCGCTCCTGAGCTCGGCCTCCGAAATCATGTCGTCTTCCGGTACGAGGATCTTCGAGATCGGCCAGCCATCAACCAAAGTTCCGGCAAATGTTTCCCTGCACCAGGTTTCCGGCGGCGGGAACTTGTTGAAGCTGCGCAGGAGCTGAGCCTCTGCCTCGGTTGCCGGTACCACGGAGGGATCATGGCCACGGTCCGTGTCGCTCATGCGAGCGAAACGATACAGGAAGGTGTGCAAGGGGCGCGGGTTGTTCACGAGGTTGAACGGCTCGGAGACGACGAGGCCGGCGCGATCCCAACGAAGCAGCCATGCAACGTCGCGGCAGGTGAAGATCGTGAAGAAGTGGAGCAGGAATTGTCGTCGCATGATCTTCGAGACGTAGTGGCTCATCTGCCCCATGGTCTTCGAACGTTCCTTGCTCTGCAGAAGCAGGAATGGTGGCAGCTCGTCGCGGCTGGGAGTACTAGTATCGGCCGCGGGGACATGCGCGATTGGAGGCACCAAGGGAGTAGCTGCGGTAGAAGGCCCCGCAGCCATCGAGGCCGACAGTGAGGGGGCCGCAAAGCTCGCCTGGCTCGTGGCCGCCGACGCCTGCGTGTCGCGTATCAGTGAATCGGTGGTCGATGAAAGCGCGCCTGCACTGTCAGTGGACTTCTGCTTTTGCGCCCGCTTCTGCGCCGCCTTCCTCGTCTTCTGCGATGGCTTCTTCTTCTTCTGCGGCGTCGCCTTCGTGGACGTTTGTGTTGCCGCCGCCTGCATCTCCTCTTCCTTCTGTGCTTCCGCCTCCCGCATCGAGTCCGGGATGACAAACGGCGAATATTCGGCATCAGCCTTCGCCTCGATGTATAGCGTCGCCCATAGCCATGAGGTCCTAGCTTTGTTCTCGTGTCGCTTCCTCTCCTCCTCGGATAGCGATGTCAGGTCTTTGAGAGTATACGCTCGGCGAGCGTCGGCGTGCGAGGGGTAGATGATCACGTCGGGGCTCAGTTTATCCTCGAAATCATACTTGTCCAAAGGGTCGGACCAGCTGTGCGTGTCCTTGGCCACGAAGCTCAGGTCGGTGGGACCTTGACTGAGCACAGAGTTTGTCACCTTGCACTGCAGACGACGTTCGGTCAAGGGATCACATATTGAATGACACTGAGAACCACTCACCAGTTCTTCGTACATAGGAACCTCCTGACGCCGGAGATTGGCAGGTTCAAACGGCTCCGCGACGAAGTCATCGGGGAGGTCTGGGCCGGGAACGAACTCCCGCATAAAGTCGGCGACAGTGATCTGGGCCACTTTGTTGTCCTTCATGTCGTCGGCGTATGCTGCACGCAACTCCGTTAAATGTGCTTGGCCGTGGGTAGGTTGGACGGAATGCCGTTGGGTGTTCGATGGACGCTTGGCCACGGGCGTAGACTTGGGTACAGGTTTCGACGACTTCGATTGGTTTTCTGGGGTCACCGACCTAGTAGCCTCTGGCGCTGGTTGAGGTTCGACTTGAGGCTGGGTGATGGCCGACGGTGCACTGTTGGACGGCTCTGGGGTAGAGACCGCGGGGACGAAGGTCGCAACCGCGTTGTAGTCAGAGTCGTGAGGTAGGTTGGGTTGCTCCCAAGCGGCAGGCGCAGAGTCAGAACTGGCCTCGTCGACCTCGTATGGCGGAAGGCCGTCAGGCTCGCTGCCGGTGTACTCGCTGTCTTGGGGAAGTTGGACAGGAGAATCCGGGTAGTAGTCAACGCCGTCTGAGAAATCACTCAGAGCGAGAGGAAGAGCGGTGTCAAGTGTCGGGGGAGGCGACGGGGAGTCGGACCACCTGTAAACTGAATCAATAGGAATGCCAGACATGGCGTTCACAGCGATAGGACGTACCGAGTTCGGGGCAGGAAGAGCAGACTTATATGTGTGATGAGGCGGCGGCCACGCTGGGTTCTAAATGTGGACTGTCCTTCCTTCTATGGACGCCCGTTTGTTCTCTTTTCGGTCGGACAATGCGACACGAGTCAGAACAATGTTGTGCGCCCACGCGAGTTGGTAGCCACACTGCAGTCTGCAGCCACAACGAACCACGGTCTCAGAGCCACACGCCCATCACGTGAATGATGGGAATCAGACGCCCATGGCCGCTTTGTCTCACTCCGCCACACGGATTCAGGCCTCCTTGAAGTTGAATTGGTGTTGTTATTACATATGAAGTATGCAGAGAATCAATATAACCTGAGTATGAGTTCCCAAGAATGGTTGCTGACGGCGGTAGGTTCCGAATTAAGCTGCAAGCTTACGGACGTGCATGATTGCGTTGTATCTGGCTAAGCTGCTCTGGAGGGCTCTTCGAGCGAGAAGCATTGAACAGTATCGCTCCAGTGCTTCAGTCACTTGGCCACTAGTCCTCCAAATATTCGACTGTATTCCAGCCATAGAGTCGTCGCCTCGCAGCGGGCCGATGGCTGCCGATGGGTGAGTGGAGTTGTCTCCGAGAAGCGATACAGTACCCGATCGATCGTCGATCAACTGTAAGTGCGGAAGCGGTCGGTCCGGAGTCCTTCTGCGACCTCTCTAGTCCCTTCACACTGTGTCTTTGCTGTTCGCTCTGAGCCTCTGTCATTACTACGAATGTCTGTATCAACATTGACGCGCTCGACCAACCTCACGCCCGAGACGGTCCCTCTGCGCAGTGGACCTCCTACACGCGAGGAATTGCTCGTGTACTATCCTCCGAAGTTCACATTCCACCAGCTCAAGACGTTCATCAATTCCGGGTCAGTTCGTCCGAGGACACATCGATTCGCTCAGGCTCTCATTCCCAGGACTCCGTCGCAGGGACCTTGGATTGCTGAAGCGCGACAAGACGCTGCAGAAGCGGTACGAGATATGGAGTGCGGGGATCAGGAAGGAGTATGGGTCCATGGGTGAGCATAATGCTTTGGCTATCCTCGTGATCCCGCTGAACAACATGTTGAGTGAACTACCTACTCTCGTACCGGCTCCAATGGGGCAAACACGATGCACGCTCCCTGCTCAGGTCCACCCTCGAGATCCCCGACTCCCTCGTGTCCAAGAGCGAGGTCCCCAGCGCCGCGCGAGGCGAGCTACCTCCCCTTCCGTCGGACGCACCACCGTACTTCAAAGCAGACACGCCGGCTGAGCTGATCAGCATCATCATGAACGACTGGCCCTACTCAGGTGCACCTCTCCCCTCCCCGCTCTCACGCCGCATCCCACTTACACCCATACAGTGCCCAACGAAGTCGAGCACAGCCTCGTCTGGACCCGCATCCCCATCCTCCCGCCAGAACTTCCCCCCGCCATTGCACCCCGACTCCTGCAGGACGGACTCTGGGGCTTCACCGGCTCGCTCACGCCCCCACCCTCGCCGGACACGCTGCCCGAGTGTCTGGGCGCCCTCGCGGAGTGGGACGTCACGATGGACAAACTTGTAAGAAGCCCGGATCCCAGTCTGGAAGAGAGGGTGCTGCTGGAGGCGGCGGCGAGTGATGTGGACACTTTTGTGAGGAGGCTTTGGAGGGAGGACGAGTGGGAGACTGCGTGGTTTGTGAACCCTCCTGTGAGTAGTGATCAAGGCTGGCATTGGCACCCTATGCTTATGGCCTCCTGGATGCTAGCGATTGCAAAGCGTACCGGGACTGGCTCACATCCACGTCTTCGCCAGACGAAAGACTCCGGATGAGATCGCTGAATGGAAGGCCGCGAAGGGCAACTAAGGGGGTCACCTGTGTGGACATGTGGATGCGGACGGACATCTTACTTGGATCATAGATCGATGGACAGCGAACGGTCGTTAGACGTAAGCACGTATAGATTGACATTGGTATTCTACGGTCACGGACTGCGATGAGTATGGTATACAACTTGGGTGAGACAACCGCCAGATACTCGAAACAATGCACCTCTGAAGACCCGAAACAAAATGTTCCTCCAAGATTCTCGTTGGCGTTCATGACTTGATCTCGACCTTGCTAAGCAGGTCCGCGAGCTCGTCTGCCTCGTCCTTCTTGCCAGGCTCTATTGCCTTGGCCGGCTCGGCCTCCTTGACTTCCTCCTTCTCCTCCTCCTCCTCTTCCTCTTCCTCCTCATCATCCAGCACCAGCTTCCCTCCGCGCTTCTTCATCAACCCCTGCAACGCCTCCACGCCCTCATCGTCCTCCTCCACCTCGTTCCACTGCATCTCCATCTGCTTGAGCACCGGCAGGTGGACCTCCAGCGCCTCCGCGAGCAGCACGAAGCTCTGCGTGTCGAGGTTGTTGTTCTGCAGCTGCAGCAGCTCGAGCTTCGGGTTGCTCCCCTGCGCGATTGCCTCCAGAACGGGCGACACCGCGCCCTCTTCTGCGAGCACGCAATCGCTCAGGTTCAGCGTGCGCAGGGCGGGCCACGCGCGCAGCGCCGCCGCCATCGCGGCCGAGCCCGACTCCCCAAACGTGTTGTCCTGCAGGTCCAGGTGCACGAGCCCCACGCACCCTGCGAGCCCGTGCGCGAGCGACGCCGCGCCCGCCATGCGAATACCGTTCTGGGGCATGCGCACCTCGGTGAGCCCGCCGTGCGCGGCGAGGGCCTTCGCCCACGCGGGCGCCGCGCCGTCCTCGAGGCGGTTCCTGCCGCAGATGACGACGCGGAGGTTCGACGGCTCGCCCTTCTCGGCGGAGAGCTCAGCGGAGCGGAGGAGCGCCTGCGCGACGGTCGCGCCGCCCGCGGGGCCGAGCCCGTTGTTGTTGAGCTTGAGGACCTGGAAGGCGCGGTTCTGCGAGAGGAAGGGCACCATGGGCTCGACGGACCGCCCGCCGAAGGCGTTGTCCGACAGGTCGATCTCGACGAGCGTCGTCTTTGGGATGAGCGCGTCGCAGAGGGCGGAGAGGGCCTGCGGGATCTCGCTGATCAGGCGACCGGTGAAGATGTCTGCGAAGTCGGCTATCTGGAGGCGCAGGGGTGTTCTAGGTTAGCTGATGGTCCTGACATGTGGAATAACGCGTGGGCGCACCCTCAGATGTGTCGTCTTCGCGAGGAACTCTGCGAGGGTCTCTGCGGCCTCTACACCGATCGTGTTCCCGCCCAAATGGATCTCCTCGATCGTGGTGGGGACATCCTTCAGGTGCGGCTCGATGTCCGCGCGCGTGTTGAGCTTCAGGCCGCGCCCGTGCAGGGAGAATATCTTAGACATAGCGATGAATGAGGAGGAATAGACGTGAAGTCCGCGAATAAGATGTGGCGCGTCGCTTCGCCACAGGTCCAACAAAATTCCAGGATAGGCAAAGACGCGAGCACGTGGCTTGCTATCCTGAACAGGGAACTCGGTTCGTCGCGTCGTTTCGCGTACATGTTCGTCACTGACTGAGTGGACTCCCAGCTGGGGAGTGGCTCATAGGCGTACTGAGGTATGTCATGGCAGAAATACTTTCATATTTCGTGCTGAACTGCAATATCATAGACGCCACTGGCATGTTCCTCGGGGAATGGCACTGGCACAGAACGCAAGCTCCGAGTCACATCGCAAGAACCACAGAAGTCGTTGCTGCAACTCATCTCCTGGAAGGTCGATCTTCGTCGGCAGTACGAAGTGACCGCACTCATATCACTTTATTCCAGGTAGAATCGCAATGCCGAAAGGACGCGTACGATGAGTCTTCAGCACCGCCCCTTCACATCGATCCTAGTACAGGCAAGCGCTGACCAGTCGTACATACACGCCGATATCGGAGCTGTGCAGGGCTTCTGATGTGACACTAGGAGCATCCCAGCTTCTCCCCGGCCTGTCCATGCTCCGAAGCACGGCCAAAGGCTGCTGTACGCAGCGTGGCATGCGCGTGGGAGACATCCGCCAGCTGCAGCATTCCTTGTACTTGGGCTTGCGCGACGATCTACGATGCGCTCCCTCATGTTCACCGCCATCGCCTACGCAACCCGCAGAAGAACGCAAGTTGGCTGCCCCGGATGGTCCGTGCGGCCCAACAGAACGCAGAGTAGGCACCATCGCCTCGGTGCGTCGCCCGACATGCACTGAAGTACTGACTCCGTGGACAGCCTCCTCGTGTCTGTCGTCCGGCTACATCGTCCACATGTACGCCAGTTAGAGAAGATCCTGTCTCCATTTTACGATGAGCGGCTGAGGCATCACAGTCCGAGTCATGTCGGCCGCATCGGTGTTCATACAGAAGATCCGTACGTCGTACTGACCGTGTCGCGATCTGTGCAGGATTTGGCCTTTGTGCTTCCGCATGTCCTTGACAGATCGTCGGAGTCGGATGCGCGGCAAGCCGCACACGCTGCAGAACGTCATGCTGTGCTCGATCGCAATGAACGGCGCACGCGTGTTCAATCGCGCTCGATTTCCGGGTGAGCATAGTTTAACGGCGTCCGATGTCATTGAAAGGGGTATAGAGACATACAGAGCCGGGCATACGAGAGGAAGAGCAGTCCACGGACGAGGGTATACAATGTAACCAAACGGTAAACATCGAGAGCGACATAGATGAGCAAGACGCGAAGGGGAGGAGGAGACAGCGAAACGGAGAACATAGAGGGGAGATGGAACAAAGGTGAGATGATGGATTCGATATAGATTCGGCGATAGAGCTCGAGAGGGAGGCACGCTCAGCGCGTCTCAGGAGAAAATTGCGCTGTGAACCAGTCACATGCGGCGTGGGGATCCGACTATCGATTAAGGGATAGTCGGGGTCAATGGGATGGCGGCGAGCCGCAAACCAACCCAAACGACCGACGAGGGACCAGGAGAGGTGAGTGCTCGCTGCGTAAGGTTCGCGCAGCCGCCTACTAAGGTGCTCGTGCTCGTAGTAGACTCTGGATCAATCGTGAGCGCGCTAAACTGGATCTGGTCGGAAGTGGACGTACCAGCATCACCGTCCGTGGTCCGCTGTTCTTCAGTGTATCCAATAAATTTTGAGATATCAAAATTTGTGGGATACGCAGGAGGACCCTGCGTATCACCCGGGGTGCGTGGAGTGCCTTGAAAGGTGCGTGTTCCCTCTCCAAACGAGTCTTCCGAAAAGGCGTCGCACTTCTCGTCGACGTCGTCCCAGTCGACGGAGTATCCCTGCACGCCGTCTCTCGGTTGATTATCGAGGTTGCCCACAGAGGCCTTGTTCTGCAATCCTCGTCAGTGATCATTTGGAGCGACGAAAATGGTTAAGTACCAATATCCTTTTCTGCGCCTCCTTCACCTGACGATAAACTCGCCAGATTTCGAACGATAAGCCGAAGATGCCCTTCAATTGTTGGCACCAGCCTGCGCGGCCAGCTATGATCCTGAAATCGGTCGCACGTGCTTTATAACTACGATGCCGGTAAGCACAATAGCACACTGGGTGGCGTATGGTCACGTACTCGTCAAGTTCTTTCCAGATTTCGGTGACGAAGTTCCCGTCGGACAAGCGACCTTCCTCGAGGACGGAGACCAGGTAGGCACGTGTTTCGACCAAGATCTCGTCGAGCTCTTTGGAGTGATTCTTGGGGAGCATGCTCTTGACGAAGATGTAGAGGTGAGCGAAGCTGAAGATACCGAAGACATTTGCGACGAGGCCGAAGACGTTGTAGACAGCGTCAGACATGGCGCTGAGATGGATGCAGAGTTGGGGTGGCGTGCTGTGCGTTTGTGTGTTCGGAGAGGATTTCTGGGGAGTAGACGAGCGAGACACCCGTCCTATATAGCCCACGGCTGTGCCCTCAAAGTCCGATGTGCGTGACTTGGAGTCATGGAAGCATGCGTAGAGCAGACGGACATGTGAAAGGTATCTTCGTGGTCCACCCTTGCCTCCTCAGGCATGGCTGTGCGTCTTCCTCGACTTCGGAGAGCGACTTAGCCAGCGCGCATCAGCGGGAGGAGGACGCAGAACATGCGTATCACGGCCGGTTGCAGCTCGACGTGATATCAATCTGGGACCCACAAAGGCCGTCTCTGAGTATTAGACATTCGACCATCTGGACTTGCGATGGATCTTATTATTCACAGGTTGACGCCAGGCGGAGCTGGACGTTCCATGGCTTCTGCCGAGTGACGGAGCGACTAGAACACACTGCAAACGGCGGTTGCGTCTCACAGGCAAGAGGCGTGCCCACCACGAGTTTGATTCCAGCATCATTTTGGCCGGGCGACGGAGGACGAGCAGGTGGACCTCACTGGGTGACGCGGAGTTCATAGGCCGTGCCGGAGAACTGACGCGTCCTGTGTGCTCGGGATCGCTGCAGCTGGGCTGAGGGCAGGTAGCGTATCCCGACTTTCCGCCCCCGCTGGATGCGTGTGGCGTCATCCTTTGTTTGAATGTGCGGGTGCCCACTCTCATCGCGTACACTACGGTATTCGGAATTGAACGCGTTTTCGCGTAGAACATGACCTCTAGCTCCCTATGCATCCATAGCTGAGGTTGGGTGGTCTCGTCCCGGACCTAGCTGCGAGTGGCACACTGTCGTGATTCGTGACCATGACCATCACGAGACTTCTGCTCATGTTGTCGTACGGTCTTGCGGTCTTGTATCGTCGCATGCATGTAGTATACAGCAAGCGACATGAGCGGGCGGAGTGGCACCCTCGGGCACCCCGGCGGACGGGCTTGGTACTGCTTGTTGTGCTGCCCATAGCGACAAAGGCCAAAGACGCGTGACGTATGTGATCGACGGGCGTCTCCTGAGAAAACGTGACCGCGTCGCGCAGCGACCGCCGACGAGTCGCGACGACGCGACTTGCCGTTCGATTCTCCTTCGGCTCGGACACCTCCTCGCGCGACAGTGACAACGACATGGCGGATAGGTCAGAGTGTTTTTATTGCCACAAATCTGACTTTACGAAAAACCTCAAGCGCTGCTCGCGCTGTCGCGGTGCGCTCTATTGTGTGGGTAGCGCATATTGTCTAACAGACGTGTCACCGCAGGCGCTGAATGTCTCTTTCCCCCAGGGCCCGGAATGTCAATCAAAGGATTGGCAGAGCCATCGAGAGCTCTGTAGCGACTCAGATAGGTGGTACGACAAGTACCGCGGATGCCGCGATGGTTCCATGCACGAAGGTGCCTTTGTCCTCACGACTGCAGCCACTGGCGCGACGCTCACACCCAGCTCCGCACCCCAGGCAGAATGGAGCTCATGACCTGGGAATGGTACGACCACGACATAGACCACCGCAAGGGCTGGGGCAACTCGTTCATCGAAGACGCCGAGGACGTGAAGCGTACGTTCGAGGTCGACTGCAAGGGCAAGAAGTCCCTCTTCTACAAGAGGAAGCCCAACGCCTTCCGCTGGACGTGCTGCGGAACGCACGCGCGCATGAACTACGGGTGCGACCACCACGGGAGCGGGAGTAAGCCGTGCACCTGCGATTTCTGCCAGTGAGTGCGAGGGCGTGGCGAAGTGCTACGTGTTGCGGCTGACCTCGGCGCAGTATGGGCAAGCCGCTTCCTGACAGTATTTACTACAAGGAAAGCGGTGAGCGCATGGGCCTCAAGCTACAGCGTGGTCCCGACCCTCGGTGCGTTTTCATGGTTGCCTCTCGGGGTTTGCTCGAGTGGCTGAAGTCGTCTAGCTCCTTCAATCCTGGACTGGCTGCGATGGCTGCGACAGGCCGCACAATGTTTGGGCTTGAGATGTGACGGGACCAGGCCGGGCTCGAGGATCGCTACATCTGCGAAGGTGCATCATCACAAAGCTTGCATCTCCTTGACTCATTGGATGAGTCGTGACATCAGGGGACCGGAACTTGTCCGCGGTGGCTTTGGTTATACGATACGATAGAGTTTCGTTTCGGTATTGTACAGAATTGTCTTCTGATGCACACTGAAGTCCATACTTTGCTGTCTGTTGTGTCGGTTTACAGGTAAACTGTACAGGACACTGGATCGTACAGACCTCTTGACGGTGACCTATTCTTTCCAAACCACTTGCGCGCCCCGGACCCACACGCCCCTCACATTCCTATCATCGCCAGTGTTGATCCACCTCTCGAACCGTATCTCCTTCGTCTCCGCAGGCCAATACTCATACGCCTGGTCCTCCCTGTTCCCGTCAACCAGCACCGCATCGAAGTGCTTCCCCACGTCGATCGTCCCAGCATGCTCCGCGATCCCCAGCGCCTCCGCCCCGCCCACCGTCGCGATATGGTACGCCCACACATGCCCCACAGGCCACTCGGTCTTCGGGTCCGGGTCCGGATACTCCTCGAGCGGCATGTCCTCCCTCGCCACCTTCACGAACGAGTCCGTGCGGTCGTCAACGACCGCCATCCTCAGCGGACCAAGCATGCTCGCAGAGTACCCGCCCGCGATGTCCGTGCCGAGCCCGACTTTCAGCCCGAGCGCCTTGTAGCGCGGTGCAGGCACGACCGCACGCGAGTGCAGGATGTTCGCGATGGGGCACGCGGAGACGGCCGCGCCGACCTCCGCCATGCGCCGCACCTCGTAGTCGCGCAGGTGCGTGCCGTGCGCGAGCGTCGTGCGCCCGGTGAGCAGCGCGCAGGACTCGAAGATCGCGACGTCGCGCCCGCCGCCGATCGTCGGGTGGAGTGCCTTGACGCGCAGGACCTGGTCGACGGTCTCGGCAGCGTGCGACTGGACGCGGACGTCGTATTTGGCTGCGAGCCCGCCGAGGCCGTGCAGTAGGGGGAGCGTGCAGGTCGGGACGAAGCGCGGTGTGATGACTGGGTGCACCAGTGCGTCTTGCTCGCCGAGCTTGTCTCGTCCGGACGGGTGCGCTAGTGTCCATTGGATGAATGACTCGGTGAGCGAGAGAGCCTCCTCCGTGGTCTGGATGTAGTAGTCCGGTGAATCCCTGTCGGCTGTGACGAGCCCCACGAAAGCACGGAGCCCATGCTCTGCGCAGATGTCCACGAGCAATTTGGTTGGCTCGATGTCGTTCGTCGCGAAGAACTGCACACTGGTCGTCCCATTGCGGAGCAACCTCCGTACGAGTTTCGTGTAGAGGTCCCGCGCGTAGTCCAGGTCGCGACACTTGGCCTCGTTGGGGAAGGTCACATTGAACAACCAGTTGAAGAGGGTGTAGTCCGTGGCGGTCCCGATCTGGTGGTACTGCGGGGCGTGGTTGTGGCAGTCGATCATACCGGGACAGATGAACTCCCATTCCTTCATGAGCAAGACATCGAGGCCACGGTGCTCCTCCGCAACGAATGTTTTGATCTTCTCCACATCGTCCGTGGTACCTTCGGGCAGCGGGTGGAGGAGAACTATCCTACCCTTGCCGTCGACGATGCAGAGGTGGTTGGTCCGCACCCTCAGCGCCTCATGCGTGGGGGCGTCGATGAAGGTGCCGACGTAAATGAGACCTGCGGGGGTCATGGTTATGGTCTGGACGAGAAATAAGGACCCTCCTTGAGCTTGAGCAGGCGACTCCTGAAGGTGCCTGTGCGATCTTCAGAGCCGCTGGCAATCTGCTTATCGGCGGGCATGGTGGTCGACGACCCCGTGTGCCGCCCTGTCATTTACCTTTTTCATACTTGATAGACTGTAGATGATTTTGGCATGGGCGAATCCGTCCGTGCAGACTCATTTGTGAGGTGGGATCATCAGGCCAGGCATGTGGGGTGGAAGAAGGTACTTAGGCGGGTTAACGCTGGGGGTTGCACGGAGGCCCAGCGTTGCGGAGCGTTGAGTACCGCCGGCATGTCCCAGAAAGGCAGGAGTCAAACGGCGTCCGCTCTCGCCGCCGCCACACAACTTGGCCACAAGCGCGACGCTGCCCAGCACACACATGCAGAGCTCGAGGCAAGGCGGACACCCGGACCTCGTGTCCTCCCTCAACGTCCTCCTCGCCGCCCTCCACCTCCCCCTGGCCCTCGAGTCCCCAGACGACCTCATCCCCTCGCTGCTCGTCGCCGTCCTCGAGTGTCTCCTGCGCTCGCGCCTCGACCTCCCCGCGGAGCTCCGCCAGGCACGCGACTTTGCGTTCAAGGTGCAGGCCATGAAGATCTTCCTCGGCGTCCTCGAGAACGACATCATCGGCCAGGACGTCGGGCTCAGCGACGTCGACCCGCGCCGCCTCGCGAGCGGCGAGTGGGACGAGTGCGTCTTCGTCGGCGAGCTGCTCTGCTGGCTCGGGAAGACCATGGGCGTGCTCCCGAGCACGAGCGCAGGCGGCGTCGACCCGCTTCCCGAGAGGTTCGCAAGACGGAGTGGCACCGTGTCGTCCTCGGCGCACTCTACCGTGCCGTCCAACCTCTCCCTGACGCGGTCAGAACACGCGGAATCCGAGACGACCGTGGGGTCAATCGTGTTCGAGCCTGTGGGGGAGAGCACCTTCGTCCGCCCGCCCGCCCCGACGCCAATAGCCGGTCGGCGCGACGCGCCCCCGCGCCGCCCGCGGTGCATCCACGAAATCGAGGAACCCTCGCTCATCTTCACACCGGTTGCAGAGTCCTCCGTCGTCATCGGCCCTGAGAATGGCGTCGAATACTGCGACTGTCCCTCCGAGACGACGCACGCAGAATCGAGGCCCACGCCCGTGCGGTACCACGGCTGGATCGAGCGCGCAGACGACGACTCCGAGGTCAGGTCGTTCGAGGCAAGCAGACGCACGAGAGCCGCGGGCACGTCTCGACGCGTCTCCAGCGGGAGCAGGAGCTCGGGCTTCATAACGCGACATACGTCCCCCGCCGAGTACACCCTTGCCCTCATGAGCGAGCGGGCGAAACTGCTCACGGAGCTCGCCGCGCTCAAGACGCCGCCGAGGAAGAGGTAGCAAGTCAAGCATCTCGCATCGTTCAGGGAGCCCAGTAACCTACGGGTGCTCCAAAGTCCTGCGGAACTTCGGCAATGGCAGACCGTCGCACCCGCTTGTCGTGACTAGAGTTCTCCGATACCAAGAGACGACGCCTAGGACTTGTGCTATTCAACAAGTGGTGCCTCGGAGACGAAAGATGAAGAAAGTCAAAACCGTCCCACTCGAGATGATCTAGCAAGGTGTTACATGGCCAATGACGCGCGCATAGACCACCTCTCCTCAACGGAGGCAGGTTGTGCAGAGGAGAACAGATAAAACCTTCACACGTCAGGCAATAGCCCATCTCGCTCTGCACCGGTCGAACCTCCCAGTAGGTTTACGTGCTAGAGCACCGGTCCCAGCCGAGTATGCGGAACGAATCCCGTCAACGGTGTCTATATTCAAGTTGTCCATCCCATGTTCCCTGGTCTGTACATATGTAACCGACCACTGCCTTCACGGCTTCTATGCGTTTCTACCTCGTTTGGTGTTATGTCGGTAGGGCCTGATATGTGTAACACAGTGGCATCATTAATCTGGTCTTCATGAATCTTCAGATGTCTACTTCTCTACGTACATGCACCGATGCCGTAATACAAGCATCGACTCCGGACCAGGCGTATTCATCGGCACCGTCAGTTGCAACATCGCGATTTGCTCGCTATCCCGCAGACGAACGTGCTCCGGATATCGACGTACCCCTGAATCTGTGTACGGGATAGAAGCTTCCACGACGCATGCCACCCGGACGCCCTATTCTTAGCGCGACGTCGTAATCAGGGGAGGTGTCGAAGGAGCGAGTGCACACACGGAGTGGTAGGACGTTGGATCGGAGATGGAGATCCCAAAGTCGGAGGTGACGCACACCGACTACGAATGTTCCCATTGAATCGGAACCAGCTGTGGTACCGGTAGATCCAAGGTAAATTTATCCTGGGCCTGGACGAGCACGACAAGACACGCCACCCTAGTACGACACCGTACCATTGAATCGATCATACGCAACCGCGCACCCCGCGGCGGCGCACCTAGCCCAGCATTTCTCCGCTCCGATGTGGTCGTGGGTGCCGCGTCTTCGCACGCCCCGCGCAGAGGCGTACGTACCAACCAGAGGCCGCGAAACAGAGTTTTGAGATTCCCGCTCGCGGTCGCAGTCGTAGTTGCGTTCGGCAACGCGTCGAGGCTTCACGCGTCACCATCTGCGTGCACTGTATGTATATCGCGTACGCGGCGCTCGGGAATCGGGTACTGGGTTGGCCGTGGGCTGAGGGACTCGGAGACGCGACAGTCGGAGACTCGCTCTGGGGTGCGCGGGGAAGCGGGGGACGCGCGATCGCGAGGGCGAGGGCGCCGGGCGATGACCGGAACAGGATGATCTGCAAGGGGTGAGAATGAGAATCGGCGAATCGGAAGCTGGGTGTGCTGCAGTCCTGCAGGGCGCTGGGGTCTGACGTCGGAGGTGGGATAGCACGCAGCATCATCCATGTTTCCAGATCTCCTTGCCATGCTAGGGCCTGGACCTGCGGAGGTGAACGACAGAAGGTTGCATGATACTACCGATGCACGGGCGGACGAATGGTAGGGAGCCCATTTGCCACCTGGAGACACAGGGTAGAACGAAATGCGAGCCTACGCCGTGGCCTTCCTGCAGCTGTCGTCACTCTAGCGGGGTTCTCGACCTTCTGTCGCCCGCATGGCATGCAGGGCTCGTCATTCCCAGCGCACTCGCCCGTCCTAGAATGGCAGGGACCTATCCCGTTCAACGTCCTATACGCACCGGTCCCACCGCGCAAAATCTGCGTGCCGCCGGCGGGAGATCCTGTGTACAACTGCAACTCTCCGCAGCCCCGGGCCTCCGTCAGGCGGGCAAGTCTGGGAAGTGCCTGAGACTCAGATGACTTAGAAGGACGTCAAACCTCTGTTCAGTACCGCAGTTCCCTCTCTCGACCGACGTGTGATACGTGGTCACCATTTCCCAACGACTTGAGGAAGGCCCAACGTGAATGTGCGCAGTCCGAAGTGCGGAGGGGCCCGTCGTAGAGGTCCAGCCTGTCAGCAGCTCAGAAGTGCATCGACGCGGCGGGCATGACATCGTGGCTTCCCCGGCGGGCATGGGGTACACTTGACGGGTTCCCCTTGTTGCGTTGTATAGGGCTTCTGTAACCAATCCGCGTCAGGACAACGCAGATGTGGAGGTTCGGAGGCGCCGTCCTCACCGTGCGTTACGACCACTTGTTTTGCCTACGGTGTAAAGGAACAACGATGGCCATCGCGTTCCGCCCCGACCAAGAGCACTGACAATGCCATTCCACGGTCACACAGTGCGGTGCACGATGCTGTACGTGACACCGATGAGTCAAGCAGCTCAATGGAATGTGTACTGATCCCGCCGGCGCGCGGCAGAAGCACCTTGCAAAAAATGGAACCATCGACCATCGTGACGCAGACCAACAGACCAACAAAGAACTCGTGATAATCAACACCTTCGTGGCACCGCGGCGCTTCTCTCGACCGCCCGTTCGAAACAATCATTGCATGCAGTTGCAGTCAACGAAGCAACAACGATCCGGATTAAGCCCCAACACCCAGTGACTCACCATACCGCTCAGCGCCCTGCACCCGTCATGCCCACCAACAACTTCGGGGCAATCGCGTTCAGATTGAACATTCAATAGAGGCGCACTAAACAAGGTTCCGTCCGGCACCCGGAGCGAACCCACACAACACCAATCCGGCCATCCACGTCCCACGGAACCACCTTGGCCACGAACCACAAATAGCCCACCCCTTCTGGCCACCGCATCCAAATCGTCAATGCACCTGCCTAGATGGGCACCGAGAAGGCACCGGACCCGGGGCCGGGGTACTCGGCGTGCCATGCCACGATCTGTACGAATTTTTCTTGTCGCGCTGGGAAGACTCGGGGAGCTCGACGGTCGCGGCGGGCGCGGGGCCCCGTTTGCTGCGGGTTACGGTGATTGTCCTTGGATTGGCCTACAAAGTCATGGAAGTATCACGGACAGTCGCGAAAAACACGCCTTGCAGCGTACATACGGTCTCGTGGAACCCAACTCTGGACGAACAACCACCTTTGGCGGGGCACAGCGAGAGGCCAGACCGTCAGAGCTTCCTATCCAGCGAGCGGCGGCGTCCGACAAGGGGGCCAGGCCCGTTGACAGGTCGTGTCCCAAATATAGACTGGGGATCGAGGGGCCCCACGCGCGGGGTACGCAGGGCTTCTTCCTCGCCTCACGCCCCGCGTCTGCGTGGGACGCAACTTAGAGACGGACGCGGAGCCTGTCCGGGGAGGTGGGCGCGAACGGCGCTGCCCCGCATGCAGCGCGTGTACCTGACAAACGCGAGGGACACGTCGACGCGCCCTCCAGGCACACCCGAGTTGCGTGCCAGTGCACAGCGCGGGGGCACGAGCGGGCGTCGCTGCGAGGGAACCTGAACCTGCCCAACCAAGCAGCCAAGGGCCAGCCAAACGCTCGGAACGCGGAAGCAAGGAGGGGGAGAGCGGAAGCGGAGCGGGTCGCGGCGTCACTACGACTAAGTTAGTACGCCACAGCAGCAGTGCAGAGGGGCCTCAGACTGTTTGACGTTCGACAGCGGGATCAGTACGAGTGCACGGGGAGATGGGCCTGAGATGGGCGCGCGGGCGTGTGCGCTGTGCGGTCCAGAACGCATGCGGACGTCGTCTCTGGGTGCGGGGATGTGGGGGCGGTGCCCCGACCCCCGGTGCGGGAGACCCAGAGGGCCGTTGGGCACTGGCAGACGCAGGTGGCTCGTGGACGGGCGTTGATGCCGATGAACATTGTGGTGGGGCGCAGCCCGAAGCAGATATAGATCAACTTGAACTGTAGCACGTCTGACCGTGATGTAGATGCTCCCGCCAGGACTCCCGCGAACTCCTGCTTACCTGTAACCTGACAGCGGTGGCTTGATTTACCTCCATTGAGGAAGTGGCTGAGATGCGGCTGGTTGAGGGGTGCATCTGTCCGGCTTGGGCTGGGCGCTCTGCGGAGAACAAGGACGTCTGTGTGGGCTCCAATGGCGATTAGGTCCGAGCCGTATAATATACCGTTGTATTGTGTGGAGGGACGGAGATGGTATGTCATGGCGGAGCGCGCAAGCTGTTAGATCTTATAATCAGCTGCGTGGGTAGTCATAGCGGAAAATCGAGTACGAAACAACGAGTGAAGAGCTTTAGGCGTATGACGCGATATACAACTTGAAGTCCCTTCTGTGTACGTACGTCTCCCACCTACCTGCACGGTTCAGCTTGCGCCGAGGGAGCGACTTCGGAAGCAGAGCCTCACAGCAGTGAGACAGTCGAAGCCGCCGGCATCGACTGTACACCTGTGGGCCTGGGCGCCTCCGGAAGCTTGCCTGGAAGACGTTCGAGAGAAATTGATTCCGTGTCGTATGAATCTGGCATGAATCGCCGCTGTGATGCGGGGACGGCGTCGAAGCTGGAAATGAGACCGCCGCGTGGGGTGCTATAGTCAAGGAAACAAGGGAACGAATACATGAGCAGGCGACCGGCTGATCGTACAGTGCGTGGCCAGACTGCAATATTTGCAGTGATCCCTGCTGGCGGCCGCTGCATCGTGTGCGTCGCGAATACACCGGGCCCCAGTCTGGAGTGTGCGGCGTTCGAGGAATACGGGCCACCTGGTACGGCAGCGCACTTGCCAATCCGGAGGCCAGTGACGGCGGTGCTATGGCAGATCTGTCAGCGAACGTGCAAGACACAGACGCACTTACCCGCGTGCGGTGCGCACTGGGAGCGGGGGTAGCAGCGGCGCGCCTGCGTCTCGTCTCAGATCAGCAGCGCATCGCGCAACGTGCAATGCCAACCCGTCGAGCGGTCGCGCAACCAGGGGGCGCGCGGGTCTGCGGTGCACGCGGCGCGCACACAGCGTACCTCAGGCCCCGTCTGCGAGTCGCGTGCGGGCGTTGCCTGGACACGTAAAGAGGCAGACGTTCTATCGCAGCGAGGCCATACGAGATTTATACTGTACCGGTCTGGCCAGGCGGCGGGCGAGAGCGCGGGGTGCGGTGGCGGATAACGGCAGGGGCAACGGGGCCGCCCCGTGGGGTGCGGTGACGACAGGGCGGCCGGATGGGGGATGGCCGCGAAGGCGGGTGTGTACGCCTGTGCATGATGCCTCGGCTATCCCCCGCGGAGATCTTGCGCGTTCGGGCGCGCTGCTGGCGAGCGGCGTCTGTCTGCATCGAATCTCGGTGCGGTGCGCGACGCGGGCAGGCACCGCAAGGCGAGGCCGCGCTGGCGTGTGATAAGGAGATAACCCGCAAAGGCCGAGCCTGGGGCGGCCGCCACCGCGCGCGCCGTGTGGCAAACAACGAACAGGCAGAAAGAGCCCCCCGCGTCGTCCACGCCGTGCCACGAAAAACAGAGCGCAGAATTCGGCGAGAGGGCGCGGCGGGCGGCGGCAGGACGGGCGATCGGCGGCCCGGATCAGAATGTGCGGCTTTCGGGGGACGGAAGGCGGATTGGTAAGCGACAGGGCCGAGGATAGCCGGCGGGGGACGGACCGAGTGTGGCGAGGGGAGGACCCTCCCAGCGGGCAGCTGGCGGAATACATCTCCCACCGCCCGTCCTTTTCTCTTTATCGCCAGTCCCATCGACGTCCACCACGTCCTCCTCGCCGCCCAGCACAGCGCGCAGCCCCCTCGCCGCGCAGCCCCCTCGCCGCAGCCCACCCCGGCGCCCACACCGCCCAGCGCCGCCACCCACCCCGGCCGCCCGCGCACGATCAAGGTGGGGAGGATTGCGGGGTCGCCCTGTGCCAGACTTCGGCCAGATCCTCGAGATTTTCACATTCTCCTGCCCTTCCCACGTTTTTCTGCCGCTGCCAGCGACGCCCTCGCCCACAAAGCCCGGCCTCCGTCTCCTGCCCCCTCTCCGCCGCAATTTGCAGCGGCCCCAGCTATTTGACCCAGACGCAGCGGCCCCGGACCCCTCTGGGTCTCTCAGGCGACCGTGCTTCCCTTCGCTGCCCGCCTTCGCGATCACCCACCCGCTGCCTTCTCGCTGCCTGCCCCGGCCCGCGCTGCCCTGCGAGCACGCCTCCGTATCGCCGGGTTTATCTCCCAGCAGCCCCGGCCACGCACGCAGTTCCCCGTCCCACCTCATCATTCCAAGCCCCGTACACAAGCCGGCCCCTGTCCGTCGCGCTGACGTCGCTCTTCTCGTACGTGTCAATCACCTCTGCCTCAGCATCCCAGGCCGCCGGCCGTACTAATATAACCCTACCCCCTTCTCGCGCCCCTCTCCCCACCCACCTCCCCGCCCATGCCATGCACACCGCCGTCCGTGTCAAGATGGAACCAGCTCCCCCGCCCCCGCCCCCGCCTCCGCCCCCGCAGGACAAGGTCGTAGCACGCCCATACAAGTGTCCCTACCCGCTCTGCGGCCGGGCATTCAGCCGATTAGAGCACCAGGTACGTAACGCCCCCGCCCCGCACTTCCGGCGTTAATCACATGGCCCACCCCGCAGACGCGGCACATCCGCACGCACACTGGCGAGAAGCCCTTCGAGTGCACATTCCCTGGCTGCGAGAAGCGCTTCTCGCGCTCCGACGAGCTCACTCGTCACTCCCGCATACACAACAACCACCACAACGCCGCTCACCCGCACCATGACCCCCCACATCACGTCGGTGGCGCGCCCGCCGCCGGCAGCAGCCACCGCGGCAAGGCCAAGGCCAAGGGCGAGTACGACGACGAGGGCATGGAGCTGAGCAGTCGGCAAGCAGCACTGGAGGCGGACAGCGTCAGGGTGCAGAAGAAGGCGCGAAGCCGTGCTAACAGCGACGACGAGGTGCGTCCCGGACTTACCCCGGAGTGGCTATATGCGTCACTTCCCCGCCGTGCATACTCACACCCGCCCGCGCAGGACGACTCGTATGCTCGCCCGACCGCGCTCTTCACCACCGACCCCACCGCCTACGACTACCCTGGCCCCGGCTTCCACCCCCGCCGCGGGCCCCTCGACCCCGCCCTCGCAGCGGCCCTGCCCACGTCCGCCCCCGCACACACCACCGCCTTCTCCGCGCTGTCGAGCGTTGCCATGGAGGAGCTCTACGCACTCGAACGCAGCGAGGCACTGCGCCGCGCGGAGTACGAGATCCGGCACAGCGAGGCGCTGCGCAGGGCGGAGTACGAGGCCCGGCACGCCGAGATCCTCTCCTTCCACGGCCGGTTATCCAAGAGCGCAGCGAACACGCCGCTCAACACGCCCTTCTACCCCCCAGCACCCCACGCGGAGGACACAGGCTACTTCGGCACGAGCAGGGAGCGCGAGCGCCCGCTCGTCGCCGCGATGGATGACGAGCACCTCGTGGACGGCCGCCGGCGGATGAGCCTGAGCGCCGCGCGGAGAGACGTGTTTGCCGCGCACCCGCTCGCGAGCGGACACGTCGTCGACGCGTCGCATGCGCGTAATGCACCCGGGCATGCCCCGCCGCACGCGCACGCGCATGCACACGCGCCGTGGGCACAGCCGTACCACGCCGCGTCCGCGCCGCACCGCCAGCGCCTCCATGTCGGCCACGACGACTCGCCCTCGCCCATCTCCTCGGACTCGGACTCCGTCCAGCCCGCGCTGTCCCCCCCGCACGCGCATGCATCTGCGCACCACTCTGCGGCGCAGGCGCATGCGGCGTCAGAGCATGCGCTGCCCAGTCAGTATGCCACGCCCAGTACGAGCCCCTTCCTTGGAGGCCTCCGCACACTCAACATCCACTCGGGCACGCCCTCGCGCGCACCGTCGCCCTTCCGACTGCCCCCGGCGATAGAGACCCCGGATGAGTACATGCATCCCTACGAGTCGCGCACGCGCAAGGCGCAGAGCGTCGCAGGGAGCCCGCCGGGAAGCGGGCTGCTCAGCCGGAAACGCGGGAGCTCAGGCGACCTGGTGTCGTACGCGTCCTTCGGGGGACACACAGCGCCACTCGACTACTCTGCGCACGTCGGCGTCGGCCACGGCTTCCAGGCGCCCTACACGCACGAGCGCACCGCGATCCCGACGCCGCAGCTGAGCAGCGGCCCGAGCAGCTCCGGGAGCTCGCCCAGGAGCCACGCGCACTCGCTCGGGAGCCACGGCGCGGGCAGCGCGTCGAGCTCGCGCGCGCCCTCCCCGCCGCACGGACACCACCCCGGCGCCTCGCCGCACCCGCACCACCCGCACCACCACCACCTCGCGCACTCGGTGCGCGTCGCGTTCGGGATGACGCCGATCCACCCACGCCGCTCCGCGTTCGTCGAGATGCCCCCGCCGCCCGAGTACCCGGGCGTGCTGTCCGCCGCGTCCGTGCCCGTCTCCCGCGCGGCGTCTCCGCCGATCAAGCTCCCGCCGCTGAAGCTGCCCTCGTCCCCGTCGTCGCCGCACCAGCGTGCGATGAGTCTCTCCGAAGACCCCGCAGAGGCCGTCCAGGAGAAGGTGGAGCTCCCGCACTTCCGCGAGTTCGCGGCGGCGACGGGATACCGCGCGGGTGCGCGTGGGGCCGCCGAGCATGGCTCGTAGCCTGTGCGAGCGTGAGTGCGCCGTGCGCCCGCGACGCTGCGCTTGTCGTCTCCTGGTGTGTGGCGGGGTGCTTGTCGGCCTAATATCGGCAGAGGCGGAATGGCGCCGTTGCCCCCGCTGCTCGACGTCCGTCGTGCCCTTCTTCTGATCCATCCCCATGGTCCGTCGATGTTTCTCTCAGTCTCCGTTAAGTCTCCCGCGCAAGAAGTGTATTCTCTACCACTACGCTACTCTACTTGGTCCGATAAATAGCTACCCTTACCGCATACCCCTCTCGCACAAGTCATCCCATAGAAGTTCTGCATCCCCGCTCCCGCCCCCGCTGCTAGTATTACTTAGTGCTCCTGCCATTGCTTGCTCCCGACACGATGGACATGGATGTTCCCGCCTGTTTAGAAGAATCCACCGATAGAACGCTTGCTGAGCTGTGTCGCCCCCTACCTTTTTGTTGATGTACATGTGTCCCCGTAGTGACTAGTGCTAGTGACCCGCACCACACCCTCCGCTTATTACGTTAATCTAGTGCGTGCGTGCGACTACCGCCGCCGACTCTGCCCTGGTTTGAATCGTCTCGCTTGCCGAGTGTGATGGTCCCGATGGACGCTTTATTGTAGCCTGCCGAATTATTTACTTGTATCGCAGTGTAGCATCGGGATCGGATTCTCCGCATCAACGGCGAGTGCCCGTGAGAGTGCACCGCGAGCTTTGTATAGCTGAGTGAAACAGGCCATGCTGTTTCCCCGTCGTGGTTACGCAATAAGAACGATATTTAAGCGTTGCGGTCTCTGAGGTAGTCACGAAGGTTCTCAGGCAACAGCTTCGTGGTAGTCACAGGCTACAAACGCAAGTACAATTTGAGGAACGCACTGATACAAGAGCACACGCACAAAGCTTTCAGTAAATCAAGTAAAGATGGTAGCCATCGCACCAGGAATCCGCCCTACTACATCTCCAGACCGAACATACTACGGCCTTGCGCGGCCTGGGCAGCCAGTACGGGATTGAAGGAGCTACGTAAAAACAGCCTCAGGAAAAAGGATCACTCCAATGATCCTCAGGAACGGACTTACCGAGGGTCAGGGCCGCGCGGAAGCCTAAGGCCCATGCGAGGACCAGTCTTCTCCTTGTAAATACTGTCAGGCAGTGGCCTTCCCATGCTACCATCGCACGACGTCAGCTGCGATGAGTGACACGAACAGACGTACTCACCGGCAGAAGTCGCAAGTGCAGGGCTTGCTCCCCGTCCCGTGGTGGTCGCAGCCGTAGTTCACGCCGCCGTCCATGCCGCAGCACGTCCACCGGAAGCCCTGGGGCCACTTCTTGAAGAAGAGAGACTTCTTGCCCTTGCAGTCGACCTCGAACTTGCGCTTCAGGTCATCGGCCTCCTCGATCAGGACGTTACCCCAGCCCATGCGGTCCCCGGACTCGGGATCCGTGTACTCCCAGGTTATGAGCTCCAGCTTGCCTGGATGGAGCGTAGATGATCATGAGCGCTGGCTGGGGCGGTTTTGGACTAGCGAGGACACACTGGCGCACCTTCGTGCATTGAGCCATCACGACAGCCGCTGTACTTGTCGTACCACCGGTCCGAGTCGCTACACAGCTCCTTATGGCTAGCCCAGTCTTGTTTCTGGCATTCGGAGTTCTGTTTGGGGAAACATGATCGCGCCCACTCAGCACGATCGCAACAACTCTACCAGTGCGCGCTACCTACACAGTAGAGCGCGCCGCGGCAGCGCGAGCAACGCTTGAAATCTTTTGTCATTGCCTCCTTGCGGCAGTAGAAGCATTGTGAAGTGTCGGCCATGCTCAAGCTGGTCAACGTCGGCGATGGCGATACGATCGAGTTGCACTCACGAGCGCCTGATCATAGGTACCCTCAAGCCACTTGGCGGGAAGGACCGCTCCCGGGCCGCCTGCCACTGTTTTGTCATTCACTGCTCAGACTGTAGTCTGCGCCAATATCAATCATACTACGTAGTAGTAGTACGGTAGTACAGTGTGTCCATCGGCAGCTCGGTGATAGCTGGCATTGTACATAGGATAAAGCTCGAAATGTCATAGACTCAAGGCTGGCACGGAAGGTCACGGTGAAGCTTCATATAGACCGGCGGTTGCGTTGAATCTCGTCACGCTTTGAACATGCCCATAGCCTGAGGTTTAGTCGAAGACAGTACCGCCGTTGACGTTGATTGTTTGACCTTCAATGAGTAAGCTGGTGAGCGCGACGAGGCCTCAAACGAGGGTACATCCTTACCCGTGATGAAGTAGGCCTCGGGTTTGACCAAGTAAGACACCAAGCTGGCAATCACTCCCGGATCTGCTGGAGGTGGTGTGCGCTCAAGCATACCGGTGAGCTGGTGTACAGGATGAGTTCACAAGCGAGCTACGCGAATATGGTGGCAAAGCTATACCTCGAGCATTGTCGTCCCTGGAGCTAAGCCGCGTTCCGCATCTTGTGGATGCATAACTTACTCAACGATTGACCGGTGAGTTTTCGTCAGAATGGCATTATCAGTTAACTCACCCATGGGCGTGTTTATGGCACCAGGCGCGTAAGCATTCACCGTGATGTTATATTTCGCTAACTCTATGGCTGTGGGGCTGTTGAGGGCAGGATGCTCTAGCGGCACGATGGTATCTTCGAACCTGCACATTGTGTCAAACCTCGAACACCGAACTTCGAAGCCGCGTATGCCGAAGCATTGTTGCACCCTGCGGATTTAATGTAAGTGAGGGATTATATCTGTCTTTCGGGTCCCACTGCCTACCTTGCTTTCCAGCAGAAGAGGACGCGCCTGCTTCGACCTTCGTCTCAATGCCCAGAACATAGCGGCTCACACGGACTGACCAATGATTCGACCACCACGGCCTTGCTGAATCATCTGCATTGCAGCGTATTTGTAAGAGAGCATGGTACCCCGGAGATTGATCGCCATGATCTTATCCCATTCTTCTGTTGTCGCTGTAATTGTTTTACTTAACCCAAGAGCAAAGCAGAGACAGATGATTACTCACAGTCCACAAGTTCTGCGGCATAAAGGTATCCAGCGTTAGCAACCATCTGCAACCGAGATCAATGATTTAACACTATTGGAACAACTGTGGGTGCGCAGACGGACCACATCTATTCCCCCGAGCTGTTCAATGACGGATGCCGTCATGACCTGAACGTCATTCTCAGACGAAATGTCGGCGACAGCGACCATAGCCTGTTGGCCTCCCGGGCCGCTATGCTCTATTTCGGCGACGACCTTTTGCAGCTCCTGCCGCTTCGACGGCATGTCGTTCACGGCGACATTGAGGCCATCCTTCGCTAGACGGAGAGCGATTGCTCGTCCGATCCCTTGAGCCGCGCCAGTAATAAGGGCAATTCGCCTGAGGGGTGTTGCTGCCATGGTATGAGGATGTGGGTCCTAGAGAGAAGTCGCGTACTGAGGTAACTATTAGTACCTCGCATTATAAGGTTTATCGTTCGCAACCTCACCTGAGTCAGAGCATGACGGTTGCATTGTCCTGAACTGAGGTTCAAGTTTCCGATAAGCATAGAAGCGGGACAATCAACGTACGATACACATCCAATCAATGAGATACTTCGCTTTGGGCCTAGATTCATGCCGCGAGGATGCTGCGTATAGGTATGTACTGGGAACATTTCGACCGCAAGCCGCAAATCAGAGCAAGAGCCGGTCATTGGAGTAACATTGGTGGAATGGAACACCGTGTCCTTCTTCGCGCGATCATTGCGCTCGTCATCCCCATGGCGCATTCGGTCGCCGATGGCGCCGGGACCTGCCTCAGGAAGTTGAGTAGGTGGAAGCGCCTAGGAGATAGTCCAGCAGGCCGTCTGCGACCTACTATGTTGGGGGAGATGATGCCGCCTTGGACATGAGGATGTGAAGCTTTGGGAAATGACAGGCTAGTTGACGGCGGGTATTCGCGTGCTCTACACGATATTGCCATACCTCGGAGTGAGGAGAATGACGACTGTCCTTACGGTCTAGCTTGGAGTTCGAGTGACGTGTCAGATAAATAGAAGTCGGACAGAAAGACACAGACGCACGTCCGATCTGGGGAGAGCAGGGCGACACCTAGACTCTTGCCACATGGAAGCCGAGGGAACGGGTGTGTATGCAAACGCCTTCGGAGGGAATCAAAACAAAGCCGCTATACAGGGCGAGAACACAACACATAGGCAAGACAGAGTACTCGACACGCCATTTGTCTGGTGGCGCTGTCTACGCGCTCGCGATGCCAGTGACGTGCACCGGACCCCGTCCCCATTCAATTTGTCTTGAATGACTCCACCGTTGCAAAGTCTACCTGAGTTAGAAATCCTTGATACACGACGGGACGGTACGCATTCGAAAATCGCCTCACTTTGTGCGCTGGTATGCTATGTTCGGATTCAGTCCTAGTACAGGTGACGTCGCCAAGGATGGCTGCTGGATACGTACCTTAGGGAAAGCGCCGGCGCAATCTTCAATACCCATACTGCTTTCAGCAACCAAAAATCGCAGGTTAAAGTCCAAATGTATATATGACAAATCTAAGATGCTCACATTAGACTAGATGACGGCGTCCCAAAATCGGGTGGTACGCTAGCAAGATTGATTGTGGCTGCATATATCCGAGCCCATTGTCTACACGGCGCTGTCAGTCGTTGCTCAGCACATTAGTCACCTGTGCGGAGGAAGTATGATGATATCGTGACTGCGATGCAAACGCTCTATTCCTGAGCAAACGCAACATGATAGTGAGCCGTCTACTAGAACACACGACAAACTTGAATGAACACAGGGTTCAATTACACATTCGAAGTGTCTGCGAACAGTCCCGCACTGTCAACATGCGTCTCTGCACGAGTGCGGGGAACCTCTTCTCCAACGCCTCCCTTGTTTCTGCGAAACCCAAAGCGCCCTGGTGGATGAACAAAACATTCTGGACCGTCTTGAATCCATTGCTGGATAAGATGGCCTCAATGTCGTCCCATATCGGCGAGTCAAGCTGTGCAGGCATGTGCAACCAGATGTCGAACGTCAGGTTTTGCAGTGGCAGATGGGCGACTTGGAGGAGCAGCGCAGGGACCCAGGGCATGAAATGTCGATCCAAGTCAAGTATCCGGAGATGCAGTGAGCGAAGCGACACGTTGCGAGACAAGTTGAAGCACGTCCGGACATCTGCATACAGAGGAACAGTCACTTCGGGCATCTAGGAGATCCTACAGGCCAAAGACTTACCGACACGCCGTGGGACACTATCGAGCCTTATCCCGAGCTGCAGGTACTCGAGCACATCCCCAAGATGACGGAGAAAATTGCCCACAACCTCAAGCTCCCGGCCCATTACACATTTGAAGGTGACAACGCGCAGTATCTTGAGGCTTGGCGTGTGGCGCAGCCAAGAAACGACGAGGTCGGCTCTCGAGTAATTAACGATGGTAAAGGAAGTGAGGCAGAGGTCCAGGCGGGAAGGAAGCACTCGCGCAGGCACACCCCAGCTCACGCAGTCAAGGCTGAGCGCGAACGGCGACGCTTGCCCTTGCTCCCTCCGAGGAGCAAATGTCGAAATGAAGTCCGCGAGGGCGTCTATGTGCTCGAAATCGCACGAGCAGATCCGGAGCTCCCGGATACCCCGGTAGCGCGACAGATTTTCATAAAAAGCGGGCATGACTGGGTAACCCGCGAGGTCACTGAATCGGACGTAGGAGAAGCCAATCGTCTTGAGGCGCTTGAGGCGCACGGGAAGCGCGACGGTGTGATGGATCCAGACGAATGGTTCTCGTCTCATGAAGTGCCGGTATGTGTTGAAAAACAACTCTTGCACGAACGGAGCGACGTCCGGCGAGGTGAACAAGAGCTTGCAGAAGCGATTGAGAGCATCGACGCTGTTGATCGTAATGGCGCGGAAGATATGGGACTTGCTCGAGCGGTGCAATGCACGCGAGGCAAGCGAACAAGCGCGTAGGGCGTCGACGTCGCTGTGGCAAAAGTCAACGATGTAGTCGCATAACTCTTGAGGAAGCATGACGTCCCCCCGCCTTAGCTACCCACCATGTGCGCGATCAGCACTTGCAAAAGACACAGTTCGACGGGAAGTACATACCTGCGACGTCCGGATACCAGAGGGCTGGGCGGAAAGCTCGGTCAGCAGTTGCTCTTATGTATGGTTCAAAAGCGCTTAGGACGATATACCAATGACACTGTGGCGCCTGTGGCCCAAGCCGACTGCTATCGAGGCGCTGCGGATGCGTGTCAACTACTGGCGTAGACAGTGGACACTAGTGCGAGATGAAGACGCTTCGCGAGATATATAAGGGATGAGAGAAAGGCAATCACGTCACCCTTCATGAACACTAGTGACACGAGGCGCAAGGCATATAGAACCGGAGTCGAGCAACAATAAGCACGGCGTTGCCATAGACGATACGCTAGAGTTGACTAAAGTAGGGTATAAGCTAGAACAAGCCCACAGACGTGCGAGTCAGAGACACAAGGGCAGACCGGGAAGCGGGGACAAGGAACAGAACATAAGGGCTGAGGAAACCTGGCGCTCACAATCCAACGACCTCCACGAGGTCTCCGTCCTCAAGATCAGCGCCACCAATCTCCGATGATGGGTTCAGTTTGTCGCCGTCTACCATCAACCTAGGACCCTCTGCATTCTTCCCTTTCCCTTTCTTCCCAACAGGACCGCCGATATTGGGATATAGGTCGGCCAACCCGGCCTTTTTCAGAAAGCCTTTGACGATAGCTTCACATGTCGTTGAAGGACGGACCGTGAGCGTGATGTCCTTCGTTTTCCCGGAGCGCAGCGTCAAACGGAACTTGTCGTCTTCCTCGTCTTCGCCTGCCGTCGAATACGAGCCAGCTTCGGGCTCGGGCTCAGGTGAAAGCTCCTCCAGGATTACGGAAGGCGATCGATTGCCAGACGGGGAACCTGTCTGATAGTGGTCGTGTGGCTGAACGGACATAGATCGCTGGCGCCGGGCCTCTTGAAGGTACTCGTAGGTAATTCTGTCACAGACCTCTGAAAGGCGATCACTACGCAGAGTTAAGCGCAAGTTTCAATTACACGTACCTAGCTCAGCTTCGGCCCAAAGGCCAATGCTGTGCGGTGTCGCTGAGGGGAACACCCTCTTGTCATCGTAGCTCAATATGACATTGTCCGTGATGACCTCGGCCAAATCGGCCACTTCCTCTGTCAGCGCATGGAATGAATCATGCTGTGAACCCGTTAGAACATTATGTGGCCTGTAAAGTACTGAGGCCACTCACGCGCTTGACTTTGAAACCCCAGATCTGTTGCCGAGCCACTGGGTTCTTTGGATGTGGAACCCATTTAACCCTGATAGTCACTATTGGGGGACCGCCTATGTCAGGTGCGGCGGAACCTTCTCGTGCGCGCTCGGCCGCCGACGACTTCATTTCTTGGGCTATCGAGGCGAGTTCAGGGTCGAGTTCGATGTTGTCGAGTGAGTCTTCGACGATCTCAATAGGCGCGGCTAGGCGGGGAACAGACCCCATGATCTGACTGTCTCATAGTTCAGCTTTTTGAAGGCGGGAAGATGGTGGTCCACTCACCGAATAGCTTCACGAGCGTGTTGCCTGGCGTGCTCCGGCACGGCAGGGGGAGGTGTGATTGACTTTGAGCGACTGCGAGAGCGTTTGGCGTCCCTGCGCTCATCGCGCTCCGGCTCACGACGGCGCTTTCCTTTGAGTGCTGGCTGAATGAGGTCCAGTATTTCATCCTCGTCCGAAGATATCAGGGTACTGCAAAGCATGAGGGAGAATATTTGCCAAGTTAACTATGACACACACATTTCCTTAGCAGGCATCCTAGTCCAGCTCGGCAGGGCTTCATCATGCTCTGGCTTCTTGTTGTGTTTCTTCCGTCGACGAGGCGTTGCATTGACGCCCTCGTTATCGTCATCCGATATCTCAATGACCTGCTGCTTAGCTTCCTGCGCTGGACACCCCGCATACAGTCAGGCTTTCCAACCAAGTCAGCCAGAGACGCGCGCACCTTCGGCAACTTTATTCAACTTCTTCCATGCTTGTGCAGTGCGGTTACGATTACGCAGAAACAGAGAGTCCTCGTCTTCAGCATTGACGGTGCTCACAGTTGGCGGTGGCGGTGAGAAGCTGGAGGAAGGCTCAGGGGAGAGGGCTGGCACGGGCTGAGCGCGACGCGGTTTCGGTCTCGGGCGCGTGGACATGATCGCGGTCACAGTTAAACGACACGGTCGTGGGAATCTTACCAAATCCGCGAAGGTCATCATGGAATCACATGACCTAGATCTGGAGGTGGCGTCGACTCGAGTCGGTCGACGGTCGCGGTTGCGTCGCGGCGGTCATTGTCCTTTTCGCTGTCGACATCCTCTGCACGACGAGCAGCCTCTTTCTGTATCCATGGCAGATGCACCAGTAGTCTTTAGGAAGTCAAAGCCCAAGAACGTGCAGCGGTCCCGAGTTTCCACTCCCGATGCCGTCGAAAGCACCGGTGACGGCCAGACCGCGGACGTCGAGGACGCAGAGCCGCCGAGTGTACTGGCTACGAAGTTGAAGAAGAAGCTCAAGACACGCGAGAAGCCAAAATCGAGACTTAGCTTTGGGGCAGATGAGGTGAGATGTCTTAGTGCGCCACAGGAGCAGGTGCTGATAACTCGAGGAGGATAGGAAGGAGAAAGCGAGGTGTTCCAGGTGAAGAAATCTAATCTTAGTAGGAAACTCGCGCTCGGACAGCATCCAGCATCGGCAGGGTAAGTCTGCGATCCACCATTTGTTCCTGACCTAATGATCAAGTCCAGGCATTTCAAGCCTGCGGCCATTGACCTCCCCTCGCCGTCGCGATCCGGTTCAAGCGTCAGATACGATGCGGCATATCTCAACGAACTCAAGGCAAACACTCCCAGTGCCAGACCTTCCATGCCAGAAGGGGACTTATCCTACGACGCGGATATGTCAATGGTCGAAGACTCGCTCCCGCAATCGCACATGTCCAGCGTAATCGACCTTTCTGGTGAGCATCGATGTATGCGGGGAACGCAGCCTCTTCTAACAGCGCAATGCAGCTGAACCGGAACTCGAAACCGCCATTCCATCAGCGTCTGCTGTTCAGGTCGCGAAAGAGAAGCGTGAACGCTTGCGGACACTGGGAACAAGCAACACCAGCGAAGATTACATCTCGCTATCCGTCTCAAAACGGAGCGACTTCTCGCAAGGCCCACATCCTGAGAGCCGGTTGATGCGCGAGGAAGATGAGCTTGGGGACGCCGATGATGGTATGTACTTCAACAAAATTGTGGATCCTGGGCCTAATGTGTACTCAGAATATGCCGAGTATACGAGTGCGCAGGAGCGGATTGCGCTCGGCAAGAAGTCAAAGAAAGCGGAAGCTAAGAAACGGCGTGAAGAATTGAACGAACTGATAGCCGATGCGTACGTCTCCTACCTTTGCTCGTGATGCAGCGCTGAAACTCATTGACAGAGAGGAAGTGGATGAGGAAGCAATGGAGTGGGAGCAAGAGCAGCTTCGTCGCGGTGGTCTACGCGTCTCCGAGACTCTTGAGAAGGCACCTAAGCCAACTTACAAGGCAGCACCTAGTACGTGACGACACGCCATCAACCTCCATACACATATTGACGTTTCATGCAGTTCCGCCCATCACTCCCATTCCGACATTAGGAGCTGCAGTCGCTCGGTTGACAACATCGCTTACAGCGCTAACTACATCACATCAGCAAAATACTGCCACAATGGCTTCCCTGGGAGAAGAGCAACTCAAGCTAGACGTGCGAGAGAAAGATATGCGAGAGATGATCGCTAAGGCCGAGGACAAGCGCAGTTGGTTCGCCGCATTTCGGGAGTGGGTCGAGAGCGTCGCTACTTTCTTGGATGAGAAGGTATGCTGCTGTACTTCTCCCGTGTCAGTACGTTCTCACAGACCCCTACAGTACCCTGGGCTCGAGAAGCTCGAAGACGAACAGGTATACCTTCTCAAGGAGCGGGCTGACATGATCGCACAACGAAGGAAAGCAGAAGATGAGGATGACCTTTCCCTTTTCCTGGGCACATTACCCCAAGCAGTGTCTGCAGGTGACGAAGTCGACGATCTCGGCCGTGTGGTTCCCCGTGCCAACCCCGCAGCGTTGCGCCGCGATCGCCTCGACGCGCGGAACAAGCGGCGACTCCTGCGGCGTGCTGGTGGCAAGGCGCAGAATAACGAAGAAGAAGGGTACTCAACGGACTCATCGTTACCACCATCAGATGCAGCCGACTATCAGACGGCGTTGGGCAGAGTGGTGCGTGACGGCAAGGCAATCATGTCCGACGTGCAGGCGGAGGAGTTCAAGAACCCTAGTCGAGGACTTGGGAAGTGGTTCGGCGAATGGCGAACACAGTTCAGCGATAGTTACTCTGGTGCATGGGGTGGCTTGGGCATGGTCGGTGCGTGGGAGTTCTGGACTCGTCTTGAGATCCTCGGTTGGAGTCCTCTGGAGGTTCGTTGGATACAGTCGTAGCCTTGCCCTGCGTCATGGCTGATGTGGCTGATACTTTCGTCCGTAGGATAGCAGGACGCTCGATAGCTTCTCGTGGTACGACGCGCTGTACCAATATTCACGACCCAGTCGACCGGATGACCGAGATGAGGACGAAGAAGCCGAGATGGGCCCTGATGGCGACCTCGTGTCGGCGATGATTTCGACTGCGGTAATTCCCCGTCTGTGCAAGTTGTTGGAGGGAGGGGCATTCGATCCTTACTCCGCCACGGACGTCAGGAAGTTGACGGACCTGGCGGAGCAGATTGAGCTCTCCGTCGAGAGGAGTAATTTAAAGTTCGAGGTAAGGGCCATTCCGTCCTGTCTGTATCTGCCTACATTGACGTTCCATAATACTAGATGCTACTGAAATCCGTCGTCACGGCATTCCAGCTTGCTGTGACGTCGACCGACTCGATCATTTCTCCGTATCTAGCGCTCAACCAGCCGCGCTTTGACCCAGAAGCGATTCCCGCCCGCCGGCGATTCTTGACGCGACGGTATAAGCTACTTCAAAACCTGCTTCAGTGGAGAAGATATACCGGGGAACGGTTCGGCCTTGGACAGCTGGCGCAGAACTTGGTGGGCAGCGATATGTTACCAGTCGCCGAGGGTGGCTGGGAGGTCGGCGGGGAGGAGTCTATGCGCAAGGTATGTGTTTGCTTGACCTTTCTGAAGACCAGTCCTTCTTACTGAATGTTCGTAGGTCGCTGAGCTCATGCCGAATGAGCTGATACCGAAATCACTGAAGACTAGGTTAGGGATATAATCGACTCTTCTGGTGCCCAGATTCGTCTTGACCGACAATCCCACGTGTGCGAAGATTGATGTGTGCCCGAGGTTCTGCACAGCTGTGCAATATTGGGGATGCTCGTGCTGTGGTATGGTTTGCCATCCACGTTCCACGCGGGCATCTCATGCGTTACTCGGGATATCAATACCGAAGCTCTTTGACCCACACGGTCCAGCTCCTTCAGGAGTCTGTCTGCGCCGTGTGTGGCTCGTTCCGCTGTCAGACATCTCGCAGTGAGGTTCCACGGCATTACTGCGATCATGGTTGCGATCGCTGTCGAAATCCTCAGTTCGACTGCGATATTGCGCGTCCCTAAGTGGTCAATATACATATCCATTGGTTCTACCGTACAATGTACCCTCAATCCTCTGCTATCCTCTCGAAGAACTGCTTCAATGTCCCAGCCAAGACGTCAGGCAACGCCTCCGCATCCCTCAGCACGACGTAGTACTCGAATGGGAACGTGTCCAGGTAGCGCTCGACATGCAGATCCATCCGACCGTCGACATTCTTGTACGCAACCTGGTTCATATGCAAGATAGAGTTCTGGTTCTGATCGGATGACGTGCCTGAACCGTCCACGTTGCTGCGGGTGTGCAGAGAGTCGAGGATGATGAACACGACCATGACACGCTGCTCCTCCGCTTTTCGCAAGACCGTCCGTAACTTCTCATGATCCTGGCATATCCCGTCTGAGATGATGATCTCCAGTTGCCAGAGGTCGCCTGCAGACGTAGAACCCATCGCGCGGCGTTCCCTCGCCCGCTCGAGCAGTTCGAGACTGCTCTCAACAAGTGAGAGCACCTGCGTCGCCTTCTGGTCGAAGTGGAAAGCGTCCACGACCCTCATTCCAGCGTGGTCCGTGAACGGCCCGCCTTCGAAGCTGTGCAACACCTCGACCGACTCTCCAAATTTAGCGATGGCGATATCTCCAACTTCGAGCCTGCTCAGGGCCTTGGAGACCAGAGCGAGCGTCTCGTAGGCTAGGTGCACGGAGTGCGATTCGGCCATGGACCGCGAGTCGTCAAGAGCTATCAGGACCTGGTATTCTCGTTGACTGGGCCGGGTACGTCGCAGCCAGATCTTGTCTTTCGTGAACTCGCTGGCGATGTATGGAATGATCTTCTTCATGTTGAGCCGTTTGCCGGTCCGATAGTCGCCCTTCAACCGTGTCGCTTGAGTGGGTTCCAATATGAGCCGAAGTTGCTCGCAAAGCGCGTACGACAGGTCCGTTGTCAGCGACTCGTAGAGACGCCAAATATCACCGGCTCTAGCTGAAGGCTGCCCGTCTGCTTGCCACTCCTTCAACTTGAGCTCCACCTCCCTGGAGAACGCCTCGAGGGGTTGAGGAGCAGCCGACCCATCGGACGGAACAGAAGTGCTATTGGCGGCGCCAGGGACTCCGGGCTTCACATCGGCATGCGTCAGAGCGCGAGCAATGCTTTCAGCGTGAGACTCAGATGTAGTCCCTGCCTTCAATTGCGGAGATGGTGACCGTCCGTCAATAGTGTCCTCGACTGGGCGCTCTTCGTCAGCAGCTGCTGCAGTGGCATGCTTGTCAGGATCATCGGCAGCGAAGTTCAAGTCATTCAGCCTGGCAATGTCTTCTTCCTGCATGGCAGGTCCGAGGGCTTGCGTATGATCAGCTGTATCGTCCGGCTGGAGGTACTCCACCTGGCTCGGTGCACCGGATTGAATCTGCAAGGACTGCTCTGTCGCACCCGTGCTGTCGATGATGTCGTCCAGATGTCGACTGATCTCGCGCAAAGCGTCACCAAGGCTTCGGAGTGGGTTGGTATCGAGTTGGGCGCGGGGAGCAGATGGTCCGCTGCCCTGTTCAGACTGCGCCTTTGAAACAGAATCCAGACCCTGGCTGTGACCGCCATCATGGTCAACATCCGCACCCGCATCACTACAAAATATCAGAAACTGCCGTCCCCATTATGATATCAACTTACACATCATCCAAATTCTGGTGCATCGCAATTTCTTGCGTAGAGTCCATGGTTGACTCAGGGTGGCCTGAGCTTTGTTCCATGAGTTCTTCGTCATTGGCATCAACATCCATTGGCGATTCGTCAGCCTGGGCCGTAGATGCGCCATGACCTTTCCCGGAATCTTGGCCATCTCCACGAAGATCAGGTTTTGCGACTGTCCCTTGACCGTCTTCGTCTGTCGGAGTGTCTTCTTCGACTGGGTCATCGGCGCCATGGTTCGTGTCCTCCATTCGCTGCTGGTCTTCTGCATCGTCAACAGGCAGGCTCTCGTGGACGGGATCGTCTTCGACCGACATAGGTACTTCATCAGGCTCATCCCCCTCGTCAAGACTGAGGTCTTCATCCGTGTCGTGGCCATTGTTGTCCTTCCCAGTGTCAAGGTTCAGGTCGTCTGGTAGGTCCAAAGCATGAGCTTCCGGGACGTGCTCGTCTAGAGGAGCGCCCTGTGGCCTGTTGTCGGCCTCCTCTCCCTCTCCCTGCTCCTCAACGTTGTCATCGGCGACATGGTCGGCTTCTTCCGGGGTGCCTACATCCTCGTCGCGCTTATGGTCCTCGTCAGGTTTACTCTCCGCTCCCTCACTGTCCTTTGCCACCATCTCGGCGTCCTGTTCTCGCTTAGTATCGTCTCGGCTTCTACCTCCATCTTGTTGAGAATCCTGTGGACCCTCCTCGTTTCCCCAAAGCTTCTCGTCAATTGCGGATGGGTCCGACACGTCCACTTCACCTATCCGCTCCTCGGGCTGATCATCGGTCTCCCCCTCTTCCTCTTCCTCTTCCTCTCCGCCTTCTGGTACGTCCTGCATCTGGCCTTCGAAGTCTTCACTCATCTCGAGGGCATTGCCGTCCTCCGCTCTCTCCACATGTTCATCGGCCCCTTCCTCCTCGCCCTGCAAACCCTCAACCTGACTCTCGTCTTGTACATCCTTGCTTACGTTCTCAGCCCCAGACCCCTCGCCAAGCCCGGTCCCGTCTGCCTGCAGTTCCGTACCTTCCGCGCCCTCCCCGCTATCCTCTGTATCTGGCGGTTGACAGAATCCTTCCTTGGCGAGCCTCAACATGACAGAACAGGTAACGTAGTCGAGTTTGAACAAGGCGGCGGTCCAGTTGGTCAGGCGATGTAGATGGTAGCGGGCCAGCTCCAGATACTTTGTCAAGAAAGGCAATATTCTCTTGACTCTCAGCTGCAAGTCGTCCGAGCCACAACCGTCCAGTGAAGCTGATACACTCCGTGCGTGTGCAAGTATACCGTCAATGTTGAGGGCGGTAGTGAATTGCGTTGCAAGGTGAGTATTCGCGCGCACGAATGAGTCCGCGGCGGGATCGGGCGCAGGGTCCGTGGGCGGACATAGAGATAAAAGCGCTTGAATGCTGAGTAACAGAGCTCCGATCAGCATTCCCGTATTGTCGGTGCTGGTCATCGAGTTGCTGGCGACGGACAATGGTTCCATGGACCCGAAGACTGCCAGCCAGCTTTGAATCGGCTCTGTGAAGTAACGGATAATGACTGGGCCCTCAGACCAGCGCTCCAGAGCGTCGTTGACCAGACGCAGATGCTGCGATGCGTTGTTGACGATTTCGAGTTCCTCTGTTGAATGGTTAGGTGGCGCTTCTCGGGAATGACGTAGCAACACGCATACCTGTTAACATAGCAAGTTCGGGGGCCATCTTCACCTTTCGAATCAGAGTAGAGAGGCTCGCAGCATGCTCTCGCGACGATGTGGTGAGTAGTTGTATATCATCGAGCGTCCTCCCTGTGATGATGGTCCTGGGTTGCGTGTCATTATGCTCTCGAAGACGGAGACGCAATTCTTCTAGGGCATGAACCAGTCGACACATGCAGATCTTCATATGAACGATTTGATCCAGAGTAAGCTTAGGCCGAATGACGGCGGCAGAGGTCAACATTTGCATACGAACGACGATGCCATGGAGCTGCTCGAAGGGAGCGCTGACTTTGTCAATGCTATAGGATGAAGATCAGCGGCGGACCACGAGGATTCGATGCCAGACTTACCTGCGGCGATTGTCGATCGCCATTGCGAAACCAGACTCCACAAGCGAAATGCCCCGTTGTAGCTCTCTCGTGCTCACATCTTCGTGATGATGGGAGAGCAGAGCCCTGAGTTCAGGCAGTATATGCGATACACGCCCGAAATAATCATCAGCTCGCCTTGCGCCGTGTTCACAGTGTGCTGGAAACGCCAAGAGCTCTTGTTCCCGGAGCCAGCGCAGGTTGCGTAGCTGCTCTAGCAATCCTGGCTTGACGTTGGCGGATAAGCCGACCCTCTTGAGTTCCTTCAATAGATCGCTCCACGCCCTCCTTTTTCGTGTCAGCAGTGATTTGAGATATCTGCTTCGCTGAGCAGACTGCATATCGGACGGAGGCGATGATTTCGCCAGAGACTCGGAAGTGACGATGATCTCCCTGGCAAACTCATCCAATCCATCAGTCGGCACAGACGCAATGAGAAGCGTCAAACGGTTCGAGACAAGACTGCGGAAATTCTTGTATGTGGTATCCAAGTTTGCGAGATATGGGGCTAGGTCTGCCGCCTGCGAATACGGTGGTATGTCGACGTCGTCTACAATGAGCCATTCGGGTAGCTCTTGCACTTGCTGCCCCGGAACATCCGCAGACGAGACTTGTAAGCAAGCCTGGACTGGCTGCCTGAGGACTTCGCGGAACTTGCGTATAGCCTTGTAGAGTTGTCTGTGCGACCTCTGAGCGCTTTGCTTCAATGCATGCACATTGACGTCTTTCCAGCTCGCCAGCTTCATGTAGTCACGAACGTCCCCCTCTAGCTCTGCTTGTCTGCGCGAGAGGGTTTCCCGTACACGATGTGCGAACTGGTCGTAATACCGCCATGTTGATTGCAGAATTCTGTGGACACGGTCGAAGATCCCGTCGTATTCGTCCGACTTGCTGCGGGCAATGTGGTTCACGTGTCGACCGAAAGCGTGCAG